GGGGGGGGGGGGGGGAAGAGGGGGATATCTTCCTGACAGACCTGGAGTGACAGTCATGGACTTTAGCCCAGCCATACAACAGAGAATACCGAATACGAAACTCTTTTACAAATCTTACAAGTTACAAGCAGTGCCAACCAGTCGCTTGATTGGGCCATTCAATCTAGTCAAATCTATCATCTGCACAAAGCCAAGATGAGAGAGTGGGAACCCCAAGGCGATCCATGCACTGATGCTACATACTGCTTTCTGGCTCTCGGACTGAGTCGGGCATATGGAATCTAGTATTGGATATCCATAACTAGTGGTTGAGTTGATTGCGTCTCGATAGGCACGTAGACTGTGGAAAGTTAAAACACCTAGACATCGGATCTCCGGTCCGATTCTCCCCTCTTTCACGTATCTGACGAACCCGGACCCACGACTTATCGAAGAGAAGAAAGTACGCTGCTAGAGGCGAGATATATGAAGCCCTCTAAAGCCACTTTACGAGCATCGTCAGTCGACAATACTGGAAAATAATCATCATGAGCTTGCCCTAAGTCCATGGACACAGGGTTAGGGTTAGCCAGTTCGATGCAAATCCAATCCAATCATCCTCCTCCAACAGCACATATTGATTGATGATGATGGTTACAAGGAGCAAAAGCAGGCTAGCACAGTTATAACTACCAGTAGCAAACGTGGATATTCATTGATATATTCGTTATTCCTCGTTCTCGCAGACTTTTAGCCGGCTTACTATGCATACCCGATAAATCCCGCATGGCAGAATATGAGTCATTTGACGGTGTGAGATCCTACATAGGGAGTCAAAAACAAAAGACTGAATAGAATTTCACATAAAATAATAGATAGAATCAGCAGAGAGTAGATATTAAATTAATGTAAACAAAGACAAAAGACAAAATGAGCCCTAAGAAAGCCTCCGTCACCTCAACCCCAAACATCCAGCTCGGTCAAGCCACCATTCTAGCCCAAGGGGACATAGACATTACAGGCCCATCATCAACAGATGTCTTCAATGCCTTAATCGACACTTCCACATGGCCCAAATGGAACCGCTTTGTCCCCTACTGCACCATCCGATATCAGCCAACCTCAGATTCAGTCGAGGGATCGCCATCTCCTCTCCTTCAATTAGGAACAAAATTCTCAATGCACACCAATATGTCCCTAACCTCTACCACCACATTGGCCGAATCAATCTCTATGCACGAAGAAGGGAAGTCGACCACTTTGCATCTCATAGTGACATTATTCGAGGCACCAGATCCTCTAACCCACACCCCGGGAAGAATAGCCTGGACGATGGATTATGATGAAATGCGATTTGTGCCGCAGTGGTTGTTGAAATTGGAAAGGATACATGTTTTTACTGACGAAGGGATGGGTGTGAATGTGAATACGTGGGAATTGATGGCGCGGTCTTCGTGGGCTGGTTGGGTTATGGGATGGTATTATCAACAGAGGTTTATGGAGGTCTGTTTTCCTGCTTGGTTGGGAGGGTTGAAGGAGTATGTTGAAAGATGTTGATGATGATGACAACCCTGTCCATCTGTATATTAGTGTATCATAGCCTGCGTAATGGAAGTAGTCCCTGCTCAAACTCGATAAGAATGGTAAGTATTATTCATAACTGTAATCAATCGGTATTCTAATGACAGCTTTTCATACATAACGAGAACGACACCATCATTTCTGCATCTGCTCAAAATACTTTTCCCACCCAATTTCCTTTATCTTCGTACCTTTGATATCCAAATTCTCAAGTTTGGCGTTGGTAGCGTACTCCTCGACTTTGCGCTGAAGGGCGGACTCATATGAGCCGAGGATTCGAACTGCTAGTAATGCAGCGTTGATGCTATTGTTAATACCGACTGTGGCGACAGGGACACCTGGACCATTTCATCATTTATTAGTGGTTGCATCGAGAAGAGCAAGAGTTGAACTAACCTCGTGGCATCTGCACGATACTGTATAAACTGTCAACACCATCTAATGCACTACCCTTCACCGGAACGCCAATAACTGGCAGAGCAGTGTGCGCAGCCGCCATGCCAGGCAGATGAGCGGCTCCACCAGCAGCTGCAATGATCACTTTGATACCTCGCGAAGCCGCCTTGGAAGCATATTCAGCCATATAATCTGGTGTCCGATGAGCAGACGTAATGTCCACTTCAGGATCAATACCAAAGTAATCCCTCAGAAGCTTGAGACCCGGTACCAGCGTCTTCAAATCACTGTCAGAACCCATGATGACCCCGATAGTAGGCGTGGGTTTGAAGGGGATTGGTTCGACACTTGAGGATTTGACGTCACTGCGCGCAGCACGGATTTCGTCGACCAAATCGATCAATGGCTGAATATTTGTCTCTGCCTCGTACATCGTCGCACCGGTAACGGTGATGTGTCCCATCTTACGTCCTGGTCGGGCAGCACCTTTGCTGTAGAGGTGAATACTAGCATTAGGTATCGAAAGAGCGTGCTCTGCAACGCGCAAATGAGAATCGCTAGTAGCACCACCAATAATGTTAAGCATGATAGACGGTTGCCGAAGCTCCAAGCTCTTAGGTGGTATGGGGAGATCTAGAACAGCGCGCATATGAGCATCGAACTGAGAAAGACCACAGCCTTCAATCGTGTAGTGTCCGGAATTGTGTACTCGACTGGCGATTTCACAGAGCAAAATTGAGTCATCTTCCAATAGAAACATTTCAACGCCGAAAACACCTTTACCATCAAATGCGGCTACTGCGTTGCGAGCAAGTTCTTGGGCTTTTTTGTTGATGGCATCAGACACATTACGAGCTGGTGCATAGACAAGTTTGCAGATGGAGTCTTCTTGAACAGTCTCAACTGTAGGGTAGGATAGAACGCTATCCTTGGTTTTGACTACCATCACTGCCAATTCCTATCGCAGAATTAGATTGAGCTGAGGCTAAAGGGAAAAATCACGTCTCACCATTTTAAAATGTGCCCATTTCTCAGCATATAATGGTCGATCCTTGAGGGCCTCGAGGGCGTTTGGAATATCTTCCTTTGACTTGACTGGGTAGTTTCCTAAGTTGTATCAGCGATTGAAGTTCCGGGGTTGTGTATACTGATTTCACACCTCTTCCATCGTATGCAAGAGTCTTGGACTTGAGCATCATTGGATATCCTAACAGTTCACCAACTTTAGCCAGCTCCTCTGGCGTATTCTCAACAAGCTCCCGATAATCCGCCATGGGGATATCATATTTCGACAAATGTTTCTTCTGATCATATTTGTTCTGAATGATCCGAATGGACTGCCATGACGGCTCAACCTTGACCTGCGAAGCAACAGCTTCAAGCGCATAAGTATTGACATGTTCAATCTCAGCAGTCACCACATCACAATTCTTGGCGAGTTCTTGCACCGATTGCTGATTGTTGAAATGCCCAACTGTATGGTTGCCATGTGCGCTTATCTGTTTTGCTGGCGCATTCTCGGCGTCTAATACATGTACTTCGATATTCAGTCGATTGGCTGCCTCTGTGAGCATGCGACCTAATTGTCCACCTCCGAGAATGCCAACTTTGGGTGAATTCCACGCCATCTTGTCTGGTTACGCCTTCGAACAGCCAACTTGGCTGAAGTGTTATAAGTCACTCTGACTCAGAACTCAGGAAATCTCGAGTGGATCTTGAAAAGTACAAGACCAGTCCCAGAAAAAAAAAGTCACGTGTATGCAGATGTTGAGATTCGCCAGCAACGGCACTGTTTAATTGATTGAGAGTCAACTCAAGCAATACTACGGTGAATTGAAAAGCTTTGTGGAATATAATTGACAAACATGCCATTCAATTGCAAAGAGTTTTTCAGGTTCGGAAATTTTACGGATGCCAGATTTTTCAGGCTAACTTCACGTGTTGCGGGGATATTTCGAATCTGATAGCAAGCTGATAGCCAATCATATTGTGCACTACTGTCAGCTATTCCAAAATAAGACTAGCTCCTTTAAGTCGCGATTGCGGCGTTTAGAGCTTCCATCACGATCCTCCACTTCACGAACAAATCTCAGCGACCACTCTCGCTCTTCTGCTGAACCACGGCGTGAGGGAGTAGGAAATATGCCACTAGGTATGTGTCGAAGAATCTAGTTATTCAGTTTGAAGCTTGCGCAATATGAACCAACATATCCACTGTCATTTGACTGCCGACTCGCATACTACGTGCTATCTCTTCAGCTTCGCGCTAACACTAGCCGGCAATATATACAGATGAAGAGTTGCTGGAGAAGGTCGCCCAGGATGGGTCTATGGACTAGTATGCTGGAAACATCTCCTTACATGTGGAATTGAGTACTGACGCATCAAGTGACCGGTGGCCTGAACAACTAGAACCATTAATTCAACGCCTTGACGAGGTATGATTTCCAGTTTGACGCCTCTGCATGGATGGACTAACATTCAAACAGATCATCTGTGAATTTCCCATACCGAAAGTACCGCCCGAAGTAGCATCCTCCTACGCCTCCTCCTCTTATCAATTCCACGACTCTCTCCAAAGCAGTAACAAGGAGAATACTCCTCCTTCCCCTCCCGCAACCCAGACAACATATAGCGGTGCTTCAGCGTCGACTTCCGAATATAACACGGCCACTCAAACCTTGGTCCCAGACTCTCAACCCTCCCAACCCGATTCGAACTCTCTACCTTCTCCACTTTTGTCTCTGATTGCTTCGATCAAGAGTACCCTACGGACATATTTTGCGTCCAAACCACCGCACACCGTTCAAAGACTCGCAGAGTTGATTTTGCGTCCTAGGCGTCAATATCGAACACTTCCGGCTTACCTGCGAGCCGTGGATAGAGTAGTCTCGGTATCGAGCAGTGCAGATATTTTTCCGCTTCCCCGGACAGGGGTGTCTGCTGATGATGAGCTAACGAACGGAGTCACCAATGGCACAAGATCAAGTTTTATGGTAACGGATGAGTCTCTCGGTAGTGATGAATCTCTGGGTGGAGCATTATTGACGCCCATACCCTGGCTGAGAAATCATGATCTTGAGGCTGTACAGGCTGAGATGATTGCAGAAGGTATTATTTGATAAACTTTCGAAAAACGGAAAAGAAAAAAAATGCATGCTAAGCTGATATATAGGTTCCGTTCCACTACGCGCGGACGCTGCAGTCACTCAAGGCGAACTCATTAGACAGGAACAAGAAGCGGGCCTGGTTGCTACAACGCAAACGCCGCCACATGTCTCTTCACGATCTCTAGCCGGGAACGAAGAAGATGGCGAAAACTCATCTCCGCAGCCAGAAGAAATACCACATGCACGAGGACCGTCGGTTCTCGGCGTTGAAGATTTAGGGTTACAAGACGGCAAGGGTGTGGAAATGGTTCTCTCAGATCCGAACAAGTCACAGGAAGATAAACCTGGAATGGACATGTCAGATTCAGAAGTAGGTGGTATATGCAATGAGGCCTCTTCTGAAATAGAGAAAGGGAATAACGACGACGATGATATCATCTTAGACGACGTGACGGAAAACCAAGACACCACACCCTTGACAGAAACAAGCGCAGCACCAGAGACGAGGGGCTCAATGACAGAGCAGGATGAAACGGGTTGAATCCGCTTAAAGCACTAGTGCTATGATGGGATGAAACTAATGACACTGTCGTTTAATCTTTTTATGCTTCTACCTATTGAACTGCCATCTGCTTTTTTGCATCTAGAATTTGACTCTGTATATCCGCCTTCTTGCTCCTTTTTCAAGAAGTAGGTAGTTATTATTATTTTGATATACCCCTCAAATAAATAATGATTTATGAATAATTATACATGTTCGTCCCCAAAAGGGACAGGAAATTAATAGGTGCGAAATAAGAGCTGGGAGTACCGAATTCGTAGTATCATACAGCCGTTCATAGTCCATGAGCCGATCAAATATGTGGTCATTTCCAAAGGAAAATAAAATGGTCGTTTCGTCGTGATTTGATAATATATGTTCGTCTTCGACTTCTTCACAAGTACGTAACTTGTACTATAAGTCGTAATTCACATGATATGCAAATGCATGTGTGGAAATGGACAGGACTGTGCTCTGGATGTAAAGCGAACATCATGACTGAATCGATGATTGAATTGATGATTGAATTGATCCCTGGCGCTTTCTTTCCTTTTTTGCCCAGCGTACTGCAGATGCAAGGTTAGTGACCTTTATATTAGATCCTTAAAAATAGAGTGATAGGAACTGTATTGACTTACAACCGCAAGCATTACAGAGTGTCTTTGGACCGCTGGGACCCTTTCTCCATTCCGGAGAAGCCAAGGTACCACAATCCGTACATACATATTCCTCTGTTGTCTTGATCCGTTTCTTCTTGTCGTTATCATCCGAGCTCAAACCTAGGTGATGAAGATCTGCCTGTTCGTGTATCAACCCTGCATCTCTTTCCCCCGTACTAAGACCCCTTGATCGTTCGCCTTCGCCGTATCGCAGACCCGTGAGTATCTCGATGCCATCGAGGACTGACGATGTATCGCTTCGGGACAAGGTGTCCAGATTATTATCTAATGTGATCAAAGACGTGTATCCGTTGTGTTCAGTGCCTGTTACACTGGGTCTAGCAGGCGGCAACATCATGCCTTGATCGGTGCCTGTCGCGGCAGTAGTAGTAGTAGTAGTAGTCGGAGCACTGTTGAAAGCGTCGACGTCATCGTCAGGGCTAATAGTTCCTGAATTGTTGTCTGATTGGAGGAGCACCCACTGCTGCTGAGCTTGGAGTTCCTCCTCCTCTTCCTTTTTCAAGTCTGCAATTCTTCTATTCAATCGTATATTCTCAACTTTATGTTCCAAAAACGTGTCTAGTAGCGCATTGCTGGATGTTGGATAAGGGCGACAAACAAGAAAGAAGCCGTCGCAAGGGTTCCCCTCTTTGCCCGTTCCGAGTGTGATTTTTTCTTTAGACATGTGTGCGTGTCCTGAGGCCTCGACGATCGTGAATTCGCCGTCTGGTTTTCGAAATCGAAAATGATACCTAAGACGGTGTCCTGTAGCGATCGACTCGTTAAATTCGCGGATGAAAGTCGTTCGGTCGTCATCATGTACAAATTCTGAAAGGAACCTGCCATCGAGATCTTTTGATTCGTAATTCGTAATCGGTTGGATTGCCGGCGAACAGTAAAGGACTTTTCCGTCGGGGCTCAGTACTATCAGTACATCTTGCATTTCTGCTAATATACGCTGCGTCCAGTTGCGTCTCCTGGTAAAATCAGTCACTGCACTTGTTGCGCTTTTCTGGACGCCAGAATGATCAGGCTGTGGCTCTTGTTGTGAGGTTGAATTATTGCAATCGTCCTTCATTGCGATGTCCGTCGCACCGGTTTCGTCAATTCCCTGGTCATCGCCATCATCTAGAACGAGGTCGAAATCGGTATAATCCAAGTCAAAGTTGTCTGCCGTCGCATTGTTTTGGAGCATTACGAGGGCGTCAGAAGCGTTGCTTCCCGCAGCATCGTTGAGATACATCCCCGTGCTGCGGTAACCTTACCTATGTACAAAGCTTATAGACAACAGGTATTATTAGCAATACTTTAGGGCATAGTCTGCAAAGTGGGATTCTTACCAGCACCAAATAATTCAAAACACCTCAAGAATATACCATCATAGCCGAGATACCGAATAATGAAGAAGACATAACCACCAGAGTGTTTTGCGCACGGATAACGTTACCTGGCCAGCGGCATCAGTATGAGGGATACTCCGATTGAGTCGGATTGACCAGCAAGCGAGAGCGAAATCCGAATGTGGCTTGGGTAGACCCAGCAAATAAACAGGACCGGGTGATGATGTAGCGCGCGATCTTCAGATGTAAATCGACGCCAGGTGGATCTTCCGATCTTGAAATGTTTCTTGTATGGAGAAGCTCCAGCCAGTCTTAGTCTTTTCTGAGACTTAATAGAGGTTTTCTGGGGATTGGAGACTAAGCCTATCCAGGCAGCTCGCTGGACGTGTCACGTGCTTTCGCGCCATCCCCGCGTTGAGTGGTTGGACGTGTAGGCAACTCCGTCTCTCCTTTGAGCAACAGGGGAAAAGAAATTATTCAGCCAACACCAGCCCATCACTATCGTCTTTGCTTATGCGATGATTGTGATTATCGTCCTAAGATTGCGATGAATTAGACTCGCGTTTCACGTGGTTTTAATTTAGTCTCGGAAGATCCAAAATCAAGATGTGAGCTTTCATTTCGGAGCTTTGCCGTCTACCTCTACTGACATCACTCCTAGGTGTACGTACAGTGAAGAATGTTAGACAATCCGTACTAATATCCAATAGCGAAAATCGATAAACTCTCTATTCTCGGGTAAGTCATTCTACAAGCTATTGTTCTGACTAGTACTAAGCGATCTCATTCAGTGTCCGATCTTTCGATAACACCCGAAGCGAGACCATTCAGTTCCATACGCCGTTGACTTTGATCGTAGGATATAATGGATCCGGGAAGACTGTACGTTAATATGTGACTGGAGATGGTCTGGACAATTCTTACTATATTCTAGACTATCATTGAATGTCTCAAATATGCCACGACCGGCGATCTACCGCCCAACAGCAAGGGTGGCGCGTTCATCCACGATCCGAAGGTGCGATATGTATCCCGCAAATATTGGTTGAGGATTTGCTGATTTTAGGCAGCTGTGTGGAGAAAAAGAGGTTCTTGCCCAGGTGAAGCTAGCATTTAAAGCTACCTCTGGAGCGAAGATGGTGGCAACCCGCAGCCTGCAGCTTACCGTGAAGAAAACGACACGACAACAAAAGACATTAGAAGGCCAGTTATTAATGGTAAAGGATGGAGAACGAACGGCGATATCGTCTCGTGTGGCCGAACTAGACCAGATCATGCCCCAGTACCTCGGTGTTTCGAAAGCAATCCTCGACTCCGTGATTTTCTGCCATCAAGATGAGAGTCTTTGGCCCATGAGTGAACCATCTGTACTCAAAAAGAAGTTCGATGAAATTTTCGAGGCCATGAAATACACAAAGGCAATCGACAACATCAAAGCTTTAAGGAAGAAGCAGAATGAGGAGTTGGCGAAGTTTAAGATTATGGAACAGCATTCAAAGGAAGACAAGGACAAAGCAGATCGTGCAGAGAAACGATCGATCAAGTTACAAGAAGAAATAGAGGCTCTACGAGAGGAAACCCATCAGATCTCCCAAGAAATGCGGAATGCCGCCGAATTAGCAGATAAAGCTTGGAAAGAATCGGAAAGCTATGCGCAGGTCATTGGAGCGCTGGAAGGGAAACGCATTGAAGCCAGGAGTATCCAGTTAACGATCGACAATTTGAAGCGACATTTGGTTGAAGTCGATGAGTCTGATGAATGGCTGCAATCGAGTCTTGAGCAGTTCGAGTCCAGACAACTGGAGTATCAACAACAAGAAGACGCCCAGAAGGAAAGATACATGGACATCAAGGAACAAATAGAATCGACCCGCGAGCAGCTCGGATTGAAACAAGCCGAAACCGGAAAGTACGAAAATGATAAGGATCAATTTGAACGCCAGATTAGGCGTCGAGAGAACATGATCAAAGAGTTTGCGCGAGAGAACAATATCCGTGGTTTCGATGACGCTCTGGATGAGTCAAAAATCGACGAGTTTATGCACAGAATGCAGAAGATGGTCAAAGAACATAGCCAGGCACTAGAACGAGCCCGAAAGGAAGGACAGTCAGAATTACGAGAGACTCAAAACGTTCTCAATCAGATTGCGCAGCGGAAATCTGCATTTCAAGAGACTAAGAATGTTGCGCGAAGGCAGATTGCGGACAACGACAGGGAAGCAGCTTCAGTCCAAAGCCGCCTGAATGAAATCGACGTAGATGAAGGCACGGTTGCTGTTCTTGAGTCAAAGAAGGAAGAGGCGCAATCACGGCTCGAGAAGTTGAAAGACGCTGCTCGAGTTGCGACATGGGATAAGGATCTTCAAGATGCCAACACTCAGCTTAGGTCCCTTGAAGATGAAAGCACCAAGCTCAATCAAGAGCTTATTGCAGGAACCAAGAAAGCTGGCGATTTGGCTAGACTGGCCCATTTAAAGAAGGAACTCAAAGATCGCGAGCGCCAATTGGAGACTATGTCGGGGGCTCACGGAAATCGTTTATCACAACTTGTTAGCGAGCAATGGAACCCGGATAACCTTGAGCGTGAATATCAGAATGTCCTGACGGATGCTTCAAATAATATGACATTAGCGGAACGCAATCGCGATGGTGTTGGAAGAGAACTTGACCAAGTTGAGTACAAACTGAAAGATTGCCGAACAGCGCTTGAAAAACGGAAAAAAGAACGTGACGAGTGTGTGAAGAAGATTCGCGACGCAATTGACGATGATCCCACGGAGTACTCTGACGTCTTGCAAACAAGACAAAACCACCTTGACCAAACCAGGAAGGATGTTGAGCAGTTCACGGGCATGCACGAATATTTCAACATGTGTCTTGAAGCTGTTGACTCGAAAAAAATGTGCAGAACTTGCATGAGACCTTTCAAGAACGAAACCGAAATGCGAACTTTTAGGAACAGATTAGAGGGACTTATCAAAAAGAACTTTTCATCCTCAGACGAAGATTTGAAACAAGCCGAAGAAGACTATGAAAATGCTCGAATGGCGAATACCGATTACGACACCTGGTTGCGTCTGACAGAAACTGCAATTCCCGAACTTGAGAAGAACGAGGAACAATATCAAAGTCAGAAGGAAGAGATTTTGAAGAAGCTGGAGAGCCATGACACCACTGTTGACGACCGAGCCGAAAAGAAGCGAGAAATCGAATCTCTTTCCCGCACAGTTACCTCTATAGTTCGTATCGACAGCGAGATCAAATCTCTACGTTCTCAAATAGCAGAGGTGTCATCCAAGCAACAGCAGACGGACTCGACCCGGGTCCTGGAAGACATCCAGAATGATATCGCGGCAGTCGGGGAGAAATCGAGAGCAATCAAGTTGACTATTTCAAAGCTCTCTTCAGAGAAGGAACAGTCTCGAGATGAACTTAATAGGGCGGAACTAGCGCTTAGAGACGTGAAGAGTAACCTCGACAATGGCAGTCATCAGCTTGAGAAGAAGACCAGTCTTCTTGCTCGTGTTGAAGAGTATAAAAGAATGAACGCGAAGCAACGAGAGTCCATTGAAAATGCTGATCGTTATATTGAGCAATTGGAGCCGGAGATTGCCAAAGCCCAGGCGAAATTTGATGATATTAACCGGCGTGCTGAATCCAAAGAACGGGAACTCCAGCAAGCATTGACACATTTGTCTGACCGCTTACATCAACTCAATCTTGCTAATGATGAAATTAAATCATACATTGACCGTGGCGGACCGGAGCAGCTAATCAAGAGCCGAAAGGAGTTAGAGGACATCCAGCAACAAATCAAGACATTGGAAGGAGAACAAAGTGAAATCACACGCGCGATCAACAAGATATCTGCCCAGCTCAAAGACAGTGACAACACTAGAAGACAGTATTCGGACAATCTGTCATATCGTCAGTCATGCAGGTTATTGGAGGAGGTCCAAGATGAGATACAGCAACTGGAAGAGCAGAACGCAGAAATCGATCGCAGTCGGTTCAAGGAAGAGTCAGAGCGATGGACACGGAAGCACAATGCACTTGCCGCTCAGCAGGCAAGTAAAATGGGCGAGATGAAGTCCAAGGATGACCAACTATTGCAATTGCTGGCAGATTGGAACACCGACTATAAAGACGCGGCTGCTAACTATAAGGAAGCTCACATCAAAGTGGAAACCACCAAAGCTGCGGTTGACGACTTGGGTCGTTACGGTGGGGCACTGGATAAGGCTATTATGAAGTACCACAGTCTCAAGATGGAAGAGATCAACCGCATTGTCGAGGAGCTTTGGCAACGGACCTACCGAGGTACTGATGTGGATACTATCTTAATCAGATCTGATAACGAGAATGCCAAGGGAAACCGCTCCTACAACTACCGCGTTTGTATGGTCAAACAAGGTGCAGAGATGGACATGCGTGGTCGATGCAGTGCCGGACAAAAGGTTCTCGCTAGCATTATCATTCGTCTTGCATTGGCCGAATGTTTTGGGGTCAACTGCGGCCTTATTGCACTAGATGAGCCAACGACAAATCTGGATAGGGACAACATCCGCTCTTTGGCCGAGTCGTTGCATGACATTATCAAGACCCGTCAGCAACAGGCCAACTTTCAGTTGATTGTCATCACTCACGACGAGGAGTTTCTGCACCATATGCAGTGCGGTGATTTCAGTGATTATTACTATCGAGTCTCGCGAAATGAACGGCAAAAGTCCATTATCGAGAGACAATCCATTGCTGAGGTATGTAGCATTGCGTTATTATTTGAATTCCTACTTACTGACTCTTCATAGGTCATGTGAGCCTCTCATTTTCGTGTCTTGAAAGTCCCAAGTACCTAGTTCTACTACCCGTCTCATTGCAGTGAGCTTCCCGGAATTGCAGCATGATGTTCCGGTATACATAACAAAGTCTAGGTTTCCTCAATTTCAATTTGTAAGACGGTGAATTTCGTAAACTAGTAATAATATCAAGATCATTGGTATCTAATATGCCAAAGTACCAAATGCCTAGGCGTTATGTCTGGCCCTAACATCGTGCCCTAAAAGCTTATCGTTATCGAGTGTCTGGGAGGGGGAAGTTTGTCAAAGATGCAAACAAGCACCTGCGATGCTAACAGTAAGTAGCGGGACCTGACCTCAGCAATTGATCTTCCACTTCGACGACACCAAATCTCTGACGTGAAATGGAATCGGCTTCTCGCATCTAGAAATAGCACTTTGAGATCTTGCTTGACGACAGAATCTATACAAGTTCTGATCCTATTAGTGCCATCACTCATCAACCAAGCGGATACCCACCCCAACTTGGATGACATCGTTGTGTACATCTCTTCAGGATCGAGAAGCAACATCAACAAAACCAGAACCATGGATCAAGCGCATTCCAGGGCTCTCGAGGCCCTACAGCCATTTATACATCTGACGACATCATCGACAGCCTCCTCCCCTCGGTTCGTTGCCAATATTATCGCGAACGCTACTTCTCACCCAAACACATACGTCTTCGCCGAGTTGTTAGAAACCTCAGCTGTGCAGGCTCTGGGCTCAGCGGATACCCCTGAAGAATTTCGCGGTTATTTGAAGCTGCTTGAGATATTTGCTTGGGGCACATGGCAGGAATACCAAGGTAGGTTCAATCCATCTGATGCTTCGAAGGGCGTTACAGTTTATTGACAATATCACAATGCTATAGAAACGCCCGGCTTACCGACTCTCAATGATCAGCAAGCCTTGAAACTGCGTTTACTATCCCTCCTCTCCTTGTCAAGCACCATCCGCCCGCTCACGTACCAGGCATTGATGCAAGCGCTCTCAATCCCCACCGCAGTTAAACTCGAGTCACTCGTCACAACCGCAATTTACTCGTCCTTGATAGTGGCAAGACTTTCACCGGCTACAAATCCACCGACAGTCAACGTAACAGCTGTTGCACCGCTACGAGATGTCAGACCCCAAACCGTGTCTACTTTGATCTCAATCCTGTCTGAATGGGAAGGTCGCTGCGGAGACATTATCAATGGCATTGAAGCTGAGATCGCAAAGATCAAAGACCAGACTGTCAGAAACAGCATTTTGAAACGTCAATGCACACTCGCCCTTGAAAAGGCCATCGCTGCCGATATGGACGGCGGAGAAGACAACACCGGTTTGCGCAGTGGTGGGAGAAATACCAAACATAGTCTTCGTGGTGGCAGAACTGCCGGTGGAATCAGATTCGGTGGTTCTTCTACAGGGGGCAATATCAGTAACAAGCGCGAATACAGTGATGATCAGGATGATGATGACGATGATGGGTATTTTGACAATGCAAGTGATGGGGGATTAGATGTGTCTGGTTCCCGTATGGAGATTGATGAAGGTGCAGGCGCTAGTAGAGGAGCGACCAGACAGACGAAGAGATTGCTTGGTGTAGGTAGGAAGACGTGAGTCGATGTGTCTCTGGAATGTCCATTGAACTCACCCTTCACGCGAGAGTGCCACTACCTACTTAGATTATGAATGACATTTTATGACCCCAACAACTGCCAGGAAACTAAAGCTTGAATTCGCGGTATGAATTAGGTAGGAATCCAACAAGACTCAATACCAGACCTAGTTGGCAGTAATGCTTCTACATACATAGACAAAGGAAACGTTGACAAGCACCGAGTACAGAGACTCCACTTCAGAGAATAAAACAAGGAAAGATCGCAGGCAGGGGACAGAAATTAATATCACGCTGAAAATCTGGACTATTATAAATGCAACGCTTCTGCATCAATCGAGGGAAGATGAAAGAGAAAAAGGTATATCCGCATAAACGCCACAGAAATCGACTAAAGACCGCACGACAGACGACTCGTCAAAGCATAATACCCGGCACAAATATGAAAAGTACACTCAACGCAGCAGCGATGAGAAGGGCATATGCCAACGTCACCAAAGCACGCTGGTTGAGTAGGGAACGAACATATGGTTCTTGTATCCTCTGCCAATTCATGAACGTATACTCGCTGAATCCAAGTAGAGCCATGAATGGGTCGATTTTATATTGGTATGTCGTGATAAAGTAAGATGCCACGACAAAGGGAAGTATGACCTTGAGTAGTTGTTAGTGATCACCAGCAGGAATCATTGAAAGATTTGACTTACCCAGCACCGTGTTGCTCTCGATTTATCAGTCAAAACAACATAAAACGACGCCCAGAAAGCCCCCAAAAAGCTGATTAATCCGAATGCTAGACGCGACAGAATGCTGAGAGGTACAAGATTCCCAAGAGCTTTGGCCTGCAAAAATCCCGGAAAAGCGTCTCGCTCCATTGCCTGAAAGACGTAATCTTTGGCTTGATCAAATACTTCTGGGTCATCTCGGCCGTCACGTTCCACCATATCGATAATCGAAGTCAACATTTCCTCTGGTAAGACGATTTCACGCTCCGAATCGGGAATGAGATATGTGTACAAGATCTTTTCTGCACTTCGACGGATATCTGTTCGCGCCACTGTGTGACCGGGAGAATTTGAGGAGTCGTAGCGGGTTTCGGGTGTAGAATTCATAAAACTAGGACGCGGTGGTCTTTCCTCTGACGAGTGCTTCTCCGAGTGTCCACTTATTGGCGGCGAAGGCTGCGATGGGTTCTCTGAACGTAGAAACGCTGAGAGCCTGGAGTCTGCATCTTTCTCATTCGAAGCAGAAAAGTATCCCGACGGGCCGGCTTCAGTTGGAATGTCTGGAATATTATCGAGAATGGTTGATGACGGTCTGCTACCCCCTTCGGGTGTGGCTACGAGGACTGAACGGCGTAGTTCTCGGACGTAGTGACGGCAAAGGGACATGTGCTGTGAGACATCGAGCCTAGTATTCAATATTAAAACGTGTAAAAAGACCAGGGATTGACCGCAATATCGTACCAGAAATCCAAATAGTCAACTGATCGCTGTTGGTCTCGCATGTAGATGTAGAATGAGAAAAGATCGACAGGAGCGAGTGTGTAGCGACTGAGAACCTCGAAAAGGGTCGGCAAGCGCTTTCGCTTTTCTAGATCAAGGCTTGTTAAGGACACCATCGTTGAAGTAGGTAGGGTGTGTTGATCAGTGAATATGCGAAAGTCTGATGCTGGTTGACGATTCTTGATCTACCGAGTCAATGGCTGCCAAAACATGCTACCACAAAGGTTCAAGTTGAAATAGACAGATCGATAAATCGGCGAGAAGATATTTTCGACTGTCGGAGAGAGTGAAAATCGAATTAAGTCGTGCAGTCTTCAAAACAGCAAGCTCCCTGGAGGGTAGTCTCGTGTAAGATCGCTTAGGAGCCAGGAATTGCTAATACGAAAGGAAACGCAAAAGTCGCAAGCGCACAGCGCTGTGAATTGAACTACCAACGACCGAATACTGGCTGCCGGGGGAGATGCCTTTAGAACTGGACGGACTGGTGTAGACAATAGTAAGTTGAGTGTCGTTGAGATTGCTCCAAGGGGTCACGTTGAAACATTAATCCGAAATTGAAGTCTTGGCAGGGCGACACGGGCCAGCCCGCACGTGGAGCTTCAGCCTTCCAGCCACATGAAGTCATCTACGTCCTGAATAGTTATTTACAATAATCCACTTGGAGATATTGAATTTGGTCATAATTATATCTTTATTGGTGAGTTCAACTACATGTCAAAATGCAGCAACGAAAACGCCATAACGCCTGGCGTAAATCCTAATCATGCGGTGGTATAATGCGATTTGAAACAAATATCTTCATGATGAGCTGAACTGTCTAGTGATTCTCCGCAAGATGCTGCGAAAGTCAGTAATGTCCATAGAATATAAATTGGGTAGGAATATGAGTATACTTACCGACCACTCGGGAATGTTCTTGATTTGTTGCCACATAAACTTCTCAAGCTTATTGGCGCTCTTCGCGTAAGGTGTGGTCTCGTTGTTGTATCTTCGGCAATTATCGAATATCAACATGGCGTCCCTGATAAAATCCTGTGGAGTAGGATAAAGGTCCTTCTCGTGCTTCTCTTCCATAGTCGACAGATCCATGGGCTCTTTGATCACTTCGTAGTAGTCCGGTACTTCATCTCTGTTGACGGGTTGTACGAATGGCCAAGCGGCAGAGTGATTCTGCATATCATTGAGGAGATGAAGTAGCTGGTTATAATTGGGTCCATGTCGAGGTTGTCGTGCGAGTTCATCCATATCAGGAGACCAACCCGATTCCTTGATCGCGGGAATACTAAGAGGATCAATCTTGGTTACACCATTTTTCCATTCCTTTGGAGGCGAGTGAACGATATGCGATCTGCTGAATGCCCGGATTTTCGCATGCACAGCCTCCTTTTGCTTGAGGATCATGCGGCCCGACTCTAAATATCGAATCTTAGGTAACATCGTGCACTGCATGATTGTCCCACCTTCGTAATCCTTGATGTATCCCATCCATATTGATTTGTCCAAGCTTATTTCCTTCGTAAATCCTTGCTTTTTAAAGTAGCCAATGGCGTAATTATCCGCGTACGTAAGGAAATGCATCACATCCGAAGTTGCTTTCACGTAATCCTATATTCCGTCAGCCATGTCGCTACAATGTTTTCGAAATACATACCTTTAAATGCGACATTAAATGTGCACCATATCCCTTGACCTGCTGATCTGAGGAGATGGCGCAAAACACGATTTCGGCGAATTTGCGGCCTTTGAACGGACGATATGTGATACCGCTACAGATAGTTAGCAGACTCGCATCTAAAGGGGTTTGCGTGCATCGCATGGAAACGTACCCTACGACCTCCAGAGGGTGCTTTACAATGGCAATGGAAAGATGCGTCCTGTCGTAGACTAATCGCGCAATATAATCCTTTGGCATCTTCGGAAGCTGCTTCTGAAAAATGCACTTCAATCCGGTGAGAATGATGAAGCTCTCCCTCTGCCCGTCATTGTTCACTACTCGGAATTCAATTTTGCCTTCTTTCTCTTCGATCACGGCGGGCTGGATAGTATAAACGGGTTAGCTTCAGGCTATGAATCCAGGTACTGTTGATTGGACGGACCTTCTCAGGATATGGGACGAGTTTGAGCGGTGGCTTCTCGACTGAACCTTCCTGTAAGGGTACGAGAATTAGAACAAGTGAATTATTAGTCATTCAGAGATAGTCATACCTTCGTCTCACTCTCATTGAATGACTCTGTCCGAGCCTTCTTACTCCGGTGTCTGGAATCTGGGGTATCGGCTTCTTCCGAAGCCTTGCGCTTCATATCTAGAACCCGTTAGATCATGCGCAAACCAACCGCATGAGATGATCTCTGAATTGTCCTTACCTTCACTAACAGATGACATGTTTGCGACCAGAATACTGATGAAGTTGTCGTTGGCAACGATGAACTGAATAACAGTTGACGCCACTCTGAGCCAGTCGCGCATACCCAAAGGGCGGTTTAGTCTCGGAGCTACGATCGGAGATTACTCAGCGGAAATACTATTTATCCGGTGTCACCTTGCCAAGAGGACAGCTTGTGTATTGACAGCTCTCTCTATGGTGTGAGCAATTGACCTCGTCGTCCTTCTTGTCACTCCAGCTCAATTAATCATTGAAGCTTTACTCTTGCTTACTACCATTCAAGTCCCTGAGGTGATTAGCTCGTCATTCAATCCAAACCGATGTCTTTAAATACTCTCTGGGAGACGTCCAAAGCTCCGTATTACCCCATTGTCGCAAAGGAGGGCCAGTTCACAGTTGGCTTTGCTTTGCTATTCATCGGTAGGCACAATGAGAGAATGCAAATAAGTCTTTTCTAACAGCATTCGTAGCTCTTCTTCTTACTGGTCTTTTCGGTTTGAGTGAGTTCTACTCCCTGGATCCTCTGCAATCAGGAACTAATTCATCATCCATAGATCGGACATTTCTGAACATACCTCTTCTCGGTGTCCCGGCGTCTCTTGCATTCGGGTATGCTGTATATATTCTCCATGCATTTGTCATCGATCGCTAACGCTATGAAGTTTCGGAGCTGTGTTCATGATTTGTGCCGTTGGTGTCTACGTTTAATCTCATCCAGAAAATCTACCTCAGCCACGCATGATCATGTACTATAACCGGACGATTGGGGAACTCTAGATTGCTAGGGATGTACACTTATTTCTTTGAAATTGAACTTCCAATTTCTTTCTAAACGGACTTTACTTCGTCCCTTGAAGCTCACTTGTCGGCCTCCGTTACTCCTACCGCCGACATGGAGCCTATCTTTTCTGCTGTTACCAACGACACCTATCATCTCTACACTCTTCTACGTTGTATCGGATTCGCTGAAAAGGCTCGCATACAAATAACGCCCGATGGGATCCGATTTTCTGTAGAGGAAAGCCGAGTGATGCAGGGGCTCGTGTTCCTCGACCGTACCCTGTTCACCACTTATACGTTCAACTCTACTCCTCAAGATCGCAACAGTCATGCTTTAGATGATGAGGAACCTGCTGGAGACGTCTATCCTCAGTTCCTGATCTCACTTACAGCTCTCCTGGAAACTCTTCAGATTTTCGGCATCGGTGACGCTAGTCAAGCATCTTTCCCTTCAAATGGCTCTATACAGAACACTCCCGCCGGTGCTTTCACTAGTCCAGCTTTGTTACTTGGCCGCACTTGTGCCTTGCGATACTCAAGCATTGGCAGCCCACTCTGCATCACACTTTCTGAATCCGGTATCACTACAACTTGCGAACTCACTACCTACGAATCAGACGATCCCTCATTTGGGTCTGAAGCTGGTGAAGTGGACATACCGCTGCAACGTGACGCCATTATCATGAAAATCATCATGCGATCCGCATGGTTATACAACGCTATCAATGAATTGGACGCCACAAACCCGACTGTTCTCACAATTTCAGCCTCTTCAAAAAATGCACCTTTTCTCACACTATCCGGCTCTGGGGGAGCTTTCAGCGAGTCCAGCGTCAAATTCTCGACAGATAAGGAGAACGTGGGAAGCGAAGTCAATTACAAAACTTTGGAAGACAACGAACCACCCAAACGAGGTAAAATTGCTCCAGCAGTGACCGAAACCTTCCAAGTAAACCCTCCGTCCTCCATGGGATCTACAGTGAAGGAGAACTATCGCTTTGCTCTCGTTCGTAAAGCATCCCGGGCTATGGCTGCTGCGAGTAAAGTAAGTATACGAGGGGATATCCAAGGTGTACTGAGTTTGCAATTCATGATTGAGCTGGGTGGTGGAAGCAACGAGGGTGATGCCGGTCTTACAAGAGGAGGGAATGCCAGGCATGTAAGTTTTGTTGATTTCCGATTTGTGCCTCTTGTTGGTCAGCAAGATGAGGATCAAGAAGATGGTGATGATGTAAATTCAGAGGGTTGGTAGATCTCAAGCTGCTTTATGATTTGACGCTCATGGCATTGTATTAATGCAAGGTCTCCTGTTGCAAGCTCCGTAGGTAAGCATACCTCTAGTAGTGAGTAGATACATACTGTGGCTTATAAGGGCCTGTTCGGTTCGGCAGCTACTTTACTCACCCACGACCACAGCAGGTCTGGCATTTTCTGTCATATCTAGTGTCTGTAAAGCTAAGACTGGATGATTGACGTAAAGAATTCACTTGTTGAAACTCATCTGAAAGGTCTGGAATACTCTGCGAAGTGCGCTGCTTTGGCGACGTAAAATGAGAGCTAACCGGATTAGGCAACTCCTCGATCGATATTTCCGATGCACGTGATCATCGGAATGCCGGATCGCTCAGCTGCTTAGTAAAGAACTTGACGCATTCAGGTCACATCGGGCTGGTCAGCAACAACTAACACTATCAATACGTACGGAGTTACTAATACCGTCTTTCTCTCCTCTTCTTCCCTTCTAATTAGGACCCAGACCGAGAAGCCATGAGGTGTCTATTCTGTTGACCCCAAACTACATCATAATGAGGATCTTATCAGATCTATAAGGTGCGGTACCTAAATCCTCAATCATTCTGAAGCACTTTCTGAGACCTCCTGCGTGTCGTCGACCTCCCACCAACGTCTCATAAAGACGGCAACGATTATTCGCTTTTACGTATCGCTTTGATGCGTTAAATTTTCCGGCCTCCCTTGTGCGCTTTCGAAAATCTCCTCTCTACAAGTATTTCACATTTTATCGGCGATATGACTACGTTACCCTCAGAGGCCACGACTGTCAGCGACAGTCGCACGACCTCTCTACATATGGCAACGACCACACTGAAGGTAGACGGCATGACCTGCGGCGCCTGCACATCTTCCGTGGAAAACGCATTCAAGGATGTCGACGGCGCAGGCGAGGTTTCGGTCAGCTTAGTTATGGGTCGTGCCGTTGTTAACCATGATCCAGCTGTGTTGCCGCCTAGCAAAGTTGCCGAACTGATTGAAGATAGAGGATTTGATGCTGAAGTTCTGTCTACGGATACACCCCAAACATCTGACAATAGCGATAAATCTGGTACACAGTCGTCTGTGACGACTATTGCCATAGAAGGAATGACGTGCGGTGCTTGCACCTCCGCTGTCGAAGGGGGACTCAAGGATGTCGCTGGTATATATTCCGTCAACGTATCGTTGTTATCGGAACGCGCCGTGGTTGGGCATGATCCCGCCATTGTTACTGCAAGTCAAATTGCCGATATCATCGAAGATCGAGGATTTGGCGCATCAGTACTGGACACAAAGTCGGTGGAACCTCCCGAACGGCCGCTATCCGACCATTCAACTCAAATGATGTCTACGACAGTCGCAATAGAAGGCATGACATGCGGTGCATGTACATCGAGTGTCACGAATGCGTTCAAGGATATCGAGGGCTTGATTCAATTTGATATCAGTTTACTCGCTGAGCGTGCCGTCATAATACATGATCCTCAAGTTTTACCCTCGGAAAAGATCGCTTCCATTATTGAAGATGTAGGATTCGACGCTCGTGTCCTATCCTCTATACCCCATTTGGGAGTCTCTCATAAGACCTCTAAGACGGTACGACTCACGCTATACGGTCTAGATGGCGCTGTTTCCGCATCGTCACTACAAGAAACTCTAATGCAGAAACCTGGAATATCATCAGTCTCCATTGATATCTCGACATCTCGTGCCACTATTGTACACAGTTCTACGACTATTGGTATTCGGTCTATAGTAGAAGCGATCGAGGAGGCCGGTTATAATGCATTGCTCTCTGAATCTGAAGATAATAATGCACAGCTCGAATCTCTTGCAAAGACCAAGGAAATACAAGAATGGAAACGGGCGTTTTTGTTCTCTGTGTCATTTGCAGTGCCGGTGTTCTTCATCTCAATGATCTTTCCCATGTGTCTGAAACCTCTCGATTTCGGCGGATTCCGTATCCTGCCAGGTCTCTATTTGGGCGACGTTGTTGCCCTAGGACTGACAATACCCGTTCAGTTCGGTATTGGTATGCGATTCTACAAGAGCAGTTTCAAATCGCTCAAACACCGGTCTCCCACCATGGATGTTCTCGTCATGTTAGGCACTTCGGCCGCTTTCTTCTTTAGTGTCTTTTCAATGCTCGTGGCCGTTCTCAGCAGCCAACACAACCGCCCAGGCACTGTTTTCGACACGAGTACTATGCTGATAACCTTCATTACACTTGGTCGATGGCTAGAAAACCGAGCCAAAGGTCAAACCTCAAAAGCACTATCTCGGTTGATGTCGCTTGCTCCCTCTATGACTACCATCTACGAAGACCCCATAGCAGCGGAGAAGGCAACTGAAGAATGGAACGAAAAGAACGATGGCGCTACGTCTCACGCTGGACAGACTGGCTTGAAAGCAGTGCCAACTGAACTCCTTCAAGTCGGAGATGTCGTACTCTTACGCCCGGGAGATAAGGTTTCTGCTGACGGAGTAGTCATTCAAGGCACAAGCTATGTTGATGAGAGTATGATTACAGGCGAGGCTCATCCGATCAACAAGAAGAAAGGTGACGCCGTCATTGCTGGTACTGTTAACGGGGCTGGCTCCCTTGAATTCAAAGTGACTCGTGCTGGTAGCGATACTCAATTGAGTCAAATTGTGAAATTGGTGCAGAACGCTCAAACGAGTCGCGCTCCGATTCAGCGCATGGCAGACATTGTCGCAGGCTATTTCGTTCCTATTATCATTCTTCTCGGATTGACCACGTTCGTCGGCTGGATGATTCTGAGTCATGTATTGCCCCATCCACCCAAGATATTCAATAAGCCCGAGAACGGTGGTAAGATAATGGTCTGTCTGAAGCTGTGCATCTCAGTCATTGTCTTTGCATGTCCCTGCGCTCTGGGCTTGAGTACTCCCACTGCCGTCATGGTGGGAACTGGTGTTGGAGCAGAAAACGGTATTTTGTTCAAAGGTGGCGCTGCTCTAGAAGCCGCCACCAAGGTCAATCACATCGTCTTTGACAAGACCGGAACATTGACGGAAGGTAAAATGAGCGTCGCTGAAATTAAACTGGAACCAACCTGGAAGAGCAATGATTGGCGCCGCAAGCTTTGGTGGCAGATCGTTGGTCTCGCAGAGACTAATAGCGAACACCCAGTAGCGAGAGCTATTGTTGCTGCGGCAAAGCAAGAGATGAGTTTGATGAAGGACGATACTCTGGATGGAACCATAGGCACCTTTGATGTAACCGTTGGGAAGGGTATATCAGCCACTGTCGAACCCATGTCAAGTGTGGAACGGACTCGGTATCATGTTCTTATGGGCAATGCTATCTTCCTTCGCTCCAGCGGTGTGAACGTTCCAGAGTCTGTTGATCAAACTACACTGAAAGATACTGCTTCCGCTGGATCAAAAATGGACGAGTCTGCAGGATTTACCCAGATTCATGTTGCCATCGACGGTCATTACACAGGTACAATTTCGCTACGGGACGTGCTCAAACCTAGTGCTGTTGCAGTTGTTGCAGCACTACATAAGATGGGGTATCATGTCTCAATTGTTACTGGTGATACCTACCCTGCCGCGTTGGCAGTCGCGCGCGCTCTCGGCATTCCCAAGGACTCCGTCAAGGCAGGCGTTGTCCCCAGTGGAAAGAAGAAAATCGTTGAGTCCTATCAAGCTGCAGGCGACAAAGTGGCCATGGTTGGCGATGGAATCAACGACTCGCCAGCTCTGGCAACTGCATTGGTCGGTATAGCCCTCGCTTCCGGAACCGACGTCGCCATGGAAGCCGCCGACGTGGTTCTCATGCGATCCGATGACCTCCTCGCCGTCCCAGCAAGTTTATCACTTGCTCGCACCATCTTCAACCGTATCAAGTTGAACCTGATCTGGGCCTGCGTCTACAACATAATCGGTCTCCCATTCGCCATGGGGATTTTCCTACCATTCGGCGGTGCACCCTTACCCCCAATGGCTGCGGGCGCTGCAATGGCAGCATCCAGTGTATCCGTGGTAGGAAGTAGTCTCCTTCTCAAATTCTGGAAACGACCTGGTTGGATGGAAATTGAGCAACTTGAGGAAGACGCCAATTCAGGATTCACCAAGCCTCCTACTTCATCTTCCACGGCATCAAGATGGAAAGCAAGTCCATTCAATGGTGCTGGTAGTAACAGACACGGCACTGTCTCTCGTCTTCGCACCGCGTTCACAAAACTTGTGTTTGGTAGACAATCCAAACAAATCCGAGAAGAGGAGGGATATGTACCTCTGCAAACAGTTGAGGTTTAGACATTGAATTATGCATAGGGTTCTGATCCGCTCACGTAGCAGGCTTCTTTAGAGCTGCGTTGTTTATTTTTCCATTTTTCAAGTTGCATATGTTTTGTTTTCTTTTTCAGGTTTATTATTACTCTAGCATGATACCATTTATCATTTAGCACGAATTACTATGTTATGTCTACGAACGGAATATGAAAAACTATGAGACTTTTTCCAAGGTTCCCTTCGTAAGATTATTCAGGGGGCCTAGTCAACTTAACGTACTCCACAGGTCATCCAGACACCGCCCAAAATGCTCGCTTACGCAGCGCGTACATAGCGATTGCAAATTTGAACACGCAACAGTCGCTTCGAATCATCATAAAAATGCCTGGAAGTCCGTTTTTCAAGAGAGAATGATTGAGCAAGCAATATCTGGCCTCAAAAACAAATAATAAATGGTCAGCGAAATGCTACAAATGTTTTTGGAGTATCAAAATCTATATTGCATAGAAGACTTTATGGTGTCAAACCACAAGCTGTTGCTGATGCTATAATTTCGATGAGACAGGCTTTGCAATAGGTCTTATAGCAACTACTAAAGTTATTACTGGCGCTCAAACTACCGGGGATCCTGAACTTATTCAACCTGGCTAGCGAGAATGGGTTACTAGCATTGAAACAGTCGAAGCAACTGGTGAAGTCTTACCGTCTTCAAAGCACAGCACAAGCAGAAGGATCGGTTCAATGAGAGTGTCAGAATACCAGATCAGCGTATCAATTGCAGTCCTAGTGGGTGTGGACTACGGATGAGATCACGACTTGGAATTCAGACAGTTGACAACTGGAATTTTCTAGTGGCATTTCCACGTGTCCGGATGGAGGCCTTCAAACCTAACACTATTCGCAGTGGATTTGCGATTTCAGGTTTAGTGCCTCTTGATCCCCATCCTGTCCTTCAAAATCTTAATATTCAAGTTGAAGGTCCGACGAAGGCTCCAACGCTACCAGGCAGTCTACAGGGATACTCAGACTTTCAAAATACACCCTATAATTCTCAACAGTTGCAACGCAAGGAAAGATCGATCAAGAAGATAATTAATCAATGTTGTCTTCATATTGAACGTATATATACCGGCCGTGAATGGAGGCTGCCATTACCTAGGTATGGTTCTCCCTTTGCTCTCGTTATTGTCGGATACATTTTTTGAAGTGAAGTAAAAGATTCTCGGCGTAGCGCTCAATAAGAATTATGTGAAGCATAGAACTTAAGATATACATCACAAAGATAATGGCCAGGCACTGTGTATACAGAATCAGTGTACGTAGTATGTAGCCCTATTGATGTGGGTCTCCCTCCAACATAAGGTTCACGGGCCGTAGATAACTAAACCCGCTTAGCAAGCCTCGTAAAGACAGGAGCCAACCGGAAACGTACACTGTGCGCTCCGTTGAGTTCGCTCACTCTAGCGCTAACCGACTACGATTTAAAACCTACGTAGCATAATTGGTTTAGTCAATGTTAACCGCTATGGCTTAGATTCCAGAGTTTCAGTGGTGTCCTCTCGAGGTCCAGTAGACTAAATAGGGCCAATGGGCTTTCCCTCGATTTCCCCTCCGAATACAGCTTGTCTCCTTTCATGAATTTCATTCCTTAACTCTCTATGACCATCTATAAATGACGCGACCTACTGATATTCCTGCCAAAAGACTTCTGTCTCTCGTACATAGTCAGTCTGTTCTAGAGGCAATTCCCAGTCTTCTCGGTGGGATTCGGCTATAGCGAGATAAGGTCCCATCGTTTCTTCTAAACTCCCACGCGGTGTCCCAGGAAAGTGAACAAGTAGATCCCCTCGATGTACTTGTAGATGCTGAGGTGATTTGGGATTGAGCCCTTCTCCATTGGCCAGCCCCATATACGCGTTGAACCACCGAAGTGGGCAGTAAACGACGGATTTGGCGAAATAATCATTTGTGTCTAGTATGTTGGCCAAAGCAGACTGATCTGGCCAGAAGAGCTCCACGTCTGTATTCATAATTGGATATGCTATCGCGGCTGACAGCAGCTCAACTGACCAGGGATGGACGCGGATAGGAAAGACCCCGTTATTCATGCCATTCCAATCTTTTGTGAGTAGCAGGTGGGCATTTAAGACGTGGGGTGGAGGTAGAAATGTCTCCAGCGGTAGGTTAGGGTTTATGAGTACCGTGTCGACATCGGTCCAGCTGGATTGATAAAGTTAAATTAGTACTCTAGCAGTTTCAGACTCCTGTTCCTAGATTGGCCCTGGAAACTCACAATAGCCATTGTAAACGCCGCTCCGGCGGTTTCTCCAATTCCTGTAACAGTACAGAGAGTAGAATGGCGTATTTATTCCAGACCCCATCCAAAATCGGTTTTCGCAAAATAAAATGAGGGTAGCCAAAGCGACGACTGTGTACCCTGTGCGTATTTATAGCTTTCTCGTAAATCGAGTTGTTGCCGTACACCATTGTCACTTTGCCAACTTATGGTCGCGGTTGATGCATTCCTCTTCCGGTAATGTTTGCTGTAAAATCAGTCAGCCGACGGTTTGGTGTAGGAAATGCTGCCGTAAGTATACGTACAATAATGTAGAGAGAAGTTGAATAGCCAGTAAATTCCGGCTAAGGTTATGCTCACGCGCAGGAACATTCCAAACTTGGGGTGTAGGTGTCGATCTGTGTGTACTGTCATGATGGATGCTTCGAAAAGTTGTCATTTTTCTTTGAAAGAAGTGGCAAGCCATGATTCTTAAGAACGTGAAAAGGGGTCGAAAAGATCAGATTGTTGCCGAACTCCCAACCCTAGCAAGCAATAATAAAGGACAAGTTGCATGAGTCCTATAAGTGAGCGAGAGGCTTTCGCTACTCTAAAAATATAAAATGATTATAATCAATCTAGCAAGAACAGGGAGAAATGAATTTATTAGGTTGGCCCAATAGAGAACAGGGATGCTCATTTCACCACTAACCGCCATCACTGGGTAGATGCTTGTAAATACTAATTATAGGCTTGGAGATCTGACGTCCTTGTAGTTCGCATTTATCGCAGCTGGAGACAATGAGTTCATCGACTCTCGAGAGACGTCTACGCGCTCAATCTAGCAGCAGCGGCCCGTCCCTTACACATGAAACAAGTGCATGCAAAGAAGATCACCAATCCATAGGTTATTGCTCAACCTCCTCGGGTCTTCATAAGCCATTCACGAACCTACCCAAGTAACTCTCCCCTACAGTGCCTCTAACTGCTATGATATCCATGGATCCCTACCAGGAAATCAGCTAATTTCTGCAGCCAGCCTGTAACGCGTCTCAATATCACAAGTAAGCCATTCTGAGTCAGTGATAACGTTCCACTACTTTGACATGATAGAAAAATTATTCGGCTTCAGCATCCCAGATCCGTTCCCCCTCGAACCACGTTTACAAGACCTTTACGTTGCGAAAGTCCGCAATTGTATCCTCATTTCCGCTAACAACATCTCTATCTAGCATGAGATTTACCCGTTTTCCAACCTCTATTGTGTCACTATTGTTGCTCAATCCTACAGCTTCTAGCCCATGTTTAGTCAACATCTCAAGAACCACTTTTGAGGCTGTTGTGAGAGGAGAAGGAGAGTTTTTCTTGAAGGAAGCCTCCCCTCAACCCAATCAGAAACCTCTCTCAGTCTTGTGAACCTTTCGTAGCAGACTAGGAACACCGCAAGAACCCCAATCTGACCCAATCGTGATCGGGAAAACACCAGATTGTAACAACTGGACAAAATTCCAGTTCATGGTTGCTCTATTTGCTGGCGTAAGAGGATGATCGAAGAACATTGCGGGAGAAAGCTCTGCAGTAACGCTATGCTTTTTAAAATATTGGAGATCATCTAAAGTGTCTCGTTAGATCCATGTATTTGGTAAATAAAGCGGGAAAGACTTTACCTGGGTGTATGTTGTTACAGTGGGCTATCTCGTGTCTGATTCTCCGATTTGTGGTGTCTGCTTTTCTCACTGCCTCTATTGCCTCAAAAGCAAGTCTTGTGCTGCCTCGATCAGTTGCATGCAGTTTGACTGTCATACACGTGGGTCGAATTCCTTGATGGTTTCGACGACATCATTTGTCTTGTTCAATGTTTCCAGCACTTGAAAATAAAGGCGGTAGTGGCACGCCGTCGAGCAAAATCTTAACAAAGCTCGTACGCACATGTTTCGTCGCAAGTTTGGGAGTTTGATCTATCAATGCTTTGAATGAGCCTTCTCGCTCATTGGCAAGGAACTTGGAAGCGTAAACAGAGTGTGCTGCAATATCGAGTTTAAGGGTATTATCCCGGTCTAGTTCACGAAGAGCATGTAGAATGACAGTATTAGTTGCTGCCTCTTGACATGAAGTCACACCCACTTGGTGCAAGCGTCATATTACCTCGGTGATTGCTCGTTTTGCGTGGGCTATATTTGGATTCCCCTTCGCCAGCATTGCCTTATTCTTGGCCAGCTCCTCCCTGTATCATGATTGGTGTATCTGGGAAATCTTAGTCAAGTGAGGCGCGATCGAAATCGGGGATAGCAAACGTATTGCCCACAATCTGTCTTGAAAGGCATGCTGATAAGCACAAGCACACTGGTCTTCCTGTATCCGAGCCACGATGTTCTCTATCGTGGTATCATCAGCTAGGTTAATACCACTTAGATACGATATGCCTGCAGAAAGTAGATGAACATGTGCATCGTGAATTCCCGGCATGAATACGACCATGAAGATTGTATGTAATGATGCCATAAGCTCTCGCAATTCGGAGAACCTCATTCCTTGTTCCCACCGTCGAAAATGTGCCTTGCGGTGTGACAATGAAATCCTCTGCCACCTGGCGGGAATCGTTCAAGGTGTAAACTTTGCCATTGTAATAAGCGACTGATTGTTCAATAGCTGTGGTCATTGTTCAAGGACTGAGAAGTTAGCAAAACAGATTGGAATCGGGGACCATTTCAAATCAAGCAGGGTGTCTCTAAGCAAGAATACCAGGTAGTGTTAACATCCTTTTGCGTCGAAGTCTTGTGAAACGCTTGCATCAAAAAGCCCGTCCCTGGGTGAGCTCAACTTAGTTGCACAGACTCGGTAATGGTAGCTGACTTATGGTGATGCCATTTCTATGGAGATTTGTCTATAAAGGATCCAAGATTCCAGACAGCGGTGTTTAGAGAGACGGCCACACATACAGAAAATTTCATGTTGTTACTGTTAATGTATTCGTTCTAGTGTAACCGTGCTTCGACATTTGTACCTGACAATTTCATGAGTGAGCCTTGAGCCAGGCTGAGCACGACGGTACGCTGACCGGTTTAATGTTGCATATATCGATTATGTAAATACTCAACCAACCCATATAACTAGTTAAGTTACATCAAAGTTTATAAACAATTATCAAACTCCCAGAAGGTAGAATCAAAATCCGGACCCAGTACACCGCCTTAACAGATTCAAGACAGATTGAGCGAAGAGATCAAATGAATGAATGTCTGATATATACGTTTATCCTTTTTCCAATCCAATGTTATAAAGCATAATTATAGTATAATTTGAGAGGCTTATTTAGTAGCCTTCTTAGGCGGTGGTGGGAAGTAAGGTTGGTCCTGTTGCTGCTGCTGCTGTTCACCTGTTTCCGAGATGTTGACGGAGACATGGCCGCCATTTGCGAAAGAAGACGTTTTGGGTGTGCCCCAATTCCGGAAGGGAAGATCACTAGATGATGAAGGAGATGGGTCGTTGAGAGACTGATACTGTCCCTGGCTGTGGAAGAAATGAGTCTGATGGTAGGGTGAGGCTATAGGTCCTGGAGTGTATATAGCTCCAGGCATGGCTACAGGAGGGAAAGTGGGCGAGTTAATGATCTCCTCGTACTCGCGCAGGGCACGATCTTCAGCTTCCTTTTCTTCGCGTTTCTCTTGCTGGCGCCTTCGCCATGCTTCTTTCTCCTCTTGGCTCACGAAGCATGACATGATTGCTAGCACTGTCTCGGCAAAATAAATGACAACGGCGATGACTGTCATGGCGAACAAAGCTTTTGCCTGTTGGCAGTAACCGATGTTCGAGGGACTATAAGCAACTTTGCATGACTTGGTAATGTACCAAGGTGGACCATGTTGGGGATGCCGCTCATCTGTCGTGTCGGAGCCAGCTTGAAAACATGCGGCAGCGACATAGAGAATAAATAGGGCGCCATGGACGAAAGCCGAGATTGGAGGATAGAAGAAGCGGAGTACGTGGATGGGAACTTTGGTTAAGATGATGAAAGTGCTGAGAACACCGATGACAAGGTCGTAGTTGTACAGCCTGGATTTATTAGTTAAACCAAGTCTTCCGGAAAACGGAACCTTAACATACACCGAACTCCAGACAATTGGCACTTTGTATGATTCGCCATTTGTCAAGGCATAGACAATCTGGTTGGGTGCGCTATTGAAGCCGTTGTTTGCTCCGTCTTGCCATAATTTGGTCGTATATGTATCATGTGAAGCGATACCGGTTAGAATGAGGATAGGCAGAATAAACGGAATCTCGGCGATCATCAAGTACAGCGCCAAATAATGGTGCTTATACGTTCTGGGGATGAACATCTTGTCGACTATTGCAATATCGTTGCTCTCCAATAAATCCGTGTTGACTAACTCTCCTGTTAGATTCGGAATACTGTCTGCGATGACTTCTCATATACCGCAATCCCTCAAGCCAGTCCGGCTGGCCTTCAGCTCATGCCGTTTAGAGTCGTAATCCTGAGCTGGAGGAAATCTGAATGATGGCGAGGGTGGGCATTATTCTTTAAAGATTCGACCGGGAAAGAGGAATAAGCTCATAGAAGAGAGCATGACAAAGAACTCTACTAGTAGTGAGCACCACTGCAGTAGGTCGCACAATTGTGCCTGTGCCACAAAACTCAGTGCTTCTGGAGAGGGGAAATGTCGAATACAAGGCCAGCCATAAGCGCCGAGCAAGAGCACCTTCACTGCATGTGAGCCAGTCAGCGTTGAGATAAGCGTTCTTCTCTGCGCAGAGCGGGGGACGAGAAAGCGAAGCGGGAGATGTGACGGGCGTGCAGCCTGAGCCAATCACCATTGCAAACACCGCTTTTTGCTGGAATCCATCACATTTTAGCGCTGACAGATTCATGCCACTCGATGTCCATTGCAGGATTTCACATCGCCGCTAACGATCCATTGGCTGATTGATCGGTGCTTTGTGAGCTGGTCTGCATATACGTAAGACTGTGTGCAGTGTTCTCGCCCTTCCACAGCAAGTCACACTTTCGGGCCTATGAATCGGATCGAAGGACAGGCATTGTGTGATCGGACATCTGTCAATCGCCGATAAGATGATCCAAGGTGCTGATCGACACCAGCATTGCAGTGCCTACATTATCAGCCAGACTAGCAATCTCGTGAGTTAGTGAGGGTGTTGAGAGAGAAAGAAGCGGTTCGGGATGGCTTCCGGCCGGGTAGATCCTCTGTACAGTCCCAGCCAATCAGAGTTGCTCATTATGCTGACAGTATTAGAGTGGTAAATATCCTTCCTCATAAATTTTATTGTTGATATAATCGAAGTGATAGTTACATCGTACAGAATAGATGGGAAATCTGGTGTAGAGAAGGACTTGTCTGTATGTAGGTAGACATGTAAAGTAACTAGTTATTGCGCGGAAAGCATCGGCAACGTCATGTTGAACTTCCTCAAACCTCAACCTTCTCAATCTACCATCTCAGCTTAATCAGACCTCATCAAGTCGCAATGCTTCGGTCTACCGCTCAATGCACTCTATGAAACTCATACTAAAACCCACTATATGTAGTCTACGGCAGACAGTCCTTCACCGAGCGGGGAAGACACCCCGACTACTTTGCTCTCCACTACGCCGCAGTGCAACGAACATGACTCCACGCAAGGACTCCATTCCCCATGAGGCGCGCACCGCGGCCGAACCCAGGCAGAACAAGCTCTACACTGTTCGACTAGCGTGTGTTGAGCAGGTCAATCCGTCTGTTCGATTGCTTCGGCTGGCACTGCCGCAAGAAGCGTCGTCGGCGGACGAGACGGCCGTATGTTGTTTACCTGCCGGATACTTTACTCTTTCATAACACAGGCTACTGACATTGATCAAGTTCGACAGCCAATACCAGGAAATATTCTCCTTTCTCCCCGGACAATGGCTAGACGTTCATGTCCCCGGTATCCCCCAAGCAGGAGGATTCACCATCACGTCCACTCCAGCCGATGCCCAGCCACTTCCAATCCCAGATCCCACTATCATCCAAGATGGAACAGATCAACTAGCCCATCAACAAAGTGAATTTGGGGTATCATCCGCAGGCTTAGATGGGCGATACCCCTATGTAGAACTTGCGATTCAGGATTCACCTTCCAATCCGCCCGCGGCATGGCTCTGGAAACCTCACAGCCAGATCTTGGGAGTTGATCTCAGAGTCCGTGTCGGTGGCAGTTTTGTATGGCCTCCTGCTTCTGTGCGAACGGATCAGATACACAAAGTTGTGTTTGTTGCCGGCGGTGTTGGAATAAAGTGAGTTGCTCCCACGATAAGCGAAACACAAATCATCCAGGCTGAACGCCAATAGTCCTCTGATATCAATACTGTCACACTTAACCGAAGAACAAGCCTCTGGCCCTACAATCTCTCTTCCCGAAAAATCATTCGATCATCCACTACACATCCGATTTCTATACTCAACTCGCGTCCCATCATCAGTTCCGGACGAAACGACACTGGATCAAGTTCTCTTCCTATCTCGACTTCGAAATATCGTACAACGTACGAGAATCGTCACCAAACAGCCACGAAACATCAAATTAGATCTCGAGCTTTTCCTCACTAACATCACATCTCCTACCGCCGTCTCAAAAGCCGGCGAGATACTCAATAAGGTGAACGATAACGGTAGTGTAGACGACAGTCCTCTCATACGGGTCCATGGCCGACGCATCAATAAAGATGATCTCGATGCACAGACGTCTGAGCAGAATAATGACACGGTATATTACATCTGTGGCCCGCCGCCAATGACGGATGAGTTTGTGCAGTTCCTCGAACCTATCGTCGGTAAGGAGAGTGTCCTCTACGAAAAGTGGTGGTAAAGCATCGTTGAAGAAAAGACAAGTTATGAATCTATGAAATAATATGCTAATTACCTAGTGAACTAACTGGCCATAATGGAAAATGTTCAATTCATACTCCTAGACTGCAAACCCCCAAAAGTAATGTAACGGATATACAGTGGGTATACTATAACTCAATATGAATCTCTTTCTTTCTTGTCGAAAAACGCTTCAAAAGGAAAATGGAATGAACACAGAAGCCGGTCAAGCCCGAACTTGACCTGCATCGACAATCATCATCTCGTCAATCCTCGACTCGGTATCGCCGTATTCAAGGCGTTTATACGTTACGATTCGGCCGGGTCCCATATCAAACTCAAAAAATCGCATACGGCGGACGAAACCTCCATAACCGCCGTAGCCACCGAACCCGGAAGCGCCGCCGTAACACATCCATAGACTGGGTTTGTTGTTCATGTCTCGATTGAGCATGCAGTAATCATTGACGTGGTCACTATGAGGTCGATGGTTAGTTCAATCTTTGGGAGGGTGCATTGATGGGACGTACTGTCCACAGCTAACAAACAAAATATTCTCTTCAATAAGAGCATCCATAAATCCAGAATTGAAGCCCGGCGCCGTTGATGCCTCGAGCCAATTCCCCTTCCAGCTATTGCTGTCCTCGCGGTACTCGGGTAGCGGGATGTGAATAAAAGCCATATCCATGTGCATGTGGCTGTACTGGTTATGTTTCTTCTTCAAACTTTGCGACGTGCTCTTGAACCATCGGATTTGACTCGGTTTAATCCAGTCGTAGCCCCGGAATTGACGCTCATCTGGTGAGTATGAATGTGTGTCGAGAAGATACAACGTAAGCGCAGAATGATGGGAGCTGGAACGACCCATTACTTCGACAATGTAGTTACCAATGCCATCTACATCCTCTGGACCCGCGGTTGATACTGAATAGGGGAGATCCTCGATCAGCGCCATGAGTTCCTTGCGGCTGAGGTTCCCTTCGTCGTCATGATTACCAAAAATCGCTGCGTAAGGGATTTTTCGATCGACAAGCGGTTTGACAAATTTGAAAACCGCGCTCTGGACATCCTTGGCTGTCTCACCGTTGACTTCATCACCCGAGAATACCACAAGGTCAGGCTTTTCCTCATCCAGAAGTCTCTCAACGAATTCTAGTGTTCGAGGATCTGCTTCACATTTTTCTCCTGGTATCCTTTCCTCAGGTACTGGGTCTCTGCAAACGCCGGTACCGGTCGACAAGTGCAAATCTGCAGCTTGCATGATCTTAAAACGCTCACTATCGTTTATTCTGAGCTCTGGCTTCTTCAGAACCGGCGGCACTCCCCGGCGAACAGTCAATCGCGCTTCCGTTGCTTCTGTCAAGCTATCTAATAACACGGAAGTATCTTTCACCTCCCACTGAGGACGTGGATCAACAGCATCAGCCCCAAACAGCACGTCAACCGATGTAAGAGCCTGTTTTGAATCACTAATATGCGGTTCGGAACTGCGTCTCAGCCAGATGCCTCCCGGCCTCGCTTCCCAGTCATTTTCAGTTGAATCAGCAGCATTAGGTACACCTTCTCTCGGATTCTTCGTCTTTGAATCCAAGAGCCCTGGATTGAATCTACTAATCCGCAGATCAATCACGACTTTATCGTTCTCGAGAAGTTCCTCTTCCCGCTTCCGCTGAAAATGTACATAAGCGGCAGACGTCCACGAGTTATCAAGGTACAAATCTTTGTCGACACGAGACCAGACCGAGGGATCAAGGGTGCAACTGGAGAAAACGTTTACAGACGAACAAGTCACGATGGTAACGTCGGTAACGATAAAGCCCGCGTGATGGGTTGGTAGATGGCCATGAATAGAATTTGGTAAGACGCGGAATTGCTTATCGATCAGCAGAATAATAAGAAAGACGCAAAGACCGAAGACACCGAGCTGCACTCCCGTCCTAACCTGGACAAAGCGAGATGAGGAGTTAGCTATCTTCGTGATTTTGACCAAGTTTGGCTTCGATAAACTCAAAATGCAAAGAGAAGGGAAATCATAGACATACTATACGACGAGTCATTTTTGGTCTCCCCCTGTTATCGGTCTGAGAAATATGGCAGCCTGGCAATAGTAGTATCAAACAATGAAGTACGCATGAAGTTAACCGGCAGAAGCGAAAGTCACGAAACCAACAAGCCTGCCAACATGGTGCGGGCCCCCCGAGTGGATGAGGAAAAAATCGGGTCCTATGTCCTAGAGACAAAGATATAGGGACATGCCATATATACCCGTCTTCCGCATCGCAATATGAATGTTGTAGATGATAAGTTGAAGTCGAGGAGGTTGGACAAGGAGTCTGGGGAAGAGAATCTTATTCTGCCGAGCATCCAATCAGGGTCACTTCCCGGATCTTACCGTATGGAAATGATTATTTACGGATGTATTACGGTATTATATACCGATGATCCCCGTAATTTTAAGATCGACAATTTGAGATACTTTAGTTACATATATAAATACATATATAAATCTATTTTCTTTGCTCATTGCGCTAGGTTTTGTTTAGGCGATTAGTCGTACAGAGCAATTACAGTATATCATTGAAATCTATGTAAAATCGAAAATAGGTCCGCGGCAATAGCGCTCTATATACTGCCCTCTATCACCGAGGATCTAAGTATTTACAAAGATATTCTATAATCTAAAGCCCAGCTTCCCCGGCCTTAACCTTCGCTAACCCCTGTTCCGCGACGTTCTTCACCGAAACCTTGCCGTAATAGATATCCTTAGTAGTGGCGAGAATGGTGGACCAGTCCTCGAAGACGGTAAATGGCATCCCCTCACGCTCGCAGTATCGGATCAAGTCTGCAATACGTTAGAACAGGAAGATTATAGAGATACAAAGTGGAGGCTAAATATCGTACCATGTCCTTTCTTGGCGAAGAGGAGGTCTGTCTCGGCAGCAGCGGACAAGTCAGACACGCCGTCACCGGCGTACAAGAGTGTGGGACGTTTATCAGCCGGCAGAGCAGCATATGGCTTGATCTCGAGGGATTTGTTATGGCCAAAGTGACTATAATATACCATTAGTGACTGCCATGAATCTTTCCGTGTTTATACTCACCTGTCATCGTGGAATTTGATCTGCCAACCACCGGGAGTATTGATATCTTTACCATCCCGACTCTCGACATCATTGGCGACAATAGTCAAATGCTTGGGATCCGGTTTATGGCCGAGCAACTTTTCGAACAAAGCGCTAATGATTGGGACCATACCCGACGATAGAACAACGATGGGGACATTGTTCTCCTTGGCCCAGTTATAGAACTCGGTGAAGTATGGGTCTAATTCCATATTCTGCTTCAAGATCTCAATGCATTCGCCAAAGCCGGGCTTGACACTATCTAGCATATCACGGAAGGCATCTCTATAAGAAGGAAGCATCAACTGAAGAGCATGGAAATATGGATATTCATGTGGAGACTGACCGGAAAGTCGCTTTGCCCGTGAGGACGTCTTCATTGCCCTGTTTCCGTTTTACCTGGCCATACCCTAGGTTATCGGTCTAGATGGGATAGATGTCAGAAGGATGCTTCGACCGGGAATAAATGCGATTGCGATCGCGATTGCGTACTAGGAAGTCATTGCCTATGAAGCGCGGAGTTAGTACTGGTTGTATTGAGGAACAGCAAACGAATCCAATTGAAGTATAACGAACTGTCTTTCAGTGTTATTGTCCCGTCAAAATCAGTGAAGAAGATTATTTTTGGGCTGGTTTGAATGTAAGGCAGATTGGACGGATCGGTAGAACCCATGTTGAGTTTGTGAGTTCGTAAGACCGTGAACACGAATGAATGAAGTCAATGATAGTCCCGGGACGTAAGCAACGAAAACTGAAACCGCAGGTATATTGCCAACAGAAAAAGAATAGAAAAGATAGATTCTTAATCAGGAACGAAGTACGGAGTACAGGCCGGTGTAGAAACATGGAGGGGCAATTGATGGATGTACAAAGGCCCTCAACCGTTGCGGGGCTCCATACAGTCAGCCTCCAGGCCCATCGCCATGGCTTGGGGGCTGACCCGTGGGCGCCATTGACCCGCTAATGCTCACCGAGATCGCTTCGTACTCTATGCGGCTTTGTTAAAGTCATAGACCAGAATATTTGGACAGATTATCGGTAGAATTTGTAAGAAACAGCAATAAGTTTTTGCGCCGTAGGTTTAAACAAGCCCATGCTTGCAAATCGAGCGTACCATCATCATACAAGATCCGTACCTGAATACAGCGCAAACTCAAATATTGCAATAATACACGGTATTGTAACGCTAAGTAACGGTACCATACCATGCTCCATCAAAAATTAAATTGACAGCTGGGACCATTGACAACGTCGTAAACAAGCTATCCGAGTCTTGTATAAAAATCACCATCAGTCAGAAACAAAATATCCTTACAATGTGATGGCTCGGTTTCTGCAATCCTTCCGCCGCATCTTAGGGATCGCTGCAAGCTCTCCAACACCGAGTTCTTCGATTCGCTCGTCCTTTCCTCGCTCCATCGATACAGACTTTTCTGTCTTTCGCGGTATGCAGTACTTTGTGCGCGAGAAGAGTGAAATCGGGATGAGACTGACTCTACAATAGAAGGCGACAGGACCATATTACACGGGCGGATTCCACACCTTACGAAACCTCTGAAGCATGGCAATCGCACCGATGTGGCTCGGGCATATCTTAACCACAGCGATATTATAGGCAGTCGGGTTTGGGACCCTATTAAAACGCAGAAAGGCATTGACTACCAATCGAAGCATCTGAGTAAAGAACACGAATCTGACAGTCAATTGAACAGGAAAAGAACATAGACTCAGCTTACCTACATTGGAAGAATACGTCGTTTACACTCCTCGACTTGTTACGCCGGTATGATTTTCGCTCTTCAACAACCCAAAAATCATGGGAATCGTCATTGACTTATGGACTAGTAGATCTACGGAGCAGATGCTAGTTTGATCGTGTCATTACTTGATATTCACGCCGTTCCTCCCGCAGCAGCCAACAAAGACCGACTAGAGATTCTCGAAGCAGGCACTGGCCACGGCTCTCTTACCCTCCACCTGGCACGAGCAATTCAAGCCGCGAATACGAACCCCCCACCTATTCCGCAGAAATCGCAGGTCCGCATACTCGAGGAACGACCAATCAGGCCGTTTGAAGAAGGTGGAGAACAGCAGCATTCAAAGGAAGAGATAACCGATGCTCAGGATGATGTTGCCGTTCAAAAGGATTGGGATGAATGGCGCTCTCAGCGAAGCGCAGTTATCCACACTGTCGACGTGTCGCCCAAATTCTCAAGGCATGCAGAGCAGATTGTCCGCGGCTTTCGACGAGGCATATATGCTGGAAATGTAGATTTTCACGTTGGCGCGGTTGAGGATTGGATCAAGGACCAATTACAGCGTCGCAGCAGTCCGGCAGGATTGTTCAAGAGGGACAATGCGACCCAGCCATTTCTGTCGTACGCTATACTCGACATGCCAGCTGCGCATAAACGAATACCGCATGTAGCTCCGGCTCTACGTCGAGATGGATTGCTCGTGGTGTTTATGCCGAGTATTACCCAGATCGGCGAGTGCGTGCAGCTTATCCGAAAGGAGAAACTGCCCTTCGTCATGGAGAAGGTTGTCGAGCTCGGCACGGGCATTAGTGGGGGTCGACTGTGGGATGTTCGCATGGCTGTCAAGAAGAGTCGTGCGGATCCATCGTCATGGACGAAAGAGGGTCGCGATGGGACTGAAGCACCACAGACGGGAACCGAAGAAACAGACTCTGCCGAACCGAGCAACACTTCCGGGGAAGATAGTACCCAGGATAATGTGCTAGTGTGTAGACCCAAGGTTGGGTCTAAGATTGTAGGGGGTGGATTTGTGGGAATTTGGCGAAGAATTGAAGATCGCCGAGATAGAGATTAGATTATGATTTGATATAGGCACTGTACTATAGACTATTAGACTAATATGTAACTATATAACATGTACAATAGACCGAAATCCCATCCATGGATATTTCATAGCGGGTGGTGCCTCCAGCTCCATTCCCATCAACGTCGAAGACGAGTCTAGGCCTCACTCTTTGGCAACCTCGCCTCAATCCACTCCGTCACATCCTTGGTCATACTCTCAGCAACTCCATCAGGCTCATTCATCAACTTATGGTATGCCCCCTCATACTCCTTGTACGTCTTATCATCAACATGATCCAAACTCTGCGCCAACCTCCTTGTAGCATCACACCACGTAACCCGATCCTCCGTTCCGTGTCCAATCCACAAGGGCGGCACATTCTTACCATCAGCATGGTTTGCGGCAGTTGTTTTCTTATGTAAATCATTCAACCAGGCGCCTCGATCCAACATCCCTGCTAATCCTTCCAGGGTTCCTGTATTATGGTATAAGACGCCCTTGTCGTCCTTGATATCGTCGACAACAGCTTGGTTTTTGGACACCCATTTAGCATCAATGTTTTGGACCATGGTCATCTTGGGCACGATACGCTTGGCAATCCGGCCCGCGTACTCCACGATCTTGAGTGGTTGCGTCGTTGGATGCACGGCTACCAAGGGTGCTACGGACATAACACCTGCAAGTTTGACTTTAGTTGTTGCGTTGGTGTTCTCGGCTTGATGGTGATATGGTGATTCGGGATTGAGAACGTAATACAACACGTTCATTCCACCCATACTATGTCCCATTAGAAATAAAGGTATTGTGCCTTCTTTGGTGAATGGGATGAGACTCTGGAGGAAGAAATGTAGGTCAGCCATTACTGTGGACGTTGATCCATAGTGGCCGCGGAGTTTGGGGATGGAGATGACGGATCGACCCCATCCTCTATATCGAGTTAGTTTGCATCTCGCCATTTATATCGTAATAAGAGACTCACCGTTGATCGAGAGAGCGGACTTCAATGCCAGAAGAAGCCAGGTTTGGGAAGAAGTCGAAAAAGGAGTTGCCTTGGGTTATGATCAGTACGTAGTGTATGCTAAACAGCTGAATACGGACACTTACAGTGGTCACTGAATCCATGATAAAACGCAATGATAGCTCGCGGGATTCCCTCGGGCTATAATAGAGAGATCATGATCATCAGTGTGAACCGGGATATTACAAAGCACTTTTAGATGATGAATAGATAAATACCTTCCAACTCTTTGTATACAAACTGGTGCCGTCCGGCAACACCAACGAACCTTCTTCCTCGGTAATCCCGCCCATATCAACGGTTGCTGCTCTGTCTGTATCCGTGTTGTTAATCGGAGTGTTCTCAATACCAGAGAAAGCGAGCATGTCTCGATTCTGGTCCTGGTTCTGGATCCCTTCTTTTTTTTGGATAATAATGTTGTTGGGGTCAACATGCCAAGATCAGATCAATAATCAATAATCAGTCACATGAAGATGTTTGGGTCCGGATTCGGAAAAGGGACAAACCCTAACCTTACTCTCATCGCCAGGTACAGACTACGGTCTACATATGTAGTATGTTTGGATTGAGGGATATGTTAAGAACAATCCGAATACCATAGCTTTTTCGCCGCCAAACCTAGCAAATCTTTACTCCTTTACTTGCGAGAAAATCAACACAACAGGAAACAGTCAATGGACTTGAAATAAACCAGCAAATTTCCAAAAAAAAAAAAAAAAAAAAAAAAACATGACAAAACACTGAAGTGATTACCCCGGCCATAAAACAGATAACAGCAAACTAATACAATGAATAGGAAGAGTAGTGGTGCTTTAGGGAATGAACGAGAGTTATACCACGCCGAAGTCTTTTTAGAATAAAAGTCCTTATTTCAAGAAGAAAAAGCGAGAGCAATGCTTGATAATACGGAACCAAAGGTGATAACAATAGAAGAGAGAGAGGGAGGGATAGGAACGTAGAGGGATTCATCATAACACAGACCGAGGAAGCGAAGAAAAACCCGCAAAACAAAAAGTAACAAGCAAATTCCGAGATAATAGAAAAGAAAAGAAAACACAGGAGAAGGGAAGAAAAAAAAAAGAAAAAAGAAAAACAAGAATCGAATCGTCAGATCACAACAGTTGCAACAACACCAGCCCCTCATTATATGCTTAACATGCAACAACTGAATGAATTACATCAATCAATTCGACCTATCTCGTGACGGACCAAAATCCGCTTCTATAACCTTGCCCTTTTTCCCCTTGACTGAAAACTCCGCCAGCAATGCGAGATGATCACTAGGAAAATGATAGTTGGGAAACCCCGGAACCCTCTGGAGATACTCCTTGTCCACTTCGCCAAGTAGACCAGTCACGTGAAGTGCTGTGGACGAATACCAGATGTAATCAAGAATGGAATTGAAATCAGGCGTATAATTCGTAAAGGACAGCTCGCCGATGGCGCTGTATGCAGATTTGAGTTTAAATGGATGAGTCATGCCGACGCGGCTGAGGTTACCGTAAAGACGCTTCTCCAGGTCGGGATGTGCCTCCGTCAATCCACCGTGTGCAAGAAGATTGTATGCTGCTTCGCCAGGCGCTGAGTTGAAGTCACCACAGATCAACAGCGGAATCTGGTCGCCTGAAGAGTACTCAGCCGACGGTGCGGGCTCCACCGGTGTCGTGTTCTCTTGTGAGCCATCCTCGGCTTCTGAGAATCGGAAAGCTGTCTTGTCTGTGCACGGAGGAAATTTGGCGTACTTTTCGGAGAGTTTAGTGATTTCCTCCATCAAGATTGCTGTCTGAATGAGTTTCACGTCTTTGAACGCCGGATCCCAGTAAAGATGAGCATTGACAACGATTAACCGCGTTCCGGTCAATCGATTCTCCAGAAACACCACAACAGCAATATGATCCTTCTGCCAAAGACGGTTGTAAATATCATCTTGACCCTTGGCGTCCGGTCGTCGCACGGCAGTCTGACCAAAGTTGATCATCTGCTTGTCCAGAAGGATATACTTGCTAGCCTTGAAGAATGTTGCACAGCCATCAACGCTCTTAGCTTCCTCCTCATGCATTCCCATTGCACGGCCACGAGGCCAGTAAACACCCTTGTAGTCGTTATACGCAAGCTGCTCTCTGAAGAATTCGTTGTAATTTCCCTGGTCGATTTCTTGGAGACAGGCAATGTCCGCATCGTGACTTCGAATCTCATTGAGAATGAGATCTCGTCGGAACTCCCATGCCAACGCACGTGAAGGGACATACCCATAGTGCGATGGGGTCGCCGATTGATCGCACAGCGTGTTATATGACAGAACGGTGAACTTGTCGGCCTGGGCTTGCGAAGACTTTGTTTCATCGAGAACGATCCAGTCTCGATCCGAAGGAGGAAGGTGTACTGCCATAAAATTAGCCGTTTTATACTCTAAATCATCAAAATATAAATACGTACCCGGCATTTCTTCAATCAGATATTTGATTAGAGCTTTGGTGCCATGTGTCTTAATTTGAGACAGTAGTCCCTCATTTAACGGGTTGCCGTAAATACCTAACATTTCTAGTCGATAAAGATAACCCAATTCATAAGGAAGGCTTCGTATATGGTTGTCAAATGCGTAGAGTGTGCGTAGATTCGTAAGCATACCGATTTCTCCAGGTAACTCGGTAAGTTCATTAGCCGACACATCCAAGTGCGTCAAGCCGCGAAGTTGGCCAATTGCAGGTGGTAAGGCTTTCAGCTTGTTGTTGCTCAGATACAACTTATTGAGAAACTTGTAATTGAAAAGACCCGTAGATATAGCACGAAGTCCTTGACTTGTGAAGTCGATAGCATTCCAACTCTGTTTCTTGCCGTCCTTGGAGGTTGTCGCGCTAGGTCGGTTGTCGTTGGTGTTATCAGCTCCATCTGACTGGCTGGGTGTGTACTGAATGCCTTTTGTCTGCTGAGCAATCGTCCGTGCGTAGTAATGAGGGGATGTTGCTTGTCTAGCTTCGTTTGCAAGCTGCAATTGCTGCTGCCAGTGCTCATTCATGGTATCGTCGATTTCTTCGTCGACATTTCCAGGTGTCCCATTCTGTATATGGCTCGGAGTGAAATGGGGGGTTGTGCTTGTTAGGGCGCCGGTAGGGAAGTTCGGTTGGTGATTGAGTTGATGAGTCGCTTGGTTGTGGTGAGTGTGATGATGTTGTTGGGCATGATGAGGATGGTGGTTCTGATGTTGGAACTTGGGCATTTGCATCGCAAACCGTTGATGGGCCTGCGTACCATTCAACATGGCCGCATGTTGAGCCTGATGGCCTTGGCTGTACATGCTGTGTGTGTTGGAGTTCGTATCAGAGGTTGAGTGCGGGGATCGAGAAATTGGGGTAGATTCGGAAGGAAGATTTGCTCTGCGAGGAGAGCCCGTGTAATTGCGTAAAAGAATTGATTGTTGGGCCGTATTTTGAGCTAATGGCGCTGGAAATGAGAACTGCCCGACACCAGGCTGTGGAAACCTATAGAGACCATCTGCCATTAACGTGGCAGACGAGTCCGAAAAGGGAGCACTTGGCGGGGAAGCTTGATCGAGGGGACTCGATTCCTCGCCAAGAATGTTGCTGGGTTTGACGAACAGTCGGAGGAGATGGGAATGGAAGATCGCACTCGTTCTCTCCTTCTCTTCAACATGGGGTTCTGGGGTGGAACCTCCCTTCGCACAATAACTAGGCGGGCAAACGTCGAGATTGCCTTATTTCATGCAGACACAACACAGCACAGTCGGTCTTAGAAAGTAGGCATGTGTGTATCCTGTCGCAACTCGTAACACAGCGGGAGGACAGCGAGTCAATAAGGCTACTGCCAACGAACTGGGCTGTCAGTAGGAAGCAGGCAAGGGACATATGGGGACTCAGGACTCCGTACCGGTCGCAAAAGGATGATTCGCAATATCACCCAAGGGTTCCTTGTACACTGGGTCTCGTGGAGATGTGCCAGGAATGCGGGTTGTGGTCAGATGGGATGCTCAATCAGCTGGCTGGTCGAACTCGTCGAAGCGGTTTGCATCGAAAGACGGAGATCCAGTCAGATCACGTGACTCAATGACGGCGGAAGCGTGACTCTTATTGGCTGATTCCGGGGCGCCAAGACTATCGCACTTGGACAGCGGTCGAATGCAAAAGACTTTGATCAACAACAGTATCTAGGAGTTGTGCCGTAGTATATCTACGTTCTGTCTGTGCGGTTGATCTGTCTCTTTGTCTGTGATGGCCGGCGGATTACCTTATGGATATGTGAATTTGGGCGCTGGAGATCAGCAAAGCTTCCCTGCCATAAACTCGACCGGATTCTGTACGACAGTCTTTGACCTGACAAATTGCCAACCACTTGACTCTATGGGGCGAATACTCTCTGAATCGACCCGCCCAAGTAGAACAACAGCTGCGCTACTGACTTGCAATAGCCTTATGTCACAAAGAAGTCTACGCTTCATTGGGAGAAATTCCGAGATACGTATCTTCTTAAGTTCTTGATCATCCAACGGAGGAAATCACTGCAGGAATACCAAGACGTTATTGGACAAGCTTGGGCTGAACTGGAGATTCGTTGTTGCGATCAACTGACTTTAACAACGGTCAATTCTCTATTAATATTGCATATATGGATCAATGTGAGATCGAGCGTTGCATTTCGACCTTTGTCATACGGTTAGACCATCTTGAAAGTCGAAACTCATGATTCGGTAATTTATTTGTATGTATGATACACGGACGATACCAAGTTTACAAGCCGTTTTGGCTAGACCGCCCACTTCATCGCTGTATGCCCTGGGCCCTCGTAATTTAAGTTCAATATGACCCTCATCCTTGTCTAGTTTCACACAGAATTGTGTGCTAACCAACGTTCATCGCCTTGCTCGACAAAATCCCCGGGCCAAGGCGTGGTTTTATCCTGCAGGGCTACCTCCTCCAGCCTACCAGCATCTACATACGCTTATCTGGTGCGGCGTATTCCGCCGATGGAGGCCCCGAGGCTGACGAGGGGCAAATGAGTCCTCAAGTCATAGTCATTCAGGGTAACTTCTGGCGGTGTCTGGCACAGGATACTACTACCGCGACAAATCATATTAATCCACCACTACCGGCCTGTCAGGTACGAAGGAAGCATTTATATTATTATTAATTTGGCTTCCTTATTAAGGCGCGGTTCTTTTTCCCTTCCAGATCCCGCATGCCTGGGTTTCCTTTTAGGTCATCGGCATGTGCTTCAGATTAATCCGACAAGCCTAAAATTCACGTACTTCATCTACTCCGAACCAGCTAACTTCGAAGTTCGACCTCAGGTTATCTTGTCTTATTGATTGGTATCTGTACCCCCCGTAGACGTCAACGACTTGGGTGCAACCCTATCGCAGGACATATCTAAAGGGACCAGTTGGAACAGATCGCGGACGCACTGATTCAAAACTCAAAAAGCCCTTCGAGATTAATATCGATCGCTTCGGTTTGACAGATCATCTTATCTTATTCACTTCAGGTTAATGCCCTGCCACCATCGAAATCGCGCGTCAGACCTGTCAGATCGCATCAGTTGATTATCCAATATCTATTTCCCCAATCGGATCTGTGTATCATGAACGGTCCTTCGTTTGCGGGGGCTTCTACGTATGTGCCCTCCTCCTTATTGACGTCTCACTTGGTGGAATATGCAAATGCAAACACAAGCCAGCGACATGCATCCGTCAGTTCATCCTCGACTAATCCTCAACACCGCGGATCTGCGACCAATACAAATAGCTCCTCTTTATCTTCTTCTTCACAACACTTAAATAATGGCCCTGACGCCGATGCCTCCACGTCTTCTTTGTCGTCTTCTGCTACCCCGCCTGATTATATTGCGAAACCTTTTACGAGAATAAATGATCGAACGTACTTTCGCGATCCTGAAAACCCTTATCCGCTACCATGTGATCTTCCGGAAATACATCGACAGTCCCTTCGTACGCTGACCTTGATCCGAGTCTTCGGGGCTCCGTTCTGCGCGCCACAATTGAAAGATAAGCGACCGAAGAAGGTCCTCGAATTAGCATGCGGTTCCGGTCTTTGGTCGCATGCATGCCATGACTACTTCCTCGAACACGATGCCGGCGCCGCGAAATCGCCCAAGGATAGCAAGAAAACTACAACGTCCTTTACGGGCCTTGATATCGTCCCCATTGCGCCAGATTTGCGTCGGAAGGGAATCAATTGGCATTTTGTCCGACACGACATTCGCAAGCCTAGTCTACCATTTCCTTCGGAACACTTTGATTTTGTGTTTATCAAGGATGCCGGACTTTGTCAATCCGCCACAGCGCAACAGATGGATCTGCTAGGTGAACCCTTGCGGGTACTCAAGCGCGGCGGTATCCTTGAAGTCTGGGATTCTGACCATGTATTCCGCGCACTGCTACCGAATCCTACTCCGCCGCCTAACTTATCCAAGAAAGACCAAAACCACGCCGACGCCACTGCGACGTACACAATCTCTTCGGCGACACCGTTCGCTGCAGCACAAAACAAGTACTTGCTCGACTATAATTCATGGATCGAGAAGGCATTCGAGAAGCGCAAGCTTACTCCAATGCCATGCGCCACCATAGGTCTTTCTTTTACAACCGAGGCTGATGCGTTTCACAATGTTGGTAGTCGTCGCGTCGCAATCCCGCTTGGGGCAGAGGTGCGGTGGGAGCAGACCAGTGGGCGGGGAAAGTTGAATGCCGAGCAATTAGCTCTGCGACATACTGCACTCACCACTACCATCCAGATGATAGAAGGAATGGAACTGATGTTGATGGAGGCTAGCGGAAAGAGTAGGGACGAATGGGATCGATGGTGGGCTGCCATGACCACGGACTTCTTGCAAAAGAACGGCCTTGCCAATGGCGAGTGTCTCGAAGTTGGCGCTTGGTGGGGACAGAAGAGATAATGGCGTTCTTCCTGACCGGAAGGTGGATCGCTTTCACCTTGTTGCTTTCGGGGGCGTGCGAAGTCAAGCGAGCATACATAGGTACGGCGTGGTGTATTATTCTCAAGGATACCCGGGGATCATTCTTGCTAGGACGGGACTGGGCGTTTTGGTCGCAGGCAATTGGGAACGGCGTTGGGATAGCATTTCACCTGAATTATCGGATCTGATATCTTTGTTTTAATGTTCGATATTTCTTGAGGAAATATCTGCGGTCAATTGTTGTCAGAATTTTATTTGATGTACAGTCGTTGCGTGATGGGAAGAATCATATTCTGTGTATATATAATGACGTTCTGAAATATTAGGACATAAGCACTTACAACGCTTCCACTTCTGTTCAGAGAGTCTCAATAATCAGCAGCCAAAAAGAAGAGCAATGAAAACTGGTGAAAGGCGAACCTTTCTTGACAAACTCGGCCCTTTTGATACCCTCTTCAATCTCTTTGGCGTCAGTGAGATTCATCTTCACAGCGAATGCGCCATGTAATCTTGTTCGGAAGTAGTCGTATCCCAGAGGATATTCACGGCCCAGATAGAGCAATTCTTTAGAAAGAGTCACAAAGTCAGTACAATTGTCCTTGATTCCAGTATTTACGTACCCTTGTAGACCTGAATGACTCGGCGGCGGAGTTCTTGAGTTGTCATTTCTGCCAGTTATACAAGTATGCAGGACTGAAGAATTGAGATCCGAATAAATTAAGTTAATGGTCATCCGAATCAAGATCAAAAATGTTGCCCTTGTCAGGAGTTGAATTGGTTTCTGTATACAGTCTAAGCAGACATGAGAAGAGAGAAGAAGATGAGGTGACGTTATGTGTTTAGGGAGTTCGCGGGATTTTATATGGGGCTATGTTTAGCGCCAAGCGGAAAGAAACGATCGCTAAGAACCACTAAACTTTGGTAATCCCTCGGCAGTCCGGGGGTCTAATTATCGCTTATCAGTAGGGATATTTACAGCTTTCAGCCTACACCATCAACCCACGATTTAACACCTCTGGTAGTGGTAGTACTCTACCATTTTAGACGTCATCCCATGAATCTAGGGCGAGGCTCGCAGATACTTGAATGTGGTAGGCCTTGAAACATCGATCTGTATTCTCAACACGCATTTTTTTACATAGGCATACTCAACTACTCAACCGTGGAAAAACGCCTTGCAAGGTCATCCAGGACTACATGAATCAAATGAAGACAGTAAGATTACAACATGAGTAAGAAACGGGTCATCGGTGTTTCTCTATCAAAGTTGGCGGCACTGACCGTCAAAAATAAAAAACGAACAAACGAAGACAAAAGAAATGTCCCGCCTGTCACTTTGACATGCAGTCTCGCAACGGCGCAGTTCGATGCCTAAGGATGTCTGTTGACTGCCTTACCTGACTTATCTTCCTTTCTCTCTCACTTCTCTCTCTCTCACTTCTCTCTTACTTCTCTCTTACCTCTCTCACTACCTTTCCCCTTACTCCATCCTTCCCTATCTTTTCCATCTTTCTTCACCCTCTCTACCTGCCAAGTTCCAAATACTCGATCAACATGACAAGCAAATCGAGTATCTTGGAGCTGACTTTCAACCACATCGCTTTTCCACCAAAGCTTCCTGGGAAACGTGACGGTCAGGTTGAAGCTGTCGAGAAAGACATCCTGACGCGTCTACGCACAGCCGTTCGAACCATCAAGGCCTATCCAAACGATAGCACCCCATCTATCTGGGAAGATATCGAAAGATCCTTGGCCATCTGCCGACTCGTCAATGAGAATGGGTTTCTCAATCGAGAAGCTTTGGAGGTAGCACTCCAGTCTGTCAAACTCGACGATACGATCGTACTACACGTCTCTCAACAGAATGCAGGTCTCCTCATACGTCCCTCAGAGTACGTTTTCATTCAGTTCTCTTTCTAGCTACATCTTACTCTTGCCTCATTTAATCTATCTGCAGCGATCAATATATCTTCGAAGCCTTTGAAGCTTCTCCTTCTGCTGAAAAGACTCTAGCTGCCAAAGGCGCCATGCAATGGGATTTTCCTACCGTGGCTGTTTCTTTGCCTCGTCAAGACTTTGAGAACCCTAGGTTTCAGGAGAACCTCATTTACTTCCTGGAGGGAGCTAGTCTTGATGCAGTAGATGACTTTGCAGCAAAGACCCACAAAGCTGGAGTGACTATCACTGAGGCTCGAGATACCACTCACCCTGCCCTCGTCACCGACTTCCTTATGGCATTGCTCGAAGTGAATGGTGCGCGCTCAAACCCTCCACTACTTCGAAAGCGTGTCAAAGACGACGTCTGCTGGGACGATGCAGAGCTACCATGGCGAAGGAGCCCATTCTGGCTTATCCTCCGCGTCTCCGTGCAGCGAATACTCTACCTGACATTAGGTGAAGAAAAGGGACGGGCACACTACAAATTTCTCATGTGTGTATTAATGTCCCAACTCTTGATGGATTGCGTGCAGGCTTCATTCAGCCCAGAACTATGCAACTTCCTCAGAGCCAAACTGTGCAGGCGTTTGGCTAAACTTGAGAGCGAGAAGCTTCTTGCTCGCTCATCAGCTCTACAGACATACTCAGATCTGTTTGAAAGCACTCTCCCCGTCTGTCATGATGCTATCGAGAGGACCACAAGGTTCATAGAGAAACAATGGAACGCATTCAAATCAAACTCTCTACGCAAAATACCGCTGCTCCCTCGGTTTGCCGACGAGAGCGACCTTTATCTGACTTTACCAAACAGTGGCCCTTACTTGCGAAGTGTTCTCAAGCAGTCCCATCATCCGACACCATCAGATCCCTCGATCATCGACGCAGCAACTCTCGATTCTAGTTCTAGCAAAACTACTACCGAGTTCTACAGTTCTCTCCTCACACGATACAATAAACTGCAAGATTTTGAGAGCCACTTTGAGTTAACAACAACCGAAATTCCCTCCTCCACATCTGAGTGTGCGAAAAAATGTCAAACCTTGGCCAAACATATACATTCGTACATGGAAGCCGTTGGGGATGCGTACGACGGAAACAGTGAACAGATAAGCATTTTCATATTGAATGTGCTAGAGTTATGGGTCTATATGGATCAGTGCGCAGTCAAGGTGCATCCACTTCTGAGCCAATACCATCCATTTTTCGAGCGAGGAATGCTTGACGTATTGCTTCTGACACGTCTACATGACCTGAGACGCCTTCAGGTTATCCAGAAGTACATTCACAGTCGGTGTACTCAGGCAGAATGGCCGTTGGATATCTTCGCAGACCCCCAAGTAGGTTGTTTTGCAGATCAGATTTTCACGCTCGGTAAGCCAGAGACTATATCAAGTCTCAATACTCTCTGCGCCAACATTGAGGCTGCATCACAAGTCTCAAGAAATGCAAAGGAGAGGGAGCTGCAACAAATAAATGCAGCCTATAAAGAGCGGACTGAGAACATGATCAAACATACATGTACACAGCGCAGGAATCCAGATGGAAGTCACGACATACGGGGTTGCACACATTGCTGGCATGTGCGGTCGCGTAGAAAACTGAAAGTTGAGGTCCATGAGGATTTTCTCCCTGTGGAAGATCGCAATAGGGTGAACGATGGGGTTCAGAAGCGAGTTATCCTGTTTGAGCTTAATACTCCACCGGCGTTTTCTGCCTATCGAACAGCTACGTGGGATATCATTCAGCGTCTCCGGTCGCCAGTTCAAGAAACTTCTCTAAGCGTACCAGAGATATTTTTGAAGGATTATCCTCAGCTTCGGAAATTTTACCACTATTCTGGAAACTTCTCGTTAGCTTCGACCACGAAGTCATTCCTAAAGACTCACTACAACTTCAGAGCTCTTCCTACAACTCTGTCGAAGGTGCTCCTTCCCTTTGGACCAAGGTTCTACTACTATGATTCAGGCCGAGGTATTTGGGCATCAACTGTTCAACGACCACTGTCCATTGCTCAACATTTTGGGTTGAAGCTTCCCAAAGAGCTCTCATTTTCAACCCTCTACTCGTCAACCGATTTTGCTGCTGATAGTGATGGTCCATCTTCATATGAGATCGTCGCCAGTATCCCTGAGTGTCCCTCTGACTTGACCATTCATGAGTATACTGCCCACCAAAGCTTGATCGCTGGCAGGAATAGGAGATGGCTTTCAATTTTGACGGAGCTGGGCTTTCAATTTTGACGGAGCTGGGCTCGTCAAATGTCAACTTCAGCCTACAGGATACGATGATCCTGTTACACCACGTCAGTCTTCAAGCAGGGCCCTGGTTGGAAAATGAGAATCTTCGTGCAGTCCACGTTGTGTTCAAAGATATTTGGTTTTGCCGTAAGCTCCTGGATCAGATTGAGCAGCATATCAAGGCGATCTCACAAAGTTGGCGAGAAAACTATTACATGGAGACCTTGCTAACACTCACAATTCGAGTATGCACTCTTGGTCACATATCGGCACTTCCTAGGGCTCAGTCACTTCTCGTGACCATACGGAATATTACACTCACATGGATAAAGACACTGCGCCATGAAACAAGGACTACTCAGGAGCATGACGTTGCTGAGAGGTCCGCACGATACGGATTCTTAGCAGCTTTATTGTGTCGTCGTACTTTCTATCTAGGAGCCTACGATGGTGCGCCTTTGGACCAGGAATCATTCAAAGTGTTCGTGGAGGCAACGCTAGCTATGCAAGAGAATCTCGTGGTTGATGTGGCTCAGTTCTCCGACGTCACCTTGAACATACTGATTCGAGATATCAAGATGGCATATCGTATGAGGTCAATGATTCGTCTCTCTATCCATCAGCATCAACTGGGCTTACAGTCAGCGATTGACACGGTTTGGCCTAATTCAACGCCTGAGGAACGGAAATACAGCCCATGGGTGTCTCTAGATGCGCCATATGACTGGTGGGTGACCTCGACAGTACCTGCCACTGAAAGCACGAAGCCCCAGGTTGTACATTACCATATGCTCGAGGGTCATCTATTGATTGACGGTAGAGCATTAGGAAAATTGCCTGCGGCTATGCGGGACTCGAAGATTATCAAAGATCTGTTTGGCAATCAACGGCTTGTTGCCTTTCCATCGAACGTTTATGGAATGAGCTACGTACTGGGCATCCAACAAAACAACTATGAGATCCATTTAGGATACAGAGGCAAAGATATTGTGGTACAGGCTCGAAATGGCTGGGATCGCTTAGAATTTGTCCCTTCACATGTTTTCGGGAATGAGTCCAATTTCGACCTTCCGGCCTCTTTGGTCGACGATTGTGTACATTGGGTAAACCTCCGAACTGGAAACCTCGAAGCGCGGCGTAAGCCCAAGATCTGGAGGAGCACCAAGGGAAACTGGAATCTGGACTTACGCGCCTATCAAGCGAGGAAGAAGGAGTCCCAACTGGTGGATCCCAAAAGCAAGATCTTCAGCCTCATATCCCAGATCTTCTGTAATTTTGTCCCTGCGCACCTGCTGACAATTTTTCAACCAGCCAGGGGAAGTTTAGTCGTGGAGATCAAAAGGATGGACCTCACTTTCATGGTCAATCGCCAAAAATTACTTTATTGCCTCCAACTAAAGGCAGAGATTGACCCGGATCAAGATGCAGGCACGTTTTACGGACTTCAAAGCATGATTGTTCTACGGGAGAGGAGCGATTCTTCACGGCGAAGTCTTCTGACTACCATGGGATGTTTGGTATGTCGACGATCTGGTGTGCATCTTGAAGTGCTGATGGGGAATGATGGTGAATATGCAAAGTATTCTATTGACATGATCTTGGGACGACTACAATGTCCGCCAGAGCCGCGGCTCCTATATACCAAAGCTCTAATTCATGCATACACATCATTTATCTTGCCAGATCCACTAACTGGCCGTACTGGCACCGAAGAAGCATTACACTGCTTACGGTCCGGCTTGTCTCAGCCTTGGAGCCCCTTGCATTTCATCCACGGCCAGATACTACAGCGCATTGCAGACTTAGTACCGCAACGCCGTTACTATCCTAAGGACTTGAGGAGGCAGCAGACGGTTACTTGGAAACCGGAGTTCACCACAACAATCCAACATGATGCGTATCAATCCGTAGTTGATTCGCTTGTGAAAAAATCCCAGCGATTATGGCTTTTTCACACGAATGTGGGGATACCTGAGATGAAAACTACTGAACACGCGTCGATGTTTCTGTGTGAGCGTGCTTATTGGCGTCGGTCATTATATGAGCGACCAGATTCATTTCCGGACAATTTTCCGCCGATTTGCGATTTTCCTTACAATGTCAGAGGAAAATGGTCGCAACCGTGGAGAGCTGCTAATACCCGTGAGATAGTTTCTCTCATTCGTCAGAATCCCAGCTCACTACAAACGACACAGGACTTGAAAGATATCATGAGAACATGGTCAATCATCGGTGGATACAAGAATAATTTCACTCCAAGTTCTATCGCTTCCTGGCTAGGAGCCGACATTGCTCAAGAATGGGGTGGCTTGGTGAATATCTGTAGGAAGGTCTCTCAAGACAGCTACAGCGTCATGTTCCTTTTGGGTTTCATTGCGTTCTCTGATCGTGCCAACATGGATATGCTGCGAACTCTGACTGCATTTTATCTTTTGCAAGATCTGAAAACCCTAGGGCTGCCCGTGGTGTCGTCGCTGAGTGGACTTGATATGGATCAGAAACCGTCTCTAGAAGAGATGTTAAGCCTCATACGTCCATTCTGCCAAGAATACCAGCCGCCCACTTCACATCGCGGAAAAAGGGGTAGGAAAGATCACTCCCATGAAGCAGCACAACAACTACATGAGGAGAGTTGCTTAAAAGAAAGCACTTCGTTTGCACAACATATCTTGGACCAATGGCCGAATCGGAGACCCAAGGCTGAAGAGTTCAGTGGAGAAATCCTCGACAAAGATGAGGCTTTGAATGCTATCTATCCTTATTGGGACAAGCTTCATGATGCTCTAGAGTTTTCTAAGCATATTTCTGAGGTACAGATAATCCTTGATCGACACTACGGACGTTGTCATTTAAACGAGCCCCTGGTGATCGGTTCGGATGTTGAAGTGTACGGATCACACAAAAGGCGGGATTCCGTGATACCTCGTTTAGCAGAGCTTCTTGAGAACATGCAAAGGAAGGTCTTAGATATCAAATCTAAAGCGCATTTAGTCAAAGGGAGTCCAGCTGACAATGCACATCATACTGACCAAAAGTCTTCCCGTGTGGACGGCAAGCAGCGCATAGATCAGAAGCAAGTATTCAGGGTCGAGATCAAAGAGCTTGAGAGAATCGTCACCACACACTTCGTTCATTCTGATAGCTATATGCGCTCAAGATATGGCCGTGACTTGGCACGAAGCATCAATACATTTAGGGATCTGAAACAAGCAGAGGGCCCAACGACCAAGGCGAATATGAGCTTAGACGATGAGATTAGAGGTGCAAGAAAGACGGTCGATGTCCGTTACGACTGCATCTATGATCAACTTGCATTCCAAGATCCTCGATATTCTTGGCTTAGCCGAGCTAATCTCTGGCCATCTCTCAGCCCCGTTTCGATACTGGAGCAGCTGAGGTCTCATTCTTGCTTCAGACTACGGCGTGACACGAAAAAGGCGATAATTGATTATGCCACAGCTATCGCCAACCTCCAACATCTACGTCGGATGGAAGATGCGGTTTTGAAAGGCGATAAAAAACGATTGAAATCAGAGCAGGAAAACAGCGGTTATGTCAATTGGGCACCAGATGATTGTACTGACTGGTTACTGTTAGAGATTGATGCCAATATTCATATTCGAGAAGATCAAGTCACTGTGGCATTAGAGATGATATCCCCGTCTTCAGGCTCCAATTCAGTGCTGCAAATGAATATGGGACAGGGAAAAACCTCTGTAATCATGCCGATGGTTGCATGCGTCTTGGCTGACAGGGGAATGCTTACAAGGTTGCTGGTCCCTAACGCTCTTTTGAACCAGACAGCACAGATTCTTCAATCACGACTTGGGGGTCTGGTGGGTAGAGAAATCACACACATCCCATTTTCTCGTCAGACACCAACGACAGAGACTCATATCCGGGAATATCGGCAACTTCACGAGGAAATGCTTCATTCAGGCGGCATCATCTTAGCTATTCCCGAACATGTGCTATCTTTTAAACTTTGTGGGTTGCAGCGACTGTCTGATGGGAAAATTTCTGAGGCGAAACATATGGTCACCATTCAAGGTTGGATGGATAAAATCTGCCGAGACATTCTGGACGAATGTGATTTCACACTGGCTACCAAAACTCAGCTCGTGTATCCTAGTGGAACGCTGTTGAATGTTGATGGGCACCCACACAGGTGGAAGGTTACCGAGGTCATCCTTGACCTTGTGGCACATCATCTGGGTGACTTGGCGCAGGAGTACCGGCGGAGTATTGATGTTGTAGAGCGTGGGGAGTCTGCATTTCCCGTCGCCCATATTCTACGAGGAGATGTCGAGCAAGCTCTCATACGTAAAATTGTCGACGATATTTGTGCGAGTCGTACCGCGATTCTGTCGCTTTGGGAAAACACATTTGAGGAGCAGCAAGCTATTCGAAAGTTCATCTCTCAAGAAGAAATTGATGAGACCACAATCCAGATTGTTGATAAGATACTATCTGATGCGTCGGCCATTAGAAAGAATGTGTATCTTCTCCGCGGGCTTCTCGTGCATGGCATTCTCTTACTTTGTCTGAAAAAGCGATGGAATGTGCAGTACGGTCTGCATCCTCTTCGAGATCCGGTTGCTGTCCCCTTTCATGCCAAGGGAGTTCCATCTGAACAGGCCGAATGGGGCCATCCTGACGTGGCAATTCTGTTCACCTGCTTGGCTTTCTACTACCAAGGCCTTAGCCAAAAGCAAATCCGACAGAGTTTACAGTTGGTCCTCAAATCTGATGATCCTGCCACCGAATATGATCAGTGGACACAGAATTCTACCTCGCTTCCAGAAGTCTTGCGACATTGGAACATTATCAACATAGACGATGAGGGTCAAGTTGCCGAGATTTGGCGTCATTTGCGTTTTGCAACTGTTGTGGTGAACCACTTTTTGAACCACTTCGTGTTTCCCGCTCATGCAAAGCAATTCAGCATCAAGCTGCAAGCATCAGGATGGGATGTTCCGTTGTTCTCACTCGACGGCAAGACCACATCCAAGGGTAGCAGGCAACCGGGAATTACGACTGGTTTCAGCGGTACGAATGACAATCGAGGCTTACTGCCCCTAACAATCGAGCAACAGGATCTACCGCAGCTATTACATACCAATGCAGAAGTCTTGACGTATCTTTTACAAAAGAGGAACCGCGAATACATCTTGGCGACAGATAGGAATGGCAGGCGTTTCTCAGAGGTTGAGCTCCTCAATCATTTGACTGGAATGAAAATTCGTGTCCTCATTGATGCAGGTGCATTTATTTTGGAAATGGACAACAAAGCATTGGTCAAAGAATGGTTGGAACATGACTGGGAGGCGCAGGCAGCTGTCTATTTCGGCACTGATAACAAGGCTTGGGTCCAATATCGAGGCGGTAAGATTGCTCCATTGCTGGCCACTCCGTTTGCAGATAACCTCGAGGATTGCTTGGTTTATCTAGATGAGGCACATACCCGAGGCACCGATCTTTTGTTGCCAGCGAACGCAAAGGGTGCGCTTACTCTGGGTCCTAATCAAACAAAGGATCACACAGTCCAAGGTAAGACGCCCTCCTGATTTATATTACCTATATCCCCTGCTTCATTTTTCATCATAAGCTGACCGAATATAGCGGCTATGCGAATGCGCCAACTGGGTACGACTCAGTCAATAGCCTATGTCGTACCACCGGAAGTTCATCAAAGTATCCAGGATGTGTGCAATAAACGCCCCAACGATAGGTTTGACTCCTCGGATGTGGTGACGTGGTTACTCCATCAAACATGCAACAACATTGAGGAATTACAGCCGCTTTATCTTTCTCAAGGCAAGGACTTTTGCAATAGGATGCAGGCAGCACGGACATATAAGGATTTCTTGATCAGCTCCCGCCATCGAGAAGCATTTCTGGCAGTGCTACAACAGCCTGAACAGCAAGATTTGGAGCGTTTATATAGCCCCAAAACAGCCCACCTTGATGAAAATATGCCATCTTCCGACTCCACGGGTTTGATTCTTACTGGAAAACTTGTTTCGTTTCAACAAGACCTGACAAAGAGACGTTCGGCCTCCAGTAATGCGTTCAGCTCTGTCAAAAGCTCAGCACTCGAAGAGGTCGAACAAGAGCGAGAGGTTGCGTTCCAAGTTGAAGAAGAGAGAGAACTACAACGACCCCAACGGATGCGAGCTCTACAATTTTCAGGTCTACATAAAACTATTCGTGACTTTGTGGCCACTGGTATTTTGAGCGGACAGGAAGGGTACACCATGGCATCGACAGCACTGAAAAGGACAAAGATTGGAAGTAAGTACGGGGACTACGCATCGCGGCTCATTAGTCATTTGTACCTGTCCATTGAGTTTCTGAGGACGGTAAAAACCAGGAACAAAACTAGTCTTGACAATTTCACTGTAAGTACAAACACTAGTATTTTATGGGTTCTATTATGAGCTGACAAACTTTCTGTTCAGCGCCCAGTGAATTGGATCCTTTGGAGTGAGGTGTCTCATATTGCTATGGTTATCATACCTGAGGAGGCTGAAGTTGTGATACCTATGCTAAGAGCTGCGGAGAGATCACCTGTCTATCTCTTCATCTACGCTGCACCAGTTACTCGGAAAATGCTACACTTTGATACCCTGAGTTACTACGCGATTCCGAATCTGCCATTCCTCTGGAAGCCCCCAATATGGTTATCTTTCGAACTCGGCATTCTAGCCGGAAGACTCTACTTCAACTTCCCGGAATACGAGGGGCTCCTGGAGAAATTCAATGCTATCGAGCAATATGATAGTGATAGTCGAGTAGCTTCGTCATCGGACGTCCAAGGGAATTCAAAGAACATACTTGCATTCCTCAACGAATGGCTAGCGATCCGGCGTCAAGGACAAGACATTACACATACCCCAATGGGGTATGTGTGCCAAGGCCGGAAGCTACGCAGTGATCACCCATTTTTCCTACAGAGGTCGACTAAGCAAGTCGAATTACCTAATGGGTTTACTGCAAGCTACCAGAAAGGCTGTGATGAAGAGGACGAGGATTACTATTCTGACCTCGATGATGTTGAAGGATCTATTGGAGGGAACGAAAAGGAGGAAGATGTGAAGAAAGAGTTAGAAAAGGACAGTATCAAGGAGGAGCCTGATGCTGTCATGGCAAATGCTATGTCGATATCAATGGATACATCTTCAGAGAAATCTGCTGTTGACAGATACAAGGTTGTTGTATGAGATACAGTTGAGCTACTTGACGGTTTACGTATATGCCAATAAAACCAATGTATGGATACTAATTGTGATTGCACGTATAATAGAGATTGGTGGTCAGTTGTTGTACCGGGGTTGAATAGTGTTTTCCATTTGGAATTGGGGATGGATGAAGTCGATGAGCTGAATGCTGTGAATGTACCGTTGTGACAGCTATGATAAAGAATCAACTGTATACAGGCCATTGTGATCGTTTATTGACTTTGTAGTGATACTAGCTTTCTCGAGCAGGGATGAGTGTTTAGGTATGCCTAAGGCATGCTGCACTCCGCAGTTTAGCTGCGTTGTTGCGGGGAAAGCGCCGAGGTAATCACGTAATTTTCCAAGCTGTAACTTAATTTGACCTCCGCATCTTTATTCTCGACCATCTCTTGCTGGCTTTCACATTGAGCACCATAAATGACAATGTCTCCTACTCATGGATTTCAAAGATCCCAATTCAGTCACTTGCTGACATTAGGCTCTGCGCAGCGCAATATCCGTTTGTTCTCCGCCGCCAGCTACAGATTCAGCTCCTCTTATCTGTCGTCACCCCAAACACCACCAACACAAGAATCAACGGCTGTCAAGAAAGCGAAACCACACAGAATTGACCCGCGATGGCTGACGGATACCAAACGACGGATTGGAAAATGTCTTATGTTCGGCTTGAAACCGGCGCAAGTGGATGAGGCGGGGAGGATATTACAGCGTTTAGCGAGGGATTGGAGGGAATTGATAGCTGGTACTGATGGGTTTTTGACGCATACAACAAGGCGAGCGCTTTTTCGTCGTGATGTTGTGTGGGGGGATATGGTATTTACTCTCGTTTAGATATTCTTCAGTGGTGGTGACTAATAGTTGTATTATCGAGATAGGACTCCATGGTAAGATCCAGACCTGGCCGTCTTTTCTCAACTCGTGATTTGATTTGCGCCAGAGCTGATCATGCGTATCTAGGGTCAGTGAGCTTTCTACAAAGTATGACTGCCAATCTCACAGTTTCCGTCCAGGCCATATCAACAATGTAGCATATGTACGGTACGCTGAAACGGCACGAGTCAACTTAATGCACAACTACGCAACACATATCGATCCTGCGCACCAACAGGAATGGCTGAACACAGTTGGGAATAAAGGGATCGGCTTAATCTTGCAAAGTATCAAGATAGACTATAAATTTGTCTGTCTGTTCATCTCTGCGCAGAGATAGACGTTTGCTAACATGAGGAGATATAGCCCATGACCTGGCCCGACAAAATCACAGTCTACCACCGACTCACTCAGAACCCATCAGATACTCTGACAAAATCATATTTCCAGCAAGAAGCTCTGATTCTGTCGGAATGTAAACAGCGTCCGGCGGCACGAGTCATAGAACAGAATTTCCTATATGACTACACGCAACTGCGCAAAACGGACACTGCGCCGGAATTTATGCTGCAACAGTTTCAAGAGGCATGGGCGCTGCAAGAGGAGAGTAAGAAACTGTGGCAGCAACAAGTTGCCGATATCGAGAATGAGGTGCGCAGGCTGGAGCTGGAGAGTTGGAATAATCCTAATGCGGTTGAGGATATGGGATCCGCTGGATAGGTCATCTATATCCTATGGATACATAGACTCAGATATAGAGCTCTCATAACTATATAGATTACAGAAGCGCAAATATGATTGGATATCATGAATATCACATGATAGCAACGATTGGCCATCTAGATGAAACGTTTCACCCTAAAACGATGATGACAATCACATGAGGGACGAAGCTGCAAGCCTGCAACTACTCCTTAGACCGAGCACTACTGTACACTATCACGGATACGACAAATGCTATCTCTTCAACCGTCAAGTGTAGATTCCGTATGGAGTAGAGACGGTAAATAGGCTCCTGGTCACTCGTGATTGGCTCTGATATACTCCGCGATCAACCAACTAGAACGCGATGATCTGCGGTTTTTATCCTTTTTTAGCCAGACTTTAGCCTCGGTCTCAAATACGTAGTTGCGTAAATATTACCATACCGAGTGTGTTTTTGCATTGGTTCAAACATCATGCAAGGAAGATCATGTTTATTACCCCTCTTGTCGGCTGGATTTGACGAAGCCCTAGTCGAGTAGTCATAAAGTTCCCAGTTACCGAGTTATGCAGCAAGTATACGAACACGATGGGTTCTCCCATGAATTATTTATCAAATGTTGTTGAAGAGACGACACGGAGAGGACTCCGGTTCATCGTTTAAATAGCCCTTTCGGCAATCTGTATCTGGTAACGAACGGCAGTTTTGTATTGGTATTCGTCTCTCCGCGGAAAGATCATGGTTGTTACACTGCGTAGATATGTACGTACTCGATTCGATTCATTGTATTTACATGTACAAAGGACAAAGAACTTGTGTGTTTCTCGTGTCTAGCTTGACAGTAAGCTGCTTAGAGAATTGCTCTCGGTTTAGCTTTGCAGAGAAACATCTGTCCTACCTAGACAGGTTGACGCAAGACAGTTGTCTGTACTCCATGCATCTACATCCCGGTCTATGTGCGGGGTGTGGGGGTTGTTGTATGTGTTGTATGATCAGATGCAAAGCAGATCACTGTGATACTAACTAGGGAGTCGGGACACACCATAAGCATACCTCAAACTGGCCGCTAGTCAATCATAGAATGTGCCAAGTGCTTCAACATAATCGCAACTCTGGAATGCTGTCCCACACCAACATCTGATGCATCGGTACTCCGTACAGATGTAAATACAAGATACGTACCGATCGAAGCTTGTTCCATGAAGGGAAATGGTACAGAAAAATTAAGAAAAACGATGTTGGTCTGTCCTTGCAGTCCCATTGGCCAGTCTGCATGACGATCGACGACAATCGCCCAAACAGGACTAGCCGGCTGCACCAGCCAACTTAATTTCCTCAGCCGACGACTTTTCCGGTCACGCACTTTCCCTGTTTGGGCGTAGTGCATGCAGTTGAGTGTCCCGAACAGGTAATTTACACAGGGCGAGGATTTGTGTAATCGGTCTGTATCCATACATTCTTTGGTAACATACTACTGAGTCATCCAGCCCAGCCGAAAAGTTCCTCTTTCTTCTATTCCTGTACAACTTTACTCGCACGAACGGCGCTTCCGCTCTGACTAGTATTACTATTGTAATCATGTAATTCAGTAACTAAGTAAGTAAGAATCTAAGAATCTTATTCATGTATTAGCCCCGACTAATTATTGTTAAGTAATAATACTCCAAGTTGATTGTTCCTCGTTTCAATTTTTTTGCCTGGGTCTTGGCAGATCCGTTTTTCCCGCCGCGTCGCCTTCCAACCATCACATCCCCTTCTGCCCTTTGAATTAATTTCCTTCCTCTTAACTCTTCCCACACCTTTCTTCATCCCTCCTCCTCCTCCACCAATCCATCCTCTCTGAGGAATCTCTCCGATACATATTATCCTCACCTCTCAGTATATACTCGCACCGGGTGCACCGACCGATTAATTTTCCCTCCTAATCCTATATCCTACACTGCCTGGTCCCTAGTCCTTGGCTGCTCGCTTGCCAAGCTGACTCGGTACTGGGCTCTGACGCCGTTCGCTCGTCCATGCCACGCTCAGCCGCTGCGGCTCGAAGAGGTCATCACAACAACACCAACGGCAGTGTGAACGGTAACAGTCGAAATGAAAATGGTCATGCCGTCAATGGAAAGCGTTTAAACAAGCAAAAATCATCGAGCCACCTGAACGGTAATGCTAGCGGCAGTAGTACTTTGCATTCCGCGCCCCATCTCGATCTCCGTTCGTCCAGCGACTCATCGGTCATAACAACCTCAAAGGCAGACGCTGCAGCAGTCGATGGACTCAAAGGAGACAGTGCCGACCACGTTTATACTAACGGTTCCGACCATAAGGCTAATGGCGACATGGCGTGCGGACAATCCAGCGGGATCGTCTCGGCGGACTGCGGATCATCTTCTTCCAAGCCGGCATCAGCTTCCAAGCGCCATAACTCGTCGTCTGTAAATCCGTTTCTGTTGGCCTCGACAATTCTCCGGTCGTGCCCCCTGTACGATACCATCGCCATCTTGATCTTCCTTTTGCAACTGCCTCCGATCGTCCTCACTTTGGTTCAGTTTCTCTTCGCCTCATTGACCTTTATGCCACCGGGCGGTGGATCCGGATCGTCGTTTACCTCGAATTTTGATATTTTCCAGGGTCCCGCCGGTACACCTTCGTTTGGGACCATGATCGCCATGGACGGGTTCTGTCTTTTGCTTTGGGGTCTCTTTATGTGGACCTGGGCTCAAAACTTCGCCTTAGATTTGGCTCATGTACAGGTTGCCATTACCCTCGGAGGCGGCGGATCCGGTAAGAACGGCGGTGTCAATGCTCTCTGTGTCGGTACAGTGTTGCTTCTGCATATTGTCAGAAGTAAAGGCATACAGGACTTTGTTATCGGCCATCTTACCTCGGCCCAGATAATAAGTCCGGATATTCTATCGCGCTGGTCACATTTAATTCCTCCTGAATTCAGGCGAACGGAACCACAGACATCACCCAGTTGGCTGAGAAGTCTTCTCGCTATTCATATCTTAGCGCAAGCCGGTACTGCCATGGCAAGAAGATCGATGGCTCGAAATCGATCACCTCAACCGTCTCGTTCCGGAAAACGTATCGATGCCGAGGCCTCTGCTGGTTCCCAAGCTCAGATCGACTCCGCATTTGAATCCACGGCAAGTATGACGTCTTACGGAGTCGATGGTTCAATATCCGGCCCTTCTGCGCTAAAGGAAAGTAGGGAAAGACTTCAAAGTGCCAAAAAACGAAGAAGACAGGCAAATCAGGTTCGAAGTAGACAGCCGTTTTGGGCTGCACTTGCGAGCACGAAGGTAACCGTTATGAGAGAATATGAGCATTCTAGAGCTGTTTCGAAAACGACCCGCGGCCTTCCAATGACCGAAGATGATCTACAAGGGATCACACTTGACGATGGTTTGGTTTGGATTACAAGCGTGGACAGTTCGACAATCAAGTTCGCCGCTGGCGACTTTGCCGCAGCAGAAGACAATTCGAGTTCGACCGTTTGCGAAAATGGAAAATTGGAAAGTAACGCCGTGGAACCATTCTATGTCTGTGTTAATGGGGCTTTATGGGCTACAACCAACATGTGCAAGGTCACGGATGGACCTAAGGGCTCCAGTGCTGTACAATGGAGGGGTGAAATATCTGGATTAGCCCCGAACTGCCCCTATACCTGCTCCTTTATTCGCAATGACAACGACGAAGAGATCTGCTCGCTTAGCGTCAAGACACCCCCCGCACCAGACACAGATCAGAGTGTTGCTTCTATGATGCCAACTCCGCCTCGCCCTTTCCATCGACCTTCTTCACCGACTTCAACGCTTCGGAATTCGATTGCAAATGCGGAATCGAAATTGAACGAAAAACGTTCTCGCTTGAAAAAGGCCAAAGCTGACCACAAGATTCTATTATCTCGCATCAAGAAGGAGTTGGACAACTTCAACCACCGATTGAGCAGTGGAAACGATGAAAACCGACAAAAACAACGATCATTGCAGCTAGAACGAAATATCCGCCAGACCGAAGAAGCCACGGCCGCTCTTGAATCGCAACTTGACAGCTTAGACAAGATACCTGAAGAGGAGCTTGAAGAGTGGCAGAAACAAAAAGCTGAGTTTGATCGGGAGATGGAACGACTCAAATCCGCCAAGGAAGAATTGTTGAATACCCGTACATCCGTTGCCCGCGACCTGGCTTCGTTAGAGTCGGATCTCGCCTCGGCAGTTCAAAAACGTGACCGTCTGCAGAGCCGCAAGGCCCGACTCAATGAACAGTATGAAAGAATCATCTCGGCTAATGCACAGGGTCTGAACGAACGAGAACGTCGAGCCGCAGAACAGTTCGCTCGGGAGCAGGAGCAAGCTAAGATTGAAGCCAATTTCAATGAACAGTTAGCAAGTATCAGCCGTGCCGTACAAGATTATCAAATGCGCACCAATCAGTTGTGGCAACAAGCGTCCGGCATCGAACAAGCGATACAGCAACAGCAACAGCAGATGCTTTTTGAAACCGGCCCTTTGACTCCCGAAGGAGTTCTTCCTGGTACTCGCCATCTACACGAAGAAGAGGAGGCTGAAGGGGTCGAGCTAGACAAGGGCCCATCTATCAACAACTTGACCATTACACCTGCCAACAGTCGGTCAATTTTGGGTGCCAGCTTTTCTGCGCTTAGGGCTAGCCCTCAAACGACTTCTTCGTTTCTTGCTAGCTCAACTTCCCAAACTGTTAGTCCGTTGCAAGCCACCAGTCTCCAGCCCGGATACCAAGCATCACCTCGTGCGAGCGTCAACAACTACTTTGGGGGACGTGATTTCTCTTACCGGGATCGATCCTCTTCCAATCGCTCAGCAAGGAGCAGCTTGTATGCCGATCTTGATTTCGATCTGAATCGTTACCTGCCCGAGCCAGCGGATCGTCTCAGTTCTGTGTCCGATGGCAAAGGTCGCACCAGCCCGACTTACGGTCCTATTGGCAGTCCGTTTACACGAGCCGGAAGTCGTGGTAGTGGGGGCAGCAGTGGTAACAGCGGAAGTGGCAGTGGAAGCGGTAGTCCTCGGTCTACGCGTGCAGAGGGCTTGTAATTTACAGGTCATTTGTGCTCGCGGCGGGGAAGTGATGCTATGGAAGTGTGCAGATATTTGCGTTCTGGATAAGTCTGGTCTCTTGTTATCTTTTCTGTGCTTAGTGCGATGGTCCTGCGGAGTGAACTTTTCTTCCGTCCAGCTGGTCGATCAGTACTGCAATTAGTTTATAACCTTGGTGGAATCGTCCACGGTTTGTCTCCTTTTCGCAGGTGGGCAAAACGCGAAGGGAGATGACTCCACATATGTGTGTACTTTTTGACTAGATAGATCAGCTCAACGGCAGCCTCGGAGCTTGAATCAAAAGAATCCTGCCTATCTATGATTCTGTTGTGTTCGTAATATACAGCTATTTATACATTATCTCTAACATGGTCTTTCATGCCTCCTCGCCCATCTCCCAGAACCGGGTATCGGCATACATCAGGCAGAAATCCTCTTTCGTATGTCGCGACGCTTCTGGTCCCTGTTGCAATGCAGTATCGCCAGTTGTGCCAGGTGATAATATCCTCTGCACATTCCCAAGCACAATCATATGATCGTATACCTGTACCGACTTATCAGGCAGATATTCACATTCAAGTATAAACGTGAAATCCTCCTCTTCTTTAGTATCATGTTTCGCTTCATCATTATTCCGCCTTCGAATAAGCCGTGGTAATATCCTTTCAGATGTCTTATTATCGCCTGAACTGGAGATACTATCCTGCTTTAAAGAGTCAAATTCGATAAACTCAAACCGATCCAATTCAACATTCACATTCCCCCTCGAAAAGTTTCGCGCTAATCTGGCCATTGTCGTCGTAGGAGCTAGTAAATGCACCAGGAATCGCCCTGAGGATTGCAGTGCCGCGAGTGTCTCGGAGGGTTGCCGTACGTTAAAGGTTATGATTGGTTTTGGGTGGAGGGTTACTGTGTTGAAGGATGATACTGTCATTCCTCGGGGTGATGGTCTTGTAGTTGATGTGGAGGAAGAAGAGTACGCGGTGACGATGGCGACTGGATGAGGGATGCGGCGCATTAGGAGGCGAATTTTATGTGAAAGGGAGGACTCGGTTTCTGGGTCTGAGGGTTTGTGATGGTGTTTGGAGAGTTTGGTGGTTGTGGATGAGAACGGTCGACATTGACATGTTGATTGTGAGTCTGTAAGAGCAATAATTCAGCAACTGGAACCAATTGAGAAACTCAGGACTTTGCGCTGTAATGCTATGCCAACTTACTGCTGAATTCATACAATCCTCGTCTTTGTGTTGCTCGTACGGAAAGTTGCGGCGATATGAGCAATTTCATATTGCCCGCGAATCCTGAGGCACGGAGATGCCTCGATAAAACAATGCTAAATATTTGAATATGCCTCTCAAGCCATCATACTCCGATTTCAAGATTTATCAATGCTGAATCCTGCTTGAGTGTCTTTGGAGATCGAAAATGATATTGATCAAGGCAGAGCTTGGTTAACCAGTTGGAGTTAGTCTATCGCTTACATAAGACAATCTTAAATTATTCGACCTCCGCAAGATTTGTCGGACTTACCGCGACCTCCTCCATCAGACCATCACAGGAGCACAATTGAGCAGACATACAGAATCTGAATCAATTGACGCGCCATGTCGCTCAACACTTCCTTCCGCCGTGCTACATCCGGCACTGGTCCGTCGACAACTTTATCCAGGACCATACTAAAATCCTCACCCACCTCCTCAACATCAACTCCATCAACATACATCTGCAACCAATGCCGACATGCAAGTCTCTTACGTCGCCCCAAACGACCATACACTTTCACTCAACTCGTCGCTCTATCAGACGGCAGTACATTCATTCACCGCACCACCTCACCCACGCCCGTCTACCGCTCAACCCGCGACACGCGCAATTCTCTCCTCTGGAACCCAACTAGTAAGAAACTTCTAACCGTCGAAGACGACGAGGCAGGACGACTAGCGGCTTTCCGTGCCAAATTCGGTAGAAGTTTTGATCTTGCCAGTACCGCTGCAGAGGAAGTTGCTGCTGCTGTTGGACCAACAGCGGCCCAGAAGCAGACAAGCCAGAAATCAGATTTGGAGCAAAAGCAGGAAGCGGAGAAGATGGATGCTGCGGCTGAAAAGGCTTTGGCGCAGGAGGAGGCGGATTTGCAGGAAGAGGAGGATAATTTGTTGGATTTGATTAGTTCGTTTGGCCAGCAGCAGGATAATACTGGGAAGAAGAAATAGATTGCTCGACATTATCTTTTCGTACTGCATCTACTCTTCCAGCATTCATGATTTCATCTTTCTACCTCAGATTTTACCATGTATATTAGGATCAATGTTTCATTCTATCAAATTGTGTACCCCTTCCTGAACATCTTCCACTTTTCTTGACACCATCCTTGCCATGCTCGCCATTCGAATCACCACGGTAATTGATAGCCGTGCTCAAACTGACTATGCGTGCGAGAGTGAGAACGACTATCATCTTCCCCTCCTACGGGCCATACCTCACTCGCAGGATCAGCCTCGATGGGTCGTCGGTTATCAATCGTTTGCCACTCGTCATTTTCTGGCCGCTCACATCCTCCAGGATTGTAGAAAAACGGCCGTCGAGCACGTGGGTTTTGACATCGAAGCCAGCGTCCGACTGGTGTGCAGAAGAGGGTTGCAAGGAACCATATGAAGCATACGATTCCGAGTGTGACTTTGGCAAAATATTCGAAGGGTTCTTCTTGGTCTTCGGTCGTCATTTTGATTGCTCTGTTCGATAGAGTTTCTTGGACAGGCTTGTTGTGCTCGATTACTCGTTTGATTTGTCGAGTTAGGGCTTGTTCTGGTCTTCGAGCAGTATGATAGAAGTAACAAATATGTCTGAACACTGTATATGAAAGGATAGAAATTGCGAGATACGCATTTTTTTTATTCTTCTAATTATATGATTATTGCTAAGCCTTTGTGTTCTTGTGTCGTTGTTTCCCTCCATTAGCCACTCTTTTCGGTACTGCCAGGCCAAACATTGTGAAGAGTACGGTAATTACCGTAGATATTCTCTGCTCTAATCAGATGAATATTTAGGTTGCAGGAATTCTGTGTAATACTACCTATTCCACAAGAATGAAAGACGAAAGATCACCGGCTATGTAAACTGAAAGATTCATATGCAGTTCATGACTTGGAAGGGCTGCTACTCAGCTGTCCACTACTCATATGTTAATAGATAGTTTCTTATGGATCAGAGTATGGAGATGATATCATTTACAAAAATAGAAAAGTAAATCTCATAGCAGTGATGGTATACTGGGTACAGGTATATCAGAAAGCCTCACAGAAAGCACTAGTGTGTCTCCTCTGCCGCTACAGCAGCAGCAACAGCAGCAGCCCTCTCCTCATCAGGATTGGATTGTGCAGGTTCATTGTTAGACTCGACTGCCGCTGCTTCTTCTGTTCCATGATTCTCTGGCTGGGGTGGATAGAGAGGGTTGCCCTCCTCTCCAGCATCAAGCTGGAGCAAAAAGCTCTCCCATAGTTCGATCAACTTGACAGTTATTAGTAATGAGTCCTTAAAGGTTGTATATAGATAACATACCTCTTTCTGAGCTTCGACAGCTCCTTCTAAGAAAGTCTCTACACCCGACTTGAAATCCTCCACTTTCTCCTTTTCGAATCTTTCCAGCTCATTTCGCATTAGTCGGCCCATATCCTCAAACAATAGCCGGCTTTGATGGACCTTGCGCTCCGCATCGGCGACGTCAGCATTACTCTGGTTGATACGATCCTGCTGCGACTTCCCCTGTCGAAGTAACTTTTCTTGCGTATGTCTTCTCTTCTGAAGCTCTGCTTCAGCTGCATGCCAGCTGTGGAAGGACTTTTGTCGCTGAGAGAATGCTGTCTTGATACTACCAATTAGTCGGATATATTCGTCAATGGTAATTCCTAATGTAAGCACGTCTTGCTGTGCCTGCCGCTCATAGAGTTCACGTATCCGTAGCTGCAGCTCCGATAGACCTTCTAGCGGACCTGAAAGGACGGGAGATAATTCAACTGCCGCCAATGCATGAAGAGAAGCCGAAAAATCACCCGCGGCTTCAGCGAGACCTTTCCTTTGAGCAACAACAGTGTCAATAGCTTTCATTAAGGCCTTCAGTTGATTCTCCAGGGCATCAAGGTAAATTTTGCGATCATGGAACCACTAGATATCGTCAGCATTGACACTCAAATAGGAAGCGAACGATACTCACGTCGTCATGCTCAATGAACTTGCCGCCTCCACCGACAGACAAGCCTAATGAGCTAAACATGCCCTTGCTCTGACCCAAATCAGGCTCGCGATTCTCTTTATTCTTCACGTCAATTCCAAATGTCTCACTCTCCAAGAATATCTTGAGATCTGCATCATGCTGAAGAATTGGATGTGCTGCAATCTTGTTAATCATGCGCTCCAGGGCAGCTCGTCGTGACTCTACAAAGTTGGTGTCAAAGCGGCCAACAGCCTGTTTCTCTGGTGGAGGGGGGACGACAACACCGGGGTTGTTGTTGTGTAGCTGATTGTAAATCCACAGGAAGTCTCTGTATCGGCGGCTGACTTCGAATTCAGGTCGTCGGTATGCTTTCGAGGTAGTCTATTGCTATTAGGCTAGCGCAAGTGCTAAGGTCTCGCTGAACACCCACCTTGGTACGAATCTGATATACGATATGACTGCTGGTCAGATCACCAACTTTGTGCGGGTCTCCCACTGTGATGTTGAACGTCGGCTTGGCAGCTTGTTCAACGCTTATACTAGGCTGAGTTTGTCGCTTTGGTGCTGCCTCAGTACCTGGAAACTGAACTGGCGGTGGATTAACGGTTCGTTGCTGTTCATCGCTCCGGTCGACGGATGCTCCGGCAGATGATTGCGCTGAGGAATAAGCCGGTTGTGCAACTCGCGCACCCCCTGTTTCTTTGAGTGGTGGTGTAGGCGCCTCCTCTGTGATAGTTGACTCCCCTAGGGGTCCCAGAGGATCTGATGTGTCATCGACCGCTTCCAATTTGGTGACCTGCGCGCTGACTTTTCGGGACGTTCTGGGTCCACGTCGAGCGGGAGATCGAGGCGCAGCTAAGGATTCCTGTGTCGTGGGTTGAGCGGTGGTAGTAGCGGTAGTGGAGCTCTCTATAACCCATTTCGTCAATATACTATACCATACATCCTATGAGAGCAGCACTTACCGGTTTGTCTGGTCGAGGTCGAGGGTTCATCTGCGCAACACGCTATCAACATCAACGGCTTCAATGCATTGACTGGTAGTCACTTACCACCCCACGGGGATTCGCCGCCGTCCAGATCCATAGCCACAATCGATTTGCAATTGTTCGAAACGCCAGTAAACAAATAAATGAATAGCTGGCGATAGGAGTTCACGAGGACAAACAAGTATGAGGGGACCTTCAGATGAGGGAAGTCGGGGCTGTGGAGATGGCGGCTTCCCGGCGGTGTTTTAAGCTCGTGGTTGGCCACAGGCAGCCGCAATACAGATTCTGCCCATGTATCTCGAATTCTATCATTTTTCTCTGGCTATTATTCTTTTCAAGTTAAGCACCTAATTACTTAAATAAGGAATCCATCTAATTGTCCATGGCAAATATATTCAGATATAAAAATATGTAAACTCAGAGGATAACCTCGAAACCCATAACTCATTAGTGGCATCATCTATATTCCTCGAAATGATCTCATTTGGTCTTGTTGATGTCCCATGGGAGACCCAATTTGTGCATCTCAACGGCAAGCTGGAAAAGCCAGTCTAGGCTCTCACACTGTGTCTTTGCCTTGGCGGGCGTATCACCCCAGACATAGCTAGCATGGGTCAGTGCACGAAATCGGACGTGTGGGAGTCAAAGAGTACTTACATTCCATGGCGACGAACCAACACCGCATAGGTATCCGGGTTGGCAGCGATGGCTCTCTCAAGTCCTTCAGTGAGGTCCTCCTCGAAAGGTGTGTTGTCAATGATAGGGATTCGGAGCGTATCGTGATAGTTGTGCATTCCTTTCCCTTTCCCCTTGGGAATACCCTTAATTTGCTCGATATTGCTAATTTCAAAATGAGCTTCTTTTCCATATATCCGTTCCACCAACAACGTCACCAGCACAGCCCATTGGGAGTGCGTATGGATGCAGCACATGGCCCCGCGCTCGAACGCAGTGAGAAACAACGGAGTGCAGTCGGACGGCTTCAAGTTTTTAGGCTTGCGAATGTATTTCCTCTCGGATGGTGGATATTTCGGGGTCGGAAATTGCATCACGAATATATTCTCAGGCTGGATGAGTTCCTTCTGAACGCCGGACGGGGCGATGAAAATGTGATCCCCATGGCGAATTGACGTCTGTAGAACTCGATTTAGCGAACCAATTCAATAGTGATATATCGTCTTGCTGGTAAAGAGGATGTTGTGACACTTACCCCGCCACCAGTGCCTGTAACCCATCCCCAAGTGTAGAACTTGCGACACATCTCGGGGATCAGGTTAGCGGGATGTTGTGGATCCGAGGACTGAACAAGATGATCATTGTTCTCCTCATTGTCAAGGCCGCTCGCAATGACGACCTGAATGTTAGTAGCTTCTGGCATGACTCAGATTCTGATCGATAAACGCGACGTCTTATTAATAGTCCAGTGTAATTTGGTCTGTCGTGAAAATAGTGCCAGGAACAACCCCACCTTGGTCGCCATATCGGGCAGGCGGTAAAATGGTCTGAGTAATTGCGACTCCACATCTTTGTAAGTAGCATATGCTCAACAGTCGCACTGATATGATATATATTCGCGTTCGCATTCGCATCCTAAGCCAGCCCACGAACCGCTACAAAGTTGGGAGGAAACACAGTAAGAATACGCTTGTCTTTCCACCATCAAGAACCACGAAGCATACGAACTACGATCTTCACGGACAATACCGAACAGTACCGAACAGTGCGCTCTCAATGTCGATATTCGAGAACCATTGGGGAGGCATTAAGAGTATGGTCCAGGTAGACTTTTCAGAGAGGAGAAGTCCGATACAAGAACGTCCTCAGACGTGGAGTTGAGGAATATATAACTACGAGTCCGCTACCAGCCAACATGCTTGGTAAGTTAGCATGGAAGTATCAGCAGTAGAGACGACACGCGCTGTAGCTACTCATAGCTACAAAGAGCGCCTGGACAGCATCGCATATTGCATCCAGGATGGACGACCTAAGGCATCTATTGTGTCAGTGCCGCTGCCTGAGAATTACGGCATCAAACATTGACCGCTGCATGTTGTCGTAAGGACCGCTATGATTGGCTAATCGAGCGCAACACGACTTCTGATTGGCTGTTCCCTCAATAGTTTTACCCCGGTAAAGCTCCTGACATATTATAGTTCCTCCATCCGTATAAAGCATTCTGAGTGAGGTATACTAGTATGTTAGAATTGGACTCACAGAGGCTCCCGTAGAAGTGTAGAGTGACAATTATACAATGCTGTCCGCCGCAGATGAACATCTGTTCAAAGAAGCTCATGGAAAGTTGGTGCGGAGAAGACTAACTACGGCTGGGCTAAACCGAGTGGAGTAGCCATTCAATATGTAGATTCGAAGAAACAGCCTGACTCCGTGATGATCAAGCAAGCAACTCTCGTGACTGTCGAATACTCGTGTAAATAGTAATTAGCAGTGTATTAGAGTGCGAGATTTATATAGATGGAGTAAACTAGAGAAGGAGGAAAGAGAGAAAGAGCCAACACGTGAGTCCGCAAGGAAGGCAGGCTTATCTAATCGGGACTAATCCCAAAGGATCCATGGGAAGCTCCGATCATTGACCAGTGAGAAGAGGCCACCTTTGACGATTGCGTCGAGCTTGAAGTTATATAGCCCGACTTTCCAACGCCCGCCATCTTCTTTCCTTCGAGTTGTCGCTGCTGCTGTTGTCCCTTGTTATTCCCTCCACTGGGTATTTTGAAATTTGTCTCTCCCTCGGAAAGGAGTTGCTGGCTCTCTTCTCTCTTTCATTTTTCTCTGTGGTTCCTGACAAGCTGTCACCATGCGTTTCAACGCTGCTTTGACTTCGGCCTTGGTGTCGTCGGCCGGCCTGATGGGTCATGTCCTCGCCGACGAAGTCGAAGTGCCAGCTCCCGATGCCACTTCCTCCAGCATTGAGCGTCCTACCTTTACCGTATGTATATCGCGCTCGTTCTGCTCATCTCGGTTGATCGCGCACTAACACTGTCACTTCTCACCAGCCCACATCCCTCAAAGCTCCCTTCTTGGAGCAATTCACTGATGACTGGGAAAAGCGATGGACCCCTTCCCACGCGAAGAAGGAGGATTCCACTTCTGATGAAGACTGGGCCTACGTCGGAGAATGGTCTGTCGAGGAGCCTACTGTCTTCAAGGGTATCGAAGGCGACAAGGGTTTGGTGCTAAAGAATCCCGCTGCACATCACGCCATCTCGGCCAAGTTCCCCAAGAAGATTGATAACAAGGGCAAGACTCTTGTTGTTCAGTACGAAGTCAAGCCACAAAGTACGTTTTTTCGCAACAATTCCTGGCTTGTGAATACTAACAACCGTCTTTAGACTCCCTTGTTTGCGGTGGCGCCTACTTGAAGCTGCTCCAGGAGAACAAGAAGCTTCACCTCGACGAATTCTCCAATGCTTCTCCTTACGTGATCATGTTTGGTCCTGACAAGTGCGGTAGCACCAACAAGGTACGACCGGCCCAACCATGCGGCTTGGTAACAAGACTAACACAGTTTAGGTCCACTTCATCTTCAAGCACAAGAACCCCAAGACCGGTGAATACGAGGAGAAGCACATGACCAACCCACCAGTCCCCCGCACCGACAAGACTACCTCCGTCTACACGCTTATCGTGAAACCCGACCAGAGCTTCGAGATTCTGATCAACGGCGACAATGTTAAGAATGGTACTCTTTTGGATGACTTCTCCCCTGCCGTCAACCCTCCCAAGGAGATTGACGACCCCAAGGACAAGAAGCCCAGCGACTGGGTCGACGAGGTGAAGATTCCTGACCCTGAGGCTACGAAGCCTGAAGACTGGGATGAGGACGCTCCATATGAGATTGTTGACGAGGAAGCCACTAAGCCTGATGACTGGTTGGAGAATGAGCCACTTTCCATTCCTGATCCTGAGGCCGAGAAGCCCGAAGATTGGGATGACGAGGAAGATGGTGACTGGATCCCTCCTACCGTTCCCAACCCTGCTTGTGCCGATGTCTCTGGATGTGGTCCTTGGACTACCCCCATGAAGAAGAACCCTGCCTACAAGGGCAAGTGGTCTGCACCTCTCATCGACAACCCTGCTTACAAGGGACCTTGGGCTCCTCGCAAGATCGCCAATCCCGACTACTTCGAGGACAAGACTCCTTCCAACTTTGAACCCATGGGAGCTGTAAGTGTAGAAGCTTTGAATCAACCGAGGACTGTTGGCTGACTATTTTATAGATTGGTTTCGAACTCTGGACCATGCAAAATGACATCCTCTTCGACAACATCTACATTGGCCACTCTGTTGAAGACGCTGCTGCTTTCCGTGAGGAGACCTACGCTGTCAAGAAGCCTGTTGAGGTTGCTGAGGAGGAGGCCTCCAAGCCCAAGCCTGAGAAGAAGATTGACACGGGCCTCACTTTCAAGGAGGACCCTGTGGCCTTCGTTCGCCAGAAGGTCGATCTTTTCGTCAGCCTTGTTAAGCAAGACCCTCTTGATGCAGTGAAGACCGTTCCCGAAGTCGCCGGCGGCTTGGGAGCTATCTTGCTTGCTACCATCTTGTTCATTTTCGGCGCCATCAGCTCCAGCAGCCCTGCACCCACCAAGGTTGCTGAGAAGGGCAAGGACGCTGCTACCGCTACCAAGGAGAAGGCTGCTGAAGCTGTCAGCTCCGCGGCAGACACTGCTAAGGGCGCCACCAAGCGTACCACCCGATCCTCTGCTGAGTAGATTATTTGAGAAAGAGAATCAGAAGAGAGACTGGTTCATTAATGTTAGGTGATCATATACCAAGCAGTCTTGTGACTGCCCCCACACTATATCCTTTGCCTGGAACAGTAACCATTACGCACGACGAGTTATCGGCAGTGCAGATGATGAGGAGGGATACAGGGCAACAGAAACTCAACGGGGGATTCCATACTCATTTCATGGACTCAAAAGTCCTATTTTACGAGGCGTTTAGTATTTAGTCAGTTCTGTTTTCAACACGTGTATACTGTTCTTGATGCCAATATCATAATGTTCATTGCTCAATAGATACAATAGTAGGCTTCTGCATACCTTTAAACACAGAATTAGACCATTAGCCCAAACCGGATCAAAAGCGCGTTTCCTGATTCCGATTCTTGCCTGCAAATGCAGTGTTTCGTCCATCGTTGTCCCTATTTTGAAGTCAAAGCGACTTCGGCGGGAAAGCCGAGAGGCCGATAGTAACCTCCAGTAGCCGTTCGCACTGTGTCTGCATACAATTGAGTGTATACAGAATAAATTGATGGTCGAGCACATAAACGATATTCTATACGAAATTCGACCATCTATGCAATTAACTGTCATATAAATAGTTCTTATAGCAGCGTAGATGAAGAGGCTATCTTATCAGCAAGATAAGCGCTCTCCAGACTCCGGCTATCGGTTATGGGTCGTTGCTTCGGCGACGCCAGCCAATCATTTCTACCCCGGCAGCAACTTTGCGGGGATAGCCAACAATAAGGGCGTACAGCTACTTATCGTCTACTCTTACGTCTCTCTCCTCGACAGATATATAGTTCTCTTTATTCCCTGCTGGTTACTTCTGCTAGAGTAGCCTGCTATTCTATAGCCCGTCGTTCTTGATACATCGCCATGGCCGCTCGTCGTTCTCTGGCCCGGGGTATTCCCGCTCTCCGCACAGTCTCTCCCCGCACTGGTTTCAGCACCAAATCTGTCGCTACAGGGACATGGGCGAGTCCAAAATTGACGGCATCGACACAATCACAATTGTCAGGGCAGACTTCGGTGTCGCATACTTCTAGGAGGCATCTGCACGTAACTGCTCGTCGCTCTGCCCAGTACGGCACCACTTCTGCCGCCTCAACCACAACCGAATATCCTACATCTCATGAACAAATCACAAATCCTATCGACACGACAAACTTCATTGACAATGAATTTGTCACCTCCAAGGCAACGGAATGGATTGATTTGCATGACCCAGCAACCAACAATCTGGTTACTCGTGTCCCTCAAAGCACAGATGAAGAGCTCAAGGCCGCCGTTGCCTCGGCCGAGAAGGCCTTCCCCGCGTGGCGAGCTACCAGCATCATCGCCAGACAAGAGATCATGTTCAAGTTTGTCAGTTTGATTCGTCGCGATTGGGATCGTCTTGCTGCCTCAATAACCCTTGAGCAAGGCAAGACCTTTGCCGATGCCAAGGGCGACGTTCTGCGTGGTCTCCAGGTTGCCGAGACAGCATGCGGTATTACTTCACAGATTACCGGAGATGTGCTTGAGGTTGCCAAGGATATGGAGACTCGCAGTTACCGAGAGCCTCTTGGTGTTGTTGCTGCTATTTGCCCTTTTAGTGAGTATACACTTGGTTGATGATGAGGAGTTTGTCCATTGACTGTTGATAGACTTCCCTGCTATGATTCCCCTTTGGTGTATTCCAGTGGCGACTATTACCGGAAACACCATCGTCATCAAACCCTCTGAACGCGACCCCGGTGCCGCAATGATTCTGGCCGAACTTGCTCGCGAAGCCGGTTTCCCGCCTGGTGTGATCAACATTGTTCACGGAGCCCACAAAACCGTGAACTTCATACTCGACGAACCCGCTATCAAGGCTATCTCTTTCGTCGGCGGTAACCGCGCTGGTGAATACATCTACACCCGCGGGAGTGCCAATGGTAAGCGTGTACAGGCCAACTTGGGAGCCAAGAACCACGCCACCGTGCTACCAGACTGCAACAAGAACCATGCTCTGAACGCCATTGCCGGAGCTGCTTTTGGAGCTGCTGGTCAGCGATGCATGGCTCTGAGCACGTTGGTGATGGTCGGTGAGACTAAGGAATGGTTGCCTGAGCTTGCTGAGCGAGCAAAACAGCTTCAGGTCAATGGAGGGTTTGAGCCTGGTGCTGATCTCGGTCCTGTCATTAGCCCCCAGAGCAAGAAGCGTATCGAGGATTTGATTGCTTCAGCGGAAAAGGAGGGTGCTACCATCCTTTTAGATGGTCGGGGCTACAAGCCTGAGAAGTATCCTAATGGAAATTGGGTAAGTAGAAGTATATGTATCGCTCAGGAAGATGATAGACTAATAATATTCCAATAGATCGCCCCTACAATCATCACCAACGTTACTCCAGACATGACCTGCTACAAAGAAGAAATCTTCGGCCCAGTCCTCGTGTGCCTAAACGTTGATAGCCTCGACGACGCCATCGCCCTCACAAACAAAAACGAATACGGCAACGGAGCCGCAATCTTCACCACTTCAGGCTCTTCCGCCTCTCGATTCCAGAAGAACATCGAAGCCGGTCAACTCGGTATCAACGTCCCCATCCCTGTCCCCCTGCCCATGTTCTCATTCACTGGGAACAAGAAGAGTGTTGCCGGAGGTGGTGCTAGCACCTTTTATGGAAAGCCCGGTATGCAGTTCTATACGCAGCAAAAGACTGTGACAAGTTTGTGGCGTAGTGAGGATGCTACGCATACCCGTGCCAGTGTTGTTATGCCTACTCATAAATAGGTTGCTATCGATTTGACTATAATCTTCTCGTGATTATTAGTTTAACAAAATTCAATCCAATTTATGAATGCATTGGTATCTAATCGACTAAAGTAGGCCGGCAATATCAAGCATGATCTACTATTTAGAGTGCAAGTACGTGTGATGTCGCTGCGCGCTTAAACATGTCTTTGTAAGAAAGAAGACACACAATCCCCCTAGTGTCTTCATCTACTCCAAGGGGCCGAGGTAGTCATAGACTAGACGCCCAAGCAGGTATTTGCCATTTTTGTCTGCGACAACAACGCGACGAGTGTAATAGCGTTGGCCGCTGATGGTTTCGAAGCCCCAGATCTATAAATCGCTGTTAGCATTCTAATCTCTCACGAGACACAAGGAATACGTACTTGCTCAGCGGTCCAGCCACTGTTCAAACTCCTTACCCAATTGTGCAACCACAGACCCTCGCCATCCCCGTAAACGAGACCATCCTTGTCCTTCACATCGTCGACAAGAAATCCATTAGGATCCTCCTCACCATCAATCGTAATCTCACCGCGGAGGAACTTGGCAATCTTGTCCTCCCTGGGCGTAGTCTCCAATCCAAAATCCGGGCGGACTTTGCCATCAGCACCCTTTGAGCCACGAATTAAACGACTCTGGCCCACGATCTTGCCAAAAATTCTATCATCATGCTCACGAGCGCGCCAGTCGGTGATACGGTATTCTGGGGACGCCTCTATTCCGCCAGTGAGGAATTGCCCAATGTCAATCTTGGTGGCAGGCGCGTTGGCGGGGTCATCATTGTTTGGTTCGACATATTCCTTGATGTGGAGGGTGATTGTTGCCAGGCCGATTACTCTACGCGTAACCCAGCCGATGCCTTGCTATGGGTGGATTAGCCTTGAGACTTGAGGATGCTGGGTATACTTACAAGTGATAGGATGGCGTCAGTGTCACTGGACAGGGTTTTGTTCTGAGGTATTGTCAACAATGCTCTTTGTTTAGCTGGACGATATTGCTGACTTACCATGGTATACTTTCCATTGAGGTTCTGGAGAGTGATGTCCGAGGGAGCAGCCATGATGATGCTAGACGATGAAGAATGGACAAGATAGAATCTTGTAAGATCGTGAATGTTGTGACAAATGAGGAGAAATTGACAGTATGGAGAAGACTGATTTATTTATATGCTGAGCTACTCAACATCCAGCAGTCATGTGAAGATGAGCAAATGTTCCTGCACCCACGATCAGACAGGCAGGCAAAGCAATTGCCTTTGACTTCAATGCTCGATCTCCGAGGTATTTGGAGATGCAACAATGTCGAGGATTGCATGTGGCATCATCCACGTTCCCCCGCTCCCCACTTGCTTAGCCAGCGTCGTACTCTACAGACTCTAGTTAACTGACTAACTACGTACTGACTTACGTACTAGAGTAGGTTGTTTATGGTGTTTCTGACTCTTACGAAGACTTAAGATGAGTTCTTATATATCCCGTTTGAGCGGCATCTGGGACCACAAGGCAGGCTGAGGGGCGACTCCGGCGTACACCAGGTACCTCGTCCAACTACCAATGTCCTCCTCATAGTCGACTATCATTTCTGCCATAACCATATAATCCATCCTATCGCTTGTAGTCAAAGTTTGCATGAGTATCGTCATCGCTAATTACCAGAATCGGCGTTCTCGTGGCTCGATTGGCATGGGCATTGGGGGCCCTCGGTAAAGTGCGTTTGCTGATGTAGAAAGAATTCGGAAAGGCAGGAGTCGTAGTCGCAAGTAACTGAGTATTCTATATGGCAAGAATGTGCCATTACCGTCGACCAAGTTAGGATGCAGTGAGATGTAGTGTAAGTGGTCAAGATTATGAAGGTGAAGTACTAGTCGCCCCTGGAGGTCCACTGAGCCAATCGCGACTTCCCAATCAATCAGAACAAAAACAAACACTTCATCCAACGTCGAATTCACAACCACAGCTTGCAATTCTCTCGAGACCATGTCTCTAAACAAGAAATACGCCAATCTACCTGATCTGGTAGACTTCCTTCAAGTCCTCTGCCATGAGTCTCTTAGCTAACGCGATCCAGGATCTTGCACCAGATGTGTACGAAACCCCAGACTTGACCGATGGCGCATCCACAGTTCCAGTACGTCCTATAAACCCTACATCTAGATTCAGCTCCCACTGACAAGTGTAATTCTATAGACAGCTACTATACGCACAAATTCCGACTCTGACGACGAATCCAACCCCGATATTGACCGCAACAACCTAAACACAGACGAAGCAAGGTTACATTTCCTTCGCGCCAGCGGCGTCAGTGCGCGCGAAGTTGACTTTTCCGACACAATTGCCACTAAGCGAAAAGCATATAAATCGCGTTCGGGACATAGGAGACGCCGCAGTGTTGGCGGAACCGAGGAGATAGGGGATATCAGTGACAGCGATGCGGACGGTCAGGAATCGTTCGAGCGGAAGTTAGCTCGACTCAGGCGGGAAACGGAGGAGCTGAAAGCGGAACTTCAGAAGAGAGACCAAGCTGGACAGAAGGATGGGGTGGAGGATGAAGAAACAGAAGAAGAAGATGATGATTATGATGGGATTAATGAACTCAGCAAGGCCCTGGATAGCATTCATAGCTCGTCTACTCGTGCTGACAAAACATCGGACGCTATTCTTTCGCGCAAACTAGCAGCGGCTGTTAACATATCGAGCAAGGACACAAACACAACAACAACAGAGAAGAAGGCATCACCGCCTACATTGACACCAACACCATCCTCATCCGGCCTCCTTGAACATGCAGCGTCGTTCGATACCCGGCTCACACTGATGGAAGCCGCATTGGGCATCTCGAGCGGTTCGAATCCATTCTTTGCGGCAAAAGACACCCAGCCGCAACTGCAACCCGTACTACCTGCCCTCGAACACCTCACATCTCAAATTACGGCCTTGACAGGCACCCTCAGCAGACCAACCGCCTCATCCACCGCTGCTCCGGCCACAACAACCGCACAACTCGAATCATTATCCTCGCGGATCAAACGACTCACTGCCGACGCTGAAAATCTAGCCAACGCACGACGCCGCGCCAGCGAAGTCGCTGCCAGAGCTCAACCTGACTCCCCATCCGGCGACGCCTTTGCATCCGCATCACCTTCTTCTGGTGCGACAGAAGTCAACAACGCAGATCCGATAGCACGCACCCAACGAGACGAACAAGCATCCAAGATACAAGCTCTCTACGCAACTATACCGACTATCCAATCCCTCCACCCTCTCCTCCCAAGTGTCCTGGAACGCCTCCGCTCCCTCCGCGCCATCCACGCTGGCGCAGCACAAGCCAGCGAAACCCTAGACGCACTCGAGAAAGACCAAGCAGAAATGAGTAAAGAGATAGAACAATGGCGCGAAGGATTGAGAGTTGTCGAAGAAAAAGTCCGAGAAAGTGAGGTTTCTATGAGGAAGAATATTGAATATGTTGGACCGTGGGTGGATGATCTGAAGAAGAGGATGGATAGGTTGGAGAAGCAGTTTTGAGGTCACAGCCTTTTGATTGGAAGTATGCCTGGACCCTTGGTAACGAGTGGTCTTGCTGAATATTAAGATACCCTTACCTGGACATGGTGTTGCATCAGTTTTAATATTTAATCTAGTTGCAGCAAGGTAGCAATAAGTCGATCCACCAATCTATTGATCTATTTATCTATCTAATGCATTCATTCCTCGACCATGAAAAGAGAAAGCTTGGAATCATAAACAAAGCCGCTAAACATCAAAAAACTCTATACTCAAAGAAAATTATAGCAATGGATTTTGCTTATATTCCGCTGTAGCTGGTTCATTGCCTTTCTTTTTCTGCGCGCTCTGAGCATCTGGTTCGGCCACTGCGGGCTCGATGCGAGAATGTCCGACTTCAGTCTTGACGGCGGGCGATTCGTCTTCACCGGCTTCTTCTTCGGCGAGGAACTTTTCAGCTTCGAGAGCGGCGATACATCCGGAGCCTGTATTCAATGATATGTAAGCAATTGGGCATAAAGTATTTTGGAGAAGATTCTACATACCTGCGCTGGTGATGGCTTGCCTGTAACGCTTATCCTGTACATCACCGGCTGCGAATACACCTGGAACAGAAGTATAGCTTGTCCCGGGTTGAGTGACGATGTATCCTTCGCTGTCTAATTCGATTTGTCCCTTGACGAGGGTGGTCGCTGGGTCGTGACCAACAGCGTAGAACAGACCATTGGCATCGAGTGTCTCCTCCTCTCCAGTAACGACGTTCTTGACCTTGAGGTGGGTCATGAGTCCTCGGGGAATTTCCTCGCCGAGAACTTGTGTAGCCACGGTGTTGAAACGGACGGTAACCTTGGGGTTGGCCAACAGACGCTTGGCCATGGCCTTGCTAGCACGCAGCTTATCCTTACGCACAAGCACAGTAACATGGCTGCCGTACTTGGTCAAAAACATAGCCTCCTCAGCAGCAGAGTCACCACCACCAATCACAAACAAAGGCTTGTTTCTGAAAATAGGAACTGCACCGTCGCAAACAGCGCATGCCGAGATACCATTTTGCCAGTATTTTTCCTCGCCGGGAAGATCGAGACGTCTGGCGTTGGCGCCTGTGGCGATAATGACTGCATCTGCGGTGTGTGCGGGTTCCTCGTCGGGGCCATCAGACCATTCTTTCCACAGCCGGAACGGGCGCTTGCTGAAGTCGACTCGAGTGATGGTCTCAGTAATGATCTCTGTACCGAATCGTGTGGATTGTTTGCGCATATTTTCCATGAGCTCTGAGCCTCCAATTCCATCAGGGAAGCCCGGGAAGTTCTCGATATCGGTAGTGGTTGTCAATTGACCGCCGGCTGCCGTGCCTCCTGCGAGCATACCCTCGTACATGACGGGTTTAAGTTCGGCACGCGAGAGATAGATGGCCGCTGTATGCGCAGCAGGGCCGGAGCCAATGACTTATACATGTTAGCATATTTGTCTCTTCTAATGATTCCGACGAGAAGTTCTACGTACTGACAACCTTGGAGTGTACCATCTTCCTTTGTAGTGGCGTTACAGAAGCTGATGACGATGTGGTATTTTGCTGCAACGACGAAGCAGCTGCAGTAGAGACTCCGAGGGATCGAAAAGAGAAAGAAGAAAAACGTCGAAAGGCCGAGGAAAACACGGTGGGTGGTTGTTCTATCGCTCAGCGAGTGAGCGAGAAGGCGGGGTTTGGTGTGATGAGAATTCGAGGGCTGCTTGTATGGGTGGTTTATATGAGCCAAACAGGCAAAATCAATGAGTAATTGAAGCGAATATACGCACGTCAACTGCAGAACGGGCAAGTGTGGAATATATGTAGAAAACAAAGTCAATTGATTTATCATCCGACGAGTCGAGAAAGTTGCACGACGATTCTTTGCACTATGACATTTGTCACGTGCGGCAAAATCCTGCTTACCAACCGGCGGCTGTCTCGACCACCAAAGATCACATACTTTCAACACTTTCGAGAACCCTCGCTCCACCAGGAGTCGTTCCTCATAGGCCATGGCATTATCTGCCGCGAATGATCACAAGCCGAACGGTTTTAGTCGGTGATTGATAACAGGGACCCACTGCTGTGCGTGAGATCTTGATAATCAACCATAGTGTACATTGGGCTGGACTTCTAGGCCGTTGGATTTCAGGATCAATTATCCAGCATCAAATTGCCTGATTAGGAAAGGAATATCATCTTCTTTACTTGAGGAAAACGATATTCTGCTTGGTATCAATTGAACCTATTCCGTTGCATCCGATGCCGATAATATCTCCATTCCTCCGCTTTCATTCCTGTTGTCAAAATGAGCTTTCGTGTATTCTCGTGTGCTGTCTGTGGTCGTCCCTTTTATGAATATGATGACCCAAATCCTAAAACATGGCTGAAAAATTTCCGAATTCGTAAGTCTTTTGCATGGCTGTAGCCTGGACTCCTGTTGACATGAGCAGTCTTCTCTGGCCCGAACGGAGTAAGCGTCTCTGGCGTCGGCCAGCACAATGAGCTTTTTCTCGGTTACTTTTCTGCGCATTGGGAATATACCACGAGATGGGATAATCCAAATACTGGAGCTTTAGATGGCCCAATAGGCGTGCTGACGCAGAGTCCTATCAGTAACCGTCATGGCTTTCTTTTCCACGAGGCCTGTTGGTCTCTGTTAGAGAAGATTTATCAACCTAAACCAATTCCGTGGTCTCGACTGTACGACGTGTGCAAATCGATGCCATTATCAAAGCGAGGCGCTGTCAATATTAGCTGGGGCCATGATTACGGTGGCCTTCTTCTTTCGGACAATGAGAGTTTTTACCCATGGCAACGTAGGGTCTTTAACATGTCAGTGGACCGGAAACTGCGCTTATCTGCCAGCATGGATCCTATGTGTGGTTCAAATATTGAACAACTTCTTCATGAACAACCTCAGGGCATACCATTTATGGATAAGGATCACCCTACGGCACAGGTCAAACGATCGGTAGATGTCTTCAGCAGGCTACCTCCAGAGATCCGTGATATCATTGCATACTCGCTTTCCGTACGAGATGCAGCTAACCTTCGACTAGCTTCAAGGTCATTTTTTTCAGTTTTCGCAAACCAGCAATTCTGGGCCTCCAGGTTCAGCCCAGATTCAGATCGTAGCTGGCTTTTTGAGCTATGGAACAAAAGGGGATATAAAGCCTGGAGATGGCTTTATCGACGCACAGATGATGCTTGTTTATCGCCTGCACTTCGGAATAGGAAGAGAGTCTGGAAGCTGCTGGAACATCTCCGAGATATTGTCGACCTACAATGGAAGGAAAATTCTCAGGCGTCGATTTCTCATGTTGATATCCCCGGTTTGAAGTATCGGAAAATCACTGCGGATGTGAGACTGGAAACCCCCTCGGATACCCGTCATTACTTTGACGAAGGTTGCCGTCTTTTGCGTCAACAAAATGTTACCATTCCTCCACAACTCTCCCAAGTGGCAGTGTCCACTGTGCAGGTCGGCGACATAGATTATGTCTCAGGTATGCGATTCGTATCGTCTGAGGGTACTGTTACAGAATTCGGGTATTGGTCAGGGAAGAAAATATACTCTACAGACGTCACGAGCCTGGAAGGCTTCAACGTGGCAACAGGTACCAGAGGCATCCAAGCGATACAAATTCTAGACGAAAAAGAGCATACATCTCAATGGCTAGGTTCTCGGGATGAATGCCCAAAGACACGATATCTTGTGGTTTCTAAACCCATCAGGACTATCGAAGCCGGGTTCGATGTAAGTTCTGTCTCCTCAGTAAATGCTTCCTGCTCACAAAAGATTTAGGCATGCAAAATGATCAGTCTTGCAGTTGAATACGAAGACTTAGGACCTATTGATCGCTCGATAGAACAGACAAAGTCATTGAGAGACGTGGGATACTGGTATCCCGAGGTTCCTGGCCGCGACCTATACCTAAACGAATACTCAAATGTGGTAGATACCTGCTATCCCGATGAACATCGGCCGTTATGCTGGATCTCCTTTGGTGGTCCGGGCGGTATATATCTCAAATATGTGAAAGGAATGACTATAACTTTCCGCGGAGATATCCTACGTTGCGTAGAATTCATCTATGAGGGAATTGACATCCCAATACGGAATCGCAGGGTCGGTCGCCGAGCACTGAGGGGTTACGACAAGGTTTTTTACTTCCCTATCGACGGGCCAGGTGGAGAGATTATCGACGCTGTGGAGGTCATGCTGGCAAACGTGGATGAAAATGAAGTGCATGACTCTTTCAGGAACCCAGTTCTAAAGGCCTTCAGGGTAAGCTGGGAGCGGTACAGGCTTGTTTTCTGATCCTGTCCAGCTAACCTTTTTTTCTTAGGTTTTGACAAATCGTGGGAGACGGCATTTGCAGCCTCCATTGAGTTTTGTATACGATGAACTGAAAGTCATAAAGATCGCTCCTGGAACCACCATCACTGGATTTTACGTTGGCCAGGTACGTCTATTATGCATTTTTCTGGACTGAACTAACCGCGAACTAACCCGGATAGCATCCTTCACTGGGTCTTACTAGTCTTGGTGTGATATCGGAGGTAGTCAAAAGATGATCATGGCCTAGGTTGACAGACAGGAACCGGCAGCTTTTTGGTGTGGGAAATTTTAGTCAACGGGTGAGCAAGACTCCTGAGTAGTCACCCCTCACATTGTAGAACAGGTGAAATCGCTTGTCATAAGCTCAGCCACTTCTAGAGTGACTACCTGGATCTTACTCTCTGCCTTCTCCCTTCCTTCCCTAGCTGGACTAACTCTGTATTGAGTATAGAGAGTTTTAGCTACCACAACAATACCAACATCCATGGACATGGTTAGATGCTAACACGACCCTCGTTCAGACATGGTGTTTGGCCGACTCTCGTGCTGGGTCAGATGCCGGCAATGGAGACTTTATGCAATCAGGTAAATAGTCATTTGATATACTGTCTCTGGGTCTCTAGTGTTTACTCGAGCTCTCAAATAACTGAAATAATCATTCAAAAGTACTCCAACATGAAAAGACCCGCTATGCGAAATATTTGATTATAGTAACAAAAAAGAGCGCTAGACAATTGAATGCATTAAATCACTGGTAATATAGACATGGGTATCGAGATTGTACACTTTTCACCACAATCAAAATTTTTTCAAAAATCGCAAAATGCGAACCAAAGACTAGTCGTTGTATTCAATCGACTAGACCAGACCCAACCACTTCTTCCTCTTGGGAGGTGCGTCTGGTTCCTCATCACTGTACGCCCCGTCGTATTGCATGGGAGCATGTCCATATGGATGTGATTGTGGAGGAGCGCCATGACCTCCGGCACTTTGATGGTATTCCTCCTCATATTCATCATCGTCGTCCTCATAATCATACGAGCCATTAGCACCACCCCTCACTTGCTGTGGACCATATGCATGTTCCTGGTACTCCTGTTCATCATACTCGTCATCGTGTCTCTGTTGTTGTTGGTTTCGTTTCGGCTTCCCTCTACCAAGCCACTTCTTCCACCCTTTTCTTATAGGATACGGTTCAGGATCAAATCCGCCGCTTTCGAACCATAGTGCTGGAACGAGTAGTTTGTAAGGTGTAGTGATACCGGCTGGATCTTGGGGGTTGACTTCTAGGTTCAATGTGATGTCCAATCCTCCTTCGAGATTGATAAGAGTATTATCATCTGCGTCGGCGGGAGCAGAATTGTTGGTTGCTTTTTTAGACGCCTTGGTAGAAAGATCCGTGGCGCGACGATGGAATGGACCCGGTCGGAATTCATCAGTATTTGCGGTAAAGTAGTTATCGCCGTTTTCGGGTGGTCGTCGTGTAGCAGTAGCGTCCGTACTGAAGCGGCGTCGTTGCGCATTGTCGAGATTGAAATCTTTTGTTGGTGGTGGACCTCGGCCGGATAGACGTCGAATCAAGCCTGTTTTTGGACGGGCCTGACTCTCTCCACGACCAAGAGATAACGTTCTTTTGAGTAGTCCTGGTCTTGGATTTTCTGCTTCGACATCGGGAGAGTCGATAGGCGTCGGTGGTGTAGGCGGAGGTGTCATTCCTTGTGAAACGTTAGCGGTAGGTATATAGGGTATGATAGGGATAATTTACCTGGCTGATACTCGCGAATGGAGCACCAATTTCGACGCGGAAGTAGTCTCTTATTATTCCTACTCTTTCCATCCACATCATGCGTGAAAATAGGAATCATGTCTTCATCCGTATTCGAGTCCATATGGTGGATCTTGTTCCGCTTGTTGAGGAAATCTGCTAACATTTCGGGAGGTGGTGCATTCACGATAGCAGATGATATGACATTTGGCATATAGCGATAGTCCTTGTCTTTGGTAATTCCGAGAGTAGGGTTTGAATAGAATTGGCCAATTGCAGCTAGATGGACATCACCACTGTAGCCATGTTAGTGAGACGGCAGTTAGAGGAAATCATCAATACGACATACCCTAAAATCGTAACCCGTACAGATTTCTCTGCAGCGAGGTCTTGGAGATCTTCGATCAGCAATGTTCTCTCTGTCTTGTGATGTTTCGCAGTCCAATGATCATCGACATCGTCTAGGATCTCAACGCCGCCGTCGAATTTATTGACCAGGCCTGAGAAAAGGCCTGCTCTAGTCAGCGCTTTGACCGGATCCATTGCACGACTACTGAGCAGGTTTTCAAGCCAGACCTGGAAAGATAATTGTTAGTCGGGGAGAGTCTTCCATATCGGAAGGGAATACTCACAAGTCGAGGATAGGCAATAGGCACTCCTAATAGTACAATCAAATGTTTGACTTGACCACGCTCAATCTCACGGTAACAACGGTCCCAAATCAGGTCGTACGTATGTTCACTAACAACTTCCTCGCGCTAAAGAATGATTAGTCGGTGAATTAATTGGGAAATTTATAAACATACCATGCGCTCAGTACGACAATCGATACCCAAGAATGATACCCCTTTTCCTAGTGACATGAAAACACTACGGCTTCTCTCCTTGATATATGGGCCTATATCAGCTCCCAAGACCCAACTAGGTTCATCAGCCTCAGTTTCCTCAGGTACACTTTGATGCTGGAACAGCATATAGTATTTGAAAGCGATATTGCCCAAGCCAGAGAAGACAGGTGACCGCATGAGATGATCAGGATACGAGCCAAATCCATCAATAATGTCGTGATCATCCCAGATATTGATCATGGGAATCTGACAATTGGCCAAACTGAAAAGGCCGCGCGAGAAGCATGCTGCATAATGGTTGAGGTAGAAATTTTCCAATTCAGCCTTGAATGCTGGGCTAAATGGTGCATTGTTCTTATGATGTGGGTTCTTGATGCGAGTCCATTCTTCGAAGAGTTCTGATTCTTGCATGACTTTGTCGCAATAGATCTGGTCTCCACCGCCGATCATAACATGGAATGGACGTGTCTGATGCTCGTTAAGCACATCTCGCCAAAGAGGATCGGGACCGCTGAATTTGTTGGGATCAACAGATAGACTGAATCCATTGCATGAATGGAACATAATATTCATCGACTGCCCCTTTGCTGGAACCCAGAATCCGATAGCCGGTCCTTCATTAATGCGATAAGCAATCCGTTCCTGCTTCTCGCTTAGTTCGACTTCGATGTTGAACCGCCAGAAGGTTACATCTCTCGCAGGGTCAGAATATAGACGGAATCCCTGAATCTCCTCATATAAACCGCTGTTCTCTCCATTGATTGGATGAAGTCTGTTACTTGGTATAGACGCTGTCCCCGCGCGTTTGTTGTCAATTCCGTAATCTATCGGGCTGGGAGAGCTCTCAAAAAGACCGTCTTCACTCTCCACTGCTGAAAGATCAACCCCTTCTTCCAAATGATCAACAGGCTTGACGAATAATGCACGTCCATCACGACCAACTTTCACCTGACCAGCAACGGGGTCTACATATTCCGGGGCTAGGTGTCCTTCTTCGTCGTCGATCTGTCGTGGAGGGGGAGGCAGAAGATCCATGGGTTGCGCGAAGAGACGCAGAGTAGGTGGCGTTTCCAACGACGAGAGAGAATCCGTTGTGACGATCATGACACTTCCGCGCCAAACTTCCTGCTCAGTAGGTCCCTGGGGATTATCAACGGTTGATTTTCTGATGCCAAGATAGCGCAGCAAAGGGCCACATTTCAAGAAGAGCAGAGGGTTGAACCGATTGCGCTCGTTCACTCTTGGTGTAGGCTTGCGATAATTGTTCGGTAGAGCCCGGCTCTGTCGTCGTTTCGAGCTAGCACCTTTCTCCCACCAAGCCTTGCCCTTATCCACGTCAAGACGCTCAAAATCACGGTCGATAAGCCGTAGCCTTGCCACAGGGGCATTTCGCCATTCATCTAAGGGGGGAGGTGTTGGCGGCGGAACATCGAATGACACGGTATTTCGTTTCGACTTTTTCAATGCTGGAGATGCATGACGAGCTTCTTCTGGCATGTGCTGCTGCCCGCTTACAGCTTGGTTTAGAGCTTCCCCCGCGAAATGAGTAGGACGAACTCCCGTGTCAGAGTCTAAGAATGACTGCTCATTATACGAGGTCATAGGACGATTGTCCTGAGGGTTCGGTACTGGCTGACGACCTCCAGAAGTCATGGGGCGCTGTGAATCATAATTCGGTCCAGTTGGTCTCTGCATTTTGATGCTTCCTGCCCTTTGGATGCCAGCTGCTGTTTGCGAGGAATCATACGCCTCCGGGCTTTGCACATTCCTGTTGCGATATTGCGCAGGCGGAACAGACCGGCCATTAACAGGAGGGACACGGTGACTTCCACTTGGCTGCCGTTGGGGAGGTTGTAGGGGAGGACCTGGTATTCTGAGATTGTCTTGAGCGAGTGCATCCTGAGGCTCTTGAGCTGCATGCATTGCGGCATACTGGACCTGTTCAGGGGCAACAGGTTTACGACTGACAGACGGCTGTCTCCTTTGAGGTTGAAAATCAGGGGTGTCTCGAGAGACGTCCGAGCGCGAGAGATTTTGTTGACTTTCTGCTGTGTTTGCTTTCGATTTAAGCGGATCATCTTGCACAGCAAGGCTCGCTCGCTGGCTTTCTCGTTGACTCTCTCGTCGCGCCATCTTCTCGCGCAATCTTCTTTCTGCTTCTATCACTCGTGCTCTCTTTTCTTCTTTGCTCATTCCGACAAGCCTGGTCTCGAGTTGTTGTAGCGGAGATCTACCTGTTGGTTGGCCAAGCTTGTCGCCCGTAGATCGAACAGTGCTAGAGCGGCTCACCGGGGAAGCGTGACTTCCTGATCGTGAAAGCGCCTCCGAAGGTCCTCGTGAGTCTTGCATTCTGTTAATTGGAGATGCTTGCGACGGAGAGTTGGGCATGATCGGCGAAGGATTTGCGTATGTTGGTTGTGAAGCACGACGCCCTGGAGGTTGATATTGTAGTTGTTCATACGGTGCGCCATTTCCACCATCATCATATCCAACAGTTTCTGATGCATGTACGCTTTCTGGAGTTTGGTTTCTCGACCTGGCGGAGAATGACCGAGGAATATGAGGTCGGTCTGGCGTTGCACCGTTTCGAAATGAGACTGGAGGCCCTCTTGGTATCTCTGGCGCAGCTGGCGCTGCAGGTGGTATATTCCCATAGTTTTGCGCTGCTAGTTCCTCTGCGCTTCCAATGCTCAATCTCCTTGATCGACCTGAGGTAGGCCGACCAAGTCCACTACCTGACCTCTGCGGGGGTGCATTAGATGCACTGTTGAACGGAACTGGAGAAGTGTGCGAGTTTGTCGTAGCCATATTGACTGTTTCTAGGCTAATCTGCTTTCAGGTCAACGTGGACTGGAATCGAACGTTTGGCTGATAGGTAGAAGATCAAGCTGCGCAAGTCACCAAGCAGTTGTAATTGAAATCCAGGCTACTCGCAGCTTGTTCAATAATGAACTCGTGAGGGAATCCGGTTCTCGGGCTATTGCATTCAAAAGAGTCGGGCACTGCGCCTCGCAAGTGTGACAATGGCAGCGAGACTGGCAATATCGCTGTATTTATATAATCCAACGAATAGAGGAAATAGTAACCACGACAATTGCTGTGTATTGAATGGCAATTGATCAGGCCCAAACGGGCAAAGGTGAAGCGGAGCTTCCCCAGCCTTGCTCTGTTAGGGCTCGCTCTCTTGGTCTATTTATTTTGACGCAGATCAAGGAGACGGATTCAACTCGAAACAAAAAGTAATAATAGAGGTGACAGAAGGATGGTAGAAACAATCGCAGAAGAAAAGAAGAAAAGAGACGAAAATAAAGAGGTGGTTGTGCTATTCGACGTTGGGCCAGCCGATCGGATGTAAATTAAGCTGGTGGCTGGTGCCAGACTAAAAACTAAGCCTGGATGACGGAGGATGTCCAAGTCATCCAGCTGCCAACAGCCAATGCGGTGAGTGCTACTGGTCGATAGACGCATTCAATTCGTGTCGGACTGCTGTGATACTGTATAACTGCAAGGAAGGACTGGAATATGGCTGTGTATGCGTTTATGGAGTCTCACTGCATACTACCCGTTGACGCGGATTAATGCTGAAAGAGCATCCTGAAAAGGGCATTGTCAAATATTCACCAAGGACTTGTCGTCTTTCGCGATTGGGCATTCACAGTGTAGCAACTAGCAAGGAGCACTTTTCAGGTCGATTATCGAGGTCTCCGACAGTCCAAGTAGTATAAACTCGACCCACAGCCCGACCATCACTGTGCACGTACCGGAATGCTGAAGAGATGACGAGTCATGGCAAGAGATCTTTAATCATATCCTATTCTTCACTTTCATGTGTTCATGGCTGGACGGAGTAGTTGCAGTGTAGATAGAAGAAGTAGAAGAAGAAGAAGAAGGATAAAGCAGGCCCCGTCTATCCTGCAGCGTGATTGGCTGTGCCCCTTTAGTCAGGTCGGCTTCAATGACGATCAATAAAGAAGTGTCCTCTTCAAAGATCCTCTCGTCAAGTCTACTCCGTATCATACTCGACACCTCATGCACATACAGAAAAGTGTCTGGAGTGCCTTATTGCCCTTTTTTTACGACTTTTAATTTACTATACCCTATATTGCTCTCTCCTTTGTTTTCATCTTCGTGTGGCCAGCATTCGTTAATGGCAAACACCCTCATATACCATCCTTCGTACCGACTTTGAAAGCACCCTACCAGGTGCTTTCATATCAAATCGAGAAAAAAAAATGCGCCTTTCGAATTCGTTACCCTTACTCTCGCTATTATTTGCACCTTCTCTCGCAGACCTACTTCCGCGAACCTATGACACCCACGACTTCTTCGCCCTCCACCTCGATGATTCCGTAACTCCCGAATATGTCGCAGCGGCTCTAGGAGCCCGCCACGAAGGTCAGATCGGCAGTCTACCGGGCCATCACAAATTTTCTCTACCTCAAGATCAGTCATCCAGAGTCGAGTCATTATTGGAAGATTTGCGAGTGGATCGGAAACTGAAGAAGCGTTCAAGCTCTTACGGCAAGCGGGGAGATGGGCTCGACGGCGTCCTCTGGTCGCAGAAGCTGGCTTTGAAAGATCGACTACACAAAAGAGTTCCTATAGAGCTGGTCTCAAAGGATGAACCTGCAGGCCCACAGCCTGAGGCCGTGGATAGACAGAAGCGTATTGCGTCGGACTTGGCCATTAAAGACCCTCTATTCCAGAAACAATGGCATCTGTTCAATACGGTACAACTCGGCCATGATTTGAATGTGACCGGCGTGTGGCTGGAGGGCATCACGGGAGAAGGAGTGGTCACTGCCATTGTCGACGACGGGCTGGATATGTACAGTAACGATTTGAAGGATAACTATTTTCCTGAGGGATCCTGGGACTTTAACGAAAACGCGGAAGAACCGAAGCCATTATTGTTCGAAGACAAACACGGCACTAGGTGCGCGGGAGAAGTGGCAGCCGTCCGAAACGGCGTTTGCGGTGTCGGCATGGCTTACGACAGCAAAGTCGCCGGTATCCGAATTCTCTCTAAGCCCATCGATGACGCCGATGAAGCTGCAGCTATCAACTATGGCTTTCAGAAAAACGATATCTATTCTTGTTCGTGGGGCCCTCGAGATGACGGACAAACGATGGAGGCGCCCGGGATACTTGTGCGGCGTGCGATGGTGAATGGAATCGTACAAGGACGTGACGGCAAAGGCTCAATATTTGTCTTCGCTGCAGGCAACGGTGGTATGAGCGGAGATAACTGCAATTTTGATGGTTATACAAACAGTATCTACAGTATCACCGTGGGCGCCTTGGACCGAAGGGGAGGTCATCCATCATATTCCGAGGCCTGCTCTGCGCAGCTGGTTGTTGCTTATAGTAGCGGTGGCGGGGATCATATACATACGACCGATGTCGGCACGGATACCTGTACGAATGCTCACGGCGGTACATCAGCTGCCGGTCCTCTTGCTGCAGGAGCTATCGCTCTTGGATTGAGCGTGCGACCTGATTTGACCTGGCGCGACGTACAATATATTTTGCTCGAAACTGCCGTGCCGGTTCATGCGGACGACGACGAAGTGCAGATGACTCCAATCGGCAAGGAGTTCAGCCATCAGTATGGCTACGGGAAAGTGGATACATATAGTTTCGTCCAAAAGGCCAAGAACTGGGAACTTGTGAAGCCGCAGGCTTGGTATACTTCCCCTTGGTTGCGAGTTGAAAAGGATGTACCGCAAGGAAACCAAGGTCTGGCTAGCTACTTTGACGTGAATTCGGATATGTTGAAAGACGCCAACCTCGAGCGTGTAGAACATGTCACTATCACTATGAACGTCAACCACACGCGGAGAGGCGATATAAGTGTTGAGCTGCGTGGCCCTCAGGGTATTGTCAGCCATCTTAGTGTTCCCAGAAAGAACGACGAAGCGCAGGTTGGTTATGTAGACTGGACATTTATGTCTGTCGCACATTGGTAAGAGATAAATCCGCCATTTGGCTTAATAACCATTACTGACTTTATCAAGGGGTGAATCCGGCGAAGGTGTTTGGAGTGTCGTTGTTAAAGATACTGTGGTAAACGACAATACTGGCGTATTCATCGATTGGCGCATGACTCTCTGGGGAGTTTCTATCGATCCTGAAATTCAGCAACCACACCCTCTTCCTGATGAACACGACGACGATCATGACATTGAAGATGCTGTATATGCTACCGTCAGCATTAAACCGCATCCGGTGACCACTGCAGCTCCAACTGCTACGGACCATGCTGAACGACCAACCAAACCCACTAATACGGAAGCTAAGCCGACTGCCACTCCTGAAGTTCCTACTCCAGTCGACGAGGAGCTATCGGAAGAACCGACTGATTCTGACACCGCCGAGCCGACTGCATCAACTTCTCCTGGCTTCTTGCCGTCATTCCTGCCTACATTTGGCGCAACTCCCCATACGCAAGTTTGGATATATGCCTCAATCGCGCTCATTCTTGTCTTTTGCCTGGCTCTAGGCATATATTTCTATGTCCAACGCCGTAACCGACTACGCAATAACCCTCACGACGACTACGAGTTTGAGATTATCGACGATGAAGATGACGCAGCGGCGCCATTGGCGGGTCGGCGCGGACGAAAGCGACGAGGTGGTGAATTATATAACGCATTTGCCGAGGAGAGTGATGAAGAGCTTCTCAGTGGAAACGATGATGACGAGGAAGGTCCGTTTCGAGATCATTTGAAAGAAAAGGACGGTGAACATCATTAAGGGCTGGTACCTGTTTTGCATGTTGGTTGATTTGTTGGCTGTAGTATAGTCTTGTTGCTTGTTGTACAGCGTATAGGCATTACCCATGTTGTTGGACATTTTGTAGTTATCGCAGAGTAAACAGATAAGATAGTGGAGCCCGGATTTAAGCTGGCGTATTCCTGATTGGTCAAGATAGGCCCTAAATGACGCAATCTGGTTGGCTGGCTCTTACTGGGAAGGCCCAGTGACATCGGCGACCTTAGGCCGCTACTTGCTGGGGACATCCAACCTCAACCACGGATGTTCACTGCTAACCAACTCACTGGCTGTTATTCCGCACCACAGTTGCGTGTATTCAATCTAATAACAACATCTTCAAGAGTTTGAAATCCTACAGTTCCATCGAGTTATCAATCACTTCGAGTATCAGCGAGTGTGCTGTGCGATCATCTTCACCTGCCCCGCGCCTAGCTGCGGGAAACCATAGCAGCCATGGAAGCTCACGACGATGATTTCGACAGTGTTTCGTGGAGAAACGACCCGAGTAGCGATGTGTCACGACCGACAACTGCTGGCACTGATGCCGAGGAATCCGGTCGGCCTCATCGAGACATCAATGGGAAGCGCAGGATGAGTGTGGCTCAGGAGGAATCTCAAGCTGGACCATTGGCCGATGCTGTTGATCTGGCTGGTATCGGAGATGGTGTTTTGGAGTGTTCTGTAGATTCTCCGCTCAAGGAGAATGATGGAACGAAGGATGCGTATATCTCATACCTTGTCACAACTCATGTATGTACTACGATTCGATTGGTGACCATTGATAACATACTGATAATATCGAACTCCAGACAGACTTCAAGACTTTTCAAAAATCGGATTTTGCGGTCCGTCGAAGGTTTCGCGATTTCTTCTTCCTCTACAAGACCCTATACCGAGAATATCCGGCTTGTGCAGTGCCACCACTACCCGACAAACACAAAGTAGAAAGCTATGTCACCGGCGACAGATTCGGGCCGGACTTTACGCAGCGACGCGCATGGTCACTTCATAGATTCATAAAGCGATTAACATTACATCCAGTGCTACGACGTGCGCCGTTACTCGCCATATTTCTGGAGTCGCCCGACTGGAATGCACATATGCGGTTGCATGGAGGTCGCACTTCGACTAGCACAGCAGACTCTTCTGGTGGTATATTCGACAACTTTGCCGATACATTCGTCAATGCATTCACAAAAGTTCACAAGCCCGACCGGCGATTCATCGAAGTACGAGAAAAGGCCGACAAACTAGACGAGGATCTCAACCATGTAGAGAAAATAGTGGCTCGTGTTGCGCGACGTGAAGCAGACCTAGAGTCGGATTACACTGATTTGGCGACTCAATTCCGCAAATTGGTCCCCCTGGAACCCGAGGTGGAAATGCCGTTGCAGGTATTCGCAGCATCCGTGGACGAGACCTCGCGTGGATTTAAAGCGCTCAAAGACCATACGGACCAGAATTACCTCGGCTCGCTCCGAGATATGGAAGCATATATACTCTCGTTGAAATCATTACTCAAGACCCGAGAACAAAAACAACTCGACTTTGAGGCGCTGGTAGAATATCGCAACAAAGCCGTATCCGACCGAGACTCGCTTGTGAACAATCCATCCTCTGCCTATGCATCAAACCCGCTCACTTCATCACCCGCCTCATTTATCCGTTCCAAAATGGAAGACATGCGTGGTGTTGACCATGAACAAGCACGACGGGAACGAATACGCAAACTGGAACTTCGCATTGACGAGCTCACGCGCGAAGTCGAATCAGCAAAGACGACCTCGGAAATGTTTGATGAAGAAGTCGTGCGTGAAGTCGCAGACTTTGAGCGAATCAAAGCTGTGGAATTCCGAGACTCGCTCGGCGCTCTTGCCGAGAATCATATCGAGTTTTATCAAGGTGTTATTAATACTTGGGAACGATTCATATCAGAAATGGATGGAGAATATGGTGACGATGATACTTTCAGAGGTCGAAGTGAGGTTGTATCTTGATTCGTTCCTTATCACGCACAAATAATATTAATATCTTGTTGTTTCTACATTCCGTCCACACGATATCAGAATACCATATATCATTCAACTGTAGCATGCGGACTGATTACTTCTTACTCCCATCCCCAACCTCATACCTATAAACATCGGCCTCCAGATCCAACGGCCCCGACAAAACAGCCGGATCCTGCGCTCTCAAACTCAACTCTCGTGCTCGTTCCTTTCTCGTCAGCGAATCAACCTATATGGCATATGGGAAGAATAGACAAACCTCTTCATATATCTGACTAGCAGTCTTTTCGGCGAGATTACTCTGCCCAGCTAGGAGTTCGAGATATGTCTCGTGATCATATTGGATCGTTGATGATGATGATGACTTGTTGTTTAGGGTTTGTGTTGTGGTTGGCGATGGGAATGATGTATCTTTATCCGGCGGCTTTGCAAAATTGGGATGCACGATTGCCTTATCCATATTCAGAATTTTAATCGTATGAGAGAATGTACCGGGCTTGCCAACTGGTTGATGCGGATCTTTCAATAACCCTAGAAGTCTAGGCACCCTATCCTCTCTTGCGCCTACTTAGAATATTAAGAAGCAATTCAGAAGACAGATATATGAAAACTCTGAACTTGAAAACAAAATGTCTTTACCCCCAAACAGAGGCGAAATATCAGCAACTGTGGCTGTGTTAAGTCCCTGCATGATACATGAGAACACGAACAATCTATATATAGTTTTATCTACATATGTGGAAGATTTGAATACTGCCCAGCATTTGATACACACCGTTAATTGGGTTAACATCTGTATTCGTTGCATCTTCGCCTACATAGTATAGTGCCCATCAATACAGGACCGAATCATCACGGCCAGGGTTAGGGCTAACCCTTCATGGGATCCGGAGATCAATATCAATACAGCGCCTTGCAAGTTGCAACTCTTCGACTCTTTCTCAGCACCACTTCCGCAATCTAATTCATACTAGGTTTACTCTATTAATTCAGTAATTTACGAGTGGTACTGAACGTAGCTATACAAAACCAGGTGTTGCTTCCTGTATTGTAAATTCACAGAACTCTCTAGCGTCTTCCTTGCAATCCAGACAAACTATCAACAGAGAGACAGAGAGGGTAGCAAACTGGCCAGGTGTCACCTTTTTGCTTTTTCAAACACCTCTGGGATAGAACTGAGTAACTGAAAGCTCTTTGCATTTAGGGCCTCAACCAATGTTCTTGTTTTTCCTAAGTAGACCTGCGTCTACTCTGTAGTAGTGCATTCCGTTGTACAGGTGGCTTGGGCTGCATATTCACGAGATCGACATCCAACTGGCAATCTTCGTAATGTAACTGGTTGCAGGTGTCCCCCCGAAAGAATACAGAGGTGCTTCTAGCCTCTAGGAGCAAGACCATTGGGTTTCTGGACAGGGTTCTGTTACTTGATTATCATGCAGATGCCCATAGGCGACCATGCAGTATGTCAACAGCCTTGCAGTAACTTAAGTTAACATAAGTTAGTTAACTTAACTTAGTTAGCACAAAGGTGCTACCCCTCCTCAACCTCAAAATCAGTGCTTGGACCGGGTATGTGTACTTGACCTGAAGTATGTCTGGCTTACAATGACCTCTTTGACGTACAACGACTACACAATCGCGTGGATATGCGCCTTGCCGCTGGAGATGGCGGCGGCCCGCGTCATGCTAGACAAAGCCCACAGTCCGCTGCCTAAACCTTTCACCGACCCGAATGCCTACGAACTTGGCGAACTAAACGGCCACTATATTGCCATTGCCTGTCTACCAGCTGGTGTATACGGCACCGTGTCTGCTGCGGTCGTAGGATCTCACATGCGTTCAACTTTTCCTCGGCTTCAATACGGACTGATGGTGGGAATCGGAGGCGGGGTCCCGGGCAAAAATGGTGACATTCGATTAGGCGATATAGTGGTTAGCAGACCGGTTGGAAACCACAGTGGAGTGATACAGTATGATTATGGCAAGGCGGTTCAAGGTGGCCAATTCGAGGTGACCAGCACCTCGAAGGGACCGCCACGGGCTCTTTTAACTCATGTAGGACAACTGGAGGCAAGACAAATGACAGAGGGAGAAAATGGTATTCCAAAAATAGTTTGGGAAACCCTGGAACATAACCCAAATATGAAAGAGAGATTTTTGCCTCCAGGACAGCACATGTATTTCCTATTTCATTCCTCCTATCACCATGTCACCGGGGAAGAAACTTGTGAACATTGTGACAAAGAACAATCAATCAAACGACAAGCTCGCGGCATCGCGAAACCTCACATCCATTATGGGCTGATTGCATCAGGAGACCAGGTGATGAAGGACTCAGAGACACGTGACCGTTTAGCACACCAGTATGAGATCCTCTGTTTTGAGATGGAGGCAGCAGGCCTTATGGATGAGCTTCCGACGCTAGTAATTCGAGGGATATGCGACTATTGCGACTCTCATAAACAGAAACAGTGGCAAGGATACGCAGCGTTGACAGCGGCTGCTTATGCAAAATTGCTGCTGTTGGCTATTCCTATTAGCTGTCCAGATGTCAACTTAATGAAAAGCAAGAAGGTGAGGCACTGGGTAGTACCGCTCGCAAGGAATCCGAAATTTGTCGGTCGCCAGGATGAAATCATGAAATTGGAAGGACTAATCATACTGCAAAATGGGCCCAGGAGGATCACTATCACTGGGTTGGGAGGAGTTGGGAAGACGCAAGTGGCCCTTGAGCTAGCATATCGCATACGGGACCGAGACCAAGAGTGCTCGATCTTCTGGATCCCCTGTACCAGCCATGCAATGATTGAGCAGACATTCCTGCATATTGCACAGAAACTTGGACTTCATGATGTGAATCCCGCAGAGGTTAAAGAACAGGTTAAGATATACCTCAACTCTGAGCGTGCAGGAAAGTGGCTTCTGGTTTTTGATAATGCAGATGATGCAGAGATGTGGTTTACCGGTAGTAATGCAGCTCCACCTCTTGAGGACTTTCTCCCTGAGAGTGAACAAGGCCGTATTTTGTTCACCACCCGAAACCGAAAACTCGCCATGAAGCTTGCACCATTTAATGTTGTTTCCATTCCAGATGAGAAACCGCAGTCAGAATCCTGGACAAGAGATTGGCACACGAGGATTTGCCGAGAGATAATACCACAACCGCTGCCCTTCTTGAACGACTAGTCTTTCTCCCATTGGCAATTGTGCAGGCGTCAGCATATATGATCCAAAATGGTATCACTTTGTCTACCTATCTTTCACTTCTCCAAGAGCAGGAACAAGATGCCGTGGATCTTTTGAGCGAAGAATTAAGGGATCCAGGACGTTATAATGATATCCAGAACCCCGTGATCACCACCTGGTTAATATCCTTCCAACAAATTCAACATCAAGACCCATTAGCTGTTGACTATCTATCTTTCCTCGCCTGCATCGACCCACGAAACGTTCCCCAGTCCCTCCTTCCTCAACCAACATCCAGAAAGCAGAAAGTCGATGCTCTGGGGCTTTTAAATGCATACTCGTTTACGAATGGCCAAGAGAGGCATATAGATATGCACAGACTTGTGCACATTGCAACTCGAAACTGGCTCAGAAAGAATGCATTATTTAGTCACTGGATCCAACGAGTGGCTAAGCATATGCAGAATCTGTTTCTAGATGATCACCACACGAATCGAGGACTTTGGCGGGAATACCTTCCGCACGCTTTAACACTTGTGCATGAAAATGAATTTGCCATGAAAGAGGGAGATTACCTCGATTTAATTGAAAAGATTGCAAATTGCCTTTCCAGTGACGGAAGATATCAAGAAGCAGAAGTACTTTACAAGAAGCTGATGAGGATCAATGAGGAGAAAGCTGGTCCTCAAAATCCTTCCACTCTGTCCAGCATGGCGAACCTAGCATCAACCTACTGGAATCAGGGTCGATGGAATGAAGCTGAGAAGCTAGACGTGCAAGTAATAAAGAGATCTAAGATAGTGCTGGGTGCTGAGCATCCCTCCACTCTGTCTAGCATGGCAAACCTAGCATCAACCTACCGGGATCAGGGTCGATGGAATGAAGCAGAGAAGCTGGGCGTGCAAGTAATGGAGACCAGAAAGACAGTGCTGGGCGCTGAGCATCCCTCCACTCTGACTAGCATCAATAACCTTGCCCATACTTGGAAATCACATGGAAAGCTCCAGGATGCCTTGACTTTGATGAAACAATGCTCCGACCTGCGCAACAGAGTATTAGGGCCTAGTCACCCACGTTCCATGTCATCCTCTCGTGCTCTCAATGATTGGATGGATGAGTATAATGTCTTAATAGATCAAACACCTCTCGCTAAGGAAAAATGTCCGCAGCCTCGGCGGGAAGTTTCTGCAGAATCTTCAGCAACTGTGGTAACCACCTTGTTGACCTGTGAAGAGCACGTCAATCTACCTTATCCTCTAAGACGATCAGCTGCTACATTATTCCTTAAAAGCCATCCTCTCATTATTGCTGCCAGAAGACCCTCACCCGTGCCAGAAGGCCAAAGCTCACAGGATGTGGATTAGTCTCGCTGTCTCGCACCGCCTTATCCTTGCACCATTCAGCTGGAGAATAGGTGAGTTGAGTGGCAAGAGTAGTTTAGTCTCGAAACTTTCTACACATACCTAGTATGTGCATGTTATATAAATTCGAGCATGGATGGGAATTCAAAGTAGTATAATCATCTACAAGCAAGATGAAATATGTAGCGGTAATATCCTAGTCCACACCACTTAAATAAGTTCTTCAAATGAAGGTTGGTTCTTTTAGGTCATATAGCATCACGAATCAACAGCTTCTTAGGTTAATTATACATAGCAATTGACAACAAAATTTCTGTATGCATAAAATCACGCTGAGCCTACCAGAGTGGTGGTACAGTTACGTCCCATACGCATCCTAAATTACTCCAATACTAGTAGTATAAACCAAGTGAAGATTAGGTTACGGGAGTGGCACCTAGAAAGAGTCGAAGACTCGCGAACCATGTAAAGCAGAACTTGCAAGGTGCCGTACCTATAGAATATAATTACAAGCATATCAAGTCATCTTAGTCTGGCTCTGATCAGGCGTCCGAATCACCGTCTCAACCTGCATCTCCCCACCATACGGCCTATAAGCTATCCTCTTCCTACAATTCGGATTCCCGCATATCTGCTCAATATTCTGAAACCAGCCCATCAGAGCAGGGACACATAAACAGACGATGTTGCAGAATAAGCAGCAGAGAACAGATGTTATGCTATTTGTTCCGAATCAGTATGAAAGCTGAGAGAGGGGGATGGTGGCTTACATTGTTCCAGATGAATTGGTTCTTCTGACGTTTGTGAGTGTTAGGGTATGACACCAGGGGCATACGACGTGTGCTGGGAAATCGTCCAGTTGGTGTAGTGGGATTGGAACGACGGTCATGGTTATGGGGGTGTATCCTGGGTATGGATTGGTGGTGGGTACTTGTTTGTCACGGGTATAAGCAGGAGGGCTGATGATGGTTAGTATACATTATTCGATCTCGCCTGGGTATACCTACTTGTCTGACGAATCAGTCGACCCAGTATGGTTCTCCGTTGGAACGGGAGTAACAGCGTCTGCAGCATTGACTGGTTGTGAAATCTCCTCAGTGGGAGACTCTGCCTCCGGCAAGGTTGATGTGTTTTTTGACTCGGCCATTGTACCTTCTCTTTTGTGTCTTGTGTATGTGTAAGATTCAGGAAAGTGAATGCGACTGTCCTTTATGCACGAAAGATAGCACAGGGCTGGATTTTAAGGGGCAATACAATGCCTAGTCCCAGCTAGCCATTCTCTGTCATGCCACTAGTTATGCCACTAGTCATTCCCTGGTGAATGTCATTGACTCATTGACTTGGTCTTTTAATGAAGAAAGGATCCAGAATCCGACCAATGGACTTGTTAGATCAGGATCAATTGAACATGCAATACTAATTGGCCACTCAACCCAAGAAATAGACGAGGCTGAGTCAATCTCGGCGAGTATCATGGAGATTGACCAGCGTTCTTGTGTGACCAGACGAAGCATGTAGTGTAGGATAGGTTCTGAACAGATAATACTTCATTTTGAGTAGCAAGGCAGAGGAAAATAACCTGAGGTAAACCGGCCCGTCCGGCGCACCTACACTGCATTCGCGATGAATGCGGTGTAGGTGCGCTGGACGGCACGGTTAGCGGTTAACTTGAAGTTTGAGATAGCATCTGATTGGCCAGTCCCTTGTAAGTCGAACACCTTCTTTCTACTGTAGTAGCTCTGTTCAATAGAGAAGATTGGACGTCGAGTACCAGTTTAAAATATAAACAAACTACGAGAGAAATATAAATTCAAGAAGAGCAGTGCGTGTGTGTCTGTAGTAATTGTCCACATCGGGACTAGTCTACGGCGGCATCTGATGATCCATCGTCAGCTCAACGTACAACCACCACCAACACTACAACAGTCACAATGCGCCTGCTCAGTCAACACTTGGTACGCAGCTATATCTGCCCCTCATGTCGGGCTAGTATACAGAAAAGCACTCGACGAGTCTTTTCAACCACCCCAATTGCTCGAGCATCGCCCGACATTTACGACGTCGTCTGCGTTGGCGGGGGTCCTGCTGGTCTCGCTCTTGCCGCGGCTCTTCGTATGTTATCTTGATTATCTGCTGAAATTGAAGGTCGGAAATTGAAAAATACTGACTTTGGGAAGTATCTTCGCCGGTTACGTCCAACCTCAGAATCGCCTTAATCGAGAGTCAAGACCTAAACAAATCGCGTATCTGGAATCTGCCTCCCGGCGAATTCTCCAACCGATGCAGCAGTCTCACGCCCACCTCAGTTTCCTTCCTACAAAAGATCGGCGCCTGGAAACATGTTGACGCTTCACGCGTTCAGCCATACCAAGAAATGCAAGTATGGGACGGACAGACCGGATCGAAAATCTCCTTTGACTGGTCGGTGGACACATCTCCATTTGAGGATATCAGATCGATAGCTACGATGACGGAGAATGCGAATCTTGTTCGAGGACTACTTTTGCGAATTCAGGAGTTAGAAGATGGCAATAGCAATGGCAATGGCTCACTTTCGGTATTCTCGAATACGATGGTGTCCTCTATTGAGAATGGGTCTAAAAGTACAGACGGTCCTAATCTATCAGCCTGGCCTATCGTATCCCTCGCGCCGTCCCCATCGTCTTCTTCCTCTGTATCCGGACCTATCACTGCGCGATTACTGGTCGGTGCAGACGGCATCAACAGTCCCGTTCGCTCGTTCGCCGACATCACAACCAGCGGATGGGACTACGACCGCCACGGCATCGTCGCAACGCTCTCCCTCTCCGAGGATTCCCCCTCCCCTCTCAACATTCGAACAGCTTACCAACGCTTCCTCCCTTCCTTAGGCGGACCAATTGCTCTTCTGCCCCTACCAGGAAACAAAGCAACTTTAGTGTGGTCCACCAAAATCGAAAACGCAGCATACCTCAAATCCCTACCGGAAGAAGCATTCATAGCCATGATCAACGCTGCATTCCGTCTCTCAATGACTGATTTGAATTACATGCTTGCTATCGACCCGAAGGAAACAAATCAACATCAAGACGAACTCACCTGGCGACTAAACCACACCCCTCAATCAACCTACCTCCCTCCGCTAGTCACATCCATCCAACGAGGAACCACAGCCTCGTTTCCCCTCCGTTTCCGTCACGCATCATCCTACATCTCCCCTCGAGTCGCTCTAATCGGTGACGCAGCACACGTCATCCACCCGTTAGCAGGCCAAGGTCTAAATCTTGGTATAGGAGACGTGGCATCTCTCAGCAACACAATCGAATACGCCGTCAACCACGGTATGGATATAGGTGACCACCTCGCTCTAGAACCGTACATGACAGCGCGGTATGCTGCGAATACGAAGATTGGTGGGATGTGCGATTTGTTGCACAAAGTGTATAATGTCCCTGGTAATGGGCCGGTGGCAGTTGCGAGAAGTTTAGGATTGAATCTTGTTGATCGCGTGCCGTGGTTGAAGGGATTTGTTATGAAGCAGGCGGATTAATTTGTATTCTTTGTATATTACAGTACTGTATAATAGATTTGACAAGTGGAGTATTCATTTTTGTATTATCAGACTCAAATAAATCTATTTTATCCTGCGCATGTTTCCATCCGACTTTTATGTATGAGACAAGAACCCCATCATAATGCATCACAATCAATGTAATAATGGTATATGCGCAAAAATGCAAAACAAAATCCACGAAAAGGGCATACATAATTAAACACCTGCGTCTTCCGTCTTCGGCACAGAAGCAGCATCACTACTCACGGTCAAATCTGCAACTGCTGCTGTTGTAGATTCCGGAAGTACAGTGGCGCTCGCCTGAATACCTTTATTCTTATTGCTTATTCGTTTTTTGATCTCCTCGACCAGGTTCTTGATATCGACTGATACACCTTCTTTTTCAGGGTGGCCTTCCGGAAGACCCATTTCTTTAATCTTGACTTGCCCGGCGGCTAGTTCGTCTTCTCCGAGAATCACTCCAAAGGGGATGCCTGACGTCTCGGCGGCTTTGAATTGTTGAGGGAGTTTGGGTTTGAGTTTATATGAGAATTCGGCCTGTTTGAGTTAGAACATTTCTACAACTTTTCTTCAACCAGAGATGAATGCGCGGTGATTACCTTCACACCTGCTGCCCACAACGTCTTGCAGATTTCCATACGCTCCTTGAGCATACCAGTGAACCCCTTTCCTCCAAAGGCCATCACGTACACATCAACCTCGCTGCTACGCATTTCAGCAGCCTTTTCTTTCTCCATACGAGCTTTTGTGATAGAGAATATACGGTCAACTCCGAAAGAAATACCAACACATGGGATCTGTGCCTTTGGATAGAACATGCCGACGAGGTTATCATATCGGCCACCAGCTGCAATACTACCCACACCAACGGTGGGGTCATTCGACCGATCATCGTCATCGCCGGTTGCGGATTTGGTCTTCTTTCCTGATTTCTGTAGGTTCTTCGCTTCCGGGGCTGATGTCGCAGTCACTGGTGCCGAGCCCTCTGTGACGACTTCATAAATAACTCCGGTATAATAATCCAAACCACGGGCCAGACTGAGGTCAAAGGATATAGTGTCAAGCACGCCGAATGCTTCGAGATAGTCCATCAAAAGCCCCATTTCTTCGATACCTTGCTTGGCGGCGGCATTGGCCATCAGGTCTTCGTCTTTTAATAACTCTTCCAGCAAATCCTTCCGTCCCTTCCTGCTGACATATTTCTCAATCTTGTCTGCTGCTGCAGCGTCGAGTCCCTTGTCTTCCACCATCTCTTTCCGAACGTCGGCCCAGGGGAGTTTATCAAGTTTATCCACGGCACTGGAAATCGGTCGAATCTTGTCCTGGGGCACCCCACAAACTTCAAACATACCGTCGAGAACTTTTCGGTGGTTAATCTTGATTGTGAACTTTCCTTGCCAACCCAGATCCTCAAACACTTCATTGATAACCTTCAGAACTTCTGCATCAGGAACCATAGGATCAAAATTGGCGCCGGCAATATCAAAATCGCACTGATAAAACTCGCGCATCCGACCCTTTGCAACAGCAGGTTGATCGCGTCGGTAGACCTTGGCGATGTGATAGCGTTTAATACTGCGGATCTCAGGGTTCATGGCCAGCCATCGTGCGAAGGGGACAGTTAAATCATATCGTAACGAGCAGAGCTCACCACCTTGATCTTGCAGATCATAAATGAGTTTGGAGTCTTCGCCGTATTTGCCAGCCAGAATCTCTCGGAGCTCGAAGACGGGGGTATCGAGTGCCGTGCCGCCGTGACGTCGAAAGACATTGGTGATGGTGGAAAAGATACGATCGCGGATGAGAGTATCAGCGCCAGCCCAGTCTCTCGTGCCCTTAGGGGTTTTGAGGTTGAATGTAACCTTGTTGTCTTTGTCCTTACCCATGTCGTCTGAGTCTGGTGACTTTAAGTAGGAAAGGAAACGATAGGAGGGGTTGTTGATAATAATGTTGTTTTTGCAGGAACCAAAATTTGTTAAGGGTAACCCCACCACCGCCTTCCCCCGCCGAAAACGGGCAACAAGTCTGGCTGGGCTGGCTCTGCGCGCAAAGCAGACTACGGGAGTGGCCTGCATCCACGACGATAGTTATTAAATAAATAGACGAAAAAATAATAATATAAAGCAGTATGCAGGTGTTACTATTCGACACTGTAAATAGTAAATCTTGATGGCATTGAGGTTGCTGGTGTTTCGTACATGATTTGTCGTCATTCAACATCTGCTGACCCCTGGACTCTGTAAACTTTTCTTACACTTGGTTGGACCTGCCGCCCCAATTAGGATGGATATTAGGGCTTAGGGCTGGACAGCCAGTCAACCTCCACTTACATGATCTTAGATTTGTGTATAACTTAGTTAAGCTCTATTGTACAGTGATATCCGTCCGCACTGTTCTTTGTATTGACATACACCAGTCCTATATTCGGATACCGACTCTGTCATTGTATACATCATGTTGGGTGGGATATGGCTGTCTTGTCAGAAGAATCAAGAAACCACAACCAATAAATCAACTAGATAGTGCTACATTACTGCGCACGAACGGAACAAGGGATCATCCGAATAACCCTCAGGGTTAGGCAGCTTAGCCGGACAAGATACGAATATGCCGAACATATGTTTGATACAACATAGCTAAATATAGCCATGATCGAATGACTATGTTGAGAGAAAGGTATTTAAGGACACTTATTTACCATGTAATTAGTTCATTTTACCGTCTTGAATTAACTGTGATAACTTGAGTATACGTTCTTCTATCGAACCGGATATTCGACCTTTTGTTAAGACTTTGCTTTCAAGAAGCCTATCAACTTCGACGTGTTAATAGCTATCTGAGGTATACTCGACAGTGTTGAAGACGAAGTTTCCGACATGTCCATAAATACAACACATAGATACATTCCCTCTTCAGCTGCCTCTCAATTTGAGCACTCGCTACAGTTACCTAGGTCGCGACTCGGCTAACTGAAAGACATCTTCCCAAGAGTAAGGCTGGGGTAAAATGAATCTTCGACCAACGAGCCGGTATTAGGGTTAGGGTTGGCGGACTAAAAAATTGGAGATGCCCCCTCTGTGGATTGAACACAGGACCTTTGCATGACCGTAATACAGGACAAACCTCCTGATATGTGTAAGGTGATGAAGAAAAACACCAACCCTGTACGAGTGCAACGCACTACCACTGTGCTAAAGGGGCTTGTGATTGTGAGCAACGTTAATCATCCCAAGTAATTTAAGGTCATCTGAACACTTATTCTGATAGTAAGTACCATACTTATCTGAATTCTATTTCTGAATAAGCTGCTTATGTTATCAATAGAACCTCGAAAAGCAATGCCTTTTTCGGGTTGCCCAGAAAACCTTTTCAATGCGTCGCATGATCTCTGAAGTAAAGCTCTCTTCTGGTTGGCCACTGGACAACTCCCATTTGCTGCGTTGGGATTAGTTCCCGCAAGGGGACTCCGGCCAATGATATTGCCAGCTTGCTCCTATAAAAATTCATTTTGGATTTTGGAATTCGGTTTCGGCAATCTCCTCTTGCCGAACGCCCAAGCGAGCTGGGATACTCCCTGCCAGTCCTTGAGCAGCTCGCGGATGAGTCTTAGTTCCGAGTCAGTGGATGGGCCGGCGGGCAATTTTTAGTTCCTCGTTCTCGTTGCAGACAGCGTGGACAACCCAGTTGCCGACATCCCCTTCAGGCAGCCAGTCGACAAGCGAGGCGAAGAGGCGAACAAGCTCACGCACAAACTCGCATTCTATGCACTTTACGGACAAACCGACGATATTCCTTTTCCAGTACATCGTATATCCGTAAAGCATACGATCCGATAGCACGCCAGTCTGGTCCTCTTGAGCCAGTTGAACTTTGATACTCACTGCCATTTAGTAAGCCAGTTGGTAAGCCAACTCGCATACCATCTCACGAGGCAATTGGTGAATGAGTTGAGTGAAGCAGTTGGCAGCGATTAGTTAAGCGGTTTGTAAGCCAGTTTAGCAAGCCATTTATGAAGCCGGTGTGCGAACCACCCCCTATTCCAGCCAGCCAGCCAACAAACCAATATACAATTTCGGATGAGTACTTAACTGGCCAGTTGACACTCAAATGCAGATATTTTCCTTGTTTTCCAGCTCTTCCCAGGTTAGACAGAGTATATAGTCTGAAAAGTTGAAAAGGAATATATGCATGTACTTTGATTAGCCTTTACCTAGGCAAGTAGTTGCTTGAACTTAAGTGCCTAAAGCTAGCGGGCGAGACTGGTCTGGGTGACACCGCGGTTGTTACATAATGAACTCGCTTTCCGAATACCTTATCTACCGTCGGAGGCAACCGAGGGCAGATCAGTGGTGATGACAATTGTGATATCATCGCTAGGCATTGCGGACAACCAGAGATGGTGTTCCCTAGGAATACTCTTCTAGTCCCGAAGGAGGAAGGAGACAAGTATGTTTGCTGCATCCTATCAGTTGTGATCGTTGGCTAATTTCATTGTTCAGACTTCTGGGAAAGACAGTCGATGTCGTGGTGGGACATGAGCATGAGACGTTCAGCATCCATGAGAAACTGATTCGTGCATCATCGCTATTCTTTGACAAGGCCATGTCCGGTGCATGGCAGGAGTCAGCACAGAATACAATTGAACTACCAGATGACGAACCAGAGATATTTGGATTGTACCATCACTGGCTCTACTATGGCACTCTACCGGTTTTTTGTGACGACGTGAATGTCGAATACGTTAACCTTATCGACGCCTATACGCTCGGTGACAAGTTACTTGATACTAGATTCCAAGATACAGCGATTGATGCTATTATTGAGAGGAGTATTTCGAAAGGATCAGACGGCAAAATGTGGTACCCTGGTCAGGGGGTAATCGAGCATGCATACAATAATACGAATGAATCGGCTCTTGTTCGTACCTTACTTGTCGATATGTACGTTTCTGCTGGGCATGGTGCTTGGCTTCGCGATTGTGGCACGACGGATTTCCCGCAGTCGTTTCTATTTGAGCTTGCTGCGAAGTCAATGGATCAGCGTGGTGGTTCGAGGTTGAGGATCGATCCCTCGAAGTACCATATCCACGGCTCGCAAGATGGGAAAAAAGGGAGCCATGTCAAGTGCTCATGAAGTCTTCTGATATCAGGCTTCAGTTGTTATAATTGCGGGAGGGTATTGGACCGTCATCCAACGCCCGTACCATCCTCGACGTCCATCGGTCTTTGCTTTGCTAGATGGAAATTCTATACGGCGCAACTCTATGTATGAATCTTACCTAGGTATGGAGATTTTGGGTTATTTTACTTTCTCAATTACTGACGAGCACCTCCCCATAGCCTTTCAAGACTCTTGAGGCATTTTTCTCCGGTCTTTACCGGGCTTTAGATGGGAATGACTGTGAGAACACAGGAAATTTTCATGGTGACAAAAAGAAGTTACCCTAAACTAGTACCTTGAAAACAGGGCTCCTTTACGGTGAGTGAAATTCAGTGGTAACTGTGTATCTAGGATACACTTTATACCTAGCCATCCACTGTATACGGTCAAGAGAGCCTAGGTAAGTGAACTCCAACTCGACTTTTAGATGTAACGCATCGATTTGTAGAATACTAAAAGATGGAAAGAGAGGAAGGAGATGAAATGTTGGAGTGCTTGCTTAATTAGAACAGGTTGCTCAATTACAACAGGATGTATCTCTGGCAGGATTCCCAAGTTATTTATGCTTGGAATCTTGCTGCCAGTACGTGCGAACGTAACAAGCTAATATAAAAAGATCTTTCACACAGATATCAAAATAGGAGGCTGCACATGTGAAGGTTTCATATGTCAAACACAAAAATTGCGTCTGATACAATATAATATGTCTTTTCAACACATTTAAATATTTTCTCACTATGTAGAGTAGGCATCCAGACATCTTGGAATCTCATCAGTCATAATTTCTGACCCTTCCATACTCCCGAGGTCATAAGCATCGACTGAGATACAGGAAAGCAAGGCAACACAAACATTGTAAATGAATAAATTTATAGTTCAATTTTACGCTTTACATAATGTACGCCTCTATAGCACAGTGGTAGTGCGTTGCACTTGTAATGAAAAGTCATGCAAAGGTCCGGTGTTCAATCCACCGTGGAGGCATCGATGTTATTGTTTTTTGTTGTTACAACCCTAACCCCCGATCCTACACACCTGAATGCAAACGTCTTATAAAAAAAACCCTATCAGGTCAGTCAGTCCGTAGAAAACCTAATGTACATTTTCAAGTTTGGATTGCAAAACAACAACAAACACTAGTCGATGAATAGAATAGTAACAAATACAGATACGAAGTTATTTAGCCGTCATGATACCAAGATACGCCATACTAATGGAAACATCCTAACACAAAAGGGTATTCAATCGTTGTCCTTGCGTTAAGGACCAGGAGGTAGTTCTTCCCTGCAATCTTATCCAGGGCGACGACGGTATACACACCGGACATGAGACAGAGAGTATGAATAGGATAGATAGTTTTGTAGTGACCAGATCGAACCGATCTTCTTTTTTTTTATCCAAAAAGAAGAGATTCAAAACTTTATCGTATGCTTTGGAAATATGTACCAGAATCTGTCATTCATTGCCTGGAATAAATCATAATAATAAATCAGCCTAGTAGACTCATTGATTTTTTCCTAATTCCAAAACCCTTCCATTTGTTACCCTTGTCTTTATCAGGTTTGTCGGCCTTGGATTTGGGAACGAGCTCGTGGATCTGTGTGACTGTTTGCGGGATGGTGCTATGATTATTCGATTCCGTTGGGACATCCTCCTCAATGACATGCTCATGTAACTTCATATCCGGAGGATGTCCATTGTCCGAAACGATATCCGAGCGTGAAAATTCCGAAGACGCGGCCCTCTTGCTGCCGTCCTTCGGTGATGCAAATCTATGACTCAGGCTCTTACTGCTCCGACGGAACCGATTTAAACTGCCAGTCAACATCTTGTGTTGTCCGTTCTCTCCGTTGTCTGAACTTGTCTTTCGATCTTCCTCCGCTTTTGACGCCTTACTGAGCTCAAGGGCGGCTTTCATGTCGGCATCCTCACGCTTCAGATCTTCCCTCCGCTTGGCCTCTTGTTCCTTGCGTTTTTGCTTATCGGCTTTTTCTTTCTCCTTCTCAGCCGCTTTCCGTCCCTTTTCTTCTTTCACGCGTTCCTTTCGAGACTGTCCTTCGCTCTTTTTACTGACCCCGGTATCTACCGGAATCTGTGGCACAGGAGGTGCCGGCGGACTTGTTGAGAAGGCATGTTCTGGATGAGTTGACATTTGAGGCGCAGTGGGAACGGTTCTCAAAGGAGCAAAATGATGTGCTTCATCTTCGCTGGGTCCTGTATAAGTGTGGATATGATTGAGGGGCGATGAAAGGTTTCCTTCTCTTAAATCTGCAGCCCCAGCCGCGCTGTAGCCTTCTTGCTCTTGTTCTCGTTGAACAGCCTCCAAAGTGGTTTCTTGATAGAATAAAACATAAGCGCAAGCGAGTCCTGGGCGGTCTCCGAAGAAGTTGCGCACGTAGCTCTTGTCTACTGGTTCCACCATCTCATCATCGAACAGCAACCAGCCCCGATCTTCTGTTTTGATGATAGACACGTAATGTCCGTGATATGGGCCGCCACCAATATGCACGACCACCGCATATAACTCGTAAAGGCGATCTGGATCTTCGGCATCATCTGTAGTATTGAATAAGCGAAGGTGATAGGGATAGACGACCCGGTGAAACAGCTTTTGTAATCTCTGTAGATCTTCCGTATACTTGAATCGCTTCAGATGCAGAGCAAGGATCTTTGGTAATCGCTTTATTTTCATACGTTTCTCGGCTTCTTGCAAACCTCCACAATTGTCGCAATGGAATTTGTTTCTTTCGCAAAGCATTTCCTCGGCGGAAAACTTCCGCAGACACGATGTAACGGATGAATGCTGTTCTAAATCGACCGATAAATCTAAGAAAACTTCATCTCGTTGCGACACTTTTTCGCAGGTCAGGCACTGCGTTTCTGATGTTAATGTCCCCTCAAACAATTCATGCACCCAGCGGGTTGTATTAGGTGTTTTTGACCCTGTAGACCCATTCACTTGTGTTCCTGTCGAATTGGTAGACGAATCCGTCACGGCTACCGTCTGCTCAGAATCGGTAGTCTCGACGGGGGGATTCTCAATTTGCTTCGCCGACTCGGCTTCCACGTTTGTGACCACCTCGTTGAGCAGGAGATTGAGGAATTCGTGCGCATCTTGGTGCATTGCAGTGCGAAACATCTCGTTCTCACGACGAAGAACCTCGAGAAAATGTTGAGGTCTAACGACGCCAAGCTTTGACTGACTTGCCACCACGTTCTCAAAAAGATCTTTTAGCGACGTGAACAGCGACTCCGACATTCCGTAACTCGCCGAGTTATCTTTGGTCTCGAGAAGAGGTAGCGTCTGAATCGCAACCTTTTTCTTATATTCCGGCGAGTCCTTATCTTCAGGTTTGGGAGGCTGGGTAGGAGTCACGCCTGCGTTGCGAGATGACGATTGACCGGCGTTATGTTTTGCTTTTGCAGCGGCTGCTTCGGCTTCGAAAAACGCTTCTGGACTCTGGTATCTCAAGTTTCTGGCAAGTGCCATTTCGAGGGATTCGATCGGTGTTCGCTTCGGATAGTTTATCACCGATTCTCGGAAGGGGACCGAATAATAGAGGCATTGTAGGATAGAGTTGCAATAACTGTTGCTCAGTGGTTAGTGGCGGCAAACGGCAGGACAAAAGGAAGCGCACCATGTATTTCCATACTAAAAACATTGTCAGTGTTGGATGAATTGAATGTGTTTGGGTTAAGAACTTACATTTTCCATGCCAAAGAACTTATCGCTGCCGTCAGCTCGCACGGGACCCGAGTCCTGCAACATCTTCTCCAAAGGTGTGATTGGTAATACATGGTTGTCCTTTTTGGGGGAGCTGATATTCGACGTGGGTGATAATGGGCCCTAGATTGACAGGTCAGTGTTACTTTCGTAAGTCGAGATGCAGTCATGGTATCATGGCGAGAAGGTGTAGACAATTGAGTTTGAGGTGAAACGAACAAGAGCAACAAAGGGAACACACATTATTAGACCTCAGATTCTTGAAGAAGGACCCCATTCTGCTCGACCACGCTCAGTTCGCGTTCATCGGTGTAATCTCTGTTATCGTTGAATGTTCCGGCGACAGTTTCAACGGTTGTTCCTGGCCGCGATGCGGTGCGGGCTGATGTGAGGGCAGACTGGCAACAGCAATGGCCAGCGACGAAAAGAAAAAGCCACCTATTATTGATATATATTGGGGCGACTGTAAATGTGCAACACAAAAGCCGCCCCTCGAGCAGAAGACGTCAGATTCGTAGCGGAGGGATGCAAGGCTGCCTTTTGTCTCGTCGGCGAGGGCCGAAGATCAACGTATCTGCCTTGTACCTCCAAGGTGGTTCCCGTGCAACAGTTCGAGAGTTCGCGGATGTAATGGTCAAAGAAAATCGCACGCAGAGTGTTGAATCGAAAGAAATACTGGAAATGCAAAAGACCGAACAAGGAACAGTCGGAAGAAAAAGTAAAGAAAGTAAAGAAAGTCTGGTGGGTGGTGGAAGGCGAGATGGCGCAGGTACTGGTTCACTAAGAGAAGGCAAGCCGTGGTTCTTGGCTGGACTCTGGGGCAGGCGAGCAACAAATCAGTGAGATAACGGGGAAGTCTAAGCTAAGGTCGGACATAAGCTAGTAATTGCAGTGAGGGCATTTCTGCTAGCGTGTCAGGTTAGCAGTCTTAGCATTCTTCTGAGTTCGTCGCATTGAGTCTCTGTTGGATCTTGAAGTCGTGCTGCGACTGGCCGGCGGACTACTAGTGGGTGGCGGGATAATACTAGGGTTCGTTATTAATACAGAATGAATACAGAAGTAATACAGTTTTCAATACACATGTTCTGATCGATTCTGAGTCTCCTGACACCATATCTTTTTAATTTAGAACTGTTCTCGAACAATTCTTATATCCATACATGAGCTAGACAAGCAGAATGTCCATCTTCTGACATCTCGGTGAGAGGTAGAACGTGAGCTGTCCAAACCCGGCCTTGTCGTCTCCCCACTGTCCCACCGTTCAGAGATAACAAAGTGACGACATTCTTTAAATAAATCGGATCAAACTCGTCCGTCGTGCGACTTGATGGTGATTGAAGCAGTTTGCAAGATAATACTGACACGCATTTAGCCGAATGAAGAACACAAAGTCAAAGCACCATGTTGGACTGACACCTCAACGCTTCATCTGGTTATCTGAACTCCTTAGAAAATAATAGAAATAGATGTACTCCGTAATACGCAATACAGACCGATACAGCGAAACGCACTAGTAAAAGCTCCGAGCGCCGTTAGCCTAGATCGATAATGCCACGCGAGACACATGTGGGCGCATGCGGTAGAACATCATTAGTTACCCGATACACACCTGTTATTATTACTTTACCAATTAGTGACTATCAACACCGGGAAGCACTCCGAGAGTTGAACATTTAGATTAGAGAGTAAGATGACCTGAAGACTTAGAGACTACAATACTGCCTAGAGTAGATACAGCGAGCACACCATATTGAATGTATTAGTGTTTTCATTTCAATTGCAGTATTCAAAGAGGTCAATCAAGAACCCCTCGCTTTTTGAGAGATTTGATGCTACCCTCACATCAGCAATGCCATTGGTGGAATACGGTATTTTACTAGATCAAGGGTCTGCTGTAATTTTCATTGTACGTACTCCATACGGAACGAAGTGTCTGGATGGACTCAAGTTTACCCCAGTTTTTACCGTCGTCTTTCATTTAACGACGACTCATGGCCTGTATCGATGTGACTAGGTAGCTGCGGGGAAATGCAAACCTTGAAGTGTACGCGTACTTCACTACATTAAGCTCAAACGAATGGCTCAGAGCATCGCATTAAAAGGGTTAGGGTTATAACTTGGAACGTCTCCCACTTTACTCTCCTATTGGACAAACAAACACCATTGTAACGTGACCTTCCCAAACCCTATATGACTTCCCGTTTAGGCTGCAAATAATGCGAAATTCGAGTACAGATTCATCTTTTTCTTCTACAATTACATACATTGCTAGTATCCTCTACCCGGGTACATCTCTTGCTTTTCCTTACCGGTATGACAAGACATTGTTTAGGTTGGTTGTTGTAAGGAGGTGTGTGTGTATGTATTCGCTACATTTCAGAATCGATTACCTATCTTGAAGCTATTTTCGCTTTCTAGCTTTTCTGATTTGATCGGACGGTAGAGTCGGTGTGCCAGCCCAACAAGTTCCTACAAAGCGAAAGAGAGAGAATCTTGCTCGATTGAAGAACATCCAGTTCAAAAGCAGCGGTATGACTACTGCAGGGAAAACACACCTGTGGCACCTGAGACAGCCCAACGAGTTCGTGAGTTGTGTCAAAATGAAGAGGTATCCACGGACAATATTCATAAGCTTGAAGCTGTCAGAAATAGTGATGATGAAGAGGACACGGACAGATTAGTTTCCGCAACTGAGGACGATCTAGAGGGTTCCACCGCCCGCAATGAATGATGAATTTCTCGGTACTGCGGACATTCAGGAGGTGACGCAAATCAAACACCTACTGGTTGAGAAGCAGACTGAGCTTCTATCAATTGAGTGGCGAGAAGGTATTGCAACTCTTGAAATTGAAGACAGTGACATACTATCTGATGATTCTTTGGATCAGATTTTCATGGACTACGACAAAAATGATTCAGAGGACAGTATTGAGATGGTTATATCAGAGCAAGGAACAGTCTACTCTATAAACGAGGAATCCTTACCCTTGAGAAGAGTTGAGGTAAAGGATTTCAGTAATGAGACAGCGCAATTGCTATTACAACAGGGAAAGTGCTACTCTGGTTCTTGGGTCGGAGGAAATAGAAACAACATATTAAGGTTACGGATTAATAGGGTTATGGCTGCTATTGATCTGCTTTTCTATCGCCAAAACACTCGAGAAGACTGGTCAGAGCAATTTTTAGTCAGAGCTCACACACATTCCGGGCGTTGCCACCCCCAAAGGTGGGCAATAAAGTGTCTTGACAATGACCCAGGAGCTAGACTTGCCTTTGGTGTTACCTCAGACGAGGGGACATTTATATCTAGGGCTAGGAAGCGTATGTTAATATTGGCTAGGGCTTGTAGGCTAATAAGATGATGAGGCTCTAGAAAGATGTCATGTGTACTCTAGCTAAGTGGTGAGGTCGGGGGCTGATATCAACACCTCGACTAAAGCGGGCTAGTCCCAATATGGCACCCAGGCAGGCGTCTACGTGAGTCAGGTGATATCCTGTCATAAGATATGTTCAGAACCTCAGAAGCCCTACCCAGGTAACCCTAAGCCAGCCCCTGCGCGCGATTTGTAAGGCAGATTGTAGGCTGTTTCCAGTGTCTATTCAGGCCTACGCGCGCGTTCCAGTATTTACAATTACTTAGCTACAAGAAGATATAGGCACGCTGTAGGATTCACTAGTTTTCAGATTAAATTATTGCCTAATCGGGAAACTTTTCTGACATGCAGGCGCTCTCAGCTTGTCAGAAAGCCGAAACCTCCACAACCAAACGTAGTGAGATCTCAGTAGACTTTATGACATTGACCATGAAATGTACAAATTTCTCAGCTTTCTGACATGATTTATAAGAGTAAAAATTATTTATAATCTGATCATAGCATGTTGAGCGCGGTTATGGATTCACATAAATACGGTTAATGTCCACCATATATCTTGGAAACCAGTACAAACCTCACCCTGTGTAAAGCAAAACCTTCAAATTATCGACAAATATTTATTAATCTGAAAGAATATAATCAAAATGTCTAAACCAACCATCGTCATTGTCCCCGGCTCCTTCACCTCAGCATCCGCCTACGAAACTCTCGCATCCATCCTCACCAAACAGTACAGCTACGAAGCCATCGTCGCCCCTCTGCAATCCACTGCTCGCGCACCTCCCGAAAATCCAGCCACAATGCAAGAAGATGCAGCCTACTTCCGCGGAATCATCGAAGCGCTCTCAAGTCAAGGCAAAGATGTCGTCGTGGTTGGACATTCCTACGGCGGCATTGTAGCTACTGAAGCTGTCAAGCAAGTCACAAAACCCGAGCGTCAGGAACGGGGAAAGAGCGCAGATGGTGTTGTCGGAGTTGTTTATGTGGCTGCTCTTGTGGCTCAGATTGGCGAGCCGGCGATTAAGGTGATGGGAGGGCAATTGGGCGCGGTTATAAAGATTATGGTGAATTTGCTTTAACATTCATTTTGAAAGACACCGGATGTTAATAAAGTGACAGGGAGACTACATGTACTTCGATACAGAAGCCGGTGCCCCCTACCTTTATGCAGGTCTGCCATCGACCGAAGAGGCCCTGGAAGCAGGTCGGAAATACACGACAATCCATTCCACTGCAAGTTTCTTGGATCGGGCTACGAATGCTGCGGTCGACCATGTCCCTGTGACGTACATACATACCGAAAAGGACACTATTGTTCCTCTGGAAAGACAAAACGAAATTGTGGAGAACCTCAAGTCGAGGAATGCGAAGAAGGTATCTACGATTACCATCAACGAAGGTCATATGCCGCAAACCCTAGCCCCGGACGTATTGGCAAAGGCTATTGTTGAAGCGATTACTCAGTCCTTGGGTGAATGAACTCAAAATGTATCTAGTCTGCTAACTGGTAGTAGAGATAGTACAATATAGCTGGTCCAGCCCCTTCTAAAACAAATCCTATACGCCGCATATATTGTATACACTGCACAGCCGCCCCAGATAAACGGCTCAGTAAAAGCACCCATTAAAACAGAAGAACGGACTGATCTCGACAAATACTAAAAGCCGAGTCCCATAAACCGTAAATGCAATACTTCGTTGATATCGACAATCATAACCCCGACATCATCCCAGTATCAACTCATAGACAATAATAACCGTATTTATCACAATCAATGGTACTACACGCAATCACAGTCAGCTCGGCCAGAGCTTAGAAACATAGAATTTCGGTAAACATACTTCGCATAACAGTTCTTACGCTGGTGATTAAATTGACCGTCCTTGCTTTTATGCTTGAATTATCATAACTCGATCCGAAACCTGGTTCGGGTTGTGCCTGACCCCAGCCAACTATTCAAATAGTCCATGTTAGACGGTCGAACTCTAAATACCAGCATAGATAGAGAAGGAGATGTACTTCGTGCGAGGAATCGGTCTTCCGAGAGAACTGCTACTGCATTTATAAGGAGTACCGTGACTGTACACAATATTGGTCCAGTTAGTTGACAAGTCGCTCTCGGCAACGATAGTATGCAAAGGGAGTGCGTACCGTATATTAACCTGCCAAAACCAAAGAAAAGCATTTTGAAAAAGATGTTATTAACTTTGCTGACACAGCGGGGACAAGTTTCCGATATGGTGAATTTGGGGAAAGAATATTTATGTGAAGTTGTTGAAGATGGCTAGTTGGCCGGTGATGTTATGTTTGCTCTGTTTGACTGATAATTCTGCCACCGCCTGCAACGTGCTTAGTGTTAATAGGGGTTAGGGTAAATATGCGGATCAACATATTTTCCGAATTGTATTGTCATAACATCGCGCTTGCTGATAGCTTCAATTAAACATGACCACTAACGATAGTTCGAGTACACTGCTTCCGAAAGAGTTATCGAATACAAATACATCAAATTTACTTGTCGTGCCTGTTAATGCTAGCCAAGAGACAATACTCTGTTGAATTTCGAGGTACATAAACGCGATTTCGAGGAAATGAAGTCCCGAAAGAAGATGTTGTACGAATACTATGCCGCCCAAACTTGAAGGTCTTCTCGATTGAAAGGTATGTGGCCCTTCCCCCTGGATACATGAATTTATCTCTCTTTATCAGGAATTGCTTGATCTCCACAAAAGCGAATTGTATTCATTGGTGCGCGTCATAGAGTGAGCTGGCGTTTCAGAAAGCGATGACCTGTTGCTTCCATTAAGGGAACATCAAAATGAGGTACGCGTCAACAGAACTAGCTTCAATAAGGCAGTAATAATGCGATGACTGGCCATCTTGCCCACAGTAGCCCATCAGAAGCACTGATGTACATGGTTATTGTGAGTTATGTAGTTATAGGTTGATTTGTAGGGTTATATTAGGGTTGCAAATGAGACTCACCGCCTAGATAAGATAAGCCATTTATTCATTGATGTTGATAGCTTAATGACAACCACCATTGACAAGATGCCTAGATCAGCAGGTACGTGAATGATCAATTGGATGATATCTGCCAAAGCCACAAAAGACTAATTAGTTTGCAGACTTGATTCTCTATTCATCCATTCCTACAATCATTCTCATACATCTTTTCGCATCACCGTATACGAAAGTCGAGGAGTCGTTTCACATTCAAGCAACGCATGACATCCTGACATATGGAATCCCATCGCCTTTTCATCTCAATCAGACCTCAATCGCTGAGAAATTCCGATCTGAATATGATCATTTCAGCTTTCCCGGAGCCGTTCCTCGGACATTCATTGGAGCGTTAGGACTCGCAAGTGCTTCGTGGCCTGTTGTTTGGTTTTTCGAGAATGTTGACAGACAAGTTCTAGGTATGTCGTCGTATACCACTAGCTATTGTTTGTTCTAATTAGGTATTCCGAGAACAGTCCGCGCTATTCTGGGCCTCTTCAATGCCTTGTCCTTGATAGTATATGCGCGGGGTATACAAGTCTCATTTGGTAATATGACAGCTTACTGGTACCTTGTATTTCAGGCCAGTCAGTTCCATCTTGCTTATTATGCGTCACGGACGTTGTCAAATATGTTTGCTTTTGGCATTAGTATGTTATATCTCTCAGAACTGGTTGATTGTCCATGATATTAATGACAATAGCCACTATCGCATTGCGACTTCTTCTTCCGGAACCTGACACGAGTGGTGCCAAATCGACAAAATCTAGCGAGTCCAGCAAATCTACAAAACCCACGAAAGTTACAAAACCTACTACTTCGCCTAGTTATACGAGATATCGACTTGCTCTGATACTGTTCACCATCGCTGGTATTATATTCCGCTCAGAGCTCGCTTTATTGCTGGCGACGAACACCATATACTTCTTCCTGACACGGCGCATTCGCATCTGGCAAGACATCCTACCAGCAGGGATCATCGGACTGCTCATCGGGCTCACAGCCACCGTGACCACTGATTCCTACTTCTGGCAGGAATTCCCCCTCTGGCCCGAGTTCAGTGCATTCAAGTTCAACGTCGTATCCGGCCAATCCTCCGCCTGGGGTGTAGACCCCTGGTATTTCTATTTCGCTAGTGCTATCCCTCGCCTCCTCCTCAACCCATTAACTTGGTTGGTATGCATACCTGTCTCTCTTATAGCAGGCACAACTAGACGGGCGTCATTATCGCTCCTCGTTCCATCGCTGTCTTTTGTTGCGGTGTACAGTTTTCAACCCCATAAAGAATGGCGCTTTATCATTTATATCATCCCGGCATTGACGGCTGCAGCGGCTCAAGGAGCGGCGGATATATGGGCGAAACGCGGGAAGTCTATAATATATCGCTTACTCTCCCTCTCACTGGTGCTATCTACACTTGGCTCCTTTTTATTCTCTACTTTCGTTCTCCTACCGATTTCGTCTGCAAATTATCCAGGTGCTCAAGCTATTCAACGAGTTCATTCCCATGGCCAGGGCACTCAGCCACGTATTGCCTTATACATGGGCAACTTGGCGTGCCAAACAGGAGTCACCAGATTTCTGCAACATTCTCAGAACCTGACTTCAGCAAATACTAACGAAGAAGACGTCCTAGACACAGAATGGGTATACGATAAGACGGAAGATCCAGTGTTGAAGTACACACCAGAGTTTTGGGATAATATTGATTATGCTCTCATGGAAGACCACGAATTTGAGGAATTGAAAGCCTCTTCTCTCGATCCCGAGTCATGGAAAATCATAGATACTATCACTGGCTTCGGCGGATTCAGACTCATCAAAACGAACCAGAAGCTCGCGGATATCCGGCAGAACGATGATAGTAGTAGCATAGAGATAAATGCAATCAGACGGATTGCTGGTGATGGTGGTGTCGACTACTACAAAAAGCTGAGAGACGAAATCGCGCAGCGCTTGACTAGAGGATACTGGGTCGAGATGAGTCTGATACCAAAGATCAGGGTGGTGAAATACACACGAGCCCTCTGACTCGTTCCTGTCATTGTTATATAATGTGCTCTCATCTTGCATGAACTGCTACTGGGCCTGAAAGAGGCACCTGAGCAAAGAGTCACTATTCCCGTAAATAAAAACTTTTGTGCTAATAATTCACATAATGAACAGGCAGCACTGGGGAAGTCCGTTTAGACTGTGAACATAATTATATTCCTTGGAAATGAGGTCATTCTAAAAACAGCAGAAGGTGAAGGGAATACTGGGTAATGCTCAATTGGTACATCCTGTTGTGTGTTACAATAACCAATTTGTGCCCCCCTGAGTATTTATTTTCTTCATTTTCTCTTACTACTCTTCTCCTTTTTCACCTTTTTCACCTTGTGTCTGCATGATATTTAGCTGCATATTAAGTCAGCATGTCTTTACAGATGTTCTCTAACATTGCTATTGCCATAATTGGCATCCTTACAGTAATTGCATACCTTCTGTTGACTGTGGGCAGTCATGATCCACGACTTCCCCATAGTATGACCTCTATACATTGCTTTTAATCAAATATAACTCATTTTGTGTTGTCCTCCAGGTTCACCAACTCTCCCCATCATTGGGAACCTCCATCAGCTCCCCAAGCGTAGGCTCACCTCAAGTAATACCTTATGTCCTCAGTCCATCTCGAACTGTCTGACAAAAGTCCAGATATGCCGAATTCGCCAAAAAATGCATGGCGGCCTCTACACTGTCAAGGTCGGTCATCACATCATTGCAGTAATCACGAATCGTCGCGTCGTACGCGAATTGCTCGAGCTCAAGGGCTTGGTGTCCAGCAACCGACCCTCATCGTACATCTCACAGGAACTCATTGGCCAGGGTAATCACCTCCTTACTCTGCAATATGATCCTAAATGGCGTAAATATTGCCAGCTCATCCATCAATGTTTCATGGAGTCAATGTGTGACCAACATTATGTTCATCTTCAGCACGCTGAGGTTGTTCAGATGCTCAGGAATCTCATTGTTGCGCCCAATGTTTATTTCAGCCATGCTAGGCGGTATGCCCGTAGCATCACGACTAGCATTGGCAAGTTTTATCTTCCTATATCTGCCATGATAGGTCGCTGATAATCTCAGTGTACGGTGTTCGTGTCCCTTCCATCCGTTCAACCTATTTGGAACATCTATACGAACTGCTATACGAAATCACTGCCCTTCTCGAGTTTGGAGCCATTCCACCTGTTTATTTTTACCCATTTCTGAAACGGATCCCTGAACGTCTACTTGGAAATGGCGATCCCACTCATACCACGTTAAAAAAAAACTACGGAGTCTCTCCACCAGGTACAAGCATGTCCTTGACCGACGAGCCAAATTCAGTGAAAAGAGCAGCGCTACCCGATTCGTCTTTCATGGACCGCATTCTCAACACAGTCGACGAGCTAAACTTTTCTGATCATCAACTTACTTTCCTTGGCGGTGGTCTCGTGTGAAGGTGGCTCAGAGACACCAGGCAGTCTTGTGCTCACTTTCATGCTAGCAATGACCAAATACCCCGAGACCCAGAAGAAGGGACAAGCCGAAATCGACGCTATTATTGATGAAGGTCATTCACCCACTTGGGCAGATTATGGCCGTCTTCCGTATGTCGCTGCTATCACCAAGGAATTTGTTAGATGGCGCCCTGTCGCGCCACTGGGAATGCCTCATTCACTTGATGAGGGTATTCATCCCCACTGTTATGTCTAGAGGACCATGCTAACAATAAATATAGATGAATGGATTGACGGCAAACTCATCGCTAAAGGCACAGCCCTAATCCTCAACATCTGGGGTCTCAACCACGATGAACGCTACCACAAGAATGCGGATGAATTCGACCTTTCCCGCTACGTCAACAAGACTCTACCCGCGTTGGATTACAGAAACTTCGCATACTACGATTCCCGTGATCATTACCGCTACGGAGCCGGTTGCCGACTCTGTACAGACGTCCATATCGCCGAGTGAAACCTATTCATCGCCAATGCCATGTTACTCTGGGCATTCAACTTTGAGAATCCCATTGACCTCATAACCGGTCAACGCATGGAACCTGATACGAACCCTGATACGGGCTACATCGAGGGATTAGCCGAGTGTCTCGAGAGTTTCCGTGTAAGATTTCGGTGCGTTCTCAGGTTCGATATGAGACGATCATGCGTGAGTTTGCAAAGGCAAAGGTTGATGCCTTTTCAAAGTATGACGAGAACGTTGAGATTTAGGTCTCACTAGTGGTTTTTACCTTGTTTGCTGAGACTTGTCAGGTAGACATTGGACAATCATATTCATGTACTTACTTTGAAAATTTTGACGATTCTCAATTGAATACAATGCTAATACGGATACGATAACGCCTAATATGCATAATACTAATAAAGTTTCATGGATTCATAGAAGCCCATTTCTCAAAAGTAAACTCCTTCCCAACCTCAAGACTCCTCCGCTCATACTCCTTCATAGATTCTTCCCACGTCTTAGCCATCTCATCATTCATCCGTCGATTCACCACCATCTGTTCCTGATACGGCCTCTTAACCTCTTCCTCTGCTTCACGCCACATCTGTCCCAATACAGCCCGTATCTCATCCCGCGCGGCTTTTGCTTCGAAGTCGTTTGTGGATTGCCGTTTGTTGGTCTCACAGCGCTGTTTTGCGCGTATCCAATAGTCCTTTTGGAATGTGAGAAAGGGGTTGAGGGCTATCTTGGCTGGTTTGGTTGGTGGGGCGCCGAGTGTTGCTCGAATATGATTCTCGAGTGCTATTTTGTAGAGATAGTGTTTTTGTTGCTCTGCGCTTGTAGTGGAATTGGCGAATGTGGTTGGTGGAGGGGGCGAAGGTTTGTTGACTGTCTTTGTCATTGAAGGCGCTGATGTCTTGTGACTTTGTTTCGTTGGGGTAGATATGCTTTGTTTCAATATATCGATACTCGGATACCGCCCAGGTGTAATATTGGAATTGCCCTTCGACGACGTGGGACTAATGGTGTCGGTATTGCAATTGGCCCAATTATTTCCTCCATAATCTCTGCTGCCGCCCTTAATCCTGACAGGTATGCCCCATGCACCGTCGCTGGATGTGTAGCACAAGTGGCTTCACCGGCAAAATGGAGGTTCCCGACGGCTTTGGCCATTAGGTCGTAATCCCCTGGCAACGCATCAGCTGCTACATACGAGTATGTGCCACGAGTGAACTTGTCTGACTTCCAGCGCGTGACGATTGTTTCTAGTGGATCCGGGACTGTTTTCGACTTGAAGATATTGCGGAGTTCAGAGAGAACCTCGGTGACAATCTCTTTGTCTGGCATCTCCTCTGCTTGATGCGCAGCATCTCCAGCCATCAGCGCGATCAAAACAGGAATGCCCGACGTTCTGATACAATTCCAGAATAAGTAGAATCTACCTCTGTTCTTGGTGTAATGCGCTTGTGACATGCTGCCTGGAACTTCCGCTTCACGAAGGAGCCCGAACATGTCTCGGGTGGTATCCCAGAACGGTTCATCAAAGACTAACACGACTTTGTTGAGCACCCCGAAACCGAGCCGATCCACCGCACCATTCTTCCAATCCGGCAGTGTTGGAGAAAATTCCACCGTCCGGTGTTTGAGAGTACCCAAAGAGCCTGTGTATACGACATGGTCGGCTGAGATGGGTCCATTTTCAGTGTGGACAATCGTCTTGCGGTTCTTAATCTTACCAGTGGCATCGTAAGTAATATTGACGACCGTCTCGTTAGTCCGAACGTCAAGTTTGGTAGGAAATGCCCATAGACCCCGTGGGAGTTGTTGGTATCCCCCAATGACCTGGCTGTGTTCGCCTTCAAACTCATTCCCCATGTCTTGATCCCAGCCTGATAAACTCAACGAGTTCAAGTTCGTCGCGTTTGCATATTCCAGATTCGCATAGTGCCAGTTCAACAGCCGCATGTCCTTTGGCGTCAAAGGGAGCATATGCTGATACTGCCTGACACCTTCATCCATGACGGCTCCAAGGGTCTGAGTGGGAGATGTCTTTGCGATATTGTCAAGCTGTAAATCATCTCGAGGTGAAATGCCATCTCTCAGCTTCCACCCCATGCTTTGACACTCCATAGCTGCCGGCAGCTCTTCATCTGGACCAAGATCTGAGATTTGAGCTGTCGATGGTGGCGGCAGAATTCGGGATGCATTGTGCCCAATTCCGCGACGAAATCTAGCTGCAGGAAGCATTAAATGATGAGTTCCTGCGGCGCGAGCTTCTTCGTATTGGTGTACCGTGACACCATCGTCAATGGGAATATCACGACCATGGTTTATCATCTCTCGGTCCCCTTCCGCAGTAGACTGGATGGCTGCTTTATGACGATAGTTTCCAGAACGGTCGAGAACGTCATTATACAGACGTTCATCCATTGCGTCTTGCATCTCGTCAACAGCCGAGCCGTCGACATCGTAGATTGTAGAAATATCTCGGAGTAAATGATAACGTAGCGCAAGCTGTGAACGAATGATGGGATCTAACGGATTTCCACGATCAAAGCCCACAATGATCTGAGCACCCATTTCAGCGGTTGGTCGCAGCCCTTTCGGCAATGCAGTCTTTTGATGGCTCTTGAGCGGATGCGAGTATATACGCCCGCCAATGCGACGCCTTCCCTCGAGCACTATGATCTTCAACGATGCGACTTTGTCTCTATACTGCTGATATAAGCCATCTAATTGTCTAGCACAAGCAAGACCAGCAACACCCGCCCCGACGATAACAATGACCGGTCCGTCGTCCTTGCGCCGGCCTTTCTTGGGTGTAATGAGAGGCTGTGGAACTTCGACACAGCCAAAGTTGATATACCCATTCCGGACCAGCCACTCATAAGCAAAATCTGCTAGACCCATCCATCTGTAATCTTTAGCACAGCCAAGTGCTTCCTCCCGGGTCACACTTATCATCGGATTGCGGGTCCATAGGCGCAGAATGCCGTTTCGGATATTGAGGTATGTCGTGACATGAAGATGACATAGATGATGTTGAAATGCATTCTGCTCGTTCTTGTGTAGAGCAAAAGGATTGAGACGTGAAGCATATGCAGCTGTTATACATTGTTGAGCGTAAACTGGTCCGGGGAGGGTACTGGGTATGGAAGAGCGTGGTTTGAATTCCTCGTAATTGGGAGCCTCAACTTCGGGTTCGTGAACCTGCTTCGGTTTTTCAGCGAGATTTGTTGCCGTGGCTGCTGGAGACATTGACCTGATCTGAGGCCATGGTGATGTGTTCGATACCGAGGTGTTGGGTGTGTTGTGTCCTGTAAGATCAGAATCCTGTTCTGCCCGATATGATCTTTCGGACGCACTCTGCGACGAGAATGAAGCAGTATTTCCTAAAATATTATTGTTTGGTATGCCGACATGAGTTGGCTGCTTCAGGCAGTCCAGTTTATACGAACCATTCACACCATCCGTGGAGGTTTCTCTATCGGCGCCCTTGATATATGGATATGCCGGCTGTGCTGGCTCAGTGATACGTCGGCGCTTGTACGGGGGCAGGGAAGATTGAGGGGCCGGCGTGAATGTATAATGCTTGAAGGTGATGGACTTTGTGCCTGCGCTCATGCCTGAGCTGTTGGCTCCCTGTCCGCTCGCCATTGCGAGAGAAGACGTAGGCAATATCGGAGTAGGGTTGCTGTCAAAGGGGGTATACGGATACATGTAGTGAGGACCTGAGATGCCTTTTCACAATTTCCTGAGTCCAGCAGCTAGACGCGCAAATGTTCACTTCATATACGACGGCCGATATTCCAGATCTACCTATATCGTAGACTGCGGGACAGCCATGAATGCATGTCGGAAGTGGAGAATGTATAGTAATGTAGGAGGGCTATCGACCAGGGGAACAGACAGTAGCCATCGGTGAAGGGACTAGAATTCATGAATCAGACAATGTAGACATATTGAGATCATGTCAGGATGGAGGTATATCTGTGGCAGATATGTATAGAGCAGAATGAGCAGGAACGAGCGGGAGGTGGCCTTACTTCTTCCAGACACCCTTTCCTTCTTGTCTTCTGGCCTCGCTTCTACTCGCTCACTCTGGCCTTGGACAATGCTTCAGGCCAACTGTTCCGACCACGTCCGATCGCTTTCGTGGGGTTTGAGACAGATATCGAACAATTGCTATATTCGGCTTGGCTTTTTACTTCGGCCTTCTTAGTGTTCCATTGCGCGGGTCCAGCGTATTTCTCAGACCGAGGGCCATTCTCTTCGTCTTTACATTCTACACCAGACTAATCGCAATAAAAACTAGGGTTTGGATGATGACTTGACAGATATTGATACACATCTATCAGCGTGACGCTCGATTGCTTTGGCAATTACCGTGCGACACAGACGTAAACCTACATCGGAAGTCTCAACGTGCTGGCACGACCAACCTGAATTGACGAGATACAGTGGCAGCAGGCAGAGATCCATAATCTGTACATGGAAGCTACAAAAGAGATTGACATATGGGATGAACATATATGGCTGTCGCCAGACTGAGCGGGCTCATAGAATCGTATATTGCGAACTGATTTCTTCATCGAGATGGCATATCTACATCTACAGGTTCTCTCTGCCAGCTGACATGCTACAGTTTCGCCCTCTCCTTCTTAACCTTCTGATCCCAACTCCTCTGCGCGCCGAAATTAATCGCCATATTCCACACAGCAGCAGCCACACCCACAGGCGGCGCAAGCAAAAGCACCCACGACCACCATCTAGGACTGTTTTCCTGAATCGTCAGAATCGCCTTATCCACCTCCTTGGCAAGATCGACTTTATCCCCATCGTTCCAAACAATAACTCCACGCGAGCCCTTGTCGAGATCCTGCTCTGAAGCTCTGTTTCTATACAATGCCTTCTTTACCTTTGACTGTACATCGCCCTGGCTCTTGACTCGATTCTCAGCATCTTCGGCTGTTAGATGCGGATCACGCGCACGTAATCGTGCCATTTGCGCAGCCGGATCCTTAACCGCGACCACAATCACTGTGCCACAGATGACGTCCATACCAGATTCAAATAGTAGCGGCACATCCAACACCACAGCCCAATTGCCGCGTAAATAATAGTATAATAATGACTTATAAACCTCCCACCGTACAGCCGGATGTACAATCTTATTAAGTATCGTCCTATCACGCTTTCGTTCCTCGCTATCACCAAATACCCGTCTACCTAGCGCAGGTCGGTTTAGTGCTTGCTTCCCATCGGTATCTGGCGGTAGGAGGAGGTCTGGTGTGCTGGGTCCGAAGTAATTGGCTATAGCTTTGTAGCCTGCTGTACCTGGTTCGACGACTTTGCGGGCGAGGACGTCGGCATCGATGATGGGGAGGTTGTGTGGTGGTGAAGAGAGGAGGGAGGAGACGGTGGATTTACCGGTGGCTATAGAGCCAGTGAGGCCGATAATCAGCATTTTTATCTGCTCGGGCTATGGTAGTGATAGCAATATCAGCTGATGATTGATCTCGCTTGATTCGGGTGGTTGCTGTATTGCAAGCGGTGATGTTGAAGTCAAACCAGTGCGATGAAATATCAGGTATAATGTGTTACAGATTCTGCGATGTCGTTCTGGAATTGAGTCTGTTGGAATGAAGCTGGCTGTCATATGCGAATGAACAAGTCCGAGTGAAGTTGACGCAACATGTAAACCGGCAACCACCGCCACTAATAAGCCGAGCCGAGGCCTCTCCATAGTCCATACATCTAGAACCATTATCCCATCTTACCCTTATCAATCAACTTGTCTCAATCAGTCTTTATATTTATAATTTCTCGAATATATTAGCATGCCTGAGATAAATAGTCTTCTAGTCTATGTGCGATATGTCTAAGTGTATACCTAAACGCCATGCACAAGCCATATTCAACCAGCTGGAAAATGCCCAAAACCCCGCAATGCACCATAAACAAAAGAACGCCGCCGTATGCAGTTTTGAACAAAATGCTTGAAAAAAAAATAAAAAATAAATTGTCGTGGCATAATCAATCCACCGAAGGAAGCCCTCCTTTACTAGGATCCTGTGGCTTCCCATTCCAACCTATCTGCGGCCATCCCTCGGGAAGAGTCGAAAACGGAGGCAACGCGTACCGGTCTTCGCATTCATCCTGCGAGCATTTTAGATCGCACAGCCCCCAGACATTGCAATAGCACTCGGCGGCATTAGGACAATGGACTGGGTCCATCCCGAAGATCACTGAACTGTCGTTAGCTCTTAGCCCGGACTAAGATTCTATACGCTGAGAGAAGCTTACTATGCCATGAATATTCCATGATTCGACCACTCATATCGTCGTCCAAATCGGTATTCAAGAGCCATTTCCTGTACCGCTCATAATCACTCTTTGGACGTTCACGAATCTTCCATCGTGCAACTCCAAACTGGGCACAACAAGACACCGCGACGGTATCAGGGACCTTGACTCCGGGAAAGAGCTCTTTGAATCCATTGTAAAAGTACGGACCTGCATGAACAGCATCACGGTCGGTATCCGTCATGGGGTGGATCTCTTCAGGGCAGCCTAGCACCCAGGCACAACGGAGATTGACGTAACCAATCATTTCGAGGTATGGCAGCTGAAATCGCTTGATCATCGGCACTCCGTCATAGTACGGATCATCGTTGTGCCATTGGTACCGTTGAGAATGTATAAAGAGCATGTAATCAGGCAGATGGTCGTAATTATCAATAATGTATCTGTCGTATGTCAGCACTCCGCTCACAGACACTCGAAAGTAGGCCTGATCGCGTACGTGAGGTAGACCATGGACTCTCGGCCCTTGTTGGTGGCCACCGTCAAATCGGCGTATTTATCGTCTACGACGTAGATACTCTTGTGCCAATCGGGAAGTGAGTCATAGAGCCAAGTGGTATTGTCTTCAAGCATACTCGCTACAACCAGATCTTTTTTGATGCCGCCTTTTGTGGCCGTCGGGCCTGGTGCAGGTACCGCGGCCTGCATGGGAGCTTCCATCTGTCGTGACCGTCCATTGCTATTCCCGCCAAATCTCCAATTAGGGCTGGCAAAATTCCTAGTTCCAGAGGAGCCAGCAAACTTGATAGTTCCTTTTCGAAAACTGGCCTGGCCCGATGATGATTCTGTGGTAAACCAGTAAAAACCGCACAACAACAGAAAGACAAGAATCAACAGTCTTAATCGACGTGTAGAAGATGAGCGTACAGTATTTATAGCTCCGGCGTACAGCATCGTGACGGCAGCTTGGGCCCTGTGACGCTAATCCAACCCTAACTCATTGAGTCACTGGTATCGTGGGACTGAGAGTCGGACAAACTTATAAAGACTGTTTCGATAATATAATTAAAAGAGTCGTGAGTATATAACGAGTGAATGAATGAATGAATGAGTGAATGAGTGAGTGTTTGGAGTAAGAAGTAAATAAAAGGGAGCAGGAATGCTTGCGTGGTTTCCCTGCAAATCGTGGTGGGTCGCGCCTGCCGTCCACGCCGGCCAGAGCGAGGACGTCACCTTCTCTTCTTTCCTTCTGTTCTCCTGTCTATCACTTCTCTTCTCCTCTCCTCTTCTTTTCTTTTCAACTCCTTCAAGAGTCACCACTTCCTTCATCTCCTGTCCAGACCGCGTTCTATCATCTCGCAGCTAATCCAGAGTAGCTCACAGAGCACAGACTGTTCCATAGCGTGCGCCTACATGACGCCGTCCACCCCGAACGTCCACTAGACCCGGCCCGATGCCCACAAAAGTCTCGACTCAGTCGGACTCACTGCAGGCCTCCTATCCTGGCGAGCCAAATATAGACCGTGGCTGTGGCTGAGTCGACAGGGAACAAACATTAAGGTGGAGCTTGTGGATCGCTCTTAGGAGTATTATTAGGCGATCAAGTCTACTAGTCTTGACTCGTCAACGATCCCGGCTTGCCGATGTCGATGTGCTCAGACATGCCCCTGGACATTGTCATATTGCATCTCGAGCTATTGTTCCTTCAAAATTTATTGAGAATCGACACCGACAAATAACGTGATGGAATCTTTTTTCCTCCTGGAATTACGCGGCCTTTTCCCACTCATCGCTCCTGCAACAGTATCTGGCTCGGATATAGCATAATGCTCGATACGTCCCAGGCTATATGCGACAACAAGTGGGGTTGATCTGATGAAAATACGATGGATGGTTTAATGGTTCGTGATTCGCGGAGAGACGTCTCCTCCTACGACTTTTTATTGACGGTTATACCTGGAACCCGTTCAGAAACATTGAAACATTGACTTATCAGAGACGACAATGATTTGTCCTCTCTATTCTGATTCACCCCTCTTGGTAGGAAAGCTTCGGCACAAAGATTTGTGGCTACTTGGGGACAATTTTCTCGCGCTCTCATTTCGTCCTCACCTCGCAATGACATCGTAGCAAAGTCTGACACGTGTCATCATCCAAGCTCGCTGAGAGCAATGTTTTTGTTGACGACATGTTCATGCAGCATATGCATCTATCCAAGGAGGGAATGGACATGTTTTCGACACGATTGATCCGAGATGAGCCGGATGTCGACAGCAAAGCAAAAGACTTTGTCGTGCGTATTTAACGCTACTCATGCAACTACCAAGCCTACCGAACAGACGTACGGGTAGACATCATGCTTGTTTTCCGGAACAATCTTTTACAGTGCTACAGGGAAGTATCGAATTCGAAAGAATCAATTAGCTATCTCCACCTACTTTCCTCCGTGTCAGTATCAGTCTTTCCTTTCCCAGCTTTCTTCTCTTCTCTCAGAATCTGCTATCATCCCAATCCACATGCATCGATTATTGTCACCCACGCTTAACAACTTTCGAAAACAACTTATACCTAGAGACCTAGCATTTGCACCGAAGCATGGTGTTCATGGCTATTACCCAGATTATCCGTCTACTTGCACGCAGCAATCGCATTGAAATACCAGAAATGAGCAGGGAAGTCTAGCGAAAAGGGTGTTCCACTATTTCCAGTGGATGTTTCGGTACCGTTAATTTGGTCAACGTCAAATGTACGCACGGGTGCACCCGTGGGCGACCTAATCCAATACTCAGGACCCCATTGCAGATAGCCTAGTGCACGGCTAGGGAACTTTGGGACGGGGTCGTCAGTGTGAGTGACTCGGAAGTTGAAGGTAGTTGCATTTGTAGTTGTGAGATAGGTCGCAAAAGCAGTATTTCCAACACGCGGACTGCCGTAGGTAAGCTTTGGCAATTTCGTTAGCGGCTTATTTGATTCTCACTGTTCAATCTGTATTTTCAATTATTGGCTTACCAATGTTGTAATCGCTATATTTCCAATTGGTGTGGTACGGAATTGTGCTGTTGCAAGAGCAGCCAAAGCGCCTCCGAAACCGTGTCCAGTGAGGACAAGTGTGGTGAAACCGGTAGTGGCCGAAGCATTGATTATTTGGGGGACAATAATACCAGATACTGAAGACCAGGAATTCAAAAAGCCTTGGTGAACCGTGCAGTTGGCAGTTGTACCGCATACAGTAGTACTAGGTACTAGCCTGTCATTGAGCTTCGTGATCCAACCTGCAATGTCTCGAATGCCAGCGAAGGCGAGAACCAGCAGAGAGTTGGTGGGGTCCACAGCGAGGAATCCAGACACGTCGCCCACTCCGATGCTAGGACAATCGGATCAGATCAGCCTGGTCTATGGCAGCGACTAGTGAGAAGAATCTCTTCCAACTCACTCCTTGAATGAATACGCTATAGTAGCGCCATTGGTCTCTACAAGAGGGCAATTTCCAGCCGCGCAAGTAATCAGTGTACCAGGTGAAGCAATAGTATTTCTAGTGCAATATGCTGCAGCCGAGTATTGCTCGTACAAGTTCAGGGTAGCCAGTGTGGTCGTGTTGATGGCGTCGGCAGCAGCGTCACCTAGATTCACCGTTAGTCTACATATCTGTTTGTGTAAACTGATCGATCTCGGACTTGAATGATATTCCCTTACCGCGTTGTATCAGACCAGCAGAGGCTGTAGCAGTGAATGCCGCGACCGCTGTGATCAATTTCAACAGCATCATCATCGTCTTCGCTCTTACTTTCAATTCCTTTTGGGGATATTCTTGACTGCAAGTGTTGCTTTCCTCTGAGACTTCGGTGAGCTGTAAGAAATACTATAAAATGAACTTCCACCATCACGACAAACCCTAGGTATATATCTTCAATTGAAATATCTGTACCGACATCACAAGCTTTTCAGGTCCGATTCTCACCTAAATGTACCATTGACAAGTCCTGCAATGTGTGCGACTACCACCGACACAGCCTATGCGCTACACACCGAGCCCTAATGTGCGACCGGCACATGCCGTATTGCATGCCTCACTTTGGCATTAGCATTCTCTAAGATTGCGAATAATTCAAGATGGATATTCAACTGAAGACGGGGATGATAAGGTGAGGTGTGGCTGGCTTATTAGGGTTGGCTGCTGATCGTGTGTAACATATCGGTCAGGGTCGATGCTACCTATTACTTCGTACTTGAAGCCTTGGGTTCGTACCTAGGTAGCATGTGCTAGATGTATCTACACTGAATTCACCTATTACTTTTGACTTAACCCCTGACATGATTGTAGAACTCTATAGCACGTGGAGACTGGAGAGGATGTAAATAGAATTCTGCTTCCCTACTGTATTGGACATAAGTAATTGCTTTCCTGTATATCAAGTAGACTCACTCCTAACGCCGGCCGCAAATTTGAACCTTTTAACGGCAATATAACAGGCCGCTTCCTTTCCATCGACAGCCAGAAGGCATAGCCTTATGCCCCACCAAAGCTGAATCTCGTGCATCCCAATAATGCCCCGTTCCAAATTACGAAATCTGATCATTCTCTTGCTTCATTTCCGACGCATCCTCCATACCCGTATCCTCACCTTCCCCTGCAGAACCAGCCAAAACCTTCGTCTTGAACTCATCAATACCCGGATGAGGCGTCCCCGGTGTCACCGCAACCACATTATCATTCTCATCCACAAACTCAAAATTGTAACGCGACAACAGATGCGGAATAGCGGATAATTGAGGGCCGTATCTAGCCGTGTTGTCGTACAACTCAAAGAGGGGCACGGCGAGGAGTTTCATGTTTTTGGGGACGCTCAATACTTCTATTCATGTACGAATGTTAGATGACCGTCGACAAAGAAAAGGAACGAGAGGGTAAAAGGAAGGGAATTGTATACTTTTCTTCGGAAGTTGAATAAGATACAACTTCTTACACTCTTTCGGACGCGTAACATGTCCCGGTAGGAAAGGGTACATAAACGTCTCAAAATTGGGACGCCACCATTGCGCCAATGTATCGCCTACTTCCCAATCTTCATTGACGCCTTCGCCCGTGAATTGGGACCCAACAGGGGCCAGGCGTTCGTTCAATCTGGTCTTGAAGCCGGTTATTTCGTCATCGTCGTGATGGAGGTAATCGCCGGGTCTGTCGTAAATCTGATTAGTTATATCTGAATGTACCACGATATGGAAGAATAGGCAGGGGTACAATTTAAAAAACGCATTCGCAATCTGCAACATCAACACATGTGGATGATTATGCTCATGACAAACCAGCACCCCTTCACATGTCCGCCTCATCCCATGTTTCTCGTAATGTTCTTCAAGTCTTTTCAGACGCGCCAACACGGAGGGATCTTCTTCTGGTTGATTCTCTTTTGTGCCGAATGTGTAATTAGATAGAGGGTAGAGGCGGATTGTTTGTGGTTGATTGGCGTCGAAGGATTTGGGGATTATGGGGCTGTTTGACTTGTCAGTTTATTCGGCCATGGAATGGATTGTATAGCTTGACGAGGCTGGTAACGTACGGCTTGGAGCTCTGCATTGCAGTCACTGTGACGGTCGACATGATGGCTGTGTTTCAAGTAATCCACTAGCAAATAATTAGGTGGCTTGTTCAATCACTTAGATAGACACGAATAGCTGGTAGTTGATGTTGGTGAAGTTAACCTCCGCGGGATGTTTTGTCGAAGTCAAGTTCAAGCTCAGAGCTCTGGCCAATAAGAATGGACTAAACGACCCACTTGTCTTCCTCTATGTTTCTCCAACTGATGAGATATAGAACTACTTATGAAAGATCAAATCTAAAAGCTTTATGACTCTATCTATACTCCAACTAAATATACAGCGCAAGCTTAATGCCACCCACCGACATATTACAACTTTGAATCAAAATCGCCAAACTCACTTAAATCCACAACAGGGCTAGGTCCAGGACTGACGGGCAGCCGTGCCTTGAACTGAGGTACATTGGTGATGTAGATAGGTTGTTTGCTGGTCTTGATGGTCGCATTACCGTTGCTGAGACTGATGTTGGTGAGCTGATTGTGTAATGCCTCTGCACCTTCAGCGGTGTCTGTGGTATCCACGGGTAATTCATCTGTCTTAGCAGACTGCGCATCCAAATGAATAGAAATCTTTGCCCGTGTTTCAGATGATGGGTCGATGTATTGCCGGTAGAAAGCAACAATATCTGGCTTGGTCAATGTGCGCACTGCTGCAGCGTCGATCTCGTGTTGTAAGAAATTGAAGTATTCTGATCCAATATGTGTCCAGAAACGTGAGGTCTCTGATCCTAGATTCTTCAACTTCTCGAGTCTCTTGTTGATGATACTGCGCTTATGGCTCTCGAATTCCTCCTCTGTCATCTCATCCAGCGTTTTGGCAAATTGCACCAGGAAGTTGTCAATACGACCCTCCAGATAATGTGCCGTACGCTCACTCTGAATGATAACGCGATATCCAATAGTTGTTGCAGAGTAGCGCGCACCACTCCAGACAACATAACCCAGCTGCTCTTTGCTTCGAAGCTGATCAAAGGCTGGTTCTTCTGTCATTTGGGCAAATAATAGAAGCTTAGCTCTGAGCACCTCGTCGGTTATCTTTCCAACAAACAAATAGTACTCAATACAATTGTTCACGTTTTGCGGATCCCTCAACTGGCGTTCGTAGATGTAGTTGCTGCCCGGTGGGAAAATGATATTCCTGCGCACATGCCATTGAGATTGTGGGAGCGTGCGGCTACGGACGACGCTCTCGACAATATCAGTCATCTTTAGCGCGTCTTCCTTGTAAAGGTTTCCATGAGCCAGGACTTCAATGTGGTTTTGCTGTAGAAGTTGGGGATAGAATGCCGCCACGTCGGTAAAGTCAATGTGTTCCAGCTCTGCGGCATACTGCTCGTTGATCCAAGTTTTTTCCGCCGTAAGATAGCGAGTCATATCTCCGACTTGGTAGTATGGTTGTTGATACTCTGCATTTCGATACGCTCTCGCCAAGCGTTCCTTGATAACTTTGAACCGTTCCGGGAGAACAACAAGATCACGCATTGTAGTCATAACCTTTTCAAGCAACACCGGCATTTTATCGTTGTATCCTCCAACCGAGACATCCAAACCAAAAATGCTGGCGGAGAGATTATAGTCCAATCCAGCAAGTTCAGCGTCATACGAATATTCCACTAGGTCATCTCTGACCAGCTCGCAATAAAGTTTCGCTTTAACATGATTGGCAGGTGTAGCCCAGACTAGCGAGTTTCTCAAGGTAATATGGACCGTGGCCTTTGGTACCCAGAATCTATCATCCTTCTTATACCACACACGAACATGATCATCCAATCGAATGAGTTTCGGGGTATTGGCTGGCTGTGCCACTTCTTTCTTCTCAACTGACAGCCGAGTAGGGATAAACTCGTTCTTATGCGGCATATGGAGATCTTGAACTCGTTCCGATGGTGAAGACGCCAAGGCGTTCGCAATCTCTTTCAAAAAGTCCTGGGGAATTTTCTCTTCCTTGTACTCTGTCCCATACCATTTCTCTCTTGCATTCCAATCGCCCGGGAAATGCTGTGAAACAATCATCAGTCTAAAGTTGTCGCTACGCAGATACGACAAAGCCTTGGTGATCAAGTCGGCATCGAACTTTCTGAGCAGATTGTTGCCACTAAGCAACCATTCACGAGGTAAAGGTTTCTGCATCACACTGCTCAAACGACTCGTAAACCGCGAAGCGGGTGATTTCTGCTTGAAGCGGAATTCGACCTCTGCCAAATTTTGCATCTCATCATATATCCATTTCTCTGGAGCCCGCTCTTTGATCATAGCAATGTACTGGAAAATGATTTTGACAATCTCCTTGTAATGTGCCAAACCATCCTCTGTAAGGCGCACAGAGATGGTGAAAAAAGCCGATCCTGGACCCACGGACATCGCGCCAGCAGAAAGCCCATTTGCCCAACCTTGTCCTTTGATATACGACAAAATACTACCGGGACCCTCATGACCGATCAAATGGCTGATATATCGACTGGGGAGAGTTTCGTACAATTCCTCTTCGTCCAAAAATGGAAAGTAAATATCCAATGATCGCGAATCCATCACAGGCTTCGCAAAGACTTGGGTGCAAAGCTGATCTGCGGACAAAGGCTGCACATCGTCCCATCGATTTTGGGGTAAATTTTTGTTCTCTACCTTTGAGAACAACTCGACAACCCAGCTCTCGAGCTGATCGAGCGATTCACGACCTAGGACAACAAGCTTCATACGATTGGCGGAGTAATGCATTTTGTGAAACTCGATGAATTTACTGCGGACTTCGACACCGCGGCTTTGCGGATCATCACGGAGAGTTTGTAGATTTCCTGTTGAAAATTTGTGATAAGGATGTTCCGGATTCGATAACGACTTGTTGAGTTGCATCAATCTCCACACATCGCTCTGTAAATTCTTCTTGTTCTCTGAGTCAACCGCCCTCAACTCTCGATCCAATGTAGACTCTAGAAATAAAGGCGCAATGAAGAACTGCGCAAACCGGTCCAATGCTCCGTATAATGGAGACGTCGTACTATCGGTTGACAATGATGTCGACGACGACGCGGCGCTCTTATCACTCGTTCCATTAGTACTCTGTGAAGCATCACTCTCTCCGGTGGCGGCGATCTCGAAAAAGTAATTCGTCTCTATAGCTCCGGTGTATGCGTTGGAAGAGCCCGAGTGGGCAGCGAGATATTGGTTGTACGCATTCTCTATTGGATACTAGCGAAAAGCGAAAATGAGCATGCCTTCGTTCTCCGGGGGTTTCAAGTGAATGTCTTACCTTTTCAGTTCCCATAAACAATAAATGCTATAATGATCCAACACCAAATGATAAGTATATATCTTCTTTCTATCAACCACTGGGGGCAAACAATATCTTCCTCATCCGCATTTCAACTCGCAAAATTCACGGCAACCAAAAGCTCACCTCTACAGCATGCGCCATCCCCGGCATAGCATCATCATCCGAGAAATTTCCCACATTGACATTTGCCGAGGCACTGGCCTTGTCTGTATCCGGATCATGTACCAATAAAGCTTCCAATTGATTCCCCAGCTTGATCACTCGATACAAGCGATCGTCGAGTTCTGGCTGTTCGAGCCGGTCGGTGATAAGTGTGACTCCCGACATGGTAGTCGGGCGGAAAGTGGTGGTGCTAAATCGGAGACAACGAGGAGTATAAGGACGGAGAGAAACGGACGAAGTGAGATAGGAGATCCCACAGTTTCGATTTGAGAGACAAGGTGTTATTGTTTTTGTTGTTGATGTTACCAGCCCAACAACGCGCTTTCGGGCTAAGGATGATGCGATCAAGGATGAAGAATTCCACCAGAATGACGAGGACCTTGGAGGCATCCGTTGACGCAAGGGTAGTGTACTTATAACTGAAGATTAGTCCTTAATAAGTAGCACGTATGTTGCAGTATTCGTCTGAGTCAAGAGTGCACAGCAGAGGGCAAGGTTGAAGAGAGCACGGATCAGCTTTGGCTTATCAATTACCGTATGGCCAAGACCAATGGGCAATCCCTTGACTATACAACTCCGACAAAATGAATCCGAAGTGAAAAAGAAAAGAGGTAAGAGATAGAGGAGAGAAAAATCCCAAAACAAAGCAGAACCAAGCAAGGGTGATGAAAAGACTTGTGACAGATGGATGATGAACATGGCTTACTGTAAGGAAAATGAGGCAAACTTGTCTTTGGTTCCTTACCTTTCAGGTATCCACATATGGCTGGATATCACATCATTTTACACAACGTATGCTCACTCATCTGCTTTGTTTACTAAACGTACATCTCCCGGTGCTTGTCTCGTGCCTATGTCTAGGTACATAGATGTACATACCTAGCGAGTAGCCACATGTCCCTGGTCCAAGTGCGCCAACACAGCCAGAATCAAAATCTCTAGCCCTGACTTAGGGACGGGCGAATCACATCCGATACAAATCGAGGCTGAATATCGTAATCATTTGATTGGGTTGGCTATAGGTAGATGAGAATGGTGATACACCATGCTTCTTTGAAAGTACTGCATATGATATACGCCGTGGAGTAGCTACTTTCGCCGTCACGCCTAAAGTCACCATCCTCTTCTGAAAATGGAAACATCGCTTTCGCAAATTCGATCCATCGGTGAATAGTCCTCCTCACTCTTTGGCCTCTTCGGTCTCATCTTCATCAGTCTCATCAGCATCCACGTTAACCCGCTGCTCAATCCACGTGAAAACCTCGGTCTTGTGTTGAAGAAGCATCTCATTGAGCCCAGTTTTAGGAGATCGTAGCAACCGACCATATCGTTTGGAGGGCTTGCGTCGATTCTCGTTGTGCCATACACCGTGGGTATGAGCGACGAAGACCAGGGAGTTCTGCCACCAATTAGCTTGGTATCATAGGAGAGGAAGGAATACGTACATCTTTGTACCACCGTGAGAGCCAGGTTTGTGTCGGTGATGCCACAGCCCGAACAGGGTTTTCGGCGACAAATGAAATCACGCTGTTGACACGTTGATAGATGCTATCTGTTTGATCGTTAGCCGTACATTCCCTGGCGCCTGTCTAGAACGTAGATAAGCTCACCTCGGTTGATCAGAAGATTAGCCACACCATAGAATGCATCGCCGACTCCAATGAAGAAGATATGGGTAGCATCATTTGGCCTATTAAGAATCAGCGCGCTATTCCTGTAATGCTGGAGAATATGAACATACTCAATGTAATTATCCCACAAGTATCCAGCCAATTCTTCAGTCTGAGCGGGTCGGTCAACGTCATCTTCCTCGAATTTACCGATATCTGAAGAATCTGCAGTGACATGTTTGGGAATGTTGACATCGATGATGGCATAGTTCCGTCGATGTGCCCATGCGATATAGTCCTTGACAACGTCCGCCTGTAAGTAGTTAGTTAAATGGAAATTGAGCTTTCGAACAGTTGTAGCGCTAACCATCCAGCAGTTATGTGGCTCGAGTTTGTTTGTGATTGGGTGGTGTATGCCCATCATATCAGGTCTATCGAATTATCAAAGCATGTCCTCGTAGAAGGTCAAGTGAAAGAGGTAAAACTCACGGATCATGGAAAATCACAACCAGAGGGACGGCCTTGTCATAGTTGGAACTAACTCTACCAGTCAGTCACTTCATTTTAGGCGAAGAAGCAAACCGACCTACCTTGCTAGGACCTGATTTTCAAACGACTTTGAGATCGACGCTCGATAGATCCACAAACTGGTGAGCTTGTAATTGTCATAGAGCTTTTTGGCCTGATATTGACGAATGACATCTGTATCGAATTAGCTTCACTGTAAATCTTAATTGCTTTTTGGTGGCTAATACCATGAAATCTGTCGGTGTAGAGCCCCTCCTGCGTTGGGATCTTTGGATACATGCATCGCCAATACTTCGACTGGGCAGCCATGACGGTTCGCACAACCTGTACAGCCGGATTTGATGGCATTGTAGCTGCGAGTCGCGCAGGAGGTTCTCCCATAAGTGTCTTTGTCACTGCCAAAGCAGACTTGGAGATAGAACGGAAATTGTAACCGCCCTACTTAATGTGTCAGATGAGGTGGATGAAGAAGAGGGGAAGAAGAAAGAGCGAAAATTGTTTACCTCTAGACAAACAGACACTTTCCCATTAGCCAGCGTCATCAGCATATGGGTCATGTGAGAGTAACAAGCCGGAGTCACAAAACAGCCACCCAGCTCGTCACCAGCCGCTGCATCAAATCCTGAGGCCACTTGTTGTGTGTCAGTCTTTATTCTCTTTGTATCTTTTGGACATTTCCTCTCTTTATGACATATCATAAAGACAAATGGTCCGACTTACCAATTACCAAATCAGGATCAAACTCGCTTGCAATAGGCATTATGACCTGCTGAAATGCAAACATGTAATCTCCGTCTCCCATTCCTTGAGATGGCCATGGTATATTGATGTTTCTGCACGTCATATAAGAAGGATATACAACGCAATATCGGGAAAAGAACTCACTTTCCCAGTCCAGCGCCCTCGCCGACAGCATCCCAGTTACCTTCTTTACCACCAGGATAGAATTTACCATCGGCATATACATGTAGTGAGATATAGAGGACATTAGGCTCATCGTAGAATGCTTTTTGGATGCCATTTCCTGTAACAGTCAGTTAACTTAAGGTTCTCCAATAAGTCTCCGAAAGTCTAGATATGCTTACCATGATGTACATCCCTATTTCAAATTAGCTTCTGCAAGAAAGAGAAAACAAAACCGAAAGATGCAACTCACCAATCAACAATCAAAATTTTCCGACAAGCTTCCCCTAATTTGCGCTGGCATACTTTGGCAGCTATAGATACATTATTGAACAAACAGAACCCCATAGTCTTGTCATGTTCAGCGTGATGGCCAGGAGGTCGAATGACAGCAATGGCATTCTTGACTTTACGCGTAGCAACCGCTAAACACGTCTCAATGGCTCCGCCAGCTGAAAGGAGAGCAGAGGCAAATGTAAGTCGATTAAAGTAAATGGAATCCCGAGACTCCTCAAGCATGATGAGAGTTTCATCGGGGAGGTCTTGATTGATGTCAGTCATCTGGTTTCATGCGCTACTGGGCAAACATACTCTGGGTATCCGAGACAAATTGAAAATGCTCGTCCGTATGAACCAACTCCACCTCCTCTTTCGTAGCGTTCCGCACATCAATCCGCTTCAAAGGCATAGGCACAAGCGGCTTTGGCGAAGAGACAATATCCAAGTCCTCAATGAGACCAGCTCGACAGATCTCCTTGTAGATATAATAGATACGCCGAGGATCCTCGGGATGCACTTCAGCAGCAGGCCGAACCTCGCAGTGATAGCGCATTCGAATATCATAACATAGCCCCGTCGCTAAGGATGCAACAGGCAATCCTGGAGCTGTCGCAGAAGTATCGTCAACGGACCAGTCCGAGTTCTCTTCCATGATACTATCTGATTCTTCACTGGACTTGATCATGTGAAGACCCTCATCTTCAATCGACTTGGTCAAGCCATGAATGTCTGTAGAAGGTATAGGATTGCCAGCTGGTGCCGACAACAGACTTGAAGGAAGCTTAGGCATTCCTAACAAAGTCGCTGGTTGCAAGCTATCTTCAGTCGTTGCTCTTGCAGGAGCAGTGGAGAAAGGGGGTCCCGAATCTCGCATGACCGTATCCTCATCTCGATCCATTTCTCCGACGCGTAATTAGAAATGAATTGAAGATGGGGGGCTTGTTGTTGCAGGCCGTCGAGAGCTTTATCCCCTCATGGCCTCCTGTTGTACTGGCCAGTTGATGTTTTTGTTTAGTCCTTCACTTGGTTCATAGACGGCCTTTGGAAGAGATAAGGCCAGCGAAACTGGAATAGCAATGGCAGGTAGTCTTGCAACAAGTTACAAACAATCGCAATAGACAGGAGAGGGTTGCAGGAACAGAACAATCCTAGTGTGAAGACAGGGTACCAAACAAGAATGAAAAAACACGTCAGAAACAAAAATCTGAAACACTTATTTTAGTGGAAAGCTCCTCCTTTTGTGCCGATAAATTGTATGCATACAAGCATATCAGATGGGAGGTGATAGCAAAATAGGGCAGAGACATGAGAGCTCCGTGTTGAGTAATTTGGAAGTTTGGCTGGCACGTGATAAAACAGCTACTCAAAATTACAGGTATGTTACCACTTCATACATCATGTAATTTATGCTGGACGCTTCGAAGAAGACAGAATTGAAACGCAAGTCATTCTTGACATTGCCAAAGAGAACAATCATGAGTCTTGCTGGTTACTCGTTTGCTTGACATCAAAGTCGAAACTGTATTGCTCTTATTCAATGCTGCATACAATCACTTCCCACCTCGGTAGTTAAATGCTATGGACAAGTACCAAGTGAACGCATTTTTGGAATAACATCAATTCATTAAACTATTTATTGTCATGGAAAGAGAGATAATAACAGTCTCGTTCTAATTTTCGGAGCACATCATCAATTTGCCAATTCATAACTTCTCGTTCCAGATATCCGATCAAAATTGGAACAAGTTTCGTTTCCTCTATGTGGTCGAGGATATTTCAGCATCTAGAGCACACTTCGAAAAGTGGCTGCTGATTCCTAAGCGTTGCCGTCAACCTTGGAGATGTAAACTAGAAAAAGGTTAGCTGCTGATTTTCCATCAAAGACTCGAGACGGAAACTTACCAATGAGGTCAACAACACGGCGAGAGTAGCCCCACTCGTTGTCGTACCAGCTGACGAGCTACAAATCATGTCAGTTATCGCATTAGACTGCAGGGTATAGACCGTTCATACCTTGATGAAGTTGGAGTTAAGGGCAATACCAGCCTTGGCATCGAAGATGGAGCTGTTGGTGTTGCCGTTCAAGTCGGAGGAGACAACGTCATCCTCAGTGTAGCCCATAATACCTATGATTTCGCGATCAGCATTAAATTTTCCGAGAAAATCGGTCTATAAACTTACCCTTAAGTTCTCCCTCAGAGTACTGCTTGACGACCTTCTTGATCTCGTCGTAGGAAACAGGCTTCTCAGTGCGGCAGGTCAAGTCAACAACGGAGACGTTGGAAGTAGGCACACGCATGGACATTCCAGTGAGCTTTCCATTGAGGGAAGGAATGACCTTTCCAACAGCCTTGGCGGCACCAGTGCTGCTAGGAATGATGTTCTGAGCAGCAGTACGGCCACCACGCCAGTCCTTAGCGGAAGGACCATCGACGGTCTTCTGGGTGGCAGTGTAGGAGTGGACGGTGGTCATGAGACCCTCAACGAGACCCCAGTTGTCGTTGACGATCTTGGCGAGGGGAGCCAAGCAGTTGGTGGTGCAAGAAGCGTTGGAGATGATGGTGTTCTCGGGCTTGTATTCGGTGTGGTTGACGCCCATGACGAACATCTAATATCACGTTAGTTACCGTCCTGAAGGCCAGAGGGCCTTGTATAGGAAACACTGACAGGAGCATCCGCGGAAGGAGCAGAGATGACGACCTTCTTGGCGCCACCCTTCAAGTGAGCAGAGGCCTTCTCGGTGGTGGTGAAGACACCGGTGGACTCGACAATGTAAGCAGCACCAGTCTCGGACCACTTGATGTTGGCGGGGTCACGCTCCTGGTAGAACTTGACGCGCTTGCCGTTGACGACAAGGTCGGTGCCATCAACCTCGATGGTTCCCTTGAACTGACCGTGCTGGGTGTCATACTTGAGCATGTAGGCCTGGTGAAGTTAGTATAATGCTCGCTATCAACAGGGTGGTTGCCGGTAGAGGGGGGCGGATAAGACACCCGCCGCCTAATGCGGGAAACACCGGATGTACGTACAGCGTAGTGAGTCTCAATGAAGGGGTCGTTGACAGCGACGACCTCGGCCTCACCGTGCTCGATGCTAGAATATTCAGTTAGAATTGTATAGAAAACAAGAAGTGGTTCCGTTCGTGAACATACATGTTACGGAAGACCTGTTTAGTTCATAGTTAGCTCGACGTCATCCGTTGCGTTGCCATTGCCATCTGCTCTCCCAGATGGCTTTGAGGATGGATAAGTACTTACAATACGTCCAATACGGCCGAAACCGTTGATGCCGACCTGTTGATTTCAGTCAGTTGATGGCGTTGAGAGTATTTCGACTCGACTCGGCCTACCTTGGTAACCATGATTGCGGTGATAGTTGTTTAGGGAGAAATAATAACTAATGGCGGGGTAAGCTTATCAGCACAAGAGCTCACCACGACGAAGCAATGGATCAGTAATAATGGTAACTCACAGTCAGGTATATGTAGATGGATATGAACTGGAATTGATGGATGTAGAGAAAAAGAAGAAGAGGAAGACGAGAGGTAGATTTTTTTGTCTTAATAAGAGAAGGAGGTCGGCGGGGTAGCTTTGACGAAAGAGGGCGACCCGGTGAATGTTGACGCAACCACTGGGTCAGCTTCAAGCCTGAGCCCTGAGGCAACAGCTCACTCTCTTTCTGTCTCACCGGGACATCACACTACTATTAATCTACGTACGTACTAGTATTCCATTTGAATATGTATTTTATTGATTCTCATCACCTTCAAATCTCATGATTCTATACTCACTTTTCACATAACCCCCTCCATGATCGACCCCCATCAACCAATTCCCGATGTACCGCATTAGGGGTTTCATAGGCCGGGCAAAACAGGAACACACCTCTCTGTACAACTATCAGATTTGGCGCTTTATGTTGAGCCCTGAGCCGACACAGCCAATGAGAAGCCTGCAATTGGCTTGATCGCAGCATCAACCCTGATGGTTTCCCGGGAGCACGATAATTGGTAATGGATTCTCCTGTTAGCCTAGGCTATTGCTGATTACTTGTGCCTGATGTACGGTTGTTCCCGATGTTTGAATGGAGTCACTGGCAGCAATAATTGCGATGGTATCAGGTCCCAAGGTCCTTGGTCTACTGTAGAGAGGTGTAATTGGTATTACGATCGTATCAATACGGAAGTCCTGTGCGCCGTACGTAAAATACGAGGTACCACGTGTATAATCATAAAAGCCAGGGCTACCCGCCGGTCAACAAGTTTAGATGAAACAGGGTCCTTGAGGCGATAGTTACATGGACTTGGCAACCAATACAACATCAAAATGTCCGTTGGTGTGCAAATCCTGCGGTGACAATGGACATCATCTGATTATCAATTGATAACTTGACTCAGCCTGACTCAGGGCAGAGCCACATCATGCCGACTTACCGAGCGCATCGTGGCAAGTATCATACATATATTACTAATTATTGCCAACGCCTGATGATCGTAAGTTAATGCGGCACGTACCGACTATCTAACGAGACCGTTCTATAATGAGTCGACTATACCTAGCTAGAGGTCAAATGCCATGCAGCAATGAATATTATATTATATATATTCATGTTCCAAAACGGTGATTCGTCATCGTACATATGCGGACCGGCAGAATCTCTATATCCATGAATCGTTGCAAAAGCACAAAGTATCCTAACGGCAAGCAGGGAAAACGAGTATTGGAGAAAAGAACAGAAAGTCGTCTATTCCTCCTTGACACCACCCCGCCAGTTCTTTTCTGCGTTCTCGATAGAAGCCTTATCGCTCTTGATCTCGCCCTGTCCCATACCCATGAAACCGGCAGCAGCCTTGAAGGGGCGCTGAAGATCGCCCGTGGCCGGCTTGCCAAAGACGTGGATTTTGACCAAGTTGGACTCGAGTGCACTCTTGACGGGGAGGATGGACTGGATTAACAGAGGGTTGGTGTACTTGAAGTACAGGTGCATGACCGCCATCATGCCAACGCCCATGAGCTGTGAGCGCATCAACTGGCGCAGCTGCTGCTTGTCATACTCCATGACAGTGGTCGTCACGGGGCGAGGTTCTTCACCGGAGCCCATGGGGGCAGGCTCAACGTATTTCAAGGTAGTCAAGTCTGTTGCAAACCAATCAGTCAGTGACAAATCCCAAGTTTAACCACCGTCCAAAGCATACCCTTCTTTTTGTTGATCTTGGACTGGACATAGAGGTAAATGCCCAAGATGATCACGTTGGACACAAGGTACAAAGCCCGAACGCCGAGGAGCACATCAGGGTTATCGAAAGGAATGCGCTTGGAAACTTGCATCATCCCGAGGATGATGACAAGGTTGGTACTATATCATATATGTAAGCATTTCGATCGTTGCGAAGAATAATCTTGTCTGCGCGAAGCGCAAGACACGGAAAAGGAGTAACCTACACTTGAGCAGACATGATGTATGAGATGAAATAACGAAGAACCAAAAATTAGAAAGTTCTTAGCGAAAGAAAATAGATGACTCCTCAAAAGAAATGAACGAAAACTGGGCGTGAGGTTGATCTTGTTGAATCTCCAAAAGCAACAAAAAGGCGAAATGTTCTGTGAAGGAAGGAGGACACTTTGCCCGTTGGAGGAAAATGGTCACGTGAGCAAATTATCTGTGGCAACAGCGGAGCATAGCGGACAGAGCGAGCCAATCAACAGTCGAGTACTAGAGGATAATCTAAGCCATAGAACGATTTGGAAGGTCTTTAATCACGCCACAGATAGCAGCAAAGTACCGCGATAGTTACATAAGCTTGGTGGCAGACAATTCTAGGGTGAACCAGCATTTGAATGTGATTGAGTATAGTTCCTAGAGTCTACAGAGTATAGCAGAGCAATTATCTGTATGGCGGAGAGGGCAGAGCCTCTCCCCACATTCTCAGCCACAGTTTCTACACACATGCATATCACGTGGACAAATCACGTGATACGATCTGCCTTGCGGGGCGTAGAGACTCGCTCCATGCCAGCGCTCTCCAGGATCTCCATCAAGAATGCCAGCCGGACAACCACCTCAAATGCCTCGACTGGGAGACAAGATAGGGATATCTTTGGGCCGATCTGCTTCATGTGCGCGTCTGACTTACGCCCGGTGACCCTCAATATCTTGATGGGTCTCCAGTTTGATTGATTCATGATGGTGGTGATGGACGACATATGCTGCAGAAGTGCCATTCTTTCCATCACCCCCGGAATCAGCAGAATTAATATAAGGCTCGATGGCACTCTCTTTGGCTCATGGATGATGATAGATAACTACGGTGTTCCCTAAAGGCCAGCCTCCAGGCATCTGATTCAGCCATACAGTGAAACCGTCGATGAGGGACAAAAGGAACGCCCGGACGCGGATGAGCGCTGATTGGCCGAACCGCCTTGACAGGCCCCAGCCCAAGCACCAGCCTCCCTCGGCGCCTCAGGCAGAAGGTACAGAGTACAAGGATAAAAAATTCCCCCGACAACGACGCGCGCTATCACCAATTCTTACCCGCTCAACTATCACACCACCATCCACACGTCGCTCCATCAAACGAATTTATCGCATTCAACCTTACTCACTCGACTTATAAATTAATCGATACTAAATAAAGGAAAAAATGGCTGGTGGCAAGGGAAAGTCTGTCGGTGGAAAGGCTGCCCCTGGCAAGGATGCCGCGGGGAAAAGCCAAAAATCCCACAGCGCAAAAGCTGGCTTGCAGGTCAGTTTGTGATTTTTGCTATGTTTTTGTCCTGATGATGGTTTTATTATCTGGTTTCACGTCTTTTATCGATTTTTTTTGAGATGTTATCGTTATGCGACACGGATACAGTGATGAACACATGTTCGAATTGTTGATTTTCACGCGTCGAGTCGAGTGCGCCTGATTTCGCGATGACTTTCTATTCTTTGTTCCATTAGAAGAATAATCTTTAAAGCTTTATTTTTCTGCGTTATTTGTCGCGTGTACTCGAGCAGCCTGAACTTGTTTTCTATTTTGTCAAACCCCAAGCATACTAATACCAAGTCGAACAGTTCCCTTGCGGTCGTGTCAAGCGTTTCCTCAAGAACAACACCCAGAATAAGATGCGCGTCGGTGCTAAAGGTATGATCGACTCTCTTATATAAGATACAAGATAAACGCAACTAACGCGTCATAGCTGCCGTCTACGTCACAGCTGTTCTCGAGTACTTAACTGCCGAAGTCCTCGAATTAGCAGGAAACGCCGCCAAGGATCTCAAAGTCAAGCGTATCACACCGCGTCACTTGCAACTCGCCATCCGTGGTGACGAGGAACTCGACACTTTGATTCGCGCCACTATCGCTTTCGGCGGTGTCCTACCTCGTATCAACCGAGCGCTGTTGCTCAAGGTCGAGCAAAAGAAGAAGGGCAAGGTTGACTCTTAGATTCTTTCTCTTTTAATTTTCTTCGTTCTCCTTGGCGTCGACTTTTCGGCAATTTCCACACAAAATCAATCGAGCTGGACTTGTTCTACTTCAATTGATCGACACATCGACACGACAATTGACGGAATATCAGCTCTATATTGTTTCTCAATCCTCCTTCTCCGACTTTCTTCCTGATTGATTGATTACCTATGGGTTCGGGTTCTGTTTAATGCTGTGCTTTGCTTTCACATTTTGATTTTGATCACAAGGGGCGGTGTTTACGTAACGGGTTACATTTATCTCTTCTATTTCTATTATCCTCTACTGTGTTGACTACCTATTGTGAAAAGTAGTTTATTTGCCTTTTGTCTTTCTCGACAGACGAAGAGGGAATTAGGTGGTTTGGGTGTGTGCGTATAAATTGTGTGTCTAGGGAATAAAACTTTTACCTGTTTTCATTATTTCTACAAGTCATTAAATGTGCCCTGATTGATTGATCATTACCCACACCAAGAGGCTTCTTCATCTGTAAGTACCACTCTACAACTGTGCATGGAATATTATCCTTGACATTTTACAGAGGTATCTGTCCGCCTTCCCCATCAATATCCAGAAAATTGTACTCCGTCTCACCGCCATCCTTACTATTTCCCTCCTGCCAGAAAGGTTGCAAGCATACCCACCCATCCTTATTCAACGCAACAGGAACCGGAATACTCCCCGTCGTGTCAGGAATATTCTTCTCATCCAACTGATTATCATGATTGACTTTCTTCGCCTCCACAAAATCAGGCACTGGATCGCCGGGTATTAGCAGCGGACCCATGCGGTAGAATGTTGAGACACGTTTGATGCCGGATGAAATGGTCCATGGTGGTAAGGAGAGAAGTTTTATGGGTAGCATTTCAGTATTTGCGTGAACGGATACGAAAGGATCGGCGATCGCGGCGATGACTTGACGCTTGTTGTCGTGAGCTTGGGCGTAGCTGATTTCATTTTGGTTGTAATCGGCTGGATTGAGGTAATACGGCTCGAGACTGAAGAACTCTGCTATCGAGACGCTGGGTCCCCTAGCTTGGGATGGAGCAAAGTAGGAGAAGAGGGAGTTCATGTCATATGATGAAGGATCATCTTTTTTCTGCATGAAGTATCCGACAAGCCCAACCAACCTGTTTGTCTTGTCTCCAAGTTTCATGCTGATATTATACGACGTGATGTCTTCTAATCTCAAATACGCGATGGTGGAATGATTGGCCAAGGGTGCATTGGCTAACTCCAGACTGAATCCCATCTGTACGACGGCTAGGGGTTTCCGCAAGATACTCATCATCGTCTCAGCGTAAGAATTAGGCGGATGCTTGACGGTCTCTCCAGCCGCGCAGAGTGTATTGAACAAACCTTCGAGAAAACTCGATTCTTTGGACTCTTTTGATTCTTTAAGCTTATCCATCAAACTACGAAGCGTCGGATTCACATTATCTGGCAGTGTATCTGAGGGCTCGAAAGGATACGAGACACTGGATGCATTCATAGCTTGAGACTCCCGAATAAAGTGGCCATCCTGATCGAATACCTGTATACTATAATCCGGGTAATTCATTACGATCTATCGCCAAACTGTTAGATTATAGGTGGGCTCCACGCTTTCTTGTGAGAAGCTGATCCGTGAAACCATCCATGGTGGCCGAGAAGTAGGTCAGATCTGCCACATCTTTCGATAATTGTTCTCTTTGACCCGATATCAGGATTTTGTCGAGCCCATCTGGGCTCACTCTTGAGAAGGGTCGTTTCAGCAACGTCTGGATTGAATTTGGCGCTTGCTGGAGAATCGGTGAATGGCCAGAGAGTATTCTGAAGTCCCCCTTAATATTCGGATCATCGGAAAGCGTCATTCCGGACTTGATGTAATATCAATTCTCGTCGGGGCTCTCATAGTCAAATTTTCAGTCACCGAAGGGGATATGGTAGTATTCTACCGTCCATTCAACAAACAACGGATACCATGCTTGTTGGCCATCCCAAAGACCTATCTTGAGAGACTCGTTTTGGGAAACGGAACCTTGCTTGTTGTAGAAAGCCAAACCGCTTCCTTCAACAGTGATGTTAAAGTCTCGATTAAATCAGGGAGAGACTTTACCTGAAGTCCTCTATCATTGCTGATGTTGTCAATCATCTAAGCCCACTCTTTCAGTCTTGTGTTTTTGCTAGGATCATCTAGACCAATAGTCTCTTGTCCAGCTAAACGGACAAGTAAACGTTCCGCCTGATGTCTTCTCCTTGCGACCAGTGAAAATGCCCGCGAATAGCACCGTGGGATCCTGTTGCATAATGAAAGGCGGCATTACCCCAGGTTCGCAGTTAATCAGGCTCGAAGACCATTAATCCGTCTGCATTTGAGGTTTATTTGACTATCTTGTGTTGTCGGTGTACCAAGTTGGTCAGGACGTTCCACAATCGCCGTGACGATTTTATAGGCCGATTGTTGTCGGCTGCTCTTCTGCGGATCGGTTCCAAGACCCTTGTATCAATATCTCACTGGGACCAGGTATGTGAATCCGGTCGGTTTCCTCATCCTTGCTTGCTCTTTCTCATACGAAGCCATGCTGAAAGGACTCTACAGGATCGTTATAAGTATGTGACCCATGCTAGTTTTGTTGTTTCCATCACTTACGCTGCCAGGGGATTTGAGAAATTTATGAATCATGATCAGGCAACATGGGGTAAAGGGTATATGTGCAACTGGTTCAAGTATGACGATGATGGAGACCCTCTGACTTACTTCAATGGCCAAAGCTGGGCAACAGAAGTCCACGACTTTCTCATCCCAGAATTAGGATACAAAAAACGCGCGGTGCCACTATCATTTAAGGTCAAAAGTGGTACAAAGCAGAATGTGTGCCTTGCGCGTCTTTCAACATCTACCGTCATGGGGGCGAACCTCGTAACGAACAATGCACTGCCATCCGCGTGGGAGACTATTAAGGGGCTAGATTCCCTTCTACATGAAACCTCCCCTGGAAATCTTCAGATGGTTTTGATGTTCAGGGGATCCCAAGTACTACGTTGTCGGCGTCAATAATCAGATCCTCGGTAATAGGAGGCTTACTGTGATCAATACGAAACAGAACTCCAGGGCAGTGGAGAATCGTGACTTGATATTACTGCTACTTGTCGGAAGACAGATGCCAAGCCCATCGTCTCCTTATACTCTGGTGGAGATGCCGAGTGGCCGCAGGAAGAGGCACTGGATCGCTGGCTATCACCTAACCCAGCAGTAGAAAAGACGCGAGTAGCAATCATCAAGGCTGGCCATCATGGAAGTCGGATCGGCACCTCAACCAACTTCATGTCCTTGACCGAACCAGACTATTTTTTAGTGTCAGCTGGTCAACAGCATGGCCATCCAGGCAAGTGACCTCTCTTGACTGCATCTGACTTTTTCTCGAACTCTGGCCTAAGGTCTAGTTCCTGAACTCATATTCTATCTGGATGCGTGGTTCACATCTCTGCCATGGGGCAGTGTCTGGAGAACCAGCCAAGTGCATATACTCGACTTGCTTTCCATATCACATAAGTATCTGTGGCGGAGACGATACACATTGTCAATACATCTGCCAGTATACAAGACTCGTAAAACCTCGCTGATTTAAGAAAACACCAAGGGCCGCCAGATCATTCAAGCAAAGGTTTCGAGACTCTATGCTTCCGTCTACACGAGAAAGGATGAAGATCCTCTTAGCGATCTCAGACATGACTTTCGGAGCAACATAAGTGATAGCAGTCAGCGGACTACTCTGACGAAATCCTTGCGCAAGCAATGGGCCAAATGGAGCAATACCTCAGAGGATTACTATCCTTTCCATGGATCGGGTTTGGGACCAGACAGGTCATTTTCATCCACGATCGTTCGAAACATACAAGTGATTATCGACCCTAAGTGGATAACATTCCAACGGAATAGGGCTGAGTCGGAAGGAACTAGGAAGCGAAAGAGGACTGAGGAGCCAACAGAACAACCGAGTAAAAAGGGGAAGAAGAAATCACTCTTTAAACACGAACTTCTTTACTGCAGATCCTCTACTTTACGTTGATCCAGCTAAACAAGTCACTTCACAGACCAGAAGACGGGCAGCCATGCAAAATGGTCTTCAAGGAGACCCTTCTGAGTCCGTTGGACTCAACGGCTGGATCTCACTAGCAGAGGGACAATTCTGGCTTGCTGCAGGGTTGACGTGCACGGCCTTCCAAGTCCTCAATATCCAAGCGGTTGCAACCTTGTCGTGGGGAAGCCAAGATACAAAATTGGGTGTATTTGCCGATTGTATAGCCAAATACCCGCTTTCCGCTAAGAACGACGACGAGCTCTTCCTACTCGTCGAACTTGGGATCGTCACTGTGTTCGACCAGGGTAAAGGGATCTTTTAATACTTTCTTGCTCACTAAAGCATGCCATATACACGGTGGTTTTTCACTATCAACTTCAACGTTCATTTTGGCGCATCAGTTCATTTGCATGGACCACCTATGGCGGGATACGTGTTTGTGGACTGGAATATCATCTCATTTACAATTCAGTTTGGTGACTCAGCACCTCAAAATAATCCATTATCATGGGACAAGGAGTGGGCCCTGTTGAAGCAAATTGATAGCCCTGCTGGTGGTGGTGGTGGCAATGACAATGCTGCACATGTGTTTGCAGCCACAGGCGGATTTACAACTTCCCCAGCAGATGCTGTTAGTGTCACGGAACAAAGATGCAATATGGACTGTTTAACCTGGTCTATTTGAGTTCACAGTCAAATTGCTGGTCCCTATTACTCAAATCAACTACAAGAATTCGGGAAAAAGACCTCCTCGCTGGAGTATAATGCACCTGATACATTTATCAAGCCTATGGATGTCACGAAAAAAAGTTCAACAGTGTTCCAAATCATGGGCATTCAGTTCCGAACGCCCTCTCGATCATCGCCGATGACATGTGCTCATTTCCAGTACGCTATGTATGCTCATTCTTTGTATTCGCCAAACCCGAAAAGATCCCCGCAATACCTACATCTAAATCTCCCTCTTCGCAAGATACGTGGTTCCCAAACCCAGACCCGCAAAAAAGTAAGCATGCAGATAGACAAATGGCAAAAGATCCATGGGCAAACCCAGAAGACTTTTTGGTCTCATGGATATCTGCCACTGTTGATCGTGGAATTCCCAAAGTCCCTGTTGTTAAAGTGTTTAGTGATCTTAGTAGAATTCTCTTTAAAGCGGTTTTGGACAAGTGGAATGAGTGTTTTCCTGTTTCGCCGTTGTTGTCGAGAGGTTCGGTTTAAAGGTTCATGTTCGTCATCTTATTTTTTGCCCTGTGAAGTGTATTTTGTTTTGAGATAATATTCAATACAACTAAATAGTGTTTTTGAAGGTTTTTATGATTATCAGCAGGTGATAATCATCATCATCAAAAGGCGATGTCAAATGAACTTACAAGCCCTAATTTGCCTAATTAGGCAAGTCTCCCACATGCAGCCTTACGCTCTTCTCTCACCATGCCATGGTCTGAGGCAATCTCGCCTCTATACGTCTATTAAAGCACCTTGAATAGCTTTAAAACTTCAATATTTCATTTTTGAACAAATACAATCAAAATATCCTCTACTAAACTGATCCTTGATCCTACCTAAAAATTAAGAAAGAAAAACCACGTCATAACAACTCTTGTACCTAACCTTTGCATGGCAAGTAAAATGAATCAGACAGCATGAATCAAACCGACCTGCCCATTGGAGCCATTTGCACAGAATAGAACCCATATAAGAAGGGAGATAGATAGTATAGATATGATAGAATTAATGTGATGCAGACAACACAACACAGCACAAATGACAGCGATGAAAAAACAGAAACAGGCAGGCGAACAGGCACGCAGCATTCAATGGATGAAAAACGAGGTACAAGAGGGCCGTAAACTGAAGGGCAAAAACAATGCTGGAATCCACAGACTTTTTCGATAATCATTTTTTCGGGTTATTGTTGTCGTCCTGCTCGATCAGTCGGGCCGATTTGATGGAGTAATTGGACGAGTGCGTGATCAGTTTGGTATTGTTATCCCCGCCCCCTCTTCGTAGTCATGTCGATCGTTTCGTTCTCGTGTGATCATAGTTCGTTTGTCCCATTTTCATCTTCGTGATCGTTGATCGTTAATAACAACAAACGCTCAAACCAAGTGCTCGCGCTCATGCTGATGCTTTCGCTCTTGCTCTTGTCATGCCATACCATGTATTATCAATCTTATCAAATCATTCAAAACTCGAATTGCTCATTTGTCTGCATCATCCAATCATGTTCATAATCTGTTCATGCTGGGCTGCCCCAAGGAGAATATATCTAGAGAAACAGACGTAATAAAAGAATAATAATCACGGTGTTAACACGCAACAAGGAGGACGAAGGTAAAAAAAAATCAAAGTGAATAGATAGATAGGATTATGAGCTCATCGCAGGAAAAAAAAAACAATAGCATATTCTCTCTTCGGATTCTTTTTTTTTCTTGGAGTCATCTCGTCGTCCATCATCGAATCGTTATATTGAAACAAGTCTGCCGGTAAAGTGGCGACATTCGCGTCGAATTACAATTGTCGTAATCATTTCCTCGCCCCAAAATTTCTTCTTGTATGATATATTTTTGTTATTCTCTTTGAAACATTTGCACTTGCATGTCGTCTGAACTTAGACATTCGCTCTTGTCACAATTCAGTCATAATTTTTTCTCATCCTACTCGACGATAATCTCCACGCCAGATCCCGTACGAAGCTCGTCACTACCGCGTGATTGGTGGCCATTCTGACGTCTGAATCCGGATCCGCGTTCAGGTGCTGGTCCTCGAGGCTGCCTCATCGGAAGGCGTTCTTGAGACTGATTATCAAAACCTACCCCGATAGACCGATTGCTGCCGATAGCTCCAGCTGGAGCACCTTGGTTACTATCCTGTTCCCAAGAAAACATACCACGTAGGCGTCTGGGACTACCAGCGGGACCACCGAGACTCGTTCCCAGTGAGAGACTGCCGAGGCTGTTGACGAGAAGTCCATCGTCTCGTTGAAGACCAAGGGATGTACCTGAAGGTGTAGGGGTCAGAGTAGGAGTGTTGGATGTTCCACTGGCTGTGCCGTCATATTGTTGTTGAAGACGCGCACCATTGGTTTGTAGGGTTGCAGGGAAACTTGCAGACGATGGTACGGGGGATGGTGTGTAAGATCGCAGATCAGCAAATGATTTGGCTGCACGCAAGTTCTGTGGGTTGCCGAATCCGCCGGGCGATTCCAAAACACCTAGAAAACCTGATGTTTGTCCACGCATGGTACTGAATGGACCGGGTCCTTCGCTACGGGACTCGCTAAAGTCAATAGTGGCCGCACGATTCAGACCACGGCGAGATGCTTCGGCGGCATGAACCGTTGCAGGAATCGAGGACAAGGGTGGGCTGACATTAGAGCCAGGCGGTGCGCGAAAGACATGTACCTGGCGTTGATCTCCAGTTCCACGAGAAGCATGACTCAAGCCCATATTGTGTGCAAGAGTGTGGACCGTCCGGCGCTGGATAGGAGTGAGATTGGATGGGAATATCAGGGCTTCACGGCTCATATCTTCCTTGAACAAAAGCATCTGCGAGTAGAATTGCAATGTTTGGCTATCGTTTAAATCAACATCTAATTATAATACGTCAGTTTCACGAGTCATGTCGCCGCAGAGAAGTGAGTGCAATTGGAATTCATACCAAGCTTTGGCCCACGTTGAGAAACCGGTGAAGGTGATGTAGCGGGAATATGCGAGGCTAAGGAAGACATGGAGCTCTGAGTCTGCAACTGGGATGCAGCAATAGGTCGATGTTGCTCTTCGAGTTGTCCACGGCGTTCCCGCTTCTCTCTTTCGATACGTTCACGTTCCTGTAGGGGAAGCATCTTTTTGTATTCGACGCGCAATTTGCGGCCCTGTAGCTCAAAGTGGTTGAGCATATCAATCACAGTGGCGGTTTCCTCGGCAGAAGTAAAATTGGCGAAAGCGAGACCACGGAAAACGCCATTATCGAAGTGGTAATTAAAGGCATATGGAAGAGGAAGGTTCATCTCGGTCATTAGCTGCACCAACTGCTCCTTCTTAACCGCAAAAGGAATGTTCTTGATAACAATCGCAGTAGGAATCAGCTCGTCATCACCATCCTGGCTGGAGGAAGATTGCATCTGTGTTCCAGCAAGCGGGCCTGGAGCCAATCCGGAAAAGGAAGAGGGGACACCAGGTTGCTGATCGAGCCAAGGCTATGTATGAACGCGTCAGTGAACCTTACTTATCATACCACGCGGAATTGTAGACTTACTGTTGGGAGACCAGTCCTGCCTCGTGAAGGCTTCATTCTACCAGTGGCGGAGCCAATACCAGCAAGAGAGTGACCACCGGCAAAACCGTTTGGGTTCCATGTCTGGGAGCCAGAAATTTCATAAGCGTAGTTTGTGCCACCGTGCAGCGGATTAAGGCGATCGAGGCGGGAATTATCGTATCTCGCGAGCGGATCTTCGTAAGGGTTTGTAGGCATCGGACCGTAAGCGTCAAACTGGCGAGATGGCTGTCTATGGAGCGTCTGTGGATGACGCTGCGATCCTGGCGATCGCGATGAAGAGTTGTCGTGATACATCGTGCTTGTCGAGTCGAGTTGGACCGGGGTGAAACACGAGACAGGAGTCGGCTAGTCAGGGTCGGGAGGGGAAGGAAAATAAAAGAAGAGGATTCCGACTAAAGGATCATAGGCGCAAGTTACCACAAGTAAATGTGTAATGGCTGATTCCAAGTATATCGCGTCACGAGCAAGTGATTTTCGTGTTAAGGTGACTATTTACCGACAAGTCGGGGGCGTCCTGAAGAGGAAAGCAGGTTGGGGTTGGTCTCTTGGTTGATGCGGGATCGGTGGGAATATTATTGTGTCCAAAGGATCGCGCGAGGTAAGGATACAAAAAATCCCGCTCCCCAATAATTGTCCGAAGGCTTACACACCAGGCCGCTTTCGAAATATCGTATGCGAAAAAGTACAGCAAAATAAAAGATCAGATCAAACAGAACGGACAATCGTTAACGCAGGAGTAAACGGGGAATGTTCGCATATGTGGTCACTCCCTTCCCTCTGTTGAATTTTTCGCTGGTAGACGGAGTGGATCGGTGATCAATAACAACGCGATGGGAAGAAGGGGAGAAGGGAGAGGGAAAAGAGGAGAAGAAATAATCAACTTAGTTCCCTCAGGGCATGGATAAATGGGATAGAAAAAGAGAACAAGATGAATGGGAGGGAGAAGAGAGGATACAAAAGAGAAGAAGAGGAAGAGAGGAAGAAGAGGAAGGGAGAAGAGGGGACCAAAGAAGGAAAGGGCGGTAGCCACAGGAAGGGAAAGGCGGTGATTGAGACTACGGGAGAGGAGGGTGTGGGGTGTCTCCTTATTCCACCACTATCTCTTCTCTATCTTTCGAGCACTACACACTGCTTGTTCCTGTCAGACTATTCATTGCAACACCCAGAAATCGTCTTGATATGTGTCATCAGTAACTGACAGACTGCTCAAAATACTCAGAACACCCGACGCAGGACAACCTACAAATCGCTGCTGACAGACACTTCTACTCGTTTGTTTTCAACATGACTACGACGACGCGTTTATCATCCCCGTCATTTTCGGAAAGAGGAGCTATTTGATGGACCCGTTCATTCAGTGAACTATTAATATCATTTCCTGGTTATGGGTCCAACTGAGAGATTGCACTCATTGCCCAGGAGTGCTTACCATTCGATCGCCAGGCAACTGTGAACACTGACCAATTATTCACTCATCCTCTAGATCAGATCATTCCGAATACCTTTCGATTCCTCCCTGAAACAAAAGAACAAAAATCCGATGGTTCCAGTCATCACCAATGGCCTCAACGGTTCATCGATGTGGGTATGAATATCTACAGTGCTCAAGATATCTCCGGGAACATGGTAGCAAGGGCCGCCCCGTGCAAGCGCCGTTCCGCCTCGGCCGGATAAACGACCCCTAACTTTAGTCGCTTTCTTGTCATTCGCGTCTCCTGGCATTCTCTCCCTTGATTTGCCGTTCGTTTTCACTTATTCGCAACTATGCAAACTCAATCAAAATTGATTGTGCGCAACGATTCGTCCGTGAGATGTCTTGATGTTCCAGCCCTCGGAATGACGACCGGCCAGTGGATAATCAATTTCAAGTTTCAGGACACACCCCTTTCTGGCTCAGTGATACACTGTACTTCGGACTTTACGTACTAACATAAGTCGTTCATAGTAACTTAGAAGTCTGAACTGTTAGTCATACTCCGTCATTTTCCTGGGCGTGCGTGTTAGTCCTTTTTTCTGAATCGGTAGCCTACTGATTTCAATACTTTCTTCGAAGTGGATCAGAGATTCCAGCAACGAACGTTCCGGCAGGAACTCTTGTTTAAGGGGCATTCTAGAAGCAAAGCCGAACCTTCTTTCAAAGTTTCAATGAGTTCTTTGCCACGACCTGTAAGTAGTTTAGTACCACGGACAATGCTATTGTCGAAGGAGGATACGTGATTGACATTGGTTATCACCTTTGAGACAAAAACTGCCCCTCATCAACTTCAGGCATAGGCTCTGGGACGGGGAGATCAGGGTTCTTCCCTGTTACTCTTGTGTCATCTGGTATCCCGGTGGTCATTCTTGGGAGCCACATGATTCGGTGCAGTCGGGTGATCCACATACATACACACTCGAAAGTCACGTCAAGACAGCGATTTCTCATGAAGATCTGTTAATGACAAGAACTGATGCCTTTGGTGTAACCCCGTGTACGCGGTCAAGGTGTAAGTCGAGGAGAGAGGGGCCAGGATCAAAAGGAGGCATCAAGTACGCTATTTTATATTGGGCTTAGCGTAACGCAGTGTCCAATAGTCGGGCGATCCGGGCATCTCTTCCATTTTAGCCTTTTTTTTTATTTTGCCAGGAGAACTCACTCTCTGTCACACTCCAATAGCTTCACGAGTACGAGTGTTTTCCAATCCTCCGCCAGTTACCTAAGCCGTTTCTCCCAAACTATGAATCTTAGTACTGTACCCGCCTATCGGGCCTTGCACAACCGGCACCGTTAGTGGATCTCGTGACTGGATTTTGAGGTCATCTGAGGCTGTTGACTCACATCTTGCAGTCGTATCAACTCGACGATATGACCAGACTCTACCAAGCAGACGCAGGTGTAGGCAGCAAAGTCCTTTGCCGTAACTCGCCTCTCTTGTCCTTCTGATGGAAGTGTGGAGGCCCTGTCTGGGCTCTATTGTGGCGAAGTCAACTTGACATCCAACATTGGTCGAGCAAGAGCTATCACCCCTGGTTTGTTATATTGCTCGGTGCCTAGTCTCAAGTCACAACGAAAGAAGAAAAATGAGGCTGAGTCGTGGATCGTTGTTTAATTATATTACTATTGCGTCTCCACAGTGGCTTACGCTGTCATTGTTTGTTCGGAAGCTGATATGCTACGGTTTGTACTCCGTAGATGCTAATATGCTAGCAATCTATGGAGGTAAACATTCGATTGGATCAAAGTGAGCGAAGGGACGAACCACCAGTCCAGGAGATGTCTTTCTGCGTTACCACTAGGTTGGCCGTTCTCGCGTCAGAGGTTTAACGTGCTCACGACTTTCATTCCCGGGTCCATGCCATGACTACAAGCGGCTGCGGAGTACCACATGTGGAACTATGAACCCCTTTCACGATATCATGAGTGCCACTCTGTTTCGAGAATTCTTCTGGAAGTTCCTATTACCGTTAGCCACAATTGTCCCAGTCAGTGAGTGACAAGACGCAGCGGTGGAAGTGAAGGGATTGGTCGCGGAAGAATGTGATGCTCTCCGTGACTGAGTGGATCGAGCTGCACCTGAATTGATGTTGCCGCAGGCCTCGTCAGCGGCAGTTCGTGTCCTTTGCTAGATGACAAGTCTCGGACGCCTGTCCAGTGTCAGCTCAGGTCTCTCCTTCATCGTGCCGTTCCCTCCTCTAGCTTGGCGCAAGTAGGTTAGGATTCTCCGAGCTAATCACATTATTTCAGACGCATTCAATCAGTGGGACGTCTGTATGGTTCTCCTATCTTTCGTTCAAGGTGTGCACTGTACGGAGAATTCAGCCGTTTTGGAAAAGCTGGTTGGATGTTGAGGAAGGTGTCTCTATTTCGTAGCTTTAGACTGCAGATATACATATGTACTGACCAAGAGTACTGTGCCATTGATAGAGGGGTTGATTACTTCAGATCTTTCTCACTTTCAAAGTAGTCGTTCATCACTGGAAGTTGCTGTGATGACTAAGTATGCTGGTTCCCACCCAGAATGGGAAGGTAACATCCCGTGACGCAATTTGGAATCGAAGCAAATCCTAAGGACAACTTTCACATCTTCTTATAGATAATTGCGACAGTAAATATCTGTTGACAGAAGTCTCTTGTTAAAAGACGTTCATGGCAAAGCCAGTAACTAGTCTACTCTCAAAATGCCTTCTGGTCGTCTGCCACTTCGCCCGAATGGCCTTACCCCTCCAACCCAAATGCCCACCATGATTTACGGGACGGCTTGGAAAAAGGACCGCACCGCAGACCTGGTCTATACAGCTCTAAAAGCTGGATTTCGCGCCGTGGACACCGCAGCACAGCCAAAGCATTATCGCGAAGATTTGGTAGGGGATGGTATTAGGAAAGCGATTGCTGATGGCATTGTTAAGCGTGAGGACCTCTACGTAAGTCTTCATAGATTTCGTGGTTCTATATCATGTTACTGAAAGTCTCGATAGATACAAACGAAATACACCCCAGTCCAAGGTCAGAATCCGCATGACATGCCATACGAACGAAGGCTTAGTATAACGGAACAAGTCAAGGCTTCGGTTCAATCGTCTCTTCTGAATTTTCGTTACTTCAATGCTGCAGGTAGCAACGCCTATATTGACACGCTAGTTTTCCACACACCATTATCTACCATTGAACAAACCATAGAGGCGTGGATTGCCGCAGAGACATTTGTACCTGAAGTTATACACAACATCGGGATATCAAACTGCCCTCTTCCGGTACTAAAAGCGCTATACACTTCGCCTGAGATCAAAATCAAGCCGGCAGTAGTGCAAAATCGCTTCTACCCGGACGAGGACTACGATGTTGATCTACGCGTGTTTGCTCGCGAGAATGAAATTATCTATCAGTCCTTTTGGACTCTGACGGCAAATCCACAGCTCGTCAAAAGCGAGTCAGTACAGCAGCTTGCTCAAAAGGCGGGGATTAGTGTCGCAGTTGCTTTGTATGCTCTTGTGATCAGCCTAGGGAAAGTCTCGGTGCTTGATGGAACCACGAACGAGATTCACATGGCAGAAGACTTGAAACTGTCTTCAAAGATTGAGCATTTTAGTGAAGCACATCAGCAAGAATGGCAAGATCTAGTCTCCGGCTTTAAACGTTTGATTGGAGACCCTGCATGACTTATGACATTATATGACTATACATAATTACATTCGCATTGCTGTCAAATATCTGGTGAAAGTACTAACGTCCCCATATTCCATCCAGATTTTCTGCCATGTAAGCAATAGCTTCGGCCCGGAATGTATCAGGCTCAACATACGCTAACCCCGTTACATTGACATTGAACGCTATGTTTGACGGATTCTTCTGGTCATAGGCTGGCCACTTTAAGCCTTCCCTGTTGATACCTTTCTTGTGACTGAAAGCATTGCTATTAGGATCCAAATCATGTACAAAACTGATCCAAGCAGAAGACATGATACTAGCCAGCTCGTTGAAAGTTGGGGGCTCGTTAGCGAATGGGTTAACAGACACCGCATTCTCATATCCTTGGCCAGCAGTGTTGTCAAACACGAAGGCCACCTCCATAAAGTGTGTACTGCCAATGTAGTCGGTCACACCGTTAACGAGAACGTTGAAATGGTACGAATATGCAGGCACGCCGTATCGAGCCCAAGCTTCCGTTGTGATTCGTCTCCCCGTGTGCATCACCAGGTCACCCCCATATGCAGCTGAGCGTTTCCATTGCGTCCCGAAAGGTGAACCTGGTGGAGGGCGACCATTTAGGGTAGCTGGAATACCGAGACTGGGAATGTCAGGGTAGAGTTCGGCGATTTTGTTGATGACTTCTTCAGTAAGATCTGGCGCATTGTACAAAAGAGATGCCTTGAACTGCTCGGTGGTGTTGATACCTGGTATGCCGAAAGATGTGCCTTCGTCGAAATTTGTGCCTATCAACAAGGGTGCTCTGACGAATTTACCTTGTTTTGTCAATGAGGTAGCGGACTCCGTGAGGATATCACCGTCTATGACAACCATGGCCGATGGAGTAATATCGCTGGAGTTGAATACGGTGCTGAGTTTTTCTGTTGGTACAGTCCGCAGACAAGCAAGTGTATCGGCTGCATTGCTACAACCCGCTTGATCAACAATTTTCTGATAGTTTGGTTCCCAGGCTGAAGCATTGAGATAATAAGTCAACGCCGTTGGACCGCCGGATTCCGCAATACCAGCTCGGAACAGACCATCGTCGCGACCTTCATAAGCGATGAAATGTGTACCCACGGACGCTCCACCAGCAGATTCTCCATGAATAGTCACTTTTTCTGGGTCACCACCGAATGCAGCAATATTCTCCTGAACCCAATGCAATGCTAGACGTTGGTCACGAATACCGAGATTTGTAACGCCCGCTTTAGCGACCTCTTCGCCCCATAGGAATCCCCAACCTGACAACCTATAATTCACACTGACACCAATAATAGGCTTGCCAATCTCAACTGAGCGTTGAACCACAAACGACTGGTTGTACCTTGGATCCTTACTTCCACCTTCGAAGAAACCACCGCCATGAATCCAGAACAGAACGGGCAGCTTCTCATCCTCAGCGATACTACTTGGTCGAATAACGTTGATGGTAAGACAATCCTCGGAAATATCGTTTCCCAATACCCATTGGTCACTACCGTAACCAATACATTCGGGGCTATATTGCGTGGCATCCCTGGTACCAGTCCATGTCTCATTAAGGGATTGTGGTACTTGTAACCGAAGCTCTCCTAGGGGTGGCTGCGAATAGGGCATACCCAAAAAGAAGTCTTGGTTATAGTGAGCATTGTGAACACCATAATAACTTCCATTTTTTAGAGTGACCGTTGGGGCTCCCTCGGGGACACTATCTGTTTCGACATAGGTTCTCCTTCCGATAACTGCGGCAGAAACAGGCGAAAGAACGTTCGAGGAGAGGAGAAGCAAGACGCTGCTTGCGAGAAAATTAACCACCATGCCGTATCTTTCTATGCTCTGAGTTTTCTCGGCGTCTAGGTGAGAGACGAATTTTCTCATCCCCACGGTCTTGAAGGTTGACTTTATATCGCTTCATTCTGTGGGGTTCTTCTGGAAGAAGTCTCCCGAAACATGCTTATCTTCACCGTTAAAGCTTGATTCTCAGTTCGTCCCGCAATATAATTTCCCGTCTGATGACGACTAAGAGATACCATGTACATCTAGAGACGGCAAACCTGGGAAACTTAGCCTAAGTACTTACCTATTGCAGCAACTCTCCGCAGTCCCATCATCCAACCTTGATATTTACCCCATACTTAGGCTCCTTCTCCACATTTTAGCGATGTTTAACTTCGGCTTATGAATGCAGATCTCATGCAATTCCCAGTTCTCATTCGATCAGTTTCTTCAAGGGCTAGTGTAAGGTCGGCTTGGCTCTGATAGCCTTTTCTCTCTCGCGGAAAATTGTCTTAACACCCCGCACTCGGTCTCCAAATTATCAGCCGGCTTTAATGCCTCAGTGTCGAGCATCTGTGTTTCTCTGTGTCGGGTGAGATTCACGGCAAGTAGATATGAGTGCGTTGTCATGTAAAGGCTCTGAAAGAGGTATTGATTCCGGAGTCTCACAACATACATGTATCTTGGCTAACACATGTCATTGCCACAAGTAAAGATGTCCATAACGTAGTTAACTACAACTCGGTGGCATGTAGGGAAAGCGTACAACTACCCATACTACGGAGTACATGTACCTGTACATGCACTGGCTGTCTATTTCCTCGTCATGGTTCTCTAGCTTAAACGTGCAATATCTAGCCTGCTTACCAGTAGATTTCACCAATGCCAGATCGATTTAGTCATATCGCTGGAGAGGTGCGGCGGGTCACTATGAGGTATCCACTCAGGGGGAGGGAGATAAATTCTCAAATGCGATGTATGAACCCCTTTAAAACGTCGTCACTCCACAAGCTTTTCAAATCAAAGTCTAGCACTCGGCCCTGAGCTTCCAACGACAGGCATCCTGGTACAAATATTTTAAGTTCGGCCTCCTAATCTGCCAGTTGAAGATTATTCGTGGTGAGATCTCTCTTCGCATAAATGAATCTACGATAGTGAGAAGAGGCTCATCCATATTAATCATATAGTCAGATTATTTTCCCATATAGTAATCCAAGTATATACAATGAATTCTGCCAGTCAAATAAGTCGGACAAAGGCCAAGCCAGCCTCCATTTATAGGTCATGATATGGGCATAATTCCAAAGGAGAAGATTAGCATATTCTGCTATCCTTACATTAGGTTTGAATGTCATCACTGACACTTGCCCACGGTTCAGATCGTCCTGGTCGCCGTGGTCGGTCACAATATAGTCGATATTTGAGTTTTCACCAGGGAATATAACCGTGCCGGAGCGTGTCATAGAAACATCGCGGAAGTAGCCTGGATCCATGGATGCAGATAGAGATTGACTATCAAATTGTGATGAGAGAAAAACTGGATATAGTTGAATGTTGTAGATAAGTCAACCAAGACGTCCGGGACGTAAATGCATCTCGAGTAATCATGGTATGGCACAATACCTAAGTAGGTGGTTTGCTTCATTGTTGTGAAAATATAAAAGCATCAAAGACTTGACTAAAAGTATATAGTTCCAACTTATTGAGGGTCAAGTTACCGTGCGCATTACGAACCCAAACCTGGATAACCTGGCAGTCTTGGCTTTCTGGCCTCAGAGGCTAATATGATCTTTATATAACCACTAGACATCTCTGGTGCCTGAGTGGCGTCCTATCCAATTTTGCATCTCAGATTCTTATCACAAGGATCGCTGAAAAAAGAAACTCCGAAGTTTGTTACTATTTCAACAATTAGGTACAGTTATTATTCAGATGAATACATAGAAGACTTGAAAGTTTTGCGTCCTCGAATTGGAAGGTTGACCAACGAACAATGCCCGCTCCCAGAGAAGGGGAGTTCATATGGCATACCGGAAGTCATGATTGTTCTCCAATTCCTTGGGCCGCTCTATTTCACCTCTAGCCAGCTTCTTATTCTGGAGAACGTAATATTGTCTCATGACAATCAGCGCCACCAATAGTAGCCCCTGACAAGTAGCCACCGTGATCAGAGCAGGTGCGTACACTGGTGCGTACTGGTTCCTGAACACAGCACTCGACAGAATACCGCCGATGTTCAGTCCGCCGATAAACAAACCCAATGCAACAGCTCGCGAAGAAGCATTTGTCAAATTACTACTTAGCCAAAGTGGCATCAGGACTTCGGGCATGTAAGTGCCAAAAGTGATCATGTAGGTAAGGAAATAGCCCACATGCACATGATTGACGAGGTCTAGAGTGGCGAGCAAGATAAATCCGATCATTGAGACGAGCAGGGTGCAAAATGAGACGAGGGCACGTTGTTGATAACGATCGGACAGCCATGAGGAAACGATTTGCACAAAGGCGGCGACAAGGTTCGGACCGACGGTGTATAGGTTACCCTGAGGCGTGGATTGAGCGATACGTTTGACCATTGTCTATCTCTTCTATTAGTACAATGATCCCGAATCTGGATAGCATACTGAAAGCTTACCGGAAGGAAATTAGAAGCACTCGCGACACCAACACCACAGAGAAAAGCCATTGCCGCAAAAGCCCAGACCTGCCATGTCCGGAAAACCTGGAAAGCGACATTCCAAGAAATCTGACCAGCGCTTTCCAAGTTGGACTCACGACGCAAGCGGATTTGCGCAACTCGTCGTTCTGCGTCGGTGAACCATCTTGTGTTCGTATCACGGGGCAGAACTAAGAAGACTATGACCGCGAGGCCAACGGTCATGCCACCTTCAATGAGGAATAGATATTGCCAGCCCTGTTCAGATCAGTTTCGAAACGGGACAAACAAGGTTTGACTGAACGTACGGTTAAAGACCGATGCCATCGAGACACATCCCATGAAATCAAGCCGCTAGTTGCGCCCTTGATGAGTGTCAGCCGAGAATAAATCTCATACTCCATAATGGAAAGGAGAGAACATACAGCAATGAAACCGGTGAATCCCCAAGCTGCCGTCCTCAAAGCAAGTTCCTTCCTTGTATAAAACAACGAGTAATACAAGTACACGCAAGGCATAAAACTGGCTTCGACCACGCCGATAAGGATTCTCACTGTTAGCAGTCCGCCGAAATTCTTCGTGGAAGCAGTGATCATGGATAATGAGCCCCAAGTTCCCATCATAATTGGGATCACTCTAGCAGGGTTGAAGCGTTTGGCCAGGCTGTACATAACGTATTAGCTCTTCAGAAACTACCGTTGAGGATTCGGGTGAGCGTGACTCACAGAGCTGCAGGAATATTGCAAAGACCGTAAGGAATATAGAACAGAATGAGAACAAGCGAATATTCGTTATTCACAAGACTCAGGTCTTTCTCAAGGCCCATAGTCTTTGCGTTTCCTAAATTCGCGCGGTCAAGTGTATGAGTGTAGTAGACAAGAGCTGTATAATTAGGGCAAGGCAGAATTAGCCCTCATTATCATGAAACTACTTTTCTTGAGTTATCATACATACCGCACATGGGTAGGATCATAAGATCAAATTTGCGGACCAAAGACCTCTCAATCTTGGGATCGACATATTCATTGCCCGTGATCTCTCCGTTACCAGCCGGGGCAACATCTTTCTCCGGGTCTGATGGTATAGACAGCACGCTTGGAGTATTGTCAACCTTGATCTCGGTCATGATGGTATACCAAACTGTCCGAATGTTTGGGCAACAAGTTTCTCCGATAGTTGATGGTTGATAATGCGGATGGCTTGATTTATACCATATCGATTGTTATTCACCAATGGCTAGGCCAGGTACTAATATATCTATTTCCGCCGATACAAGTCAGATAGAGTTGTCAGATCACAAGGAGATGCACGCAAACAAATCGTGGTTGACTGACATCTGGGTAAAAAGTCCAAAATGATCCATAGTACCCTCGACGCAATCGCGACAGAGATGTCGCAATTTGCGACAAAATCAGCTAGTTGTTTGTGATTAGAATCATCTAGACATAATCTATGCTGAAGGAAACCGGTCAAGATTTGACCATCTAAAAAAGTTGATATCGTAGGGGTCTCCACCCGTCTCCGATTTTCAGCATTGAGTCGCCGACTCGGTGACTCGGTGATAAAGGCATGAATCAGGTTAATGTTAGGTGATTACCAATACCAAGTCCGATTGTCCCTCTTGACTCGTGTAAAAGTCACGTTATTATTTTATCGGTCCATGGCGTGTTCTGACTATGCAGTGACGAGCCCTACCAAGGTGGGATGCGAGTTGACATTCGCTGAGATTTATACTTCATTCTTAGAGTCAACCGTTTTCACATCGTGATGAATATCTGGCTGTCTAGTCTATAGGGAATATAGCCCATCATGGCAGCCACCTTATCCAAAATGAATCTCGATGTTCTCTCCGTGGTGAATGCTTCACTAATTTCATACATTGAAGCGATTGCTATCGTCACCATTCTCATCTTCCTACTTAACGAGATATACCGATGGTCCATCCGCATCAAGGGAATCCCAGGTCCGAGAGGTCTCCCTATTATCGGAAATTTGCATCAAATAGGGAAAAAGGTCACACCACCCGAACAATACAGGTTGTGGTCGTCGAAATATGGTCCTTTATTCCAAATCCAACTCGGAAATAAGCCTATGCTCATCATCAACAGTGCGGCAGTGGCAAAGGACTTGTTGATTCGGGAAAGTGGTTCCTTTAATTCGCGGCCTCTATTTTATGTGTTTCACAAATTTGTCAGTAAAGAGATTGCTAGTATCGGGACCAGTCCGTGGGATGAGAGTTGCAAGAAAAGGAGAAAAGCGGCTGCGTCTGCTTTGAATGTGGTTCAGGTTGATTCTTATGCTCCGGTATGCCTATTCTGTCGCACAATATTTTCTAGAGCGATTGCTTAACTAGGAGTCTAGATCTTACGACTGGAGTCCAGCGATTTCATTCAAGAATTGCGCAAAGCATGTGATGGCGGTCGTACAGCCTTGAATTTCTTGTCTTATGCCCGTCGGTTCTCCATGAATTTATCTTTGACACTGAATTACGGAACGAGGTATATCAGCTCTTCAAACTATAATTATCGCCGTAACTGACCTTTATATAGGGCCGAGAACCAAAAAGACTTTGACGGTAACTCTATGATCACTGAAATCAATGAGGTCGAGAATAACGTCGGCAAATACCGATCGACTTCGACCAATATCAAAAACTATGTGCCTTTATTGCGCTTGTTCGATCCATTGATGCTTATGCTTCCTGGCAATTCACTGCAGAAAGCATTGGATATCGGAAGACGACGTTTGAGTTACCATGCGGCTCTCCTAGAGGGGCTAAAGACAGAAATTAGTCAAAGGATTGATAAGCCTTGTATTCAAGGCAATATGCTTAAAAATCCGGAGACGAAAAATTTGACAGATCTGGAGCGGCTCAGTGTCAGCTTGAGCATCATGGCTGTAAGTCCATCTCTTCTCATAATATGATGTTAAATAGATAAACTGACTACTTGAACTTTCCAGGGCGCCGACAGTAATACGCCAACGGTTGCGTGGGGAATCATTTTCCTAGCTCATCATCCAGAAATACAAGAAAAGGCATTCCAAGAGATTAAAAGTTCTCACGTTCTCGACTCTGATCCATTTGGAAACGGTAAGGTGGCATATGTTGATGCAATTACCAAGGAGCTGAGCAGATATTATACAATTCTTCGCCTAGCCATGCCCAAAGAGGTGACAGCGCCGGTTGTATACAATGGTGCCACGATTCCCAGGGGAACTATGATTATTCTGAATTCATGGGCATGCAATCGAGGTGAGCCAATAGCGTGTCCTACTAAACTATGGCGCTGACATCTATGTTAGATCCCGACTTCTTTGAGGACCCTTTTGATTTCATACCTGAACGATGGATTTCAAACTCCGACTCCCATCAACAAGCCCACCAATTCGCTTTTGGAATGGGTTCACGCATGTGTGTGGCGTCGAACCTGGCACATAAGGCGCTCTACCTTGCATTTCTTCACCTTATTGCGCATTTCAAGATTCTCCCAGCTACCGATGACGAGCCCGCCAGTGTGGCAGATCCCATCACCGGCGGCGGTGGAGCAAATTCGGTATCGACGCCACCGTTGTATACTCGGGCGAGGTTTATTCCCCGAAATGAATTTAATATTGATCTATGAGGCTTGATGAGTAGAGAGGAATAGTCGTTAGTTATGATCATATCTTATGATATATACGTACGTAGAGGTAGTTAGGGCTAGGGCTAGGGCTAGCCTGGTCAGACCGAGATAAGAGATAAGATAAGCAATCGGACGAATCACCGAGACCATCCAAACCTTAAATTGGCGATTATCTCCTGCACGATGGCGTGATCTCATCTCCTTCATCTTCTCATCCTGCCATATATGGCCATGGTCTCCATCCTCACCGACTCCCCGGCTACTGAGTCGCCGATCGAACTTCTTCTTGTTGTCTAGGCTCATCTCTTACGACCAGAGACTCAATGTCAATGACATGCCACGCTCCCCATCGCAGCAGGAGAAAGCACATCTACCTCGCCCCGCTGCCTTGGCATGTATCGAATGCCGACGAAAGCATCTCAAATGTGACGCGAAAATACCTGTTTGCTCCCGCTGTCACGAAGCAGGCTTCCGGTGCAGTTACTTGAAGTCTAAACGAGGGGGAAAACGGAAATATTCTCGGCCTGTTACAGATCCCGATGTGAGCGATTCTTCGTCAGTGCAGCACCAGCAACAACAACCATCGCCACAACGGCAGTGGATGGATACATCGCCAGCAGCTACATTAATATATCTGAACCAGTCACGGCCAACGACTGCCATTTTGTCCGCAGATTTAGCAAATCCGGAGAGTGTTGCTACCTCTGTTACTACTGCCAATATTCGCAATCTTAATACACGGCCACTAGTTGATGTGCCGGTGTCTACGAGTACCGGTCATGCTACCGGAAATGCGGATGTGATAGCATCGTCCTCACCTCAGTCATTTTGCTCATTACAGGAACAGCGAGTCACGCAAGACAGCGATGGAGTACTTCGTGGGCCGGCGGAGGAAACGCTAGTTGAGCTTTATTATGAGAACTTCCACCGCTCCCATCCCGTATTAGTTCCCAAAAGGCTCTATGATGGTGGTCGACGATATCCAAGTTACTTGAGCGCTGTGATACAGTATATTGGTAGCCATTATTCGGTCATCTCCGCAGCTCCTTTGCGAGAACTAGCCGCGACTGAGCTGGCTCAAGTTACAGGCAGTGAAAACTCGCCACAAATTGTCCAGGGTAGATTACTTTACGCCATTGCCTTGCATGGCAACGGCGAGATAACAGAGGCCCGAAACTGGCTTTACGAGGCTATAGAAATGGCCCTTGCAATGGGTATGAATAAAAAAGAGTTCGCCTATTTTTACTCCAGGCAGGGCAATGACTTGGAAGCGGAGAGCATGAGACGAACCTGGTGGGAGCTATACGTTCTTGATGGCTACCTAACAGCTCTCGATCCAAGAGGTCCGTCCAGTTTTCGAATGAGCTCGATCAGCGGTGATGTCGAGATGCCTTGTGAGGAAAATGTCTACGCTGAGGGTAGAGTACCCTTGCCGCTTCCCTCATCACGTCAAGAACTCGAAGCGCGTATTTTCGGGGAGGTAGACTCGGAAGAAACAACAAGTCTCTCTTCATTTACGTACCGTGTCGATGCAATTGACCTGATTGCTCGCGTCCTCGCTGTTCGTGACCCCAATCGTGCGCATCGCGATAAAGCACAGGCAGTGGACAACACTCTGGCTAGCTGGGCGCACTATCTGCCTTCTAACAAGACAGATATTGTGAACGCATACGGCGAGATAGATGAAATGCTACTGCAAGCGCATATGATGGTACAATTTGCTGCCATCCTTCTGCACTTTCCACGCAGCAACTTGATTCTCGACTTTTGTGCCGACCCTGATGCAAATGAAAATACTACTAACGAAAACCTTCTATGCGGACCAATTTCACATAAGCTGCCACCATCGTCCACACGGCATATCCATGGCATTAAGGCTACAGAAGCTTCCAAACGGCTCTCAAACTTATTTTCCATTTGCACTTCCTTGCAAAAGCACAGTCCTTTGCTCATATTCGGATTGTCTCTCTGCGGCGTCGTGCAATGCTCTACCTTCATTGCCCATGTCCGATTTGATGGCGCCGGTAAATGTCTGGAACAACACCGCGACCGTGTTCGACTTTTGAACGGGCTCTTGAAGTCAGCGAGCGAGACGTGGCCTCTCTCAAAAGTTTTTCACCAGAAATTACGAAGAGTTGCTGCAATTCTATTTCAGGTCAGGCCCGTTGCTACATCTGTGGCGGCGGCACCACCCGTAGCAGCCGCTCGACACGACGGAAACCGGGTTGCATCTACTGAATTTAACTCTGCCGTAGGATTTGCGCCACACACGAATGATCTCGCATTCCAGATGGAGAATGCATGGATGTCGATTGATGGTCAATTCGGTTCGCCGGAATTAGCTCCCTGGGTTTGGGGATAATTAGTCGAAGCTATCTACCAACGTCAAATGAATGGAGGGTGATTTCAAAGGGACGAGGGACGTGGCTAGAGACGAAACGAAGACGTAATTATTCGCAATTTTGCAAATTCAGGAGGTGATCCTATAGACATAACATGAATTCCCTTTAATGAAGTAGTAAATGTGTCGATGCACGGAAACCCATGCGATCCATGAGACTAATCAATCGCCGACTGTAAGCTGTTTTTATCGGCCATACTAGCCCCGTATATGGCGAACAAAATGAATCCCCGAGTGAGTCGCCGATGGTTGATATAGTCCGTTTAGGGCTTCCCCACTCTCGGCATGAAGCCGATGGAGCTGTGAAGGTCTCTACCCACGTAGGAGCTGAGGTGACATGCATTAAGATGGATAAATGATGAGAGAAAAAGTTCGAACATTCCTCAATTATCCTCGCAAGCTCCCGATTGACGACATCTGTTTGAGCTCAACATGGCTACTTTGAACACCAGAGGAAATGATATAGCCTTAAATATCCTATCATCAACTACAGAATCTAGTCAAGCAGTAGTATTATCGCGCGCAAGAGGATCCCCGAACTCACAACGAGCCTGGCTGTTCGGTCTTGGGACACTGGGCATCATCCTTGCCAGCGTTCTCCTCAACCCTTTCACATCAACCCAAGAAAGTCCCCTCAACATCGATCCGACAGACTATGCAGCTCGGACAAAACACATACTCAGCACAACACCGCTTATTGACGGGCACAATGATCTTCCATACTTGATTCGTACAGAACTAAAGCATCAGATTTACAATGACCGGTTTACATTCAATACGGGCCTTTTGAGCAACACGGACCGGAAAAAATTGCGGGATGGAATGGTGGGAGGGCAGTTTTGGTCTGCTTATATCCATTGTCCAAAGGATAGTGAGACGAACAAGGACGTGCCACTAGACGAAGCTACTGTAAGTTCGTATCTGGGAGACATGACGAGATTTCAAACTTAAAGTCGGTTGATAGTGGACGCTCCGTGATACCCTTGAACAAATCGATATCACGAAACGCTTCGTTGACGAGTTCCCTGATCTGTTCCAATTCTGCTCAAACTCAAGCTGTGCTCGCGAGGCGTTCGCGAATGGAAAAATTGGTAGCTTCATTGGCATCGAAGGTGCTCACCAAATCGGCAACTCGCTTGCATCACTGAGGCAATTGTATGACCTTGGTGCCAGATATATCACAACAACCCACAACTGCGACAATGTCTTTGGTACCGCGGCGAGCACCGTGTCCGCTGGTGGAGAGGACAAGGGACTCACGCTCTTTGGAGAGGAGTATGTTGCCGAAATGAACCGTCTAGGCATGATGCTTGACCTGTCGCATGTATCCCATGAAACCATGCGCGATACGCTACGTCTCAGTGAAGCCCCAGTCATATTCTCGCATACCGGTGCTTATGCTCTTTCTAAAACCCTGCGATTTGCGCCTGATGATGTTCTCAAAGCAACTGCTGAGAAGGGTGGTATCATCATGATCACTTTTATCAATCGATTCTTGAGGCCTGATGATCCTGATGCAGCTACAATTCATGACGTTGTTGATCATATATGGCATGTTGCCCAAGTCGCTGGTTGGGATCACGTTGGTGTTGGATCTGATTTTGACGGAACACCAGTCACTCCAAGAGGCTTAGAGGTATGCTTTCCATCACCTTTTATATTGCTGAGAACTTTTCTGACACAGCTTCAAGGATGTCTCCAAATATCCCCGCCTCGTCGAACTGCTGATGGAAAGAGGAGCAACAGACGACCAGATTCGTAAATTCGCCGGTGACAACATTCTCCGCGTATGGAGTGAGGTTGAGAAGGCCGCGGAACGTATTCAAGTAGAAGGCCGGAAACCTAATGAGGCCATATGGGAAGGCAGAACCTGGGTGAGAAGCGAGATGAGTCCACCGATTATGTTTAGAGATAGTATTGGTAGGAGGATTCCCAGTTATTTGGGTGAACCGTAGTGTTTCCTTCCTTCTTTTTTCATACAAATCGCTAGGAATATCCGATTACGAAGGATGAAGACGGTGGGAAACATTCGAGTATAAATAACACGATAAGCATCAGACGAATGTGATGTCGATCCAGAAAATAGCATTATGCATTATATAAGCAGTACAAGGACCCGTAACGTAATCGGCCACCCGCCACTTGACACTAACCCGCCAGTCTGCGTATCGCATATAAAATAGCCCTCACTACCAGCAAGATATCCAGCAAAAATATACATAAATCATAGGTGAAGATTAGATACGTAATTTGACGGCTTTGAATAATAGACCGTTCTAAAAACTTAGCGATTAAGTAAGGTCTAATCAATATCACATGATATTACAAAAAATACAGAATACTCCGTTGTACTTTTGGTATTTTTCGTGAGCTAGGAATATTTCGTAAAAGTTATTCAATGTTATTATCATCAAAGCTTATAAATGTATATATCTAATTTTCATCTATGATATATATATATTTTTGTTGAGATATCTTGCTGGTAGTGAGGGCTATTTTATATGCGATACGCAGACTGGCGGGTTGGTGTCAAGTGGCGGGTGGGTGTCCGATTACGTTAGTTAATGGAACAGTAATGTAACGATCAACAAGTACGTACGTCCCACAATGTCTGTAAATAATACTACGTACGGAGTACATACTACGGTCATACAGATAAATAATGTTAGTACATCGCACAGAGTGACCTTTCCCAGAACAGTATAGATCATTGAAACTAGGTTAAATACACGCTTGGAATCTCGTATCTCCACTATCTCTCTCAATAAAGTACAGAGAAGCAAGTGAGGATGATGTAGAACTAGTGCGTGTTTATAAGCAATTCGTGGATTCCAATTATTTCCACGTCATTCTTCGACCCGCCTTACTAACATTATTTTCTGTATGACCATAGTACACACTCTTCACAACGAAGCCCCTCACTGGCAAGTGACAACAAGTTGAAGAACTCATTTCGCGAACGACTCGAAGGCTTACTGAGGTAGAATATCCCGATTGGCCGTGATTGTTGACAGTTTTAGCGGCAAAGTGCGTTGTGAGATCTCCCCTAAAATAAGTTTGGCATACAAACCAGTCTGAGCTCTAAACTCATACTACAGCCAATACTCCCGACTGAGAAAATATGGCCCGGGGGCGTTTCTTCGGTAGTTCGTATTCACACAGATGAGGATCTGTCCGAGGATGATCTGAGGGAGGGATCCAAAGACTGGTACCAGTTTGTACAGATATGTGCCTCAATGTCAGCTTCTGAGGATCTTCGACATATTCACTTCGTTACAATAGGAGGCATGAATTCCGAAGACCGATCCGATCGAGAACATGCAGCAACGGCGAGCACTCATTGAAAGATGGGCCTCCGCTGATCAAACTTTCCGAGATGTAAACCCAACGGATATTTGTACATCCAGCATTCATGAGGATTCCTGAGCTGATCAGAACCAGTCTTATCAAAGCCGCGCTCCCTCGCAAAGCTCACCACTGGACTACTCTCCGAATCTTCTTCCAAAATATCTTGATCATCAGAAGCGTTTCATTTGTTTGGCTCCAGCCGACAGAGAATGACATACGGAGAACTACAACCGTCTTCTTAAGATACTCATCCTTCTCTATGTTCATCAAAATAATACGATGTCCCATCCGATGAGCTATCATGATTGGGACTCTCTTCATATACCTGCAGCAATGGTTGAACCTGTTGAGTAACTATTACCTGCACCCTGCTGATTTCCACGTAGTCTCTATGACACGTTCAGGACGGTCATATTTTCCAACATAGCGCGGCAAGATTTCTTCGTGATAGACCAAGATAGTCTAAATGAGAGGAGAATAGCGGTGAGAAACTTTGATTTCAGCGGGAAAATCAAATGTCATGCACTCCTACGCCCCATGATGATGGGAGGTCTGATGTTATATTGTTATGTCCAGAGGTGGCCCTTGCAAGAAGTTATTGGGGAAGGATCAGTCTGGTCATCTGCCCAATTGAATAAACCGTAGGGCTTCTCTTTCTTTCCCCTGTGCTCCTCTAAGTATCAAGAATGATACTAATATGGAATTATCAAGGATGGATATGGATCAACCCCTTATCAGTATTTTGAATTCTACTATACAATGAGGAGAGCTCAAGTTTACCATGTATTCTCTAGAAGATTGGGCGCGCAAGTTGGAGTACTATGCACCTAGTATCTGAAGGTGGAGGTGCAGGACTGGAAAACCAACTATGATCTGGCCAACCTCTGGAATCCCATGGAATCCACTTATAGCCATAACCCTCCCCGGAGCCGACGAAACCCATTATTCGCACAGCATCTGGTATACATTGGAGACTTTGATACGCACACAGATGACTCCAGGGAGTACTCCCTTGGAAAGTTTGTGCCAGCTTAAATATGCAGGAGAACGAGGGAAGAATGATAGATGACTGACAGTTGTTCCATCTGGCCGATGAATCGTTGACGTCGAAAAAATATTTTAATTTATATTGACCACAGGAACTAGTCTCAAAACAGCATAATGGATCACGTGCCAGCACTGATCATGTAACGGTCCAGGCGCAGCGTGACTTCCAAGTTTAAACAAGCTCGCGGCGGGATGAAGTCAGACTGTCCAGAGGAACGAAAACTCAATAACTTCTGACAACTTACCATCAGACAACACGGGCTTTGCCCTCGCTCTTGGTTGTCGATTCAGCTATCAGAACAATTCTCGCCCATCGCACGCTTCGATTTGACATACATGATACGCTCTCCGCAACCATTGACTACCTCAACCACCTAAAAAACACTAGTTTGCCCGCCTCGGTATTCCGTCCATCACTAGACTTCGAGATTCATCCTCTCAATTGACTACGAACAATACTGCCGCTCTCTGCGTATTTCGTGTCCTATTGAATGTTTCGCGCGACTATTGTGAAGTTGATCCTTGCTCTTTTTGTAACGGACATCCCATTCTATTCGATTATCGCCCAGCTGTTGCGGCAAGTTCCAACTTTCAGCGCCCCCACCCGCAATACTATCACCATCCATATCAACGCGCATTCAGATTGTCGGTATCAAACTGCGATTAACTGCTTACACTCTTCGGCGCCGCTATCCATTATATATCGAGATGATAGCGACTTCTTGATCATTGCCTCTAGCCTTGCCCTCACGCTATAGGATACCGATAGTGAAGAACGCCAGCCCACCGAGAGCGACCTTGGGTCCTCTTCTATATTTCGATACCAAGCGGTTCGCTAGATTGACGACAAGTCAATCTTGAAAATTTATCGGAAATGACTTCCCAGGGAGTCCCCTCTCGCAAACGCCCTGCTCCAGGTACATCACCTGTCGTGCATGCGCCAATTGGGTCAATCACCAATTACACAGACACCACTAATCAACTCTCGGACGACCAGTTTCTACAATGGGGCCAGGATCCTCATGCTGGTACTACTATGGCACAGGCTTTTCCTATTGATACCACCCCATACACAACCATGTCATATGCCGCTGCCAACCAGGACGGTCCAGTACCGGTACCGTCGGACCAAACGCCTAACCAGCTCGCTAGAAGACCAATGAATCAGCTAATAAATCGGAATCGCTCTTTCGAGCAATCTTCTGTTTCATCTGTACCAGATTCCGGTGGTGATGGCTGGGGAGAGAGCATCGCAGAACTCGAACAGCGAGCGTTGGTCGCAAAAAGAGAAGCTCAGGCGAAACGAAAACAAATTCCGCCTTTTGTTCAAAAGCTTAGAAGGCATGTTATATTAATTGCCATGTGAATCTCTTCGTTATCGGGTAACTTTACTAACGGCCGTTCCATGTAGTTTTCTCGATGAGCCACAATATGCTGATTTTATCCGGTGGTCGGAGGACGGAAATTCATTTATCGTGCTGGATGAAGACGAGTTCGCCCGGAGGCTGATCCCAGAACTGTTCAAACACAATAAATACGCCTCGTTTGTACGACAACTAAACATGTACGGTTTCCATAAAAAGGTCGGATTGTCCGACAACTCGATGCGAGCGAGCGAAAGGAAAAACAAGAGCCCAAGTGAATACGCTAATCCATACTTCAAGCGCGGTCATCCGGATCTTCTTTGGCTAATTCAGAAGCCAAAGAATGCTCCTGGTCAAGGTAGCAAAGGTGGTAAGGGTGCTAAAATCAAGACAGAAGACGGCGAAGAGCATGATGTCGACGACTACGTCGACGACGTTGGCCGCGACGAGCGCCCCCGGAATGGCGGTCAACTTGCGATAACCAATGGACAGGAAGTCATGCCAAAGGACCAATTGGCTGGAGTCTATCGTGAGCTTCAAACTATTCGCCAGCAGCAGCAGATCATTTCCAGTACGATATCTAAACTACGCCGTGAACATGAACAATTATATGCTCAAGCTGCCAACTTCCAAGAGCAACATAGCCGTCATGAAAACTCGATCAACGCAATCTTGACCTTCCTTGCTACGGTGTACAATCGCAGCCTTCAGGGACACGACGGCCCGCAGAATCTGGCCAATTCATTTTCTGGTATCATTTCTCAAGATCAAGGCAATGTTGTTGATATGGGTGACGATTTCACCTTGAGTAGTTTAGGCAACGATCTTGGTTCAGGAACGCCTAGATTCAAGAAACAGCCGTTACTTCTGAAAGCCCCTCCGCAGGTCAATCCAGTGATTCATGATCGTGCGACCACTTTGTCTCCAGCTGGCAGCAATTACGATCCTCTTTTGAATCGCAAATATTCCCGGCAAAGTACTACACCATCACACACTATTGAAGAAGTGCACGATGTCACTGCTCCGCAAGCTACTGTTCCCACACAATCCACACAAGACGGCAAGTCACAGCGTGATATCATGTCCATGATCCAACTCTCCAACGCTGCTAATGGAGTACAAACAACTTTCGCCGACTTTCCTAATATTGTCAATTCTTTGGAGACGTCCGGTGGCAACTCGGCACTTACTCCGAAGCAGCGGGCAGACATGTTGCGGCAGATTGCGCGTGACACAACCGTTAGTGATCCTAGTGTCGCTTCTTCCAACAATGCCCTCATTACCCCTACTCCGCCTCCAATGCCAGACAACTATTCAGCCCAACTTGCAAATACTCGTGATGAAATTGACAATTTGATGAAGATGCAAGCAGAACAGGACCGTTCTGTACAGAACCTAACCAATCTGCTACAGCCATTGAGTCCAACAGGTCAAATTCCAGGGCTTCAGGATGGCAATGTACCTCCTCCAAGTCTCGACCTCGATCAGATTTTCAACAGCCAAGATTATTTTACGGACTACAATGATTTAGACAACAAGGGGAACTTGGATACGAATGACACATCGACAAATGCCACGACCGGAGTACCTTCTCAAGCTTACAGAGCCACTGCTGACGACCGAACTGCCAATGATGATCTCTTCAATTTTGACAATCTTGCCAATGAACCGGTAGATACGGATCTATTCGGTGACAACGCTCAAGCCCCTGGCGCATCGGCAGGCTACTTTGATAATTACGAAGACTTCATTAAACCTGGCCTCAATAATGACGATCTCAGCAATCGCAACACGACTGGTGCTGCGGGTGGTGATAAGATGCAGAACACTACTTCTCCGGAGATGGGACGCATCATTGAGTCTCTCACTGACAGCGAATCAACAAGTCCCACGAATACGGTAGATGAGAATTACCAAGCTCTCAGCGCAGGCAAAACGGCTGATGTAGTCGTCCAGAGCCCAAAAAGACGGAGAAAGGTGTGAACTCAAACGGCGAACGTATAGACCATGAACATAATCACACCGAGTAATGAATCTGCTGAATGATATTGCATCCTCTTCTTTTGATCATTATCTTGGTTATGGGAGGAAAATTTTCTTTTTTTTCACCACCATCCATCATAAACGAAACGAAACACGGGACTTACCTAAAACGAGATTTGGCGCCACGGGTTCTTATTTCTTTTTCTTTATACACGAGAAGGTCAGACTTGACTTGATGATATACGGAGTACTCACTTATCTTTTTTCTTTCTCTTTCTTGTGTTTTTGGATCCTTGCTCCCCTGGCTATTTAATCAATGGGGAAACACGTCCCATGTATATGCGATGCCTAAGCTAGGTTCAAGGTAAATAATTGCATGAATTTCATGGAATTCGTAAATCGAATTGGCTGTAATGTCGTATATTAAATACATTTTCGTTTGGGACCTACCTAGGTAAATATTGTAGGTGGTCTACCGTTACCTCTCATTTTCCGTACACCATGCAATGATCCAAGACCCATAAGTCTTGCAAATGACGCTATGAGGTTATGAAACCAAAACTCCTAACTAACCAAGCGCATAAAAAAATGTAATCGAAGTCATAAGAGTCATACATGATAAGAGTATACTATCTCGATCAAATCCTACATAACAACGCAATCTTTATCTCTAGGTGCCTGTCCCCTTCGATCGGGTACAGTTTGCAATGGTTGTCTTCGGCCAGTTGTTGGTGTACCGGGGTATTGTTGACCTTGGCGCGGTCCATAATCTGTGTTTAATGCCAGTCCTCGTTGCTGCTGCCTATTCAGCATTTCAACTGCCTTATTACGAGCTACTTGCTCATATGAAGGTGGTGGGGCATCATCCGCTATGTCATCGTTATGATCGCCAGCGGTGGGTGCATCTTGAGGTATGTTGTGTACGTTATTGTTCTCGTTATTTAGACGACGGGATGGGAGTGAAGAGGAGGATAGCGATGGATTTTGGAGATGGCTTGTTGATCCCGATGCGGTAGATTGAGAATATCGGTGCACTGGTACTGTATTACGGCCCATGGAACTAGCGGCAGTATTGGGCACTCTGGCTGAAGAAGATCGATGGTGTGGCTGTCGCTGGCGTTGTTGCTGCTGTTGCTCCTCTTCTTGGAACTGAAGTGAAAGAGCGTAGGCATAGTCTGCATCTTCTTGTTCGGTAGTGCTTTGTGATGGTGTCGAGGCAGATGTGGTAGCATTGTTACGGCTTGACGTCCGTTGCGGAACAGTAGGATCGGAGGGACCATGTCCAACGGGCCTGAAATCGCCAGCGTAAAATTCAGTGTTCGTACCGGTGATATCTACAAGCGATTCCCAGACAACTTCTGCATGATCAGCATAACCAGCATCGGTAATCAATGTAAAAAGTTGTCTTGATTGTGGGTGTTTGTAGAGAGTTGAAAAGTGGTCATTGCGAAAGAGTATTGATACTGATCCTGGAGGAAGCGTTTTACCCAAATGCTCGAGTCCGAATTGAGTCAACTGTGTTGTATTTTCAATATTCACGAATTGATGGATAGTCTGAATGTCGCTCATCAGACGTTCTTCTTCAGGGGTTAGTGTTAATCCGTTACGAATGACGCGATCCTCTAATTCTTCCTTGCGGAACTGTAGTAGTTGGATATCCTCATAATACTGAGCAACTCGGGCCATGCAATCGTGAACCCCGCTTGTCGGTGCAGCAATCCATCCATGAACCAAGGGTACCTTGAATGAGTCATAGAACTCGATATCTTTGGTCCAGGCAAATGACCCCAGAGCTGTTGGAGAATCAAGTGTAAGTCGTGGATTGACATTCATTCCAGTATGGAGCATGGTGAGAAACCGACTGAGAGCTTCAATGTCAGGAAGCTCCTCGTTTGAATATGTAACTAACTCGTCGAATAGAGCCTGGATAAGCAAGCCGAGCGAAATGTGCTCCCTCGTTTTTAATGCTCTGACAATCGGCGGTTGTGGGTTTCTATCTGAGCGCATAACGAGTCCATTGACAAGAGCAAGAAGAGGACACGGCCCGTTTTGGCTTTGGACAAGTACGGGGGATTCGCGCAATCGCCCAGTATGATCGGTCCAATTTATATGACGGATCGCGTATGTCTCTGCTTGTTTCTCCTGAAAACTCTTCAGCTCGGCTTCAGACATTGGAGGCAAGGGATTCGATGTAGACGGTGGTTCCGAAATTGACGGCTGGTCTTCGGCTTGAACCTTTTGAGGGGGCTCTGGTCGTTTTTCACTGGACCATGGATTGGCTTCCATGTTTGTGGGGGTATCTTCAAGATCAATGAGTTGTGGTGACGAAGGTCGCGGGATGTTTTGTGATGTCGCATTGGACACGCTTGCAGGCTCTGGGTTCCGTAACGCGAGTTCCTGCCAGTGATTCTTCGTGTCCCATTCGTCAGCCTGATTTAAAGGATAGAAGTTGTTGGTGTCGCTTTCCGTGGAGTGTATTTTTCCGTTATCAGGCGACACATGTGTAACCGAACCGGTACTATGCAGGTTTGGTCCTGCGTCTGGCTGATGGCTAGGTTGACCCCAGGGATCCTCTGGTTGGTCGAATATAGATAAGCGTGCTGTCATGGGAATAATCCCCGAGGCTTCGAAAAGTAAACATTTTTGAACTAGACAAGAAGAGTTACACGAAACACTTACTCTGACTGTTTCTCTCAGACAAGCCCGGATGTAAACTCGATATTGATGAACCTTGTTCTAAGCGAGACTGTGAACGAGCCTGTTGGCTACTGGCTTCCCAAGGATTTGGGCTTGAATTTTGAGTGCGTACAAAAGGGTTATTTGAGCGGAAGCGCTGTGGTGACGTCCCCGATAGCGACTCCTCAGTCGACGGCTGTCTCCGGTAACCATCATCAGCAGATTGTGCACTAGAGCCTGTGTGCTGATAAGCTGCCTTATTAGGACTTCCTGTCAGTTGCTCGGTTGCTCCTTGTGAAGTTCCGGTGAATGGGATCATTCCCACCGGTCGTTCTACCAGCTCATCTTCCCATGGGCTATGACCCGCTACCGGGGACTTTTGCGCTTCCTCCAGAGGCATGAGGTCAAACGCTGGCGAGGTTCGTAAGTCCGGTGAATATATGAAATCTGTATCAAGCTCCCAGCTGTCCTTCCGAGAGGGTTGCTGCTGAGTTGCCGACCGAGGTGAGGTAGAGCTCCGCGAGACAGGAGATCGAGGATCGGAACCGTTTCTGACTCGTGAAAGAACGTTAATTCCAGGCGGTGGATTCTTTCGGAGCACCATGAGCACGATATGTAGTCGTTTTGGTTGTCAACGGTCAACAGTCACTGTAGCTAGATTTCGGTCCGTAGGTGAAGTATATTAACGGCATAGATAGCTTATCTGTGAAGACTGAGGACAGGGATCTATCTTTGGGACGAGTCTGTGCGATAATTCAGGTGTGTGAAGGTTGTCGAGTGGTCGGAGGTCCGAATGTCTGTGTCGTTGTATGCAGGACAAAGTGTCGTAATTGGAATGTGAGCAAGAGACTGACTGGGACTATACAAAGGTAACTTCCGAGCACAGCAGTGACTTAAACGTATTCCATGCATAGAGTGTTCATCGATTCCTCAATAGTTGGGTTGACGACAGGCTGCCATGTTTCTTGAAGGCACACTCCAAGGCAGACGAGGTATGCAAGAGGTAACTAGCTAAGTTAGCAGTTGTTGTCAACGAAGATGTCATAACGCGGGGAGAACCCGCTCCACGCAAAGCCTAGGCAATCGTGTTACCAATCATTACACACTATTTACAGCAGAACTACACAAATGGCTGGGGAGATAAGCTCGCAGTATGGTAACGTACTGTAATCCTTATCCGGGACGGAATTACTCATGCTCCCGAGGCGGGCAGCCGCTCTTCCAATCAGAAGTTGCGATTCCGCCGCAAGCAACTTTTTTCGAGGCGTACACTGAGGATTCCCAACCGAGACCATATCGTACTTATTTCCTATCATCCAGGAATTCCAAGGGCGATTAGCTTTAATCATGGATTCGGTTGTGCAGCCGCACCAATATGTGGCTGTACGGATGTCTTCCGGCATGTACAAGCTGGTGAAAGCAGCTCCAAATACGTGAGTCTCGAAAAATTTGAACCTTTTACTGCCTCATAGCTGAGATCTGTGGAAAATGCAGAACAATTTTGCTTGGTAAATATGGCAGCTTCTATACAAATCATATCATCGGTCGACCGTTCCATCAGACTTACGAGCTTTTACCCACACCAGAAGAAGATGGCTACAGTCTGCGCGTCGTCCCAGCTGCTGAGCTCCATGCGGAGGCTCTCATCAGTGAAGGTTCTGCAGAAGTGGATGGTTTGATAGAAGAGCCGCCGGAGTCAGGAAGTGCGGGACAACAACCCATACGCTCAAATCGCGATATCAACGATGATGGATCTGCGCAGACTCTGACTTGGGAAGAAATTGAAGACTTGAAACGGAATACTACAGGTGCCGGGAAAGAAATTATTGATAAATTATTGGAATCTCATTCGACTATTGACAAGAAAACGGCATTTTCTCTGGCGAAGTATAAGCTACGGAAAGAGAAAAAATATCTGAAAAGATTTACGATAGTGCCATTGGACGTGAATATCCTGACGGAGTATATGCTCGAGCAAAAAGAAGCACACAGGATCATGGAGCTGCGTCATGAGTTGATAGGGTTGTTGGGATGCTGGGGGAATGTCCACCATAGTGGGAATTTGGAAAATGTGGAGCCAAACGGGAGATATCTTGTTATAGACGATACTGGAGGTCTTGTTGTTGCTGCAATGGCTGAAAGAATGGGAATACTTCATCCTCCGGGAGAGGATGAAGAGGATGAGGAAGTCGACGATGGCCTAGTACTTAAAGAAGAAGAGACGAGCGAAGTTCCTACACAATCAGATCCTGCGAATGAGCATCGACACACCGGAGAGCAGAAAGCAAGACCGCAGACTCGACCACATGCCAAAAGGCAACCCATGACCGCCAAGCAAAATTCTATTACTGTTATTCACCCTCACTCACAGCCCAACCTCAGTCTCCTAAAGTACTTCGGCTATGATACAGAAGAACCCAACGTATCGCACCCCCTTTTTGAGCATCTCAAACTAGCTACATGGCTTCAGGTGCTTGATCCAGAGGCCGACAACATATACTCGGAAAAGCCGGAGGAAGTCGACGAGGCAACACTGAAGACTTATAAGCCCCGACAACGCGGGACATATCATCGCAAACATGCAAGGTGGGCTCGAGTTAGGAGAGTTGTCGACGAGATACGCGCAGGTGGATATGACGGTCTCGTAGTAGCTAGTGTAATGGATCCGGATTCCATACTGAGACATCTGGTTCCTTTACTTTCTGGTGGCGCGTCAATTGCGGTATATTCGCCATCAGTTGAACCACTCACATTATTAATGGATCTGTACTCAACAGCCCGCCGCTCAGCATACATCTCTAAAAAGGCGGATCTTGAGAAAGAGCGAAGGAGCATTGACCTTGATAACATGGATGTTGATCTTCCTTCTGTCGAGTCACAGTTAGCCTCGGAATTCTCTCTTGACCCAACATTGGTTCTAGCGCCCATGCTTCAGACATCGCGAGTGAGGGAGTGGCAGGTTCTTCCAGGTCGGACACATCCGTTAATGTCTGGACGAGGTGGTGCCGAGGGATACATCTTTCATGGTATTCGGGCTATTCCGCAGTCGCAGCATGTCCAGGCCCGTGGGGTTAACAGTCGCAAGAAGCGGAAACTCGATGTTGGGGATAATGGTACACCTGATGATGGATCGACGCCGGTTGCTGCATAGATATAGTCTTATAGACGCTAATTTTGAACCAAGACCGCGGCGTGCAATTGTACACCACGATATGACTTGCGGCATATGAAACGAGCCTGTGAGAAAAGTAACAACCCATTATGATACCCAGAGTATGTGATAGTGACTGTATATTGGACGCAAATAAAATCACATTGGTGCTACCTAGTACTAATATCAACAGGCACAAACATCTATAGACTTTTTCCCATGAACTTCCTCTTTGCAAAACTAAGCCAGAACTATACGACAGTAAGTTAGCATACCATATTAAATCGTAAAGATAGGAAACACTGACCTTGGAAGGACCTTCACCACCAGGGTATAATCTAGAAAGTAAACGAATGGCAAGCTCTTGTCGGACTTGGGAGAGGTATCTGCGTTTATTAGAATCTTTACACAATTTGATGGAGGACCATGATTTGCTCACTGTCTGAGTTGCTCTGCGTCTTGTCGGTCGCGTGGACGCTCAAAAGCTTGGTTTAGAGGGAATGAGACATCGCCGGGAATAGCGAATTGTTCGAGCGCCACATTGATCAATGCCTAGTCATGTTAATCAATTACTAATACGGAAATATGTTGCATGCAAGCTGGCATACCTTCTCAGCATCCCGAGCCGTCATATTAGCCTTCACTTTGCCCAAACATTCACTCAAAAACAATATACCATAAATCAGCATGCGGTCTGCGGGACCCTTGATCTCGAAATTGCGAAAGAGAACATTGGCGCGGAACAGAGACAGAATCTCATCAATGCAGTCATATGATTCGCTATTGGGATCAATGTCAAGGTCGGACTCTGAGGGAGGAAGCGCGGGGAGAACATATGCGGGGCCACGAGTGCGAGTGCGCAGAGGGAGGAGAGGGAAGTTTCCTGTAGATGTCGTATTAGATCAACCGATTTAAATTGTGTACTATTCAAGGTCGTATATTATTCGGAGCTCGATATCTGGGGTTGCGCACCGATAAGTGGGAGGTCAGCCTCATCGAGGAAGATAGAATGGTATGCCTAATCGAGTTATCAGTACAAGACGTGTTTGCGCAGTCAATTGTGAAGCGTTCAAGGTACATACAGGCATCTTCAAATCAAATTAGTGACTGTACTGTATCTCTTGCTCTTAAGTACAGCCTCTATGTTGGAGGAGATCGAAGAGGTGAGTTGCTGTAGATAGGCTGCTGTTATGACGGAGCTGCTTGGGCGGGTGCGGAGGGCCGGGTTACTGCCTTAAGCTTGATGCCTGGAACTGCAGGCTGCAACTAGCTCCATAAACCCTAACCAGATATGGTTAGCTCCATAACTTTCCGCGACAAACCTCTTTACGCGCTTTCAACGCGTCTAGCAGACTGATCGATCACCCCAGTTCAATTACAACATATTCTCACAACGATTCCTGATACAAGAGATTAAAGTACAGGAACAAAATTTAAAATGTCAGATTACGACGACGATGTCGAAATGGGCTCCACGGCGCAAAGCAGCGCAATGAAATTTAGCTCCGATAATACTACCAGCAAGGGAAAGAAGATTGTTGCAGATTTACCTATTGGGGCAGAGGATAACCTACCATGGTATGCAAAATCAATCTCTCACAAAAGCATGATCGTTATTGACTTTCAATTAGGGTCGAAAAATATCGGCCCAACTCGCTGGACGAGGTTCAGGGACATCAGGATATATTAGCCACGATCAATAGATTTATCGACTCACATGTATGCTCAACAAACATTTATTGAGGCTTACACAAAGCTGATTAGCTCATTGCCAGCGACTACCCCATCTTCTTCTCTATGGACCCCCCGGCACAGGAAAAACAACCACAATCCTAGCCCTCGCACGACGAATCTACGGCATCAAAAACATGCGCCAAATGGTTCTAGAACTGAACGCATCCGACGACAGAGGTATCGACGTTGTCCGAGAACAAATCAAGACCTTTGCAAGCACGAAACAAATCTTCTCTGTAGCTGCGCCTGCCGCAAAGGAGAATTCTTTGGGAGCGTTCAAATTGATCATCCTTGACGAGGCCGATGCGATGACGGCTACTGCACAGATGGCCCTTCGACGAATTATGGAGAAATACACTGCCAACACTCGGTTTTGTATCATTGCAAATTACACACATAAGCTCTCGCCAGCATTATTATCCAGATGTACAAGGTTTCGCTTCAGTCCATTGAAAGAAGCAGATATTCGGTCTTTAGTGGACAAAGTCATCGAGGCTGAGAATGTGCGAATACAGCCCGAGGCAACAGAAAGCCTCGTCAGACTGAGCAAAGGCGATATGCGACGAGCATTGAACGTGCTCCAGGCTTGTCATGCGAGCAGTACGTCTACCTTATCAAATTGGAAAACGCTAAATACTGACGTGAATAAAAGGCATCCCACTCCCAATGCGTAACGCACCCAAGGACCAACCATCCCCCGAACATGAGCTCATCACCGACGCAACCATCTACAACTGTATTGCTGCCCCTCATCCATCCGACATCCGCGAAATCATGACCACCCTCCTGTCCACAAGCGACGTCATATCCTGCCTCAACACAATCAACACACTCAAAACGAGCAAAGGTCTCGCGCTAGCGGATATTCTCAGCGCATTAGGCGAGCAATTACAGACGTTAGAAGTACCCGCTCAGACTCGTATCAGCTGGTTAGAAGGTTTGGCAGAGGTTGAATGGCGGCTATCCGGTGGAGGAAGCGAAATGGTACAGACAGGTGGTCTTGTGGGAGTTATTAGGAATGGATGTGAGTTGATGGGTGATAAGGATGTAGCAATGGAACTGTGATGGATTTTATAGAACAGAGTTCATGGTATTTTCCTATACGACGAAGCATATGACTGCAAGTCCGCATCGATAAAAGGATAAATACTGCAAAATGAGTGAAGAACATGAATTGGAATACTTATAATCACTACTCTTATTTTGCCAGTTAGGTGATGTTGATCTCATTACATCCATCAGTCCGTCACTCGAGACGAAGCGCAAGCAAGCAAGCATAAGTCATTGCTCATTACATTCATGCAGTCCTTACTTTTCAGTAGAAGCAGTCTCAGCAGCACCAGCCGAAGCAGCCAACGACTTCTTCTTTACCAATCTCAATCCACCAAGCAGCATGGCAATAACCTCAAGGCCCAGGATAACACCAAGTGTAACCATGGCACCAATCACACCGGCAACCGCATTCGACATACCGGAACCACTGTCTGAGGCAGACGCAGAAGCAGAAGAGCCAGGCGAAGAAGCTGAGCTACTTGCACAGACTCCAGTGGTGTTTCCACAAACTTGGCACCACTGCTGCTGGTTCATGATGGCGAATTTCTCCGTATTGGCAACAAAGTCGTTCCAGGGGATTTCAACCTCTGAGCTGCCAAAGAGTGGGTAAGGAGTTAGGTCAGTGGTAGTAGCTGAAGTGCCGTTGTTGAACAAGAAGCGCACGCTAATCTCTGAAGTAGATGGGAACACGCCATTTTCAACGGTTGCATTGGTGATAAGTTCCCAGACCATGCTAGAAGCATAATCAGGAATACCGTAAAACACGGGATCAACAGTTGGCAAGTCTGCAAGTCCAAAGTAGGACTGGAATGTGCCATACGAACCGAATTGAACATTGAGTCGGGGATTCGCGGCGTTGGTCATGATGGTCTTATTGAGAGCCGACAGCACCTGACCGGCGAGCTGGGCACCGGCAATAGCACGTGCAGTACTAGATGCGTTGTAGGCAAGGTTGTATTCGTGAATATTTGCAAGAACGAGAAGCTCGTGCATGGTCTCGTTGCTCACATTGCTCAGCGCAGGGTTGTCGCTGGTCGAGTTGTGGATCAAAGCGACATTAAGCAGATCCCAGATAACGTATGCATTCTTGAAATTCAACTGAGAGTCGCTGAATGTGGCATTCACGACAGGAGCCACACTCTTGTACAAGTCCGTAGTGGAGTTGAGATAGGATAAGTAAATATCAGAAGAGAAGAATTCGTTACTGCTGGTCAGAGCATTGTTACATGAAGAAGAGCTCTGAAGCCAAGGGTTATCTTCACTGCCGCTGCCGGAGCTCTGGACAGTGACGGGGATGAGCTGGTAACCGTTGAAGGGGGCCTCGACGACGGTCCCATTGCGAAGAGTCTGATTTGATGCGCTACCAACAGGTGGGTATAGACCCTGAAGCCAGCCTGCGGCGGAGTTTTGGAGCACATTGTCTAGGGGTGAACTGACTGCCAATTGGGACAATTTGACAGTTTCATCCTGAATGCCTAGGATCTGGTAAGGCGATCCAGCAGCGATGTATCGATCATGATAATTTGTGCCCGAACCCAGGATTTCGTGGTATCCCAAGTCAGTGAGCGAGGCTGGCGGGGTGCTCTTTGATGTGCGGTCCCCGTGGCGGTGGAAGACATAAGCACCGAGAATGGTTTCAGCGGCGGAGAGCTGAATAGCTGGGATTAGAGCCGCAGCGGCAAGAAGACTGTTTCTGTGATACATTGTGTTCTCTAATCACCTTGCAATCCAGCTGGGATGGGAAATGTGATGAAGAAGAAAAGAAGAGGGAGAGGAGGGGTAAAGTATCCGATGGACAAGCAATGACACAGATCTTATCCTTTGATAAGATAGATCCACTTCCACTTTCTTGGAAAGTTAAGATATGTTCTTTTTAGCGGCATCCGCGGAAATGCACCTTTTGCATTTCCCCCTCGGAGAAGGCCTGACCACAGGCTCAATGATTCAATTGTCAATGTCAATGCCACTCGGTAACTACATTTTTCGCGAGGTATAATATACTACTGAAGACTCAGACTGAGAAAACAACGCGAAACAGGGGAAATGCGATTGATGATTCATTAGTCAATCATCGACGGGTATGTGATGTTCGGAATGGGCCGACATCTATCCGAACGTGTTCTCAAATTCATCGTCGACTTAGCACTGATTGAGTTCATTCAGTGGGGAATGCTACCGCGATGGCATCATCTTGGACAAGTCGTCTTCCAGCTCCCGTAGCGATTGAAAGAATAAAGATACGTTTTGACGATCAGTGGCTGATTGTCGCGTGTCGATTTAAGCTTAACTGGAGTAACGTTAGAGATAGGGTTACACATGCAAAGCCCTAACGAATACAACCACTGTACTTGCGCGCGTTCGCTTAGGCCGGGGAGACCACTAGAAATTAGGAGCATAATCAAGTGCCGTCACTGTCTGGAACCTTCGTTAACGGAATTGTCATCGGCATCGGCATTGTCATCGAACAGGGTTACGTGAAGCGTCCAAGGCTCATTGACGAGGTACCGGTACATAAGGAGCGATCCGGCACTGGCAATATATTGTAGGAGCAAATGCAGGTGTACATTTAGTTCTATCCATGGATATCATATCAAATTTAAAAAAAAAATAGATTGAAAATATTTATTTTCAATCTTGAAGTTCATTTCCAGTACATATTTAAACTAGGCCTGGATTGATAACCTTCTTCTGATCAGCTAGATAGTCTGTTCTGGCCCAGTTCCGGGTTGGTCCACCTGTGCAGGGTTAGGGCAGGCCAGCAGGCTGGATATACATATATTCCATTTCTAGGTACGGTAATGTGACAGCACATACAGTAAACTAAACTTGAAGGCTGTGTGCATGGATTATTTACCAGCAACCTGCCTACTTTGCCTATAAGTAGCAAGTGCTAGCCCATTTCCAGAATACTGACGCACCGTATTCTCCCAAGCACGCCACTCGAACGCAATTAAGGGCATCTTACACTGGTTCAACGATGGATGTGATTACCACTTGGCACACTGAACTGATCTTATTTTTCCGAGATCAGCGCTCGTCTCTGGCTTATGCTGTGTTTGGTGTTGTAAGCTCAGAGAAAATTTAGGCCTTCACGGTCCTCGGTCACCCCGGAAGTCCGAAAGGGATGACTGTACATGCGCAGGCTCAGGCGCTAAAAAGACATGCATCTCTTTTCAATCCTAGGCAATCATGCAATAACACGGAACACTACTGCAACTATTGTTGCAGCTGTGCCTCACATGCTGCTGTTGCGTTGCTATAACCAATCATCTTCCACCGTCTCTTATTCTTTGGCCTCCAACATCATCCCTGTCGTTCAAACAAAGAGATATTTGCTGGTGACTCGATCGCTATATCTTCTCTTGAAGTTTTACGGCTGTCTGACTGCTCTTGATTAATCCAAACAAATACTCACAACCGGCCACAATATGGGTGATGTGAGTGAGGTTGACGTTCTTGTCATTGGAGCAGGTGAGCCTCCTATTCTGTTGGGGTTCATCTGCTGATGTACATGTCATTCCAGGTATCTCGGGAATCTCTGCAGCCAAATTTTGGCTAGATACGCACCCTAATTCTCAACTTGTTATTCTCGACAGGGACAACTGTCTAGGCGGGACTTGGAATTCGCGTGCGTCGCACCGTCTCTCATCTCATAATTCTGGTTTGACTAACTTTCTGGCGACTGTAGGACGTGGCTACGACACTTTCTGGACTCAATGGACGGTAGGAACGGCTGAGTTCTCGGACCAGCCAATGCCGCGACCACCAGACGAGGACATTTATCTCGAGTTTTTCAAAGCTAAGCATACGACAAAATATCTCAATGACTATGTCGATTCACATAGCTACTCAGGGTGGACGTTGCGCGATAGAGTCAGACTCTCAACCGAGGTACAGTCGGTTCAGAAGATCGATGGCGGATGGACTGTGGTGTCCAAAGAACGAGAGAGTCCACAACAACATACCTTCCAGACCGCCAAGTTGATTGTTGCCAGTGGCTTGACGTCAATTCCTAATATGCCTTTGCTACCGGGAAGGGACGGCTTTCTTGGTCAAGTTCTACACCAGGACAGTTTTGGTTCGTCCAACGTTTTGACCTCACCGGAAGTCAAGAACATCACCGTTCTGGGTGGCGGAAAGTCATCGGCCGATATGGTGTACGAATCCGTCAAAGCCGGAAAAACTGTGTCTTGGGGCTTAAAAGCTACCGATACAGCTGGTCCTGGATTCTTTCTCTCTCCAAAGGGAGCAGGGCCATACAAAAATGCATTTGAGATAGGAATGACTCGACTAGCCGCAACTTTTACACCATCTTTTATGAACGGAATAAACTGGTGGACAAGACTCCTTCATAGTTCTAGATGCGGCTTGAGACTAATGGCTGGCTTCTGGGAGTCTGTCGACGCAAAAGCTCGTGCAGAGGCTGATTATCAACGGAAAAGCCTGAAAGATTTTGACAAATTGTCACCACACTCACCGTAAGCGCTGACCATCCCCTTCCGAGTATCACGTTGTCCTCGATAGTCTCTGAACCAAACAGGATATTTTGGCAGAATTGTACGGGTGGACTTCTTAACCACCGAGACTTCTTTGATACTATTGCAGAAAACGTTCGCATTTATGTCGGGGACATTGATTGTCTGGACAAAAATTCACTTCGTCTGAAAAGCGGCGATCAGATACCTACCGATGCTCTACTTTGCGGCACAGGCTGGCAGCCATCACTCCAATTCTTCTCCAAAGATCAGTGCAGACAACTTGGCTTACCGCACCTAGTAGACGATGAGTCGCCAGACGAGAAAAGCCACTGGGCGGCCCTCGAAGCTGATGCGGACGCCAAAGTTCTCGCCACCTTTCCGCAGCTTGCAGACCCCCCTGCCGTCTTTCTGAAGCCTGCCACAAAAACCCCATACCGGCTGTATCGGCACCTTGTTCCGTTGTGCGAATCCTGCAATGCAAGTAAAGATCGCTCTATAGTCTTTATTGGTCAGGTCGGGGTAGGCAACTACTTCCCCCTTGTGGAGTGCCAATCAATTTGGGCGACCGCCTACTTGGACGGTAAACTGGATTTACCAAGTACAGAAGAGCAGGAAAAGGATGTAGCCTTATTCACAACGTGGTGTCGGCGTCGCTACCTCAGTAACGGACTTCGGGGCAATGCCATGACCTTTGAGCTCATCGGATATACAGATACCTTGTTGAAGGACCTTGGTCTCCGCAGTAATCGCAAAGGCTGGTTCAAGGATATTTTTTTCCCTATCTGGGCCAAGGACTTTGGGGGCTTGAAAGCAGAGTTTATGGAGAAATATTATTGATTTCCCTTTTTACGATCTCCACATACTCTTTCACATAAGCTTTTGTGATGCCTCTTAACTTGGCCAATGCTTCTTGCTCTCCAATGGAATGCTCGCCCATTAGCACAAAGACAGCATTGACAACCTCCTTTTAACCATAGCGAATTGCAGCGTCGCGCTCCTTCTCCCAAGAGAAAACGTCATTTTGCAGCCCAGCGGCTGCCCACGCTGGCATCATGAGCCCTTCCATCTTGTCCAGCTCGGCTGGTGGAATCGTGATAGCCATGCCGAAAGTGACAACACCATACCAGAACCCGTACAGCAAGTTAGCAACCCAGCAAAAGCAGTTCTTTCCCATAACTCACCACTTTCCAACATCTATGCTTCGATAAGGAATATACTCCTCCAGAGTAGCGAAATGCTTGTCATGTTGTCTACCGCCAGCGAATTTCAGAAACTCTACCCAGGCTTTCATTGTTGTCACGGCTCTCTCTTTATCAATTGCCATCATTTCTTTCAGTATCAGAGCTTGCATTTGTCTCATTCCATCTGCTCTTTTCACTGAGATTGAGCCTTTGATTGAACCTTCCAAAAATGCTTCTTGCATGATGTCATTTGACGTGTCCAGCTTTTATAATGTTAGAACGCCTTTTCACTAATGATTGAGCTGGTTACCTGATCCTTATCGCAATCCTCAGCGTAGTCTATGAAAATATTTAGTAGGTTGCAACTCTGCTCGTAGGGCGTATTTACCATCGTATAAGAACGCAAACTCGTTGGCATAACTGATGATCTCCAACCGCTCGGGCAAGCATTCTGGCACAGAAGTAGACATGAAGTTCCATTTGGCATGGAGACCACCTTTGTAATTCTTGAGATGCTTAACAAGTCGGCTCCAGTCCCTTTGGCACCGGATAGTTCCGACATCCTCTTTTTGAGGCTGTTTGTGCATGCGCAGGGGTATCCCCTCGCATAAACCTTGTGTTTCATATTCGCCTGGATCGATGAGTCGAGAGTATTTGAACCCCATTTTGGCAACCTGTAAAGACTTTCGGATGTGAATGGATGAAGAGTGATATTGGGACTACAGAAAATTACTTGTATGGCATAATAAGGGATATATATATGCTTTCTCTCCAGAGAAAAGACCTAGGTATGTACTAGTGTAAATTAATACTGCTGGAAGATATAGGACAATTACGGCAAACCAGAGCCTAGTTCTGAATCATTGAATAGGATCCAATGGAACTTGGAAATTTAGCAGTGCTAAAAATATGACCATTCAGAACTATGCCCGACCTATTCTGTGCGTTGGTTCTGTCTACAGCTTATCAGTGGTGGTTGATAGGGTTTGTTACCGTTACCCTATATCCGATGTCTTCGTATGGGCATGTGGGAAATGGCGTCCATTACCACGTTACCTCGGTGGTATTCCAATTGTCAATACTGAAAAAATCTTTCCTGTATCTCATTTATTATCGTATGATTATAACTATGGTATTCTTATGTAGGGTGACGCGTACCTGGTAGGGGTTTTATATGGAGACTGTCTATCTCTAGATTGATTCTTGCTTCGCATTATCCCTCCATTCTTTATTATCCACTCTGCACCTACCTAGGTAGGTAGTAATGTAATCGTTATTGTTGGCTTCCAAGATTGGCTCCCGTCACATACATCCTGCATCTCTACTAGAAGTGGCCCAACTATATCTCTATTGTTCAAAACAAGGATGAATATATTTTTAATATCTAATTAACCAGCTATAAATATCGTGATCGTTTATGGTTTACATATCTAGTAGTACTTTCTAGTGCACATTAGCATATGTTCACCACATCTGTTCCCAGCTCCATACGGCGCATGCAAGCACGCAAGCACGGACATATAACCATATTCGAGGAGTGGTGTTATATATTCTAGAACTTATATCTATGCAGACTTAACAGCAGGTTCAACCCCTGTATGGCACCGTTTCGAACGCACGCATAGTAGTCCTGGCAAGTGCATTACCCTTCACTGAAGCTCAACGAGGAGTCCATAGCCGTACCCCCATCTGGACTGTCATTTCGACTTTATCCTGGGAAACCCTTATTGCTACTCAACTCGGAGGCTTTTTCAACCATAGATCTTACCATGGCGGTCAACTTCAACAGCTTTGTTTTTGCTGGCTTAGGGCTCGTCTGCGTCGGGACGATTTACTGCATTGCTCTCATTACGCACCGCCTCGTCTTTTCCCCCCTTGCGGGTTTCCCAGGCCCAAAATTTGCAGCTGCCACAGGCTGGGTAGAGTTTTACTATGACTTCTTCAAACGAGGAGCGTATATTTATGAGATTGAGAAGATGCATAAGAAATATGGTATTCCTTGCTGTAGCAATAAACAATAACACGGTCCCTAACATTTTCACGTTGTAGGGCCGATAGTTCGTATTAACCCTGAGGAACTCTCTCTGCATGATCCTGCCTTTTACGATGAGATATATTGCGTTGCATCAAAACGCCGAACAGACAATTACAGCCACATCGGGAAGGGAATAGATTTTGATGGTGTGCTTTACCCTGGGGAAGACGAAAAAGTGCTAATTCGCGATCGAATAGGTTCCCACTTCCTCACAACAGCCCATGATCATCACAGACTGCGCAGAAAGCCTCTGGAACCGTACTTTTCCAGAGGGGGAGTTATGCGCCTGGAGCCAATTCTACACGAAGCCGTCCAGAAATTAGAGAAACGCTTTACTGAAAAGAAGGGCAAATGTGCCGTTGTACGGTTAGACCATGCATTTACGGCCTTCACGGGCGATGTTATAGGCACAGTATGCTGCGAAGAAAGGGAGCAGTTTTTAGATGACCCTGAGTTTGCCCCGTATTGGTAGATGCACGCTAGAAATGTCTCTTGAGCGTTACTAAATTTTTCTAGGTATAAACTGCTTCATACGGTCATTAAGTCGATACCGCTTTTCATGGGACTTCCGTGGCTTATCAAGTAAGGCTTTCAACGCGAAGTTGTCCAGGCAATCGCGCATAATCCAACACCTTTTAGTATCGTATCTCTACTCCCCGAGTCAATCGTTGTATGGATTGACCCACGAAGCAAGAAGTTTATAGATTACAAAAATGTACAAATCCTGTTCGAAGTTGATACTGTTTATACTGATCAACCTAGATGACGAACCGACATATCGAGATTGCGAAAGACCGCAAGTTTCATAGCATCAAAATTGGGTCGAGACCTTCACTTCTGACTTATTTGGTGAACAGCGAGTTACCCAGTTCTGAACTTACAGTGGAGCGTCTAAGCAAAGAGGCTCAGGTTCTGCTCGGAGCTGGTACCGTCAGTACCGCTCGAACGCTCGACTTCATCTGTTACTATGTCCTCGCGAATGAAGACATCCATTGCAAGCTCCGAGATGAGCTGGCAGATATTATGACAAATTATCCAGCGCAAATCCCTTCATTTGTTCAGCTTGAGAGGTTACTGTCGGTTTATCTACGTCTAGGTCGCTAGCACTAGTCACGTAGAACAGCTATTCCGACAAGCTGACGAGCCTGATCAATATGGTATGGAATTCCTGATATTGATGACTGCCCCCCAAGAGTAAGGGGTGTGTGTGTGTGTGTGTGTATATTTAACGGCCGTGGTTCGTGACTTGCACGCTTCCCACCGATCCCTACTGGGACATAGGCCGCCGAGGGGTAAGCCTCGGGCTTCAGGTCCTATCAGATTTATATACAAATAAGAGACTCTTTGGCGCATTTCCATAGCTGCCGTGGTCTTAAAGGGAGATCCACTTCCTAGTGGGTTTTGGGTATTTGCCAGCTGCAATGGTCCACCTATGCTCCATGACCCATCATTCTACCACCATCATACTTAAGCAGTGAGTTTGAAAAGAAAAAGGGAAGAAGGAAAGAAGAAAAGAAAGAAAGAGAACAAAGGAAAAGAGAGATATAAGGGGAAAGTAGGGCTGACTTAGCTAGGTGCTAAGGAGAGGTTGGCGAGGACAGATATCCTCAAAGAAACGGGTCTCTGCTAGCCATGAGGCTAGTTTTTGTGTTCCTTTCGCAGTACCTAAAAGAAAAGAGATAACTTCAGAAGGGGGTCCAGATGGACGAGGGGCTCATCTCTTAGCTATATGGCAGAAGAAGAAATGTAGAGGTGCTTTTCATGCTCCACATCGACAGAGAAGATAAGCATCATCATGATTAAAGCGCTTGTGGTAATCTGCAAAGTCTCCATGACCAGTACGGGCCGCTATGATATGGCCAAGGTCAAGTTGGTTAAGTTGAAGCTCTCCAGGGCGTTTAGGAGATGTAGTTATTTCTAGATCTTGGTATGTCTGTAGTGCTACAGTCTACCACCGTGTCTGAGCAGCGGAAAGAGATTGAGTCTTGGCGTATCTCTTTAGCGAGGCATATGAGGACTTGTATGGAGAGGGGGGGATAGAGATAGCTCCTTCCTTAGCAGCGAGATCAGCTGCTTCATTCTCAGGGATTTTAGTGTGTCCAGGGACCCATCAGATTTGGATTGATCCACTTTTGGTGTGTGGAAGCCTTTCGCGTAGTGGCCAGGCGGCTGCAAGGGTGCGAAAGGATTCAAAGACCTCTTGAGAGGATCCTGTAGAGGGGGATAGAAGGCGCGTGGCAACTTCCAGGTTATCAAGACAGATCCATAGGTTGGTAGCAAATTGAGCTGTTGGGTATGCTATTGCTACTTGAGTACTAGCTAGGGCAGCTTCTGCTTCTATGTCAAAGACCTCTTTCCCATGTCCGTATGAGAGTGAGGAGTGGAGGAACTGATGGTGTGCTTGAATTCCAATATAGCCACCCCCTGCACGTCCATCTATCAGCCTAGATCTATCTGAAAAGATTATAATATCCGAGCTAGGGATGGTACGTTAAAAAGCTGTGAAATCAGCCGCTGCCTGTTCCTTAGTGCATCCCATGGAAGCTCCTATTCAGGCTAGGGCACTCTTGCGTGACTCACGAGGGTATCAGGGAGCATGTTGTAGAGGGTTTATTTGTTCAGAGTTGGGGAGCGCCAGCACTCGGCGGGCAAATCGACTGGTTTGTCGGCCATCTCTGGCTATCTGTTCTGCGCGTCTTTGGAGTGGGTGGTATGGATCAAGACACCATAGGCGGACCGATGTTTGGAGAGCTATTTGATCTAGTTCAATTTCTAGCGGAGAGAATCTAGACTCTCGGTATAGAACAGATATTAGGGTTGTGCGGAAAACTGGAAGGACTGCTCTTACGCCTGCTAGTATTACTTTGGTTAGTTTCTCAAGATATTCTCTAACTTGATTTGAAATTTAGGAAGACCCAGGGCGAGTACGTCCTAGCCACTAGGTTTCTACGCCATAGTATGCTTTATGGAGTACACAGGCTGATACAGCCTGCTGTAGTAAATGAGGTTTGACTCCACGGATAGTATTCCCTAGAGAGCGAAGGGTATTAGCCACAGTGAGGGCTTTAGATGCTGTTTCACTAATGTGCCATTTAAATATTAGCTTTTTGTCAAAGAGGATTCCTAGCCAACATAGATATAGCCGTTTAGTATTTTCTGAGATTATAATAGATCCAGCTTTTACTGAAGATGTGCAGGTTGGGTCCTAGTCTGCTTTATGTCAGGAGAAGTGAAGAAGCTTGTATTTATCTAGTGCAAATGTAATGCCCTCTGCAGCGCCCTAGTTTAGAGCTTCTTGTAGTGAGTCTAATAATGCTTTGCAGTTAGTAGCAAGAGATGTTGAGATTGCCAGGTTAGCTATGTTATCTGCGTAACCAAATCTGTTCCTTGGGTTTCCTAGACGGAATAGGGGCGCTATGTAGAGCATGAAAAGAATGCCAGATACTGGGGATCCTTGTGGAAGACCGCAGGCAATGTCTGTTGAGGGGCCAATCTCTCCATCGAGTTGGATCTGGACTGATCGCCCAGTAGCAAAGGAGGCAATCTAGAGAATAAGATTAGTGGGCCAGCCCTGCTCACGTAATCTGCGGATAAGTCTGCCGGGAAGCACGGCATCAAAAGCGCCCTTGACATCTAGGGTAAGGAGTGAGGCAGTCATGCCTTGATTTAGTGCTTGTTCAACATCATGTGTTAGGCATGTGGTTAGATCATTTATAGATCTTAGTGGGAGAGCCCTAAACTGTTGCCTTGCTAATACTTTGTAGTATATAGAGATCCATGCCATATTCTGTGCCACTAAGCGCTCAAGTCCTTTGCCAAGAACTAATAGGAGAGCAATCGGTCTGTATGATCTAGGTGAGGATCAATCAGTCTTTTTTGGTTTCTGGATAATTGCTAAGATTGCATGTTGAAAGTATTTCGGGTGATAACTAATCTTTAGGCACCCTTAATATAATATTAGTACCTTGTCCTTGATTAGAGGCCATGCTACTTTGAGTATGCAGGCTGGGATTTTGTCTGAGCCAGGGGCTGTGTTTCCTGCCTGAAGTACTGACTCCTCCACCTGTGCTATTATTATATCTAGGAAGTAGAGACTAGTGGTAGGGACTGCTGGGGAGTCCAGAGGTATGTCTCCTGCCTCAGCCGAGTTTTAGAGAAGATTACGGACTAGTACGTCTCGTTTCTCATATATAGTAACTGCTGGGAAGCTGTTGGGTCTCAGTGGATTCTTCAGTGGAGGGCTTCGGAAGGTGCCTGTAGACTTATGCCATTTACTCATATTGAAGACATCCTTCATTTGTGTTGCCGTAGAGAGCTTATCTCGCCAAAATTGTCGTTAAGACCATCTAGTTATCCTATGGAAGTCTATCTTTGAGCAGAGGCCTAAGCGGTAATTGTGTAAAGCTTTCTTGCAGTCTTCATTTCACCATGGTTATCCTATGCCTTGTGTTATAGTCCTCTTAGCAGAGCCTCTATATGCTTCTTGAGTTGCAGATGTCAGTTTTTCAGCAAGGGCATCAAGATCTTCTTCTGTTGCGGCTGAGCTCTCGGTGCCAGCGAGATTAGAGGCAAGGAGCGAGAGGAAGGAGGTGTGGTCTAGTGTGTCAAATCTCAGTTTCTGGGCTATTTCCTTGTATCTCTGATCCCATGGAACAGTGGTGATTAGTGGTTAATGATCTGAGGTTGCATCTAAGTGGCTCGCTATGCTAGCTTTGGCTCCTGCGAGTGCCAGAGGGCTTGAGGCGAAACTGAGGTCTAACACGTTACCCCTTTTATGTGTGGGACAGTCTATGTCGGAAATGAGTACTAGACCCTGGAGATCCAGCCAGTTGATAAATGGCTCTGCAAAAGTTGTAGGGCTGTGTTATAGCGAGGGTTGCCATCTGTTGTGTAGTAGGTTGAGATCGCCTGCAAGTATCGTTATTTGAGGGAAATACACCTCTGGCAGGGTTGTGAGAGCTTTCGCGGCTTCACCTGCTCTGCTGTAGCCTGCTGGGGCATTATAGATGTTAACTATCAGAGCGGACTTTCCTGTGGGCGAAAAAATCTGAAGAAACAGGAGATCCGAGGCTTCTTTAGTGTCAGTTGTAAAGGGGCGTAGCTGGGAGGTCCGGATGCCTTTCTTCTTTCGGACATAGGTGAGGACTCGTGGTTAGCCACTTATTGCCCAGCTATCAGTTGGGGAGAAGCATTCATATAATGGATGTTTTTTAGTGATCTGTCGGCTGAGGTCTTTAAATGTATATAGTTCTTAGATTAGGATAATATCGATGTCGCTAGTGTATGCCAATGTGAGGGCTATTTCATATACGTCTGGCGCGTGCCCTACATTTAACTGTAGGATTTTGAGAGGCGCCTTTTAAGTTGGATAGTAATAGATCATAGCTCCTGTTCAAGAAGAGAGGCGAACCAGTTTTATGGTTGAGGGGTTATAAAACGGACTGCACGAGCTATAATAGGAGGATCTTCAGTTGGGGCGCGAGGTGGGGGGGTTACTAAACGGAAAGGAGAGATAATCTCATAGATTAAAGGCTGTGATGGCATCTCATCTAATGCCAGAGGTGTTTCTTGTGTGCCTATAGAGAGCTAAGAGCTACATCCTTCTTCAGTTTGAGCTTTTGCGAGGTTTATGGCGCAGGATTTACGGATCTCTGTTTGTTAAGCTTTAGTATGTTTAGTATTGCCTTTGGGGCGCAGAAGGCATTCTAGGAAATCAGCTGGATGTGGTCCATGGCAGTATATGCATCTAGGAGGGCATTAATGAGGCTCTAGGGCTGTGCAGTGATTGACATGGCTCTCTTCAGTATGCTCTGAGGAGCCGTATAGTCGGCATCGAGAGGGGCGTGCACAGGATCATGCATTATGCTATTTCCAGCATCGTGTGCATTGAATAACTGTTGTTTTCTTAGAGAGGTGACGAGCATTGGTGATAATGCCAAAAAGACGTAGCTGGATAGGTAGTGGTGATTTCGTGCCTTCTGGGAAGTTGACAAACCAGCTTGAGGAGAGAGTATTAGGGTTGGCAGCACTCGTAGTGGTCTCGCTAATAGATATTGGCTTGAGCCCTGTAGTTTCGCTAATTTCTAAGGATAGTAGTGTAGGATTAATAGGAATTAGAGAGTATTGACCATCCAAGATTTGGCCAATTTTCCTTGGCACATTGGTGACTCGGTATGAGACCCATCGGAAGCTGCATTCTATCTGGTAGTTAACAAAGAATGTAGAGATCGTCTCTTTTTGGGCCTCAAGAGCTAGGAGGGCTTCTGGAGATGAGGGACATAGTGCAAAGCCAGTCTTTGTAGCTTGGACTTCTTTTAGTGCTGCACTATTTAAGTTTAGTTGAGATCGTAGGCTAGAGTAGATAGCGTAGGCTTCCATTTTTCTGGCTGCATGGTCAGCTGGGAGGCGTACGAAGAGCCAGATGTCAGGAAGGGGTTGTTTCACCAGAGGCATAGGCTTTTTGATGGAGGCTTTAGGGTGAGTGGTGGGAGTTGATTTGACTGGGGCATATTGGGTAATAGTCGCATAAGTTGACTGGTTAAGGCCTGAGGGGGGACGTGAGGGAGGGGGTGAAGGGGGTAAGGGATTTAGGGTGGGGGAAGAGGAAGGGGAAGGAGACAGGGCAGGTAGAATGGAGGTCATTGAGATACCGCTGATATAAGCGTTGAAATGTTGTTGAGCTACCGAGGCGAGGTCATCGCTTAGAGCGGTGAGGGCTCTCAGTAGGTGAGGAGCAAGGCCGGTGGTTTGGCTGCGGTGTTTATCAAGGAATACAGCTATGGGGCTGAAGATCTTCTGTCCCTCAGAAGCTCTTGTTATGGCTGCAGACGTGGATTCCAGAAGGGCTGTCTGTAGAGGGCCGTCTGTACCAGGGCCTTTACGCGCCATGGTGTTGCCGGGCGCGTTGGGACGCGTCAAAGGCTGCACTCCTGGGAGCTAGGTGGTAGAGAGGGTTGAGGATTTTGAGCCTCCGACTGTTTGATATAAATAATTATAAGGAAGTCGCCTATCAACTCGAAAATCAGGTTGGCAAGAGTCCTGTACTATGTAAGGTTGCCAAGAGTAAGGGGGACGGGGAGTGGCTAACTACATATATACGCGGCACGCACGTGCCGCGTTAGACTAACTGATATCCAGTGCCGAAACGCGCTAGGTTTGATATTCACGTTCCGACAGTTACCCTATCTCACGGCACTGATCAGAGAAGGGCTTAGGTACGTCTCGATCGCTGATTCATAGGTAGTCGCGTGATTGCTGAGAGTTGCATCGCTCTCTAGGCTAAACTTCGGTAATATGCACCGACTCCCAAGGGTCTCACCAGATGTCTCAATTCAGTACAAGCAATGGACGATTCCAAAAGGAGTAAGCCTAAAGAACAAAAACCCTCATTTACTGCTAATATGACTTGTAGGTACCAGTGGGTATGTCTGCTTATCTCATGCATATGGACGGGGATATATATAAAGATCCTTCCAAATTCATGCCGGAACGATGGCTTGATTCAAAGCCTCTTCTGGATAGGAATTATGTGCCTTTTTCCCGGGGTTCACGGAAATGTTTGGGTATAAAGTAAGCCATCACTAGAAAGGAGATGACTGAAAATTGCTGACTATTTCCCTTCTAGCCTGGCTTACGCAGAGTTATACTTGGTACTTGCGGTACTCTTCCGACCAGGTGAGCCGCAGTTTGAGCTCTTTGAAACGGATGAAAGTGATGTTGTTCAGGTGCATGACTTCTTACTTCCGCTTCCTCGGCTTGATTCAAAGGGCATCAGAGTGACAATTAATTAGCTTTGACTGATGAAAGAGAATAAGTGAGCATCATTAAGACAAGGCTTAGAGTTTTAAAGCAGAAGCATTATTGAAAATTATGAGACTTGTCATGTGTTGTGATTCTATTTGATTGGCTACGACTGGAGTAGACATGAATGGCAAACCCTAGCTTCTCAGGCTTTTTTTTTCTCTGTTAGGCATTAGATATATATGTAGAACAAAGACCGAGATTCCTCAAGCATTCCAATGGACGAACAAGTGGTCTACCCTCGATCAGGTTTCCTAGGTCAGAAATAAAAGTAGAAATCCCTCAAGTACACAAAGTCTAGAAGCTCTTATAAGTGCTATTCTTGTTACCTTTCAATTCCCCAGCGCCAGCAGCAACAACACAGCCCAGCATAGGAAAACTACTGCTGTAGCCTGTCTGCTAGTCCCAGTACAATTTGCCTGTATGGTGCGCAATTCTCAGCAAGCCCTGTCACCCACAGATTAAAGCTATCGGTGACGGTAACGCATTGTCTCGGGATCGACGTCTGACTGGTCACCGTCTCAGTAGAAAAGTTAGAATATGCTGCACCGTTCGCTCTGGAATCCGGAATGCATATACAGTGGTCTCGAAGTCCTTATCAGCGGATCCAAATATATCAAAGCTAATACCGGCCGTGGTGAATATAGTATACCGCAAGCTTCTTCAATATGACATCACAGCAAGAGCATTCCAAACACGAAGTACGAGCTTTGAAGGTCCTATAGACGAGTTTCCAGCGAGGATAGTTTATAAGTCATGCATCCAAAGACGTTTCTGCGGGTTTACCTGGTCAAATTGTGTTTGGACCCGAGTAAGATGGAGTTCTGGCAATATCTGGATAAAGTTGGGTAAGTCAGTTTATTATTGCTACTTACTTTGAAGGAGTGATGTATCTGACAGTAGCTTTTATAGGATGATGCATGCTGGCCAAGGGCGAGAACATCCGCTCCATATTGAATACATCCATATAGGCACCTGTCTTTCATCCATTCAAGATGTCTCACAGAGGCCATATTGTCCCATTTTCGAATCACCTGCAAACATCAGTGGAGGACATAGACGGCGAAGATGCAAGTAACTGTTATCACTTGATATATGGTCGGAATACAGGAGTTTACTTGCGAAATCATCTTAATCCCACGATTTCTAGATGTTCTGTGCTCAAAAATTACATAGATTCAAGTGAAGGATCTTGGCAACTTCGATAAGTTCAAGCAACTCCAAAGTCTATGACCAATTACCACCTCATCACCTCAAGAGCTCGTCTGTAAATGCTCCGATCCCTCTATTTAAGAGTACTCCAAAAGAAGAATCCAAGCACCCATACATAACCAACAAACTTCCCAAACCAGCTCTCTCAATCATCTTTAGCTCTTGAGACCATCTCGTGGATTTTGCAAAGCTGCGAATAACCGCAAAACAGATTATCTCTAATAAACATCCTAGGAAATTCAGGAAGCACCACCAAATACCAAGATACCACTCTCGCTGGCCAACTCGCTAGCTCACGGCGACATGAGAAGCGCCAGAAAGCAAGAAGACAGCACAAGCCACAACCGTCTTGAATGCGAATGACCCGGCCTTCAATCGTACACCGTTTGCGAGTACTCTGACATAATTCGTATACGTCTAACGGCCAATCTATGCCAAAACCTTTCCCAGAATCTGCGCATACTTGTTGCTGGCGTGATATCCCCAACAAGGCTGGCCATTCGCTGGCCTGATCGAGACCGACCAGAACAAAGAAGCAGGCTAGTACAGCGTTGGTGCTGTCTAGGAATATGAGACTTTCCACAAACCAAATAATGGCAGTATGGATGACCATCTCACATACAGTGACATATGGGAGATGGCGGAGGAGAGTCTGTTGGATTGGAGAAACATCTTCTGGGAAGAATGCAAATATCATATCAGCGAAGATGGATGGTACAATGTAGGTATGAAGGCAATAGTAAATGGGTAGTTTGACGAGACGAAGGAAGAAGGACACGGAGTAAGGAATTTCTGGGGGTGAATCTTGAGAATCAAAACTTGCTTTAGTTGTTGGAAGAAGCTGTGGATTTCCACAAAGCTTGTAAGTGGCTCTACAGTCCAATTTGTGCCACAATCGGATTGATTTTATATCATGTTTTCTCTATGTATAATAATGAAATGATGTGAAGGATGTAAAGTGGTACACCCAGGCTCCAAAGACTGACAAGGCTAGGAGAAAAGTACCAGAAATGCTTGGAAGCAATGAAAGAATGGACAGAGAAGGCGACGATAATGGGGAGGAGGTATAGTCGATACATTTGGGTTGAGCAATGAAGCGCAATTGAGAATACAGCACCTGATAGGGCAAGTGAAAGGATGGGAATAAAACATAGCGACAGCTGGGTCAGGATGAGTTTCGTAGTTAGGGCTATCGTCGGCTCGGTGGCCATTATTCTTGACAGGTAATTGATTGATGAGGGTGAGATCGCAGCAATTTTATGAACAGTTCCAGTGATCAAAGGCTTAATATATACCAAACCAAATCAGGAACGAGCCAAAAAAAAGCTCAACAGAAGCGGTAACATAGGGAGAGGGGCTGGTGTACAGTCATCTACCTACAGAGCTCATTTTAAGCCCCTAGTTGGAGGATGCAAGGTCTTTGTACACATCTTTCAACGACGATGACATTTCTGGGCAGAATAAAACGAAAGATAGAATACTCCTAGTGTTTTTAGTGTGGCTTTTCTCGCAAATTAATCTACGCGTCAATGACTACAATCAATGGGTGGACTGGAATCGCAGCACAGCTGCATAAACAAAGAATGTAAAGATGGCACTGCTTGGCCTTCCTTAAACGCCGACCAATTTGTGATATGTAGGCTAAGGATGCTGTGTTGTAGCATGGATAAATATTAATTTACTTCAAGACTGCGACGCATAAGTGAACGTTCTTTGCCATCTCCAATATATTTGAAAAGTGGTTCTTCTTTCAACATTTCTCCGTCACCCACTGCTTGATTACTCCAACTGATCCTTACTCACCGGTTTTGTCTTTTATTTGTCTACATTCGAAGAGTATCAAGGAGATTCGCAAAAGAATTTCCAGAAATAATGGAAAAAAATCCCTGAGTTACAGGAGTAAGGCTCAGGGTACTTTTTTTTTGTCTTGTCCAGCGATTTGAAGTTGATTTAGAATATACCGTGAGCAGTCGCATATCGGATTCTCCAGATGAATTCCTCACATATCTGCGAAGCAGGAGAATTCGTGGCAATACTTGCAGTAGTAGTAAGGCCCGTCGGCGTTGCCATTAGGATTGCTGCTTTTAGCCCGCGTTCGAGGTGTTGAAGAGCCACAGTATAAGCATGTAGGCGGCCTCCGTATAGTCCAATGGTCGCTTCTGAACCCATTCAAGAATCAAGATTGAAGTTTACTTAAAAGGCTGGAGTTGATGAGATATAGAAAAACTCGGAGTGTGAACATGGAGTATTTATGTAGTATCTGGTATGTGTGAGGGTGGATCGTGGAAGCAAACTACAGAGTGTTAAATTCAGATATTGTGTGGTAACTTGAACCTGATCGATCTGAGCGTTACAGGAGGCGAGACGAGTGAGTTTTCAGTGTGCGATCTTTGTCAAGGTTTCGAACGTGAAAGTTCGTCCTTTCTCGAAAATAAAATCAATAAGGCCATCCAGTCAATCGATCGTAACTCCTGCTTAGGGATGATGTAATGACGCTCCTAAGCTGAGAAGCTTAGCTGCAATATCAAAAGAGCCAATTGTATAGACTCTGATGAATGTAGAATGAAGCAGTGTAAGAGTGTCAGGGGCGAGTGGAGGCCATGTGACCCGGCGATTGGCAGGGACTTGTGCCCGAGGCTGGACTAGCCGCGAAGAAAGGCGCCTACCCTCAGCTGCTGTGCCTCAAGCCCCATTAACGCCCTAGAGCTTCAAGCTATCCCCGTGCCGCGTCTCATCAGCCTCGCGTTGCTTTTTCGTCCCATTGTTCTTTTCTCTTTCGAGTTCATTTTTTAACAAAAAAAAAGAAGATAATGAATATACAGGCAACATATGCTCCGCCAGCAATAGGTTACCAACCTTTGCGCTCCCGGAACCTTGGTTAAGTCATCACGTATCGCAGATACAGTGACTGAGTCACGAGTCACCAATTTACGCGCCAAGCGATCGACAGTCCGGCTGAGTTTCATACAAGTGATTCCTGGCTACGTAGTACTGATTATTGACTACTATTAAAAGGCCAAAGTCTCCGCTGGCGGAGCAATAGTTTGGAATGTCGGGGGAAAAGAAGGATAATGGCTTCAACTCCTTAGGCTCGCCTCTGGGCTCAAACTCGCAATCTCAAGCGAACGGGAACAGGATCACGGCACTCGCTGCGCCTGCTGCATCCACTGGGGCTAACAGACCTATCAAAAAGATCAAAGACCCTAATATGACAGATGGGCGGCTGCTAGTTAATCGAAGATGCATCTATGAGCGCAAACTGCCCGGTAACGCCTATGTCACTGCACATGCAGAACGTTTACAACATGGCTTCTTCAGCAGCAAGAACACATCCGACCCGGAAATCGCGCACGTGGACTTTCTCGCTGTCAATTTTGTAATGCATCCGGGTGACTCAGGCAAGCACCGCTTCAAATCTGCAACGATCAAAGCGACCGTTCAAAACTTTCCTATGGGCCCCAGTACCGAGAATCCATACCCATATCCTCAGGAGAACCCCAAGTTCTTGATGCATGCACCCCATCTAATCTATGGAGCCGTTTCCCCCGAAACCTTGCAGTGGACCTTCAGCTTGGCCGGGTCGCTCGGCATATCCGAAACCCCAATTTCGGCATCCGTAAATCCGGCAGGCACGAGAAGCGCATCATATAAAGTCTACGAAATGTTGAAGATCCAAGGGTCATGTAGGACTTTTAGAAGTCCCGACGGTCCAGAGTTTGACGTTGAAGACGGTGAAGTTGTCTGGTCACTCAGCGAGAATAGTCTGCAAAGATCTGGATTGCCCAGGGAGTTCACCTTCGTGATGTTGGTTCAGAAACCAAGCGCCCATAACAAGATCATGTTCAAAATCGATATTGATCCGGTCATTGATGCATGGTATGGGAAATATCCTGCGTGGTGGATTAACAGGCCGAGCTACCAACCGTTACATAAACGGGCAATAAATTTTCGAGCCGAGTTCGGTCAGAAATTTGTCCCTGTCGACTCGGAGAAAGGCTTCAATTTTGCTACTTTGGCACAATCACTAGACGACTATGTGAACATGCCTGGTAGTACTTACTCATCGAACGTATCACCTGACGGTGTTTATAACGATCCTAACGGCGCGGCCATCTCGAATCCACCTCGATCATCAAGACCTCCTGGCGGCAATGCCAGCGACAATGATTCTCAACCAATCTATATCCCTGAATACCCCCAATACCCAGGAGACCGCAGATACCAATATCCCACGTCCCAGCCGACCTACTGTCCTCCGTTCCCGGCAAATGCAGGGCAGGTGTGGGAAACAAACTCACCATTCCGACGCGGATGGCCACGAGATGCATCTTACTATGGAGAACCTAATGGCAACCGTGAAAGTACTATCAACGTGAGGATTCTCCTGGATAATGCCGTTACTTCGCACATTGCAGCTGCCACTCTGGGAACACCAATACGACGTGCTTCCCCCCTCTTGAATGCTCCAAACCATCTGGATCTCACCTCAAATGCATCACGATCACATGAAACTTCTACGATAAGAACAAGATCATTACGGCGAACGAAATCTCGTGATCGACTGGATAGACTTTCAGCCAGCCCGAGATCATTAGTAGATACTGATCCTTCGAAGCATGAGTCATTCTATCAGGGGCAATTGGACGACGTGATCTCCAGAAATATATCAAACGATTATACCTCAAACGGTCTGTTAATTAGTCCAGGGCTTGATTCGCCGACAATGTACGAAATCAACGACACACCACCCCCTAACAGCATTCGAGACCCTGCCGTTGTTAAAGTACAGACTTTAGACACTCCATCCAAGTCGACAGTCTACGAAGGACATGTGAATGGAGCCAAACAATATACTCCACTCACAAATGGCGTTCCGAGCACCACACCTCCTTCAAGCGGGATACAGCGCATGCGCAATGGCTTGGCCGCCGGCTCCCTTCGGAGAAGATCTACTTCATATGCTCAGAATGGATATCAGAATCAGCAGAACCGATACTCTTATCCTATTGCATCAACAGACGATGAGCCGGAAATGTTTTAATCGTTTCAAGAATAATGCGCCATGTATTTGCTTCTCTAACCAATCTCTTACTGCTTTTACGCATTTTAGCTCTATAATAGAAGTCATTTTTGATTATGCATTTACTTGGAGTTGATGGCATCCATTTTGATTCCGCATACGCCCCTCTTCATCTCATTCTTGCTCTTCGTCTTGACTTCGGCGTCTCAAGCGGGTTGTATATTTGCTATGGGTTAGAGTGTAGTTAGCTTAGACTTGGTGCAAAACCGGCACAATTTCACAAAAGACACATTTACCATATTACTTCGTAATTCGGCCTCATTCTACCTAAGAATAACTTCATCTAAGTTCGCATGGATGTGACTGATCAGATAAGATTAGATCTTTATGTGCGGTATAATTGGCTGTTATGCGCCCTCCGGAGCTCCTCTTCCGCTGACCTCACGATTCGCCCTTTGCAATTCCTGTCGCAAACCAGCTCTTATCCCATACCGACATCTAGCGACACTCCCGTTGAAAATTGAAACTCATATTCTGGCGATAAATGTTTTCAGTTCCCACGCGAATTTAGACAGCCACGCACCACCCCTGCCATACTTTTCAGGGCTGATTGCGGAGTGACCGAGAAATACCAGCGTCATATGAAAAGAACGTCTTGTTCTTGTTTCTCATAGACACGGGGAAAGAAAGCAGATAAGCATCACCATGTCCTCACATTACAACACCGAACCGCCGCCAACCGCCTCGGTCACACTAAATACGACCATCGGACCGCTACACATCTCCCTCTTCGCAAAACAGACGCCGCTCGCCTGCAAAAACTTCATACAACATTGTCTCGATGGATATTATACAGGCACTGTATTTCACCGTGTGGTTCCCGGCTTCGTAATCCAAGGCGGCGACCCGACCGGCACTGGATCGGGTGGTTCATCAATATACGAAGACCCAGAATTCGAATATGATCCCGAAGCTCGTGATCCAAATGAAAAGGTAGTCTTTCGTGATGAGATACACAGTCGACTACGATTCAATCGTCGAGGTCTTGTGGGGATGGCGAAAAGTGAAGATGGGACTTATGGGAGTCAGTTTTTCATTACGCTAGCAAATACCGAGAGGGAGATGAATGGGCAATGTACGATGTTTGGAAGGATCGAAGGCGATAGTATTTATAATGTGGTCAAGATTGCTGAGGCGGAGTTGGTTGAGGGTACAGATCGACCGGTTTATGCAGTGAAGGTCACGGGATGTGAGGTTGGAGAGATGGGTCCGTTTGAAGGGAAGTTGAAGAAAAGAGACAAGGTTGCCAAGGTCATTGAGCCGGCCAAGGGAGATGTCACGATAAAGAAGAAAAAGAAGGCAAATGGTGCGAAGACGTTGCTTAGTTTTGGAGGTGACGAAGGAGAGAATGGGGAGGATATAGCTGCCATTAAGTCGAAAAAACCCAAGTTCAACACCAAACTAGTTTCAGCTGGGGAGTCGCTGGAAATGGATCCCAAGACTCGTTCAGAAGAACGAAGGAGTTCGATTACGGAAGAGAAGCAACCGGCGAAACGACTTAGAGCGTCTACACAAATCCCAAGTACAGAGAAACAGACACAAAAGTCACAGCCCAAGAGCCCCGACCCCTATACACAGGTTCCTCCGAAAGACCCGGAAGAACCAGAAAGATCGCCATCTCCGACTCCACCTCCAGCTGCGAGACAGTCGGTATTGGAAAGAACTAATGCCCAGATTGCGTCTCTCAAGGCGTCAATGCGCCGGGATGTTACGGCTCCTGTAGAAACAGGCAGGAAGAAGTCGGCACTAGAGGCCATGATACCGAAAACCTCAATCAGAGGTCGAAAGCGACCTGCATCTGGCAGTGCTACCATGAATGGCGGAGGCCGAAACTGCAGCTCAGGCGCAGAAGCTGAAGCAATGAAGTTATTCAACGCATTCAAAGCGAAACTCGAAAGTTCCGACGTGCAAAGTCATTCGGACAACAAGAAACACAAAGGAGATACGAGAGATAGATCGCAAAACATCACCAAACCATCAGAAGAGGTGGATGACGAAGAAGCGCAATTATGCGATCTACACTTCATTGCAAACTGCCAGTCGTGTCAAAACTGGGGTAAAAGTGCCGACGGACCTAGTGTAGATGCTCAAGCCCAAGACGAAGACTCGACAGATTGGATGTCTCATCGTCTTCAGTTTGGTAAGGACACGTTAGGAAAGGACTTGAACTGGAAAAAGGAGCATCGAGAGGATGTGGACTCTCTTATGGTCATTGATCCGCGAGAAAAGGAAAAGGAGTATGTACATCGGAGTGGTAAGAGTAGGAAGACTGGGAGAGATAGGGAGAGGGAGCATAAAAGGGAGCGAGCAGGCGAGAGGGAATGGGATCGTCGGTGATATGTATGTACATGAAATGAATAATCTACATCACATCAAAATGCTCAATACTCTAGGTATAATTGATCTATAAATCAATCGGGGTGGCTGAAGCAAAAATCGCCGTATCCCATCAACGCAAACGAGGCCCAGAATATAGGACTAGTCCAATCAATCTGAGGCAGCATCATCTTCTGCAACGTCAGTAAATATCTGCCATCAGGCACAAACTCCTCTGGACTCTTAACGGCGCCAGTGCTAGCACTCATCTCAGAAGAAATTGCGTCCCAAGCCTCGAGCAATCGGTCCAGAAAAGCAGTGGCTTGTTCAGTATCAAAATGCATGAATTCCACTTGGGCATTACGTAGGGCTTCAGCCAAGGACAAGCTCGGCGTTTCCTTGATCTGTCGATAGAACAAGGTCATCAAGACCATGGAGGCAAAATCACTGACCTCAAAGAGCGTTCCGATGTAAGCTTGACAGCCAGTACCCAACACGACATGAGTGAATCCCAAAACGTCGTTTCCAGCAGTAGCTCGCCCCAAACCACTGAGACAAGCTGCGAACACTATCAGGTTTGCACGGCTCTGGATTGGTGACATATCAATAACTCGAAAATCTTCTCCAATAGAGATGGACGACAGAAGTGGACTTCCGTGATTGACAGTTCCATGTGTTCCAATGTGAAGAATCGAGGTTTGTCCTTGGATATAATCACGGAATTGAGCACGAGAGAGGTTTGATGCCTCAATGGGCTATTTCAAATGTCAGTAAATTAGGTCAAAAAATGTACTTAGAGAGAGGATAGTACCCAAGTTGAGAACATATTAGAAATACTTATCGCTTCAACACCCGCCATCGGAAGAAATGTCTCTTCATTAGCCCGATCAGTACCTTGTGGATCACCAGACAAGGCTTTGGTAAACACTGAAACTGTCGGCACAGCCGATTCCGCACGTCGTCTCGACAGATGATAAAGAGCAGTCAAGCTCGGCGTCTGTGAGACAGCTGCATGCAAAACTAGAGGCTTCCCATCAAATACCAGTGCTGAGACAGGGAACGCAGTCAAGGGTTGGGACAGGGAGAATATGATATGACTCTTCTCTCGGATGATAGCAGCAAAAGGCGTTACTAGAACCCCCGAAATATATTTCGAGAGTTCCTCCATTCTGGATTTGCGAGCTTCCTCTTCGGGCTCATGTAGTCCACTCATATCTCGCATGATTTGCATTAGTTCCATTGCCCATTTCCTGATGTCTACATCGCGGATAGGGTTACTCTCGTATTCTTGTATGCCCTTATTGGTAATAGCCATTAGGATGCATCCAAACCTGTTAAAACTCGCCTCAATCACAACCACATCATCTTTGATGTACCCAAACAGGTCGCTCGGAGAAATCGTTGAATTCATGGTGTCCATGAGATCATTCGCTGAGGATGACCAAGTACCGATATCTAAACGTTCGACTTCCTTGGTAAGCTCCTCCAGCTCTTTGTGCTGCTCTACTGTTCGCTTATGGATGGATTGGAGATGGGTTAGGGCTCGGCGTTTGTAAATGCTCTCCGACATTCTCTTCTTCTTTTTCTCATTCGATTGCTGCTCCGCTGATGAAAGCAGCGCATCAATCAGAGACCTCGCTCGTGCTTCTTCCATGAAAAGTAGCGCATGCTCTTCCCAGGTCACCTGTGGATGGCCATGGTCATATGAGTTAAGGATGCTTGTAGGTAGATTGAGTTTAGCACATCGTAAGCATACGGCCACCAATTGCAGAAAGGTTTCAACAAGACCTTTCGATAAAACTCCCACTTTGACGTCAGCATCGCTGGCTTGGTTACGACGCAGCTCAATAAGGCTCCTTGCCTTGAGCAACAGTTGAAATGCCGTTTCTGGGTGAGACCCCTTGAAATAAACAGTAGCCGCATTGACCTGTCTTATTGACAAATCAATCGGAGTTTCACCGGGTGATTCGTCAAAACAATTGGGTCGAATCTTCAAGATGAGGTCTAGAACTCTCAAACCTCGTTCCCAGTCCATGGCAATCATACATACGACGATTGCATTATTTGCCAAAGAGGGGAAGAACATGTCGATATTTCTACCTGCCAGGAACTCTTCAAGTTTGTCGTTGAACAGTTCCGAATCAGTCACCGAATCCAGTACCTCGCGCGCTTTCGAGACTTCGCCTATTCGGCCGTATGCAATAATTTGGAACATGTATTGCGTGTATGTTCTCTCATATCTTTGCGCAGTCCTGATGAATTCATGCATGGAAGTCTCGGCACTGTCCAGATTGCCATCAGTTATAGCTTGGTTGTATTCCATATCTGCTGTCCAGAATTTGTCTGAGATGGCATTACCAAGAGCAAAGACATCAAGTATATCATCAAGTGATTGACCAAAAATTTGCTTCGCAATATCAGAGCGTCTTGTATCTTGTTCGTCAGGAGCTTCTCTTCTGAGAAATGCGAAGCTCTCATCGCTTTGCTCATACCAGCGGAATTTCTCTTGCCATTTTCGATAATTTTCCAGATTATCAAGCGACTCCCTATTTGCAAGAATATGGGTGACACTATGGTTGAATGTAGATATGAACTCGTATTTCCGAGTCAACATATGCTGGCGGTCGACTTTCCCAATGGGTGTTTCAGTATTGGCAACTCGAATTCGTTCATTCAAGCTTTCTACAACACTGTCAAACATTATAAGGCATTGGTCCACCAACACTGCGGTGGCAGCAATATTACTCATTTCATTCTGCAGCCCCACCCTGCAGAAGAGAGCTATGAAAGCTGGGACGAGAGCTCCGAGCTGTGCACAACATTCATAAGCACATTCATAACAGGCGTTAGCGGTGTCAAATCGAGAGTATTTCCCCCATTCGCGCCGTGCAAATCGTATCATTACCATACCGATATGATATGACACGAGTTCATTTCGACACTCGCGCCCCCATTTGCCTATTTCGCCTGCACGTTTTCGTTGTTCTGCCATGTTCGTTTGTCCCTTGGAGATTTCGATGAGAATCTGACTTGCTTTAACGATTTGTACGTTTGACTCATCCAGGTCGAACAGTACTAATGACTTGTCCAAGTGCTCGCTTGCCTTCTGTAGGAGAGTTGATCTTTCGGTATCTGTAAAATCATAAGTGCAGGATTTGGCATGCTTTATACCGGCTAGACGAAGATGAACGGCAGCTTGCCCTCGAGGGCTGTTCGATGCTTCGAAAAGTTCAAGTGCTTCCTGATAGCAGCGAAAGGCATCTTCCGAGTTCTTGAGTAGAATATTTGCTTCAGGCCCGTCCCAGATAGTGCTATCCCCACAGGCATGGCAGGTGGGTATCGGAATGAGATTCTGGATCACTGGGCTTGTAAATGGAGGAGAACATAGACTGTCGCCCTCAATCAGTTTGCAGTTTGCCATTCCATTCTTATCTGAAAGGCGTTCGTGGGTGTGGAACAATTTTGATAACAACATTTGAAGAGATGGAGAACCCATGGCATAGTGAAGTTCAATGTATAACCTATGTGAGTACAAGGACGCCACGCCAGTCACTTCATCCAACGGTGCCCTCTGCACAAAACTAGATAAATGTGGTGCCACAGATGCAATAGCTTCTTCCGGAGTCTTGTCGTCATTCGGCTTCCAGCTACCAGCAGGATAGCATGAATGTCTTAGTGCCAAGAATCTCAACTGCTGTGGAAATTGCAGCAATGCTGTGAAATACATGCAGATATTGAAATCCGCTTGGTTATTTGCAGCTTCTTCTTCTGTTGCACTGGAGCAGTATTTTTGTATATTCTGATTCAACTCCGCCATAATGTCGGTTGGGCCCGTTATGTCGCTTATCAAAGCTATGTTTGTTGGAGATTGCGATTCGTGCTGATACCGAATGCATGGTGGGTAGCGTCTGTAGTAATCTACGAGAAGTTTCGATGTAGCGTATCTCAAACCCCAGTATGAAGCAAGTCTTCTCGGTTCGGACCCGGACATACTGTCATCGACCAGAGTTTTTAACTCGTCTAGTGCAGTATAGGCATTGTTCAGTCTGCCACGAAGCATATACACGTGTATTTTTGATCGAAGAAAGTAAGCTCTCTGTTCAGGGTCATCGGATATACTGAGGTTATTGTCTAGTCGCGTTTGATATGGAACAAGATTGTTGTATGCCTGGCGAAGGTATCCCCGATATTCTTCCAGAAATAATGACTGTATATCGTCTTCTATTTGTGTTTGAATATCCATGGCAGTTCACAGCATTCATGTCAATCGTGAATGTTCTTGAAATGATCTTGCCCAGGTAGTATGTCTCACAATTCCCCGATGCTAAATCGCTGCACTGTGCACATTCATCGCAAACGAATCTAGTCAGTAGCCAAAACGTTGTTGGTGATCTGATGAACCAAATGAATTTGTCGATCAGATCGAAGCGGAGCGGTCCACCATCGTTTCCACATGGCAAACCCCGCTTATGTTAAAAGTGTCCCATCCCGATTAGGTTTAACGTACCGACTCGTTTATATAGGGGCTTCGCACCCATTTACTCCTTCGTGCTTCCATGTCTCTCAGCTTAATACATAATGCTCTCCACAAATCCCTTTCCTCATCCTGATTTATAAAGCCATGAAATGTCTAAATCGTATCTGACCATCGAGTGGAGAATTGCGTTGTAACATGTCTCTTTCCCCTGTGACTCTATATCACATTTGCAGATCTCGTCGGAAGGCTGTTGAGTCTCATCCGCTGTATTCAGCTGGTCCATCGAGGCCCCAAGTTCTTGCATCATCTTGACTATTGTCTCATACGCTTCAATCTGTTTTCCCCGCATCACCTCGTTGTGGTGCCAATTTCTAATCCATCTATTCTGGGTGCTCGTCAAGATGTGCAAAGCAGTGTTACCATTTCATCAGCACCGTTGATTCCCGCTCCATGTGCTACCAACATATCCAGTACAGCTCGGTTTATAGGTATTGCTCCTACACAATTATAGGCTCTGGCTATAATACGCAACACACTCTGTCCTTCATTTTCTCTTAAACTAGCATCCGCTCCGTTTTCGCACAGGTACTCGATTGCTTCCTCGAAAAGACTGCAGCTGTCTCAGTGTACTGGATCATGACTCTTCACTACATAAAGTTAAGCAGTTCGACCTTTTTGGTCTTGAAAATTGATAGTGCCGGGGTTAGCCTTTATGAGCAGTTTGAATGTACCTATAACACGGGAAGCACCTTCTTCACATACATGCCCTTGTCGACCCAAGCCTTCGGCTACCCCGGTGTAGCAGTAAACGCCCATGATAATCGCGCACAGAAACCATATCTGCAAGGGCAACTTCACTGCGATTGCCCAGAAATGCTTGAATTCCTTCAACATTCCAATAATGACTCCCATCATGTAAGGGAGTTATTTCAAATGTATCTTGTCTGAAAGCATGATTGCCACAGTGCCTTCCCTCCGTTATCACCTGAAGGATCATTAATATCTGAAGCGTACGCTTCTCCAAGTGGAGGATCGAGATCTAGCAGAAAATTCCACCGTCTCAATTTCGGAATGGGAACAGGCAACGTCCAGCAGTGAAAAGCCTCGAGTGTTGAGCGGCTCGGTGAAGGTAGGATTGGCCTGGCAATTATCAAGTATGCGGAGGGCACCAGTGCTACCATTGGCAGCAGTAACGTAGAAAGCGTCATCTTTTGACGTTTCGCCCTGAGCAAAGACACTTTTAGGAAGTTTCGCTATGTAATTCTTCAATGTTTCCACATCATTTTTCGCAACGATCGTATGCAAAGAGGCGTTCCCATGCATTTTCGTGGAGCAGTTCCCTATCTGGGCCAATTATAGGGTCTCAATGCTCATAATCGGGAGCAGGCATGCGAAATTCGCTGTAATCCATGTGATTGATCATAAACAATCCGATAATCTGAAAGTTCAATCGTTTATTAAGAAGTCTAATTGGACTGGATCAGATCGGACCGATCCGATCCGCAATCAGGCCCACGTGGATGAACCCCACTATCACCGAGAACCACCACACAAAACACATATGCCATCAGAAACTATCACCTTGGCATGCCATATATAGCTCTAGCTATTTAAATGACTTAGAGCCAGAATGGATGACGACTCCTTCTATCTTTACGGAGTCGGCGAGAAACCAGATGCCCTAACCCTAGGCAGTTTGGTGTTGGAGAAGTATTGGATGCCCCTCATTGCGCGCCATTATACACATGATCCACTGCGGTACGACTTCTCTTTCTGATATTCAGTTTATTTCACTTTACTTGGTGTTATTAATAATGTGAATTTCAGAGGGCAGGATCTAGAGGAAAATGTCTGGTCAAGTAAACTCGAGAATTTGGTGCTCCATGGCCGAACACGGTTGAGTCCTGGCGTGGGTGTCAGTGGATTCGATATAGTCGACTTGAAACTTGCATGGAACAAAGACCAAGAGCGATTTGTTACTGCAAGTTCTGGTCAAAAATTGACTTTAAAAGAGTATGCTGTCTACCTTCAGAGGGAACAGAAAAGAGATGATATTAGGTACTGACTCTGTGGCCAGCCCTGAAGCCTTTCTCTCCAACCACGTCCTCATGAACCCCAAAGCCAGATCCGCCCTAAAACTCTGGCTCTCCTCTGCCCGAAGCGACTACGTAATGAACATGCGCTGGGCCCGGCGACCCAAAATCTGGTTCCTAACGGGCCTCTACATTCTCAAGGGGGCACGCACGATCGTTCGCAAACAGTCCTCATCCACCATCGAGGTAGGGTTAAATTCTGCTATTGTCGGTGCGTTAAGTGGTGTTCCCATTGGGGGATCTGTGTCCTTAGGGCAAGGCGATGCGTGGGAATTGCAGATGGGTATGGAGGAAGAGCATGTCTGGGCTGCGCAGTATCGGTTGATTGATGCGAAGTATATAGCTGTTTCGTCAAGGACTAGAAGTGAAGTCATGGCATTGCCGGCGACGATGTCTTTGTATAAGGATATTCTGAGCGTGAGGAATAGGAGGACTACTTCTCAGCTGGCCGGTAGAAATCTTGATATGGACGTTGAAGTCGGACTGCAACCGCCGTTTTACCGCGCACGACCTATGAAAACTGTCACAGATTTAGACTCAATGTTCGATTCGGTACCGGCAAGAGCTCCGATCACAGCAGTACCGTATGACTCAACGAGTGGGTTGACAGAAGTCATAACCCTCGTTCCAGAAGAAGGGAAGCTGGAACTTGACGATGACGATGACGAAGAGTCCGAGGAATCATTTGAAGAATACGAGAAAAGACTTGAAGATGCCATTCGCATGTTTGAAGCTGCTCCCCCACGGTTTCTGGAGCGTTGATCTGTTTATATTGTTCGCGTTAGCCAATGAGGTTGTTGTAAGCTCGGTTTCATAATTGTTGTATAGCCCTGCAAGGTATCCATTCAGTAAGCATTTGTACATTACTGAACTACCAAGGTTATGTGGTTCTAATTGTTTCTCATGTACATGATTTCATATATGTGCAGATATTTCCATTCTTCCGGGTCAGTAATGACATGGAGTTTAGGCGTTCACTAACGGCCTGCTCATGTACCAAAGATGCCTCTCCAATGATTGAGTTTAGATCTACCTAAATATTCCATTACCATAAGTAGTATTGCAATCAACAATAGTCATATTTATACACTACTCTACGCCGGTCACGCCAACCCGGCATGGAGTAAAAAGGGTCATCAGACATACTATAAAATACATTCAGAAAAGAAAAAAAGAACAAATAAAATCTTTTCAATAGATTCAAGGATAAACCCAAAGTTGCAATTCCGTATACTCGAATTCATCTATCGGGGCGAAGGTGCTGATCTTCCTTGGCTGTATACTCTGTGATGGCTGGCGTGCTGAGGAGGTCCATGAGATTCGTGTGGATTCGAATATGGACTATGATGCATGTGCGCAACTCCCGGTCCAGAACCAGGCCCGTTATTAGGATAAGGAATTCCTCCTAGTGTGGGCGCTGGTGGAGGAGCATGTACACTGGCAGGAGGTGTATATGGTCGAGGCATACCCAGAGTTGGTGGGGGATTGCCGAGAGAGCTAGTACGGTAAGGGCCTACAGACTGCTGTTGTTGTTGGGAAGGAGAAGCAGATGCTGCATATGGAGATGGAGAACCAGCAGCTATACCAATGGGTGTTCGTCCGGAGGACGCTGCTGATTGTCCTTGTTGTCCGTTCACCATTGCTTGCACATGTTGTTGATATGACTGATTGCCACTGTGAGTTGATCGATGCTGAGGCGCCAATTGGTGGGGGGAAGATGTCTGAGGATGAACCGAAGAACCATACGAAGGACCAGGGCCGGATGCTTGGCGAGGCTGGGGCATACTCAACGGAGTGGCAGGAGACTGAGCGGGTGATTGGACTTGACGCGAGCTATATATCACATTTTGATGGGGTGGTGGAGACACGGCATTCTGATGACGGTAGACTGAATTCGACGCTTCGCGAGAATCTCGACTATTTGTAGCCAAAAGTGGCGGCGTGGGTGCACCTTGGCCATGTGGTGATGGTGCGTATACCTGATAGCCACGATGACCTGCCGGGGTATTGCCCTGAGATGGAGTAGGAGGCTGACTGTTTGACGCAGCTTGTGAAGGTTGGTAACCGCCACTCGCGACATACTGACCTTGAGGAGGTTGGCGAATTGGATCCACAGATTGCTGAGTTTGATTGCGCGGATCCATTCTGGTTATCCAATCGTGATTCGGTGGCCCAGTAGCAGTAGGCGGATTGTTTAGAGCTGATGGAGCGTAGGGCGCATAATCCGAATAGGATGGACGGCCTGAAGATGCTTGATGGGCAGACGCTCCATGCAAAGGTTGCTGTTGCTGAGTTGAAGGGAAGTATGATACCTTTTCCTCGTGCCGGAGATTGGATGTTGCCGAACCAGGAGCATCTATTTGACCGTACGCCATCCTTGGGGACGGAATCATCTCGCTTGCAAAACGCTTGCGCGGCGGAAGCTCCTCTGGCTCATCATTCAAGATGCTCATGATGTTGGATCGTTTAGCAGGCACTTGGCGAGTGGGCTCCGGTAGTGAGGGAAGAGGAGTGGGCGCAGGTAGCTCCTTGACTGGTGAAACCGTCGTCTTTGGAAGAACACTGGCGGTAGCATATGAGTAATATCCTGACTGAGGCTGGCCTTGACTAAACGAAGAACGACGAATCGGAGAGATGTCAGGAGAGTGTTTCCGCATTGGTTGGGCCGGGGACCCAGGTGCTGTTGTGCCCGTCAGGCTAGGATGTCGAGAATGAGAACCTGGCATTGCGGACGGTGGCACCACATTTGGCTGCGCTTGCATGTAAACCGGAGGTTGTCCAGGTTGATATTGTGAGTGGAAATCCGGTCGTGCTCGCAACTGTTGAGGCAAAGGCTCTATGCGACCGACGTCATGGCTTTGCACCGTAGGAGCTACTCGAGGAGATGGCTGCAGTTCAGGTCCACGTGATGCTCCTGTAGCCGTGCGAGGCTCACGCCGATCCTCTGTGAAGTATCCCAGGCGTGGACCTGTGAAGCTTCGAGGTGCAGGAGGGGCTCCTGATTGACGTATGTTACGCAACGGATCATCAGGCATAATTCCGCTTGTGGCAGACGGAGCTCCAGTTGCCTGCGCCAAAGGAGGATATCTGCTCAGGTTCCGGTCGGGAGCAAGCTCCTGAGCAACACGGGTGGGAGACATGACGGCTTTTTTCGGTCCCAAGCGAGCATCTTCCGGATATTCAATGTCAGTGTGAGGAGCAAGAGGTCGATGTGTCACTGCAGAGGGTGTAGCTTCATATCGCCTCTTGACAGTAGGATTTGGTGTTGGTAAGGGGCCAGTAGGTTCTCCTCGCATCTTCTTGACTTCAGTAACTTTGACAATTTCCTCGAATTCATTATTGCCCGAATCTATTTTGCGCTGGTAGTAATTCTTCACCTGAAACGTGGCAAAGCCGTTAGTTAGCTGCAGAAGAGGAAGTAAATAGATTCCAAAGGGAAGAAAAAATCCAGGAAGAGAAAAAGAAAAACAATGTGCTCCGCTAATGACCTCACAGGACGAAGAGCAGGTGGACCACGTCACAAACCCTGCGGGACGGTCCGTGGCCCAATCGCCGCCACCAGCCATCATCGGAAGGTATAAACACCAGATTACATTTGATCAGAGATTGGAACTTACCATGATCGGCGTCTTTGTCTTCATGAAATTCGATATACCCTCAAAATCGCGTCCAAAATGCGCCAGCAAGATGGGAAAGTCTCGAACTTCCGGAACTGACCAGTAACTTGTCGGTTGCATTGCACCATATCCCATTTCATACGATGGTTTAGCTTCATAGTCGGCAGAAGCATCAAATACATAGATGGAATCTTTGCCGCGACCGCGAGATGATTTCGATTTAGGAAGTTCTTCGCCCTCTCGCTCTAGTTCCTTGGCTTTAGCAGCTAATTCATATGGACCTTCAATCGCACGGGGTTCCTGTTTTGCCATGAGGGGTACTCCGGGAGCAATTGCTGTCGGGGGAAGAGGTTGTGGGAGGTTGACAGCCGTCTGTGGCTGTGCTGGTACAGGTGGAGGAGCCTGGACGGCTTGCGCTTGCTGCTGTAACGCCTGCTGTTGTGACTGAGCAGGCTGCGCGGGTGTTGTTTGTTGCTGCTGCTGCTGCTGCTGTTGTTGTTGTTGTTGAGCAGCAGTTCGACCCCTTCGGCCTCCTCGTGAGCCGGCACCAGTCCTACCACGTCTACTAGCAGGCTTCTCACCATGTTCGTTGTCCTTGGCACCACCACGGCGCGAGTTCTCGGCCTCAGTAGTCGAATCGCCTCCAAAAGTTGGGGCAGCTGCACGACGAGGTCGCCCAGTCTCCGTCATTTGAACAGTTTCTTCATCGTCACCATCGGCTTTCAAATCGGACATGAGTGCGTTGGACTTGGGCCGCGTAGTTGACTTTCTTGCGCGTCGCTGTGATCTCCATCTCTTATTCAACTTCGCCTTGTACTTGACCTCCTCTTTGGTCATGTAGTAATGACTGATACATTGAGCGTATGTACGTCCCGGTAACTCTTCAGCAATCTTACCCCATTTCTTGGGGTATGCCATGAAAGCGTCGAGGAACAATTTGTGTTCTTCTTCTGTGAAGTCATCCGGTGGCGGATAGAAACCGTAAACAGCCAAAGCATCGGCAGGGTCGATCTTGTTATTGGTGTCTTTAAAGGCGCCAGCTTCAATCTCATACTTTTCAAGCATATTCGGGATGTCAGCATCTCTGTCGGGATCTGGTCGTGCTGTGGCCTCCATACGACGACGGCGCTCCATCTCCTCTTGGGCAGAGATGGCAGATGCTTTAAGTGCATTCTGAAAATCCAGTTCACTGTTTCCTTTATATCGCCTGCCCTCTCTGCTTTCAGCAGCAGGAGCAGGAGCAGGCGTGACAGGTGGAGTACCTGCACTAGGAGTGCTTCCTTTCCTCTCCTCCTCTTTCTTCTGATCCAAGTCTCGTACAGTCAATCGCCAAGGTTTGTAGATCGCAACGTACTCCTCTCGTAGTCGTTTGTTCTTCTCTGACGCTTCCTTCCGCTGTCTCGCTACAGTATTGCGAATCGCTTCCTGTATGCGCTCGTGTGTCTTGATGTTTTCTTGGAAGACATCAAGTTCCGAGATTGGAGTGGGAGGACCCGAGACCAAGAAAGGCAAACTATCAACAGTGATGGTGTCTTTGCTAACAACTTCCACCGGCGTAGCTTCTTTGGTCGGAGTTGTAGGAGCAGGCTCATCAATATCCATCTCCTTTTTGTACGTAGGAGCCGGTACCACTGTCTTTGAAACCTCCTCCACATTCGTCTCGACAGCAGATGGTTCTGGTTCTTCAGGAACACTGCCATCTATAATCATCCCCAACAACTGGACTTTCATGAGTAAGTCGACAATAACAGGATCCTCCAGAGTTGGCGGTGGCATTTCAGCTTGCAAGGCAACTATACTCTTCTCGAAAAGCCTCTTTCGTTCCTGGAGATAGTCCTCCGTGAAAACCTCAGTTTCATCTTCTTCATCACTAGAACGTGTGAAATCAGGTAGGATGGATGGTGTTCCTTCGCCTTCCTGCTTTGATTCTATCTTCTCGGCTTGTGCCTTGACTTTTTCGTCTGCCTCGGGTGGTGCTACCACAGGATGTGCGTCAATTGGCTTTTCTTTCTCATCGGTAAGAGATTCCGACTTTGCAGAAGTTACGTTGTCGACAATTTTAGCTTCTTCATCGTGTTTCTCCTCATGGATAGGTCTCTTGTTCTCGACGGCACGAAGTGATTCGTCCAATTCTGCATCTTCATGTGACTCCTGCCGGTTGCCTAGCGAAGCGGTTGATGGAGGCGCACGATTGTAACCAGGACGAAGCCACTGCTTACTCTTCGCATGGCCACCGCGAGAAGACTGCCTAATTCCCGCACGAGGTCCGGTAGGCACACTGCCAAATGTCAAGCGGGGAGAAGTCTGAGGAGAACCTCCACGGCTTGCGGCCGGCAACTGTGACCGCGATAGTACAGGTGAAGTAGCTGCAGGGCCTAAAGGAGGAGAAATGCTCGCAAGATTGTCGTGGCGGCCTCGAGGCTCTGCAGCAAACGACTCGCATCTCAATGAAGCGGCGGGGGCAGTAGGAGGAGACGCATCGCAAGTAGACTGTTCCGCCGAAGTCGCGGGTCCCGTTGGAACGGGTTTAGAAGGTCGATTTGGTAAATCCAACCGAGATGGTTCAGATATTTTTTCCTTGGTTTGAGAAACACTGATTTGGGCCTTGGGTTCAGCTCGGTGAGCTTTAGGTTCTGTGGGAGCTTCTTTAGGGGGTTCTTTGGCTGTGGCAGAAGATATAATTTCTGCTCGGCTGCGTTCGGGCTTGCTGGGTATTGCTGACGAGGTTTGAGTAGGAGGGGGTTGAAGGGCTGGTTGTGAAGCAGACTTCTCAATGGAAAGAAGACTTGGAGGAAGAGTCACGGATCCAAAAGCAGGAACTTGAGGCGCGGATGGTGGTGGTGATCCCTTTGGTACAATTGATTCCCTAAGGGTTTCTGTACGGGATAACGGAAGGGCGGGTCGCTCTGTATCACGACGAGGATCTCTCACAGGTGGTAGCACCGTAGAAGTTTTGCGCACTAGTTCAGGAGTCGGCTGATCTTGCACCTTTGGCTCGGGTCGAGGGACATTCAATGCACCCGTTGGCGGAATAGAAGTACTCCTTGGGCCAGAGGGAATACGGTTATCTGAACGGGGTGGAAGGATATCCTTCTTCCAGGGTTCGAGCGGGCGGTCACGGTCGTCTCGTTCTGGTCGCCTGTCCTCATCGCGACGATCAAAACGATCACGCCGGTCAAACTCGCGATCACGATCCCTAAAATCTCGTTCTCTTTCGCGCTCGCGTTCGCGATCCCACCACCCATCACGAGACCTACTTCGACGTCGAAAGTTATCTCGATCATCCATAAAATGTCCTCGGCCACGTCCTCGACCACCTTCCCAATCACCTCGACCACGGCCGCGACCGAGACCACCTCGCATTGGAGGCGGGTGGCCTATGTTCTGATTCCCCGATGGACCATCTCCTGGGTTTGACGAACTCGAAACAAGACTGTCTCTCGAATTGCGTCGCATGCGCACAATGTCACCGTCGCGGGGCCCAAGTTCCCGAGAGTCTCTAAAATCTCTGGGATCGCGTGGTTGAGGCGATCGCGAGCGTCGAAAAGGAGGACGACCATCTCGGGAGTCGAAATCCCGATCTACACGGTCTCTGCGAGGCCAATCTCTGTCGCGATCATCTCGGCGAAACGGTGGACCATCACGAAAATCCCGATCACGGTCCCTGTCTCTATCGCGATCCCTATCTCGGTCGCGATCACGGTCTCGATCGCGAAAGTCATTGCGTGGCGGATATCCCCGACCACGACCGCCTGAATAAAGACCACCACGAGGAGCATCAATCAATGCTTTCGGCCCTCGTGGCGGCTCGCGCCCAAGTGGTGTGAGATTTGGATCATCTCGTAAGCCAGGCGGTAATGAAGGTCGGCGATCTGAATAGCGCTGAGGTGGTGAACGATCTCCGCGGGAAGAATACCCGGATGAAGGGGGAAAGCGCGAGGACATCACCGGCTCATGCTAATAGCACGAATGTCCAGGTCAAGTAATTCAACAATGCAAGCTCGGATCACAACCGATCCTTTGCCCGACAATCACTAAAAGACCAAAACTTTCAGGACTGTAATAAAAGGGAAGATTCGTACTATTGGGCTAGAAACGGTTAGTGTACGGGACATATACGACACGTGACGGAGAAAACTGGGGTTGAGGCGACAAAGGCTCTTGTCTTGGCCTCAGGCAGGGAGCCGCGCTGAATTGGGTTTAGTGCAGCCGAGTAACAGACCTGGCGGCAAAGGGAAGAAAACGCCAACGCGGAATGAATCTGGGACGTACGGGTAAAAGGAGAGGATGCAGGAATAAGCTTAATCCGATAAGATGTCTTCCAAAGAGCTGGTTAACAGAGCAACGGTTGTTGTGCTTGGTAGTTTTGGGATGTATGTCGTGACTAAAAGTTGTTCTTCAATAAACTGTAACACAGGGGTTGACAAGAGAGTGGCACGCGGTTCTGTCGAAGCGGAAACTTCTAAGTGTTTTCCTGCTCCCTTGTTGGAATTTGACGAAACAATACGTCGTACGTAGTCTGCCGAAATAATCAATAAACAAAAGTAAAATCACGGGCCGATGGAAATTAGCCGATTTTGAGATGAAATTGCGACCGTGATGGAGCTGCGATAGACAGTTGAGAGAGTGAAACTGGTTGGGCACAAGCCCAGATCCAGGCAAGGGTGCAGCAGCGTTTAATCAAGAAAGACAGAGAATGTATAAGAGTGGGAACCACGGTTAGAAGGAATAAAATAATCGGACAAAATTCGAATAATGCACAGAAAATGGCAGCATATAGGAGCTGACAGACGGAGTGATGCTGGAAGGTCAAGATTCCAGGAGTGATGAGTTAGAGGATTGAAAACCGAAAGAACGATGGCGCTGGCTGTGGATGATGATCATAGGCACACACAAAGAGAGAGGCTAGCTCTATTGGGGGTAGCGTGACAGTGATTGTTCCCAGCCAGTCCGGAGCGCCAGAAATTCAAGGGTGGATCCAGCCAATTGATCCAATCCGCTCCAGATCGCCAGGTCACATGTATCGCCGCGTGCTGATTGGCTTCCCAATTGAAGACGGTCCGTGCGCTCCCATGCTTCTTTTCTTGTCTGCATCGGGTCTAGCCTTGCAGATGTTACAGATTGCCCAGGGTAAAGGGCTACTCGCCTGTGATTGGACAGTCGCTGTGATTAAAGATCGGCAATGCAGCCAATCAGATCAACATAGTTATTGCCACCTTTCTCACCCTGATACGATAAGCCTTCTCAAATACTATTCCTGGGATATCTGCATCAGACACACACTATTATATATAAATCTGTACGTATATATTCAATCTAGAACCGATAAAGGCTCTCTATATCTAGAAACAGAAATTATCAATCATCCAATCTTCACAAGCATCCAAAACAATTCAAACTTTAACCAAAATCAACTCCACACCCTCCAAGGGCTCCACGCAACTTGGGTATTTTCAACATAATCAACTAGAAAAGAAAGAAAATATATATATATCTACATCTTGTAGATCTTTACCACCTTCAGCACGTTCTTGCGGCAGATAGGGCAGATCTCAACCTCGCGAGCACAGGTAACGCATGCACAAACGTGTCCACAATCGTAGAAAAGGGCATCCTGCTCTTCGCCATAGCAGATTTGACAAAGATCCATCTCCTCGTCGGCCACTTCCCAGTAGCTTATACCCTTTCCATGACGTTTGCCGTCTTTGTAGCCACCAACGTACTTGTTGCCGGTCTTGCTCTCAATAAATGTACCCTGGCCGTGCCGCTGGTCTTCAACCCAATCACCTTCGTAAGTGTCTCCAGATGGATACTCCATCTTACCCCGGCCATGGCGTTGCCCGAAGATGAACTCTCCGTTATACACGGTACCGGTATCCGAGATATGGGTGCCTTTACCGTGGTAGTAGCCTTTGCTGAACTCGCCACTGTAGTAGTCACCGTTAAATGTAGCGTCCACGGTTTTGGTTCCGGTGAAAGCTCGCGTCGGGTGTCTGCGGGACGAGGCCCAGATATATTGAACGAGGCGATCAGGGTTGGTAAACAATCCAGATGCACCAAGTTTTGCACGTCTAGACAGCGAATGTTAGAATTAGATCACATCCGAAGTTCGGTGAGAAAAACTTACTGTTCTTTGTTGAGTCGATCTCCCACAATAAAACAATGTCCATCGCCAACCGACATGGAAAATGTATCACTCGATGAAACAGCGACAACAGATGTGTTGTCAATTCGAGACCAGATGAGGAAGTCCTTGTTATCCTCCCAGCCCATGTTCTTGCGAATCTCGGATTTAACATTGTCACTCAACGCTGAAATAAAAGCACCAGCAGGCTTCAATGACTGCTTCTCTGTGTCAAATACCTGAACAAAGTAATAAACGTGAGGCACAGTCGGAACAGTGTCAGGTACCGCAGTAGGAGATTCAGTAGAGCTGTTGGCAGTCGACTCGACACCAGTATCTCGGCTGTCTGAAGGCGAGTCTTCCATGATTGTATCCTGTGCTGCGCCCTGAGCAGATTGCTCGGAATCTGCAGGAACGGGCTCAGCATTAGGAACCTCGATGTTTGGCAATGCTGTAGCGTCGACGTCCATCGGCTCTGCATCAGTTACAGTAGAGGTTGTGGGATCCTCGGTGTTAGGAACACCAGAGATAGTCACATCACCGGTGGCGTTGTCAGCTGCACCAGAAGAGTTCTCGGTTTGCTGACTTACAACAGGCTCCGCTGGAGTAGCAACATCTATCTGTATAGACTCTTGATGTTCAGGAACAGCCGCCGCGCTGCTGCCGGATCCTTCGGCGGAAGGTCTCTCCTCATCTGAGTCTTGAGCATCACGGACTTCCACAGCTCCTTCAGGTTTCTCTTCCAGAGTCTTGACAACTGTCGGCTCAGGAACAGCAAACGATTTGGCAGCTTCCTCAGATAAGACATACGTCCAGAATCGCACCACTGTGTCTTCCTTGGCTAATGTTTCAGCCAGATCATCTTGACGATCAAAGAGCAGGCCAGCACCAAGCTGCTTCTTGGCATGTCCAACTGTCCAGAGCTTCACGCGATGGCTAGGAATCTGTTCGACGTCACTCGATTTTGAGAATGCGATCTTCTTCCGAAGCTCAGCAATAGATGTGCTCTTTGGTAGAGTCAGATACATGACATTGTTTGTACGCTTGGCCTGGGACATCAAGTCATAGGTGTCAAAGATACTTGGAAGTGACTCCTCGATAGTAGGAAGACCGTAGACTTCAACTTGGATAGTTTGCTCAGCCTTGGACTCAGATTCCGCATCCCCAGCGGTCTGGTATGACTCTGTCTGAAAATAAGTGCGAAGTGGCTCAGCCACGTCCCAAGGCTCCAGTTTTCCAGGGAGGTACTCGTTAACGACGTCATGACGAACGTAAAGAGCTGCAACAGCAAAGTCATGGCCGGTCTTGTCATTGGCATCCTTGAGCTTGCTGTCATCGAGCCCAACATGCGATTCCAAAGCAGCCTTGCGCGTCAAACATTCAACTCGGTTATGACTGCCGTCATCAAAGGCGACCCATTTAGAACCAGGACCACCTGGTCGCAAAATGCTGAAGAACTTTCCAGATGTACGACGACCACGGTGAATGACAAACCCGTAAAGATCATATTCACCAGACTGTCCATGGGCAACGTAAGGCGCTAGATCCAACACTTCATCGAGATCTACGCGGTTGTAAAGGAGCTTCCACTGACGGGATGATTGGGCGAAGCATTGGCGGCTGAGCTCAACGTGAAGAACAGGAGGCAAGGACCACCGACCAGACTGCTCTTTGAAGTGCCGACTAAGAGCTCCTTGAATAGTTGTCTCCTTATCAACTGGTATTCGAACGCTTGTGATGAGCTGGGTAGGCAAGGTGTGAGTGACATTGGATCCTTGCGGATCGCTCACTGCAACAGGCGGGCTATCGAAAAGTTGAGCGAGCTCCTCAACTGCACCAGTACCTTCGAGTTCTATTTCTAAAGTGCGGCGCATCCTCTCCCAGAATTCTACCACGTCGCTTGAGTATTCGTGCAGGTTACGCAGTGTCGATGTGACCTTGTCGGTATCCACGCACTGATTCTCCGGGTTCTGATGACGCAAGCGCCACAAGAATTCTTGTAGAGCTTCACAGAATGGTCGAGGCTTTACATTGCAGTTGCGGCGATGTTCCTGAACATCCACACTCTGAATGATTTTTCTGAAAGGGGCAAGATTGACCCATGCTGCTAATCCAGCGACTTCGGCGCTATGATTAATGACGGAATCACCAATTGGACGGTAACCGGTCACAGCCAGACTGTCCCAGACTGGTTCTGAGTCACTTGGATGCCACCAGAGAGATAGCGTTGGATCATCGAACACCCGGATGTAGGCATCAAAGGCTAGGGTATCATTCCGCAGCAAAGCCTGGCGTTGGCCCTTCTGTCGACGGTGAATCTCATCCCAGGGACCGTGGAAGTATGTCCAACCCCAGTCAAGATTGTGTGGGTTAAACTGATGGCAGGATGATTGCATCCAACCTGTCCGAGGTTCATTAGGGTTGTACATAATCACGCCAATCTGTGCCGAGACCCTCCAGACGTTCTTCGAACCTTCTTCGGTTGTGTCTGTGGGACTGCAATTGACGCCGGTGTAGCTGTAGCATTTCTTGTAGTTTTCATACCACTCCTGCGAGTTTTCCAAGGCCGGAATCTTGATGCTCATTGTCGGTTCGCTTTCTTTCAAGTCGTCCGTCGGAGCACCAGACCGGACGGTGAACTCAGTCTCGGGTAATTTCTCGTCCACTGTCGGCATGTTCTTGGAGCATTCAACGTATATACTCAGAGACTGGCTTCCATTTCCTCGCGGGAAGAACTTGATGGTCCACCAGTACCCTCCAACGTACGCTGGCGGGGAACGCATGACCTTAGCCCGATTTGGCTTCTCCTTGGTGCCTCGCACACCCTTGATCTGCCATGTCAAACGAGCTTTCTCTGCTGGTCGATACTCGGGGTCATCGACTTCGTTATAGAAGGATTTCTCCCAGTAATCATCTAGTCAAGCAAAATGGTCAGTTTAAGCTGTACAGAGACTGAAGGCTGGGCTAATCAGAACGCCACTGGAGAAGTTTGGCATACATTCTAAAGCACTGTAATCGCCATCGCTGGACTCGATCTTTTTCAATTCCTCTTCGTCAGGGGAAGACGTGTCCTCTTCAACGCCTGCCCAAGTGGCAGGTTCCTCCTCCGGAGGTGCCGGAGCAGACTCGGGTTGTTCGGCGGGCTCGGTTTCAGAGGGCTGAGTGGTCTCCTCTGTTGGGTTTGGCTCCTCTGCGGCCTCTGCTGCCGGAGCTTCGGTCTGTTGAGGAATTTCCGTTGTGGTTTCTGTTGCGGGCTCGGTGTTCTGAGTCTCCTCAGTAGATGGTGCCTGAGGAGGCTGTGTGGTGTCTTCGGAAGTATCCATTTCGAGATTTGAGGTCTGTTGAACTTCCTCTGGTTGACCGGGTGTGTTCGCGGATTCTATAGTCACTGGTGCAACTGGAGGAACTGGACCCGAGGGTATGACGGCGGGCTCCTGAACGGGATCCATGATAAGACGAGTAGACGGTGGTACGAAGACAGATTAGAGAGATAACAAAGATGGGGCCCTACTCAAACCACGTGAGCTAGCCAAAAGCTGGATAACTCCGGTACAAAAATGAAAGAGATAAAATGTAATCTGCTTCCAGCACAGATTCAATAAAAGCAAATCAGTCGGATGGTGATAAGAGAATGTAGAGAAGAAGGAACAAGGAGAAAAAGACCTTGAACCTAGTCTATACAGTATAGATATGACGGGAGAGAAGCCTCGACTCTCTTTAAGGCCGGACAAAGGAAAGAAGAAGGAAGAGGAGAAATAAATATGAAGCACGAGGGGAGGGGAAGGAATGATAGATAAGTGACCTGAGCGATAAGTGATTAGCTGATTAGCTAGTGTGTGAATACAGTGGAGCACGGGGTTTCGCCATATGTCGTATTACCGATACCGTTCCGTAATTACCCTGAAGTACCGAATAAAAGCCTTAACAACGTTGCGGTCAGTTCCTCGAAGTGGTACCCTGTCTAAAACCTGAGGCACTCCGCCCTAGTATTAGACTATTCTAGCTCGGGAAAACGAAACTACTCAGGCGATCTCTCGATGGCCAGCCAATTCTCCCTTGTTACTATGTAGCTAGAGGTTAGCTCTATGTAGTTCACAGTTTTGTTCATGAGTCTTAATGTATCTAGACTATACTATGCGCTGTGTCCCGTGAGAAATTTCTGCAAGTGGGATCAAAGACCTCCTCTCTACGGAGATTTGATGCGAAAAAAAAATTCACTGGTCGACTATGCGGGTACATGTAAAGTGAGGCGAAGTTGGTCTGTCAAACGATCGACTCCGGCCTTTACCTTTGGTTTTTCTCTTGTAACGTGCCCAGAGGTGTGTAGCGCGAAGAGACAGTTCTTCAGCCCAGCAGAGCAAATAACACAGCCTTGCCTAGAGCCCTAGAGTACACTCGCACCGGCGCAGACATCCGGGTCTGACTGATGAGGCTCTGGCACAGCAATGATAATACGGTATTCTATCAGCCTTTCCTAGTTGTAACTGGAAAACGATTGTTGACACAGTATGATTGGGCTTCCAGCTTTCCACCGCTTATTCATGCCATCCACTCTCGTGCGTACTGTATTTAATACGTTCGGGGCTAGTTTTATTCCTCCAGTTCCTGCGGCCCGCCCCAATAATTTGGCTCTTCCTGGTGGAGAATAGGAACAAAGCTTCTAGCACACCGCCCGGATGTCTTTTGTCCTCGGCTCTCGATACGTATTGAATTGATCCTACATTGTGGCAAACCCTTTTAATTGACGGTACTATTTGTGCAAGATGTCGCGATTCGTCTCCATCTGACAGAAAAATCGTTCCTGTCCCGAGCCATTTATATCTCCTCGGAAATTTGTCACAGGCGCGAGAAACTAACAGAGTAGTGCCAGCATTGACTGGCTGGCTTACCCATACCCATTCCTCATCACGTGCGTAACCCGTCCGCATTAGCCTTGTGGTGCGTTCATTTCTGTCCAATCATTGTACCGTATTGCCGTCGAGCTGATGAGTCAATTCAGCAACGACCAGCTCACAATGTATGCATCTGTCTCTGCTGCCTTGTAGGCAGATGCACTCTATACTGGGAAAAGTTAAGGATAGGTACTGTCAATTGATCTCGACCAATCTGGAATCGTGGGATACCTCACTAGTGGACGGGAGGCTGACATGTTGAATTAGACATCAGATGCAACAGGGATGAAGCGATGCAGATGGATCGCGCGTACAATACGAATATGCCTCGATCCTTAACCCATTGTCTACTTCATAGCGACTGCTAGATTTGCGCATCTAAAACACAAGATTCTCACTCGCCAACAGACTGTAAGCGACGAGTCCTCGAGAAACGATAAGAGGAGAGAAGCGATAAGATGTGGCGGATCCTGAGTGGGTCGTCTGGAAAATCGGGGATGCCATCCTAGTCAGAACCGTTATTTACCGTCCGGTATTATATTGTACATACTGAACCGTAAGTACCGTACCCTCACTACTCAGGCTGACCCCTTTTGAGGCTTAGCTCTCGAATTCATTCGTTGATCCACTTGAGACTGTCTAGATGCCTCTATAACTCAGCTGTTAAGGCATCGAAACCAGCCCATACTCGTCTTACAGAAATAGGTCAAAGAAGGAATTGATATTTTTCGTATGGATAACCATGGTTCCACCGATCCGGTATCGGTCTACCTGGTTGAATTAAGGTACAGTGGCAAATCCAGAGAATCGTCCATTGAGAAGCTTATCTTTATCCGGATCGTCCATTGCCTATTATTCGTGCATCAGAATATGTGCTCATCTAGATCGGACACTGCTGACAGGTTTACCACTGTTATTCGCCACGTGCCTGTCGACCCACGATATTGCGCGGATTGTCATTTGAACAGTCCCAGGGTTTCTGGAACGTAGAGCTTCTCACTACGGAGATGTCAAGGGAATACCAGGCCGTGCCAGCGGCTTATGCATTATGCATCTCGGCCCACTTTAGGGACTACTGGCGGCGATGAACATGTAGCATAAGCACATTGGTTGAAGATGTATGAGTGATCTTCAGATATCCAGGGTCATATGGAGAACCTTTCGAAGTCTTAAGTCAATTCGACCGGATCGAAAGTCAATTGATATCAATTCTGTGATCGTCCTTGCTTCAATTCAGCATCAGCAACACCATCCCGACTTGCTCTTGCAAAGGTACTAGCAACGATCAACGGGAAGGCCACTGTAGCTTCCGCATACACCTTAACACTATCTGCACCAGCCTTTATTTTGCCCCAGCTAACGGCTTCGTCGGGTCGTGCTCCCGCATCACTACCGTCAAACTCTTGAGCAGTATTGATGTACACCGCACTTTCTGCTCCATTCCTCATCAAACATGCATTGGCAATGTGATGCTTGACCACACCACCACCGAGGATAATCATTCCGGCCCTCTTGGCACGTACCGACATTGTATTAATCCGTCTGACATCATCGACAATGTCTACTCTCAGACGTTGTGGTGAGGTTTTGAACGTATGAAAGTAGAGCATATCGCCCAATGAACCGTCTGTCAGAGCGGGACAAAAGATAGGAATGTCATTTTTCCATGCCCAATAACAGACTGATTCCTCGTTATTTATCTCCTTTCCAAGCCTGTTTATGATTTTGGAAGGTGTCCAATGTAACTCATCATCCGGATCTCCTGACTTGGCGGCCTTGACCTTTGAGTCTTCCTGCTCCTCCACCATCTTATCGAGAATAGGAATCAGCCAATCTTCAAAAGCACAATAGTTGCTATTTGGAACTATCAGATTTCCAATCCGGTTTAGTCCTTGTGCTCTGAGTCCTGCGCCGGGTGTACTGAAAGCACCGAGGTATGTCGGCGCAAGACATTTAATCAAGTCTTCTTCGACACCGCCCGCCGTAGTCACAATCACCGAGACGTGTTTGTGCTGAACTAAAAATCGCAGTGTCTCCCTCAAACCCGACGATATCAGATTACTCGTATATCCCAGGAAGATCGTCGTGCGTTCGCCGGTCTCAGAATCGCAAAATGATCTCATATCATTGATAATGCGCACCGCCTCTCCGATAGCACTAGCCTGAAATCCCATGGTGGACATGTTCGACACAAGCTCGGAAACAGTTATGTCACGGTCGACAAAATCGTTGAAATTGACTCCGCGAACCTTTCGTACGTCGTCTGGTACTGGCGCGGACGGGACGAGAACGGCGGCAGTTGCGGAGGAGGGTGCCTGACCGACATGATTGGAATTTGGATTTCCTTGTGATATGGGCGCATGAGGAGACATTTCGTTGATTGGACCTTTTGTGATCGGAAACTTTGAACGTGTTGTGTAAGAAACACGCTGCGGAGAAAATTTTTGTATCTATAGACTGCCCCGCGGCGGGGAATGGGCGATTCTCTAAGTGTCAGCGTTGGCCTTTTGAGACATTCGAATCGGTTGAGTATTTTATTTTGATATTTCCACCGTGTAATTATTATCAAAAAGTAGAGGAATTAAAAAGGAGACGTTGTGGATGCTGGTGTACAGTGGTGACATTGATGTCAATTTTATATTTTGTTCGATTGTTGCCTCTCGGGCCAACTTTAGTCGCATCATGTTAAAGAATTTATAGCAAGCTGGTCTATAGACTCGCAACTGCTACATGATGATCCCATTGAATCTCTGTTTACATTATTTTGTATAATACAGAATCAATATTGTACATTTCTCTAGAGCTCTCACGAAATGCAGTGTTGAGACACAGTTGGCACATGTGACTCTAAACTGACTGACCAATGATAAAGCTGCGATTACAATGAAGATCTGCCGAATTTAGCCTCGGCTGATGGCTAATTCCGGTATAGCGCCGCTTCCCCGGAATGTCCATTATGTCCATCTTGTCAGCTGGTGCTTTTTTGTCTCTTTGCTTTGTCTTTGAAAACATATTTATGTATTTGATCGGTATGTACGATTTGCTCTCTACTAATCGGTAAAATAAACTAATTTACCTCCGTCATAGCACAAATAGGCAACAGAAGACGCAATCATGCCGCACTCCGCACTTAGCCGCGCCGAAGTGGCCAAGCACAACACTGCTGAAGATTGCTGGGTGATCATTGATCATAAAGTCTATGATCTCTCCGACTTCCTTGACGCCCATCCAGGTGGAAATGTGGTCCTGGCTCAGGTAGCCGGAAAAGATGCCACCGTCGACTTCTACCAGCTTCATCGCCAGGAAGTCTTGACGAAGTATAAAGATCTATGCATAGGAACCTTGGAAGGCGAGAAGCCCGAAGTCATTGACCAGAAACCTGGAGACCTCTGTGCTGTACCGTACGCTGAGCCTTTGTGGTTGAGACCGGAGTTCAGCAGCCCGTACTTCAAGGAAAGTCATCGTCGCCTACAGAAGGCAATTCGCGAATTTACCGACAAGTATGTGACACCGGAAGCCCAACAAAAGGAGAAAGATGGCACATATATCAGCCAAGAGTTGATTGATCGTATGGCGGAAACCAACATTCTCGCTATGAGATTGGGTCCTGGAGAGCACCTTCACGGCCGCAAATTGTTGGGTGGTGTCGTGGATGGCAAGGAGTTCGATTCCTTTCATGATATGATTGTGGTTCAGGAGATGGTCCGAGCAAGTGCTCGAGGTATGTTATGAAGTAATCTGTTATCATTCAGAGCGGTAGGTTGACCGAAATTCAATAGGCTACCAAGATGGTAACATGGCGGGTATGGCTATTAGTCTTACAGCCGTGAAGCAGTGGTTGAGGAACAAGCCTTTGAGAGACCAACTACTTGAAGAAGTTCTTTCCGGCAAGAAGAAGATGTGCCTTGCTATCACCGAAGCTTTTGCAGGCTCCGATGTCGCCGGTCTTCGCACAACTGCTGAAAAGACCCCTGACGGCAAGTATTACATTGTGAACGGAACCAAGAAATGGATCACAAATGGCATGTTCTCTGACTACTTTGTGACTGGATGTCGCACCAAGAAAGGATTCTCTGTGCTTTTGATCCCCCGCGGGGAAGGTGTCGAAACCACGCTTATCAAAACATCTTACTCTACAGCTGCAGGAACTGCATTTGTGCAATACGATAACGTCAAGGTCCCCGTCGAGAATCTGCTCGGTGAAGAAGACAAGGGATTCGCCGTTATCATGAGCAACTTCAACCACGAACGGTACATGATGGCAGCCGCTGTGATTCGCATGTCCCGTGTCATTGTTGAAGAGTGTTTGAAGTGGAGTAATCAACGCCTTGTATTCAAGAAGCCACTCATTGAGCAGCCTGTCATTCGTCAAAAGTAAGAATCATCTGTTTCTTTTATATGCTTTCAGCTCGTTGCCTATGTGGAATAGCGAGTACTAATACATCGCTCATAGACTCGCCAAAATGATCTCCCAAGTTGAAGCAAATCAAGCCTGGCTTGAATCTCTCTCACATCAAATGTGCCAGATGAGCTACGCGCAACAAGCCAAGCATCTCGCCGGTCCCATTGCTCTGCTCAAATCCTATTCAACCCAATGCGCCGGCGAGATCGCCAGCTCCGCCACCAACATTTTCGGTGGCCGTGGTCTGACACAGTCTGGTATGGGCAAGATCATCGAGAACTTCAATAGAGGTTATAAGTTTGATGCTATCCTCGGAGGTACAGAGGAAATCTTGGCCGATTTGGGTGTTAGGCAGGCCATTAAGAATTTCCCCAAAGCAATGCTTTAAACCCTCCCATCTTTTTGCCTGTTTGATTCGAGTTAAATTTGATGGAAATTGTATAATGTCTTTTGAAGTTCCGAGGTTCTCCCGGTACACATTGTTTGTGTGTTCAGATTCCAAACCATCACCTAGTATGGAGGGACGCCTGAGGTTGTGATAAGGCTTGGATTTATGATACAGTTGCATGCACATATTTCAATTCTATATTGACTGGTTAGGAATCAAAGAAGACAAATGTACAATATATGATTCCATTTTCGACATAACGCTAACGCCCGACCCAATGCCATAAACACAATGTAGGCAACAAAAAACTAAATAAAAAGAAAGAAAAGACTTTTTTTCTTTGACGGACTCGATATCTACTTCTTTGACTTTTTGGTCTTCTTCGATTTCGTTGATGAAGGTGAAGAAGAAGCAGCAGCAGCAGCAGCAGTAGCATCTACGGCTGATTTCTCTTCCTGGGCTTCAGTAGACTTTTTTTCCTTCTTGGAACCCTTCTTCTTTTCTGTACCCTGCTCTTCTATAGATGGCTCCTTTTCTGATGCAGAATCAGAAGTGGAGTCCTGTTTCTTTGCTTTGTTTCCATCTTTCCTTGCCTTCTCCAAGACGGCCTTTGGGTTGATACCCTTCCTCCTGAGCCGGTTACGTTCAGCACGGGCAATGATTTCCGCATCCTCTTCCTCCTCGAAAGGACCAAAGGCATCTTCTCCGATAGCGTTGCCGTTCTCATCCATGATAGGTGTTTTATCAATGATCTCAGCATCGTTATCACCCGCCTCTGATGCCGATTTGTTGGATTTCGTGTCTCCAGTTTCATCAGCGACAACGCCATTCTTTTTGCTGGCACCGGGACTGGGACCAGTCTTCTTCAGTTTACAGACGAAGAAACCGTCGACGTTCTCCCTGTGTGGGAAATAGCGTCTAGTCAAAGTCATTTTCTCGTCGAACTTCTTACCCATGTAGCTTGTGAAGCCCTCTGAACCGAAGCTTCCAAGACCGGTGTCCACGATCTTGACATTCGGGCGTTTGCGTAGGACATACTGAACAACCTGTTCATTCTCTTCAACAGTGACACTACATGTCGAATACACAATGTAACCGCCCGTCTTGGAGTGATGGTCCGTCGAGTCGATGGCAGCAAGCAGAAGTTGTCGTTGCAGATGGGGAATAGCCAGGAAATCGCGTTCTGTCTTGTTCGTCTTCACACTAGGATCCTTCGATATAACGCCGGTACCGGTACATGGAGCGTCAAGCAGGACTCGGTCAAAGCCACCGAGAATCTTTGGGAAAGCCTCTTGAGCATTATAGTTGCAGACGATAGTATTCTTGCAACCAAGACGATGGATGTTACCAATCAAACCCTTAGTACGGGCTTTGCTGGCATCGTTGGCCACGACAATACCGGTGTTGCGCATCAAAGCTGAGATATATGTCGTCTTACCACCGGGAGCGGAAGCCATATCTAGTACTCGCTCATTTTCTTGTGGAGCGAGAGCCATAACGGGAAGGAAAGATGACGCAGCTTGGAGAATGTAGTGTCCTGCAAGATATTCGGGGGTAGCACCAAGAGGAACGGCAGACTCAAAGACTTGTAACCCGACTTTAGACCATTTGCCGACTGGTTGCAAGACCACACCTCGATTGATCAGGGCTTGTGCAAGTGTACGACGGTTGGTGCGCAGAGTATTGGTACGAATGACCACCGGACGAGGAATTTCGTTGGCCTCGAAGAAGGCAAACGCTTCCATAGGAGTGAAAAGTGACATGAGCTTTTCGGCCAGATATGGCGTATAACCATAATATGTGCAGATATCGTCTAGCAGAAGCTGCATATAGTCTGCGCGGGACTGGCCAGGTTGTCCAAGGGTTGCCAAATCACCCAACACTCTTAGGGTATCTGTAATGCGAGTTCGAAGAAGTTGCATATTCGGCGCAATACCTGCTTTCGCTGCCGTATCCGCATCGCCAAAGATATCGGGACGTTCGCCAGCGATATTTGTCTGCAGTGCCGAGTCTTGCATTTCCTGCCTAGCCTCTTCTTCCTCCATTTGGCGTTGTTCGTCGAGTTTTCGGGATAAACCCTCAATATTCGCTGCCGTGAGCTTTTCTTCAGCATCTGATTCATCTTCGTCATCTGAAAACATCTTTTCTCGAGGGTGATCTTCCTCTTCCGAGTCGAATACCGACCCTTCGTCGAATTTCCCATCCGCGACATCGCTTCCTCCAGATGTATCACTCACGTCGTCCAAGTCGCCGAATTCGTCCTGCATTAATTCGTCGAGATCAGGAGCACTGCCGCTGCCCCAGCTTTCGTCGTCATCGTCATCTTCAGACGCCGGTTCGGGCTCAGAAACCTTCTTTGCTGACTTCTTGCTTTTCTCAGCCTTTGTAGGAGTTTTCTTGGGCGTTGCGACAACGGCTGATTTCTGTTCTTTGCCATTTTTGCCATTGACCGTGACACCATTAGATTTCGTCTTGTCTCCCTTAGTCTTGACCTTCTGGGTCTCAGGCTCAGGCTCTGGTTCGGATTCTGCTACTGCCTTTCGTCGTTTTTTCCCGCCATCTGCTTTTGCTCCAGCTTCAGCAGCCTTTCTTTTTTTGATTAATGAAATGGTAGCCTCATCCAATGGAGGAGGAGGCCCTTGTTTTTTCATGCGACGACCAACACCCATTTTGCTGATCTAAAGTAAAATAGCAGAGAAAACAAATTCTAATTGATCATGCCAATGCATGAAGCAAAACTGATAAGAGACTAAACTTTTTTTTTCTCTATCGAAGCGGTGTGACTCGGCAGAACCGGCCCCACTGTTGCGGGCGGTGGAACTGGCCAGAGCTCTCTCTTGATGATTAGCATCTCAATTGACTGTTTGTTCCTATGCGCGGTGAATTTAAGACCATCACAAATTTGATTTGCACATACATCATTCGCAATGACCGAAGTCTCCTTCACCAGAAGCTTTCTACAAGTGGTAGACTCAAAGCCTATTAGGTTGCCGTACGACTATGTTGCCGATCCAGCCACGACGCGGTTGCCAGTGCCAGTATGTATCAGCTGTTCTCAATGGATCAAATATCGATGCTTTATTCAACCTTTGGAACTTGAACAAAGGATTTATTCGAGATTGAAGACATGATGCTAATGGCCTTTCTTACTACAGTACACTCTTCCCCGCCTTCAATCCCCGCACCCTCCTATGGCAAAGAAGATCAAGACTACAGATGCTCCTGGCTCCGCGAAATCAGTAACCGTTCAATTGAAATCTGCACGGAATCCTGTTCTCGAAGTATCGCTAGACAATGTCCCTCTCACAACAACAAGCATCCACGACTTGCGCGAAGCAGTACGTCAACGTGTCGTTGCGGCCGACGGAAAAGAACCACCAGCAGCCGATAAGATCAAGATATTGTATAAGAAGAAACCCGTTGGTGGAAGCTCTGAACGGACTGTAGCCGAAATTCTTGTCGATTCAGAACCTGAACTTCTCAGTGGAGGAAAAACAGTTGAATTCGGTATTATGATTATGGGAGGCGCATCAGTCAAACCTGAAGTCACAGAATCTCCAACGGGCGCGGGGGCTACAGTAACAGAGACAAGACCATATCAATCGAAACCAGCAGTGGGCGCCAGTGGATCGGAAGTTCTACAAACAGAGGATTTCTGGAAAGACTTGGAAGGATTTCTGGAGCTAAGGACGAAAGATACTGTAGAGGCACTGAGGTTGTCGGGCATATTCAAAAGGGCATGGAAAGCGGATACCGCTCAATCCGAGTCTTGACCACATCTCTAGCTGTCACGATATTGAATTTATCCCAAACCATTTCTCTCAGATTATTTGTGATGTTCAGTATGTAGTTCGTATTCTGGCCAATCGGAGAAGCGAAATGGCTGAGGCTTCGGTGGGTCACTCCGTATCAGATCATATGTAATTGGCTTAACTGTTGTAGCCTGAGGAATTTAGATGTGGCGTCCTTAAATGCAACCTCTTTTTCCTTCTATACCCATCACCAACTGAACTTGAGGTCTCCACAAGCAGTCATCATAATGGAGAGACCGTCGACTCCGCCAGCTACAGCGGCGCAAAATGGCCAGCTTTTACGCGACCCTATTACGCCAGAGCAACAGCGGCGAATAGTATGATTATCAGCCTTATAATACGATTGCGACTGATTCTGACCATATTTCTGCAGGAAATAAACCGGATGAAAGCTAAGGCTATACGTGAGCAACAAGAAGCAGAAGAAGTAGCAGCTCGCCAGTCAGCGCCGTCTAAATTGTCCGGTGTAAAACGATCATTCAATACCATGACATCAACTCAAGGGCCTTCAACTCTTCGTGATGCGGCCAACAATCGACCTCTCGAAAGTATAAAGCCAGCGCGCGCGTTCTCTAAATATGTCGAATATGAGTTTAGTAAGATGACCGATACGAAGGGTGGTTTCTTAACGCAAGAGGATGATCCATATAACAAAGCACTGCATGTGAGCGATGGAAAGGAGCAGAAACCGGCGAATATGACGCAGAAGGAATGGGAGAGGAAGCTTCTCCTAGATGACTTAAGAAGAAACAAAGCCGGTCCTTTTGAACCTGGTTTGAGTGTTCTCGATGAGAAGGCTAGCCAAAGGGCGTGTAGAGAGTGTGGCAGCCTCGAGATTGACTGGAAATGGGAGGAAGCCTTCAAGTGCTACGTGTGCAACACATGCAAAGACAAGTATCCTGAAAAGTACAGCATGTTGACAAAGACTGAGGCGAAGGAGGACTATCTGCTAACGGATCGTGAGTTGATTCAAATCTCCATAGTACGCTGTCGCAAAGCTAACCATAAAATAGCGGAACTTCGCGACGAGGAGCTATTACCGCATCTTAAGAAACCTAATCCTCACAAATCTACATGGAATGACATGATGCTCTATCTACGATTTCAAGTCGAGGAGTATGCATTCTCACCTAAAAAGTGGGGATCGCCAGAGGCTCTTGATGCAGAGTTTGAGAGGAGAGAAGCAGAAAAGAAACGCCGGAGAGAAGTCAAGTTTAAGCAGAAGTTGACCGATCTGAAGAAACGTACTCGAGTCGAGGCCTATCGTCGCAATAAACAGGGCCCTGCTGGTGGAAATTTCGGCGATGATCTTGGAGGTAAGAAGAAACATGTGCATGAATGGGGTCGACAAGTAGAAAATCCAGAGACAGGCATGACTGTGAAGACATGTGTCGAGTGTGGAATGGAGGTTGAGGAATTAGAGCTATGACGGCTGTGGGCGATAATAGGTTGGCGTCTGGATTTACATTACGATACCCTGTTTGTTTGACATATATTGTACATAAGATGAGTCAATTCAAGCTTACACTAAACAATCCCCGAGGTCAGTCCAGTAAATATTCTTAGTGTACTCTTCTGGACTTCATCCACTATCGCTGCCGCGTCTTTAACTTCTCGAACCAGTCCAATAGATGCCCCAGCATAAGTGGCGAGTCTACCATCCGGTCCCCAGCCACTATCACCGGCTTTCTGAGCTTCTTCATGACGCTTCTTGAGTTCCTCAAACGGGACTCCCGCCCGTTGCTCTTCATATGATTTGTTGATGATTGTTCGTGGACTGTATCCCTCTGGCCAGCCGAAAGTCCCACGGAGGTGATTATAAAGCAAAGTACGGGTGGTGTTTACAGCCCCATCGTTGGCTCGAACGACTTCGTTCTGATATCCACGACTTATACGTGTTTCAGTAGCAGCTAGAAAGCGAGTGCCCATAGCAATGCCAGAAGCTCCAAGACATAAAGCAGCAGCAGCGCCTCTTCCGTCGGCAATTCCTCCGGCAGCAACTAGAGGAATCTGACTCCCTTCAGTCACATCAGCAACCTCGGGTAACAGAGAAATGAGCCCTAGCCCATCTTTGGTGCGCCCATGGCCACCAGACTCCGAGCCTTGAACCACGATGACATCCGGAAGCTGAGAGCCACGTAGAAGCTCCTTTACCTCGGCCAATGTCCCTATTTGGATCCATATCTGTGTTTGAGGAGACGCTGTGCGAATCTTGAGAGACCATTTATCTAAATCCTTTTGACCATTTCTCGGTGCATAGAGCCAGGCAGCACATGGTTTGAATTCTTTAACTGAATCAGCGGCCACCTGGATGTCATCACACCAGAGCTGAAATCCAATTCCAACAGGCAGGACTTGATCAGAAGAAGGAACGAAAGATGAGAACAAATTTGTTTTCGGAACCAGCGCCGATGCTTCCCGCAAGTCCAGCAGAGTATCTTGAGTCTTCGCGCTTGGTCCAATAAATCCCAGGCCACCGGAGCTGGAAACTGCTACAGCCAACGCTGGGCCTGACATTATACGCATTGGAGCGCTGACTATAAAAGGCTTCGAAGCCCATGGATACCGCGACGATAGAGACTTAGCCATTGTAAGAGTCTTAGGCGTCTTAGGCATTATGATCTGTAAACGTGTATGTGAAAATCAAATCGACGTAACTTTATGACGTTGGCCACTGCTTATATGCTTTTCGTAAAACCGTTCATATAACCGTCGTAGCCGATTATCCCGCACGAACCGGATCTACATCATTGGATAGAAGTATGAGACAAGCAAGTCAAAAAGTCAACTTTGATTTGAAATCACATGAAGTAGTTAAGTTACAAGATCGGGAGTCTCGTCACGTAATCAGGCGAGATCCAGTTCATAAGTAGATGCTGGGTGTTTACTGATGGTTCAGCTTCAAAGCGATGATGGATATCTTAAAGCGGCAGAATGGTCTTGGCGGTGAGCTCTCCTGCCCTTTTCGGGGGTAACAGCTTGGACAGTTTCTACCATCGTGAAGAATGTGCGCCTTCACACCCTAATCATGCCAGGCTCATGTCCTTTACCAAGAAATGTCCGACCTGAATGATGATCTGTCGCCCTTATCTTCTGGAATCGACAGCATCACTCCGTTCCCTCAATTGGAAGATGATGTTAATGAAACACCACCTACCAACGGTGATGATGAAGCACTACATATGAAGTTTTCGCCTCTGCGCAATCGCACTGGCACAGCGCATGCAATGATACACAAAAATTCGTTATCTAGCGCATCCCAGAGTGAATTGCAATCGCAAACGGAATCGTCCGAAGATGCGAGAAACCCCAATGACGAGCAGGCCCTATCGCCTAGCATTGAAATTCAAGAAGATACAGAGGACGCCGAGTTCCAGTCACAGTATTACGTGGAGAATGAGTCTTTGGAGCATGCAGAAGATATATCGCTGGACTCTACTGGGGAGGATTTCAATGACGAAGATGAGCTACAAGAGCCCAGTAGCGACGAAGACGGCGACGATGATTCTCAAGAAAGAAGTAGCAATGGCGTCAATATGCATCGACCATTCATGCAATCCACATCTTCGTTATCGGGTCCCAATGCGTTTGCACCGCCCTTCTATAACCGACCCCCTACACCTCTTCCGCCGTCGCCGTCTTTGACTTCCTTGTTGCGACCACCATTCTCGACGACGACGTCCAGGCCCACCACTCCTGATACATCAGATGCGGAGACACCGAATGATACGGAAGCTGCCGTCGCAAAGTCTGCGAGAATCGCGACCACCGTTCCCAGGGCGAGCCCGAAAGTCCCAACGTATGAGTACTACGGCTTCGTGCTCTACCTTACATCTTCTTGCGCATTCTGTATGCTTGAACACTTCTATAGGCAATATTCCGAGCACGGCTAACAATGTATAGTAATGTACCTTTTATGGTCGTACCTTCCATCGCCCTTTCTCCACCAACTCGGCATCTACTATTACCCCAACCGGTGGTGGTCACTTGCAATCCCTGCATGGCTCGTTATGTTCCTCGTTTACATATACGTCGCTCTCGCGTGCTATAATACTGGTTATCTGACACTTCCGATGACGTCTATTGAGAACATCGTCGACGAAGCAGCAAACATCGCGGTTATTAATGGTAAAGGGCGCCGGCGGCCCGGTGGTAGTGAGAAAATGAAACCCGGCTCAGCGACAAGTCAGACAATGTCCACTGCACAGAACCGAAGGGTCCATGGGCATGCCTCGTCTGGCAGTGCTAGTGGTAACGGAAGCTTGTTGTGGAAAGATGTTTGGGCTGAGAGTACTGACGCCGTCATGGATATACCTGTGGGAGGCGTATGTGAAGTGCTCTATGGTAGGGACAGGGAAGATGACCCTAGCATTGAAGCCGCCTCGGATCAATATGAACCAGTGTATGATTCTCGGCGCAGGCGCTTTCAGCGGGAAGATATGTTACACTTTGACGGGTCTTCAAGCTATCGTCCCAATAATATAGCCGAATACCCATCGCATACTGCTGATGCTGGAAGTTCCTGGTAGGATGTGTCTGGCGAGCACTATAACTTAGACTAATAATGAATATGATGATACCCTTGCAAATTTTGAAGTTGCATGCAATCATGTATTTTATCGGTGTAGCAGTGTCGCAGTAGCCTAACTGTTTCGCTGAAGCTTTCCTAACTATACAGCAATTGAATCTTTGGAGCGACAATTATCTCTCAGATGAAAGAATAAAGGGGCCAGAGCGGCTAAACTGTGAATCTGTTTTGGCAGGCGAGAGACGCAGCCAATGGTTGTGGCCTGAGGCAGCCCACTAGCACCGAGCTAAACACGCGCAAATGCCATAACGGACAGCTTCCCCATCCCAAGTCAAGCTGAAGCGATCGGAAAAGTCAGCCACTCCATCTATCTCAATCGCGTCTTTCTTTTACTTGTACTGTTGCGTGACTGCTTAGATTTCCGTCATCGCATCTCGCCAAACTCGCTGTGTCTGTCGTTGCGCGGCCGAACATTAAGACCAGGGTTGATACAGAGCTGATCTCGACAATCCCGAACTCACCTCCGCGCCGGACAGTCTGTGCTTTCTCAGCGCCAATTCGACCCTCCTCTGCGTCAACATTGTATACTGCGAGCTGACTATTTACCGTTGATACAACTCGCGGGAACTTGCCTTCATGGCCTGGCAGTCTCCTTCTGCCATGGCTGGGAATGGAGGAGGACTTGGGGGTGCGCCAGGTGAGGGGATGCCCAATCATCCTCACCCACAAGGGACCGAATATACATTGCAAGGTATGGGCAGAGCCAAAGAGAGAGACTATCACATGTTTGTCAATTCTTTCCCCGATTCTGATACTTCCAATTAGGTGTTATGCGCTTCCTTCAAACCGAATGGCATCGGCATGAGCGAGACCGTAACGCCTGGGAAATTGAGCGCGCGGAGATGAAGTCTCGCATTGGACGCCTGGAGGGCGATATTCGAACAAGCAAACGATTACACGAATCTCTCGGAAAGCATGTCAAAATGTTGGAGATGGCATTAAAAAAGGAGCGGGAAACGGTCCGCAGCCTACGCAATGGAGAAAAAGTCGACGATATTCGCGACCCAAAGGAAGTTGCCAGGGAAAACTTGAGACATCTACCGCAAAGTCTGTTACCCATATTATTGGCTGTTTGATATCATTGAGCGATGCTAACATTCAACAGCCAGCAAAACGAAGACTGCTTTCTTAGTTCCTGAACTAGAGAACGACCCAGCTCAGGCCGACTTTCGACAAGATGCAGAACGCGAAAAGTCTCGTGTATACCTCAGCAAATGTGCACAAGAAGTTTCATATCATGTCATACCTGCCTCTCACCCGCCGCTGGAGTTCAGCGGTCAGGATTTGCAAGGCAATTTATATGGAGATCAGCAACTACCACAACAAAGTCTTGAGGAGGCATATCACCAACAGAGGCAGAAACAGCAGCAGCAGCAGCAGAACAATGTCATGGTTCGTGAGTCTGCTATACAGAGTCATCAATCAATGCCAGCGAATTATGTGGAGAACAATCGATCAGCCCTTGCAGCTGCACAGGCGGAACGTCGAAACATGGCCGCTCAAACCACAGCAAACAACACCGAAAATTTTACATCCGATGATTTGACGAATAATAAAGGCCACGCAGATGATTCTGGTCTGTCCCGTACTTCCCAAGCCTCTCTTCAGCAGAAATCCCAGGATGCACCCTCAGAGACTGGTGGCTGGAATTTTGAAGAGGCCGCCCCAACGTCGGCCGTCCAGGTTGACACGACATCTCATCATCGACCAGACACAGATGCATTTCCAAAAGCTAACTTTGTGCCTGCGAAATCACCCACTCGCGGATCCCATCGACGCAAGAGCTCAGGCGCCGCGAGGCGGAAAAGCGAAGGCGCTGTAGACAGAGAGTCCGCAGCATTGCAACACAACGTTGACTCTACGTTCAAAGTACGGTTTGCTCTCCGTGGTCATCTGGACGTCGTGCGATCGGTTATCTTCACTGGTGGCGGTAGTCCATCTGAACCTGAGATATGCACTGGTAGTGACGACGGAACTATCAAACGATGGATTTTGCCTGCTTCATACGGAAGTTTTGGGCCTGGAGCCGGAAACGACCTTGATATAACTAGTTATTTCACACATCGCGGCCATGTCGGTGCTGTAACCTCGCTTGCCGCATGTCCTGCGTCGCCTAATTTCTCTAATGGTGGTCGGGCAGTTGGTGACGGATGGGTCTTCTCTGGCGGACAGGACGCTAGCATTCGGGTCTGGGAACGTGGCCGAGTTGATCCTAAAGCAACCTTGGATGGCCATACAGATACTGTCTGGGGCCTATGCATCTTACCTGGTACAGCAGGCTCGATATTCGGAGATGTTTGCAGTAACTACGGTGGTCCTGACCGCATTCTACTCGCTTCTGGTGGCGCGGATGGCCGCATTATCATCTGGGCAGTGAGTGCACCGCCACAAGTCACGTCTCCTCAACCTGGTGCTAGACGAGGAGCTGGAGGTCGTCGAGCCAATTCCATTTCGTCTGGATCCAACTTCCCTTCTTCTCCACAGCCTCACACAACCACAAGTACTGTCTTTAACTATACCATTGTCCATAATATTGTTCGAACCGAGTCCCCATCACCAACCTGTATTAGCCCGTTGTCTCTTGCTGGTGTAAACTTTGTCGTCTCTTATACCGACGCGTCGATCCTTGTCTATGATACCAGAACGGGCGAGGAGGTTGTTGGAATGGCCAGCTTGGAAACCTACGATGGAACACCGTCAACAGGTGTAAACTCTGTTGTGACTTCGACTATTGGTTTTGACGGAACCGCCAGTCTTGACCCGAATCGGGCCTTGACAGAAGAAGAAGCAGTCGTGCACGGAGCAACAGGAACGAGCGGTGGAGTGGAGGGTGTTATTATCAGTGGCTATGAGGATAGGTACATCCGATTCTTCGATGCAAACAGTGGTAAGTGATACACTATATCTCCAAGTTGCCAAAGGAGTCGAATACCTAACGATGTTTTGCATCTAGGACAATGCACGTATACCATGCTAGCGCATCCTTCTGCCATCTCTTCCTTGTCCTTGTCACCAGATGGTCGGGAACTTGTCTCCGCCGGACACGATGCAAGCCTGCGATTTTGGTCGCTAGAAAAGCGTAGTTGCACCCAAGAAATCACCAGCCACCGGTTAATGCGTGGAGAAGGCGTCTGCTCAGTAGTATGGAGCCGTGATGGCCGATGGGTTGTTAGTGGAGGAGGAGATGGTGTCGTCAAAGTATTCTCGAGATGACTGATGATCTAATATCTTGCTACATGGCTCGTTCCTTTTTGTTTCTTCTGATGTCTTCTTACTCCCCTATGATATTCTCTTCTTCGCTTGCATTCGTCAAACCCGACTTTGATCTTTGGATCTATGAGCGAGCATTTGCAACTGGGAGTCGTGTATTTCCACATCTGAGATCGATACGGGCATCTCTATTCTTGTTCTACTCTTGTCGCTGTTTTATTACGAACCAAAACTCGACCTCTTCGAGGATTTCTTGTGAATACATGTATACTTTCTTTCTTTTTACTGTTTAACAACCATGCTTTTAATATGAGAATGAACGCATGTTCACGACCACCAAGGATATCAAAAAGGTTGGTATATCAGGTGCTTCCCCGTGTTTTTGTCCAGGATAAAACAATCCAGAGATTTATACATCACGTGTCCTCCCATTGTCTTTGTGGAGGATATAACAAGTCCAGCAATTGGTATCTCAGGTGCTCGCGGGGTGTTTATCAAGGATATACTAAGTCCAAAGATCGATATATCAAATGTCCTTCTATTGTGTTCGTCGAGGATATAGAAAGTCCAGAGATTCTATACCAGATGCCCTCCAATTGTCTGTGTCGAAGAGTCCGCCGGCCCAATGATTGGGCTTTCGGTGCTCCCCATAGCAAGTCCAAAGGTTGATATACCAGGTGCCCTGCCGTTGTGTTTGTCAGGGCAATTTGTCAACCCTGATAAATCATGCATCCTTGACAAACGCACACAACTTCCCAACCGGGAAACCGGGCAATCGTGTCCCCCTTTTCCTCTCTTCCCCTCTTCTTCTCTTCTCTCTCTCACCATAATTGCAGCAGACAGTCTCCATATACAAATCAAAGAGTCCTTTCCAGCTTCAAATCTATCATCTTTCTCTTGTCTTTTTCATCAAATACCAGCAATGTCTGCACAGGAAAGTGAGCCTTCCTTTGGTGCAAGTGCTTCTGGCGGCGGTGGCCGTTGTAACAACAACTCTGGAGGTCGTGGAGACCGTGGTGGTCACGGCCGTATTACAAAATATCCTAGGAAAAACAACGCAGATGTGGCTTTTGCAATAAAAGAGGCCATGTCGCACGGGACTGCCCTTACATGCAGCGTGCAGTAAGAGAGTTTCTATGGAAAGCGATAGCATGACCATGATACATAGAAGCCGACTCGATAGTAGGGAATGTTCATTGGTCAAGCCGCTGCTTCTACAACCCTCACGGTATGTATGAGTTTAGCACCCATGAAAGGTCATATGATGGCGGAACGTGTCGAAGTTAGCACTCTTTCATAGGCTCTTGAGAATTTACCGGGACCAGCACATATCTTACTACTTAGCTGCCTAGAGAGAATAGAGATATCCACCTAGGTACTCCTGGATATCATGTCATGCCGGCTAACATGAAATTCAGTCTTGGAGACTCCTCCCAATCTCACACTCAAAGCTACCGATGCATCCTAATAATGCTGAATGAATCCGAAGGCAATCTAGTCTCTCGGTCCCCCTGCAATCTTCCAAGAGCTCATCTTTCTAACGAGGACATCTTTCCAACGAAAGTACTGCATAGACACCCACGAGCAGGCGGTGTAGACTACGTGGAACGACAGGCACGTACTGTTGGTGATCGGTGACAGCCTCCTTGCATATGCGTAGCTTCGTAAGCGAAATGACTGCATGACATGTGGTCGAAACTGATAGATCAGCATCTTCTTGGGACCTAGTTGATTTTCTGGAAGCGAAGTGAGTGAGTATCGGGTTGCCATTATTCGAAAGAAGCCAAATGACCGTGAATCGAGATCCGTATAGCCAATTCCTGTCATTAACATGCATGTACTGGGATCAAAGTCGCGCGACGCGTCGGGCATACCTCAATACATGTGCCGTATATTTGCATCACGAACGTCGTCAAGCAGCTACTACTGATTGCTCGGGTTTTGATGTCGTAGGTGCTTCATGTCGATGTTACTGGGTGTGTGGTGAAGATATATGCAGATACGACCGAATAGGGATAAGTTATCAGAGCTAATTACTCGATAAATACTCCATGAATCAAGGTCAAGTTGGAGCTCGTGCAGATACTGGGGTCGATGCCTACGTAACCAGCTGTATGATCACCTATGCAGGACGTAGCCCTATTTGCAAGTTCCCAGACCCGGTTCTGTACACAGTACAGTCTGCCTCGTCACACAAAGACAGCAAGTTCGGCGGCTTCGTAGGCACTCAATCGGATTAGGATATCATAATCCTTTCGTTATAGAAAGATGGATTCACATGATACTCCACTAAACTGCAGAATGAATATTGTCAAATATCATCACTTCTGCTCAATTGAAGTCGCTGTAGCCTCAGTACGTAGTATCCTTCGCAGTCTAATCTCAGCGGCGATAACTCGACAGATAAAGAGGTGACTGTGTTTGCACAGTGCATGAACAAGGAATAAGTGTGCGACGCCGTGTACCTAGTGCGCCAATAGTTCGTTTAAGCACGGATCAGCGAGGCCAATGCTCAGTTCAAGTAGTTGCTGTGTTCATTCGCCCAGTACGTAGTAGACTCAGCATCTGTGATGGTTCCACTTTGTCTCGAATTTGACCTTTTGGCTTGCTAAAATTGAGTTGCCCCTTTTCATGCTGATCGCTCACTGGCTAGCCTTAGCAATTTTCAAGATGATGGATCCAGTCAAATGGGACGCACACAAATCCAATTAAGTTGCTGCCCTGTTGAATGACATCCTTTGCAGAACCCGATACATTCCGTGTGTACAGAGGAGAAAATGTGTGGAGGAAAAATCCAGAGAAGAAAGTGCCGGGTGGAGTCACGGGATTTGTTGGTGATTTCCACGACGCATTTTTGAGGACGGACCATCACTATCACACATCGCGCTTGGGGTTATGGATTCCGATGCTTAGCTTAATATCTCATTTCCCATCTGATTGGCTTGATACAGGGCTGGCAGATCTGACAGATCCATTTCGATGTACGCCAAACTAACATTGTACCGACCATGGAGAGATCGGTACGTAACGTGGAGCCCGGAGTGATGGGTCGAGACGGGGATCGATCAAGGACAGATGAGACTTTAAATAGTCTCACTGCTCCTCTACCGACACCTTCGGTCGGTGACAGTAGCCATGCGTTCGGAACAAGCATTAACTAGTCCTTGTCGAATACGGAGACAGCCTAAGGTCCGCTGCCCACCATGGCTAGCCTAGTGTTCGACTATGTGATCAGACGTGACAATATCGCAGTATGTACCATTAATCCATACTACTTCAACTATCTACTGATGACCATTTCATAGGACCCTAATCATGACCCTAATATCGGTTCCTCTCGTGGTAATGCGAGCTCAACGTCAGGAGAAGTTGTCGAGGGTTTGACAGGTGGTGGCTCAACGTCGAATTCTGCCCTGGTGTCCACTCTACTCCCTGCGCTGGTAATTGCTGGCTTCTGGTTTGGCCTGTTCCTCATCTGTCGCCGTAATCAGCAACGGTGGTACTCACCTCGGTCCCATCTCCCAAATCTCCATCACCAGTAAGTCCCTCTTAATCAATGAAAATACTAAGTAATTCGGTCTTTTAATCTAAGTATGGGGAAGTGAACGGAGTCCGGAGTTACCCCGTGGATTCATCAACTGGTTCGGCGCTTTCTTTCAGATCTCCGATTCACATGTGTTACATCATTCCTCTCTTGACGGATATTTGTTTTTGCGCTTCTTGCGGAATCTTTGTATCATATCGTTCGCCGGTATCATAATCCTCTGGCCTGTGCTGCTACCTGTTCATGCTACCGGAGGCGCTGGGAACACCCAAATGGACCAATTCAGCTTTAGTAATGTGACAAATCCGACAAAGTACTATGCACATGCAGTGATGGGAATGATCTATTTCAGTATGTATACCAAAGAGCCACCGTTACCCCGGGCTATGTACGAATCCTACGCTAACTGAACTCCAGCATACGTATTCTTCGTGGTCACCCGCGAGAGTCTATTTTACGCCAACCTGCGGCAAACCTATCTCAATTCACCAGCATATGTAAACCGTATTTCGTCCCGGACGGTACTGTTCATGTCGGTACCCGAGTCATATAAAAGTGAGAAGAAGCTGCGCCAAGTCTTTGGCGACAGCATTCGCCGTATTTGGATTACCTCGGATTGCAAGGAGCTCAACAAGAAGGTTGATGAAAGGGACAAACTAGCTTACCGCCTCGAAAGAGCAGAGATCAACCTCATTCGCGGGGCCAATGCTGCTCGACTAAAGGCAGAAGCCGTCAGAAAGAAAAGCGGTTTTAATGTATGCGATGATTGCGAGCTGGCAGATCCTCTGACTGACTCAAAGATCAAACGGCCCATGCATCGCGCTAATTTTTTCGGGAAGAAGGTTGATAGTATTCAGTATTATCGTTCCCGCCTGGCTGTAGCTATCAAGGAAGTCGAAGAACTGCAACAAAAACACCGTGATGGAGACGCAAAATATCTCACTGCGGTGTTTGTGGAATTCCAAACGCAGTCAGATGCTCAAGTTGCGTTGCAAACTCTATCCCACCACCAGCCTATGCATATGACCCCTCGTTATACCGGAATAGCACCCCGTGAAGTAATATGGTCTTCTCTGAACCTGAGTTGGTGGCAGAGAATTGTTCGTATTTTTGCGGTGCAAGGTGGGATTGCTGCTCTGATCATCTTCTGGTCTATTCCCGCCGCGATTGTTGGTACTATCTCGAATGTCACTTATCTTGCGAATTTGATCCCATTCCTAGGATGGTTAGCCCATCTTCCTGGATTCATCGAAGGTGTTATAACAGGGTTGTTACCATCTGCCGCTTTGATCTTGCTCATGTCGCTAGTTCCCCCTATTTGTCGACGTAAGTGATCGCCCTTTACCTTTCTGTAGTCTTGGTCTGATGCTAATCATGTCTTAACTGAAGTTTGCGCAAGGAAAGCTGGTCTGCCTTCTCTATCGCGTGTAGAGTTATTTACACAGTCCGCACACTTCTGTTTCCAAGTTGTTCAAGTGTTTTTGGTGACCACAATCACGTCAGCGGCTTCAGCAGCTGTCAGCCAGATCATCAAGAATCCATTATCGGCAAAAGATCTGTTGGCACAGAACCTTCCCAAGGCGTCCAACTTTTATATTTCCTACTTTCTACTGCAAGGCTTATCGATGAGCTCAGGAGCCGTTGTTCAAATTATGAGCGCAGTTATTTTCAAGATTCTATCCGTCTTTTTTGCAACAACTCCAAGGCGCTTATTTAATCGCTGGACGCAGTTGACCGGACTCAGCTGGGGCAGCATTCTTCCCGTATTTACCAACATGGGTGTCATTGCACTGACATACTCCTGCATTGCGCCTCTCATTTTGGCTTTTGCCTTCATTGGGCTCTTTCTCGTTTATCAAGCCTACCGCTACAATCTTCTGTTTGTATACGACCTTGACATTGACACCAAGGGTCTGATATATCCACGTGCCCTGCAGCATTTGCTTACTGGTATTTATCTCGCGGAAATCTGCATGATTGGACTCTTCTCTATCAAAGCAGCAATCGGACCGCTGATAATTATGGCATTCTACACAATCCTTACAATTCTCGCTCACATTTCTCTTAATGATATGTTGAGCCCACTTATGAACTTCCTCCCGCGGTCTCTAGATACCGAGGAGGAAGAGATTCAAATGAATAGGGAAGCAAGAGAAGCCTATCAGCATGCAGTAACTCGTCACGGCCGAATCTGGAAGTGGTTCCACCCCAATCTCTACAGAGACTATGCAGACCTTCGGCGCAAAGTTCGGAGGGATGACATTCAGATCAAATATTCAGCCCAGGAACTAGCGGACGCCTACTACGAGCCTTGTATCACCGCTAAAACACCTCAGCTGTGGATTCCTCGAGATCCGGGTGGGCTTAGTCAGGAGGAAATTCGACATACAAGTACCATCATTCCCATATCCGACCAAGGCGCACATCTCGACGCCAAGAATAAGATTCGGTGGAATAAAGACGACGAAGATTTGCACATGTGGCAGAGAAGAGTGCTATATTAGTTTAACTCTTTGATTCGGGAATCATGTCTTTGTTAATGAGCGATAATTGAGATGATATGAGATAATGAAGCAATTTCTGATACCCCTATTTCACCATCGAAATATGACTAATGCTCTTTACATCGTCCAAAGTGATCTATTTATTAATATTGAGTCACCAAATAATGCTCTGTGTTCAATCAGATATCCCCAAGGTAAAGTCCCTTTCTTGGGTATCTTGTGAGACAAGATGACGTCCAACAAATGATTGAAGTCCTAAACGAACATCTATGCATTTATGATGTTACGGTCACACAACACTTCAGGCCAAGACATAGCTGTTTCTTCCAACAGATTCTATTTCCGCCTGCATTTACATATGAGACATTAACAGGATATGTGGGTATTGTCTACATCATTAGACGTCGGGAAGCGTTTCTTTTATTTATATATATGGTCTTGTTTCATGCCATGTCATCTTATAATGGAGTAATGTGAAGATCGACAAATTGATAGCTGGAATGAACAAAGCACTGCTTGTAAAGTCCCAATATTAGGGGGAAAAACACCCCAAATCCAATTCTTAAAATATAATGAATCAGCCGAAAATTCCGGAGGATATGGATATACTGCATAGGTACAGATCATACACTCCGCGTTTAGTGATATCCATCCCAGTTATGGCGAAGTTCAGGTACAGATCCAGTATGTGCAACGTAAGTCTATGCATACTTGGCCTCTCCACAGTTACAGAGATTTTGGAAATCAGCAGAAACTGCCTTGAAAGCTATTTAAACGGAGCTTCCATGTTCTATCCTCGTTCTCTGGGTCTCCTCAGAGTCAGATCTGTTTCCTTCATCATTTTTTACACTTCTTTACTCTTATTCCCGTCTCAACCCCCATTTAGAAGTGCCATTCCATTTGCGTTCTGTCTACACATTCTCGGTCATTTACAAGCCCCAACTGCGGTCCTGTATACCCAAGAGCGATCAATATGAAGAAATTTGCTGTTGTTGTAGCTGCACTCCTGGCATTCACTGCCAATGCAGCTCCTGTCGATACACCGGAAAGTGTTGCATCCACAACACCTGCTCAATCAACACCCACTGCAGCGCCCTTGGCTGCAACTCAAGTAACTGTGCTTTACGACACAACATACGACAACTCCTCATTCCCTATCAGCAGTGTGGCATGTTCCGACGGCCCCAATGGCCTCGAGGGTAAAGGCTACAACACATTGGGCCAAGTACCAAATTTCCCTTACGTCGGAGCAGCTCTTACTATCACGGGTTGGGGAAGCCCTAATTGCGGAGCCTGCTACAACATTACCTACAACGGTGTCTCCCTGTATGTTATGGGTGTTGATGCCTCAACCAATGGATTTGTCGTGAGTCAGGCGACATTGGATCGATTGACTGGCGGTCAGGCTGTATCTTTGGGCCACATCTCTGTGTCTTATGATGCAGTTGATTCTAGTCATTGCGTTACTTGATGAATCTTAATGGTTGCCCACACAGAGGCAAAGGATCAAGAAAATTGTTCGAAGCTGGTCATGTGTGATAATGATCTTGTTGATCTTGGCTGGGATTAATCATGGCTACTACTTACAGTCTATCTAGCTAGTTAGGTAATGAAGCTATAGTAACCTTGGAACCGAGTTATATCTGTTACATCCATGTATCCATCGAGGCCCCAGTATCCAGGTACACTCTAAAATCAAATCTCTTGAATCAAAATGCCTGCTTAGTTCGGTCATACGCCGCTTACGAGATACCTCTGCATAGTAAGAGATCGTTATGCCCATTCTTACTCAAGTTCTTCAACAGTTTCCCCGGTGGCGTATATGCCGGGGGAGTTTCAATGGTCCTGGCTGGCGAGCGGATATTTTTGAATATGAAGAGAAGCAGGATGGGGCCCCTTATTCTGACGGTTTGATTTTGTCTTGCCAAAAAAAAAAAATAGCCCACGACAGGTCAATCATGAGAGATGAACTGGCAGTGATACTAACAGCGATGAGGAATCGAGCCTTCCAGAAAGCTGAAGAAGATGACGACGATGATGAAGCTGAGGTACATGATAAGACGAAGAGAAGGTGTCAAAACTTCTTTTCGAGAATGAAAAGATACATCCCTTGATGGTGACTCTCAATTCTGAAACCCAGGCCACTAATACGTCCACTTTCTGACTAGGTTCTCATTGTCTCATGTGTTGGCCCTCAGCATGCAAGGATCCTTCACGCTTGTATGCATGGTGTCAATCTGATGATTTGACAATCGCCCATCTACAACTTCAAGGAGAGAGACGCTGTTATCCTGAACTGGTCTTCGACATATCTCCTAAGCAGGCCAGTCGAAGAAGTTGTTACCATTGATAATGTATCCTCGAATTTGGGGGAATATGATAAAGGTGATACCGTACAGGAGTTCGCGGCCCTCGACTTGGAGCTGTCCACCCATACCTAAGAACATTCATTTTACTCATGCTGGATTGACTAGCTTGAGAAGAGTCGAAATAGATTGAATAGAATGCAACACTAATGAATCAATTGATGACGATCTCCTAACATACTATCATCCCGCGAAAAATGTAAGAGAACAGTAAACTTTAGATCACGCAGTTGAATTACCACCGATCATCATATCGATCCTCATAACGTCGTTCATCGTCGATGATTTGCTCGTCTTCAATGAATCGGCGCTCGTCCTCGTAACGTCTCTCGTCATCATAGCGCCTCTCATCCTCGTATCGTTCCTCTTCAAAGCGTCGCTCATCATCATAACGCCGTTCATTTTCATAGAGAGCTTCCGCTTCATAACGCTCATCGCGTTCCCGTTGAATTTCGCGCTGCTCTTCGTATAATTCTTCACGTTGAGCTTCAATTTCACGCTCCTGCTCGCGTTCTCGCGCGTGTTCGCGTTCTTGCAGACGTTTCTCTTCTTCTCGCCATTCTTCTTCTTTCTCCTCTTCCTTATCTACGATATTGTACGGCGATCAGAGGTACAGCTCATCTGTATGGTTTCGAACTATGGAGGTAAGTGGACTTACGTTTATCATGCTCGTGCATTGCCCAAGCACCTACAGCTGCACCGAGAACGCCTCCACCAATACCTAGCGCTAAGCCGTGGCTCTTTTGCTGTGCTGGTGCTGGTGCTGGTGCTGGACTACCGTATCCGTGAGGAGGCGGAGTGCCGTAGCCTTGAGAAGGAGGCGGGCTGCCATAACCTCGACCACCTGGAGAAGGACTGCCATAGCTAGGGCCTGGAGGAGGAGGACCACTATAACCACGGCCAACCGGAGGAGGTGGACCACCGTAGCCAGGGCCTGGGGGAGGAGGACCACCATAACCACGGCCACCCAGGGGTGGAGGGCCACCATAGCCACGTCCGCCTGGAGGTGGAGGACTGCCATAGCCGGAGCCTGGAGGAGGGGGGCCACCGCCATAACCACGGCCACTTGGAGGTGGAGGACCACCATAACCAGGACCCGGGGGAGGAGGACCACCGTAGTTTCCGGGCCCAGGAGGTCCCCCAATATCTCTAGTTCCAGACCCATGGTTTCCGGGAGGTACTTCAGGATGGTGCCATGACCTCTGACCGGTGCGCTCATTAATGAATATGTACTGATTCTCTTCCGGAACCCATTGAGCTCTCCAGTCGGGTGGTAGAGGCGGATGGCCGTGATCTTGGTGAGAGTATTGGTACGACATGACTATTCAACTCCTTTTTCTTGTCTCCCGCGCACTCCCAGACTGAACCGCCTGTGTTCTGTCTTGATGTTCTGGTTCCAAATGAATATTGCAAAGTTAGACGTAGCACCGAAGCAGGACAGTAATCCGGTGTACGGAATAGTCAGCGATGGGAGTGATAGAAAGGCAGAAGAATTCGGCGACAAGGGGAGCGCGGGGTATGACTTATTCACTATCAATCAACTAACGCCAGCAATATAATGACTTGCTTAGTACCTGCATACTAGGTTACTTTCGTCGTCAGCGTTGCTTATTTCCTTATCCACCCGACATCCTTGAGCTTGTCTAAAACAATCATTTGACTAATTTAGACACACGTTCGACAGCCGGCTTGTGATTTGACTGACTGACCAGCGCCTAAGCCCAAGTCCCTAGCCCTCTGACCATCCAACTGTTCCGCCGGTGTCTTCCGTGACCCCTGGTATTTAAGCCACTGTTCAGGCTAATGGAGGGGCTGGTTCCACTTTCGAATCATTGCCAATTATCCATATCAGTACGGAGTATGTTTCATCGAATCATCAATATTTGTCGCAAATCGCGATGGATATTCGTACTGCCTCGTGTGGTGGCTTTTTGCTTCGGTGCAGAAATGCGCAAAATCTATGAGGACTGAAAGATATACTCCCTAGTAAAGGGTGTTCTCATGATACGAGTTGAGTCTAGGTTTCTATTGGTGCCTGATGGATCAGGCGGGAACTCGGATATTCAATAAGCCGTTCCGGTGCAGTCAACGATTTGTAATAAATGGCTGACTAATGGCGACTTTCCTCGTGTTCATCCTGACTTCGCTCAATCATTCCCACACATCTCTTTGGGCGAGTCCTAGACGACACCGTCAATAATGCGTGCCACCGATAATGACGAAGCAGACAATTGGTACATTGTGCAAGATCGCCGACAGCGCAAACGGATCCAAGATCGACTAGCACAGCGTGCCAGACGTAAGGAGCTCCGTCGCAGCAATTTTGCGGATGTAAATTAATGTCAAAGCAGGAAAGCGGCTGCCCAAGTAAACGCGGTCATCTGAGCATGATGATATGTCCGGATAGTACAGACATCTCTATCGCATCGCCATCAGCTACTAGCAGTGCGACATTGAGAGCAGAAAGTTCTCTTGGTTCCAACTCATCTATTTCTTCGTGGATCCCGGTTCAACCGACCAAGGGAAACCCTGTAGAGATAGAGTTGCCTATGTCCGTTTGGACGGCTCTTTATCTGAACGGCTCCATGATGGGACTTGCTTGCTCAACCGCTTATCCGGCCAAATCACGACCTGTAGATCCAAGCATCCCTAGCACACTACATCCAACACCACTACAGCTGATTACTATCCATCCTACGTGGATTGATCGCTTTCCTTTCCCCGGAATGCGTGACAATTTGATCAATGCCATCAGCCTTGTGGAAGAAGAGGATTTTTTGCGCGATCTGTTTTGCATGAGTAGTTTCCAGATCAAGCCTGGCGGCGCGCCCTGGGATCCAAATGCTTGGATCATAGGTAAAGAATTCCATGTAAAATGGGGATTTCTGTTTGCGGAGCCATTATCAGAGTCTATTTGACAGCTAGCTCTACTTTGCTCTGAGCATGACAGCATGAAATCGATGGAAATGGCGATCTCTCGCCAGCTACGCGGTGATACGAACCGGGCTCTAATATGGGAATTTCGGGAATACTAATTAATTAATTACTCGCCTAGAGGTGGACTAGAGTATTCCGCTAGAGAACGTACACGGCTCATGGGCTATATCAGGCCCATCCCGACTCGCTCCAGCAAGAACCCTTCCGGCCACTCTTCATCTCTGAGCGTCACCTCCCTTGATTGGTGGTCTTCTGGATTCCAGACGAAACTGATTCTGGTTGGCTTGGAGTTCTCCCACTGCTCTTCATCTCCAAACTTTCGTGCATCCCTACGTCGTTTCTTTTGTCGGGGAGTATAGCATTTCCCCTTGATTTCACCCACGCGGCTTTCTGGATACTTCCAGCCGGATAACCGTAAGGTCCATGAATTTTCCTCTGCATGTGTCCAACATGCCTAAGATTCTCAGTGGCCTCGATTGGTCACCCCGTGTGTTTGAATATATCCATTTTGTCCGCTTTAAATTCATCGGTACAGAGACAAAACAGGTCCACGGACTAGAGTGATCCGTATGCCACCATGCAGCTTGTTCATCGCTACTAATGTATTCAATAAACGCATTTAGCCATTTTGTGACCCCTTCATCGGAGAGTGAATTTGGTATACGCCCAAAGATGATGCCTATTTTGGAGGAAAAAAGTATAAGGTCATCTATTAGACGCTTTGCTGGAAATGCGTCGAGGGTATCCTGAGCAGTCACTTCAAACTTTTGTCGGCATATCTGATTCGGCGTTGGGATCAAATGGACTTCGTTGGAATGTACGAAGATGCAGTTTTCATTCAGAGGGCCACTCCGTGGATGAAAATCCGGTCTTGGGTCCTTTGATGCCTTAGAACCAGGGCATTCGCTATTCGCCGATGCGATAGATAGCATTATGTAACAGCGCAAATTATGAGTCGGTTTACCAGTGAGGGCGAAAATTCATGTCAACAGAGTGGATGCATAGATGTCCTTGGATGAGGTTTCTCGTCGTCATGCAGCAGGCTTGTATCTTTCATAGAATCGAGAAAAGATACTTCGTCATGGGAAGGATTCCCGACACCGGCATTTGTAGTCAATCGTCTGAATGCAGCTGAATGCCCTTTTGATTGAGCAGTTACATTGTGAACAAAGATTTGGGCTGCGAATGATCGTTCTGTAGGCAAATCGGACGTGTCATACCACATGATTCAGTCTCAGGGCTGTGATTCAAAGAAACCGGGATAGTTTGATAGATCCAGCGGCAATTTGAAATACGTAGTACCCGACTGCAATTCAGACGATACAAATGTAGGTGGCCCCCATTTGTCTCCGTGGGTACTATACAGAACTCATACTAGGGTTAATGCTCAACAATAAGATACTGAGACGTTGCAGTAGATATTTTCGAAATAATGTATCCTCATTTACTATACAGGATTGATGATCCCTGCTGATGCATGAAGACGGTGTATTTTGCTATGACTCATTGCCTCAGAACTATTTATGTATGAGAGGAAAGATGGAAGCGGAGTCCCAAAAAGTACTAATTACTTGCGCCTAAGGACTTGCATCCGATCTTTACTTTCATACTCTTTGATCATCCAGATCAACTCTGAAAACATCTCCATTCAACTCGTATTCATCATTCGCTTCGGTATACGTCCCAGAATGCCCCCTCGAATTAGCGTCACAAACGACATTCGCGCCGTCTCCAATCTCTTTACATTGGCTTTTCGAGATAGCCCACCTACTGTATTCGTGCTACGAGATCGCGATTCAACATGGCCAGTGTCTAGCATTCCACTAGACATCCTTGGTCCGAAAATGGTTGAATGGACGACCTACAAACAATCAATGGGTGGAGAATTGGTTGAATCCGATAATTTCGCGGCCGCTGCGATATGGTATGTCTCGTCTTATTTTCTTTGGCAAAAAGTCTACCTCCCTGAAATGCTACTGATCTTATGAGTGAGCCAGGTTTCCTCCCGGTGCTGAACTACCTGCGAGCTCGGAAGATGACGAGAAAATCCGTCAGTTCAGAGCAATGGCGGCCAGAGCCAAGAAAGAATTCTTGAATGGCAAGAAGTACTGGTATTTAAATATGATCGCAAGACATCCCGAAAGAAAGGAACCAGGTTCGGAGTGACCGTCCGGAAATCGCAAACCAACCGAAAACAAGCTAACTGACTTTTGCAGGTGTCATACGTGCTCTTTTTGAGCCTTACATCGCCCGCGCCCGAGAGGAGGGTGCGACCATCTGGCTCGAAGCTGTTAGCGAACATAGCAAGCAGGTCTATGAGCATTTTGGTTTCCGGACTGTTGCAACTATGCGTATGGGAGAAGGAAAGGCTTCTCCGGACGGCGAGTTACAAGATGGTGGTGAAGGAATTCTGGTATATGCCATGATCCTGGAGTGAGCACAAGTGCATTGATTCTTGGTGATACATGAACAAGTATATTCATCTCTGACGTCGTGATCATTCCTGTACACTCGCTGCGGCCATGACGAAATTCCCAAACTCATCAATGTCCGATAGCCAAAAATCAAGACTGCCGTCGTTTTTGAGATTATACTCCAGAAGATTTGCGTATGTCAATTTTGAGGTTGGGTAGTGAGGCATGACTCTGTGACATTGCAGCTCATATTCCCTCACCCATTCTGATTTCGAGTCTGCTTGCCATAGATTTCGTCCGCTCGGCAGGCGACTGTTGAGAAGTGCTTCCCCGGTACAATTATGGAATAGCACAATAGCTGGGTGTATATCGAAAAACAATGGCATAAGGCATAAGAATAGAGACGTGCTGTTTACAGAATAATTAGTAATAATGAGAAGATAAGGTAAATGATTGGCAACATTAGGCAGGATTTCTCACCGGAACTTTGACTCCATTAGAATCCAGTCATGCCAGTCAAAAATGTGAGGTGGAGGATAACTTTTCTCGAGTCTAGTCAGATGAACTGCAAGCTCCTGTCACAAAGTTAGCCCTTAAGTGAATTGTGCCTTAACGTATACCATAATCGGGGTACCTACCAGCATTGTTTGCACCAGTGGAACATCAAAGTTGGTTGCATTTTCATTCTTTTCAAAGATACGGAGAATGAAATATATGGCTATGGCCTGAAGAGCAGCAAGGGTTTGATTAAGGTCATAGCTATGATACTGGTTAATGATTAGCATTTCCCGTACGACATCTCTTTGCCAAAGATGGTGCAACAAACCCCCATCAATAATCTCTCTTGCTCCATTCTTATCGCTCGCCAAATCTGGAGAACATTGTCTCTATTCTTCATAGTGAACATTTGCAGAAGTTCATTGCAAACAGCCAGTGGCCCTGTCTTGATTCTCTGTCTGCATCTCAAGTCCCCAGAGTCTTCAAAAAGCAAATGGGGGTGAATAAAGGGAGGATTCTGGCCGCGAAGCATCATAACGGGGTACGAGCGGAGAGTGCACAGAAGATAACGCTGTATCAGTGGTGACTTTTTGTTGCTAATGTTTTCCGGAACGAATAGCTTCAAAGGCCCTGGGAACAGTGTTGCTGAATAGAGGAGATCTTGGGAGACGGAATCAGGCCCATCAAAAGACCCAGAGTTTTCAACAGCCGTCCGGTCTCTTTGGTCATGTGTCGCTCTATCGAAAGAAGTTCTGTGAAGATTGACTGGATAGGACTCATAATTGTAGTAATCGTTGTATTTAACGATCCCCGAGTCAGTGACTTGTTTGGCGGATTCCAGAGCATCATTAGATTTCAGGAAACTAGTTTGTGTCTTCCTTGATTGCAATTGATACCGAGTATGAGAGCCAGCGGCATAATCACATGTAAGACCACGCATAGAGCACCGAGAACAATGCGGAAGAGCAGCATCGCAACGTGCTTTTGCTTTAGTACAAGCTTGACATGCTCGCTTTCTAGAGCGCTCGCGTCCGATGGACTTTCGACAGTATGAAGTGTGTCGAACCAGAGACTTCTCTATACACGTATTAGCATTTTGAATGAAATTATACGAGACGTAGAATTTTGATACGATCATAAAAAAAAGCACACTCACTATTTGTAAATATTTTTGCGCAAATAAGACATGAGAGAGCTTCTGACTTTGGCGGCTCTAATACATCCATCTTGCTGGCCCCTTCGTCCGCGCCGGTGAGATGCTGCGTCATTGATGCTTGAATAAGGAACAAATGTATTATCGATAATACTCTGAGTAGTAATCAATTGTGCATTGTGAAGTGCAATGTATGGGCGAATCCTCTGCTGTGCCGAAGTAAGTCGAGGTGACAACGGAGTTCCGTGCAGGCTGAGATTATTTCTCCAGTGGATTACTAATGCCATTTTCAACATCACTTTTTCAGTGAAACTACTTTTAAAACCTACCATAATAATACATCAAAATAATCGGGAACAACTAACTACATCAAAGATATCAAGAAGGGTCTGCGATATCGTGATAGGCATGGTCTCATTGCTCGCCCGACATACACAATCATTATCTTCTGAAACCAACTGCCTGTTCCACCGAAACGAGCTCAATTTGCAATTTGGCCCCTTTGGCCCATGGATTGCCATTTTCAGAGGATCATCCGAGTGTTTGTAGAATCTTCATCAGCGATTACCCAAAAATGCTTGCCAGGAAAATGACAAATTTCCAACACACTGGTTGCGGTGGTACGAATGCTTCTTCGCATGTAACGTTAATCGGGTGTAATTTGCCCCAGAGAGAATTGGTACTTTATCTGTATCAGCGTGTATTCGAAGCCCCTGAATACCTTCCGTGTCATAAGCTCATCTTTTCAATCAAGATGGAGAGGGCAGGGTTGTGTGGGCAATGTCTCAGGGTTGTAGGAAGCCGAATATAGCACGGAGGGACATATAGTAACCTTGCTTCGTAGAGAATGCTTTCTATGATGATGGACATGTTACAACGTGTTATACCTTGGGCGATGGGAGCACAGGCACAGACTCAAGGCTGTGCGTGTGCCACTACTTGAAAATCTTAAGCTAACAAATACACAATCATATGAAAACCGGTATTAACAATCAAACTGTTAAGTGAAATGATATATAAAGATGCGACAATGCGTATCTCCAAAGCGGAAGGGCAAGAACTCCCGAAAGAATAAGCCCAATATTATTTCTGCCTGGCCGCCAGCATGGCTGCATCACAATCAATAGTGGTATTACAGGCCAACAACACAAACGACACTCGGAGGGACCTTGAAGCTCAAAAGACCTGCTCATCTTCCGAATCTATAGAAGAGTTGACGATCTCAGAAGAGAATGATGACCCTGGGCTACAAGACAACTCCAATGTCCCTCGCCTTCCGCTCCTCAAACTGTTCTGGTTCTTCTTCTACAATTTCGGTCTCTTTGCCTGGGGTGGACCTGTAGCTCAAATTGCACTCATCAAAGAAAAACTGGTGGTGAAGGACAAATGGATTACGCTCACCAGGTTTCAACGTGTCTTCTCCGTCTATCAGGCACTCCCTGGACCAGAGGCCACAGAGCTATGCATGTTCTTTGGTTGTCTATCTGCTGGTCAGCTTGGAGGATTCGTCGCCGGTATTGCATTTATCTTGCCGGGGTTCATCCTTATGCTTACAGCTTCCTACCTGTACTCATTGGCAGGGCTGGAAAACAAATATTTCAATGCATCATTTCGCGCTGTTCAACCGGTTGTCGGGGCTATGGTGAGTCGTTCATGATTCTCATGCTGTCCAAACATATAGTTAATGATGGATCCATAGATCCTTCGAGCTACTCATATTATCGCGGATCATTCGGTTATTGACCATAGCACTCGCAAGATCAAACCTATCCTGGTCGTTGTTGCCCTCTGCACAGCACTCAATAGTGCCCTTCACATCAACATGTCTGTGGGCTACGATTTCTGTACTGTCTGGATTTATGAAAGTCTCGGCTGATTGGTGGATTTTCACATATAGGTTTATTTCCCTTGGCCTTTACGGGATTATATACACATTCGCAGCACACGGAATGTGGATAATTGCTGTCATCTCATTTGTCCTACAGTATGTCGTCTACGGAATTTATGTCCATTTCTACGGCGTCCCATCGCCAATGTCCCTTGCACTTGGTATAGCAAAGACACCTAGCCTTACGCACCTTTTTGTCCTCGGACTAGTTACCGGGTGTATCTCCTTTGGCGGTGCATACACCGCTATACCATTAATTCAGGTTGAGGCGGTTTTAAGGGGCGGATGGCTGCCGGTGCATGTTTTTCTGGACTGCATCGCTATTAGCAATGTCTTACCTGCCCCTCTGACTATCTTCGCAACATTTGTGGGATTTCAAGGTGGTCTGGCAGCCGGTGGGCTTGGGAATGCCTTTGCTGGTGCAATACTCATTACTTTGGGGATATTGGCTCCGTGCTTCATCTTCACAATTGCTGGACATGAACTGTTGGAGAAGTTGGTTCGCAATAAGGTTAGTTACCTGCCATATCCAACTACTATAACATTGTAAACGCCCTGGAAATTGCTGATTCTTAAATAGCTTCTCTCCCATTTTTTTGACGGGCTCTGTGCAGCTGTCATTGGCGTGATAACTGTGATAGCAATTCAGATGCTACAATCAAGTGTAAGAGGCACCCACAATGTGTCTTCTCCAGATACCTCTCTTTCCGACTCTTTGCAGAGTCCTCTTGCGGCAGTAATTTACATGTTGGCGTTGGGAGCTCTCTATAAGTTCACTAATAAATACACACCGCTGTTGCTTGTAGTAGTCGGCGCCATTGCCGGGCAGTTCCTGTTCTTCTGAGGAATGTGGCATCATGACTATTGAGAAAGATTGAACAGAAGGAGGAAAAATATTGGTCATGTATGGAATGGGCGTGGCAATAAGATAACCTTGGAAAGATGAACACAGCCTACGATCAGAAGGCATAAAAAAATAGCTGATCGTATAATACTCATTATCCAAGTCAATGGTCTGACTAAAATTATTGCAAAGTAACGAACACCTAGTATAAAGATATATATGTCCATTGCCGGAGATACATTCACAGCCTACAACAAGCTTAGCCCTAATCCGACCCTTAAGCTGCCCTGGCAATTTCCACCACTATTTTCTGCGCAGAAACCCCCCGCTTGAGCATGTCCAATCCATCTTGTAACTTCTCAAGGCCACCCTCGATGACATATGGATCAGGTTTAGCTTGGAATTTCCCCAATTCCAGAGCCTTTGTTATATAATTTCCCCAAACTGCGTCTCCGATGTTGGTATCAACAAGTCCTGGGACGAGACCCATGACTGACAATTGGGACCAGTCAGCAAAATCGCTTTCTCACTTCGGCATTGACTTGGGATAATTGAGTGAACATACCAAACTCAACCTTCACATTTCCGGTCTCGCTCGGTGTAAACCACCGGACAGTTGGGAGTGTTCCACCCCCAATCTGTTGAAGGATCTCTGTACATATTTCCCGGACATCGTCACTTCCGATACAATCAAATACCAGATCTCCTGGTTGTAAGATAGCCGTAATCTTTTTGATGACCTCCGGGTCATCGTGCTCAAAGACATGTTGAGCCCCAAGGCTTTTTACATACGCCTGATTCCTCGAACTAGCTGTAGTAACGACATTGAAGCCAGCTGCAATGGCTAGTCTTGATATTGAACTTTATCAGTTTCTTCCAGTCCATCGCTACTCTCTACACAACATGCAGAATAAAGGAGCGAATCTATGCTTACTGGATAGCACAAGAGCCAACCGATGAACTTCCACCCCAAATAAGGATTTTATGCAAGGTAGATTGTGGATTTAATGCTGGGAAAGGCATCTTGAGGACAGAAAACAAGCCCGTTGCAGCAGTGGAGACCGCAAGGGGGAGCACCGCGGCGTTGACTAAAGGTACAGAATCTGGAAGATGGCAAACCAACAGTTCTAGGCACGTCGCGTACAGCTGAAATGCGGCGTTTGTTGCTTTCTTGGTGACAAGACCATCGCAGTGCCCCGTGACACGTTGGCCGACCTTGAATCGGGTCACACCCGAGCCAAGTGCAACGACTGTACCAGATACATCCTCTCCTAGAATGAAGGGATACGGCAGCTCTATAACCGGAGACTCCTGAGTCTAATAGTTCGGATAATGCATAAGTTCAATCCGTGAAATGTGAGTTCAGAAATAGACGAATGGGGCACACTAACTATCACGTCGACCGGATTGATGGCTGTATAAGCGACCTGTATAACGACTTCATTTTCGGCAGGGTTTGGTATAGGCCCTGGCCCAACTTCTAGGGGCCTCGCTCCTTTTTCCTTAACCCATGCGGCTCTGTTTCCAATGATTTGGGACATGGTGTGTCAATATAAATAGAAGCAGCGTGTGGTATCAGAAGAGTAAACAACAATAGAAATTGATAGGCACTTACAGAGCACAAACATGTAAATTATGCTTACACCCGGAATTTTTATACCCTTGTCGCAGTGTGGTGTTATAATTCTAATTTGTAATGACTTTTACACACGACACGGAACTCCATGTCTGTTGCTGATCAACACATTATATATCGGAATCTTTACATAGCGGAAAGAAGGGTGCCAAGAGAATTTCAAAGCTTCTCTTATTGAGTATTAGTTTCCTAGATGAACTTTTTCTTACAAATACGCGAATATGTAATTATATGCTATTAATAACCATGTCTCCCCCTTTCATTGTGATCCCCGGATACTGTGCTGGTCTCAAAAATCCCAGCGTTTCAGCTGACAGAACGTAGCCCCCAACAGCTCCGAAATTTCTCAGCACAGTCTGACACCACTCATATCTGGGATCCTGGCAGATGTCATAAAATTGCTGTGCTGCCCAAAGCGGAACCATCACAATTTGAAAGCCGTAGCCACCCCTGAGATTTGCCGTAGATTGGCAGATTTTGGTCGCGTAATAATCACCAGCCTTTTGCACATTTCCTCTTGATATACTATGGATGCCCTTGTAATTACCGGGAAATGCATCGGGGTTGAGCCGATTTTGATGCTTTTCTCTGGACACATAAAGTTGGAGCATTGTCGTATGGACAACAAGCTGACCGAACCAGTACATGAGCAAGTTTTGAGCCACATATGTATCCCTGAAGGAGATGACTTGTGGAAACATGGAGTACAGGTGCGACTTGTCCGCATCAAGATATGGGTGTCCTTTTCGGTCAAGTGGTCCGCAATCATAGAGGCCAACGGGCTCTTGCTTTTCGAATTCAACATACCACTCCGTGAGCCGCAGATAGATTGCATGCCAACATCTGAGGAGATCATCAATGCCGGGCAGATCAACTCGTCCCGACTGGGTTAGTGAGAGCATGTTATCAGAGGCCTCTATGAGACCGGGTATGCACACTAGAGCGTCGAGAAGGATATCATGAGGAGTGTCGGACAAATTTTGCCATTCTGGGCGAGCCAGAAATAACATTTTTCGACTCCCGTATGCGTCCCATAACTGCGTTTCCGTATAAGTGCTCTGAAAATAAAACTTATCTACCGGTTGGGCTAGACTCACTGCAGTGTTTCGCACGCGGTTAAACAGACTCATATCAAGGGGAGTATCTTTTGTAGGCGGGCCTCGAAGCTGTAGAATTCGGCATGCACCTTTTACATGGAACATCCAGCCTTGAAGACGCCCATAGGTACTGTGAAAGAGCTAGTCCGTGTTAGCCATCAAGAAGGAACGTTATACTAGGGAGAATAACCCTATACCTCATACATGGCCATCGTCATGGTCATTGTAAGCACGCCTTCATTGGCCGATTTCAGCGAATCAAGTGACATGGACCTCAACCTCAGCAGTGCCTCATTATAAAACCGTTGGCTTTCATGCAGGTGCACGTAGCCTTGGTGCAAATCTCCAATATATGCAAGGCAAAGCGCGGAAAGAGCGGTATCAAGCACCTCCCATCGGCCTAGTAAATTCGGTAGACTCCGCACCCAAGAAGACGGAGTAATAAAATTGCGGTGGCTAGTCATTGAAGCCGGCAAATAACGTTCTAGAAAATAGGACAGCACCTGCATCCTATTCTCTGGGGCTGTATTGATATAAGACTGGGGTGACGTTCCTGGTACCTGGACGGTACCACCACTCCTTCCATCGACTGTGCCGTTGTCATCTTCCTGCACGATTGTGCTTTTCACATTTTCTTTGCCTTTGGTACGCCTCAATCTAACTTTATTGGCCCCTTCCCCGGAAATTCGAGTAGGAACTACAAGGACAAATGAATCGGAGGCATATCCGCCACACTGTAGCCCGGCCTTCTGACATCGGTGACAATCTGGTTTGGCTCGGTCACACTAGATGGCCAATATGGAAAGTCAGCTACGCACTGCCATTTCTCTCTTTATCCGAAACTAAAAATAAGCTGACCTTTATTTTCCGACGTTGGCAGGTGAGGCAAGGCCGACCAACCAACGCCTTTTTGCTAGCAGATATGTTTGGCATGTTAGCTGCGTTCAGGCCCTCAATTGACCGGCTGTCTCCAACATAACGCCGCGAATCTACTAATCGAAGCGGCCGATGTATTGGGGGAATCCCATCAGGCCCCAGATCTGTCGGTTCCGAATCTTGGAGCTTCCTGTTCCATCCAGGTGTGGCTCCGGACATGTAGACACTGGTTTGTTATTTATCGATGTTGGCTGCTTGACCGTTGTCTGTCAGCCCCACCACCTCACTACATTGGGCAGAAATTTCCGAGTAATTTAGGCTATCATAGGCTATGGCTTCCTTAAAAGCTGCTTTTATAGGGCCGACTAACCTCTTTTAGCTGCAGGATTGCTTATTTTGGTGAGGAGATCAATCCGGTGGCATCCGATAGGTGGTAGTGTATGATCCGTGCAAAGGGTAACCCTAACAAGATATTCGAATCGCGCATAGAATCCTTGGTGATCGAGCAAATGGCCGATAAATCTCGGAGCGCATTGTACCTGCCAGATCTTCCTGAGAAGTGATTTACGAACGACCTCTAAAATTAGCGGAACGGCCTCATTTCAGGTTAGGTTAGGTATCGTTATATGATCTACATTAAAAAAAGGAGCCACATGAGCGTAGCGTTCAATGTCTCCGACTATAACATGAACAGGAAGCACAGCAGATTGTGAAAATTTTTTTACATTACGCGTATCTTCAATTGCTAACAAGCACGTAATTTGAAAACAAATATTGCTTCTTACTGTCGACGAAAATGACCGACACCTCCGGCTTTCTCAACTCAATCAGAATATAATTATAAACGAAGAAAACACAATATCTAATAGTACATGAGAGCAGATCTTCCCTATGCAGCTTGAAGATCACAACTTCTCCAGATTTTCCTACGACAATCTAGCCTATCATCATGGACGCATTACCTTTGACATGAGTAGGGAGTTTCCCCATGGGAATAGCCAATGTACATAGAAATGCAGTACCAGAGAATGCAATTGCCACTATAAATGCAGCCTTGATCCCAACCATATACGCCCCCAATACCCCGGGAAGTAAATCCGGCGGGAACACTTTTTGAAGATCTGATGCCCCTGTCATAATCACCAGGAATGGATTCACTGTCGGCGAGGTCTTGGGTAGAGTTGCGAGCAATCGATTAACAAAAGCGGACTGTGCTGCTGAGGTGCTGAATGCACCTCCTAGTGTCTGGAAAACTGCATAAGGTTAAAGTTAGTAAATCTATTACAGAAGGATGCGAAAGGTATAAAGACTCACACAGGAGGTTTGCGGTGACTGCTGAAAGATCCTTAGCATCTGCGCCAGCCTGAGCAATACTCAAGCCATGCATCATGGCAAAAGCCATAGAACATCCGACGAAGAATTGATACCCAACCCACTTTGACGTCAAAGTGCCGATGTCGAGGGTGTATATCAAGCCAATTGCAACAGTGGAGAGCATTGAGCCAACAAACATGACTTGTTGAGCGCGACCCGTCACAGTTACAACAATTCCCCCGGCGAGGGCAAATACTGCAGCTGCAAGAACAAGGGGTAGATTGTTGACGCCTGATTTGATCGCACTCGCACCAAGAATACTCTGAAAATAGATAGGAAGGTAGTACAGAAGAGCAATATAGCTTCCCATAAAGAAAAACTGATAAGGTGCTGTTGTTGACAGTGATCTCTGCGTATATAGCCTCGGGAGCATCATTGCATACTCTCCAAGCCAGATCTCCCATCCGACAAGAGTAATAACAATGAGCCCAAAGCCGACGAGAAGGCCGATAACAACGCTGCTGTTCCATGGATGAGAATTACCGCCATATTGAAGAGCAAGAATAAAGCAAGTTATTCCTCCCATGGCTAAAGCAACCCCAACAGGGTCTATGTGTAATAGTTTCTTGGTCCAGGCAATTTCAGGAGGTGTAGCGGCGGCTGGAAGATAGAAGAAGAAGAAAATAACGAGAACAGCGAGACCCCCAATCGGCAGATTGATATAGAAACACCACCGCCAGGTGACGCGATCAGTAAATGCTCCACCAATCAAGGGCCCAAGGACGGCAGCAACAGCGTATGTCATACCAACTATACCCAGCATCATGGGTCGCCTCGCAGGAGGGACAGTGAAGGATATGATACTTGTTCCACCAACAGAGAGGCCGGCACCACCCAAGCCAGCTATGGCGCGCCCAACGATCAATGCTTTGGAATTAGGTGCCACTCCGCATAGCAGACTCCCGAGCTCGAAAATAAGCATGGAAATCAAAAAGCTCCACTTGAGATTGTAGTATTTGTATATCTTGCCGGCAGATGTCTGAGCTGCACCAAAAGTCATGAAGTAGGCAGCTGCGTACCACGACACATCGTTGAGACCATGGAACTCATCCGTTATCTTAGGAATAGCTGTGCCAACAATGGTCTAAGTTCGATATGTTAATAATTATCTTACACTAGAGAGCAGACCTAGTTCATACCTGATCCAGGGCAATAAGGAAGACAGAAATAATAGACGCCCCTGCCAAAAGCCCTAATTTCAACCCTTGTGGATACTCGTCGTCGGCTATGGTTTGTCGTTCTGTACTATTGTTGTGACTTGAAATATTGGCATCAGGTGAGTCTTGTTTAATGTCTTGATATGAATCTTTTTCGACATTAAGCATTGTCGTATCCTTGCTTGAGGTAACCATTATACTCGTGCCAGGAGGTCGAAGTGAGGTACTGTTGTCAATAGTGTCTCGGTCGCTGAGGAGTTACTCGTTGAGAGCAAGGCTTGCTCTTTATAATTTCGTCAACAAACCGAACGATAGTGCTTGCCCTAAAGATTGAAAATAAATGAGCGCACTAGTATAAGGGGACAGACAACTAACACCGCATTCAACGGATTTCCGGGAGGCAAATCCTTTGGTATTGAACGGAAATCCGCTCTAAATGTTTATACTACCTAGGCTACTGAATAGTATGAAAACTCATAGACCTCATATACTAAACTACTTATTTATGTCTCGTGGGTCGCCTTGGAGTGGAGGCTATCATATCTATGCGTCCATATACCAATGGTACAACGGAACTCCGATGGTTGGTTGTTAGAAAGGAGTAGAATAGATTTGGCACCGAAGAAAGTCGATGACAAAATCGAACGGCATATCATATAGCTATTTCTTGAATTATTTGATTCCCTCTACCTAGGTATGTAGAATTTGGTCCGTCCATATACCTAATTACAAATTAAATTGGCGTTGAACGGATTTCGCTTCAAGAATCCGACGGCGTCCAGGAGCCAGGCACTACCTAAAACTGAAATCATGACTAAACCGTGACGAGAGTAGTTATAAATGTATACTAGGAGAGAAATGCCAGCTAGAGGAAATATCTGCTGGAATTTGCTTTACTAGATGCCCATAGATAGCGGGAAAACTGTAACCCTAACTCTCCAATCCATATGTCTGTAACAAGTAAATCCTAACTACTAGTATCGTTACAGATTAGATACAATTTATAGTGTGACATAGTTAATTAAGAATTCAAGTGCTCTCAAAGAACTGGAGTGTCGCCAAACTCATACCCTTTGGGGAATCTATCAATGTTGTTAGAAAATATCCCGTAAATAAGATGTCTCGAGCTCGAGACAAACAGGCATCGTAGAGATTAGTACATACCCTTCGGGATATCTGCTACCTTGAAACTTGGTTGCGTAGATAATGCTTGACAGAGCTTTCTCCTCCTCGGGGGTCAACTTAATGTTTTGAGTAGCAAAGTTCTCTTCTAGGTACTTGATCGTTCTTGTACCAGGGATGACGAGAACGTCTTCGCCACGACTCAATACCCAGGCCATGGCCAACTGACCAGTAGTACATCCTTTATTTTTTGCAACTTGCTCGAATTTTGTGATCATTCTCAAGATCTTGGGGAAGTTTTCTTTCGAGAAGCGTGGAAGAGCGGCCAGGAAACGATCTTTGGCATGGATCTCTTCCACTGTCTTGTAACCACCGCTTAGAACTCCACGACCCATGGGACTGTAGGCCACAATCGCAACACCGAGTTCTCGGGCTGTTTGGAGCAATCCGACTTCCTCGTCTTCAATCTCAATTGCAATCGGACTGTACTCTATCTGGACAGCTGCTATAGGATGGACGGCATGTGCACGACGTAGAGTCGCAGCGGATACCTCGCTGAGGCCGATGTGACGAATCTTGCCTTGCCTAATATATGTAAGTCCAAACAATTTTATTGTTAGGTTATATGCATAGGAAACTGTACTGTTTCAGCTCGACCATAGCCTCCACAGTCTTTTCGATGGGGGTCTTTCCATCGACTCGATGGCAGTAATACAGATCAATGTAGTCTGTGTTCAATCTCTTCAAGCTTCTCTCACACGCTTGCTTGATATATTCCGGGTCAGAGTGCAAGGACTGTTCGTACGTCGCCGGGTTGAATTTAATGCCAAACTTCGTTGCCAGGAAGATATCTTTGCGTTTGTCTGGATTTTGCTTCACCCAGAGACCAACTGCGTCTTCTGAGTCGGCATACATATCGGCCGTATCCCAAAAGCGCTCGCCAATGGCATGCGCATGATCCAGCAAGGTACTTCGCACTTCGTCACTTGGGGCGGGACCATAGATGCCTCCTATGCTCATAAGACCGAAACCAATTGCTGGAATAGACGGGCCGTTTCTGCCAAGGGTGCGCATTAAGGGTGCCATGACTGCTGCAAGGAAATACAGAGGAAAAGTGAACTAGAAAAAAAATCAGGGCAGTATAAAAAACGAAGATGTCAAGAGGATGTCTGTTTTGATTTGAAGTAGAGGAATGCCTCCTTATATAGTTTGAGATCGGCAATTGATAATTACTAAACAACAGATAGATTCTTGAAACTGGGAGAGCTATACCATCACTTTTACAGAATAATCCAATCAGAAACGGCTAGCATTTCGATCTGGATCCTCCGATGAGGCAAAAGCCCATATCCGGACATACTCTCCACTTACAGCCAATCAACTCCTCAAAAAGACGAACGAGCCAATCAGAGCCACCGAAATACAAGCAGCCGAGGCCAACCATTTCCTAATCGAGTAATATGGCTATAGCCAAGCAAGATACCCTTGAGAGACTCAGCGGAGGTCATAGGAGGAAGTTGGTTTTATGGGTTAAACTTTTAAAGAAATATATAATGTCAGTAAACAGCATACACACAGGGATCCTGTACTCGAAAAATTAGGTAGTCATCATAAAATATCCGGCTATGAGATGATTCTTCTGTAACTAGGTAGCTAATAGTGCAAGCACGTTATAATTTATGAGTATCATTGACACATGCAAGGCATCAAACTCCTTACCAGGTGCGAATGAGCCAACTTTATGATCAAGACAGCACACCTCTGCTCCACCAAGAGTGGCGAGATAGAATATCTCTTCCCTTGTGAGCTCCTTGTCTTTACCGTCGGTCATGCGCTGTCTAGCGTTGCTAGTAATGATGGCTTGTCTCATGGCTTCCAAGATACTGCTGCTGAATCCACCTCCGGAATCTGTGCCCAAGCCAACCTTAATACCGAGATCCAGGTACTGCTTGACTGGGGCTGCTCCCCATTCTCCAGCAGTTGTGTTACTAACTGGGCAGTGAGCAATACCAACATTGCACGCCTTCATACGCCCAATCTCATACTCATTTGGATATATGCAGTGAGCCAAAATGCATCGATCGTTGAAGAGACCATAGTGTTCGTATAGATCTGCCTCATTATTGAACTCTGGAAACAACTGCATTGTTGGCTCAACTTCCTGCCTCGCCTCGTCAAAGTGCGTTTGAATCATGAGCTCTGGGTCGCGCTTCGCAATCTGACCTAGTCCCGCGAGTAACTCCCCATCACAGCTCTTTCGGTCCCTACCGGAGTGCGTCATCCGGACCAGGATCGAAACATTCAACGGTCAGCTCATGGAGCCTGCAGCTAATATGTACCGTCACTATCTAGCGGCCAGTGTCGATGCCCTATCTTTCTGTTAGGGCCTCGAACTTCTCCTTTGCTTAGTATGGTAGACTCTTCTCGTCGTCCTGGTGTTCATCTAGATTCTAATCCATAAGACATTGAGATAACATTCATAGATATCCCCACATATTGTTATCAAGTATATTGAGCCGCATACTTTATCCGGTCCACTAGGCACGAAGCTGTCGATAGGGATGGCCATATCAGTACGTAGAAGATGGATATAGGCGCTCCTGACCACTTTCAGGGTCAACTGGTCTATATTGGCGTTTCTTATATCAGTATTATGCAACATCGACATCTACTTATCAATCATCAAAGTCCAGTAGTCTATCAGTCCATCTTCGCGACGGCCTGGACCGCCCAACAGCCAAATATGCCAAATATCGGATGGCGCCGATTCAAAATAAGAACAGTCGCGATAAGGACTACACCAGGATCGGCATCGATACCGAGATACAAGGTCTCGAATGGCTGAATATTGATAAGAGATCATGCGCGAGCCAGCCTGAATAGCGGCATGCATTGATAAATGGCTCTACTAATTCCTACAAACGACATCCACTACACCGCAACTTCATCACCATTTCCCCTATTGTCCTTTTGAATCATGTCAGTCCGCGCCTCTCTAGATCGAAAAGACGCAATTGCGCAGAAGAAATCCGCAGACCAAACTGCCGACCCTGAAAAAAGCGTATACGAGACAAGAGCTCCAGAGAATTATGGCTTCGCGGATCGTGTGGATAATCTCTCGAACGTCGAAGCGTCCAATGGGTGGTTCAGCAAGGTCACTCGCTTTGCAAGCAAATTCCACGCTGAAGAAAGAGGTATCGGACGTGTTGATGAGGCCGATCGTGTACAGCAGGGCTTAGTAGATGCCTTTGCTTTGTGGGCCTCAGCCAATATCACGTATGTGCTCCATCATGATTCCTTTTGCGGTTGATTGCATACTTACGTTTGGACAGTCCGGCAACATTTGCTACAGGCGCATTAGGATCAGTTTTTGGCCTTGGGTTCTGGGACTCTGTCGCCGTCATTGTGCTTGTCAATTTCGTTTTCTCGTGGGTGGTTAGATTTTTCGGGTGCTTAGGAGCAATCACTGGGTTGCGGACAGTCTCCATTGGACGTTTTTCGTTCGGCATCTGGGGCACACGCATCCTTGTCATCCTTAACCTGTGTGGTATGGTCGGGTGGTCGGCAGTCAACAGTATCGCAGGTGCGCAAGTTTTACACGAGCTCTCTGACGGAAATTGTCCGCTTTGGGCTGGCAATCTCATCATCGGGGTTATCACAGCAGTTATTTGTTTCTTTGGATACTTTGCAGTCTATTTGTTTGAGAGATTCTGCTGGATTCCACAGCTAATTGTGTTTATCTTTCTCGCCGAATACGGTGCACGCCACTTCGATGCATCAGCTGCACCCATGGGCAGTGGTTCTGCAGAAGCAGCAGACGTCATGTTATTTATTGCTGTCACGTATGGGGTTGTCATCGGCTGGGCCGGATTGTCCCCCGATTACAACGTGCGCAGGCCGGCAAATATCAATAAGATGAAGCTCGCCGTAACCATCTGGGCCGGTAACTTTATAGGGACTATCATCCCCGAGATTCTGGGTGCTGCGTTCATGACCGCTGTCGCGGCCGACCCTGCATTTGCTGCCGCCTATGACACTAGAGGTTATGGTGGACTTTGGGGGGAGGCTCTGAGGCCGCTCCACGGTTTCGGAAAGTTCCTCTTGGTGTTGCTCGCTCTTAGTATTGTGGGCTGCAACTTGACGAACAATTATAGTCTGGCTTTTGCCTGCCAGAATTTCCACCCAATCAGGCTCAAGTTCCCGCGATGGCTGTGGACTGCTGTCGGTTCGGCTGTTATTATTGCCATCGCTATTGTAGGCGAAGATTCGTTTGATGAAGTTCTGAAATCCTTTTTATCCGTGATTGGCTATTATGGGACGCGTTTACCTGCATCATTTCTATTGAGCACTTCATGTTCCGGAAGGGAAAGTACCCTTTGGATGATTGGAACAACATGAAAGTCCTTCCATATGGCTTCGCAGGAGTTGCGTTCATCATAATGGCATTCGTGGGCGCAGTCTTATCCATGGATCAAACGTGGTATGTCGGAGTGGTAGCAAAGTCCGTGAAGCCAAATGGAGCCGAGCTTGGCTGGATATTCAGCGGATCGTTTGGTGCTTTAGCATTCGTATTCACGAGGTGTCTCGAGAAGAAGTACACTGGAAGGTGATGTTTAAGATTGAAGTTTGAGCTTGCAGTCACGTGTGGACTCGTGCAACATTCGATCAGTAATCAAATGGCGTCATTTATTTAGGACTTTATTCCAGCTTTCTTATCTTCTCTTTCTTCTTCGCAGATTCTCTTGTATGCTAGAGATTATCCTAAAGAAAGACTACTACACGGAATCCACCATTATGTCTGCAGACACACAGTTAGTATCTATCCATCAGTCAGGTACGAATGATGGATGGCACGGTCTTATCAAGTCCGGCGGGGAATTTGAGCCGGAAGCGGGGAGATATCATCTTTATATCGGTAGGACTCACCAACATCTACTTTTTTGATAAGATGATCTGATTATTATTAGGCCTATTCTGTCCCTTTGCACATCGGGTCAACCTCGTCCGCCACATTAAGGGATTACAGTCCGCAATTGACGTATCCGTAGTCCGCCCATATCCCAAAGGCGACTCCAAGGGCTGGCCAGGATGGAAATTCCCCGCAAATGACCAAGAATACGAGGGTTCGACGGTCGACAAGCTCTTTGGAAGTGAATATCTACATGAGGTATACTTCAAGGATGACAAGGACTACAAAGGAAGATACTCTGTCCCTGTAATTTGGGATAAGAAGACCAATAGAATAGTAAACAATGTATGCACATTCCCGACTATTGTTGGCGATATCAATTGACAACGTAACAGGAAAGCGCAGAAATACTGAGATGGTTGCCAACGGCATTCAATGGCACCTCGGCCATCTCCTCAGAGCTAGCTACAATTGATCTCTACCCCGAACACCTGCGTAAAGAGATCGATTTATTTTCTGAGTGGATTCAACGTGACGTGAATACTGGTGTCTACAAGGTCGGCTTTGCTACTACTCAAGAAGACTACGATAAGGCTGTGATCCCCGTCTTTGGTGCTCTGAATCTACTCGAGAAGATCATCTACGAAAAAGGTGGACCCTATGTGCTGGGTGAGCATCTTACAGAACTTGATATACGACTTTATGCTACTTTGATCCGGTTTGATGCGATCTACGTCCAGCACTTCAAGTGTAACCTTGGGACTATACGTCATGACTATCCTGTACTCAATGCATGGTTGACACATCTATATGGGAAAGTCCCTGGATTCAAGGAGACCACGGATTTTAAACACATCAAAGAGAATGTGAGTCATTTGTTTTTGCTTTAGTTTGATCCTTCGTTCCCCAAGAGATGAATGCTAAACATAGCTATGCAGTACACGAAAAGCCATGGTCAAATCAATCCTCTGGCTATCACACCGCGCGGCCCTTTCCCCAATGTCGAGGACTATGTGCCACAGAAGCCGACTAGTTACGGAAAAGTAAAGTTGCCGGAGGTCTTGGACTACGAGAAGAAACTGGAAAATGAGGTATTCGGAGGAAATTAGTATGACAACTCAAGTTTCGGAGGTATAGATACTTCGATGTTGGACATAGTTATCATTCACATCGAGTTTCGTCTACGTAGTCAACCCTAACTATGCATCGTAAATTTATCCATGACATTGTTACATAAAATTAATCACCTCCAGATTTATTCAGACAAACACCTATTCACTAATATACACGTTCAGACAATCAAGATTTCATTTCCTTTGACACGGATGGCCGCGTAGGCAGACCAGCGATCTTGTAGATCGCATCGATCGCCTCCATCTGCGCAATACTCTCTTCACCTGAAATCCAGTAAGGCACATGCTTGCCTCGAACCTTTTCGGTAAACGCTTCGAGCTGATAACGATATGTGCTCCAGTAAGCCTTTCCACCTTTTCCGCCGGTGGTCCAAGACTCACCCCAGCAAGGACCGCCTTTGTACTGTTTCTTATACTCTGTCTTACCGGTGGTCTTATCGGTGATGGAAATGTAATGGTACAGATGTGGCATCATGGCATTATAATAGTAAATAATTGCCTTGTCGGTCTCGACCTCGATGGATGGGAATTCCCAGACGCGTGGGACGATTTTCTTGATTACCCACTGTCGAGCCATGTCCGTATAGATACGGCTTTGGATCAAATGTCCATCTTTGGGGTCCTCGAAAAGTATCAGGGAATGCATTGCTTCGTCGACCCGTTTATCCTGGGCATAGGGTCTAGCGACGGCCGATTGAACCTCTTTGAGCTTGGCTCCATGGACGGCAAAACGGGTGAAAGACAGGGCATAAGTCATATCCATCGAAGAACCGCCTATTACATCATGGTGTTAGCGTCACAAATCCTTTCAACAGCGATCAAAATGCGATTTACACTCACCAGAGAGTTCAAACTGCCATCTGATATCACCGTCTGGGACACCTGGACTAGCTGTCATGATAGCACTGGTCCGCAGAATGCGACCATATCTGCCAGAATCGAGGATCTCTCGGAACAAATGGGCGGAGGGATGGAATTGCCAATGGAACTAAGACAATACTGAATTAGCAACAATCTATTGCCAAACAGCAGAGCATAACATACCGCTTCTTCGCATACTAAGCCCTTCACTTTGGCCAACTCAACCAACTTACGAGCTTCTTCGGCGTTAGAGGTAAATGGCTTTTCACAAAGTACGTGCTTGCCAGCCCTCAGTGCTTTGCTGGCCCATTCATAGTGCAGTCCGTTAGGAGTGGAAATGTACACGAAGTCAATCTCAGGGTCGTCTATGAGGTCCTGGTATGAGCCATAAGCTTTCTTAAAGTTATATTTCTGAGCGGCCTGCTTGGCTGTTTCAAGGTCGCGAGAGGCAATTCCATAGAGAATCACGTCCGGATGAGTTTCAGCGGGATGTATGACTTAATTAATCATTGTTAGCTGTCTGCACTCTACTTTGTCATGCTCTAAAAAGAGAGGTCAGTGAACCTACTTGCAGCAGGATTGATTTGAGCTGTTGAGATGACGCCCAATTTCAGGCCCATTGGGGACTTTGTCGGGGTTGGATGAAGGTAGGAGGCGACATATTGCTGGGCGAATGTATAGGCTTGGAGGACGAGAGCCATGATTATTAGTCTCGGGATATTCCTATTGGAAATCGAGCAGAGAATTGATTATTCGAGTATATCGAGACAATGTTGTTGAGGTCAGCTCGCAATATTTTTATGTCGTCCTTGCTGTCGCCATGACGCCATAGCAGCGTCAACGTTATGTTACCAGCTAGGGCTTAACCCTGAGTATTCCAGCAAGATTCGGGCAGAATTACTAGATAGTTCAATATTCTCTATTCTTCTTTTACCTGCTAGAATTCGTTCTGCCCGATCGGGAGCTAGGGTTTGGGAGATCCCGTGTCTCGTGGTTTCCATCTGAGATATAAGGGTTAGGGTTATAAATACAATCATCCATCACGATCTGCGATGCACATGCACTCCTTCGACTTGCGGGATTTGCTCGGAATTCTTGAAACTGGACTACGAAATTATAGTTACGCTTGGGCTATGCAAGTCCACGGATCTACGTGGTGAGTTGCGTTAGATAAGGCAATCTAGCCGAGACAGGGCCGTGTCAAACCTAAGCGAAGACGATAGAGCTCTGGTAGTAGCTGAAGTATCAACCATGACTGGATTGATTTCATGTGATGGTGGATGGTGATACATTCAAAGGGGTTATATCCCGAAACCGGATCTCATACAATTGAATACATACCTAATAAACAAAAAGACTTGGTATATATCTAGCTCCCAACCTCTGAATAGCATTAGAAGATAATATTCTGCTTCTTTTTGAGCATGAATTTAATTGAAGTTGTGCACAGTCCTCGGCGCTGTCACAGGAATTCTCGCGGGAAAGCCGAGTCTGAGATAGGAAACATCTCAAAGCTTTAACAAATCCAATCGGACGAAAAGGCCCCGCAGCTCCATTCCACGTGGTTATCTGTTTTGCACAGTGCCGAACTCTAAGTTAAAGATCTGGATTCAAGTACCGAGTGTATCAGATTCAAGTACGTAACTCGTATTCTTGACACGCAACGGAGAATTTCCTCCTTTAGGCTGCACGCAGGCCGTGCCGAGTGTCACCCTTGTCAGGGATCTGGAGCAATGCTGAATATATGGACTGCGTAAGTTAAGTTATCGACCTGCACGGCTTATCAAGCAGCTAATGTCATTGAGCATGTGTCCGGGATTCGTCGATTGGCATGACTCGGTTCCACACAGACCCCTCTTTCGAGTCAGAGAGCTAGTATATTTCCGTGAGTAAAGCGCAAGCCAATTTCTCCGGGAATACATTCTCCGTATGTGTATACAAGAGAGGCTCTTTTTGTTTTCATGCAGTCTCACCTGACGACTCACCGGAGTCAACGCCATCGCATACCGCCACGTTTTTGTGTATGCCTCTCCGTTGACATGTGCGACCACGGAATTGCTTGTGAAACTCGTGGCAAACAAACTTTGCAATCAGGCACGCTAATAGCGACACTAAACTGCTAGGCATTCTGCATTGGGTAGGGGAATGTCTCAATTCGGCTGGCCGACTAACGAAGATACCGCTACAGCCAAGAGTCTGCTGTGTGTATCCAGTCGAATCGCTGCACAATCCCCATGCTCCGCTCGGGATTGCATCTTTTTCTCTATTCGGTTTACTTCGTCTTTTCCCACGTGGTGATTCACTTCTCAAACACACCCCCAAATCCTGCTGGATCCAATTCTGCGCGGCCACTGATTCGTCTCCATTGCCGGATTTCCGTTGGCTTCTAACTCTCTCCCTCCATGACTTACATCTTAGTGAGATCTTCCTCCTATCTCTCCACTTTCTATTACATTGGGGAATGTGTGCGCCTCCTGCAGCCTCGTGTGCACTTGCTTTTGAAGATCGTTCAGCCATGGGGTTTGCTCGTTGCTTTTTTCCATTTTCCTCCTTCCTGCCTTTGGTGTTCGGGATTCTAGCTTAATACCTAGATACGTTCTAATCGGACATTCTTCGCTTCTCGCAATTTATTCTTCTCACGTCCCGGCCTTATTCTTCGCTGACTGAACTCGTTGGGGGCTACTTTGCTGTATTTCGCCTGGTGGATACTTACACAGCAATACGTACTTTGGTGTCACGCAAGCTCTTACCACCTACAGGTTCTGATTGAAGCGATCTACCGTGACCGACAATTGCAGCGTTTGTCCTTGATCTCTGCCTGCAATCGGGCTGTTCGAACTGCAGTCGACCAGGAAGAAGTTGCATTACTCTTGGGTGGTATCGGACTCACTTCACATACACATGGTGGCTCCAATTGACAATCCGCCCAAAATGTCGGATTCAGCAAGGAAGCCCACGTCGCGAATGTTGCGCACGACAGATGAAGATCGGCCATTCACTAGAGTATATTTTCAATTGAGGAAATGCGACTGAGAACGAGACAATGCTAACATGTTTAAACTCCTCAGGACTTCAAGGACCTTTTCTCAACTCTCATGGTCAGCCTTGAGCTTGGTCCGCGTCGAGTGCGCTTCTCCAAGATTGACTTTACCTTCACCGTGGAAGAAGCCCTGAACAATCTCAGCTCTCTGCGATTTACGCAATCTGCCCGCATGCCCGATCCTCAAGACCCCAGTCGCATCATCACGACGACGTCCACGACCACGTTCACAATGGCAAAGGAGATGGCAAAATCCATATTCAAGGACTTCATACATGCACGGTTCCTGGAACCTCTAAACGCCACTTTTACGAGTCTCAGCAAAAGTACTGTCTGCACACTGACGGCAAAGGGAATTGCTGTGCTGCACCGTTTCTGCAACCGAAACGGTATTGCAGCGCCACATGTGATGAGAGTGCTGCAATCTCCGCGGAACAAGATGACACTCCTTATTCTTGAACGCCACTTAACAACAGATAAGCTGTTGGTCGACCGGGCGACTATCGAAGTCATATTTCGTCGTTTTGCTGGCGCCCAGGCTCCCGGTGCAAGCAATGGCTTGCCAGCCTGGGATGATCGTACCGATTACCCGAATGGTCTGGTGGGCGTTGAAGGTATACAGGATATGCGGGTGAGTGGTAAGAAGTACCAATATGCCTTTTCTGGCAAGTCAGCCATCAATTGGCTTATGGACTGCTGCACTACTATCGACGAACGCGAAACGTATCAGGTTTGTGAGCAATTCATTGAACACGGTTTGATCGTTAGCATCGTCGAGGACAAATCATATATTGAAGAAAACGGTGCGAGTGCACTCAGCTTTCAACCCACACGGCAAGCCATCTATACGCTTACGCCGCGCGCCATGAAAGTTTGCGGTTGGGCTGTATCTGATAGGCTATCAGATGAGAGCATAAACAGAAAGAGGGAGAGCAAGGCGAATGATGGATCCTCAGTTTCATCCAATTCAGCCACCGGACCTACTGCTAGTGGTGATGTTTCAAATAAGGCACGTTTGACGTATATACTGAATGATCCATCACTACGTCTTCTATTCCGTGAATTTCTTGCAGCGTCTTTCTGCGAGGAGAACCTGGCTTTTTATCTTGATGTGACGGAATATCTTGACAACTACAAGCAATCCAAGACGTCAGGTGAACTGAAAGATTACCATAAGGTGCAGGATTATATTGCTGGTGCATTTGGTAAGTCCCAATTCTCACTTGGAGTATACATTGAGAGCAACGCTAAATAAATTACATCTATAGGCCTGTACAACTCTTTTCTTGCCCCGGGATCCCCTTGTGAATTAAACATTGATCACGCCCTCCGGAATCGGTTGTCTGCAGAAATGACCCGGCTCTGCGGAGACGAGCAGACGGTAGCTCGTAATCTGGAAGAAGTCGTCAATCATTGTCAACTTGCGCAGACATCCATTTTCAAGCTCATGGCTAGTGTAAGTGTGTATAGCTCTGGCCTATACTTCGTGAGCTAATCGTTATTCCACAGGACTCCGTTCCCAAGTTCTGCCGTCAACCCAGATATGCAGTTATTCTTCAGGAGCATGACTTTGAATCTGTTGCTGGAAACCCAAGCCGTCCTGCGTCTCCAGTCAGTACACCAATGAAGTCAGCAGACCGGTAGCATATATGCACAGGTCCTGCTATCCATCTAACGCAATTGTATTTGTTCTTTTCTCTTCTAGCGAGTTTGCGATTGTTTGCTATGACTTTTTGACGCATGATATAAGCATGATGGGTTAATTTTTTGATTCCCTCTCTTCTCAAGAGAATTATCTGTTGCATGGTGGTTCTTTTTTTTGATTTGAGTTCATATTCTTGTTTTTATAGATATTGCCGATGGCTTGAGCTTACTGTGGGCGGTTTTTTTTGCGTGTTCTTTGTACAGATAGAGACATATTTGCATATTAGACTAATTAATGAGAAGACTTTGGATATTTATACAATTTTCTGTATCCTGGACTGCTCAGGTAAAAGAAGCAGTGCACTGGAAATGATTCTTGTATTTTCTAACTTATCATTACATACAGCATTTAGTATCGACGCACTTCCTGTTCAAAAAGTCTAGACTACCTCCCAAACGAAGAAACCCCAAATAGAAATGATCCACAAAGCATTAAATGAATCATGAATTATAATTAGCTGCCTTTTGCATTTGCTCCTTCAGCGGTCCTTGAAACCTTTCCTTGCCTCTGACAAACCAGTCAATGAGCAAAAGAATGGCCATGAAACCATATACTGGACCAGAATAATTCATGTTTTCAGCCGTGACTGGGAGTATTGTCGGAAAGGGAGAAAAGATGATAATAAATGTACCGAATACGATGGCGTAAATATTTACCATCAAACCAATTCGTGGACCCATTGTCCACGGACCCCATTGAATCGGAGTCCCAGTCTTGTCAAACCGTCGAATAACGAGCAAAACGATGGGAATCAGATATGAGGTATACAGAGAGCAGGTGGTGAGCGCAAGTATTGCGTTGAGAGCTGTGGTGGAACCGATGTTAATCAAGGAGAGGAGCACGACAACCATGCAGACAAGTCCGATGGAGCGGAATGGGACATGAAAACGGCTGTCGATATGAGCAAAGAACTTGGAAAAAGGTAGTCCTCCGTCACGAGCAAAGGCCCATGTCAATCGCGATACCGAAGCAACGACGCCAATACTTGACATCAAACCAATGGCTGTGATGCCGCATTGCATGGCTGTCGCGGCTTTTGCCGACTTTGTGGCCTGGTAAAACACGGCGATACTGGGGAAGCCAGATGCAGAGTCCAATGCGGCTTTCACATCACCGATAAAAAAGAGTAGAATGAGGACGAAACCGAAAGCTAGCACACCGTTGATAAGCATGGACTGTATGATAATCCGTGGCACAACCCTCGCAGGGTTGCGGACCTCTTCACTCATATGAACGGCACCATCGAAACCTGCAGGAAGACATTAGAATATTGGGCCAAGTCAGATGATCAGAGATTGCTCACCGAGGAAACAGTATGTCACAGTCAGCATGCCAATGCACCAAGAGATGCCACTGTTTTCCCATCCACCATTACTCATGACTGTTTTGAATACAAAGTCCGGTGTGCTTCTCGGTGCTAGCAGGATCAATGGTACCGAAAGGACGATGAAGAGTACCACGTGAAAGATTCCTCCAAACAACTGGAGAAGGGGCAGAAGCTGGATACCCCAGACATTTACTGCAAAAGAGAAAGCTGTGAAGGCCCACATAAGCAAGGTAGACTGCCATTGAGTCGCATCGTAGTCCGGATAGTTGAGAATGATCAAGCCCTGGACCTGTTTTGACACAAGCAGGAAAATACTAGTTGTTGATGACTGCCATGCAAAGATTGTAGCCCAGCCTTGCATCCAGGTGATGAAAGATCGAATTTTAGCTGGCGCAAACAGTGCAGTCCAGTGATACTGGGCACCCGCAATGGGGCAGATTGATGCCATCTCGGCCAGCGAGAGAGCCATCGCTAATGTTCCACTCAGAGATAACAGAAGTCCCCAAACCAACGCGGATGGACCCCCGTTCAGCAAGGATGTAGCGAACGTACTTGCAAGACTTTCCCATGATGCGAGCAACGTTACGGAAAGGGCTAGGATGGAGAGCGAATCGAATTTTCGCTACACATCTTATCAGTGATGTTCTTTAGATTATCTAAGACCGTCGCTCATGCGACTAGCGGAAAAAAAGGTACTCACATCAAGACTTCGTCTCCCACTCGATCCTGTAGAATGCCCATACGATGGCCCGACATCCTTTCGTGAAGTTGGTGGTCGCGTTGAAGACCCCTCCTCGATCGTGATATTTCTTTTTATATCGAAAGGACCTAGTTCGATATCATCCCTTCTATCCATCTTTATGTTCTTTGTATGGCGCGTGAAGTTATACACGGTGGATGGATATCTCTATCTTGATCGGTATGCCGTGAGTAAAGAACGTCGTTTATTCAACAATGGCAATCCAATTCAACATGGTGGTCTTTTGGGGTTATTCATTCCCACCACGTATAGAAGTTCCGAAAATCTCGTTGAGTCAAGCGAGTGCTCGTGGTATACGGTACTGTGGAATAATTGGTCGCAACGTTGCAGATCGGTTCTTCGAAAGAAGTCGAAAGAGGAATTTGTACGGACGTTGTTGATAGACTATATCGAAAGGCACTACGAAGGAGGCAAAAACCACGCCATTCAATTCTTGTAATTATTACTGATTGTGCTACAGAAGATGCACATGGCGAAAGAGAACGCAAGACCAAAGCGCAGGCACAATCGCCGCCGAATCACCGGGAAGATAAGAAAAGACACCATGGCGTCTGGCAGGGATATAAGTGTATTCGAAATTGTGGGCCACAGGAGACTGGACATTTAGTGATCACAGATCAGACGAATCAAAGCGTGTAGCGAGCTAGAGTCTGGTATTATTATCTATCTGTTTCCTGATGGGGTCCACGTATACTTACACATGATTGATTGATTTTCTAGCTTCCTTTTTCCAGACCGAAATCCAATTGCCGATTATTCGAGTTTCGGCTGATAGACTCTCTTATCACTTCATGCATGTACGTATTTTAGTGTTGGAGATCATTGTGACTCCCATGTTCTTCAAGTCAAATCATGTTAGTTCTCAAAAGCTACGTCGCTCGTCGACTTTCTTCGAAAGTGCACCACGCCACAAGGAGGAGATATCTATCACATAGCCGGAATAGGAAGGAGATTAATCACGATGCGACATTTGCTCGCAGAAGGTTTCGTCGAGAAAATATGATTACGATAGCGTCCGAGGCGTCTTCGTATACCACGGATTCAGAACGCCAGGCGGAGTAATCTAGAAGACTTCTCCCCCATGTTTATTTAATTCACTTTTCCGCGTGGGAATTCAGAAAAAACTTATTCCGTAGACGCTGACTAACTACGCGTGTTTCACCAATTGAGAAGTCGGTCAGTGGTGCCACGATTTATCGGGCCAGAATCCCATTGTCTCTCCTAGCAAGCCAGGGATACAAAATACCTAGTCGATTAATATATATTGTATGCGACATAAACGTTCAGGGTCAGTGCTGCTGAGTATTAGAGCAAATCTCCGAGCATGCAATATCGGTCGTGGGAAGCCAAAAGAAAACAATATCAGAAGTGGCTTTCTCCTTGGGATCCTGGGAACATGTATATAATATATGTTAATTTATCGATCATGGATCCCGAGAACCTTGGAAAGAAAGCACAGCCCCCAGAGTGCCGTATCTCTAAACCTTTCCGAGAGCAAGAACGGTTTGTCGCTTGAAAGATCTGCTAATTGGTTACAGACAGTCATAAATCGTAAAGCACTGATTGTAACGCTGTATATGGAGACTCGGCCTGTATCCGATATCCTACTTGGTACTCTTTGATATGACATTCTGCTTATGGGTTAACTACAGCAGGGAGCCGGAATAGGCCAAATAAATCACAATGCTTATCCAGTGAATGCGCTAGTGAGCATCATACGATGCTCCATTCTCCAGTAAACTGACTATGGGAGCTAGACAGCACGAAGTGACAGAACAGTGTTAGGAACAGCCGGCCGCTAACAACATAACATGGATGATGACTTGCATCAGCCACTGATAAACGTAACTCTAGGTCGATATCGCGACTGCATGGGACCAAAAAACATACCCCGTAAGTTGTAAGCCCACGATTCGCATAGACCTGTCTACTTACGATCCAAAATCCGCCTGGAGTGACAGCTCTAAAGATTCTCCCCACTTTCTATGCCCTGTTATCTGCGACCATAACTCGAATAGCACACGATCACGACCCACCTTTCAGCCACCAAGTACGTACACCCCTTTAGGAGTTATGGGCGCCCATGTGAAAGCCGCAGGATTTTCCCCGATGCGCGCGGACCTCGGAGGGCGATGATACGAGACAAGCAGCGCCATCCAATCTCGTATGCGAGCCTCAAACGGAGCGTGACAGATTACTTGATTGGATACTTGCAACGAGGCTTCGTAAATGGCAAATGCATTAAGTTTGGTATTCTTGCAGTGTGAATCAGCTTTAATCTTTTAGACTATTGGTGGCTTGACCAAGCATTTTCCTCCTTTCCATTGAATCGACTCAAGCATAAGCCCTGCCGTAGGTTCCGAATATTCTAGGAAAACCGTCAATCACCGTGATCTCTTTCTTCTACCACTATTCCCGCCTTACTTAATAGTGAGTTAGATACCTGTTACGACTCGTTACTCGACGAGATCTTCCGTCTCATACATCCAGCTCAAATAGCCTGAATTGAGCGGATCACCCGCCTACTGTCGCTCTCCAATCACCAGCTGAAGTCCATGACTGAGAGGATCAGAAGTCGACCTCGCGCGAAGCTTCTGCTGACCCCTGAATTGTCAAAGCTTTCATATTGCTTATTCTTACCCCGCGATGGTCTTTGCGTGTCCATAGGAAAAGTCAAAGCTTTCTCAGGCCTGCCGTTTGGGGAATCAAGATTTCGGAGAATTGTTCACGACACAGCGGTACCCATGTTTGTGGAAAATTAGAGAGACGTCAAAATAAAAAGCAATACAACATGGCAGGTACACTGCCACCGATTTTTCCGATTACAGATGACGACCATGGTGGCTATACCGCTGTCTCCCTGTACACTCTCCTGGCTCTGAGCGTTTTCGTCGTAGCTACACGGTTGTCGGCCAGGTATTACATTGGGAAAATGGTGCAGATAGATGATTATCTACTCGGAATTAGCACAGTGAGTTGACAACGAGTCGGATATTCGAAGACAGTTGTAAGAAGCTCCAGCTAATCACTGACGTAACAAATTGTTAGATTATTGCAATATTGCAAAGCGTGTTTGTGCAGCTGGCAATCAGTCATGGTCTCGGGAAACGGCAAGATATTGTGTCTAGCCATGACTCGGGTCTTTTCGAAAAGGTAAAGCAGACAACCTGCGGTCTTCAATGGATCTGTGGCATGCTAGCCGAGAGGCTAACAGACAATGCACATCAATAGTACATATACGTCGCTCAGATCCTTTTGATAGTTTCGGTTGCACTCAGCAAACTTTCCATCGGTCTGCTTTTTAAGAGCCTTATGAACAGAGGAATTACGCGCTGGGTCAATTGGGGTTTGATTGGTGCAGTCATTGTATGGGCCGTTGCATCGATAGTCGCACTTGCAGCACGATGTTCCTCACCTCATCCGTGGAGTTTTGTGGATGGGAAATGTGATTCACAGGTGAGATATCCTTTCCGATAATGTCTAGACCATAAGACCTGACCGAGAGCGCAACTTTGTCACAGGATACCATGTTTCGAGCAATCGGCGCCGTCAACATCGTCACTGACGTCGGTTTGGTCCTTTTGTCCTGTGGTGTTTTGTGGACTGTACAAGTGTCGGTGACAAAAAAGTTACGAATCATCACCCTGCTCGCGATTCGTCTCGTGTACGTCGTGTTCCCCTTTTTCAATCCTATTCCCTGCGCAATGAAAGCATACAAACGGTGTGAAACTAACTGGCTTGTAATAACAGCGTCGTCATCGCAGTGGCATTCCAAATACACTCCTATATCATTCTCATAAAGTCCGCGGATAAAACTTGGACGCAAATGAATGCAAGCATTTGGGATCAGTAAGATATGCACACCCTGATGTTGCTGATTGAAACTAACTCAATAATCAGAGCTGTGATGAATATAAGCATAATCGCAACATCAATCCCATCTCTTGGACGCCTTGCTCACGAATTGCAGCCGAATGTTAATGCGTTCGCAATGACCGAAAACCACGGTCTTCGAGCCGGAGATAAATACACAATCTCGTCGCTAGCCAATCATTACCCGCGTGAGACGGCCGAGCAGAACATGTTAGGCACACATACTTCTATCCATGGAAGTGTGGATGGTGAAACGGAGAGTATGGAAGGGCTTGTCAGGAATGGCATTCACCAGAATGTGCTTGTATCGCAGACTGTAGAGCTCAAGGTTGAGGAGAGAGAATGCAATAGACCTTAGGGTTCACTAATTTCTAAAACGGATATCCTTCTTCGCGTGTTAAGCCACACCGCTATAATGAGATTCAAGATCGGATTGATACGCTTCTATTCCCCCCCTACCATAAAGATAAGTGTGTCAAGAAATCAATTTTTGAACATCTGACATACCTATGCAGCATACAGGTTACGCAATATCTAATGGGCTGGAGCACTCCCAAAGCCTGTACACATTTTAGATTATACAGAGTACTTGATCTTAAATCGCCCCTCTGTTTCTCAAGCGAAGCGAGAGAAGACAACTTGTGCAGCTCTATGCAGCTCTATGCAGCAACCCTTCTGCCTCCTGTGTAGGACTGAGGGAAAATCCTTCGAAAAAGCTGTCTATGGTCTGATAGTCTGTGAGACTAGTGATAAGAGAAATATCTACAGCGGGTTAGCAATTTCCTTCCAGTATTGAGACCGACAGCAGATAAGGGAAATTCATACAGTGGTCTGGACGCACAATTACAATTGCGCCTTCTCTCTTGTCGATTTGGTAAGTTTCGTACGCATGGCCATGACCGGAATTATAACTCTTGCAGTCTACAAAAGTTTTAAAAAGGTCTGTTCGTTGCAAGTATTAGAGCAAAAATTAAGGTCCTGGTAGTTTTGGAGACAATATACCTCTCATACGCCACTTTTTATTTACCGGTGTAAAATATTCTGGTATTTGCTGCTGCTCGATTTGGCTTGATTCGCCATGAAGCACCAGTATAGGCTCAATGACGCTATCACGGTCAGCTGTCGATGGTGTGAATCTTGAAACGGGCCCTTGTTCATAGGACAGAAAAGCAGCCAGCTAATGCAAGGTTAGTTCTATTGACTTCAATATTGATGGGTACCCAAGAGAGCAGAAGAGGCGACATAATGTGGGAAGTAAGCATATCTTACTTTGTTTAATCTCTCCAAACAGGCAGGGGTCGAGATATCTCCAGCGAAGATAACGATGCGCCATCTTCCGTCAGCTGGAAACGAGCGAACCAATTGCATAGCTCGCGCATCACAAAAACGCACAACCTGAGAGCTCCGGAATCTCATTCCCACGGTCAGTCCACGAGCCAGTTCTGGTTGACTCCTGGCTGTAGATGTAAACACAGAATCATCGTATTTGGCAGTCAAGCCAGCTGTGTATCTGCCAGCTTTGATGAAGTGCCCTGGAAAGTTTTCCGGATTGTGTCCGGTTTTCTTGGAAGAGAAGATGCTAGCAAAGAACCTATCAAACTCAATTAGGTCAGCAGCAACCTTTTCCCGCTCCAGACAATACGTCTCTAGTATGGAGCTCGGCGCTTGACCTTTTAGTACTGCGGCCAGCTTCCACCCAAGATTGTAACCATCCTGAAGACTGACATTCATTCCTTGACCAGCTTTGGGACTGTGTGTATGGCATGCATCTCCAGTTAGGAATATTCGGTGATCTTTGTGGAAATGGTCGACCAGACGTTGACCAATGGAATAAGCGGACCACCACATTGTTTCTGCAATATCCATCGTATACGGCCAGAATATTTCTTTTGTTGTTTGATGTAAATCCTCAAGCTTGACACTCTTGGCCTCCGTGCCGCCTGGAAGTTCAATGTAAAATCGAACAAGCGAGTCTCCCTCTCGGGGAATAATCTAATGTGCAATCAGACTCACAATACAAGTTCCGGAATTGGTGAGAGGTGATAACATACCATTAGGTTTCCATCATTTGTGTGTAATGTTGCCTTCTTTCTGATGTCCGGAAAATTTGTGCGAGGATAGACATCCATAACTCCCCATACAGAATCCGTACTGTCGCCGATCATCTTATACCCAAGTGAGCGTCTTACGGTGCTATGCGCCCCATCACATCCCTATTACACAGGGTTAGAGGAGATGTACAGATAGTGAAGCTCCCCCGGGATTCGAACTTACCAGAACATATTTGGCTCGCATGGTAGTCTCTATCCCTTCAATCCCCTTCGCCGCCGTTACTACACAAGGGAAGTTTGGGTCCCCCTCAAAGTCAACCGTGACATTGGTTACATGCCACCCGTACTCTACTGCCATACCGGCTTCATCATACATCTTCTTCAAAAGCATCCCGTTTATACTGGCTTGATTCAGTATAACGTGCGGATGGTGCGAAAGTCCTGGCATAGTGTCGGCTGTGCGCCTCGTTCTCACCAGCTGCTTGGTAGTTGCCGTAGGATCTTCCTTTTCTGCCCAAAAGCAGACCTCCAGGACGTGATAAGAATCTTTTAGTAATTCTTCTGAGAGGCCAAAAGACTCGAATACCTCCACTGTACGGCATTGTACTCCATCGGCTTGTCCTATCTTCATAGGCCCCGCGTTTCGCTCCAGGATCTTGATATGATGAGATGATATACCAGCGCAGGCCAAGAATGTGGCAGCACAGAGACCGGCTGAGCCGGCGCCACATACAATGACGGAAGTTCTTTGAATAGTCATTGCTGCAAGACTTGGTGTTTTCTCTGACTATCTAGGCGGGCTTGTATCAAATTGCGGGGAGATCCTGACTAGAGACCCTGAATCCGGGATACCTAGATATGCGACCCACTTCAAATGATCAAAATGGTATTCGGTAAGTCCAAACAAAAATGCTTTGTTCTTCTAATGAGTAAACAATGATTAAATAGCCGTACAGGACTGGGTATGTGACTATGCATCGTTTGCGAGCATTGCCGAGGGCATACAGAGGACGGCAGATGCAGGTTGCTGTCCTACAAGTTCCTCGGGAAAGTCCAGTGTAATACAAAACTTACACGACGTGAAATATCAGATGGGGTTAGAAATGTCCTGTCATATTCACGGTAAGAGTTTATTATGGGTTAGATTATTGCCGGTCCCTCCGGTCTTGCGTCTGAAATTTTCCGGGACCGTGCCACAATGCAAGCTGCGGCAGATGTAAGTACATGAGATGCCGAGATACATTCTTTAAGATCATTTCTGTTGCAAGGAGCCTGAGCTCTGTCCTTCTTTGAATTAACGAGATACGTAGTCTCTCAGACTACTCACGCAATGAACGATGTTCAGCCGTAGAAAAAAAAAAAGAAGCAATATAACCATATGCGCCTGTTCGAACGCCATGACCATGCCAAACAAGAACCATTTATCGAGCGGTAATCAGACACAAAAATTTTGTTAATCGCCAAAAAAACATTTTCAACGCAGCACCGGACAGCAATGCATCATTCTACATTTCCGCCAGTGCTTTCGTCGGTCTATCTTGTAGACTGTTCATTGTGTCAGCAGACAAATGCTATCAAAAATATCGATATCGATGGGAGAAAACTTACTACCAATAATTTACGAATCGCATCGCCTGGATCGACTGAGCACCAAGATTGACTGTGTGCATTGCGAATAACAAATAGTTCTTGGGCCTCACTGCAAGGGAATATCTCATCAACAAGGCCGAGGTGAGCATGAAGGCGCCCGTCATTCGTCCTGAGATTCTAGTAACTCTTGTCAGCTTTATCAGTTCTATTGACGGGGCGAAATGCATGAAAGGAGGTGGCATATATCAGATGTAGTCGCTTCTCACATTTCAGGGTCCTTCTGGATATCCGCAACAGCGGCAATCGGTATGCCAAAATTGGAGGCAGGGCCCCAGAAATCTAGATTGGGGTTAATACGGAGAATTCAATGCCATGATTAGAGTCTTTTGGGACATACGCGTAGAACAGAAATAGTCAAGAGCCTTATTAGAGCGGATTTTTGTATTGATAGCTTTGATGGCGGCGTACATATTGAACAAAGGAACTTCTATATCCCAAGCAACGCCGGTAGAACACTCGAGATGGAACGGTGAAAATACAAGGTGATCAGATAACAAATAATTGAATCAACTGAATGTCTTTGCCTGAAGAATGCCAGCAACTTGAAGCAAGGGACCTTGAAGATGAAAAGTTCTGCGCAGTTGGCGGAGTTTCACGGCTATCGACGGCTAATCCGAGTTCCGCGTGACTCATTGGCTGGCTGGATGCCGATCTCGGAATGCTCTTCTCCGGATTATGTCATCCCGCACCGGTTTCGCAGCCCTTTTCTATGACGTAATTTGATGCCTGAGGTTCTTTATCACTAGCCCTAGCCCTAGCCTTAACCCTCATAAACATATTGAAGGGACACTTTGTCCGCTCAAAAAGAGCACTAGACGACTTCTTGTGGAATGTCTGATCTTGGCCCAATGTTCGGCCTGTTTGTCAACTTCTTGACATCTTCAGCGCTCAAACCTTCGCTTCCATCGGGCTGCATCTTGGCCAATATTTTGCGTGACCACTCGTCCGGATCGAATTCTACCCCCAATGGATTCTCCGCAAACTCGTTGGATTTCATATATGCATCCGCCTTATCCATTGTGTCAAAGTTATCAACTTGCATCTCGACTTTGTTTCCTTGAGGATCGCGATAGTACAGGGAAGTTGTGGGGCCATGATTGATGCTCCAGACAGGCTTTAACGGAGCACTGAGATGATCGCGCAAACCGACATATAGTTGAGCCAGTTGGGTTAAATTCTTGTAGGTAAAAGCGATATGATCCAAACCCACCCGTGGTGGATCGTCTGGACTAGGTGTGCGGAGTCCGGGTACCGCTAGGATAGCGAGACGGTGATGTTCTTCGTCAAAGGACAGAAAAGCTATTTTACCAGGGTCCTCATGTCGGATGTTTGCATTTAGTATTTGCAGGTAGAAATCAACCATTGCCTGGTACATTTCTGGATTTGTACGAAACACAACGTGGGCTAATTTATCCGGCGATGGATGGCTCCTTTTCTGGCTCTTAGGGTGAGAGGACATGTTCGTATCACAAATCGCAGGATCCAATATGTTACTGATTGTAAAAATTTTCAAGCATTACTACAGATGAGAATCTCAAAAGTCGACTTGTTCTCCCTTTTATAGGCACCTTTGCACGTTTCCGGCATCATGCATTGATCTTCCAGGTTTTCGCGCAGCATCTTCCCAGGGTTGCACTACATCAAAAAGTGTCCGGATTTACTCAGCATGCATAGGATTTGCATCCCAGATGCTTATTTTAAGGGCTTCCCGTATATCCGTACCCGAGATATGCTCGCTGCATTATTTTATCACGACAAGTGTGTAACGTCGTTGATTACTATCCCGACTTCACCCGCAGGCAGACAGCCGTTATGTCGTATTTTCTGGCCAATACATTGCTCTTAACTAGTTCCACGAAGACTGTGGCCAGGATTTGAATCCAAATAAACCGCAATTCGACAATTGTCTTGAAAATAGGAGTTAGGTCTGCCGAAGAGTACATTATCAGAAATGGTTCAATCGTTGCGGATATAAGAACTAGTGTATGTCCAACAATAGTCAACGAGGTATGTCACAAAGAGCTGACTGAAAGTTGGAAAGGATACTATAGAGATAGAGCAAGCCATCGACTAGCTAAAATTCTAGATTACTAGTCTATCTGTTATGACCTATCTTTTCACGCAAACTTCATGCCCTCAACTTTATGGTCTTGAATGATCAAGGAAGGAACAATACATGCTAGCTTGACCCAGGAGTGGTTGATTACGCTTCTTGTCAGCCAAAGACTTGGGTCGACTTCTGACTTTGTTACCTGTATAGTTCCCTCGCTTACTTATGCCGGACTCAATTTTGACAATTTTTAGGCCTAGGCCATTGACTCGAACGCATGGAGATGTAATTGTATTCTTTGCATATTTTCCTGGGTACGTTCATGCTGGAAGTAAGCACCCGAATTGCCGGTAACCATTCCTACAGGCTATTTCTACCAGTCGTCTTTTAAAAATCGCAACCAAATACGCATAAACAGCTGTGTGGTAATGTATGCAATTATATAGTTCGTGGTAAAGAATTATAACAAATAGTTTGTTCCTAATCCACTGTTGGGGAGGCGATTATGATGAGTAAAGCGGGTGTTCGGAACAGAAAAACTGACCTGTCAGAGTCAATATGTGATCTGTCACTCAGCCGCGAATGTGGACTCACACTAGAGTATACACTTCAAAAAGGCCTGGACAGATGAGCAGCACTGGTGGAAACACTTCGAATAGCTCTTTTTGAAAAGGAAACTTCCACTGCCATCGGATAAAATAGAAGATATCTCCAGTTGGATGAATTGGCAATGCCTCGAAGCTGATAGTAATGCCTATTTATTTCATCGTCCCGGTTACAAAAATGTTCAAGTTATCAAAATCAAGATTAAGCACTGTCGTATCCGATGCTAGTTCTCGCAATTCATCGATACAGAGTATGGACTTAAAGAGAGAGTCCACCGAACCGAATCAACGGCAATATAAAGAGCTCCAAACACAGATTTTGAATATGTGGCGGCGAATATGGCTCGGAATATACCAGGTCCACGACAACCACGGTCCTTATCATATAGAGAGATTGACTCAACTCTACCTGGGAGCAGGCATGGCCGTGTCTGGTATGATCAATAAGCCGGGAGACTCCTACGGACGCTACAAAACAGAAAAGGGGCCGTTAGGCCTGCTAGGGTGTGCACTTGCGAGCCAGGGTATCAGTCGCCTCAGGCTATTCGAAGGGTTATCAATCGAGTCACTCAAAGCCGTCATCCAGCTTCTAGAGTCCTACAAACATGAAGTCGCTGCATTAGGCGAGGTTTATGAGATGTTACGCAGTCTTCAGGTTGGTTTGCGAGAAACCACGGAGCATGATGAGCAGGCAATCCTAGAGCACTACCCACCACTAGCAGACCCGCTTGCACGCCGGCTTATACATCTTGATGCTAGATTAGATGTGCTCGTGGCTGATCTGGAAGATGAACATATGGAGATATATGGTGACTCGATCGAGAGGAACGGATGGCTAGTGAAGGATAAAGTCTTTCCGAACAGAAATCTTGTTGCGATGAAACAGTCACAATAGGACAAGAAGTTATTTCATGCAGGAAGAAATAAAAGAGAATTATAATTAATCGTGGCTGAGGAACTCGGAAACTTTAAACAAACCTCATACTTCCTTCCCTAACCCTTGCCCAATAATCAACCATTTCCGCTATCCTTTAGGAAGTTCACCCAGGTATGGTAAGTATAAAGCCACTATTGAGACACTATACCTCGTTCATATGGCAATCAAACGATCGGTGATCTCATGAAATGTAGTTTTTACACCTTGGAGGGTCGGTGTATAAAGTGTGATCTGTGAATTGATCTTAAGCATATGACTAGGTTTCACATGCTACCGCGTTCATGGCATTGCAGTATCCAGAAACTGGCTGAATACCAGTCTATTTGTATCATCGATCTTTCAAGTCAACTGGAGTAGCGTTGGGCCAGGAGAACAACCCAGACGGAAAGACTTCTTCGGGTTACATTTTAGGCTAATAATGGTGACAAGTATCTTCAAGATATTCGTTGATGCCCTCGATGACGTCGAGTAGCTTTTCAACACAACCTATATGCTGTTTTAGTTAATGTAGATTGTCTGCTCGAGGGCACGCACTAAAATCATTGTTCCCTGAAGCCCTAAAGGTATGTCATAGTGCGTGGCGATCGTGTCTAGAGCACTTGAATTTCCAGCCGAGTATTCTGCATCCGCAACTGGCGGAAACGGGTTTGTCCGGGACTTCCTTGTAGGAATATCCGCTATGTATACGACGCCCATGTACTCGAACATCAGGAGCAAGTCCTATCTGTAGTGGGCAAGCACTATACTTGGAGTCCTAGTATTTCTTGTGGCAATCCCCACCTATATCTTCTACTGGAAGGGACTCAAATCATGACGCTCAGCATACCCCGTTCATTGGGGCCCTGCAATGTAATTTGCCTAATTCTTCCTCGGAAAACTGTCAAGATGTCGTAACCTAGTCGGTATGGGGTATGATATGGACACGTCCGGGTTTGTCATGGGGCCTAACAGACAGTGACTAACGTAGCCGTCTTTGCTCCTCTGGACAAGCCAGAGGAACTGGCTCCCCATTTATGAGGAGCCCTGAGGAACGGCCCCCAGTTAAATGGAAATCGGGAAAGCTTTGAAATACATTTCTGTATATTGTGGTATGCCTGTTGCGATCGAAGCATTCGAGGTTGAAAAGGAAGTTCTGTGAGAGTCGCAATATTCCACGCGGCACAGTGCCGGTTGCAAAAGGGAACGCGATAACATAGCAGAAACCAAGTGAAGATAATGTCCAAGTTATGAGAGATGCGTGACAGATTTCATCACTGACCATCTCCGCCGATTACCTCACATTCGATTTTCCGTCCGATACAAATGTCATTGAGACGGAAAAGCACGCCTGAGCATTGCTTGACTACCGGAACACAATTTCATAGAGAACATGGCTGCAAAAATAGCCTACCAATCATGCCGATGAAGTCATGATAGTTTATCTGTCGTCTCCATGTACACTTCGACGTGATTCCGGTACCAGTTGTGTCAAATGTATGGCCTGGTCCTGGCCGGTCGTGGTATGTTCAACTTCCTCAGAAACAAATAATGCCAGCTAATTCAGCGAAAATTGGTCGAAGAAGTCAATAATGAGGTCATTCGCTTCGATGGGCTGCGGTCCCATCGCGGCGACTAACATGTTTATATTCCGGGATTTAGATGGCCAGCTATGCCCTGTAATCTGTTTATTAGCGTGTGATACTGTTATAATCTACGACATGAAATAGTAACTAACCATTTGCATCGACCTTCCAGTGTTGGAGTATTCCACTTTGCCCACCACAAGTCCACGATGTGTGGTGCACATTGCCATCAAGACTATGGGTCGTTGAGTTGGATGTACATTTGTTTCTCTCTGCCCAATAGTTCAACCTTTAGATAGGCCCAGATTAGTCGAAGAATATAAAAGCGGTTACTTCCGTAACTTGGAAGGGTGTCTGCATACCATACTGGGATTGAGGGCAATGGCCCGCCATATCCTATACCACCAGAGTAGTGGACCCCCCTGTCACTTCCCCCATGTATCTCCAAAAAAGGAAGAGGTGATCGTGATGTCAAACAGCCATTACCATCGACATCTGTATAAAAGGACCCAGCAACAGACGCAAATGCTGCAAACCGGGAACCGAGTTCGCTGCATGCCAGGGTGCCAACAAAACCACCGCCATTGGACATTCCCGCAGCATAGATACGGTTACTGTCAATGCTATATTTTGACTTCAGATCATTAATCATGTCACTGACAAACTGTAGGTCTTCCGGCACGGAAACTTCTGCATAACTCGGTCCTGCCCAAGCTCCGCCCACACCATTGGGATAGATAAAATATTTCTGTTTTATAGTGTAAGTTTTCTTGGAAATTAGTTGATCATTTATATGAAATACTAACGTCTGCAGAGTAGGCTGTTTGGACTAGAGGCAATGACAACCTAAGATCTAGCTCCATGGCCAATCCATCGGCATCAGAACCCAGTCGACCTGAGCCGTGAAACAAGATCACGGCGGGATAAGTTTGCCCACTTTGAAAGTTATCGGGGGCATGTACCCAGTAACTGCGAGTACGATTGCTGCTTAACAGAAACTGCACGTCAGTTATTGCTGGGGCTATAAGTAACAATCCCCCAAGCACAAGCTCGAAGAGCATTCGTGCCAGTCGCCGTGGGCTGAGGACATCTCCTGCGAGGATCTTGATAATCCCGGAATAGATTAGACCCACCGCATCGGAAATGCTGGCGGTGATGAGTCTGATACTGTCCGTGAAAAGATGAGACATTGTTGATCATGGGACGATGTTCTTCTGGGTATCGACTAATCAAATTGGCATCTTCCATGGGCGTTCAACTTGATTTAACCTATACATATATTCGGAGTATGGATTGGAGCGAGTTCAGGCAGAGAAGAAAAAGATGTCATTGTATCTCCGCGCTATTCCTCTTTTGGTCTTCCATCTCTTGATCTTGTTTCTGCCTCAGGCCACCGTCATGAGGGTAATGATTATCATCAACCCTAACCCTATATACATAAAAAAATGCCAATTTGCTACTATGAAGTCCATCTAGATCCGTACTAGGCAAGTTGAATTCGGGTAATATCAACATGGAATCTCTATCCATGTGGGAGGCGCTGACTCGGGTGACCGTTGAATCATCAAACGTCATAGGCTTCACTAAGTAACCAGTAGCTACATACTAACCCTAATATTCAGAAACAGAGAACATTCTGTCCAGCTCACACAGTTTTTTATCCATATTACCATCACGATGAGTCAAGAGCTAATTGGCGCCATATGAACTATACCTGAGTATGTTTAATTATCCAAGAGGTACCATCCCTTCTGTATCAACATCCAGTATAGCATCGTGGTAGGAATGAATAGAGCGGAAAAGGCTTCCCTCATCCTTGTCGTCTGCCAGATAAACAACTCCCCTCCGTACAAAAAAAGGACTCCGGCATACGTGAGAATGGCCAAGGTGTAGAGCTCGCGATTATGGATATTGTAGGCGGCGTATAGTCGGATGAGACCGGTGTAGATGTTCTTAACACCGTATATGTGTGCTGTCAACGCGTTGGGGGGTGGCGCCGAAGGACCAGAGAATGCCGTAAGCGCGGGTATGGGACGGATATACGTAACGACAGAGTGGACTAAAGCCATAGTGCTTGTCTATTTGAGAAGATTTAATAAATGAGTATCAATGTGCCTGATGTTTATCTTGAAAAGTCTCTGGTGATTGATTATAAACGTACCACGAACAATGCGTAGGGTAAGAAGCCATCTACAGCGGACGGAAATACAGCCATTTTTCAAGGTGACACCGAAAGGCTGGGAATGATCGAGTAAACAGAGTCTGGTCTTCCATTTTATTGCAAGGAACAACGACCTATAAAGTAAGCTGGGGGTGTCATTTGTTATCAGTAAATTTTAAACTTCTCAGCCGACACAGTTTTATCTTAGCTACCTCAGCTACCTCAGCTACCACCCACAGACTAAAATATAGGCTAACAAACTGAGCCAATCAGAATCTTGGCCAAGATTTCTGCCGTCTGAGCAAAAGTCGTAGGCGATTTGAATGTCAAGGCCTTTTTTGCCCTCTTTGATATGCTTGATTTTGTTATATTCGTGAACGCCATCTCAAACTTCTGCTCTATGAGATTTTCCGCTGTGCAAAGGATGATTGGACCAGTTGTTTCGTAACGAATTAGCGTGGCGCTAAAACCTACTGAGATAGCGCAGACTACAGAGTAACTTAGACTAGAACGCGGTGCTTTATGCTCAGCCTCAGGAAGTTCACTGACAAGGACCCGACCCGCCGGCTCCGCATATCTGCTGGAGGTTGGGAGCAGACATCAATAATGCATATTGCCCAATGCCGTGACAGTTATTACACAGGCAGGTGTGTCATTTCAACTCCAAAGTTTTGTATGAAAGTAACTGTTGGTATCACAGGGGTGTGCACACAGGTAAAGTGTAGGTTCGAGGTTGTTGTATTCAGTTGTGTATCCTAAGTCTCCAGAGGAGGCTCAGCTACCTACTTATGTGTAGGTAAACAAAGCCGAGCTAACCAAGCTAGGCTAACTACAGCTGCCACCTCTAATTCACTTCCTTTATCCCATTTTATCTCCTCCCATATTGAATACTTCGGGAATATGCTATTCCTACAGTAACCCTAACCTTGATATATTCGTGCCTACTCCGTCCAACGGCAACGACCTCAATCAGCATTTGCTTAGCGAGGATCGAATCAAAGTAAGCAAATGGATCTTACTCGGCTGGTGATATCTTCCACATGCATCGCCTCCCGAGTCTGGGATAGTAGCGAATGCACCCAAATTGGCATTGTTCGCGATGTAGTTGTCACATCAATTAGAAAGGAAAAAAGAACGATGAATTCTTCTTTTGGCGTGGTAGGGGTGGCCTAACTAGAAGTGTTGAAAAGTAGGATTCCTGACTGCCCACGTAGGAAAATAACAGATTACAATGTCCTCGTAGCTGTTGAAAAAAATATGGTTTGATTCGATTCTTGAAAATAATGCAGAATGCTATCAGCGAATCAATTCAAAGTATCGCCGTGTCGACTGTGTTTGCTCTCCATGGCATGACAGTATGCTCATTCGCCCAAGTCAGCAATGCATCGTAATCCGGACATTCATGTTTTGAGCCCCAACCCGGTCCGGATTCTGTTTTCCCTTCGAGCGTGGTATCTGCAGCACACATTATTGACTGTCGAAGGTAGTCGAAGCAATGGGATGAATGGTGAGCTAGTTCTTGAGTTAATTCTGCTCCGTCGAAGGCGGATTGATATGCCTGCACGAGGTATGACTGTTCACCGATAGTTAATCACCACTTTATCATTGAACACTCCCCTATAATGTTCACTATTGGGCATATGACGCGTACCAGGCAATGTAACTGATGAAACACAGACATCATGTATACTGGCTCGGTGCCTGAGTGAGTGTCAATGGTGTATGGCTCACTTAAACCAGAAGCGTCAGGGATATCAATTTTAACATATCCCCTGCCAGCTGTAATGAGTCTCGTCAGTAATGGTTTTGAGGCGTGGGAAATATTTGCTGAAACCAACCTGCGCTCAACTCGATCCAATTGTGCAGTGTCCTCAGAGTTGCATCTCTCGTGCTAAACATACTCTCGTTTAAGTATTTCGGGTTCTCGGTAAAGGTGTACGTCTTCAGCGGAACTTTTGTTTTTAATCGTCTTGTGTTAAATAACCATGGAGATGAAATTGGTGACAGTGACTAACATACAATCAGGTACTGGAGACTTGCTGGTCGTTTCTTTGTCATATATAGATCGAATAGATAACATGACTATAGCAAAAGCCATACAAATTTCGAGGGCTAACCGCAGATGACGCTTCGCCTTTGATAGTGCTCCTTGTAGACCAGTAATAGATTCCGATGCCGTCTTTTCTTCCGCAGCCCTGGGAATAAATACCTGTCTTTCGGCGTCGTCTTCATCGTTGATGATACTCATATCGAAAAGTGCTGTGATGTACCAAGGCTACGACAGAGATCTCGGAAGAGAGCAGAATTGACAGTTAGTAGCCACCATCAATGAATATCTATAAGTATCTAGGTAGTGAAAGGCTGGATTTGTGTTAAAAAAAAAAGGTATGCGTACGGGACCTTCCAAGGGTCCGTTTTTCTTTATCAATATTTAGCCATAATAACGGCTGAAATAGCCTATATTCCGCGGGACTTGACCACGTCAGGGATATATTCTTTCGGTTACAGAGGTGCGGGGCAAATCATCAATTGAATGCGATCAGCAACTTCTGTGTTTCAGATGCTCAGAAACTGATGATAGTCAAGAATCGTTTTCAGCCGTATGCCCATACTTCCGACTAGGTGTTCGATAACTCAGATCAAAATCCTGTAAAAGCAATATATATGAACCTTGTGTCAGACTGACTGTAATCATCGAAAAATGAGTAAAATTTGTACAAATAAAAAAAGGATCATCTATGGTCGACGATTGGTGGAAATTCGCCCAGGTGAAACGGAGGTTGAAACATGAATCATATGTCGTATTTTCCGCAGGGATAGTTATGGTTCTAGACTTCTAGCTCCGTGATGGAGGCAAACTATTTTGATGAACCACCTCAGACTGGATACTTTGACCTACGTGGTGCCTAGAATGCAACAGAGTAACAAATAGAATTTGAAATGAGCTAAACCTTCGAAGTTTGAACACATATGTGGTAGATGTATACTGCAATTATTATTAAATGACAAAATACAGTCCGCAATCTAGAAATTCAAAGGCAGAGAAAGAAAATATCTAACTGAAGATTCAAAAGGGTGAGAGAAGGAATGAATTGAAGTCAAGTACGTTAAAAACGTAGAGGAAGCTTGGATTTTGTTAGAATCAACCCCCCAAGTTTGATCAATGATTCGCTGGACAACAGCTCAAGAACCTGCACATTTGCGTGGGCTTCACGGGCAATCCAGTTGCGGATTTCGATAGCTACCAGGGAGTCAAGACCCAACGACGAAACCCGAGTCGAGGTATCCATATCCTCGGGATTCATACTCAGGACCGTTGCTAACTTCGTAACAAGGGCTTCGTAGCAAATATGAATGGCGTCCTCCCTACTAGAGGTAGACTGAACCGCCACGCGCAGTGACATTTCCTTCCCATCTTTCTGCGATTCGCTCAATACTGACTCGGCTGCCTCGCGGATGAAGGAGAATTTAGAGTCATGAAGCCAGAAATTGTCCAAAGAATCTGTTACTTCTAAACCGGTGATGAATTGGCATTGGCTCGATTTGTTCAAGTCGCTAGTTATAGCCAACGCCAAAAGTGCTAGGACTTCTGACTCGTTGACTGTAGCACCTCCGATGTTTTTCACCACTTCTTGTTGCCGCGATGGGTCACTATCGGCTAAGTAGCCCACCTCTGTGATGGCGGCAAGGTCAATAGATCTTCCAGGAAGACCCTGGGATCGTCGATATTCCATGAATCCGTCAAGAAAAACATTAGCTGCTGAGTATGCAGCTTGACCTCGGTTGCCAACCACCCCAGCGACAGATGATAAGGCGATGAAGAAATCCAGAGGTGACTGTTTGAGACAGTGGTGCAGATTCCAAGCACCTTCCACTTTACAAGCTGATACGACTCGGAAATCCTCAAGCGTCATATTTTCGAATAACGTGTCCTAAAAATAACCAGTAAGTCTCGTTGCAACCTACAGGTGGAAGATTTCAATGGTTGAACTTACTCGAAGGATCATAGCCCCATGTAAGACACCACGCACAGGAGGGAAATGTATAAGCTCTCCCATTAAAAGCTTGTCGATATCAGCCCTGGAGCTAACATCACAAGCTTTGACAAGGATTTTGGTTCCGTGAAATCCCAACTCGTGAATAAGAGTTTTTAATTTATCGGTGACGAAACCAGATCGTGAGATCAGGACGATGTTCTTGGCTCCCTTGTTAGACATCCATTTCGTCATACTCCTACCCAAACCACCGGTGCCACCAATGATGAGATACGTTGCATCCGAACGTAAAATAGTGTCACTGGTTTTGAGTGATACGGCCTGCGCAAAAACGTTAGTCAGTGGCACAGAAAAGGGAACATATAGGCATAGAAGGTGAATATACCTTAACTTGGTCATCTGGACTAGGAACAACAACGGATTTTCCTATGTTTCTACCAGTCTGTAAAGTCCTAAAGCCTACCTCCACTTCGGAGATTGAATACTTTGATATTGGGTAGATTGGCTTGATCGTGCGTTCTTCCAAAAGCCGACAAATATCATTCAGCAGTCGCTTCATTAACTTGGGCCGGAACTTCGCAACTTTAGTCAGATCCACGGAAGCAAATGTGACGTTGTATTCGAACTTCAACATTTCCAAGCGACTGTTCTTGGTTATGTCAGCCTTTCCAATTTCAATAAACCGGCCAAAAGGCGCAACGCAGTCCCAGCTTTCCCGTAACAGGTCTCCTGCGAGGGAATTTAAGACCACATCGACGCCTTCGTTATCAGTAGCCCTTCGAATTGCCGGGCCAAATGAGTTATCACGACTGTAGAAAATGCGATTTTCCGGGATGCTGTAGTGCTGCATGAGAAATGTCTTTTTGTCATGACTACCAACTGTCACGTAAATATCAGCACCGGCCATTTGAGCCAACTGAATGGCGGCTTGTCCAACACCTCCGGCGCCAGCATGAATCAAAACACGCTCGCCAGCGCAGAGACGGCCTACATCGAAGAGACCATAATAGGCAGTGCAAAAGATGATAGGGATAGTAGCTGCCTCTTCGATAGACATGGTTTCCGGTATTGGAGCAACACTAGTGTTAGGGCATCGTGCATACGTTGAATAGGCTCCTTCTGGTATGGCCATAACCCGCTGTCCGGGGAATATGTCAGTGACATTCTTGCCAACGGATCTGATAATACCGCTGCACTCAACGCCAATGTATGGTTGGTCGAGTTGACCCATCGACACGACCACATCCTTGAAATTGATACCTGTTGCTTGGACTTCAATCTCTACGCAATTATCTTTCAATTCGCTGATATTCTCGTCGGCAAAGTAGATGGTATCAAGAGATCCAGGCTGGGCAATCGCCAGTCTGAAGCGCCTTCCCGCTTGAGTGAAAGGTTGTGTGGACAGGGTCATCTCGCTATTTTCATTGTGGACGAATGTATTTGATGAGAAGTCTTCCATAGCTCTCAATACAAACAACTGAGAATCAGATGATCTGAATTCAGATTCTCTGCAAGGCTCAGTAGGACCATTAGGCCAAATGGCTTCCATAACCGTTAAGATCGTATTGGAAGCAATTATAAGATCTTCTCTATCAAGACCTAGGGTTACAATCTTGGCCATGGTCTCGGATCGCACACTTCTTGTCATTCCGACAGTCATCTGGGCATCTGGTGAAATATTTGGATAGACCCACAGAATTTTTGCTGCGTTTAGAAGAACACTGCGAATGGCATCGAATTCTGCTGCAGTTACTTCTCTCAAGGAAGCATCGGGTGATTGAAGGATAATGACTTGACGTTCATTACATTGCGAGTTTTCCAAATCACTCACCAAGAAGGTCTCAGACGGCGTTTGGCCCAGATCTTTAATAAATTCAGACACAGTGGGTTCAATTTCGACATGTCGGGTAAACCGTACAATGAGGCAATGTCTTTTTTGAAGTGCCTGTTCGATAGACACACCTTGAGTTTCTTCGGCCGTGGAAGCGTATCCATTGACGTGATGACGGCCGTTTACACCATTAGTCAATCTCCCTGTTAATCCGTTCAGGCCATCTAAATTAATCTGACCGTCAACATACGCGTATCCGTTTCTCAGTAAATCTGTTCCGCCGTTGAATATCTTATCAGGATGAGCATGCCCATTGGTGAGATCACTTGGCTTAACCCACGGCTGCCACTCGAGCTTGTAACACAGTCTGCGAAGATAGTCACCAGCACCGATGCCTGCGTCACGGATGGGAGTCATCACAAGACCTTCCAACGAAATTAGCGGATCTGCGGCGTTTTCTTCGGTCGTTGCGAAGAGGTCGAATTGGGTTGGTTCAGGAGAAGATAGATTCGGACTTCCAGTCCCCAAAGCTTTCACATGCTGGCCCGAAGTAGAAGGTATATCGCGACAAATAATCGCATGCTTGACGAGAGTAGGCATGTAAAGTGTATCTAATTCCATTCTGCCGTGACCAAGGATGGGCCAAACAAGGTGTAGCAGACCATCGAGAAAAGCAGGGTGGAGAATCAGGGATGATTGGAAGCCTTTGGGCATAAGGCTTGCGGTATCTCGAACGTAAAGATCGGCATAACTGTGATGGGAGTCGGCAAAGCAATTTTCTAAACCCTTGAATGTCGGTCCGTAGTCGGCTCCAAGCTCGGTAAGGAATTGGTAAAGATGATCTGTCGAGATCATATTTGTTGAAGACGAGAAAATTTTTGACTGCTGATTGTGTATGTAACTTCTGGTTGTTGTGTGGGATCCGAAATTCTGGGAAGTTTCGCAATGGAGGGAGTTCCGGACTCCAATGAGACCATGGCAGTGCTGAATCCAGCCTCTTTGAGAGTTCCATGAATGAATTTTAAATTCATCCCAGAGATCTGAAACACCACGAGTGCCTTCATCGTAAGGGCGCAATGAGATAGTTGTCTCGACATCGACATCATCACTAAGGACTAACGCAGACCCGACAACAATCTCACGTAATTCAAATACGGCAAATGTACTATTTCGCTGCTGAGCTCGGCGAGCTGCTGCCTCTAGTGCCATGGACAACTTTTGCTCATTAGTGATATTTCGAAGAAGATATGTGCGAGACTTACATATCCAGCCAGCGGATAAACCACCATGCCCTGCATTTTGTGGTCTCTGAGCCACGGGATATCATCGAGTCGAACGATATTTCTCCAGGTAGGCTCCATATCGTTCGAATAGTTTGCCATAACACCAAGGATATCATTTCTTGGGCCGTCCCGTATCTGGTGTTTCTTCACAATTCGCGGTTCATGCCAGTAGCGTGTGGTGTGCTGCCAAGGATAGCGAGGCAGATCCGTCAAAAAGCTATGATGCTTTGCTCCACTACATGGAAAATTGATCTCGTACGGATCCAAGTTCGCGCCTCGGACATAGGCAGCAGCAGCAGCATTCAGGACTGACTCCACGGCGTTTACCTTCCGAACAATTGTAGGAGCGTAGGCGACCTTGGGGCCTGCCAACCCCAAATGCTTCAACGTATCGCCAATCGGGCCCTTTAGGGCAGAATGAGGACCGATTTCAATGAGTAGGTTTGGATGCTCACCCTCGTGCTTACATATTTTCTCCAGGGCATCAGGAAATAAAACGGGTGAAGTAAGATTTTGTACCCAGTATGCCGAATTGAGAGTAGATGCGTATGCTATGCGACCGAGTACTGATGAGGCAAAGACCACATGTCCACGTAAAGTAGGGCTCGGTTGTATATCTGCGATAGACGCCAGATAATCCTCGGATATTTTCTTCATGTGGTCGGAATGGTAGGCAACGTCTATCTTCAAGCGTCTATTGAAGAGTTGTTTCTTCTGAAGGACACCTTCAAGTTCGTCAATTGCAGGAAGATCTCCGGAAACAGTGACACTAGTGGGACTATTCACGCAAGCTACTGTTGCATACCCTGTTCGGAGCATTTTGAGGACAGGACGAACGGTGTCGATTCCGGCACCGACTGCTATCATACCACCTCGGAGGGAAGGATAGGTCTCCTTGAGGATTCGAGTCATCTGACCTCTATGGTATGAGAGGGCCATGGCTGACTTCAGGTCGTATATGCCGGCAGCAAAAGATGCTGCAATCTCACCAGAACTATGACCAACTACAGAACTTGGATACATACCCCAAGATTCGAGTAGTGTCACCAGAGCAATCTGAATCGCCGTGCAAGCTGGCTGGCTGAGTTCGGGAGAGTCAATTTGGGAAGCTGCAGGATCTTTCTGGATTTCTTCCTTCAACGACCATTCGGCGTGCCATTCCCGTAAACATTCATCCGCTTGCTGGATTGCTGCAGCGAAGACCGGGTATTTTTCCATGAGATCGCATCCCATCTGAGCCCATTGTGCTCCTTGGCCCGTAAAGACATAAGCTATCTTCGGTTCGCTTAGAACTTTGGACGCATTTACCTTGAGCTGAGCCAAGCGAATTCCCAAGTCATCTAGTGAGCGAGCAGGGAGGGCGACTCGATATGATAGATGGGACAGCTTGCTCCCCACGGTGAAAGCAAAGTTACCAAACAATAACTTTTCAAATACCTCAGGGCGTTGTTCAAAATATATACCGAAGTCCTTGATCCTTTGCCGCAAGGATTCTTTATCATTCGCTGATATGAATATAAGCTTGTGTCTTGGGTCATCATATGTGTCGTGCACGTTGTTGTTAGTTCCATTGGAGGAAGCATCCGGCGAATTCAAATTCAACGGTGCTTTTTCAAGAACAACATGGGCGTTGGTGCCACCGAAACCATAATTTGAGACACTGATAAATCGCTTGCCTCGCGGCCAGGGTCTTGTTGACGTTACAACCTACAGTCAATCATTAGTAAGTATAATTGTGATGACGTTTAAAAACATAGGAGCCTAACCTTCATGTTCCATTCGTCCAGGGGAATATTGTCATTTGCCTTTTTAAAGTCTGCATTGGGCAATAGAAGACCATGATCCAGCATCATGGCGGCTTTGATCAAGGAAATTACTCCACTGGCTCCTTCCAGATGACCTATATTTGACTTCACCGAGCCGATGTAGAGAGGGTTTCTGGGCGACCTTCCATTCCCAAGAGCTGCATGTACAGCTGTAGCCTCGATGGGATCTCCTACTTTGGTCCCCGTGCCGTGCATCTCCACGAAACCGCACTGCTCGGGATCAATATGCGCTTCACTGTAGACCCGGCGAATGAGCTCTTCTTGTGCAAGCCCATTCGGCAATGTAATTCCCTGGGTCCGCCCGTCCTGGCTCACTCCTGAATTTACAATGACGGCTCGTATGGGGTCCTGGTCTCTTATGGCATCTTCAAGAGACTTCAAGAGCACTACACCTGCTCCTTCTCCTCGTGCAAATCCGGATGTTGCGCGATTGTCAAACGCGTACGTTTTCCCTTCATCGTTGAAAAGTCTTAAGAATTGGTTAGCACCAAGATGGAGGTAACGTTAAAATGGACTTACTGTGACATTGACATAGAGATAAACAAGTCTGGCACAATATTCAGCCTGCACCCGGCAACCAAAGCCTCTGTAGACTCACCACTCCGTAGACTCTGTACGGCAGCATGGAGAGCAACCAACGAGGAGGAACAGGCGGTGTCAACGGTAAAGCTAGGGCCACGAAAATCAAAATAGTAAGATATTCTATTTGACTGTAGTGACGGGGCGCAGCCTGTCGCTTGGTACATCGGAATCGTCTCGACGTCTCGCACGTTGTGGAGTTCATAATCAGCAAAGTTACCGCCGACAAACACGCCGACATTTCTTCCGGCAAGAGACTCCTTGGGTATTCCAGCACTCTCAATTGCTTCATATGAACATTCGAGTAGTAGTCGTTGTTGGGGGTCCATGGAGATCGCCTCCTGGGCGGTTATGTTGAAGAACGGCGCATCGAAGCGAGAGATGTCATCCTGTAAAAAGTAACCACCTGCGGGGTTAAATGAGCCAACTCTAGAAGGATTGGGGTGGTGGAATGCATCGGACGCGAAACGATCCCTTGGAATGGGTGACCAGCCGCTTCGCTTCCGTGTACAAAGCTCCCACAACTCGGTAGGCGATGATACATTGCCTGGTAGACGACAAGAATATCCAATAATGGCAATCCGTCGCTTACTGCTTTCGTGACAGCAACTCACATCGCTATCTAGCACTGTAGATGCTGTATGTGTATGTAAAATGTCGTCCATATTTCAAAATCCCGGAGCAGGTATCGCTGCAGGAAGAAGGAAGGCCATGAGAGAAGAATGTTGTAGGAGGAGAGGATAGCAACTCAGTATATCACGGCGCGCTTCTCCCGTATCTCTTTCATCCCGTATGTGGCTCTTACTTTCTTTCAAATGGGGCTGCGCACGACCACCACAGTTTATATTGCTCCTTGTATTTTGCTGATCTTGCGCGTCATAGATAGGTTGCCCACTCACTAGTGTTATCATCGTTATGGCAGGTTGGTCTGAAACCCCTGAGAGTAAGCAAGGGGCTGGTCCTCAGCTCGTGATGATTCGGCAAAAGCATAATCCCGCAGTGGAATCGACCATTTTTAGCGTTTGCCTCTCTCGTAGGAGGGTGCTCGATGCTGCTAGGACTAGAGCTCGCGACACGGTCACGGCATGTGAATCCACTACGGCCAGTTTCGAGCATTCGCCATTGCAGTCGAGGGCCATGACAAAATACATATTTCCGACAGCGCGGTGGGCTTGAAGGTTTCGCGCTAGCGTAGGACCTTCATCTTGCTACGCTAAACTCACCGTCCACAAATACCATTTGTGGATAGTTGACGATAAACACGGGCTATCAGACGCAGAGGCAGTATGTAGTCACAACGTGTGCTGGAGAACGGTGTAGTCTGGTTAGCAGCTAAGGCGCCAAGGCAGATAATCGGGTGGGGCTTGCCCTTGGTTGTCCCTGCGCTCCTTCCCTGGTATTGGGTCGAGTCTAGGGCCGCCCACAATTTGGTGCCTGGTTTAGCCCTTTTAGTGTTGACAATCATCTATCCCTGCAACACATCCTTGGAGGGATTTCATAGTCGACTATCAACATTCATCCCAGATTTATGGCACAACAAAAACAGTCGAGCTTACAGCTTCTGCGACAAACAAGTGCTAGCGACTGAGGTAAACGCCATCATGCAGTTTCTGTGCCTCCACGGCGCCATTGGTAACATTGATGTGAGTGAAGGAACAGCCATGGGATATTACTTAGAATCTTGCAAGGCTGACATCCACAGAATATAAGCATTCAGTTAGGTACGTCTCTATCTGACATGATATACGCTTCAAATTTACTTATCAGTACGTTTCCCTGAACTGATAATCGCTCCGTAGAACCCCTTCGGAAGGAACTGGAGATTGATCAAGCCGCGACCTTCCACTTCATCAATGCACCGGTGACTGTGAGTCCTCCAGAGGGTAAGAAATTCTATGCACATTCACCTATGACTTCGTGGTGGCTTATCAATACTAATGATACGCAACTGGCAGGCTTCAGTGAATACTTTGGGCCTGGACCTCATTATCGATGGATGGACGATGAGGGTGCCGGTGAAGAGTCCATGATCAACCGCATACGAGAGCTACCAGTCGGCCAGAATCCTGAGGACGTGATGCGAAATCTAGCCAGTACCCACAAAACTTGGCGCAATCGGGATGCGGTCATGCAGTACCTCTATGATACTCTCGAGCAACATCCGGCGGTCGAAGGAGTAGTTGGATACAGTGAAGGATCTGCTATGGCCGCTACACTTATCTTGGACGAAATGCATAGACTGAAAAATGAAGGACGGCCGAGGAGAATCAAGTGCGCGATTTTCTTTACTGGGTGGCCCCCAGTTGCTCAGGACAATAGCCTGGTTCTGTCGGACGAAAGTGAAGACGTAGTTGATGTTCCTACCCTGCACATTGTTGGGGCGAACGGTAGGTGGACCTATTGTGCTGCTGAAGTTAGAGTATTTTTCTACTAAGACAGTGATTGCAGATCCTTATCGCTATGGGGCTCTGGCATTGTACAATGTTTGTGACCCTGATACCGCCAACATGTTCGATACCGGGAAGGGCCACACAATTCCACGCACTGGAAAGGTGATATCCGAATTAGGGGATGCCGTCAGGGATCTTATCTCGAGTATGGAAGAATGAATGGGCGACTACATACTGATTTAACTCCTATCATTGTGGGTAGTATTGATCAGCGTCAAATGGGAATAGCCATGAACAGTAAGCCATCGAGATCTTGTTTATCCTCTCCGGAATTGTTTCATGTCGGTGCATGTGAACGCAGATCAGTCGGCATTCTAGGTATTCATAGGTGCACTACGCTACACGGCAAATCTCGGTTGAAGGCCCGTTTCTCCACTACCTAGACATAATCAACGCGGCTACCTGCAATGTTAAAATTTTACCTAAATAGGGATAGGGAGCACTATTGGTAAGGAAAAGTTTTTTGAGCGATGTATAAGTAATAGAATCGAAGGTCCACGATGCAGCACTTTCAAAAGTTCATGACTATTGGCTGTGTCCACAAACCGGGAATCCATATCGAAACTGAAGGGTAGCCATACTTATCGATAGATATCCTTCACACAACAATCCAGTCAGACAAACTGCGAAGAAGTGATAACGCTGTTTGGACAAGATACCTTCGTGGGCCTGGAATACTAGCTCTAGCATCTGGCTCCCAGACGTGGCGATTAACTGAGTGTAGTGTGCCGAAGATTTCCGGTTTCGTTTTGTACATCGCAATATTTTTTAGGTAAAATGCAGGCCATTTACGGTGAAGCACTTCGGAGAAATACTCTAATTCGAGCTTTGACTCGCGTAGCTAATTTCTATCTCATAGCCAAGTGATTTGTATGATATATCCTGACTCTGCCTTGCGCACCGACTTCTACGGTATTTGTCTTGCACGATGTACTCCGTACGTAGTACGGAGTATAGTTCATTAAGATCGTCTGACCCACTTTAGTTTAATATGCCGATTGGACTGGATAAATTCGAGTCCGGTTCAGTTTGCGCCGCAAAACTCTGATAAAATACACGGACCGAGGCACTAAACCAATTACGGCTCTGATCAGCCTCATCTGCTGCATGTAGATAGGCCAGAGTGGAGCCTAAGCCTTTTTGTTCCATGGATCAGACAAGGAACCATTATCTTAGATCTGGATCGGCCTATGTACGGAGTAGTGGACCACGATCTCATTGACACGAAGTAGGTAAACAGAAATTCTCGCCGCAGCAGAGGGCAGCCTCACGTATAAATCTTGAACAAATCGTAAACACTTCTATCGCCAGGATACAACCCATGGCATCAAAATGTGACCGAGGCCAGATGGCCTACTCATGCTAGAACTAGTAATTATTTTCATTCTAGGTACGCAAAGATCTTCAGGCACCGTCACAACTTAGCAAAACTCAATGGGCCTTATGCCTTGGAACAAATAACGGCAACGAACCAGGATATATTTCGCACAGCCTCTAGATGTTCTAGCGCAGTGATGACGCATTATTAGTATGAGACTTAACTAACCTTCTCTGTCTACCGAGGCGATTTTCAGCCAGCCAGCCAGCCGCTGAGACTTGTTGTTACAGCAAGTGGATTTTGACAGTTTGACCCTACGGACTGTGAAACCCTTTCCCTGTACGGACACCTAAAACCCAGACCTAAAAACGAGAAGGCGATTGTGTTGACCTTTTCTGAAACGAAGTACGAGGATCTAGGTTTTGAAGAGAATACACTCGTTCATAATATTCCTAATTGTTCCTCTGGCACGTATTGGCTTTGATGTCCACGGAAAATCATCGCACCATGACGGTCTCATCACTTGCTTTTCGGTTGCTCATCTTGGCGACATTTATCGTACCAAGCATAGCTCAAGCAATCAATCCAGCTGACTGCGCTTCTAGCGTCCACTTGCTTCTTCTACGTGGTGAAGGGACTGGAGATGACCTCAATGTCCTGGACACAATACAGAACTTGGTCCTTGAACAAATTCCCGGTGCAACCTCGTTGGGTGTACCTTATCAACATGGCGATTCCGACAAGCAATTCGCAGCTTACAATGGCAGTGTGCTCTTGCAGCAATATATAGCTGGATATGCAACTACTTGCCCCGATAGCAAGATAGCTGTATTAGGGTACTCTTTGGTATTTCCTCATATCCAATATCTGAAAATAGAAATTGGGTACTAACTTACACATCTAGGGAGCTGTAGCAACAATGAATGCGATTTGTGGAGTGAGCTCTCTCTTAATCACGCATGCCGTCGAGGCTCTCGACTTCAAATATGCAAGCAACGGTAACTGCTCACTGTTTCCAGGTTATGCCACATATGATGATACTAACACTATATCTAGTCATTGCCGTGGTAGCCTATGGGGATGAAACATATGTTCCTTTACAGTCTTGGAATGTAGGGAATTGTACTATTGGCGCTGGTGTGAGTTACGCAATATATTGTAGTGGCTATGATACTAACGACATTATCAACAGATATACCCACGTCTAGATCCAGGTGCTTGCGAGCCATTCGCAAGTTCTTTGAAGAGCTACTGTGACTATGGCGATTACCAATGCTGTTCTATTTTGCCAGATGACGCGAATGCTGCCCACCATACGTATTTTACTAAATATAACCAAGATGTCGTTGCGTTTATCCAGAGTCGTCTTGGGTAAACTTTGGGCGACGTGAATACATCCTCCGGCCTTGCTCAACATAGACGGCAAATTAGCCCTAATTCATGATTCGTGAGATTCTTCACCTGAAGAATTATCATATACAACAAAATAAAGGTTCCCAAGCCCGCTACACATCGCAGACAACATGTATGAACGCATATTTAGTTTGATAGAAGATTTCAGCATTTCGAAAGACCATTTGTAAATATTACAAGCATAAGCAGGTGACGGAGCACATCCCTTCCGACAGTATCAGCTTTTTAATCACAGACAAATCCGCGATGACACAATTTTTTTTACCATCTTCGTCCCAATCCTATACTACAATGATTGACCACGAATCTTAAAGAAAGTGTCTCAAACTGCCCACCCATGCCTTGGCTAACACCATTCGAATTGTTATCCACCAATACTCTACGAGGTTTAACCTACTCCGACAAAAATATTTTTACCACACTAATTACCGCCCCAATAATAGAGCCTTGTTTTAGGCGAACGGTTTTTTTTTTCTTTTTGATTCTCACCTGCATGAAGGATGTGCAAACGTAAGAATCCTCCCAGCTGCGTGTCGAATGCTAAATGCAACGGATACACACTACCGCGCGGGGCGAAGACATTTGGTTTCATATGACCACAGATATACTAAGGATCATTAGTTTTGGGATCATGGTATCCTGATGCCTAGATTAGTCCGTAGACGACTGAAATGGACATTGGAGTTTTTCCATGAAGGGGTATCTGCAGAGGAGGAAGCAGTCAAATGCGACTCCAAAAGAGAGGATCTGTTTCTTTCGGCGAGTAAGTTGGTCATAGTTCTCTAGCCTTATGCACTATGATAGTACTGCAAGAATCATTATAGTCTCCGACAAAATTTGAGTTATACAATAGACGGTTAGATACCTGCGAAATTGTTAGTATGAAGCTTAGACGTGCTGGCCCCAACAGAATCCACATGAATCTTTTCTGGTTATAGGTATCACTATACGAAAAGTTCCTCACAATAATAAAATACGGGCCGTGGAAGGATGACGAAAACTGGATTAATTGTTAGTTCTAGAAATGCAGTGGAAAAGTTAACGTTTGCGAAGGATGTACTTCTGGAGAAACATACTTACCAGTCATCGGTAAATCCCTCAGCAGCTAGAGAGAGTACGAGATAACGAGCAGAAAACCGTTGAGCAAAGTACATAAGATGCTGGTTACGATTAGATTTCATCTGGTATTTCAGCAATGCTGCTCAGAATCGATCTGACTACTAAGTCGACATCGGTTATATAGTGTCGCATTGCCATCCACATATCTATACATGATCCAGTAATTTTGTGTGTGTTTTTTTTTACCGGCATCGCTCTCGATTAACACCTTGATTCTCACGCAATTCGATGATTTTGCTATATCCACATGGATATAATGCGTCGACTTTTCCCCTAGGATAGAGATTATAGATAACAGGTTCTTCATACATCAATCCATGTCAATTCTACTGTGTTGCCTGAGATTGCTCCTAGATCAAGTCGACAGAAAATTACTACTAGTACTAGAAAAGTGAGTTGCCTGAGTGGAATGGTGCTCTACAGGTCCCTAGGACTCAGTTCATACAGATCGTAGACCCTTTCATCACACCTCTGGATTAGCCAATCAGGGACTGGGGCTAGATTCAGCGAAGCATCACGTTTATATTGAAACAAACACCTTGTCGTTTTGATTATAGTCCAAATGCAAAGACAATATAGAATATGCATTTTTGCCAGATGGAAAGACATTTCGCTTGACAGAAGACCCTTAAAAGCCACTTAGAGCTGTCACAAGAATAACATTCACTTTGAGAGCCAAAAATAAGAGGTCCAAGCAGCGAGTAAGTAGTACCGAATGCACCAAGTATTCTTAGTATCCAGTATCTGGCATCCTTTCAGGTGGATCAAACATATTGTCAAATTTGCTCCGACCTAGAGGTATCTCTCTGGTGGGCAGGATGGGCTCGGATAGCCGAGATAAATTTATGACTGCGATCGAATACGTATCGTCGATGTCAAGCAGATAGATAAGGCATCGCGAGCAAGGCATGTGGTTTGGGGTTTGACATCGTGGTAAATATATTTTGGAGCAGGGAAATCACTGGCGTTCATCTAGTAGAAGCGACAGCGCCTTGAAGGTGTGGATTGTGCTCGGCTTCGGATCACTGAGCATATCTGTAAATTTGTATCTGGCTTACTGATATGATCACAGCGCTCAGGGGTGTGTACTTAGTTCTCCTCAGTGAGTAAAAGCGGCGAGGGGATGAGCACTAAAATGGAAAGGGGAAACCACGGAGCGTCAAAGGAAATCCGGTACGTATATACTGGTTACATATGTAACTGGATACACAACACTCTCGGTACAAAGTGGCATGTGTCTGTTTTGGACAGGTTACTGAGGTTAAAATCAACAAGGCATACTATTTTAGTCAAAAGTGCTGGCCTCTGCTTGAACTAGGACAGCACTAAATGCCGCGAGTCTAGTATATGCAGTGTGATTGTGTCAGATAACCCGGATATCCGGCGAGGCAGAAGATAGGCTATTCGATCTCGAATGTCAACCAGTCACCTCAGGAGAAACCATCTTCTTATCAGGGCTCAATACCCCTCATTATAGCTCATAAATCACTACGACAAAAATGTTTATAAACCCCGGCTTTTGAACTTGATGTATTGGAGAACAGACAGACGACTCAATAGATACAATCTTGCTAGTCACTTCTTCTTAGAAAACCATTATTCAGGATTGGCCTGGAGTAAGCCCACCAATCCGACAGATTGTTTTGTATGAAAGCTTACCATATGAAGTCGTGCTCGACTAGGTACATCATCGGAGAGTTCGTCCGTCAGTTCATGCGCCAACACTGAACAGTACAGGGCGAGAGATTGAATCCAGTTTGAGGCGATATGTGTTGGCGGATCTGAAAGATTCCAGCTTGAATATTGCATGGAAAACCCCGAATTTTCACGAGCAGTCATCCCTAGCATCTCCATTAGCGCTACAGTTACCGGAGAAGTATCCGTCTCAATTCCAAAACAAGCTACCCGACTCTCTCAATGACATGCTCGCATTTCACCCGCTTTTGGGGCCTAGTATAATCGATCTTGACCGAGCGTAAACAACGGTTACTGATTATCCGGCTCATATACTGATGAATTCGTTCTTCTTCTCCCCATTCATACACAGCCGACTTCTCCGAAATGGTATGTCAGAGCCTGTTGCTATTGACGTGGCTTGTGTGTGTATGAAATTGCATACTCAGCTTTCCGATTGGAGTTTGTCTGCAATGTCTTTCGGAGCCAACGAGAGAAAATAGTCGTAGAGCTGGTGCGTGACTGTTTACGTAGAAACGCCTTCGAGAAAAGGGGCTAATCTATCATAAAAGCCTACTGTCTCTCAAAATCTCGAGGATATATGTGCATATATACACAATTTATCCATATATCAAATCGAAGGTTTGCTGTCAACGAAGCGGTATCCCATGCCGTTGTCATCTGCAGAGCTGCATCATGAATATCTTCTTAGAGTACGACTCCTCTCCCTGTCTCTTGTCGTTTGACCCTCTCAATCCATACTTGGGACTTATTATGCCTCACAGATGATCCGGCGCCTAAGTCAAAATTATCGGAACATCTTGACGCAGATCGTGAAGATCAATGGGAGGCGTGGACTATGGCTGAAACATTTCGTCGCACATGCTACCTTGTCTTGTTAATACACCGGCTTCTTGGCGCGCGCGAAGTGTTAATGCCAGTTTATTTCGAATCGCTCTTGAGCATCAAGAATATTCGTTCACTGCAACTGCCATGTGCGGACGAAGTGTGGTTTGCTCAAGACCGTGCCTCTTGGTGTCAGGTATACCAAAATCAACAGACAAGGCAACTCAGTTCGGTCAACGTTTGGTCGCTGCTGGGTAGTCTTTCGAATATGGAGAGTTTCAATGGGGGTTCCGGCGGGGAGCTCCCCGAGATTGAACAACTTGGAGAGCTGCTACGCTTAGTGATAAGTATTCTGAAATATACACTGAACGTACAATGACACTATTCAGAGCGTGGCATCCTTAGTAAGGTGCTTTATCTTTTCGTTTCTCTGTCCCGGTGGACCGTGATTACGAAACTGATGACATCCATTAACTTTGTATCCTTGATTGACATAAATCGCCCTATTGAGGACTTTGATTTCATTGGCACTTGGGTACCCATGGCCAGACACAGACCACAAGTAGATTGGCAGTATATAGGAGTTCGCTGTCGACATATATTCCGCTTTTCAATGACTAGCATATTTGCTACTTATACAGATACCCTAAGGAAAGATCAATGGCAACAATTTTCATTTACTGGTTGAGGGAAAGTTCGTCGAGGGTATATTAGTTTGTCACAAGGCGTGGACATACTGCTGAGCATTGCGAACATCAAAACATATCGCCATTCAGACGCTAGAAACGGGAACCCGCTTGTTTAAAACTATGCGGGGAAAGAGTCTAGCCACTTAGAAATCTGTCTGGCTCTATTTGCGGCATCTTCCAGAGAAACGTATCCTTCTTTATATCCCTGAGCAATGTTTACCAGACAAGTCTGCACTGACCGTGCTCGCATTGGGACGTCTAGCTGAGCCTCGGACCATGCCCATGCAATCTGTTCTACCTTGTCTGTCTCAAATAGATGAACAGAAATAGTAACGTCTGATTCATACGCGTTTGCTTGTAAAGCAATCCCCGTGGGAGAATTCAATCGAATAGTCCCTTTCTCACAATTCAGAGTCCAGGAAAGTGCAGGATCTCCTGGGAAGGGTTGGCCTCTAGCAAAGTAGGCCACTAGGCTTGCTTGTGGAGCGGTATAGTCAGACTTTGCGATGCTGCCTGCACAGGAAACACAATGAGTCAGTGACATTGATCGAGAAAACTCCTATCGTTCAAGGAACAAGGTACGAACCATGTACGCTAAGTAAATCTGGAACATCCGAGTGAATTGTCTCCACGATATTTCCTGTCTCTGGATCCCTGAGGCCAATCTCTGGGCGCTGGATCCCAAAATGTGTATGATCTGTTCCATCAACAACATCTCCTACAACAGATTGAACAAAGTCGATTACTGTTAAGAGTGTGATTAGTCAAACTGTAGTAGTATTATGATGTCTAGTATCTGTGTCGTCAAGTCACGCGGGGTGAAGAAATGTGATTCCTACCGTGACCGAATCCAATCGTGATAGAATTACCCCCAACCTCCCGTTGGGCAAAATATTTTAACCCTGTCGGTAAGACTTGTCGATCTTTTGTTCCTCCAAAAATCCTCACTTCCGTACTCAATAATTTCCCAAGTCTTCCGGATTGAAGAATCTCCTTAATCTTCACAACCGGAGGAGCGAATCGGCCCTGGAGGCCAACGGCAGCCAGTTGAGATGGATTATTGTTAGCCCGATAAGCTGCGACTAGTTCTTCAATGTGCGCCAGATTACTAGCTATCGGCCATTCGATATAGACGGATTTTCCGGCTTGAACGCTAGGAAGAATAGTCTCGTAGTGCTTGTCAACCCGTGTGTTGCATAGAACAAGCTCAACATCAGGGTCAGCAGCGAGATCTGCAGGATTGCCATAGGGCTTCACTACTGAAGGATCAAGGTGATAGTGCTGGATGGCAGATTCCGCAGCTGCCACGCCGCTGTTACAAAGCGCGGTAATTGTAAAAAGGTCACTGTAGCGGCCACTTACAAGGACTGGTAAATGTGCATCCGCGGCCCAAGACGTGACGGCGGAAGACGACAGTCCTATGATTGCTGTGCGAACAGGACGTGTAGTTGACATCTTGATTCAACTAGTGCTCTTTGACTCAATAAGATACTGGGTCGAACTGTCGGAGTTCGGGAATAGAAAGACTCTGTGTATTGTCTTTGCCCTTATAAGTCCGGTTTTAATGAGATTATCGATTATCTATAACGTGAAGAAAAAGAATTACTCTTTCAGTAAAGTGAATGCCATTCAAAATTACATGATAATTATGTTGGATGATTCTGGGGACAATTAGTAATGCAACTCATCGGAGATGATGTGCTTCGGAGTAAATGGACGACATTGTTTTGTAAGCCAAAAAAGTCTCCGAGAACAACAATCTCCCAACAACATGATGGCAATTGCGAACGAAGAAAGTTTGGTTAGCCAGTAATTATATTAATGGCATCAATTTTGAATGTTAAACTGTGGATGCTTTACGAATCCTCTCGCCCCAACAAATGCTTCGGCCATCCGTTTACCTTGTCGCCAGGAAGATTGCGTTCTCTCCTTCTGCAGGCCACCAACACCAGTGATCCAAATATCTTTAGCATCCCTTCCAGCTCAGGTATTTCCTACTGCGGTGAGTGATGTTAGGATCTTCACGATGAGCTCTCCGTCCGGACCAAGAATATCGATGCCATCGCCAACTAGCGTGCTAGATTATTTATGGCCAGGACGAATAAAACGAACATTATGTGTTAGGTGGAGTAGACGTGGATTTCCAAGTGCTTTACCATCGCGAATGACATCGGATACCCAAACAATATAGAGATCGATCGCATTGTATGGACTGTGAATGACCTGCACAGCGGTACGGTCATGGTCGGGAACAGTCTCGGCACCTGAATCGGTTATATACAGTGCCTTTCCAGTAGTGTTGGCACCCCCCATATCCGAAACCACTACCCGAACTTCACCGCCTCCCTAATATACTAATAAACTAAACAACGGAAACTGTTGGTTGCTTCATGCAATCGAGATGTGTCAGATAAGCTGGCTTTCCAATGAAGCCATCAAATGAAGCGATCAATCCGAAACTGTTATGTGTAAGAGAATGGTCTCAGGTTTACCCCATGGCCCATGGGATAGCTTACAAATCAGCTCAGGAGAAGGTCTATATAGACGCGGCTTTGGAACATGATGTACTTAGAAGAAGTGAACACACAGAACTGAAAGAATCACCTATTGAGATTGACTCAAGTGCTTCGTACGTACGTATATGCACCTTAGTGCACCCACAGAAACCTCCAAAAAGCTCTAATATTTTGTATACCAGCCATCTGCGTTTAGTACTGCCTGCACTCTATGAGGCATAGAGTCGCTTAAATTTTGAAGCACGCGCTCCCCGATTGATTCCCATGCCTCTATGCCTGCTTGTATTAATGCGCATAACGTAGTATCATTATCCGGTGCATTTTCTAGCTCAGGATGATCCTGGCGGATGATTGTTTTCATAATTGCCCATAGATTCTCGATAGGATTCAAATCCGGTGAATATGGCGGCCAAATCATTACTTCAACTTGCATTTCTTGAAGTAAGTCACGAATAATATGAGCTGTATGAACAGGCGCATTATCTTGCATAAAGATATCTCCATTCTCAAGTAACTCTGGAAGCTGGTCCATATAAGTTTGGCGTATAACTGTCGCAGTGATACCTCCTCCACGAGATGATCCATCCGAGGTTAATGGAACTAAGCTCGTACGGATATTATATTGAAATGCAGCCCAAAACATCTTTTTGATGCTTTTCCCAGTACGAATCTCACGTACGTCATGCTCAACTAGTTGCTCACTAGGATCATTCCAAGTCCAAATCAATTGACCTCCTTTGCCTCGTTCAACTGTAGATTCGTCACTCCATATTACACGTTGCCAATCTGTAGGTGTAAAATGAGCATACCTCTGTGCCCATTGAAGCCTTTTTTCTGCATTGGAGGAAGGGATTTCAGGGCGGTCTCGTTGTAGCCATTTCCTCATATGAAGATTGCGGAATGCTCGACGGATAGTAGTTTTTGAACATCGCATATCCACCGATTCTCTTGAAGCTCATAAAATTTAATATGAGGATTCTCTTTTGTAAGCTGAACGTGGTTCTCTTTTTGCTCAGATGATAGTTTGCTAGGCTGCCCAGAGCGAGGTAATGAGCGTTGATTAACCCGTTGATGCTCTTTTTTGATTGTATTGCGAATAGTTGATATAGGGATCTCTGGGTGCGCTTTATGAATTCGTTTATAGGCCCAGCGCGCGCTTGTATGAAGCTCACATATCCGAGCTCTCATACAAGGGTCTAGTTCTTTACGCGCTGTACGACGTCGAGGAGCCATGATTTTTGGTGAAAAATATAAAGATATAGGACTCTCATAATAATTTGTATTTGACGCGATGGGACGCGATTTCAACGGGCTAATTTTGCCGGCAGTAAATGGGGGCGGTAAGAGGGGGGTGCCAACACTACTGGACCCCCACTGTAGAGTGTCTCGAAATGCGGTGAAAACGTGATACCGTTGGGTTCTTTAAAACAGTATTGTTCCACGATTCGCAGTGATCCTGTGCGGATGTGAGATCTGTAGACGGCTGGAGCTAGGACGGGGAGTGTCAGATAATCCGGATTTCAAACGAAGCAGAGAGATCGGCTGTTCGATCTTACAGGTCTAAAACGCACCTTAGGGCACCTAGATTTCAACCCAATGTTTACCCGTCATGATAGCTCACATATAACCCCGCCAAAGATGTTTATAAAAACCCAGCTCTGAAACCTGATGGGCAGAGAGAGACAGAGAACTCAATATATATAATCTTGCTAGTCACTTCTTTTCTTTTCGTCCTAGTAAAACACTCTTCAGGATTAGCCTGGAATAAACCGACTAATCCGACAGGAAGCTGACACCGTTGCCGAAGGAGTAGTGTTGAGAATCCCGCCTCACTCTGCTTGATCTCTGTTCCATACTATATCTTACCGTACTAGATCATCTAGTATGCGCGCAGCTTTTTGGTCCAGGTCGTTCCAACAAGTAGTCTAATCAAAAAAGACACAAGAAGTTAGCCACAGGGAAACAAGCTATATATCAAGCCTAACTAGGGCGTACCGTAATTGGTAAACCAAATGTTTCCCTCTCTTTTCCATTGCAATTGCATTTCATATACTGAACCAATATTGATTGATTGATTGATTGATTGATTGATTGATTCATACACGCATCTAAGCCTAGTGGCCGGCGGCGCCTTCTAATTGGGCAGCGGGCGTACTACCGTATAAAAGCATAAATCAACGTCAACGTGCCAAGACGCTTCCGGCTTGACGCTGACTTAGTCAACTCCACGCGAAAGTCTCGACACGTATCCGTATCCAGATCCGAAGACCACCAACAACAGATAACGAGCGAACAGAACGCCGAACCAACAAAGGAAATGTGTATATATACAAAATGAGTGAAGGATCTCGGTGCGGGGTGACGTGATATTTATGTTTTGGTGCCCGGTTCTATTTCCAAACGTGTCAAGTGGCTGATCCGTCCAAGCCGAATCAACATGGTTACTCTTCATCAGGGTAGTGTCGCACTCACTGTGAGCGCGTGGTTGTTAAGGGGGTTACGTGATGGAACTGCGTCAATAGACCAGTCCGCATCATAAATTCAATACTCTGCCGAACCCACTGAGGTTCGCTAAGGAGCTTCCGATAATCTGTTTCGCGTGCTTCTTTCCAGAGAGTCTCCATACGCAGGTTTATATGAGTAGGACACCGTATGAGGACATGGGCCGTATCCTGATCCCCAAGGCCACATTCGCATTGAGGTGAGTCTTCAATCCGTACACTCGCTAGGAAGCTGCGTAGCGCTGATTTACCTGTTTGTAGTTGGATTAACACTGAACTCTAAGCCCATCGTAATCCCTCGTGCAGCTGCAACACCATCTTCGTTGGTGCTTTGATTATCCGATAGAGATGCCGTCCATGGTTGGCATGCTCCCACTGTTCCTTCCACCTCTTTGCAAAGCCTGCATGTAGCCTCTGGCGACACACTGCCATAAGGATAGTTGACTGATTTGGAATATACGACATTCGTGCGGCGTGTGGTGTAGTCTGATTGGGTGCGCTGATCCTGGCTATGCGGGCGTTCTCCTGTGTACGCCGTGTCGCCTTGACTGCAGCCAACTTTGCCAGCTGGTCTGCTTTCTCGTTGCCTGGGACCCCTTCGTGGCCTGGCACCCACTGTAGTCGTACACGCCATCGAGATCGGTTGTCGCGTAGGAGGCCCAGGTGTCGTACGATCCGTCGAAGGATATACTGCCCAGAGGACCGCCCTGGCTGGCACGTGGCGCGTATTGCGGCTTGATTATCTGTGTAGATTGTGGCTTCGTGTGGGTTGTCGTCGCATGGCTGGCTTCGGAGTAGGATTTCCAATGCCGCATCGATTCCCTCCAGTTCCCCTGCATAAACAGTATGTGTGTTAGATGAGCCTACTAGCTTATAAGCCTGTCCTATTGATGAGTAGACCGCTGCCCCAATCCCATTGTCAAAGCCGCTCCCATCGGTAAAGAACTGTATTGTTGTATCTGTTCCTGAGATTGCTTCAATAGCCTTGATAGCCTCCTTACGGGTATTGTTAATCCTTGCTTCTGGTGGCTCCCACCACGGTGGCACTACAAAGGGGTAGATTGTCTCGATGCGTTGGCTAGTATCACTCCCCAGTTTGCGGTCGATGGCTGTTTCCAATCGATGAAGTGGCGACGTGTATGGGTCGTTACAGTGGGCTTGGCCACGTATTTGGTAAAGCGTAGATCGAAGTGGTGAGGTCATGATCCGCAGGCAGGCCTCCTCAGCCAGCTTTGCGAGCGTGAGCTCTGCAGGTGGTACATGGAGACAGACCTCTAGGGCCTGTCGTGACGTATGTTTGAACGCGCCGGATATCTGGTGAAGAGCCTGATCCTGGATCGATCGGATGGCTTGCTCTGCAGCTCGCTGCGCACCGGTGAACCCTCTTCCACCTTGTATATACCACGTGGAGCACGCGTACATGATCTGTGGTTGGAGGACAGCCGTGTATATCTTCCTTAGATGAACCAGGGGCGTTCCCCATGTCGATCCTGCGATTGAGCTTAATCCCACCACCAGTTTTGCAGCCTTCTTTCTCATCTCCTGTACGTGCACTTCCCCAGTGAGGTGGGTATCCAGATAAACTCCTAGATATTTGATTGAGTCCGTAGGCTTAATTTCTACTCCCTTGATTATGAGAGGTACATCCAGCCTACCACTCGGCTTAGGCACCATTTGGTGCTTCCGCCAAAAGTAGGTAAGTTGATATTTGGCAGGCGCAAATTTAGAGGCATGTGTCCTCTCCCAGCGCTCTGCAACCTGGTGTACTTTGGTGAGTGTGTGGCAGTTGGCTGCGGCGGAGGTCCCATATGTCATGATGAAGATGTCGTCAATATATCCAAGTACAATCACGTCCGGGCACTCGGCGAGTATCTGCTTAATAAGATCTGCATTAAAGAATAGGAATAGGATTGGTGACAATGGGGAGCCCTGCGGAATGCCTGTATTGACTAGAAATTCCCCTATATTGCCCTCTAGGAGTGTGATTGACGTGCGGCGATTACTTAGAAAGCTCTCAATCCAGCCAATCAGGTCATCTGGCACCTGGCGCTTTCGTAGGTCGTGTATCAGCCTTATATGATTGACGTTGTCAAAAGCCCCTGCCGCGTCAAGTGCAAGCCCTGAGGCTACTCGTGAGCCCTCTCTCCACGCACTATGGGTCTCTTCTAGTAAGAGATGGATTGCTAGTTCGCATGAGCGGCCGCGACGTCCTCCAATATATTGCTTTGGTAAAAGATTATATTGCTCCACTAGATAGCTGAGACATCTGGCTAACACTGATTCTAGTGCTTTGCCAATCGTGCTCAGTAACGCTATTGGGCGGTACGCCTTTGGATCAGAGTAATCAGGCTTTCCAGGCTTGCGAAGGATGACTATTGTCGACTTTCGGAAATGGTCAGGGCAGTATTGTTGACGTAGACATGCATTAAAGAGATTAACGAGATAGGCCTCGATAGTAGGGAGCAGCCTTTGTAGGACCAGATTAGGGATTCCATCTGGCCCTGGTGCTTTGTCGGGCTTCACGTTGGTTACTGCCGTTCAGACTTCGTCTAACGTGATTGGTGGCATCGTATACGGTTTGGGATATCTATATTGTGGCCCAATATCTGACAGATCTGCCTCTGGGGGCTCTGGGTGGAGGACCTCTCGGAATAGGGCTGCTTTCTCCTTTGGGGCTGTGTAACTCGTGTTATTGTAGTGTAACGTTGGGGTAAACGTGGCACGTGGTTTGCCCCTATTGCGGACCCAACGGGCAATTCTCCAGAATCCATCTATTGACTCTGTTGCCTGCTCAATTCGTTGGCGATGTAGATCTCGTGCGAGCTCATTGGTGCGCCGTTTCATCTCTTTCCTAGCCTCTGCGTAGTCCTCCCATACCTGATCTGTATTTATACGACGTGCGTGTCGTCTACACCTAGATACGTGGTGTTTAAGCTTTGCCATCTCTGGGGTGTAGCCCGCTCGTGAGTAGATGCTGATCTGTTTTGTAGGTGTCGCTTGCTCAGCTGCCTGATTGATTGCCTCAACTAGATAGCGGATCGCCTCATTGATCGCCTCATTGTCATTGAGCTCCCTTGGGTGCCAATTGTATATGTCCATCAGTTTAAGGAAGAGGTCCCAATCTGTTGCATTCCACTGCTTGCGAACCAATGGAGGAACACGTATAGCTGTAAGATCAAATTAAGTGGAGATTGGGACATGATCTGCTCCGTACCACTACTCTGGCTTGGTGTCGCAGCTCACTACCCGGTTGGCTAGATTGTGCGATGCCCACACCAGATCAATTGTAGATTTGGCGTTAACCCTCTCGTACGTGATTGTGCCTGGTGGCAAGAGCTGCTCGAGCCCATGCTCATCCATAAGATTAATCAATTTGGTGGCCTCCTCATCAACGTGTCGGTACCGCGGGCCCGCCCACAGCAGGTGATGTCGGTTGAAGTCCCCCAATACAATATGCTGCGCCCTAGGTGCCATGGCGGTTTGCAGGGCGCTAATTACAGATTCCTCGTTGCTATTGACTCCTAGATTGTATACATTATGAATATGGATGGTTCCATGGGCGGCTGTATGAAGTGTCAATGTGCTCAGATCTCTATTATGGTATTGGACCTCCCATGTGGCTGGATCTAGCCCTCTATTGACGTAGAAACAGACTCGTGGGCGTTTCTTGTATTCTTCCTTGGGTGTGGGCTGCAGTAGGATATGGAAGCTGCCCTTGAGCGCTAGTGAGTATGTTGTTAGTGGGTCGGTATGTTTGTTGATGTAGGGTTCCTGGATAGCCAGGATATCGTAATTTTGCACCTCGCTCTCACCAAAGAGATGCATCTGGACCTCGTCCCGCGATTTCCAGCAGTTAGCCTGCAGGATTTGTAGTCGATTGGTGTTACAATACATTACTGATTGTTAGCCCAGGTGCTGTCTTCAAGGTTCGTGGTCATTAGCGTATCAGCCTCCTGAGCTGGCTCGATTGGATCCTAAGGGGCTTCGTGGATTGATGGCTGGGTAAGTTCATCCTCAGATGAGTCATCGTCTGGGATCGTACGCACACTCTTACTTTGGCGGACAGTCCTAACAGCTTGCACATGTGAAATTTCTAGTGGAGCAATATCTGATTGCAGAACCGGGGTTCCTGGTGGAGGCTTCGTATTCTAACGTGCACGTGTGTTATATGTATATTTGATCTGGGTCTCAGGTCCTGTCTTAGGTTCAGGATTAGAATCTGCATCTATAACTAGATCTTTATCCCACTGCGCTCTCATAGGCTTTTTCGAGGATCTATTGGTAGGGTCACCTGATGTAGGGCTTATCGGCTCGGGCTCAGATCGTTCTGCCACTCGTTTTTGGGCGGCTGCTGCGCTCTTACTTCTTGAGTTGGCAGATCGACGTGTGGTGGCTGTACAAGCCGGTGCGCGAGGACTTCGCTCTGTATTGGCTGCTTCAGCTGGTGTAGGGTCATTTAGTGAGATGGCTCCGGGCTGACTATTGCCAGGTCGTATCACAGGAGTGTGATATTGTGGGCCGTATGTACGTCGTTGATGTGCCTCTGCGAGGCATGTAGCTCGTATCGGGCACTCCCTCGCGTACGCAAAGTGTTTCGTATTGAGTCTCTTGGCAGGATCTTTGATATGGACATTTTCTGCGGTGCAATTAGCACATTTAGCGTATTCTTTCTCTTTCGGTGTAGGGCAATCCCCTGTATCATGAGATCCAGCGCAGTACGCGCAGCAGATCTGGCGCTGACAGTGCCTGGCGATATGTTTATACATCTGACACTTGAAGCACTGCTGGAGATTGGCTGCTTTATCGTATATTGAGACATTGTGCTGTCTTCCCTTAATAATAAGGCCGCGTTGGATTGCAAAATTAGCAATCCTTTCATCATCAAATATGACTACAAGGTGGGCATTTGTGAGCTTCTGTTCCTTGATCTTATACTCGCTTAGGAGCCAGCCCGTGTGTGTGACATTCATAGAGGCTGGAAGCTGCGCGAACACCGGGGCGTTCTCTGAGGTAAGCGTGGTTATGAATTGAGGCTGTTTAGGGTTGATATTCGTGTTGACGCCGTGTACGACGACGCCCCATGTACGTTTTCGTATACGTGCTTCGTTTCCGAATGCCCTAATCCAGTCCTTCTTGCGGGTAAGCTGGTCGACGTCGTCCACTGTGCCTAGTAAGAGTATAATATCGCCACTAGGTAGTATACAGGCTGCCGCAATTCGTCGATGTGCGATGGTGGTGTCTTGAGTGCTGCGTATTGCGAGATTTGCCTTCTCCACCACCTTATCCGGGAATCGACGTATCGGGTTGAGGATATTTGGATCGGTATGTTCCAGATAGACCTCTAGGTCCTCCTGGCTTGGATATAGGGTTGATGGCAAGCTTCCTCCACTACTCAATCCCACGCTAGGGACCGTGGGAGGGTTCGAGGGCACCTTACGTCCCCAGGCCTGTACGTACGACTCTGAGCTAGTTGTCACGTGACTGAAGCTTGGAGAATTTTTCGCGGTACGTGTCCCTGGGGATGTTGGGTGGCATATTGCCTCCACCAGGCGGTTCGTGTTGCTTTTGGTCGTAGTAATCTCTCGAGAGGCCTGAGATACCTCTTTCTGCGTCTTTTCCACGTGTAATTCGACCTTCGCGAGCCGCTGCGCTAGTTGCTCATTCGTAGGCGTATTCTTCACCCTTCGAGCCAGGTATAAGAACGCGTCAACCACGGAAGTAGAGAGCTCACGGGGCATGCCAATCTCCAGTGCTTCTTGGTGCTTCTTCAGTGCCTCGAGATCTTTGATGGCTGCAGCTACATATGCGCGTATATCAGGGTCATCTGCAAACCGTGGTTCTGGCCACGGAGTGCCCTTTTTACCTCTTTTCGGGCCCATGCTTCAACCACGTCGATTGAGCAGGCGAAAGTTGGTAAATAGACTGTCAAGGAGGTCTATTTTCACTGAGATTCTTTCCAGCAGTACTTTTTACCTGCGTGGGTGCGTTTTCATAGGTGCGCGAGGTTTTTTCTACTGAACCAATATTCAAAGTAGTTGCTCGCAAGCACGCCTGACTCGCCACTAGTAAGTAGCATTGTATGTATAGACACCAGGACGAGCTACCTTCCCCCTAGCTGAAGCAACTTGGTTGCTGGAACCACCCACACAATTGTAGAATAAACAAGATAAAATTGTGCTGCTTTTGTGGGTTCTCAATTTCTTGTTGGTGATGTGGTCAGAGGTAGTTTCCTTCTGTACCGGTAAAGGCCAATAGCAGGGCTCAGGGTTTGTGGCGTTTTGAGTAGCAGACTTTTTTTTATAAATGTTGGAACCGCGGCGAATCCCAATGACGATTGTTGGCATGACACCCCATGGAGATTTGACGGAGAGAAACGTCGAATTAAGCTCAATGGGGGAGACTCAGCAAACGGTTTGACGGCATGATCCGGGCCTTGTTTGGCGTAAGGTTTTGAGCCTCATAGTATTTAGAGAGTTTATTTTCATCCCTCGAAGTCTTCCTCGGGGCAACGAACTTGAGCCCATTTTTTTATTCCATATTAGTGCTCCCTTCGTGCAGAGCAGGCCTCTTCGTGAGACCACGGTTTGGGGATTGGTCTTCGTGTTCCTTCCCTATAAACCAACAATAAAGTCTACTGAGATTCAGCTTCTCAGGCGGAATTTGTCCTGCATGGTTTTGCTTAGCCGAGATGGTTGGCGCCTGACCTGTATTCATAGCAATACCTACGCGCCGAGTTGGTACCGGAGTGCAGTGTATCTAATTCCCCGATCTGGCATGTATGCCAAATTACGATATTTGGTTAATGCTTTGGGTAATCTAGTTATCCATCTTTGGACTGCTTACAAACCACATCCAGATATTCAGGTAGATTTCGGAGTTCGGAGGACATTGGGCACCACATGAATGGGATGATGTTCTCCAGCGACTGTACGAGCACGAAAATCACTCCAGGGTTTACGTTCCGAACGAACGTCTAACGAATTAAGCATGATATTAAATGCTTGAGGCGTCATTGAGAATACGTATCTTTATAACGTCAACTATCTTATGTTCCAGTCTACTGTTGTGCTTCTCGTACGAGTTCCGCCTACCGCTTTTGACCCTCGTCATCGTCATGGGTACTGCCACCTATCTGTCCCCTGTATCTCACAGAAGGCATTCAGAGACGGGGCTTGCAACGCAATCATCACCTGATAGTAGCATTGTGAGTATGGCTGTAGCATGCTAGCATGTCATCTCCTTGGGAGGTATCGCTCTCGTTCGTGCTTAGAGGAATCGATAAGCCATGCGTCCCATAACAAGGGACAGGCTAGTCAGATTACTAGTTGGAAGCTCCGTCCTGGCGTTCACACACCACGGGCGTTCATTACAGAGTTAGCAATCATCTTTGAAAGCATTCTTGTCCAACTTGGACCAGATGACCCTTCGACACCTTCCTCTCCAGAGATCCTCATGGATGACCTGCGTTCTAGTCTATCTCATGAGGGTCGTGAGTCCACGTTGCCCTTGCCAGACTGGAACGAGCCCAACCTATCTGAGATGACAAAACAAGCCAAGCGTTTTGCCCAGGTTCTTGCCCAGGTTCTTTATCAATATGCAGCAGAGTTCCAACATTCGGTGCCGGGCGACCCTCAACTCGTTGTCTATAGCCCCTGCGAGGGTCACAAATGGGTGCCTGCAGCCGGTCGACTGTTACGCAGCAATCGAAGCTCTCCTATTCCTATGATGCCTTACAACGGATGGCTACATCAGATTACATGCCTCCGAGATGCGTTACTCGCATTCGAAAACTTTGAGGACGTACAATTGGATTTTTCTGATACTATTCAACGGGGTACATGTCCTATGGAGAGCATCAGGGAGGCGTTCCTGTTTAAGATCCAGACATATAAAGTGAATCATAGTGATATAATTTACGTAGCAAAAGCTTTGGCTGATCCCGGTCTTCCAAGTGGCGGATATAGTTCCCAGTATCGATATGGAGTAGTCCTTCCAGCTGCTTTGTTTGCACCGTCCAGTTCACGTCTGCTTCGCTATATCCCTACTCAACTGGACATCAATGGCGAGGAATGTGTCATGTTTGATTTCCGAACGAAGTACCGAAGAAAATGACATCGTGTTGGAGGGAATCGAGGTTGAATTTATCAATCAAACACGGCTCACTAGCAGCGTGACGACTTCAGTCTTGAAACTCTGAGAACGGGCACCGTGTATCGTTTAACATTGGGAGTTCGCTTCTTGGTTTACGTGCTGCCAGATTTACAGAATACAGAGGGAACGGCAACACGCCCTGTAGGTGTCGGATTAGTCGGTTTATTCCAGGCCAATCCTGAAGAGTGTTTTACTAGGATCAAAGAAAAGAAGTGACTAGCAAGATTGTATGTATTGAGTTCTCTCTCTTTTCTGTCTAATACATCAGGTTCAATGCCGGGTCCTTTATAGACACTTTTTGCGGGGTCTTTTGTGAGCTATCATGAGGGGTAAACTTTGAGGGCTATATTGAGCCCTGATAAGACGATGACTCCTTATTTGCTGAAGTGTAGGTAGCTTGAGGTGACTGGATGACCTGATCAAATAGCCTATCTTCTACATCGCCGGATATCCCGGTTATCTGACAGTAGGCGGGACCGGAAGCTTAGCAGTGCTGCCAAGTCGAAATTATGAGTGGCCCCTTTTTACGCAGGCTTAGTAAATTATAATCCTCCTAACTGATCTAGTGCTGCATCGTAAAAACAGGGTCCAGGTGAGCTGGGTGTGGGTCTTGAGAAGAGATGCAGTCACCAGCTGCTTCGGTTTTAAATTGCTGACCTGGAAGTTTCGGGCTAAGTCAATATCACTCCATACCGCTTTAAGGCTGAACAAGGAAAGACGACCACAGAGAGGGGTAATCTTCCTATCAAAATTTCCCTAGGATGCATGATTTGTTGGGTCTAGGTCTAGTGTATGAATCTTTAGGGACCACCAGTTCTAAACCAAAGAAAGGCATCGCAATCCTACGCATAAGTTGACTTACGGACGATTCAAATCGTGGGTGTAATACACGTATTATATAGCAATGGAATGAAACGCTGTAATGCAGATCCCATTCCTGAACACATTTGCTTTGCTCTTTCTCAGAGTTGTTCTATAGCATAAGAGAGGTACATCTGATAACCTGAACATACCTCCTTAATCAAAAAGCGCACTCAACTTCTACTACATAATGTATACTTTGTTCAAGACACCTAATCATGCGGATCAACTGCATACTTAAGTGAGCAGAATTATAGATTACATGGAAATTTTTCAAATATGTCTTTTATCATTGCTGCCTATGTCGTGTCTGCTCATGTATTGCTACCTATTAGGAAATGGCTCTTTGTTCCCGCTAGTTCCAGACAACGATCTGCAATCCGACCCATGTATTACTAGCTAACTAGGGGACGTTATTATCATAAGATCATATATAGGTCTTAGTTGGCACACTATAAGAGGCTTGCCAACGTCGTTGACTCTGGTATAGACCTTTGGTAAGAGTGCACGTCGATCTGTTGTCTTGAAATACTGAAGCAACCTTGGCGCCGCTACTTGAAGCAAGGTAACGACTATCAAGTTAGCTCTATCAAACAACGCAATCAAGCTGAGCTATCAATCAAACAAGGCACCTAATATGGAGAAAGCACCAGCGGAAACCGAAAGTGCTACTCGCAGCAAAAGACCAGTTCCGACAAACGAACGGGTGTCTCGCAAAGTCCAGAAAACACTCAACTTGGCGCTCGCGCCCCTGTCAACGCAGATAGGGCTGATGAAAGCGACGTACAGTATGTGACTGGGTTCAAACTGGCTACGATTTATCTGCAGTAACCCTGACCGCTTTTCTTATAAAGCTTGACACGTCTATAATCGCTACGGTAAACAGAAACTCATTGGTCGGTCCCTCCATTGATTTCTGTACTCACATTTTCGAAAGGCAATCCCTAAAATTACGAGCTCATTTCATTCTCTTTCAGATGTTGGGTGGTACGGAAGTGCTTATTTGTTGACAAGGTGAGTCATTCTCACAACTTACTACCGTCCGGGCAACTTACAATTCATGAGCTCTGCTCTCCAACCCGTGACGGGCAAGTTATATAGTCATTTTAGTGTCAAGGTCAATTGCTGTTCCCTATCCTGGAAACTTTCCTAGCTGAGAACTAACAATACTGTATTACAGTACACATATATAGCCTTCCTTGGCCGTTTCGAGTTTGGTTCTCTAATATGCGCTGTCTCGACGTCCTCCAATATGTTGATAATAGGAAGAGCAATTGCCGGAATGGGTAGTGCTGGGACGGGAAACGGCGCACTCACGATACTTTCTGCTTCTATTCCCCTTGAAAAGAGAGCCTGTAAGTTTGGTACAGATCCAGAACGGCCCAAGTCCTACTAACTAGTGTATCACACAGTTTACTTCAGCATCACATGATCGTGTAGGTTCCACTTTAGATCTTCTCATAATCTTGACGCTTATCGGTCTAGTTGGTCAGTTAGGCGTTGTGTTTAGTCCATTGATTGGAGGTGCCTTGACAGAATATACGATATGGAGATGGTGTAATATTTCAATCCCCGACAACAGTGTAGACAGTTGCTAAGACTTGGACTAGACTTCTGCCTTAACCTTCTCATCGGCGCAATTGCAGTAGCTGCTCTGCTTTGGGTAGCTGTGCCCAAAATCAAGAATGAAGGTCCTAAGCGAATGAACTTCGTCTCTCTCTTCCGCGATCTCGATCTCGCGGGTTGTCTACTGTTCTCCCCGGCTATGGTCATGTTTCTCCTCACTCTCGAATGGGAAGATCGACATACCCTTGAAATAGTGCAATTATTATCGGTCTCTTCTGCGGATCTGCTGGTAATATCGCTCTTTTTTTAATCTGGGAACACAAAAAGGGGGACTCTGCGATGATTCCATTCCAAATGGTCAAAAAAGTGTGGTTTATTCATCTGGCTTGAACATATTCTTTCTCTACGCGAATAATGTGATAAACTCCTACTACCTTTCCATATATTTCCAGGGTGTGCGAGGGATGGCGCCAACATTGAGTGAAGTGTATATGCTGCCGGGTATTCTGGGCCGGATGGTCTTTGGTATCATGGCTGGTCTTGCCGGTATGCCTGATTTTCTATCCTTGCAGAAGGGTCCTAATCAATGTCATAAAAGTTACTCGACTTGGTTACTATTTGCCGTGGTCGGTTATCAGCACAGCCATAGCAGCAGTTGGATCTGGGTTGATTAGCACATTCACCGAAGACACAAACACTGGTACCTGGATTGGCTATCAAATCATTGGTGGATTAGGACGAGGTTTGTCGATACAAATAGTACGTGCTTGATTGATTTTGATCAGTTAGCGACATCACTGACACTCTGGGCCAGCCACTTGTAGCAGTTCAAAATAATCTACCTGCGTCACAAATTGCCGTCAGCATGGCATTCCTCAAATTCTGTCAAAACTTCGGCGGATCACTAATGCTCTCCCTTCTCCAAAACGGCTTTCGGTATTGGTCTTGGAAATGTTCTACCCAGATACGCCCCAGGTGTTTTCGCGGATACAGTTTCATCGATTGGTGTATCAGGAATACGAACGATGATACCGCAAGCCAGTGTGAAGGGTGTGATCATGGCCTATGTAATTGCTGTTCAGGAAGTCTTCTATATAGTAGCTGGGACTGCTGCAGCTGCTCTAGTTTTCAGTTGGGAATTGGGATGGAAGAGCGTTCAGAAAGCGAAGAATAGGCCTTCCAAAGCTTGAAACACGACGAAAGAATGTACCGTACCATACAAGACACTCACATCCGCCGCTAGCGTTTTGTCGTGATTTCAAAGATGATGCTGCATTGAACTAGAGGTTAACTATCTGTGGCTCAGAAATAGAGAACTGTTAGTAGAATTTAGAGCATTTCAGTTGGTGGTCTATACTAGTAGTATCTATGAAGGTGCTTACAGCATAGCTTCCGGGCGCCCCTAGCTGGTCGCTCCAACGATGAGAAATTTTCCGCCGGAATTTCGACTTGGAAACTTCTCGGCTTCGGCTAGATCATGCAATCCAGCTTACTGACGTTCCTCACCACGAGAAGGCGACTTTCCACGAGGGAGCTTCTTTTACTCTCATTGTAAGCTCCCGTCACATACCGGAGTAAACCCACCAATCCGACAAGAGTAACTACATATCTCGGGCCAACCATTATTCCGGAGTTCCCTAGTCAAGTGGCCTTCCCCGGCTGCCTAGTTAATCCTTTATTGCCCTCAACATTGAATCCCCCACAACAGATGAAGAGCTACCAATGTTTCGACACAGCATAGTAAACTATACACAGTCGCCCTAGAATTTTTAGCTGTATCACTTTGATCGTGTTCCCTGAGACGTAAACTCATTAGAATGGTATCTGCAGCAGATCACAACGAAAACGCCCCTCTCCTGGAGAATTCCAGCTTTAAACGGGGAAGCCTATGCAATATTCTTCCCCGATAGACGTGGATGCAATGGAGGGTAATGCTAATCACGGCCTTCCTCATGTTCTCTGTCAATTTTGGGCATTTCATGGCGACAGCTCCACAATTGAAGATGTTCGAGGACATCATTTGTGAAAACTACAAGAGGTCCCTCGATCAAGAGACTCCACATAAAAATATAGACTTTGGGGGCAATATTTGCAAATCAGAGCCTGTACAGAGTGAGCTTACTTTTATCAGTGGATGGAAGAACACTCTTGATGTCTTACCAGGTACGAGCCTCTCCATCTGTTCGAATAATAACTGACGCCCCCAAGCAGCTCTTGCTCTAGCCTTGCCTTATGGCGTTCTGGCGGACGAAACTGGACGAAGGCCCTTTGTTATCCTTTCTACAGCGGCGACAGCATTGAGTGAATGTTGGCCGAGAGTCCTCTGTACGGATGCCCTGGCTCGTTTACAACGCTGATATACTAATTATTATAGGCTAATTCAACTGGCCCCTCCGCCTGGTTTGGTTGACTAAGATGTTTCGAGCACCCGGAGGCGGTGATTAGTTTGCTACATTCATGCTAAGTGACTCGAAGCAGAGCTACCGCTTTATTTCGTTTGGTCTCATTGCCTATTATCGCCGAAGTGGTAGCGACTTCTATCAGTGCAACCACCACGAATATTAACCCGCGGATTCCATTCATGCTAGGCCCGATTATCGTACTTGTGGGCGCCGCATTCAGCACCTTGGTGCCCGAAACCCTCAATGAGTCAAATAGAAGATTGATGCTGGAGGACCCTGGTGAGCGGGAAATTGCAGGGTCCCTTCAAGCACCATCACCAAAAGAGAGTTTTCTTCGTCTTATCATTAGCAAAGCAGGACATTTCGTCACTGAACCTCTTTCATATGGAAAAACCCCAAACTTCTTATCTCTCTGGCCGTTGTCTTTGCTGGCATTCTAGATAAAAGTTCTCTGTTTCTGCTTATTCAGTATGCATCTACAAAGTACCACTGGAGTATATCCCGAGTAGGTTCTCGCTTACTATCTGGCTTTTAATTCCACTAGCCACCAATCCAGGCAAGTTATCTAATTTCAATTCGAGATTGTATGTGTTGGTATCACAGGGATGTGCACACAGGTAAAGTGTAAAAGTGTAGGTTCGAGATTGTTGTATTCAGTTGTGTCTTTTTCAAGTCTCCAATGGAGCTCAGCTACCTAGGTGTAGGTAAACAAAGCCGAGCTAACCAAGCTAGGCTAACTACAGCTGCCGCCTCTAACTCACTTCCTTTTATCCCCCTTTTATCTCCTCCCATATTGAATACTTCGGGAATATGCTATTCCTACAGTATGACTCTGGTAACTTTCCTCGTGCTCGTGCCGTTATTGTCATCCTATCTTATCCGGCAATTGCATTACACCACTTTGAAAAAAGACCTAACTGTCTCAAGGGTCGCCGCTGTATCTGGCATAATAGGTTATTTCTTGATATTCATCGCCTCTGACCCAGTACCCCTCACTATCGGCTGTCTATTTGTATCACTCTCCATGCCATTCGTAATTGCGATTATCAGCGTCGCCACTTCTTTCACTCCAACCGAACGTGTCGCGACTTTGTATACTGCAATGTCCGTGTCCCAATCAATTGGTATCATCATAGCTGGGCCAACTCTCGCCGAGTTATATGCTGCAGGTATACACATAGGACTAGAGTGGTCAGATCTTCCATTTGCCGTTGCTGCATCTCTTTTTGCTGTGATTTTGGTATCAATTCTGTTTCTTGGGCCGGATTCCTAAATTAGGTACAATTGCATAAAGTTGATCACGGATTTGGCTGTAACTGTAGATGCGGATACTAGTCAAAGAGTAGAGAAAAAATTCTCCAGCCTTCCAGTCTAGACTATTCACAGGATACCGGGACTTAGTCGTGGGGTCTCCAGGGGCCTGCCAAGTCTACAAAGGGGGCCTATATAAGCTAGGATATTTGATTTATTTGATTTTATTCAATATATTGTAGAAAAGCACCTAGAAATGTATGTGTGTATATCTATTTAACGGCCGTGGTTCGTGACTCGCACGTTTCCCACCGATCCCTACTGGGACATAGGCCGCCGAGGGGTAATCTTCGGGTTTCAAGATCTAGATTAGATTTATATACAAATAAGAGACTCTTTGGCACATTTCCATAGCTGCCGTGGTCTTACAGGAGGGTTCACTTTCAAGTGAGTTTAAGTATTTGCCAGCTACAATGGTCCACCTACACTCTATAACCTATTATTCTACCACCATAGTAATTAGACAGTAAGTTTTACAAAGAGAGAAAGAAAGAAGGAAAAGAGAAATATGAAGGGAAAGTAGGGCTGTTTTAGCTAGGTGCTAAGGAGAAGTTGGCAAGGATAGATATCCTCAAAGAAGTGGGTCTCTGCCACACATATGGCTAGCCTTTGGACTCCTTTCACAGTACCCAAAAGAAACGATATGACCTTAGAGGGAGGCCCAGAGGACGAGGGGCTCGTCTCTTAGCTATATAGTAGAAGAAAAAGTACAGAGGTGCTTTCCATGCTCTACATTAGTAGAGAAGATTAGCATTATTATGCTTGAATTATTCATGGTAGTCTGTGAAGTCTCCATGTCTAGTACAGGCCGCATTAATATGGCCAAGGCCAAGTTAGAAAAGGTGAAGCTCACCTAGGCTGTTACGGGCCAATCCCGCCTTATGAATTACTATAGATTCATTCTCGAGTAGATAACATACATGAGGAAAAGAAGGAAGGGAAGAGAACAAACAACTTCCGCTCAAACGTACAAATTTATATGCAAAGGGTGAATGGGGCTGTTCCAACTCGCTTAGCTCAAGCACGGAATTGTGGATAGCTTCATGTTCGGATAGGGTATGTTTGGATAGAGGTAGTTTCCTAATAGAGAACAGCGTATCCGGGTGCAGTATTTGTGAGGGCGTAGCCCTGACTATCGATATTGGGGTTAGCCCTTAACATAGGCGCTTAAAAGATATAGGGACTCCTAGATCTTGGTATGTCTATGATATCTCACACTCTGCCATAGTATCTAGACAGCGGAAAGGGTTCGAGCCTTAGCATATCTCTTTAATGAGGCGTATAAGGACTTATATGGAGGGAGAGAGATAGGGGCAACCCCTCTTTAGAAGCGAATCAGCTGCTTATTCTCTGGGATTTTTGCATGTCCAGGGACCCATCGAATTCGGATAGAGTCACTTTTGATATGAGGAAGCCTTTCGTGGAGTGGCCAGGCAGCTACAAGTACGCAAAAGGATTCAAAGACTCCTTAAGAAGACCCCATGAAGAGAGATAGGAGGCGTATAGCAACTTCTAGGTTGTCAGGGCAGATCTATAGATTAGTGGCAAATCAAGCTATTAGGAATACTATAGCTGCCTGAGCTCTAGTCAAAGTGGCTTCTACTTCCACATTAAAGACTTCTACCCTAGGTCTGAATAAGAGAGAAGAGTAGAGGGACTAATAATGTGCTTAAAATTTAACATAGCTCTACCAGCATGACTATTTTTAAGCTTATATCCATCTGAAAAGACTATGATATTAGAGGTAGAAATGGTATGCTAGAAATCTTAGAAATTAGCTACCGCTTGTTCCTTAGTGAATCCCACGGGAGTCCCTATTCGAGCTTGAGCATCCTTGCGCAACTCGTAAGGGTACTAGGGAGCATATTATAGAGGGTTTATCTATTTAGAGTTAGGGAGGGATAGCATATGATGAGCAAATTGTTACGGGCTAGTCCCGCCTAATGCTCGGTATATGGGCACACTAGAATAGAAAATATAACATGAGGAAAGGAAGAGGAAAGAATAACAAGATTCCATCGTATATGTAAGTTTATATAGAAAAGGGGAGCGCTCACGCTAGACTGGGTTCGGCGCCAAATATCCGTATAGCCATAGACACCACGCAAGTGCCAAGGCATGAAGTCATGTAAGTTAACTATTGTGCTTTCTGATTAAGTAATAGATTCACTCTCCTATTAGAAGGCAAATCAGCTAATTAGAATGACCCTTTAACGTCTGGGGATAACTTCGAACTGCCAGGCTGCGCTCCAGCATCCTGGGTGCAGAAGTGAATAAAAACAATATAGGTTCTTGGGTGACGGCTTCGCCCAAACCACATCGATATGAGGTCAGCTCATAACATAGAGGGTATTAGTGGGGACCCAGGGCTGTATAGCAGTTAATATAGCTTTCTTTAGTATACTCTAAGGAGCCGTAGAGCCGGCATCAGGTCCAGAACAATAGGTAGAAAGCATTCTGGGGCTCTAAATTCTTCACTCTAGTATTTAGGCGAATTGTTAGTGTCCTCACCAAATACTATTTCTCGTTCTACAGTAGAACGAGAAATAGTATTTCTACTTTTGGTTTTGATTCCTATAGAGATAATCCGTCTTTACTAATCATATCGGGCTAGGGCTAGGGCTAGGGCATGGAGTGCGGCGGACTGTCCGCGCCAATAACAATAGAGTATCTTATCTCCATCCTTATCGGCCGCCCGCTTATCGGCGATCGGGCGATACGATAATCGGTGCCTGAGGCTGAAAAGGAACTAGACACAGATAAGGAATCGGACCTTTTCCGATGCACTTTTTCTTTTCACTCTTTGTTCACTGCTTTCTTTCTCTCGCCTAGAGACTGCCCTTATTAGACTTAGCTTTCCCACCGCTATGTTCGACTCAGCGTTTGATTGTGTCGTTCTGGATGGCATGGTCGTGACCGCTGCCGACGTTGGCCGGTACGATATTGCGATTAAAGATGGAAAGATTGCACTGTTGGCTCCTGCTCGATCACTTGCAAAAGTACAAGCTATCCGAGTCATTGAAGCTCAAGGCGCATATGTGATGGTACGAGATATAATGCTCCTTATGCAAGCTACGAGTTGGTTCACTGACATCTTGAGTAGCCTGGCGGCGTAGATGCCCATGTCCACTTATCAGAACCTCAGCTATTTGGGAAGGGTAGGCCTGCGGATGATTTCAGCACAGGTAAAGCTTGTCGATCTCCACCGTGCATACCTGGAAACTTAGTTTTGTGTCTTTTCCTCTAGGGAGCCGGTCTGCCATCGCCGGTGGAACAACCACCATTATTGCCTTTGCCCCACAAGATAGGTCGGATCCGTCGATACTCAACGCATTGGATGAAGCACAGCGAAAAGCACAAGGCGCTGCATACTGTGACTATGCGCTTCATCTGTTGATTTCCAATCCGACTCAACAAGCCCTCGGGGAATTTGCAGTCCTTCGTGAACGCGGAGTTTCTTCGATCAAGATATATATGACCTACGAAGTGCTTCAGCTGCGTGATAATCAGATTTTAGACGTCTTACTACAAGCGCGCAAAGATTTGGTCACCACAATGATTCATGCGGAGAATGGTGACATGCTCACGTGGATGACCGAACAACTGGAGCGTCGACGACTGTTCGCTCCCAGGTATCACGCCACTTCACGTCCGCAGATACTAGAAAGTGAAGCCACAAACAGGGCTATTGCTTTAAGCCAATTAGTAGAAACTCCTATTCTCATCGTGCACGTGTCCTCGCCACTCGCAGCAAACAACATCCGAACCGCGCAGACAAGTGGTCTTCCTGTCTATGCCGAGACATGTCCACAATACCTATTCTTGACACGGAAAGGTTTAGATCAGCCAGGATTTGAGGGCGCCAAGTGTGTTTGTTCTCCACCACCACGGGACGGGGAAGCAGATTTGGAAAGTATCTGGGCAGGCATTGAGAACGGAACGTTTACCATTTTGTCATCGGATCATTGTCCATTCGTTTATGACGATAGTGTTGATGGAAAGAAATCAGCAATCTCCGCTGACGCGCCTCTGGGGCGATTCCGATACATCCCTAATGGTTGTCCAGGCGTTGAGACTCGCCTGCCCTTAGTCTTGAGCGCGAATCGACTCTCGGTTGAAAAGTTTGTCGAAGTAACGAGCACCAATCCTGCAAAGCTATACGGACTCTACCCGCAGAAAGGGGCACTGATCCCCGGAGTCTCAGATGCTGACCTTACAATTTGGTATCCGCCATCGTCTCTGGAACCGTTCCCTGTCACGAACGCAGCCTTGCATCACAACGTAGATTATACACCGTATGAAGGACACATCGTGTCGCAGTGGCCTCGTTACACACTCCTTCGCGGCGAGGTAGTCTGGGATCGTGACAATGGAGGCGTGGTTGGACAGAAAGGGTATGGGCAATTTGTGAAAAGAGGACCCAGCGCCTGGTGTCGGGAACAACCAGAATGGGATGTCGAGAAGTTCTGAAGTATAACAGTGCCCAGGATGGCTTCATCAGATAACCACTGGTCGCTTCTGAATCAACAATTCATGAATCGGGACAGTAAACAATTACTAATGAAATCTAAATTGAGCCTGTACAGTGCCCCGACCAAAACTGATATTTCACTTACTTAAGTTTCCTCTGCCTTTTTTGAGGGGGTGTAATGTCATTTAATGTTATTAGTCTGCAGAACCCTTGTCGACTTTGGCCCCGGGATGTGGCTGTGTCCATGTCACCAAGTCCAGTCTAAAATCCGGCATTCAAGACAGTGAGTGGTCACTTTATTTCTGTGAACTAGCCTTATCTTATCTGCCGATACCTTATGGGGTAGAATGTATAACAACTCCAGGATCTAAACTGTCATTGTACGTACCGAGAAATGGACTCATTGTTAACAAAGACTGGAAAATTATCTCCTGAGATTCAGCTTACTGAGGCGGTTTCCGAATTTGAGACCATCTTAACGCTTGATGAAACAAACAGCACTGCGGCAGCTTAAGAGGTCTTAAGACACCCTCCGGATGCAATTGATATTGTGAGATTTACCGCTGAGATTGACCGGTTATCCCAGTTCAGCAAGAGGTGTTTTGACATCCGTTTTGCCAATGTTCTCCAAGAGATTCAGACGTTTACTTCCATTGGAGATGTCATTGTCGGTGGCTCTCAAACATGCTCTCTAGTGGTTTGTGGGCACTGGTACGCTTTACTCTTCAGGTATGCAGTCTGTACCATAATCCTAAGTCTGCAACTTGTCGTGTCGCCCATTTCTCCTGATATTTTATCAATCTCACGAGTTATCACGGACAGCTACAAATCATGTCGCATTTCTAGATAAGCTTTCAACCCTGTTCGTGGAGATTGGACGTTCTACCGCGCGATATCAAGATTCAAGAGCTTGGACTAGTATACCACGGATCTTCTGGATTACACAGAAGTGTCTGTGAATATTTCAACGGTCATAGAATGTAAGAACGCCAGAAATAAATTTTTCTATCCTTTAAGTTTCTGAAATTGGTCCTAACAGGTTCCTATGGGTGGTACTTCAGATAGGCAGCATATGTGAAGAGGAAACAGACGATGCTATCCTGAAGGAATTGAATAATCGACCGCCGATTCACCTATATTGTACGACCGTATCCTACGGAAAAGCTCACGATCATCATACAGCAGAAAAATGTTTCAAATTATTTCTTCAGCCTTTGACGTTACGGGATCTGCGTGAAGCCCTGAGGGTAACACCAGGCAATGACACCATGGACCAAATAACGTTCATTACTGACATACGAAAACAATTTCATCCTGCGGCAGCCTTCTTGAGATGGATGAGGAGTCACTGACTGTACACCTTGTACACCCGTCCGCTAAAAAGCAACCCTTATCTCAAGATATGTCGCAGAGTTCTGACACTCCTATACGTTTCAGCAACGTGGAAGAAAGCTGCTTAATTGGTGGCATATGCGTCACATACTTAAGCTGGGGCGTGTTCCAGAAGGAAATTACGTCTTATCAGACTCCATGGCATATACGTGGCTCTGATGCAGTGTCTGCTTCAGTTAACATTCCTCTGCGACCAGGCAGTGCTTCAAGAAAGTTCGCTCAATTATACCCGAAAAGCATGAGACGGTAATCTTCATCCACTAATGCATCATCATTGGACTGGAAGGGTGCATTCATGGAAGCATATTCTGGCAAGGACAAGAAGCAGCCCGCTGGAGAATTCTTCTTTCTGTCCTATGCAGTGAAGTACTGGGTTGAACATTGCGTATACTTGACTGAGTCCATGGGAAGAGTTTAGATATTTTGGCAGAAGTTAATCAATGAACCCCCTAGTATCATAATTAGTCTTCCCTGGGATAAGTCTGACCATATTGTTCCACTGAAAATGTGGCGCGCAACATGGGCATATAACGAAAGCAACAGGGCTCTTCTGCTACTTACAATGAAGACCGACAGAGATTGCATCTTGCGATTGATTGAAACAATCGAAGAAACTGTGTTGAGCATCCGTTAAGGGGAGATTGGGAAACAGCAGTAGATATCCGTTATCACATCCTTGAATCTTTAGCGTCGGCGTTTTCACTTGCTCCGATCGACGTACTAAGAGCTGAATGGAATTTGGCCTTATCATATCAGGCCATCGAAGCCAGAAACAAAATGTAGGATGCGTTACTCACACAATTTCTACTCGAGTTACATACGGGTAATAGTCCTTTCATTGACAGCATATTGGACTCATCAGTCACATTTCAGATTGCACGAAACAATATTCGGCATAGAGCGATTGCGGAACAAACCCTGAATCTGACATTTCTCATGGGTTGGAAGCTCCTTGAAAAGCGCGACGTCAATACCCTACGGCTATCGCATGATGTCGACATTTTGACGAGAGGTATGCAAAGGCCCTTGCATTGTAGTATCAACTATTGTAAAGACATGTCAACGTGAACATGGCATCATTTTCAAGATATGAATGCCGCCATCAAAAGTATCAAAACAAGCAGTCAGTGGCCATCTGCCTGCATACTGTCCCAGCTGGAGAATAGGGGCCTTATTATCTAGGATTATACAATAACGCCACTGAAAAACGTCTATAAGTCTGTTGCATTGGGAGTTTTGCTGGCAATCGCCCTCCTATCTTCAATAGACACACCATATGCCATTGGACCGTCATCAATGATGGTAGATCGTCGTACATCTCTGACAGTCATAGTTTCAGTGTACGGGTTTGCGCGGTGCATAGATTGTCTACATTACCGTCATGACGGCGGTACATTGGTCAGCCAAGTAAGCTCGTAGAGATAGACCTGCCATTACCTGTTGTCCCACCACACCATATCACCCCCGGAAAGCCATTCCATGCTGAATACATACTGAAATAAAAAATTTGATCAGTGAATAAACAGCACCTGGAGTAAAAAGTAGCCCAAGTACCTCTGACTGGGTGCAGTGGTCAATCAGCTCCCATATCAACTTTTGACTCTCTTCAAATGACCAACCCAATATAAGCTTTGCATGAGCCGCGAGATATAACGTTTGACGCCCATCAGGTGCTTTTTGAACGAGACGGTGATATGCTGGTGGTTTTGCAGCAAGTTCATGTGGCAGGGGATTCCCGTATACAATGGGCGAGGCAAGCTTTCTTGAGTGCCATAAACTGAAAGTCAAGAGTGCAGTTAGTCAATACCAAGTAGCTATCGATCCTGATATTGAACCATTGCAAAGAACGGAGAGGATCATTCTTTCTTACTCATGTTCCACAACCAAATCTTCAATCTCCTTCTTTTTCGTATCAGGGAGGTCAGCATACGCTCGACGTGTATCAGCAAAATGTGTCCACGATCCTCCCTTGACTGGATTTCCGTGGGAGAGAAGTATGGAATACTTGGAGCGGCGTTGGTGATACGAGGAATCCTGTTTGGACTCAGCAACACAAGACTTAGGGACTCGATCTTCCGCTTGATTACCGTGTGCCACAGAGCATTTCCTAGGCTGTGGTGCCATCTTCTACTATCAGGTTTCACCAATGTACGGTCCATTTCTATGCTAATGTCTGTTATTATTTCATTTCCTCTGCCTTGAGTTTTCCCCGGGGCAATAACACCTACTTCCCTACGTCAAATAGTAACGGCTCACCGAGCCTATCGTTCTCGCGACCGTAGTAAAATGGATTGACCTCTAATTCTGCTCCCAGTTGTTGTGAAAATGCAATATGGCGGGCATTATCCAGGCCGGTCTCTCGAAATATCAGTACGCCGTATTTATCCTGTAGCTCAACTAGCTGTGCGAGATATCAGAAACGTCCTGTGGTTACATTTCATGTACGTTACCTGGGCCACAGTTGCCTCTGGAATCGATCTGTTCCAATCCACTCCAGAGACCTCCGCGCCAAATACCGAGTCTTCGCTCCGAAGAACGGGTATCACTGTTAAGCTGCCATATTGCATAGGTTTCTGTGCTTCCGACCGAGGTGGAGCGATGCTCTCGTATGTTCGGACATGCATATGAGTTAACGACATGGTATATTTACCTCATAAAAAGAAGTGCAGCTGTCGTATTGATCAACTTTTCAGATATAACAGTTACGCACTTAATAAACCTGAACTTATATGAATTCATCAACTTTGCGTATCCATGAGCGACGACTATCACGGCTGTGAAGCCGTGCGGGCCGTTGCCGAAACTTCCGATGGTATCTCACTGCGTGATAAGAACCGATTTTATGAGATACAAAAGTTGCTAGGAAAGAGGGACCAGGGTAGAAGGAATGAATAATGATGGAAAATGGTTAGTGAGGAATGTAATAGAAGGGTAGGTTTCTGAGAATCGAGCGTATCAAGCCATAAAATTAATTATACCGAGTCACTCTCCGTACAGGAATCATTATCCACATACTTTCTATCGATATGACTGAATCCCAGGTCATCCTCATCGCGGCAGGGCCATATCAGTTCCTTGGGCACTTCGAGTCGAAAGCCCCCAAAACAAGTGCATTGTTTCGCAGCCTCCTTCCCTATCATCAGAAACTCATCCATGTCCGTTGGAGTGGAGAAGGACTATGGATACCATTGGGTGAAATCTATTTTGAAGTCTCTTATGAAAATCACACTTCCCACCCATCAGCTGGGCAAATTTTGCTGTATCCAGGTAAAATTTCAGAGACTGAATTCCTCTTTTGCTATGGAGGCGTTTCATTTGCGAGCAAGATGGGGCCTCTTGCGGCGAACCATTTCCTCACAGTGAAGGAAGGAAATGAAAACTTGAGGGAACTGGGAGAGTTAGTGTTGTGGAAGGGGGCACAGGACGTGGTTTTTGAAGTAGCTGATGAAGACAAGTAAGTTGACATCTTTACGCTGTTGTATCTTGGAAGATGGCTGATGCAACACAAGGATTCACACGTTTCGGAGCAAACTATCTCCTAAGCTATAATGACCGACCGTGAGATCCTCGATTTTCATGACTTTGAAATCGTCTATAAAAAATGACGTTTCTACGGATAAACTATTTCAGTCCTAAGTTGAGTTTCAGTGAGAGGATTATGGCATTGTTAGGCGATTATTCACCACAAACTATTTTTTCCATACCGCCCATAATTCGAAGTTTTGTTCTTCAATGATGCATCCTGCGATTTCACAGCCATCTAATTCATTTTACTTCAATTCAAGGGGATCCATTTTCAGCCCCTCTTATCTCTTGTCTCTCATCTTGATAAAATATATAAGCATTTGATTGGTAGCCCTAACTAGCCCTGACTCGAGTACGCTTCAATAGGTTAATGGTCATGTTCCAAGATTATTTCCTGATATACTCTGCCTCTAAGTCAATCAGTTCGCGCAGAGCGTTCATGAAATCTTGTCCCTCTGATTCCTTCAGTGGTAGCAAAGGTTTTCGCGGTGCCATCCCGTAGCCATGCATTTTGTGCAATGCGTACTCTATCGCTCAATGATTAGCGAACAGAAGAAGTAAACTCAATTGAAAATACTGCACTCACTCATAGCTCGAATTCCCCCTGGCACAGCAACAACATCAGCATTTGACAGAATGGCCTGCAGTCTCGCACATTCCGTGGCTTCTTCCGGTGTTAGAGGGTGGGTATTCAGTAATTCCCAGAGTCTCGTCGAGGCCGTTGGAGCAAAGTTTGGAATCCCGCTGACAGTCCCATGGCCGCCACATTGCACCCATGGTGCTAAGTCAGCGATTAATCCATCCAGAAGTAGGAATGGGAAAGGCCGAGCTCCATTTATGTTTGGATCGCCTTGGATCTCTGCATTAAGTCGAACAAGCTTCCCTATACTATCCCCACATCTGTTATCCAAAAAGAATCAGCATGGTGTAAAGACTACAATGATCACTGCAGCCAAACCTACGTTAATTTTACTCCGCACAGGTTCGGTGCTTTCTTTATGATCTCGCTGATGACGGCAGATGGCATATCCTGTCCACCTGCGTTGGTAGGAAAGTTGTAAAGTAATAACGGTATCTTTTTTGATACATAGTCAGAAACAGCTGTTGCATGATAAGCTACCGACATTTCTGCTTACTGGAGACCCTTCACATATATCGATATAATATTGAATGACCTGCTGCGCATCGGCACTGAGACTCGCAGCATAATATGCAGGCGGAATTACCATTCCAGCATCTCTATCAAACAGTAAGCCCAAATGCACATGCTAAATTTCACCATATGAAAACATTGAAGTAAAGGAATCTCACGCCCCAGATTTTGCTGCTGCTCGTGCAAGCTCTATTGTCTCCCTCGTACTCAAACCACCAACTCCAACGACAATAGGGGTTGATGTCAAATCGGCTTCATCCAGAGTAACTCTGATGAATTGGATTAGGGCTATCCTTTCATCAAAACTCTATACATTATTAGACCCCTAGGAATATAGCAGCTGTATCTCACCTACATACCAGATGAACTGCCTCTCCAAGCGAACCTGCGCACACAGGAACTGGAGTTTCCCGGAATATTGAACGTAAGTAAATGGATATTTATATATTTTTCACACTATCGAATACGCACCCATCCCCTTGGTGGCCAGGTCTGCGTTACGATTAGCATATGTAATTATTTATTTAGCGACAAGGAGTAAAATCATACTCAGCAAATGTTCCTTGTAGCTGAAATAGTCTATTTCTTGATTCTCGTCAAAAAAAGTGGGAAGAGGCACATATACCCCTGGACGGAGGGCTCGTTGGACCATTGTGATACACTTTTCTCTCGCTTCCCTTCACAGTGACTTTTATCTGGACTGTAATCTGTCAGGTAGATATGGATGAGAGTTGGGATTTCATGTTATCGTTTGGATGATCTTTCATATCGAAAGACAGGAATCATTCTGTTCGTTGTGTCTGCATTGTCGGGTTCCCCGCCGACTGTGCTTAGGGCAAAGATAAGGAACGGGACGCTGGCCGATTGAGCCGCGCATCGTTGCTGTTATCACGACAGCAAGTATCGGGCCCGCTTTTTGCATGTTATTGAGTTTAGAGCTTATCGGTATTCAATGAGCTTACAATCAAAAGGGAGACACGCGCAAGAGCCTGAAAGTGCCCAAGGATGACTTAAATACACTGAGAGCTCCAAATACCCTGCTCATCGTTCAGGATAGTTTGTGGCCAGAGGGTTTCACTGAGCAGCAATCATGATCTACGAAAAGGTAAAAGACCAATATGAATGTCCCTTTGCAGATGAGGCTGATAAGTAGATATTAGCAGAGAAGCGAAACTGCAGCTGGCAATGTTGAAGAGACTCCGGTTTCCACGGGCACTGTGAAGGAGACCTACAATGTCGACGTTGTATCGGCTAATGATCATAGTCTGCAGAGAAAGCTGAAGGTAAGAAAAGTACTAGGGTGTAGTACGAATAGGCCAGGCTAACATGAACTTTTAGCCTCGTCATATGTGAGTATTAAGAGTTACGATCAGTCTCATCCCATAAGTCTAACGCATCTATGAAGGCAAATGATTACAATTGGTGGTGTGATTGTCAGTTATATTCCCTCTTCTTTGCATGCATATCCGTTTGTGGAATTCTAACTTTAATCAGGGTACCGGTCTCTTTCTAGGCACAGGAGGTAATTTGGAGAATGGAGGTCCTGCAGGTCTTCTCATTGCTTACTGCATCATGGCCTCTCTGCTCTTTTCGGTCATGGTCAGTTTGTTCCTCAACATTGCTGCGCAACCATGGGAATGATAACAAGGATTTCAGGTCGCATTGGGCGAAATGGTGTCACAATTCCCTATACCTGGCGGTCAATTCGCTCTTGCTGATCGCTTCGTATCTCGGGAACTGGGCTTTGCTATGGGAATTCTTTATTGGTACAAGTTAGTATTTCTCGTCACTACTTTGTGATCCCATGCTAACTTGACCTGGGAAAAAGTTATATAAGTAAGTCTGCGTTGGATGCGAACTTTTATACCTTCGAGAGATACTCAAATCATGCAGTTGTACTTCCAGCGGAGATTTCAGCAGCCGCTGTTCTTGTCTCATACTGGACTCCCGCAGGAGATGTCAATTCAACTTGCACGGCCGGTATTTGCAACAATGCATTGTGGGTAGCTCTGATGCTTCTAGTAGTGGTGTGTTCACAAAGACATTCATCAATTCAGAAGTGTAACTGAGCACGTCTACAGTGGGCGGTTAACGCAGCTGGGACACGAGTCTTTGGGGAGATGGAGTTCTGGTTTTGTTCAATCAAGGTAAGGTTCACTCTACATATGTATAGTTTGCGAGTCCTCCGAATGCTCTACCCTAACGAGATATTCCTTTGTTAGGTCATAACAATCATTGGCCTCATCATCACTGGTATTATCATCACTGCCGGCGGGGGTCCTAATCATGAAGCGATTGGGTTCCGATACTGGAATCAAACCGGAGGGTTTGTACAGTATGAAGGAATTGGTAATCCGGCCTTGACTAGAGACTAGTTTCTGTGTTAGAAAGCTAACATGAATCAGAGGGGGCCAAGGGTCGTTTCCTTGGATTCTTCAGCGGTATGCGAGCCGAAACATTTAAAATGCTATAATTGATGGTGCCTACTAAATTAAATTGCATAGTTCTTATCCAAGCTGCATTTGCCTTTATTGGAACCGAGATCACGGCTATTGCATCCGCAGAAACGGCGAACGTGAGTGATCTCTTTGCTGAAGCGAAGTTATGCATAATGCTGATGAAAGTCTGTATTGTTCATAGCCCCAGAAGAACGTGCCCCGTGCCATCAAAGCAGTCTGGATACGGCTTGTGTTATGTAAGTTGAGTGTCTGCACTGCTATTTTTTCTTGCTAACATCGTCGCCCTCGGTAGTCTACGTTTGCAGCGCTTTCGTGATTGGGCTATTAGTCTCTCCATCAGACCCTTCTCTTGATCTCTCTTCTACTGCAGCAAAGAGCCCATTTGTGATCGCTATCAAAGTAAGTTTCCTGTGTCATTCTCTGTTCAGTGCTTTCTTGCAATATGAAAGGGATTCGAAGAGTGCAGCCTAACGAGCATAGAATGCCGGGATACCAGCTTTACCATCTATTATCAATGCAGCCATCCTCACCAGCGCCTGGTCGTCTGGATGTGCTGATCTTTTCGTTTCATCCCGGACTCTTTACGGCCTTGCTGCCCGTGGTCATGCCCCGAAGATTTTCTTGAAAACTCGGAGAGATGGTCTCCCATGGGTCAGTGTTATCTTCTGTGGGGCCTTTTCATTATTGTCTTTCATGGCAGCATCCAAGGGTAAAGCAGGCACTGCATTCGGCTACTGTAAGACATTTCCTGGGTACTTGCAGAGTCCCCAAATATATGGAATATACCATCACCTCGACGTTTTTTACAGGAAACAATAAGTGCTGACTTGATCCAAAATAGTCTCAAATATGACAGCAATTTGTGGCATGATATCATGGACGTGCATTCTCTGGACAAGTATTCGGTGGCATAACGGACTTAAAATCCATGGAATCGATCGAAAGACTCTTGCCTACCGGGCGCCTCTCCAGCCCTATCTCTCATACTGTGAGTACTCGTTAAATGTATGAAATGCCAATAATGCTTACAAAGAGTTCAGATGGCATGTTCATATGCATCATGGTGATAATCTTTGGTGGTTTCGGATCTTTTAGTGAGCTATGATCTTATTTCTACCGTACAGACTGGAGTCCTATGTATTGACCTGTTTGTTTTGCAGTCCACAAATTCGACACATCTTCTTTTATCACGACTTACTTCCCCATACCGTTCTTCGCAGTGCTTTTCTTTGCTTACAAGTTGTGGAACAAGTCTAAAATCATCAAATATGTAGATATGGACTTTGTCAGTGGCTCGTCTGTGGATATTCCAGAGGAGGTAAGATCTAAAAGGGTTTTGATTTCATCTATTCCACATTGATGCGCTTATAGACACATTCTCAGACTCTGTGGAAAAAGATATTAGAGAGGATCTGATGATGTTCTGAGTCTCGGAACTCGAAGACATAGTTTGACAAATGAGACTGCTGAAATGCTATCAAGTTTACCAACTTCGAAACCCATGTTGGTGTTGGCTGGCTACGATGCCCCAAGCCTTGGCAGAACAGCTTTAGCTTTCTTCGATTTTCTACCTTTAGTTAATACTTTGGCTATGCCCACTTTAAGAACGAGACTTCACTTGAAGATACACATGTAGTACTGTCCATAGTGAACTATATACGATACATGTATAAATTGAGAATAAGGCAATCCTTTCGGATACTGATTGCCTTAATGTAAAATGTCTTTGTTATTGATGCCAACACCCCCTATCAGATCCACCCTCTCCACAGGAATACTTTACTCGTTCTCCCTAACATCAATAACAGTTGACTTGAACTTCCTGGCAGGAACTTTGCGATTGAACAAAATGTCGGCTTCACGATAAGAGCGGTTCTTGAGCTCAGGAAGGAAGAAATAGGCCATTATCCAACAGACGATGGCGGTACCTCCCCAAACGTAGCCACATTTGCCCGCCATGTCCCAGTCGGTAGTGTTGAGCATTTTTGAGGCCAGGTAGATCATAGGAATTTCCGCGACGTAGTAGGCGGCACGACCGACACCGGTACTCAGAGCACGCAGACGGACTGAAGATGTCTCCGAAATGATAGTGTATGAGATTGGTCCCATTGCACCAGCGAAAACGAATGAAATGAGGATAGCTAGAGAGGCTTGTGCGAGGTTCGTCGAATCATTCTGTGGAATTGAGGCGACAATACCGAGGATCATGAGTAACGTAACATTCACGGCTGTGCCATAGAGGTATATTGTCCGACGCCCGAACCATGAACTAAGAAACCAAGAACATATGTTCGCGACAAATTGAAGACATGAGTTGACAAGATTAAGTTGGAAAGCACGGTCGGGTTTAATATGAGCCTCTATTCGGGGGATCAGTCAGTGATACTCTTAAGAAGATGTCACGCGGGATACTTACGTTCAAAGAAGAAAGTGGCCTGATTGGCAATCAGGTTACCTGCGAAATTTTGCGATGCATACATCAAGCAGGTGATGATTGTCCGCCTTAGATCTGTACCCTTGACGAGGTCGAGGAGTGTAGGTCGACCGCCCATCTGCTCTTCAATCTTAACGGTGCGCTCTATCATGGCAAGTGCCTGGGGCGCATTTTCTGGTTTCTCTCCTAGGCTCTCAAGCGAACGCAGAGCTTCATCTTTGCGTCCGCGACGAATAAGCCACCAAGGAGACTCGGGAGCAAAAAATATAAGTATCAGAAGAGGAGTCTAGGCAGGTCAGTTTTGTATGGACGACTTGTGAATGGGGAACACTCACAGGGAAGATCCACTGTAAAGCCAAAGGTAGTCTCCAAGCCCATTGATCATCTCTCTTATTTGTCGCGTAAGTTGCACCGGCAACTATAATTTGGCCGATTGACCAGCTCATTTGCAAAGTAGCCGTGCATGCACTTCTGAGAGGAAGAGGTACGACCTCACTGGCATAGGCGGGGGAGTTTGCAATAAAGATTCCCCAGGGAACACCTTCGAAAGCTTGTCCAATCGTAAGAACAGTGAGCGAGTCGGCCTAGATTTAAATGTTAAAGACACTTTGACTAAGAAAGGAGCTCCGAAATACTGACGAAGAATGAAATAAAGATTGTCGCGTTCATAAGAACCAGACCCAAGATTGTAGTCCACCGGTAGCCGATACGATTTGTGATGGGTCCGGCTAAAAACACTCCGACAAAAGCACCACATTGTCCGGATTGGAAAAGGGCACTCTGCCATCGTGTTGGGATAGCATAAGTATTCGTGGTTGGGTCGACGAGAACACCGTATCTTGCCTGAAAAGCTTTTTGCGCGACGAAATTACCGTTCAGGAACATGTCGAAAGCTTCCATGATCTGATCGACCATCAGTTACTGGTCCACACTCTCAAATCTCCCAAAGTCCAGATATTAGACGAGCAGAGATATAGACTCACAATTGTAAAGCACATGATGAACGCCCAGAAGCATGCCCATGGATGAGTCTTAGCAGCCTCCCAGACGCCCATCTCGTGCTCGCGGTTCTCGCCGTCGAAGGCATCATTCATGAGATCGGCATTTCCCAGGACCTCGGAATGCAAGATATCTGCCTTCTCATGCTTATCGTCCAGGTGCAACTCATCCTTTGTATCCATGGTGGCTGACGATATTTTCGGTTTTCGCGTCACCTTATCGATGCGGCGGGACTTAAACGAGAAAAAAAAGACCCCCGGGGAAAAAGAATAAAAGGCGGCATTGCCATTCTTATATCCTCTACTACCTTACATTTCCGCATCTAGCTATCCATGCACGTTGCATCTCTTTCCGGGGGTACGCGTGATACGTGGATCAACTCGTCGGTACGTAAATCAAGGTCCATGTGCAGCTAGCTTATTTAGCAGAGCCAGTAGCTGTCCAATGGATAAGCGGATAAACAGGGAATCCTTGTTAATATGGAGCGGTTACAATGGGATCTAATTAGCCGAAACCACACAAGCCGGCTCAAGAGTCAGGGCATGGTTTTTCAGGTTAACAAAACTACCCTAGGCCGTTTCATCTCAGCTGTTCCAATTACAGGGGCTCTGGAACCTCTCTGACTAACAAAAGTCATGTGTTTCTCCAAATTTGAGGGCAAAATATGATTGGGGATTGCGGAGCCCCAGATGACCAAGGCGGGCTGCTTATGCTATGTCGTATTCTTTGCTTTGTTGTGGGTGAGGTTAGGTGGATTGGGACTCTCAACCGACTCAATTCTCCAATCTCAAGTGTGTTGTAAGGCTCTTCACGTCGGAATCTGGAGTAGTCACGCACCAGGTGTTCGGACACTTGAAGCCGGGCAGCATTTTCTCTCGCTAGGGATTACCAGGGCCATCTTCCATCTTATCTCCTCTGGCGATGTCCAGATGGCGTCCTGGACACTTCGTCAGTAAGAGAACCAAGTCTAAACCTTCTTAACCATAAAAGCAATGAAAAGCCGTTTTTGAGTTCTGTAGTGGCATCCTGAGGACGGCTAAATTGTAGCTTATTTAAAGGTCGAGATCGGTACAGATCCTACTGGCGTTCCTTGCGTTGAGTGTATTTCAATTCGAGTGAAGATGGGCCAATGATGCGTGGAATAATTTGCCGTAGTATCATGCCATTTGAGGCAAGTAAAGCCAGGCCGGAAACGGAAAGCGTTGAAACTTCCAAGACAGATTTTTTTTCGCCGTGGAAAAAGTGGAAATAATGTTGGAGGTTTCAAAAAACGCATTTTTATTGGTGGAAATTAACGGTGGGGCACGTTCCTCCGTTTGTGGACTAGGGTAATGATTCGGAGCTTTTTATCCCGAAAGACACTGGGGATTTTTCTGCTGCTTTTGACTAAGCGAACAACAATGTTTATATTATTCGGATGGAGTTAATTATTTTCAACCTAGGATGCAGAGCCCTAGAGATTGTCCATGACCACGCTGTCATATGTGTGTTTAACTACGTGTCAGACATGTGAAGGATCAAAGACAACGCCATTCTCAACGCAGTATAGCCTAACAGGGATTTGACTCCATGACCACGGTAAAATGCGACGCAAATTCTTCTGCATTCAGTTAAGCTTATGGATACACTAAAATTTAGATAGCCTATGGGAGGGAGAACTCTACTGGTCCATGTTCTCCGCATTTCTCCAGGCACAGCAACAACAGCTGAGTGAGAATGCGGAGTGTCTCGCTTGACAGTACGGAGTACTCCGTAGTGTTGGCGTAATTACGTAACTTTTGTTTTATAACATGACTTAGTAAACTTAAATTAAAAAAAAAATAATTACAACAGGATGACTATTTTTTCATGTAATTACATGAAATTGTAATTTCAAATGCTAACGCTACTTGACAGGAATCCCAACATCCGACTCAAACTACTCATCCTTGGAAAGATTTGTGGCATACAGCTCACCACCTAAGGTCTGCGATGCAGCTGATATGTAACTAATTTAGAATATGCTGAATGTCCTTCCTCGACGGAATTTCTTTCATCTGTCCATGACTGATCTCCGCGTTTGACTGCCATATATTTCTTCTCCGCGTTTATTACAATTTTCATAGAAATCGCCTTTTTCTGATTGCCCAGTCAGAACAATTAAAAGCCGAACAGATTATCGCCCTCCTTATAGCCAATCTCTTTAAGGGCTGGAAGCACTGCCTTCTGGATCATGGCTGGAGGACCGCAGAGTAGAGCGACATTCGTATCCTCCGGTTCAAAAGCATGCTCCTGTAAGATTTCCTTTGACACATGGCCTCTTATCCCTGCCCAATCGGCCTCCGGACGTGAAAGAACATGCGCAATCTTGAATTGATCCGGATGATCCCTTGCGAATCGATCAAGGTCGTCCCTTAATAGAATATCATCTTGAGCTTTGTTTGCATTGATGACCTTGATATTTGTCTTGTCCTCTTCCTCTCCCTGGTCTTTAGCGCGGAGAATTCGTGAAATGAGCTGATACCCGGGCGTGATGCCGGAACCTCCAAGAACAAGGCTGATATTACGAAAGCAGTATTCCTTGTCGTCAATGGTAAATGTGCCTTGACCGTTATACTTGATCTCTCCCGTAGGACCCTTGACTTCTATCTCCTCACCAGGGCGTAGGCAGTCAAGGATATTACTAACTGTGCCTCCTGGTTGCAACTGATCCGGGAAATATGTCTTGACCACAAGGTCAAATGTGCCGTCTTCCTCACTATGGAAGACCGGTCGTGTGGGTGTGTATGGCCTGATGACAAGCCTGTCACTGAAATGAAACCCAAGTTGAAGATGTTGGCAGGTTGCCACACCAACCTTTTTCATGCCGTCTGGTAGTGAAAAGGTGTATCGTCGAGTGTCCTCCGAAACTTCCTCCTTTCCCTTGAAACAAACAGAATTCCACCGGTGAGGATTTAAGACAATACCCGAGCTCTCAGCAAAAGACTGTATTCTTTCTTTAGCCGCATCCTCAGCCTGCCTCTTGATAAATCCCATCGTCTTGTCGGTGACGATACCGAGAACGCATTCTATATGTAGTCAGTCAGCTAAAGTATTCTAGCAACCAAAAGACTCCCATATGTTTGTTACCGCTAAGTTTCTGCTCCGCATAGTCATCATGGATGCTCTCAAACTCTTCCGTCGTATCGGCATGTGCTCTACCAGCATGTGCCATGATAGGTGCCTTCCCACCAGGATGCCAGTTAAGAACACTCGTCGCATCATAGACTTTACCATTGATGACAATCCAGCAGTCATCTTCCTTATGATGTTTTTCAATCTCTTCACGAGTAAACTGTTTTTGGGGATATGCTACCTCGTGTTTTATATACTCGATGAAACTCTCCGCCGAAGGCTGCATCCAACCCCCTGTTCCTGTCCCTGGCTCGCATGGATGTCTAAAGAACAGTACAGTGCCGTTATCCTCATTGTCGTTTCGGATCTCTAGGCGGACTATGTACCAACAATTGTTCATCATCCTGCAAGTATTTAGTAGAAATAACTACTATCACAGCGAGTTTTGTCTTACCCCATGATATTCCATGAAGGTTCCTTCGGCTGGGTGTTTTTAAATACATCGAAGCAGCGAACGATAATACTTTGAGCTCGAACAAGGTGCGTCAATCCAACATCAACATGCCAGTAAATCCATGTCCAGAATTTGTTCCCGTGGCGGACGGGATATTTAGGGAACTGGGCAGAGGCTAAGAATGAAGTGTGGTAGGAATTGAGCACGCGAAAACTTACATTGCGAACACAATACAACCAAGTCTCCCCATCATCGAGACTGACCTCAACCCTCTGGACTTCGTGGCCACCACCGGCATGTGCTATGCCTTCTATTCGATAAAGCTTGTTCGTGTTCACATCTGATAATCGGATTGTCTCGCCTTGTGCGGGCTTGACGATGATAGAATCGAGATTTTGTTCGTTACAAGCCGTGCTCGGATGATTGAACATGGCGTGCGCGAACTCCGAGTCTTTGTCTCGAATAAAGCTAGGAAGTACTCTATTATCCCAAATATGGTAATGGCTGTTATTCTCCGTGTCGGAGATCCAGATTCTATGAAGCCATTTAACGCAACGACCACCGATGTAGCCGGGAACCATCAAACGTACAGGATAGCCGTGATCTGGTGGCAATCGCACGTTATTCATCTCATATGCCAGGATAACATCGTTCTCGGGGTCCATTACATATGCGAATGGAATAGACGTGGCGTATTTGCCTTCGCTGGGTTCATCAGCGCCCTCAAAATTGACCCAGCGTCGACGCGGCTCGTGGTATGGATCATAATCTTCGATACCAGCCGCGAGAAGTACGTCCCGTACGAGGGGACCTTTCCAAAACGCACAGCTCATAGCTCCAGGCCCAATATTGAACCCTTTGGTTTGTCTAATCATGTTAAGCTCTTTTCTTCGATTCCCGTCACAGACTAAAACTACTGCAATGTTAATAGCGTCAAATTCATTAGCCAGGTCGTCCATCGATAAATCCATCAGTCCATTATCGATATCAATGCTGTGAGTCTCCCACAACAGATGGGGCACATATCCGTGATTACGCACGTAATGCAGTTCATTAGGTGTGATGAGGCCGGCATTGAAAAGTGCTTCTATATCAGATTCCCCATTGAGAGGATGCTTGCCTGTCAGACGGATGAGGTGAGGTGACCGTGGAATCCAGTTGTCAGGAGTGGATTGATCGGCTTCGTCAATAGACATGTGCTGGAATTGGGTCTGAACAACTGGAGAGGTGACTTTGCCGTCGTTCTCCTCCAGCGTCTTGATGTTCTCGCTCTCCGACTGCAGAAGAGATAGAAGGGATAACTCCTGCGGCGAATACTTGTCTTGTAAATCATTTTTCTCTTCACCATTTTCGTCCCTTTCTGGACCATTAGCATCAGATTTATTCTGATCGGTCGCATGTGCAGGATGATGTGTTTCGTTCTCGCCTCGACTTCTGCGCCATTCGTGCTCTTTCTGAGGCTTCTGGTTGTCAGTCTTCTCTTGGTCTGTCTTTTGTTTATCTTCTACCTCCATCCCACGTCTCTTGATATTTATCGGCCAGTCCTGTTGATACTTTATGAAATCCTCTGTAGTATGAAGTACATAGCGCCACCCCGGAGGGTGATCCTCGCGAAATCTGAGATGATAGTCCTAGGATAATCCCGGTGTCAGAAGATCATCAAGACTCAATTGCCTCATTGAATTATCCAGAACAGACCTCTTGCTTGGTCATAAATTCTCGAACATTGACCAAGTCCTTTTGACCAATTTCTTCCTCAAGCTCTTCGGCTTCTTTCCTGGCTTGGGCTAAGAAGTCCCGCTCCTCGGAGCTAATCCAGTCATCCCCAGCATGTGTATACCCTGTATGCCGTTCGGTACTGTGCTCACGAAAACCAATTCGGTGCTTGTGGGACTTGGTCCAGTCTGGTTCGTCTTGAATCTCTTCTGCGGAGGCACCTCCATGACTGCGATTAGGGCGCGTGTAGTGCGGTGTTGTAGGCATATCGGACGCTGTCTCGCATAATAGATATAGAGGAAATATCAAGTGGCCACCCGGACACTTATTTGGATTGTGTTATGCTATCCCAGGATCACCCAGGTCATACTCTCGGTCAGATAAAGCTACAGAATGTACTACGTCATGTTGTTGCAATATCCGCGGAGTTAAGTCGAGAGACTTCTTTCCTTATATTCACAGTATTTGAATAATAACAGAAGCATTTTGGATGATTACTACTTCGTTATACACGTGTGGTCATTCTTGCAAGCGGGATACAGTACAAGAAGACAGGGGTTGCTGAGAGTATTTGAAAGTAACAGGTCTAAGAACCACCAAAACAAATCAATACCTGTGTGGAAATTTTGAATTATGGCATAATCCTGGAACCATATTCTATCTACGCCTTGTTGATATTGCTCGTATTAGCAAGAATACAAAGCGAGGTCTGCATTTAATTTCTGGGTGATGCTCAAGTAGGATACCTGATTCTTTCGAAGCCACGTGGATTATCAGTGGTCATTTGAATATCTACTGCAGCCGTATTCCTCTGTCTCTATCAGTGGAATAAGCCCCTTCTAAGAGGCGCAAGGGGTTTAGCTGGAAAAGCGATTGCGAATCAAGAACGTATTAACGTCAAAGGTTTGGAGGAAAGAATCGAGAGCGAGTCATCAAAGAACCGATATAGGCACTGGCGCGAAAATTTCGGATCGACCGCAAAGACAAAATCCATTTGCTGCTAGTAACCTGAGTCGAGAGCTCTCGCCCGTCCTAATTGTGTTTTATGCACCTCGTAGAAACAGAAACGACGAAGCTTGCCAATTCGTAGTTTTAACTTATTTCGTCCCATCTGCATTTCCGGTTCACTCGACTTCCCGGTATTACGGCGGACTAAATCCCGAATATTCCACTTAATTAAAAAATACCAAATCATCAAAACGCATACGTGCCTAATACGAGATACAGAAGAATAATTATACTTGTCGCGTCGCCTCCCCCCACCCTAGACCGGGTGGTGGTCGGCCCGGACTCAAGGGCCAAAAAATATGAAGTCTCATGTAAAATGTTTTACAGTCCACCAACGCCATATAAATTGCATATAAAAACTAGACAGGTGTTAAATACAAGCATTGTTCACCTATCTCCCTGAGTATCAAAGAAAAACCCGCTGTTTTGAGGCTCTGTTGAAGCCACTTCTTCCATCGGCTGCGGCACGCCAACGACATGGCTCTTATAGATTTTCAACAAATCCCCATCATGACGGCGTTTTATGAGGTGATTCGCATCTTTTACATAGAGTGCACCACTCGCTTTGACTTGGCGCTTTGTAGTTTTTTGATTCTTGCGCGTTGCTATATCACGAACCTTGGCAAAGCTCTCACGGTGTAGATCGCCTAATTCGGCCAAGGTGAGACTCCCTTGATTAACCACTTTTATACGGCGTGAAAGGCCCGGGCTTACTTCGTCAAGAATATCCTTTATACCGTCAATCGATTTTTCAATCTTATTGACATAGCGACGTAGTTTTACGGCCGTTGATGGTGGAGATATTGATTTTGTAGTTGGTGAGCTGGGAATAGTGTCATCCGCCTCGCCATATATTTTTAGTGCATCCCCTTCAGCAACAAGTGCTTCAAATGCTTCCTCTGGCTGAAGCATCATATCAAGTATAAGCCGAGGATTAAGAGGCCAAATTCCTCGCTCTCTCCAGCCGTGCCGAATCGTTCGTGTGGTAAATGTCTTTATCCGGATATCGCGTAATTCTTCAAAAAAGTCGTTTTTATCAAAATCGAAGCCACCCAAGCGTGCAATCTTGTTCACAACCCGTCCATGAACATGTTTATATTGCTGAAATGGCACTCCATCGAGCGGTTGTAAAAAATGCGTAGAATGAGGCGGAAATCGGAATGGGCGAATGTGCCAAATTTCACAATATTGCACGAACTGTATAGTAAGATGAGTTGTATGATTATCCATAAGAAGTAACCGCCAATCCGGGAAGGCCCCGGGCCTAGAGAAGTGGTCAAAGTGTTGAAGCCATTCGAATGCGATCTCATCTGTGATAAATCCATTCGAAGCAGGTGCAACTAGCCAGTCGTCATCTTTTATATGCCGGTACCATTCCTCCAAATGGACCTTGCCTTTTGGAATCAATAAAGGTGGTATAATCTTTCCTTCGGCATTTATACCCTCAATGACAGTAATTGATTCTCGAGAGGACAGGCTAGATACCCTTTTTGATGTTTTTGGATATGCTGTTACCACCGCTTCATCTTTTCCTTGTCCAACAATGAATCCGGTCTCGTCGAAGTTCCACAGATTTTGAGGGCGAATTTTGTATTGTTGTATAGCGAGCTCGAGGGCAATAAACCAGCGCTCAACCTCACCATAATGCTCTGCAACGGTACGTTCCTTTTCTTGAGGTTTTTGAACGATTCGTACATATTGTTTTGGCAGGCGCTTGATAAAATCGTGTACCCAATTTTTTCCGGCACGAGGGGCCTCTCCTGGACCACTGAAATCTTTGCCGAGCAAATAATTCGCACTTTCTTCAATTTGCTGATTCGTAGGAGGCGCACCTATATTATCTAGATACTCAATCCATAGAATAAGTGCCTTTTCTTGATCTAGAGATAGTAGGCGCCTCGTAGGTGGGCGTGTTGAGCGAGAGGGTAAGCCATGCCACCGACGGGACAGTTTTTTGCGAGACACCCCATATTCACGCGATAATTTGCTAAAATTCGGCTTTTTTTCGTGTTGACACCCTCCTCTTCTTTATATAATTTAGGGGTCATTTTGGCTCTGGTTTTGATGTTTGTAAATGCCAAGTTGAGATTTTGAAATTTTTGGCCCTTGAGTCCGGGTGGCCCTTGAGTCCGGGCCGACCACCACCCGGTCTAGGGTGGGGGGAGGCGACGCGACAAGTATATGACCAAATAGCGATATTTAATTTCCACGCAACCTTAAATTTGATTTGGGTATTTCCGTATCTGGGTATCTAAACTAAAAACAAAAGCATCTTGGAATGAAGCAATCAAATGAAGCAATCAAGCTTTCCTGTTCTCAAATCTATATCCCGAACCAGTCATGATTCTTCGGAGTCTGTCCACTAGCTCCATGTCTTTAGCTTGAATAGTAACTCGATGGGCATGTACTGCGCAGAGGTTTGTCACTGATATATAATTAGTTCCGATACTCAACGTTAAGACAAAATGACTTACTTTCAAACTCCTTGACAAGAAATGCCTCAGCAGCTTCTTGAAGAGCTAAGATCGCCGATGACTGCCATCTCAGATCTGCAGTCAAAGAAATATCTTGTGCGATTTCTCGCACAAGTCTTTGAAATGGCAGTTTCGGTATTATGAGATCGGTAGATTTTTGGTATCGTCGGATTTCGCGTAGAGCTGTTGCTAAAAATGATATCAGTCAAATGAAGCAATCATAAACTTACTGCCCCATTTATAGCGAGGACACCTTCGTCTGGTAGTACCCTGAATAGGAACACGTCTCGTAGGATGTTTGCTTCCTCCAGGTAGAGTCTTTGTTGCTCCTTTCTTGGCGATTTTTCTAGCTGACACTTTCGTTCTAGCCATTTTTATTGAAGCGATCTATTGTAGTGATCAGTAAGGTCTTCAATAGTGAAATAGAGGTTTAGTAAACAACTTACTTACTTTGACTTGCTATAATCAAGGGTTCAAATTGAGTGTTGGTGAGAGATGAGTTATGAAGCAATCTATTATAGCGATTAGTTATGTCTTAAATATTGATATAAGAGTTCTTAGCTTCAGTTAGTCACTTACCTTAAGTGAGAGGCAAGAACAAAGAGGTGAGGGTAATATAGGATAAGAGATTTGAGGTTAAAGTGAGATTAAGATGAGCGTATTAAGTTGAGGTTATGGCGAAGCTGAAGGTTGAAGTGAGGTAGGATTGAAATGAGAGATTGTTGATTGGAAAGAGTGAGGAAGTGAGCTTACGCGAGTTGAGATTCTAAAAAGAGGCTGGTACAAACAAAAAGATAGTAAGATCAATTTAGTATAAGATTTATATGAAGGTAACACCTATCTAGGTTTGTTTATATTTCCTAATTTAGTTTCTATATTGATCTTTGACCCACTGACTTGATTTCTCTTCCTAGAAAATATCTCTTATGATTAATCTTTTCCTTCTTAATAGCTCAATATTAACAATGGACTCTTCTAATGGTAAGGAGCTAGAAGCCCTCTATCTTTTGAATTACTGATACTAATGAGGTAATAATTTGAAGCGATACCATGCCTACGAGGCCCTGCTCCAGGAGCTATAGCTGGTCGAAAGAGAAAGGCAGAGACCGAACTCTTAGATAACATATACACCGTTCGAGGATGTCAACGCAAACAAGCCCTCGAGCAGAAAGGATCCCTACATGTACAGCTTGAGCGTGAAAAGCACAATGATAATTAAGCGTTCAACCGAGCAAAGCAGAAGCTTGTCAATACTCCAAATTATCAACAAGCTAGTAATGTTGATTAACAAAACATGGAAAAGCAACTCTATGAGGAAGTTCTACATGATCGGTATGATCTTTTCCCTCATTAATAGAGCGATATATTGAGGCAATATCACTAATTTTTATTTAGATATTTGAAGGGTCGAGGTGTTAAATGGTTTACGGAACGCTATGCACACGAATTAGATGTTTCCAATGACTGGGAAGACATCTTGGAGAAGGACAACTTGATAGGCGAGAATGATGACATTGAAAATTCTCCCAGTGCGATCTTCGAAAGCTAATCTCTTATAGAGATGGCTAAATCAAATTCAATACATCCTGATCGTCTAGTCGCCACGAGCTCCAAATTACAGCCAATCTTTCTATTGCTTCTAAAGAAATACTTACCCAGCTATATCCACCAAAATGTGTTTTGCGACTGGGATAATGGGTGACATGTTATCAAGAAAAGAGGAGTCAAACCGGTCTTGTTTATTTGTTATGGCTACTAAGATTGCTTCAAAGAGGCGATTAGTCAGAATATGATTCAGACCTTTATTGAGTTTGGGAATCAAACTGGTGCTATGATATTTCGTTTTTGGAAAAGCTTCTGGTACATTGTTGCTAGAGAAGCCTTGAAAAAAGAAGCTTTGACTAGAAAAAAAGCCCCTCACCTTCCTCCTCATGAGTACTATTCAGCTTAGGAGATATCTATGTTCAAAGCATTCGTCTCGGCTGATTCTAGCAAATGGTACGATCTTCCTGGCCTAGTGGATTGGTGGTTGGATTCATATGACTTTAGGAGACATGGGTGGGACATTGATGTTGGCAAAATTCCTGGGTACAAAATGGCGTGCAAGTATTTCATCGAATACTCACCAGTCAATATTCCAAAAAATTTCCAAATTATGAGGTGGAACCCTGGTGAATTCTATCTATCAGTCTAGAGATGATTGCTTTATAGATTGCTTCATTCCTAAATACTCTTTTTGGTTTAGTAACTAGCTAACTCAATCAGGTTAGTTATTTGAGTTTTTTTAACAGAATGAGTTAGTTAATTGATCATGTGACTTTTTATATCTTAATAGCTATAGGCTGCCGTACTTACTAACTTTTCTACCCAAAATATATATTAAAACCTCTACATTTGATGATTTGAATCAGTTGCCATCATGCCTGCAGGACGCCCACCCAGTCAAATTGATCAATATAAACAGGAGATATCTACTAGCTTTCAGAATGGCCAGAGCATATCAAATATTACGAAGATGCTATCTGATGAATATCAGATCACTATTCATCCCGAGACAATTCGACGGCGTCTTAAACAATGGGGTGTTTCACGTACGAATCCTGGCCCTAGAGAGTTAGAGGATAAGATCAAGGAACTGTATTTCAAACAGGGTTTACGTGACAAGGAAATCATACGTGCGCTAGAAAGGGATGGTATAAAAATATCCCAATCCACCCTTACAACAATTCAGCTCTGGATTGGGCTTCAGCGACGGGTTGTCAAGCCAGAAGATATTCAACATACAGATAATATTGTCAGGGAAGCAGTTCGGGAACAACTTAATAGTGGGCATATTGAAGGCTATGGGCGAGGCCATCTCTACCGATTCTTTCGAATCCAGGGTTATAATATAGCTCGGTAAGTCTTTATTACAATATTTAAAGTATTTTCTAACAGTCTGATAGCGACTGACTATTTAGTATTGTTCAGGAACTCGATCCAGATGGGGTTCAGTGTCGGAAAAATGATTTCCACTGGCGACGAGATGAATATGTAGTTCCTAGCCCAAATTATATCTGGTCTATGGACGGCCATGATAAGTTGGCCTTTTGGGGAATTCAAATTTATGCTGCGATCGATGCTTTCTCTTGATATGTTACTTAGTGCTATGTTGGGATTAGCAACCGCACTCAAATCAGTGTATTGCGACAGTTTCTTGAAGTACTTCAAGAAACAAATATTTAGTCTCGCTATATACGCTCTGATAAAGGGGGCGAAACAGTTCTAGTTACAGCTGCACATTATCTACTGCTAAAAGAGCAGTATAAGAATCTTCTTCTTCAAGACTGTTATCTATATAGTACAAGCACAGCAAACCAGTGAATAGAAGCTTAGTGGTCATAGCTTACAAAAAGCCTCCTTTTTATATTCCAGGTAAGATCTATGCTATCCAATTGCTATATAAGATCGCTTCATTATTGATACTGGGTAATAGGATTATTTCCTGAAACTCAGCAATGACGGATATTTCAAAAAACATAGCCTTGCAGATCGAATTACGATGTTAGCAATATATATGCCTATGGCTCGTGAAGAGATTGCTTCTTATATTAACGTATAGAATACGCACGGAATCAGAAAGCAGTCTCATCGCGTGAATAGTATTAACGGTCAACCTAATGTTTTATACTATCAACCAGCAGACAGTATACAAGATTATGGATCAAAGCCTGATCAAGTGGTATTGCAAAAATTGATTGATGAGCATAATTTTGGTAAACTATTTTCGTTCTCTCCAAAGTTATCTCCAATTCACCGAAACTAATCGAATAATCTATAGAACTCGATGAATATCTGCCGCTAGATACTTTGAATTGGTGTCAACAAAAGTTGCAATTAGGGGGTTTTGAAAGAATAAAACTAGGTGACTTTAGTGAAAACGGAGAACCTACGCATTTTAATACATATTTGTATCTTCGGGATCAAATTAATCTACATATAGCAACGCAATCAGAACCCCAGCTCAAGGAATGTGAGAAGCCGACCCAAGAGGAACTACAATTGCAACAGGATCTAAAAGAGGTTGCTACTGATTTAACAAATCAACCATGGTTCTCGAGGTAGTGGAGATGTATATATTGAAAATGAGGCAACTAAATGAAGCGATCTTTGAAGAATAGATATTAAACTGCGGAATATAAAATCTAGGTAAGATTTAAAAACAAAAGAGTCTAAACACTTTGTAATATAGAACTATAGGAGATGTTTCTTAGGGAATGACTTGCCATGCCGCCTCCGAGTGTTAGATGCTGGTCCATCCTATGCTAAATTTGATAGCTTTGGTACATTAGCTTCCTCTGCTAGCTCTTCGAATAGATTGACTTCCTCCACTAGCTCTTCTAATAGATTAGCTTCCTCCGCTGGCTCTTCTGATAGATTGACTTCCTCCACTGGGATATCTGATAGATTGGCTTCCCCCCTAGCTCATGCTTAACTTTCAATTTTTTGTCCTGACCTTCTGCTAAACTTGATTTCTTCTTCGTCTGTCTCAGTACCTTCTTAAAAAGACGGAATGCCTCACTGAGTTTTGCCTTATCATTATCATTAGGTGTTGCTTCTTCATCACTACTAGAGATACTGATTATCTCATAATCAACTCGAGTATGTGTAGTTCCAAGTGGTTCCTTCTCTTTCTTGATGATGGGATCAGCGCTAGTTTCATATTGTGTTTGGATCTTCTTTGGCTTAGACACTGGAAATGAGGAAGCCGATGAAGCACGTCTTCGTTTTAATGCATCGGATTGAGAATTGAAATCGAGTGAAGTAAAAATATGGTTGGTGTTATCAGTATAATAGTTGATATCATCATCTGGGATGTTATTACTAATGTTGACTGTACACTCTCCATCGCTTTGTGATTTGGGATATTTTCCAAAACAAATATGCAATTTATACTGGGGACCGCTGGCTTCTCGTTTCTTCCTTGTGTCTATCTCTAGATTTAGAAGCATATTGTTGAATCCTTCTCGAAGTACTGTATCCGATAAGAATTCTGCCTTTTTTTCAGATGCTGTCGATGCAAGTCGAGCGGTATACTGAAATTTGGATTGGACTAGTTGGCGTAGCTCCCTACATCTAGGTTCGAGCTCGTGGACCAATTGGTTAATAGTATTGATTGTAAAGACATCGGATTCAGATAATAAGATAGTGAAGTTATCTGAACAGCAGTATTAGTAAATAAGATAGTTATCCATTACTCTGCCGTTAACATACCAACATTTAGCCATTTACCATTGAACCAAGGGGCTTCGTCATCCTGGGGCTTCCAAAGAGTAACAAACAGACTATATGATGATGATGGCTTTGTCAAGTTTTCCTTTTCTGCTGATGGAAGCGATGATCCAATATTGTTTCGTCCGGGCAAGAACTTCTTCGCAGTTACGATGGCTTTCTGTCAGAGTTCTCGGCTTTTAGAAGCAGAGTCTTTAAATGTAGTAGTAGTTTGAGACTGGTTCTCTTCATTCTCTTTATTAGGGTTTGCTTGACCGCACCAGGGACATGCTACCATAGACACACACTCAGTTGCATGCACGAAGCCACGATTTTGACTGCACAAAGGTGTGGCCCACGCTTTCGGTTGACTCATTAGTGATACCCGTCAATTAGAGAAATAAGAGGAAGATATACGAGAGAAATGGATTTCATGTGTGCATGGAAAATAATTTTATGATTAATTTTTCATTTAGTCCGCTTATGTGGACGCTAAAGGAGTTTATCAACAAAATAACAATCTATTGGATCGCTTCATTAAGTTATCCACTTTATATTCAGATATAGGTACGTATATCGCTTCATTGGATCGCTTCATTGAAGTATCCACTTTATATTTAGATATAGATACGTATTGCCTCATTAGATCGCTTCATTAGACTGCCTACTTTCTACTACGATGAAGTCTATAGATTTATACAACTTTAATCAAGATCCGGGTCTTCAGCGTTGACCTAACTTCCTAATATCTATATGCATTAGTATCATATCACATTCCTTGTTGCATCAGCATCTCCTATGGCGTCGTCAATTTCCCAATACATCATCGATTCCTATAGCGAGCGTCCTCGATTCCGTGGGATTCCATATATTGCATTGTTTTTGCGTTATTCGTATGGGTTGCATGGTTTACATCCCCAAGTTAGGGAATAAATATCTCCCATCCTCCTCCAACTCCCCCGCTTCCTTTCTTCTTATAAATTACTTCCAACCATCGAGATTCTCCTCACTTGCTGCTGCCGCTGCTCCTGTAACATAAGTACCACCACCACCATCACCAGCATGCTCAGAATGCTCAAATTTGCTTTTGGAGCCATGCCCGGCCTCTTCGGCGGCTCCGTCTCTGTCCTCACTAAGATCCTGGAGTTCTTGACTTTCGTCAAGGATATTCTCGATGTCGTCAAAGACATTGTCGCCATCGTGAAAGAACTGAAGGGCCAACCTCGATGGGGCCATCAAATAAGTACTCTTTCCGCTATTCCATACCTTTCACAACCAATTTATCAACTCTTTCTTGGATTCTTTAAAGCTCTGCCCTCCGCTGAGAGCTCCTTTGTTTCGGTGTTCATTCTGTATGCTTCGAGTAAGCACAGCTCTTATAACACCATCGCAACATTATATACTAATATTACTATAGGTTCAGTTTCTAAGTTATTTCGGGGGGGACGGGGAACAAGAAGGAAGGTTAAAGGGGGTTGCTTGAGAGGTTGGAATTGCTGTCGTTATTACTTCTGCTTACTAATAATCAAATCCCTGCTCTTTTTCCTGCTCCATATTTTTTTATATTTCAAATGATCAGAAATTTTTGTAGCATTCGAGTACGTACTGAACGCATTCGCAACAGACAGCGTTCACGCTGACAGATAGATACTTGTATGATGAAGCATATAACGAAGCGATTCAATGAAGCGATACAATGAATACGATGGCAGTTATCAGGGCGGTGAGTATATGATCCAATCAAAATTGACATGTGGCAATATGTGAATATTACGAAGTGTTACGGATAATACAAACTCTATTTTCGGCAAAATGGAAATTTGAATTAAGTGGTGAAATCCGCATTTAGTCGGCCGTAGTTATTGACAAGCTGATTCAAATATGCTTCAGTCTTTTCTGGCAAGACATCCATCGATTATTGTATACTATTATATGGAAACAAATTGCCAATGCAGGCAAACAAACTTGTCTTCAGAGGAACAAAACAGGCCAATTCGTTCTCCATCGCCTCAAGAGGTATTTCATATAGTTCGTATCAGAGATCTACCCATTTTCTAAGTGATGATCCACTCAAAGCCGATACGCTCCGTAAGATCGGCGTTATATGTCAAAAGAAGGGGTATTGGCAGCTTAGTATTTTGTGCCACCTGGTGCATAGTAGCGGGCAATTATTGGCAGACCCCAATAACGGCCTGCTATTTGGCACAAGTAACTACTATGAAAAGCTCCTTATACGCACCCTTTGACTACCAAAGACCCGACATTCCAATTACGACACGAATCAAGTGTTCATTTTCGGTCTCTTAAATTACGTTTTTGTCAAGCTTGATCGACCATCAATGTTCATCGCGCCATAAGGTCCAAATCCACTTTAGACCTGAAAGAACTGGAGTGGCGTCAATATTCTGCAAGTAGTCGGACTGTAAACAGGGAATCAGACCGGAATAATTGCTTCAAATGGAGTAAAGGAAAGGACGAAAGGACTTTCAAATTTGTATATACGTTCCAATCATCGGAGTTAGGGCTAGGGCGATAGGCAACTATTCCCCGCTTGGACGCTCGATATATCATACACCGACGCGACAGGCTTCCAAGGTTGGAAGTTTGCTAATTACAGCAGAATGTGAACCTGAGATTATTCAGAGTCGGGATCCGCCTTCGTTATATCAAAACGGAACAGAATCACATAAGAAATTACTCGAATAATTTCTCAAAATCAGATAGGGGAACGGATACTGCCATATTCGGACACCAAGGTATTTCATACAGTCTAGAAGCTCCTGATGACGGCTTGGTTCTTCTCTCCTTACAGTGGAATAAAGAGTAGAAGAACGATTGCTAGAGTCTTACTGAACTCCGTCTGACGTCGGGTTGATAGTGAAAAATACAACATTCGGTTATGAAAAGTCATATGCTATATTCATAGAAAATCTGTGGATAATTGCTTGACTCCGGTACAAATAACGTATTTCTTTGAAAGAGATAGAGAGGAGTTGCGCAGGCTGGAACCGTCTGTATCGATCCACCTGGATTAGAGTAAGATCCACATTATACTGCCTACAAAAAGACAAGGGACTGACAAGTGCCTAATTTTTAGCGGCAATTCCTAATTTTCTTTTTCAATTGAGATGGGATGTCGACATCAACATCGTCCAAGGTTCATAAGTGATTGTAGGGCTCCATGAGATCCTACCACCGGACACCATGATCATCTTTCGAAACACTTTCCTAGGAACTTCATTACTTGCATTGGAGATTGAAGAGACTTGTAGGAGGAAACACCGTTATCATCAATATCGAATGTTATCCTAGGTTGGATTCTTGGATGTTGTTTCGCCACTCTGCGAGCAGGGAAAATCTTCTTGACATTGATATAATGCGATGAAACTGCTTAGACAGAGCAGCAAATACTACGTATCCATCCACTACTTTCAATTTGCCAAGCAATAGGAAAGAAAACCTGGGCACTAGACTATTGGGACGGATTTGAAAGGTCTAGTCCATATACGCCGAGGGGGAGTTTACATCAAGAATGCGTGACGGCGGAGTGCAGTATACTCCGAGATCTCGAATGTTTGTTTCAAGAATTTTCTGGAAGTTTCTGGATCCAGATACGTGGCTAGATACATGCGTTCTTTGTTTGTCGATACTGGGTTGTTGAGCTCGCCTTGAAGAATGACAAAGAAAATGAAACTCCTTACTTGGCTGCTCGGTGATGTAGTGTACTATCCAATAGATATACTGAACTTGTTCCAGATACCGGACAAAGAACCTCGTTTAATGCGAAAACTACAACAATAAGGGCGAGTCGAGATCACCGCGGGTTTTTATTAAGAGGTTTTCAACCCACGAAGAGTTTTCATCTCAGATAATGAAAGTCCAAACTAGCTTTTACAATAAATAGATGAACTTCTAAACTGAAGTCGACAATTGAGAGAATAGATTCGTACTATAAATCAGGGGTCGGAAGTAGATTGAATAGGGTTATATGTCTAGCAACAAGCCCAGAAGTGGATTGGGCACCATGATATATCTCGCGGCGAAAGAACAGCTCTTGCGTCCTATTTGAACAAAGCTTACTACCGCACACCAACAGTATTTTTGTATTTAGACGACTTCTTCTCTGGTATTTATGTCGAAAAAAATTTCTTAGACTGATATCGTCTGTCCTGAACATTTGAGAGGTCAGGTATTTCCAATCATTCAAAATGACGGTTGAGATGACTTTCCATTCTGTCTGGAGCCTCATTATTCTTCCCACACTCTTGACTTTCACTCTTCCATTCTTGCGCAAAGGAATCAAAGGGAAGCCTGACAGCAAATCTAAAGAGCCATCTCGAGTCTTCTGGCTTGGTAGAGGCGATGGACTCTTCGCTGACGCACGATCTAAGTTATGGACTTTCATCAAAGGACGACAGCTTTTTGCAGATGCTTACTTCAAGGTAATATCCCACATTTCACTCATTATGATGGTGTTCAGAGATCTCACATCAATTCTTTGCTTTGTATAGTACAGTAGCAAAAATGTGGTAACCAAGATCTCAACAATATCTATCCCCTTGGTGCTAGTGCCGAAAGATCGACGCAAATGGTTCTTCAAAGAAAGGTCCGATGTGCTTGATCATAGAGCAACTGGGTTTGATGCTGTCGAGTCCCTTTATACCATGCCGTGTGGCTATATCCTCGACTTCCCAGCACACGTGAAGCTCATCCATAAAGTCCTCACCCGTGAACTACCAAACTTAACAGACGACCTGATCCAGGAGATAGAAGAAGGTCTATTGAAAGACTGGGGAACTGATGCAGAGAAGTGGCGCGGAGTCGAAGTTTGGGCAACTGTACTGATGCTAGTGACCCGCACATTCAACAGAATTTCAGTTGGAAACCCTCTCTGTGGAGATGAAAAATATCTGACCAACACTAGGAAATACGTGACTAGCATTCATGCAATGTCATCCATTATCCGGGTGTTTCCTGGCTGGACTAAGCCTGTGGTAGGATCATTTTTTTCAATCCCATGTTGGTACTACTACAGGCGCGGTAAGGGATACGCAATGCCTCTTATCCACAGCTATCTGGAAGAGGCACGAATGGAGCTGGAGACAAATGGAGAGTTTTCGAATAGGCACAATGTTTTCGCTATGTGGATTGTCCAGGAAGCTCTTCGTTCCCAAATTCCGCGTGAAATGGACCCAGAAACGATCTACGCCCGTTTGATGACAATGAATTTTGCTGGCATCCACACCTCCTCCTTCACGACGGTAAATATGCTGCTTGACTCTCTGTCGCGGCCCGATATTTTCGAAGTAATAAAAGAAGAAGTCAACACGACTTATTCTCGTCACAACTCCAAATGGACCAAACCTTCAGTGGATGAGCTGAGGTCCACCGACAATGTCCTCCGCGAAAGCATGCGCTTATCGGGACCTATTGTTCGCTTGATTCGAGAAGTGAAAGCAGAAGATGGAATTGAAATCAACGGCGTGGTTCTCCCCAAAGGAACCAAGATCGCCACTGACATGCACAATATGCATCGCGACGAAGAAATCTACAAGGATGCAAATACTTTCAACCCCTTCCGACTGGATCCATCCACAGGTCAGAGAATGCTTCCTGCTGTTGAGACGAGTGAGAATTTTTTGCCATTTGGACACGGTAGGGTATGTTCTCCTGGAAGTCTTTCTATCTATCTTCTTGATCAAGTGAAAGTGATTAACATTCTATCTAGCACGGGTGCCCCGGCCGTTACTTTGCGAGCCATGAGATCAAGCTCATCATTGCGACAATTATCTTGAGATACAATGTAAAGTTCCTCGAGAAACGTCCACCTAATGTATGGATGGGAGACTCAATGATCCCGCCTCGTACCATACTCCAAGTACAGCGGCAGAGCTGAATGTTGAACGCAATCACTTTAGGTTATTTTTAGTGTTATTTTTTAGAGCTCCCCTGCGATCACTTTTCCTTCTTTCGATTTTTATTTACTTCGCTTCTGTATCCTTTGGTGATTACATGAGGTAATTTCTATTTTGTTCGTATTCATGAAATGCACATGCTTATTACTTGATCCGCCGTACGTGCTTGCCGCACTCTCGGTTCCTACTTCCTGTGTAGGTACATAGATAAAGCACAGAAACGTAGAGGGGAATGACCTGATACATCAATATGGACTTGCAAGGTTACGAAAGAAGCATAGCTACTTAGGTAGGTAACAGGGTTAGGTATTATACCCGCTCATGAGATGGGAGATATTTCATTAGGTATTTATAGCACAAGGCAAGTGTAACAGCATAACAGGGTGAAAAGATTGATGCAATCAGGATATATCTTTATTCCTACATGTCAGACAAGGACAGCTCCAAGAAGAACCTTGTAACTCTTCGGGTATATATAATTGAGTCAAACCCGATTCGCGATGGTGATGAGACATTGTCTAATGGGTATTATTATGGTAGTCGTTGAGGCAAGCTTGAAAATATATGAGTCTGGGGCAATTGCATGACTGCGGGGGATATGCTTTGAGAGCCTACTGTTTACCCGTGCCGCCAAGCCCGCGACACGCTGCGCGTGTGGGTGCGCGTCACATAAATGCAAATGACACAAACGCAACTTTTTATTTTGGAATCTCCCCGAATCATTACAAACCCCCCAAAACACCACCAAAATGCCATCTGAGCAATATATAAAAGAGGAATCAAGGATTCAGAAAGCGATAGAATCGCATAAGCAAAACCCGAAGCAAAAAATAGCGCGTTTAGCGCGGGAATTTAACGTTGATTACCATCGGCTCCGGCGACGCCTACAAGGTAGTGCTTCTCAACTAAATCGACGACCAGCGCATAAGCGATTAACGGATGATCAAGAACGTGCTGTATTTCTATGGATAGATGACCTCGATGACAGAGGCATCCCTCCGACCGTCCGCATGATCAGAAATTACGCGCAAAAAGTGCTTCAAAATATGCACCCCGGCGTGGATGACCCCCCTCAACTTGGGGATCGTTGGGTCCACCGATTTCTCAAAAGACTGCCTACAGCATACAAAAAGCAGAAGCAAAGACTATAGATCCAAAGCGTCATCTTGCTGAAGATCCGAATATAATTCAAGCCTGGTTTGATCGTCTAGAAACCGCAATAAGAGAGTATGAAATTACACCATGTAATTATTGGAACTTTGACGAATCCGGGTTTCAAATTGGACAAGGAGGCGATGAAGAAGTTATAACAAAATATCCGGAAACGATACGGCATGTTCCAAGCTCTTCTTCACGGGAATGAGTATCTACAATTGAGGGTATAAATGCAGAAGGAAATACGATTCCTCCATTACTTATTTTTACCGGAAAGCTTATCCTTGAGAGCTGGTTTCAATATCTCAAAGAAGATGACTGGAAAGTGACTATAAGCGACTCAGACTTTTCAAATGACGAGATTGCATTCGATGGGTTAAACATTTTGAGGAGCATACACGATATGTCTTTCAACTAGACTCTTTAAGTACATTAACTTACTTCTTCACAGTATAACAAGCTGGGAATAATTTTCGCCTTTTTCTTATGGATAATCATACCGCTCACCTTACAACCGATTTTATATCTTATTGCGAAGAACATAAGATTAAACTTTTCCGATTTCCGGCTCATACAATGCATATTTTACAGCCTTTAGATGGAATGCCGTTTCTACACTATAAACGCATTCATAGAAGGGCTATCAACGAGCAGGCGCATCTTGGTGGTTTCTTCTACGATAAGATCGATTTTTTGGCCAATATTGCTCGTGTACGCGCCGAGGCATTTACTCCACGAATTATCCGGAAAGGATTTTCTGACCGGGGGCTCTGGCCTCTCAATCCAGATATTGTTGTTGATCCTTTAATGGAAAAATGGGATATCCAAATGGGCCAAGATTTGCAGATTTTTGATGGTGACGAGGAGCAAGATATCCCAAGTTCACCCACTAATGCTTCATTTTCTCCGCCAACTACTGCGTACAAGCTTCAAAAATCTATTGCTAAGGTTGACGCCCAGCTAAATGACCTTAATAAAGCGATTCCTGGAATCCGGAGGAATCTGAAAAAGATTTTTGACGGAAGTCTTACGCAGGCCCATATCAAGGATGAACAACAAGAGCAAATTGACCGCCTCCAAACGCTCAATGAACGCAAATCCGCTAAAAAAACTAAACGCCAGGTGCAAGTTGGAGGCATTCTCTCTGTAGCAGATGCGAATAGAGCCATCAAAAAGCGTGCTACAGCTGAGGAAAAGAAGGCTGAGAGGAAAAGGCTCAAGGAGCTACGAAATGCGCCATTGGGATCAATGCCTCCCCCGCTTACAACAGACGACGAGGCGGCGATTGATCGTAATACTATATTGAATCTGGTCGAGCAGGCTTACCCGAGACGCTCTGATCCAAATTTAATTCGTTGAGTGGAGGATAGGATATAGTTTTGTTAGCAATTCCCATACAAATTTGCATTTATCTGACTATTGCGCTTATGTGACGCGCACCCACACGCGCAGCGTGTGGTCGCGGGCTTGGCGGCACGGGTAATACGTATGGCGAAGATACTTATCTCCGAGGGTCTTTCAGCCTGAACGCTAATGGAGAATACCCCACAAGTCACTCTGAATCTGGGCTGGTCTTTTGCAGCCTCTCCCCACTGTGAGTGGAGGAGAGTCAGCCCTGTAGTACTGCCTAAAGGGTTAAAGCATTCATCCGCTTCTGGGGCAGTCTACTACCGGTATCCCGCGAAGTCTTAAAATCTTGGCGTGCGCATTCACCTGCCCTGCTTTCATGTTTGAGATCGGAGTATAGAATACGACCATGAAGTCGAATCATTTTTCGACGCCATGTGGAGCACCGAGGTGTAGCTTGTATCCGATCTCTTTCGATCATGATCCTACGAGATACAAGAAAAGCAAATAGATGGCTGAAACAGTATGAACGATTCTTTTGACTTTAATATCATATCACTGGGAGATATCCATCATCTCAATTGGGTGTTGATCTTGTACGTATCCGACGCCACTGACGGCTTTGTCTAAACAAGACATTGCGAGGTTAAAAACGACACTGTATAGACCTGGGGTAGAACCTTACAATATCCAGCAAGTCTGAGAACGTCCTCAGGAAGTTTACGAGCGATCTCAATGGGTGTAGACAAGACTTCGTCCTGGTCTGGTCTGTAATAGTCACGTTGACTGAAGCCACAGAAGACAAATCAATATCCGACTTCACAAATTTCATGTTGAAGAGAAGAAAAGACTTACGCAAATACAGCAATTAGCGTTCGCAGTGCCTCAGGATCTGTGTGCTCGCATTTATTCTCGCCAGCTCCATGGTAGGTAGCTGCAGAATTGTGAGCAAACGCATCGAAAAAGCTTGCGCAGGATGAAAGTAGATCACTTACATCCAAGGGTAAACAAGGCTGAACCGGGTTCCATTTCTGCATATGTACATTCCTCTTTCTTTGGTGCCCTGTCTGCACCCCATAGGTGACTTCCAGGGATGACGGCAGTGGCCTAATTCGACGTTAGAAGGGACCGTATTGGATGATATATTGTCAGGAGATGTTTACGCCATTCTTATATGTGCACCGAGATCCAGCTATCAAACACCCTAACATGGGGTGAAGAAGGGGTTCTTTGGGTCAGGTCGAATCTGGTATGCAATTTGATCCTGTCACGTTGAGTAAGTGCTCTATGACTACTATGCTTTAGGAGAGGTATCTACCCTATGCAATGGCTGAGGTTTGGCTCCGGGTATCAAACGGAGCGTTGCAGTTGATGCGAGCATATAACCGCTTTTTTGTGGCACCAGGGTCTCGCCGGTATGGAAAGAGAATTCATCGCTAAGAGAACGCGGTTAGTATTTCTGAGGACTTATCGTGAGGCTTGTCGTCATACTTCAGGAAATGCGCCATTATACTTTTCCATACTGAAAGACGGACAATCTTGGTCAACTGCACGGGAATTTTGGATAGGAGTGACTTGGAAAAATGTCAATAAAGAGCCGAATTAGATCGGTGACATGTGGCGCACATATACACGCTGAGATCCCTCGGGAAAGAACTCGGGACCAAGTTCATCGTGGGTAGCTTTTGAATCGTGATCTTGCGGCCCTTGAAATGAGGCTCGACTATATATGGATTAGACTCTCCCAATATATAGTTATGCAGATGGCACCCACTAGCGTCCATAGTTTCCTTCAAGAGATCAGGGGAGAGAAAGTTTGAGATAATGACACCGCCATCTTTTTCAATTATTTCGATAATTTTCTCGATGGGTTCAGCAGCATCGATGGTAACAAGTGGAGGGGCCATGGTGGATTGATAATTCAGGTTACGTGATGGACCATGCGTTTCTAACAAGGCATTGAGGAGAGAAGGGTATTTAAGTATATAATGTCTCCCTAGAGATCCAGTATCACCGGATACTGGGCCTTTTTTGTGTTGTCCAGCCTAATCAGGATATCAGGATTACTGTGGGTGCACTAAGGTGCATGTACGTACGTACGAAGCAATAGAATCAATTTCAATGGGTATTCATTCAGTTCTGTGTCTCTTTCTCTAAGTACATCATGTTCCAAAGCCGCGTCTATATAGACCTTCTCCTGAGCTGATTTGTAAGCTATCCCATGGGGTAAACTTGAGACCATTCTCTTACACATAACAGTTTCGGATTGATCGCTTCATTTGATGGTTTCATTGGAAAGCCAGCTTATCTGACACATCTCGATTGCAAGAAGCAACCAACAATTATCTTTAATATCTTGGGCTACCTTTCAAAGGTGGGTCGAAGCATGTTAGTTGACTCCACCCTTCTGTGCTTGTGATTCCTTATCTTCTCTCTCACAGGTTTGAATCTTGATAAGGTAACCTTATGTAAGCATTGAGAAGCGACCTGTAGGCGTGTATCAATACGTCCGTTAACCTAAAGGACCCCGAATACTTGTGACAAAGATGAACCACAGTCTAATACCCATCTCTTGCCTTGTAGTTACTAGATATATTAGCTTTAAAAGGTTAGAGTAATAGCCATAGGGGTACAAGTTTGAGTATAATTGGTCTGCTGTGGAGCCAGTTCGGTGTCCTTAGAAGGAATATTAGGAAGTTTGATCGTAGGAGAGGTGTTTGAGATAGGCATAGTGTTTGTCTTATATTGAATCTTAGCTCGCAGATCCTCCCACTTCTTAATTACTTTAGCTTTATTTTCTAAGGCTTCCTCTGTCCAATCTGCCTGAGTTTCTCACGGGACTGCCTGCCATACAGGTAGACGTCGGTACCGTATTGGGCCTGGCGTGATCGTAGCAAGGACATCAACCTCGCACGCCACGGATCTCAGATAGTTAGCTAGACTTCTCAATATCACACTCTCTCTAGCCCATCATCAGTTTCTTTGTGAAGGCACTTATACAGTACGTGTGCATATAATAGAGCTCCTACAGATGGCTTAACCCATACGCCATGACATATCAGGTAGTCGCACAGGCCTCTGACAGCTGGCCGGGTCGCTACCTTAAAGAGATTTAGTGTAAATCCTTCAAAATCCTCCCGAAAAGTGTTCCATAGATCTTCTCCTTCGCGGTCGTGGAGATCATAACACTCCTGCAACCAGGCAATATAGGTGTTAATGATCTTGGGCACGTGTTATTTCTTGTCTTCTAGGTTAAGGGAGAGACCCCAGAAGTCTAGATCTACCGCATATTCAAGATTATCTGGGATTAGAATCATCTTCAACGTGTCGTACGCGGTTTTCGCATGTGTTTTGAAGGTATTGAAATTGTCGGTGGTTATGTTTAGTGAAGTGTCAGCGGTAGGTAGGTTCGTTCAGCCGCCTCAGGTTATTAGTCACTCTCTGGGCTAATTCATCAAAGTTCTTTGCGTAGATGATGATTTTGGTCGGTATCTCTCGATAAGCTCAATAAAGAGGTCGAGCTTGACGTTGCGCAATAGTTGGGAGTTGGTTTGCGCAGAGATTTTGGGGTAATCAGTGGTTGAAGAACACTCTCCATACTTAATTTGTGATCAAGTCAACGAAAGAAGGCTTTGAGGGCGTGATAGACATAGATCAGAAGTATCGTAATCTCAGCCTCTGACCCTTAAATATCTTCTAGTTTCCTAATTCGTGCTGCTGAAACAAAAGAGGGACCATTGGTACTCTCTAGCATAGAGCCTCAAGGTAAGTCACACTTGATTCATGCCTTACACAACAAAACAAACGGCTTGTCCTTGAATATCTATCTCTTCTGAAGAAACCTAGCTAATCTGTGGTATTAACCACTGATCAGTGTTAGTATCACAGGGGTGTGCACCCAGGTAAAGTGTAGGTTCGAGGTTGTTGTATTCAGTTGTGTGTCCTAAGTCTCCAAAGGAGGCTCAGCTACCTACTTATGTGTAGGTAAACAAAGCCGAGCTAACCAAGCTAGGCTAACTACAGCTGCCACCTCTAATTCACTTCCTTTATCCCATTTTATCTCCTCCCATATTGAATACTTCGGGAATATGCTATTCCTACATGTACCTTATCCCAACGGGAATCACCTATCTTTCAACCAAGGCCTACGGTTTCAATAACTTCAGATTGCTTTTTGCTTTATTCCATTTGGCGTGAGTTCTATTGTGTCTACATTCATCGCTGCCTGGCTACTAGACAACAATTATAAGAAGCACGCCATCCGACTCAGACTACCTGTGGTACGGAATCGTCGCCAGGACTTGGGAAATTTCCCCATTGAGAGGGCCCGGCTGGAGGTTGCTCTTCCAATGGTGTTCGCTGGTATGGTCTTGACCATTGCATATAGATGGGTACTCCGTGCTCAGACAAACCTAGCCGGCCCCCTAGTGCTTTTATTTTTTATTGGTTTAACCCAGACTACTGCCTACCAGGCAATGAACACTATCATGGTCGACAACTTTCCCGAGTAGCTGCCACCGCCACGGCTGCTAATAATCTCTTCCGATGCTTACTGGGTGCAGGTGCCATTGCTGCCCTAGGTCCATTGCTGAATGCTTGGGATGCGGGGTGGACATACACCTTTGTGTCGCTGCTGTGGTTGGTATACAACCCTGCAGTATTCATATTAATGTTGAAAGGACCGGAATGGAGAAGGGAGAGAGCAGAAAAGGCGAAAGCGAAAAAGGATAAAAAGGAAGCTACTCGCGAAACGAAATAGGCCCAACAGAATGAGAAAGTGCAAGTTCTTCAAATCTCTCTGAAACATTGATCAGTCATATATTCCCAGATTGCTTCATTGTCTGGTCTTCAATGTTTCACACACAAGACGGTTCATTTGGGATTACGTGGGCTGCCTAGGCAATTAAGATAGTTGTTTGATTTTCAACTCATGGGTAAATTTACTGTTGTAGACTTTTGGATTGTTAGCAAAAATATACTGATGCACGAGTTCGAAATATTTGACCATTTTATAGAAATAGTTGAATAGCTTTACTGATCTTGCAATTGAATAGTTATAGTTATACGAATAAATACAGTAGATGTCAACGGTCTTCTCAAAAGATTCGGCCTTAATGGTACAATACCGTCAAGGAGATATTGCAGCGTCTAGCAGTCGCATTAAGCGAAAGATGATACGCGAAGACGACGTACTAAATTAGCAGCAGTCGGACAAACTTATAGAGCTTGCTCGATCCCGAATGGTGGAGGGAGCCGTTGTAATAACCAACATGAATGTCTCTTATATAGAATGCATGCTGCCGAAGCAGAAGAGATAGGTTTCAGTACATTGACGTTCCATACCCTACCTTGTGTACTTCGCCCTTAAGTGATCCTTCTCGAACGTGACTATATATATCCCTCGTAACGTTGTTATACGATCAATGAGTAGCAAGAGAATCTAACGTCAGAGTCAGAGCGAGAGCAAACTCTGACAGGAAAGCAACAACAATAGACTTTTATTTAGTTATTTTGTGCATTTTAGGAAGCTTCATTACTAAACCACTTCGACCTTTATGTCTGGAGACAGATGCCTCTAATACCGCCATCAGCGCCATTCTATCATAACTGTTTGATAACAGTCTTTAGCATCCAATTACCTCCTTCTGAAGACAATTTAAGGAGCCAAAGTTAACTATTCAGTTCTAGACAAAGAGATAATGGCTATTATTAAAAGTCTTAAGTACTAACATCACTATCTAGAGGAAAGTCACCACCCTATTAATGTATGAAGTAACCATCAGAATCTCCAGGATTTCATAAAGTAACCGCACATTAATAGTAAACAGGCTCAATGGCTAATATACCTTACACCATATAATTTTGTAATCCTTTACTATCCTAGACATTTATATCCTACAGATACACCTTCCTATAGACCTGACTAAGTAATGTCATTGTCGAACTAAGAGAATCATGCTATGTCATTAATACCCCCGCTAGAAGTGAAGACGGATCTCATGTAAAGTCTCTCCGTGCGCAGGAGCTAATAAGCTACAGAGGAGATGTCCTGCAAAGGTTTGCGAGCCCCCAATGCTGTTGTCCAAGTACTCAGTGTAACACCTCAGGCAGAGGATGATGAGGCTAATTACCTCTTTAAGCTTGTTAGAATACAAGCAGTCTCTAGAAGACGCGCAAGAGAAGCGACATCAGGCGAGAAGCCATTGGATGAAATGACAGTAGAAGAATTACTAAGTCTAATTCAAGAATTGAAAACTGAAGCTCTCTTATGCTTGAGAATCTACAAGGAGATAACTGAGAATTCTAGTACCTATAACTGCTGACTGGGCCCACAGTTATAACCGTGCTTGTAAACATTATAAATTGGCTGAGATGGCATATTGAGATATAAGGACTGAATTATGGTTCCACATAGGAGAGAACCTTCCTTTATGACCATAGCAGCTACACACACATTATATGAGAATTGACTGTCGCATTTCAGACAGTATAAGCAGGACCCAGTTTGTTCTTTCCATCCACCAGGCGATAAGTTAACCTGTCTATCACGTCTTCAATATTCTTAATTGTTCGAATCTAAATTTAAAGATAAGAGGAAGGTATAATAATTCAATCTGGACTACACACTCACATTGATCGCCATCACTTCTCTCTCTTTCTCATTCTGTGACTCGCTAAAATCGATAAGAATTGAAGTCCCGCAGGTAGAGCAGAATTTGTGTGGTTTTGTCTGGCTCCCAAAGCGATACGATGTCAATTCATTCTCATCAGACGAGAACGTGATATCTTCCTTGCGAGGATATATTAGAAGATATCCATTTTTCGTACATACTGAACAGTTGCATCTGTTGACTCGAACCACTGTAAGAGGTGGGTGGGAGAAAGAAAAACGAACACGGCCGCAGTG